TTAACTCTCCTCGCTTCAAACATGAGAGCAATTGGCGGGGTAATATTAACAACAACCTTTGCAAGTGCTGTTGAAGGTAGAATTGAAACTAAAATATCGAAGGATGATTCTAAACCATTCCTTGAAAAATTTTCCTACCATTTTACAAAACCACTTCCAATACTTCATGCCACACAAGTAACAACGTTTTTAGACAAGTTTATTGATACCAGTAGAAAACGTAACAACAATTCAGATATTTGGAAGCTTGTTGCAACATTTTTGCAAGGTCCAACAAGACGGTGCGAAGAATTTCTTCAAGACATTTATTTAGAGTTGAAAGACTCAACAACACCTGAAATAAGATCATTTGAAGAGTTTGTATATACAATTCTTTGCAACCTAGTTGACAAAAAAAAGGAGTATAGTCAAGGAAAAACTAATCAACCCTTATATAAGAGCTTGTTTTACAGATTAGCTTTGCTTGGTGAGGCAAATTTAACAAAAGCTAAACATGTTATTTCGTCAGAAACAAGTGTATCAAACTCTGACGAAGAAAATGCTGCAAGGTTCTTATTAACACATGGCTTGAGTTATACCTATGATTATACTAACAAAATATATAAGATTGTCAGTCCAATAGAAAGAATGAGATTACTTAAGACTCTTCAACAAGAGGCATCTAAGGTTCAAAGTGATTGGTTTTTATATTCTCACAAGCAGTTAAGCGATATTGGTGATATTTCACCTCTCTCTGAAGTTGCTGCTGTATATTTTATTTTGAACCACTTTAAATTCTTCAAGCAACAATTTCCAGGGACTTATTTGCAAAACTATAATTTGCAAGCAAATTATTATGTTGAAGATTCAGAAATTTCCAAAGATTCATTGAGCACTGATTTCAAAATTTCATCACTTCTTATTAACACAATACACTGCAATATGAAAGGATTGCAAACAATCCAATATCCATTAACAGGAAGCAACAAAGACCTTTTACCACAGTTTTTAGTACGCCCATGCCACCATGCAGGACCTGATGTCATAGGAATGTTAGTACGTCGTTCTTCCGATAATAATGAACTTCCTATGTGCATTCCAGTTGTTGCCGCTGTCACGAGGATGACAGGAAACACTACAAAATTCCAGAAAAACTATGCCACAACTGATCTTTCTAATTTATATCATGAAAACTTAGCAACTAACATCTCTCCACCCACTAATGCACTTGCAGTGAATGAGAGAAATTCCTTGGACACACCTATTACTGATATCATGAAAACTGGAAAGATTTTGAGATTATTATTTCATCCCAATGAATCATTTAATACGCCTCTCAGTGACAGAATTCCACAATACAGTAATGGTGCCGACGAGGTGGAAAAAGCATTCTCTGATCATGCAGTGCTTACCAAGAAGGGACATTTGGTCTATGAAATTTCGAAAAATAATTCAATATGGGAAAATTATCTCAACAGCAACGGCTTGTCTGTTTTAGGTGGTGTATTTCAATAGATTATCAACCTTGGTTTTCGAGACCTGGCCACCACAATGTGCAATCACATTTCTAGGAGTCAAGTGTTGCTGGTTCTGAAAATCAATGGTACCATCTTTCTTCAAGATGGAGATGAGTTGTTCAATTTTTGTAGAAGTTAATCTCAGTGTTTCACGAGAATCATTCCAACCTTCTTCCTTCTTGTCGCGAAAACGTTTCAATGAGTTCAACGCTCGATAGATTAAGGCTTCATATTCCTTATAACGAAAATTAAAGCAAATGCAATGGCGCCTCTCAATCCTCCATACGCAATGATGAATTGATTCTTCCACTCACACAACCTTTAAATCGATGAGACTGACTTGTGAAAGAACCATGATTAGAGTGGAAGCAGTGAACATGACAATGATGAATCGATTACAGTCGTTCCTCAAATACAACAGATTTTTAATAGAGCGGAGTGTCGAATTTTGAAAAAATCAGAGTATTGGGGGTCATCACTTTTAGATCACTTTTGGAATGACAATATTGCACCTGCTTCCATTGCACACAACCGTCTTCGGATCCGTCTTTTGCAAGTCCTAATCCTGCTTTCTTAAATCCACTCACCACAACTGCATCTGGAACATCTTTTAAAGAAGCTTTGGATTCAATGATTAGGTATTTGAGTAGAATTTTGTCTGCTTGTTTGTTCAATTTGTCCGTTCCTTCTCTTTGGTTTGATGATCACAAAAATAATAAAGCCATCTTAGATTCTTGCTACAGCAAATACATCATTTTGAGCCACTGGAGCAGTGTTAATGACATTGAGAGTAATTCCACATGAATTGCCGAGTTGAGAATCAGAAACCACTCAAAGTACCCAAAGTCGATGAAACAGTTCCAGATAAGGAAATGGAGAGCAAGTCATTATTGGGCATCAGATGTTTGGAGTTTGAGTGTAAGTAACAAGTCAACACTTTGTCCCTTATTGACGTTGAAGGTTGTAGCCACACAAGTTGGAGCAGCATTGACCACATGAGACACGGCCTTTGCACCAACGACGGTTTGTGCAAGTGGTCAATCAGATACCAGATCCAGTCGTGGTCACAGTAACGTCAGAAGTAACCTTTATCACAGAGAAGGTGTCAGAGTCAGCATCAGAGAAGAATGTACCCATTTGAGGTTGGCGAAAATCGCCAGTCGCCAAAATGTACCAACTCAACATTTCCAGAAACAGAAGTTGTACCACCTACAGCATTAGAAACTGCGCCACTGAATTTAACAAAGGAAGAATGTACTGTTAACGCGAGAAAAGTTCTATTTGTCAAAATCTTATTGATTCGATTTTGTTCATCTGAAATAAACACCTCACCATGAGTTCATTGCGACAGATGTTGGATGCATGCCACTGTACACTGTATTAACAGTGTTATTTTTCATATCGATTTGCCGAATGCAAAAGTTGGCAGGATCAGCAATAAGGATTTTACCTGTGGTCCTGTTCACATGAATTCCAAGAGGATTGTTCAATTGAGCATAAACAGCTAGACCTGAATCACCAAAGTAACCGGGGGCTTTTGTTCCAGCAATGACACTCATGCTCCGAGTCTGGATGTTAATTTTTCTGACTTAATGATACCATCCATCAGTAAAGTATAAATCATCACCGTCTAGAAAGAACGAAGACGCACTGAATAAGTTTTCGTCCTGTCCTGCAATGGTCGTAATGGTATATGTTGTTGTTTGAGCTGTCACATGGGAGTATGAAATTGTTGCAAGCAAAAACCAAAGCACCACAATGGTCGTTGCTAGTGACCTTAGTTCGACGGAGGGTCTTGGTACTACTACTAACATGTTGGTTAATACTATTCTTTTTAATGATCTTGCCGGGTAGGATCATTTGCCGCAACTACATGACCAATTATTGCAGAGAACAAACATGCACCGATTTGCTGCTCATACCGGCAAATCACTAGTAAGTTGTTGTTAGTAAGTTTACCAAGAGAAATACTTATTCTAACACTTGTGTACTTGATGTACGATCATATTCTTACTATTGCACCTTGTCAGTTCAACACACGATTCATCTTCCCAATTCTCAATATTGGTAACGAGCAAAGTTTTCAATTTAGGAGCACTTAAGGTTGAAGGCAAATGTAGAAATAGATTTCCAACAGTGGTAATTTTCATAAATACCAAGTTGGAAAGATGTTTGGTTGCCACAACTTTGCATTTTTCACAATTACTAATTTCTAAATATTCTAACAGTGGAAAGGTGTCAAGATTTAACTCATCAACAAAACAGTTACTTGTATCAATATCTTGCACCGCTCCAAGAGTAATAATGTCGCCTTGTAGACGGTCATGGTAAAAAGAGGAATGGTTCATCAAAGTAATTCTGTTCAATACCAATCGTGTTAACAGAGGCATGGATGACCATTTGATAAAACAATGATCACTGAATCCAGTTGCGTAATGTCTTCTCTCTATTTCCAATGACGTCAAGTGTTGACAGTGTGCAATATTGTACGCATCAGAATCTAGCAAAAAACAAAGTGAAGATACTTGGTCCGAATAACAATCAAAAATTTGTGGAGTGTCTTCGATTGGAGTCCAGAATTGTTGCTTGTTGAGAAATTCAGTAATATCAATCTCTAAATGATCACTCGCTGGGAAAACAGCTTTTCCATGATATGAAGAAAAGTTGGAAATATTATTCACTTCCAACTCTACGCTTTCTGTGATTACCAATAATGAAAGAAATCTCATAAAATTACTTCTCACACTTTCCTGCATAATTACTGCGTCAATACTATAAATTTTGAGAATCTTAACAGTTGATCCTTTAAAATTCGTTTGCGAGAGAAGCGAAAAGAGCTTTGTCGAAAATTGGAAATGCAAAGTTCCAATTTTGCTAATGTAAAACCTTTCTATTAGTAAATCCAAATATCCAATCTCAAAAGTATCACATTCCTTGAGTTCAATATTTAGCAACGTAACCGTTTGGCCATGAGGACCGAGATTTATATTTTCTATACGCTCCTGATTTTTGATCACTAATTTCTGAGCATTTCCACAAAGGTTCAAATTCTTGAGATTGGAAAGGTTATTAATTGAAATATCCGTACAATGGTGAGTTCTAATAGAATGAATAGAAGAATTATCTGATAACGTAATTTTTGCATATTGGAAAAAGTGACAACATTGTAGATGAGGGTTCATACAAAGTTGTTTCAATGGAAAGTCTTGAAAGCAAACATGTTCCAACTTTGTTAGCGGCTTTTGCTTTTCCGTAACTGATACAGTAGAAAACGAAATTAATCGTCTAAGATTTGGCATTTCAACGCCATCCAAAGTCAAACTGCCGTATTTGACCACAAGGCTCCTTAAGTTTGGAAAATGAAAATCTTCTGAGAGGATAATGTTACTATGTTGTGCAGAAATAAATAATTCTTCAATAGTGTTGGCTAAGTTGAACATTGCGTTCTTTGAGAAAAAATCATGAAAAAAGGATCCTGAATGAAAGACATCACAGTAGTACTTTCTAATCTTTGTAAAATGATCTTCAAAATAATTAATATAGTCACGACACTTTTTCTTTGAAAAATCCGATGCATGAATGTCCATTCCAAAACATCCAAACGTCTTTAACTGAGAACATGAAGAGAAAATGTGTCTCACTTGTTGCACAGTGAGCTCAGAATCAACAGTAAAATGTTCAATTGTATCTTTTCCCCAATCTAAGAGAATATCTCGAATGGATTGAGAAATTTTTGATCCTTCAATCACCAAACTCTTTAAATTTTTCAACTTTGGTAGAGAGATTTTGGCCAAAGAAAGATCAAACTCCTTCTTGATCTCTGATTGAAATCGTAAACAGTCACTAAATCTAATCTTCTCTACAATGATCAAGTGCTCAACACATGGAAACTCATCAATAAAAAGAGCCAACATTTCGAAAAATATTTTCGCATGAATACATGGAAGAACCAACTTTTTCACCATTACCCTACAATTATCTTCTCCAAAAACACACTTCATAAAATGAATGAATGATTTGGCTACCTCGAGCTCCAAAGAATAGCAATACATATTTGACCGTTTTTTTGGTTTCACAAAGGTTGAAGTATTCGAAAAGATTTGAGAAGACTCTACATCAAGCACCGATGAAAAATAACCATAGTCATATGGAACTTCAAGCACAGGAAGACCAAAGGAGGATTTTTGTTGATCATTTCCACACATAACAAATTTGAGCATATTTGCAGTGTAGGCTCGTATATGATATTGCAAAAACATGTTTTGTCTAATTTTGTCACGGAGTTTTTTGTTGACACCACATATCGGAATCAATCGGTGAGCCAACTCAAGTTCATTTAAATTTAAAAAAGAATTCTTGGTTTTAACATTATTGTAATGTGAGAAGCCAATATACTCTAAAGTATCCACTGCAAAATATCGATCCTGATCGGTGGTATTCAGCATGGAGATGGCATTTTCTTCGTCGTGATGATTGTCTGGTAATATCACCGTTCCGAGCAAGAAGCTGCATACATGAGCTAAAATTTCTTCTGGTAAGTTGTCGAGCGAGTAATCGCATGGAGGATGTGTTGTGAACATTTTTTTCAAAATGTTTCATGAAAGTTGCAAAGGGATTTAAATCGTTTCACTTGTCATTTCAAAATTTACTTCTAATTTGAACGTGTGTGTGAGGCAGCATTGTTGGATGTTAAAAATTGTTCTTTACACATGAGGCAATTGAATCATTCACAGTGGGAGAGGCCTTGAAAATTGAAGGCAGTTGGAAAGATGTACGAAATCTCTGCAAGAGCGACTGTTGTAAGCTCAAGATTGCAACAACACAACGGTTGAAGTTCCATCTATCAAATCAAACACACACCAACAAACTCGCTGGTGAATTTTGGCTCGCGTTTAACCAATGTGAGAGTCTATGATTGCTATGGATGTTTTGACAAGAATCAACCCAGTATCAATGTAAATACGGTTCCCAATCTTTTTGAGTCTGTTAGTAAAATTTTAATAACCGCATTGCTTTACTGAGACAATTTTTTTAAGTAGCGATATCATTGCGATTGCTAAGAGGCTGGTGATGTAGTTGTCAAGGCATCATGTTCTTGATATAACCCTTTTTGTTTAGGTTTCATATCATTTTCACTTTTCTCTTATTCTAAATGATTAAATTTTTATGGAATTGTTGAAAATAATGAGTTGAATTCGACAAGCATTATGATCCCATCAGAAAGGCCAGGATACTTGAATCAGTTGTCACTCATTCCCATTTCTGTCACAATAATTAATTGTACGTTCAAAGTATGGCCCACTATTGTGTGCTTGCCATAAATTCCATCATATTCCCATAATGAATGGTAGAGTATGTCACTTAGATAGATTTTCATAGTTATAATAATAGGGCATATTGTGTCTCTTCAAAGAAGTTTTCTTATTACAACAATGAAACCCTAATTTACAACCTCCAACTATCAAAGATATCACCACTGCAAGATAAAATCCAATGACATCAATGAAAAAGAATTGATACCAAGTCAAATGTTTGTCAACAATAGCCCAAGATAAATCGCCTTCGAGTTGTGTCATCATCTCAATAATTTCAGCTGCTCGTTCAACTCCACCAGCATACCTTGATAAAGTTTGCATTTTGTGAACTTGTTGTCTGAAGTTATTGCTTTCATTCGAGTAAAGCAAAGTGATAATAGCTTCATATACAGTATCAGCAGCCCATTTTCCCTTTTCATCTTTGGAGGTAATGATTGAAACACCAACTCTGGTCTCTTGAATCATATTAGCTACTCTAAATTGGTCATAATCATAGGGAATGCCAATCAAGCGTTTTCCAAAATATATGGCTTCATTAACACTACCGGCTCCACAATGAGTGATCATAACTTTCACATTTTCAAAAGAGAGAAGAGCTTTTTGTGGTACAAAGCTTGTAAGTAACTTGAATCTTGGATGAGATAATAACGCATCAATGAGTAATGGGTGAGAATGCTGTAATTTGTTGAAATGCATCAAGTTTGTGGATCCAAGTGCCAGCACGATCGAAAGTGTAGTTTGTCTTAAAGAATTATTAAACGCCTCCAACAGCTCTTTCAATTCGAATTCCTTGAGTTTCATGGTCGATCCGAATATGGCCAACAGTATTTCATTTTGGCTATTCATCCACTCAACAATCCTATAATATTCCTTATTGTCGGCATCAAGAGACATACGATTGAGTTTGTTAATTTCTGCTTGCAAATTCTTCTGGCTAATAAAAGCTCCCACGAGGAACGAATTTGGTTGTTGTGTACTTGATGAAGCATAATTTAGTCCTAAACTACTTGTTTGAATTCTAGCACACTTGACATCACTTGATTTGACATCATTAATATCAAAGTAATTAGCACCAATTTCACTCCTGATTTGGTTAAAAATTGCAAGATCTTTCTTGATAAACATGGGTATTTGTAATCTGTGTCTAAAATGCGTAAAATACTCTAGTTTTGGAGCATTAAGCGTTGGATGTCTCAATGGGTCGTTCATTATGGAACTGAAAATTTTGGTACAGGCTACATTATATCTGGCGACAACGGCAGCAATACCTGTGAGAAAATTGTCAACCACAACATACTCAAATAACGTTTGAGAGGGATCTTCCTTAATTCTGATAAATCTTTTGATGTGTTCAGTAGTAGACAATGCTGCTTGCGTACCAAATGCAAGTACTCTCAAAACACTTCCCTCATGGACCTCAACAACTTCCAATTGATCTAGTAGTAGTTTTTGGTAAGGAGCTAGCAATCGATTGATCATGATCTCTCGCACCTTATCGTCTGGTAGCGAGTCCATCTCTGTTGTGATTTGTTCATATTTTGTAGGAGTGTTGAAATCCAAATTTTTGTCATTCAAGTAGTGAATGTGAATTTTAGTAAATGGATGACTAGCATCGTCTTGACTCATTCGTACAGCGTTCTTCTTATCTTCAAGGTTTCTGATGAACGGCTTTGCAAGTTCCACATTTGCAAAGGTAATATTTCCAATCTTTTCTCTGTATGCAAGACTTTCTACTAATTCAATGTGAGGGGTAACATGTCCCGCAAATGGTAAACATAAAACGAGAATATTCTTGAAGCCTAGTGGTTGTTCTTGTTTGTGTTGTATAGAAGAAGAGGTGAGGGTGAATGGAGTTGGAGATGCTAGCGTAAGAGAAAGGATCGTCGAGACAATGAGCCATATCACGACAAGTGTTGTGATAAAACGCTGCATATCTATTTTTTTTTGTATGACCTATTCCGTGTGTTCACAATAAAACGTGCACGTTTTTAAAGGTCTTTAGATTTGGTTCGTCACTACTCAGATTCGATTTCCTTTGCGAGCAATGGTATGGCACAAATGTGAATGCTGTCTTTTAAATAGTGTACTCTTTAGGTGTCATTAATTTTCCAATTTGGAGTGGGTAATTCTGTTTAAAAAAAATCAGTCAATGATGAACCAAAAGCGTAAGACCTAAGGAGGAGAGAAAGCTTTGAGAGATGAATTTCAGAAAAGAATGAACACATTCCGATGCATCATGGTCCATTAAAAACAATATCCTTGTCAGCACTATCATCAAAGAAGTGTGGGGCCATCTCTCCGTTTCATCTAGTGTGGCACCACAAACTACGCCATAAGAAAACTACCAGCGAAAAAATTCGACTCAAAAAGGCAAAAATTTTTTGACAACGAAATGCAGAAACTCCGGGATTGGTTCAGAATCTTGTAAAGTTTTATTCAGTAGTGCTGACGTTCGTTCATTAAAAGTGAACCTCCTCCTGATTATGACCACACCTATTGTACCAAAGCCAGTTACTAACGTTTCGAAAGCAATTCTCTTCAGCCTTTCGTTATACAAGGATTGGTTGATTGTTGATGATAATACTCACATTCACCGTCATTACACCGTTCAACAAGTTTCTCGTTACACGATAAAAATCCATCTTTTGTACTGATCACTTGGTATCTAAGTTACATCAAAGTTGTTCCACGTTGTTGCTGTGTAATCGTAGTTTAGGTGTGTGATTTAAAATACTCGACCTCATCTTTTGGTGAAGGCATTTTTTTTGGAGTGAAAATTAATGTCAACTTGAAAAATTAAATTACAACAAAAAGCAAAAACTCTTGTTCTTTAATTTAATAACAGCATCTCCTTGGAGCTTAACTGAGAGAAATTGAGATCAGTATTATCAATAATATTATTAATTATTTTCAATTTGTTTTCTGTGCTCGGTGGACCTCCTCGCTTTTGTTTTATGCGAGTGAAGCTAGCTTATCGACAAAGTAATTGTTGTATTTTGTTGTGTGTTTGAATGTTGGTTTGATTGGTTTCATGTTGTGAAGGTTGAGATGATAATGTGTTCGGATTGTCAAGGTTATGTTGGATTGTGGAGAAATTATGAGAAGATTGTGGATAATAGGATTGATGATTTTGAAATAAATGTTCACATCCTCCATATTGAATAGGGATATTCTGATAGCTCATTGAATTGGATTGGTTTGGTTGTATCAGATCTTCATAAATTCTTTCGAAAGATGGTGTGATGTTCTTGGTGAATCAAAAGAGCCGGGATTAATGCTACTGAAACCGGTAGATGACGGTGATTGCACATTGAAAGAAGATAATGGAGAGGAACACCATGTGTGGTGATTTTGATTTGAAAGTCCATATGATTGACCTTCAAAAAAGTTGTTGTTAGATGTGGTTTGGTTTGTGGACGGTGATGAAAAGTTTCAATTTGATTACATTTTTTGTGATTTAGAGTGTATTGAGGATTGAATTTAATTGTTTTATTGTACAAACTCGAATTCTTTGTCAAACTTGAACGATGTCCACACTTGATTAGTTTCCACATTACATGTGAGAGAAATGTATACAATTTTCATCTTGTGTTTCGTAATCTTCTTTCCGAATTTACGTGTAAGACGTGAGTGAGTAATTTCCAACTCAGACCAATGCTTGCATTTGTCTAAAGGAGGAACACTGTCAGTAAATCTGAATTGAATGCACTTCTGTCTCTTCTTTAGGCCATTCCACAAAATGTCTTGATACCATTGGTAATATTTAGCCTTTGTTCCCCTCAGAGCAAGATAAAACACGTTTGGGTTGCAACATCCAACCGTTTCATGGCTGATGGAGTTTGAACATCTCATCTGTAGATGTTGATAAATAATATTTCTTGCACATTTGGCGAACTGTTCCCATATAATTCCATAAATTTGTTTCTTCTCATCTGGTACTTCTTTAAAGGAATTATATTTTGGTACAAATTCAAACAGTCCTTTCTCTAAAGTGAATTGATATTCCTTGTGAGTGTCTTCAGCAGCTTCATCTGTGGTTCTTGATTTTCGTTTTTTGCTCTGTTGGGAAATATTGTCATCATCACATTTGTTGTTTGGTGTTATCGTACATTGTGTCTCATCAACAATACCAGAGAAGCTGCTTGTGCTAGGCAACAGACAGCAAGGTGGAAATGATATAGTTTCGTCTGTGAAGATCCATTCCTGAACAAGTTAAGCAAACACATTGTAACAAATTTGAAACATACTGTAGAGGTAGTCATTACTGGTGATGATGGGTGAGAAGGGTTCATTTCGATGCTTGATGATGAAGGAATCTTGTGAAATATGTTACTGCTGAATACTGGACAAACATAATACTTACATTGTTCGTACTCTGGTTCGTTGTGGATTGGCTATCCAATGCTGGTGATTCATTGGCCTTGATAATTGAGATCAATACAAGGTGAACGATATTCACTAGTACTTACGTGATTAGTATTTGTTTCGCAACTCGAATCACAATCAGAAACACCAAGCTGAGGTAAAGATTAGTGTAGGTGTTGAAATTGTTGTTTGATGATGTTGTTGTTGTGGTAATAATCAATTACTTACACAGTATAGAGGCACAGTGCCCTCTTCAATGACCACTAATTCAGCTTCCATGTTGTGTGTGTTGTTGGTGTGTTTTTTTGTGTGAGAAGCAGAAAACAACACCACAGACCAATCACTCCATTTTTTTTGACTCCGGGACTTACTAAAACGAGCCGAATTTTTTCTTCGTCAGTTTTTGCACTTTACGCTCAGGCGTAGTTTGTGGTGCCATGTTTTTACAAATTTGGAGTGTGATGACTCGTTAAATACATGGATGCACAAAAGAGAATACTTGCATCTATACAAACGCATGTGAAAGAAAATAATCCATGATGTCAGTGTTTATATGCATGGGCTTCAAACGAGCATTCAAAGAAAATCAGTGAGGAATTTTTCAGTGATTTCTTTTGCACATATCATTGTGACCAACATCCATAACTCATCAACCACAAGAGCCATTCTGGACATGGTAATATTGACACGTTTCTAGCTAAACAAATGTCAAAACGGGACACAAATTCACGAAGAGATCAAAATGTGCACTCCATTTTCTCACTAGCCTTGTCAAGACAAAAAAATGTCGAAACGTCAATTACTCAAGGAACATTTCATGGTGTTGTCTTTGAAGTATTGCAAAAGGGCATGGTGTTGGTTCATCATGATCACTTTTTATCTTTTGCTTTTCAATACGAGTATTGAACACAACCACTCATTCCACGTACAAGCAATTCCTATTCCATTCCCTCACAAGGCAATATCTTCTTCACCGTACACAACATTTAGAATGATGACGTCGCCACGAGGTCTCTCACACTCCCTCTCACAACCATTCACTTTCCATGGTGCTCATCATCCAACAGTTGACGCATTTCAATCAACACCTTCCAGCGCATTGCCTTCCATAATTTCAATCACCATGAATGCTTCCACAAGTACAATGTTACTACCAACAATGACGGCCATTGGAACAACATCCTCTCTTATACTGTCAAGCTTAAAAAGAAGAAATATCAGAGATGTCAATGCTGGTTTTACGTCCATTCAACAATTACAACAAGTGGCATCTCAACGACATGTGGTCATTGGAGTTCACACCATCATTGGATTACAAGCATCGTATGTGGAAAAATTATTGGGATTAAATTCAACCCTCCATGATTACAGAATTGAAAGAATGGATCGACCTGAAGCTGATTGTTGGATGGGAAGTGTTTTTGAATACTTTGATGCACTGGTAACTACAGATTCGTATTTTACAATCATGTTTCGACAAAATAGAGATTGTTATTTGGGAGAGCGTAAATTTAAATCACTGACAAATGTCTCGAGTGATATCAATCTGGTGAATATTGGTCCCTATGAAGTGCTAATGCTCAATTCCTCCACAACCAATGATTTTGCATCTATGGAACGAATTGCCACACAAGCATTGTATGCAGCAATGGCACAATTGGTCAATCTCATGTTCATTCCCCTCTCATTCTGCAATTCTTTTTACATTTCACATGATTATGCCATCATTCGAGCTGGTTACGGATTTGTGAACTTGACAGAGATGGACTCTCGTGCTTTTTCGATTTACTTCCAAAATCCAATGAATGTCAATCATACCTATTATCAATTGGCTTTACAACAATTGAAATCCAATATCACGACAGACGTGTTTGATTCTTTAAAGATTCAAACAAGTTCAACACTAAGCTCCTCATTAAGCTCAATGATTTTTCCAGCTTCCTGTTATTCATGCTCCACTTCACAATGCATGTGGGAAGATAGAAACAGCCCAACACCCTCTCCTCAGTATGATCCCATCGCCGCCTCCACAGGAGTGTTTATTGGACTTTCCTTAATTTTTTATTGGCCACTCTTAATTCTCTTTCGAAACAAGCCAAGTATTCGAAAAAGATTGATCATTCCCTATGCATGTCCAATACTTCTGTATATATTCATGGTTGTTCAATTATTTGAGGTTGCAAAACCATGTTTCATGTTTCAGTTCATTGTCATTTATTTCACCTCCGCATACAGTATTACCATTTATTACACCATTATGGCTCGTTTTCTAATTTTGAGAAATTTGTACAATATTTTGAAGAAATGCAAGAATGAACAACAAGTGAAAGCTGTCAAATTTTTAGTGAGCAAGACTTGTGGAATTACTGCAGCTTTAGTGTTAGGATTTATTGTTGCATGTGTCGTTGCGTTGGTTCCAATTGCAGCCTATCGACAAGAATTCTTTAGCTTCAACTCTCAATACGTTTCTTCAATGACTTTGAGTTTGATTTCCATCACGTTTGCTGCCATTTCGTTATTGATTGTTTTGATCAATGTGATTTTGAGCATTCCGACGATTAAGGCCAAAGGAATTTTATATTTTCTATTCTTTGATGATCCATTGTATCTTCGATTTGATTCATTGTTTGTTACCATGAATGCCATCTTAATTTCTGTGAGCTTGTTCACAAATGCCAACCAAATTCCAGCTTACAATGGTATTATTTCTTTCATCAATTTGACACTTGGATTTATGTATTTTGGAGGAGTTGCATTAATTTTTGAGCTGCTAAAACTGCTCTTCTTCAAAGCTCCAAAAGAACAGGAAGAACTGGACAAGAAATTAGCCGATGTTGGATTTATGACATTACTCAAAGAGTTTGCAGAAAAGGAAATGAGTTTGGAAAATATTTACTTTTATGAAAAGGTGAAAGAAATGGAAAAGAAGAGTCTCGATCCAAATCCCAGACTGAGTTTATCGGATTTAGATTTCCTTGCTAACAACTTTATGAAACCATTTTCCAAGAATGAGATTAATTTTTCACACGAAACAAAGAAAGCATTTTACGACCTTGTGGAATCTTGTAAGAAGAATGAAGATATTCGATTTAATGCGTTGCGTGAAGCAGTCATGATTCCTCTCATGATCAATATCAAAGATACCTATATGAGATTGGTGAGAACAAATGAATATAGAAAATGGGAAACTGCCAAGAATATTACAGAATGAAAGAACGGAATTGATAACCAATATATTTTCAACCTAATTTTACTGACCAATGGTTGCTGCAATAGTTGTTTCGACTTTGGTGATCGCATGGCTCCAGTAATCCGAGTCCAAAATATCTTGAACATTAACACGACAAAGAACTTTGTACGCATTATACTCCAACGCAAATACTTGTTTGAGTTCAAGACTTGGACACTTATTGACCAATTCTAACACCCACCACATGCATTCATTTTCTGGAGAAAATGTAATTTCAATTTTGCAAGGCTTTCTATTCAATGTTTGGGTGTTGTACAAGTTTTGCTGAGATAAATACCGTTCCTTGATACAGCATAACATTTTGAACCCAATACCATGCCGGCGATAATTGGGATTTACGAAATAGCCAATAACATTTGTCTCTTTCACATGCAACACATCCACAGAAGCGATAAGTTTGGAATCTTGTCGACTCTTCACAACCCATGCTCCAATTCCACCATACTCGCAACACTTGACCCAATGATCGAATTTGCAACGAATGGATTCGTTTGTTTCAATTCTCCCATCTTTGTAGTTTTTTCTAACTTGGTCATCATTTCGTAATTTCAACCACTACTCATCAAAGTCATTAGTTTGCAAAGGCATCAATACAAGCTCTCCACATGGAGGTTGTCGCAAGCAAGTGAAACGAAGTCCTGTTCTACAAAGGTTGCTATACTTTTCTTTATGAGTTGACGATAAGAGATGCTTCCCATATTCCCCATCTTCCCATTTCTCACAAATAGAACAATAGCACCCTCTTCCTTCAATATTCGTTGGCATCCAGAGAGTTTCATTGTTCGTATTTCGAACAACATGTGGTTGTTCACCAGCCAAATTGAAAATTTCTTCATATTCCAGCTCAATGGAAGTATCAACAACTCTCTCCCAGCTAGGCCTTGTGGTATAGTCAGTATTCAACATGTTCGCTATAAGATTTAAGAAAGGTACGCTGTATCTTTTCGAAAAAGTTGGTAATAGATAATCCTTTAACAAGCTTCCATGAATGTTGGTTGTTGCTTCTTAACAATTTCCTTAATCATCATTTTGCTTTATAACAGTTTTCACTTATTATTCAACGAAAATCAAAAGTTGTAGATCAACCATCCCTTTTGAACATTTGCTTTCAATTTTAAGAGCGTTCATTCTTTTACTGAATTAATTACCCAATTCCACATCAACGGCTTTTGCTGTTGCAATTTCTCGAGCAGTGGCTGCAGCTGCTTTCTTTTTCATGAAAACTACAACCGAGACAATGGTTGCTGTCACTCCGGCCACAGCTCCAATGGCTACCAATGGAACGACCACTCCTGCAGCAATGGCTCCTGCATTGTCATTTCCACCATTCGAATTACCACGAGGAGGTATAGTGGCACGAGCTTCAATGGTTAAAGAGGAAGAGGACGCTACTCGATTGGAAATTGTCACACTCGAGGATAAATCTCTCAAGGTCACAAATGCTTTCACTGTTCCTACATCATTGAATGCCGGTACAACAAGATCCAATTTAGAATTTCCCGAGGATAAATCTCTGTCCACAGAAGCAACTACTCGATTATTCAATTCATATTCGAAAGAGGCTCTTACCACTCGACCACTGTACCACCTTGTAAACGAGAGAGAATTAATCGAAAGCGAGAGCAGAGTGGAAGTTTCATTTGCATAATCTTTGCTTCCATTAAAACTCAATAAAATACCACTCGATGGAATGAATGCTAGTTGACATTGAGGACCCACAAAATCTGCATTGCATGAACACTGGTCAAAGGCATTACATGTTCCATTTTGGAAATTACAAACACTTGCGTTGTTGGATGGAATTCCGTAACAAGTAGTAGATTCACAATTCGACCCAAAATATTGAGAATCACACTGGCATTTGTCCACTCCATAACAAACTCCTCTACCACTACACACTGTGCTATTCGTTGCCAAAATGTTCGAACATTTGACAATGTCACATTTGGACCCACCATATCCAGCTTTACATTGGCATGTGTCCACATCCACACAAGTTCCATTTCCACTACACACTTGAGAAGAGTTTGCTGATGAAATTCCAAAACATTTGACATATTGGCATTGATTTCCAGCATATTTGTTTGTATCACACAAACATGTATCTTTCAAAATACAGGATCCTCTCGACGAACAGACACTACTAGAATTTCCTAATTGATCAAAACAAATAGGCACGCTACAATCAACACCAGCATACCCAGAATTGCATGAACATGGTCCAGGTGAGGAACAGGTACCGTTCTTGTAGTTACAGACCTCTGGAGCATTTGCGAGAATTCCATTACACATGGCCACGTCACAATAGGGATTGTACCAGCCACTGGAACATGAGCATTGATTCATGGAGATACATTTTCCATGACCGGAACAAACATCCGAAGCATTATAGGCCTTTCCGTTACATTGCCATAACTCACATTGTTGGCCATAGTAACCAGTTTTGCATTGACAGACATCCCAATCGATACATGTACCTATGTTGGAAAATGTCATTGGTTGTAAAAAGAAATGGTGTTAAATAATTTGGAATTCCAATAGCAACACTGTAACACTTACCATTTCCACTACAAGCAGTCGTGTCATTCTTCGTCTTTCCATAACAAATTGGATCCTTTGGTCGACAATCATTGGGTGCAATACAAACTCCACGACTGTTATTACACACTCTGGAGTCATTCGCCAAATACCCAAAACACATAGGCATTTCACAAGTGGAGGGAGGACCATAACCTGAGTTACATTGACAATTATTGAACGCCACGCAATTTCCATTGCCATTACAAACAGTTGAATTATCGGAGGCTATTCCGGCACATGTCGTACTTTCACATTTAGTTCCGTAATATCCCGCATGGCATTTACAAGTGTTTGGTAAAATGCAAGAACCTCTTCCACTGCAAGAGCTCGCGTTGTTAGATGGAATGCCATAACAAATGGGGTATTGACATTGTGTACCGGTGTAGGACGTCGGAATTTTACATTGGCAGGTATTTGGATTGATACAAGTTCCATTGCCAAAATTGCACACCGAGGTCAAATTGGCTAAAGTTCCATAACATTTGGGAATGTCACAAAATTGACCTCCCCAACGAGAAGTATCTGTACATGCACAAACATTTGGAGCGTTACAAGATCCTTGTCCATTGCACACGCCTGTTACGTTTTGTAAGGTACCATTACACTTTGGCAATTGACAATATTGCCCTCCCCAAGAATTAGAATCCGAGCATCGACAGACATTCGGAGCATCACATGTTCCTCTATTGTTGCATACTCCAGCTTGACCTTGTAGAATATTGTTACATTTTGGAAATTGACATTCTGTACCACCCCATTCACTCGGGTTAGTACAAGTGCAATTATTTGGTGAACTGCAATTTCCTCTTCCACTACAAACTTGGGAGGCAAAATTAGCTAAAATTCCATAACATATTGGGAATTCACAAAATGGACCGCCATAGGATGGATTGGTGCATCGACACACATTTGGAGCGTCACAAGATCCTTGTCCATTGCACACTCCTGTTACGTTTTGTAAGGTACCATTACATTTTGGCAATTGACAATATTGCCCTCCCCAAGAATTAGAATCCGAGCATCTACAAATTTCTGGCCCGTCACACGATCCTCTATTGTTGCAAACTCCAGCTTGTCCCTGTGCCGTTCCATTACATTTTGGAATGGTACATTGTGCACCTGTCCAAGATCCCACACATGTACAAGTATTTGGACCAGTGCATGATCCTCCGTTTTGGCACGCAGGAGAACATGTCGGAGTACAAGTTCCGTTAAAAGCACTTCTTGAATATCCTGCTTTACAATTACAAGGTGGGAAGGAATTGATAGCCAAATCTTCATTGGTGTCACAAACTGGATTCAGCTTTTTAATGTAATATCCTTCTGCAAAGTAAATGGTTCCATTTTCTGTGACAACAATTCCTTTTGGATTGATATTCACAGAGGTTGCAGAAGAGGTTGAAGTGTCGACACCTGTGCCAGGTGAAACTCCTGTTCCAGCAATTGTGGCAAGCACATTGTTGGTGGTATCAATCACTTTGACAGTGTATGCATTGGAAATGAAAAGCTGATAAGTAAAATAGTAAGTATTCAAAAAAAGGGTGGATGATATTGCAATAATAAGGAAGCGTGCACAACAAAACTTACATAATTATTAAGATTGGATAAAAAAGCAGGAAGAACACCAAAGGAAGAAGAAAGTGTAGTAATTGTTGCTGAACCTGGATTGCTTACTGGTGAAAACACTCTCAACTTGTAAGGCTCCATAAAGTAGAGCTTATATTCAAAGACAAATGAGATGCATCATGAGCAGCAACAACAAATCCAACTTACCTTATCATTATAATACTGAACATCCTGTACTGCAGTTCCAGGTACATTCACGCTTGCAACTCCAATTGCTCCATCCACACTGGTAGTTGTACTTGTTCCAGAAAAAAGAGTCACCGAGTTGGTAGGCGTTTTTCTAGTGACACCAAAAACCACACTACCTGAATTTTCTGTGATAAAGTAGGTTCGGTCGTACTCAATCAAGGCTGGGTCTGATCCTAGTTGGATATCAGAAATCTTTAATGCACAAAGCCCTGTTCCAGTATTACCATAGTTTGATCCTGTTCCAGAACTTCCACTGGTTCCATCCCATAGATAATAAGAAATTGGAGATGCTGTGTTTCCAAGAGGAGCAAAATAGCCCAAATCGAAATCAGACGGAGCCGATCCGTTGGTCGTTGATGCTTCAGTTACTAAATCAATGTCAAAACCCAAGGCAGCACCAAACAACTCGGAGATGGTCGTGCCAGATAGTTTGTAGATCTTTCTCTTGGAACCACCTGCAATATAAATCTGTTGAGTTTTAGGTCCAAAGGTAATCGATCCAAAAGCTGGATTTCCAGACGAATAGCTGGCTACGACTTGTTGTTGATAGGACCATGCAGAGATAGAGGTTGTGTGAAAAAGAAGTGTCAATAAAAGGACGCTGAGTAACGCTACATGATGAAGGTGGGGTATCATGAGTGTAGCGTTGATACTGCCAGCTTGAGAAGATGAGCTTTTTACCATCCTAAACGATTCGCACGTGTGATTCGTTATGAGATTAGGGTGCGTTCAATAATATTAACAATGAGAAATAGGAAGAACCTCTCAGAGATTTGGTTTCTGTGAGCAGAAGGAACGAATCACTGTGTTGTTGTGCTGTGTTGAAAGAGCAATGGGGATATGATTCGACTCTTACTCGTGTTTTTTTGATAATGATATTTAACGGACATGTCACGCAACCCTTCGAGTTTTGGACACTGCATTTCAGTCATCCATCTGAAATTCGCAGTGCTGTCAGTGAAAATGCGACGTTTAAGATGGATTTTGCCGCCATGGTGAAACAGTTGATTGGATGTTTGGAACTGCTCATAAAACAATCATTCTGTTTTCGCAAGAGTTCTATGTGCTGTCTTGTATAAAATTTTCTCATTGAATGTCTTTTAATAATCAAATTCCAGTACGAATAATTAAAGTGTCATGTAGAGTGGATTTTCAATAAGTGTCTTGAATTCTTGCAACCACTGAGCTCCAACAGCTCCATCAACAACACGGTGATCACAGCTCAAAGTAACCTTCATGGTTGTCACAACCTTAAACTTGTCTTCTGGTGAGGTTGGATGGTCATTGACAACAACCTTTCTTTGAGATTTACCAACTGCCAAAATACATGCTTGAGGTGGATTGATGATTGCTGAAAATTCATCAATACCAAACATTCCAAGGTTTGAAATAGTGAATGTACCTCCTTGGAATTCTTGTGGCTTGAGCTTATTCTCTCTAGCCTTTGCAGCAAGTCCCTTAATTTCATTTGAAATTTGTGCAAGTCCTTTGGATTCAGCAGAGAAAACAATTGGAGTGATTAAACCATTATCAGTTTGAACAGCCACGGAAACGTCAACATTGTTGTATTGACGAATGAAAGTGTCATTCCATGAGCTATTCACTTCTGGTGACTTCTTCATTGCGAGAGCGGCAGCCTTAACAAGCATGTCGTTGACAGATAATTTGAAACCTCTCTTTTCGCCAGCCTTATTCAATTCTTCTCTGGCCTTCATCAACTTGTCAACCTCAATTTCAACAGTCAAATAATAGTGAGGAATATTTCTCTTTGACTCGGTCAATCGTTCAGCAATAACCTTACGAATAGTAGATACTGGAATATCGACATAAGATGCTGTTGTTGGAACTCCAGCTTGCATGACTTGTGGTTGGGCAACTGCAGCTGCAACCTTTGGCTGTTCTTGAACAGCTGGTTTACGCATGAGGAATTCCTCAACGTCAGCTCTAATAATTCTGCCCGAGTCTCCGCTTCCTGATCCAATTTCTCTCAAATCAACTCCTTTTTCACCTGCAATCTTCTTAGCCAAGGGAGAGGCAAAGATACGACCTCCAGTGGCTTGTTGTTGAGTGGTTGTTGGTTGAGCTTGTTGTTGTGGTTGTTGAACTTGTTGAGGGACTTGTTGTGGTTGAGCTTGTTGTGGTGTTGAAGGAGTAGTAGCAGCTCCAGAAGCACTTGGTGTATAGGCAGCACCTGCAGCCAAATCTTCCTTCTTATCAACAAGAATGGCAATAACTTCTCCGAGAGATGTTTCAGTACCTTGTGGGGCAACAATCTTTGCCAAATAACCCTCTTCTTGGAATTCAAAATCAACTGTGGCCTTATCAGTTTCAACAGTACAAATGATGTCTCCTGGAGAAATCTTGTCACCAACTTGTTTCACCCATGATCCAATTCGTCCCTTTGTCATGGTTGGTGAAAGCATTGGCATTGAAATTTCATGAACACCTTTTGGCTTTTGAGAAGATGCTGTTGAAGCAGGTGTAGATGGAGTCGAAGGGGGTGTTGATGGAGTGGATGGTGGTGTTGTTGGTTGTGCTGTTGAAGGAGCACCAGTAGAGGCTCCCAAATCAGCTAATGTGATGTTTTGAACAGAGGAAATCTTTGAGGCATCATCAACAAGAATACCGATTGGGCTTCCGAGAGCAACATCCTTAGAACCATTTGGAGTTAAAATTTTGGCCAAATATCCTTCTTCTGGGAATTCAAATTCCAAAGTTGACTTGTCTGTTTGAACTTCAACTAAAAGATCTCCCGCACTAATCTTGTCACCTTCGTTTTTCAACCATTTACCAATGTTACCAGTGGACATGGTAGGACTGAGCGCAGGCATATTAATGACAGAAGCTGTTCAGTGATATTCAATAGAATTCGAACCACAACAAATCATAAGCAATATTGTTGTTTTGATTACCAAACCAGGTTGATGAGCCAAGAACAATAATCCATATCGAATGAAATAATATCAGTAAAAGCAGTAAGTGATGTCCGATTCGTTCATTCATCATCAATCCATAGGAAGCATAATGGACATCATTTTGCACAACATCCAAACATTCCAAATCCATCATCATCATTTTCATCACCGTGAAAATTAATCATTGTCATACAATTCATTGGAGAATGACTAGATTGCAATCTACTTACCTCCCTTTGGAAGAGTAGCATATCCTCTCACTTGTTGCTCCAAGTTGTAATTCATGATCATCATGGATTGATTCATCTTCATTGCGAATTGATTGGTAGCAATGAAATTCATTCTCTTCAAATTGCTAGAACGGCTATAATTTCTCTTTGCAGAAAACCCCATACTACCCGATGACATGTAAGCCAAGGAGGCATTTGATGATAGTACCTTCTTGTTGATGAAAGCCTTCTCAATCAATTTGAGAGCGGAACGTTTGTTTTGAGAGGACAGCATTTTTTAAAATCAATTTTTGAAGAATCATTGCCGCAACGATGGACCATACGAACACACTCAAACGCTTCCACATGAGTGATGTGCAAGATACAATCATCAACACAAAGTATTATGAAAAGAAAGAAGGTACATTAATGTATTGAGTTGTTGGTTTTCTAAAATTGTATGTACAGGCCGCAATCTTTAAATGAAATAATTTCCATATGAGGATAGATTAACAAAGTGGAGTTGCTTTAATCTTGAGGTTGCTTGGGGTGACAGTCACACCCACGACCTCACCGACCAAATGAGCGTCTTCAATGTCAAACTCATAGTTTTGTAACAATCGGCTTAGAATCATGCAAATTTCCTGAGCGTTAGTAATGTGAAATTCAGAAAAATTAGAGAGCAATCAAATGAGCTTAAACTTACCATCTCAGCAAACTACCATTTACAATGTTTCAAAAAATAAGATGTAAATAAACAAAATGAGCCATTTGAACCACTCTAAATAACATACCCTATATCCAATGCATTTTCTATACATGAATATAAGTTGCAACCAATAATTGTCAAAATGAAAAAACCTTAATTTTGTTTACAACGTACCTATTTCCAGCAGAGAAAGGTATCCATGAAAAGTCGTGCTTTGCTCTCGATTTGTCTTCTTCTTTCACAAATCTCTCTGGATTAAATGTATAAGGATTTTCCCAATATCGAGGATCAGTGTGAACACCTCCAATGAAGACGTCAATTTCTATTGTGTTGAAATACAGTACGTTCAATTATTACATCCATAACATTCAAATTTACAAATATACATCACTGAATGACCATCGTTCTACCACTACCAATACTTACCTGTACCTTTTGGAATTAAGAATTTTCCAAGAGTGGTCTCTTTTTTACACACTTGTTTGACTACAGATGTAATGGGAGGGTGTAGTCTAAGAGTTTCCATAATCACTGCATTGAGGTAGTGGAATTTTTGATAGTCGTCAAATGATGGCTTTCTTTCAGAGCCAAGTATGCTCAACACCTCCTCACGAGCCCTCTCTTGGATGTCTTTATGCTTGGATAGTTCAAAGAGAGCCCATTGACAAGTGGCACTACTTGTATGATATCCAGCAATCGACAAAACGAAAGCATTACTTATAAGCATCTCATCAGTAAGAATCTTATCTTGGGTGTTGGCTTTCACAAGTAAGCTTAGCACATCGCGTCTCTCAAATGAATCTCCACTCTTTTCGAGTTCTTGTTTTCTTTGATCAATACATCTTTGGAGGACAACTCTTGTCTTCTCTTGAGCTGCTTTCACACCAGTGATTTTGGCCAGCAGTGGATACAAGAATGGAATATTTTGTAAAATATATCTTCTCAAAATGAGACCATCAAGAGTTAAATGTTCTAAGGCTTTCGAAAACTCTCTTCCTTCTTCGTTTTCATCAAAGGCACCAAATGATAATCCAAATGCTGCCTCGCCCAATACGTTCAAAGTCAAATTGGAAAAATCTAAACTAGGATTAATATAGACACTTTTGCGAGTGGCGTCAATAATGGGTGCCTTTCTCCATCTCGTATTTAACAGAGTATCAGTGGAAGTGACCGCTTCATCACAAACCAAGCGTAAATTATCGTCAGAAAATGCAGCATAGCAAGCACGATGGTGAATCCTCCATCTTTCAGTGGTCAATGCAGTTAATAAATTCTCTCCAAAGATATTAATCATTTCATATTCGAAATCTGGCTTGTCAAAGCAGTGTGCTTTGGAAATAAACATTTCTTTAAGCATGTTTTTGTCACTCAATACCAAGCAATTGTAAAACACGAGAGAAACTCTCATTGCTTTTGTTTCCTTGTCACCTCGCTCTTGCATTAACTTGGATACTCCTTTCCAGTCTGCAAGATTGTATTCAGGAGCAAGAAGTGGAACTCGAAAAGGAAAATACATTACTTGACAAAATCCGGGAACATGAGATAATTTCGAATAATTTCTATATAATTTAACCAATAGCTTGAAAAGATATAAGAGAAGGGCAATGCCAAGAACCAACACTATGGTTGGCCATAAATCGTTAATTTGATCCAAAACAATTTGAATCATGATGATGGTCAATGATCGGTTTTTGATTTGTCTCTTGAAATATTTGCAACAGTTGGTTCGTATCGATGACTATCAATTATTATATAATAGGCTTGAGGATGCTTTTTTGCTCTCTTCTCATGAACCGAATTTATCTCGTTTTAACAGGTTTCTCAGCAACACCTCAGCCACGAGGACAGCCTTGAAAGACCTTTGTATTTCCATCTACGCGGAGGTCCAAGTCCGAGCACATCCTATTGAAATACGTTCCCAGCTCTTGGAAATAAAAGATGTCGATAAGATCATCACAATGGTGGTTACTTTCTTCACCCTATGTGTCGATTTTTCTTTATAAACTCATCAATAAAATTGATCATCTCTTGGAAGTGAAATTTTATGTTACTAGTGGTAGCCGTTCAAGCCATGTGAAAGGTTAATATAAACGTTGTGAAAGGTTGAAAGCCTTTGTATTCCTTTTGTATTCCAACAACCACAACTGAGATTGAAATCCAAAATATTAAAAAAATAGCCCAACAATAACTATACAACAATACAGCCATCATGGAGAGCATTACCTCTGAAACTTTGAGCCAGATGTTGAAATCGGCTCCTTCCGATCATTCAGCTGAAAAGAAGAATGGACATGGCAAAAAGAAACAACAAGCAAAGAAACAAGAGAATGGATCGTCATCCAAAAAGCAATCGAGAGAGGGTATGTAATCTTTCATCATCACGGTGATGTGAATATTTAATCAAATATGCGGACTTTTAAACTTGTTATTTTTCGGCATCATCTTGATGACGATTTGAATAATCAATGATCATCAACACATTGTTAACATTTATTAACATTCAAATGACCTTTCAATCTTTTTATAACAACAATTCTAACTAGAAAAATCAACACAAAAGAAGTCATTTAAAAGCGATAGAAAGGACAAGAGATCGGATCAAAACAAGTCCAACAAGAAAAACAAAAATCCAGCTCCTGAAGATCTTGTTTTTTCAATTACTGTTCCTAAAGGCAACAATAGAAACAATACCTCATCAAAGAGCAACGATAGAACCTCATTCAATTACAAACAAAACAAAATACAGAAAAATGCAAAGAAAACTTCAAAATCAACAAGAAATTATTCTTCGGACGAGGATGCTGATAAAAAGCGATCTTCAAAGAGAGAATCTGACAATTCAAATGAAATATTGAATGTTGTGAGACAAGCAGTACAGGAAGCATTGTCACAACAGAAACAGCAACAGGCTTCACAAAATACTCCAGCGTACACTGCTCTCTCAATACCTATTACTGGAAATCCTAATGGATATCTTCCTGCATATGCAGGAAACAATCCAATAACCTTAGTATTACCACAACAGCCTCAAGCATCATCCCAACAAGTGTATACCGAGAAACCTGAAAGAAGTTCCAAGTCATCCTCTACTAAGAGAAGATCTGACCGTGACAACAGCGACAGAGATGATTATTCTAGCGATGACAACGCCCGCAGAAGAGAAAGAGGCAACGGCAGAAATGGAAGTGCCAATGGAAAGAGCCGATTCAACAAGACTCCATACAGCAGAGACAATGACAGAAATGTTGGCAATAGAAGTCGTCAACAAAGCAATAAGAATTCTAAATTCGATGATCTTATCATCAGTACTGACAGAGGAGAACGGGTGGTGAAAAAGTCAAACACTAATAGACGTAGATAATTCTCGCTAGACACATCAGAAATCTAGGACTTGATTCACAATTGGATCTCAGTATATTTAATATTCTAAAATAAATAGTTAATAATAATATATTATTATTACCTCAATGTTAGATATTAGGGCACGATGAGCAGATGCAATTTGATCTGATACGGCCGTTAAAAGTGACTTCTAGATTCAATTTTAATTCCATTCTCTTCGCAAGATTGTAGAATAGTCTCGATTTGTCTCGCATTCATTGTTCTTGTTGATTTTCCAAACCATGTTTTGAATGTGACTTCGTGTTTGCAAGGAAATGTTTCGTAACACATCCACCCACACACTTGTGACTGTGATGGGAAGCGGAGAGAATATGAGGAGCAACCGTTTCAATCCAACACAGGAGTTTACTTGTGGTGACGGTGATGAGCGTTCAGACACTTTTTCAACCAAGTTTTCAATCAATAACAAAATTACTCTATTTGTATCGTTTCCTCAATACTATTTGGAAACCACCTTTTCGACAGCAATAATGGTGATTTTTAAAAGAAACAGTCCTAAACAATAGCGTTTGATTTTTGAATTTCATAAACTTTGAACCAATCTGAGAATTCCTTAGTTTCAATGAGTCGGCTGTGAGTGTCCAACATGTTCACAAAAATATCTGCCCAGAGAATTGAATGAAGATCTTGAATTGTTGGTGATGAAGAGCTGTCATAATGCTTGTTGTTCCCTTCAGGGAATGACTTGTCCATTGTCTTACAGCTCTGTTGTTGCATTGCTATAGATGTGCTGTTCAATCGTACAGCATCCAGTAATTTGTAAAACGATTTTTTAGAGGAAGATGAAATGTTCAATTCGAATGCAGAATTATTCTTGATGAACTCATTCTCAATTTCATGCATAATTTCAAATGTCAAAAATTGGTGCTTTCCCTTTTCAGCGAGTTGCTGCATCTTTTTGTAAAATAAATAATTTTCAATGGACATTTCTTTGGTAGAGTATTCTTTGAAAAGATCTTCAAATTCTCTATTACCGAGAAATGCATATAGTTCAGACTCCTCTTCATTAGGATTATTGACATTATTGATATTTGTTGCATGTTTCTGTTTTCTGATTCGTCTTCTAATTTTTGTAAAACTTTCCATGATTAAGATATTTCCACCACAAATTAAGGCAATAAAACAATGCATGAAAAATCGAAACATATTTCCCAAGTGAAATGAAACTGAAAAAGGAGATGTTGAATTGGAAATAACGAGCGCTATAATCAATAATAAAATAAACGATATGAATAAAAGATCAAGTCTCACCATAAGCGGATCGTTAAAAAATAGGAAATGTCGAAGCCCTTTTTCTTTCAATATTTTCCTGTTGAATAGGGTGTCGACAGCAACAGCAATCAATCCAATTATTGTTGATAGTAATACATAGGATGCAAAGGTAATATTGTAAATACTTGAAAGAGTCACGTCAAAAAATACAGCAATGCAATGAAGTGTTAACACAATAGAGAGAACAAAAGACGCGGCTACAATAAGCACAATTCCCGTCTTGAAAGAAACACAGAAACTGTGCAACAAAACTCTCTTTTTCCCCTTTGCAATTAATCCATATAGATTTCTCAGGTAGAAATATCTCAAAATTGTTAAACTGTAGACACATATGCAGAATACGATTAGTATTACACCAATGTAGGAAGTACCAAGGAAGCATTGTGAGGTTATGGAAGACAAAATCACTTCATATACAATGAATAAAAGTGGTAAATAAGGAATAACTAGACGTCTTTTGATCGATGGTAATCGAAATGCCCTCATTGAAAATAGCATGATCAAATAGAGCAAGTAAACCAATATTATTGGAATGATCCAATAGTCATGGCTCGCAAAGAACGAATATTCAAATGGCGTGCTATTCAAGTACGATGTGAATAATTGGTTTAAGCTAAAATGAGCCTCAATAGAAATATTGAACCTGTGTTGAGTATTTAGCATCATGGAATTAAACCATTCATAATCAACGTGGACGTCCGTAATATTTGAAAACAAAAATCTCATAAAATTAACATCCTCCTCTGTGATGTTTCCAAATTTAAAGTATCTTGATAGTAAAACACGATTGAGAAGAAGGTGCTTGCTACCTGCGAGTGTAAACAAGGGATGTAATTGGGTTTTAGATGTGACAATCTCAAGGGGAGCCAGCTTCATTGGCACAAAATCAGATGGATTCATGATATTTGCATCAGAGTAGTACGTTGTCGATGGTTTTCTTTTTTCAATAGTATTTCTATACAAATTCACAAACAAGAAAGATTGTAATGAGTCCATAATAATAATGTCATGGTCCACAAACAATTGTCTCTGTGTACAGAGGTCGCTCGAGAAGTGAAGTAAGTTAAATGATATTGATGCAGAATCGATATTATGAAATTCAAGTGTGGAGAGAAACAATGGAGCATACTCAGCATCAATACCAATCGAAAGTTGTTGTGTGTTCTGATTTGACATGGAAACTTCTCTCAGCCATTCTAATAAATCTCTTGTTGCTGAAATGTTGAATGAATGGCTCACATCTCTCCAAACAAATGCTGTTAAATAATTACCAACAAGGAATAACGTCGTATTATAAGAAGGCCTTTCTCTTGAAATTAGAAAGAAAGTACTCGGTGGCTGCACTTCTTGAACAGGCTCTTTCAAAATAACATCTATATAATTCTCTTCATCCATTTGCTTCATGAATATGGATGATGAGGTAGACGGTTCCTCTTCGTTGTGTACTTTTCTTGGCATGGGACTCATGGATGCATTCACTAGCACTACTATCATCATCATCATGGTAGATATCTTTACCACCCACCACGCTCTCCACGAGATTGCATTATGAGCAGCAAAATTTGTAGCACGAGTCATGTGGTTGGTGTTGAGTATTTCGTTTTCGAGCGAGTAGAAACAGTTATAATATTTGCCCGTTCCATAGTGTTCCCAAATATTAAGGTTTCCGCCCTCCGGTCTGACCACAACTTTGGATCGTCCATCAATTTTCATTCGTTTGTATTCGACTTCGGAATTGAAACACCAACCACAAGAACGAGAAGCTTTTCAAAATTGTATCTCAGAGAACCAACAGATGGCCATTTAAAGAAGGTGGTAGAAAGTATATACTTCAAGGCTCCGTAACAATGTTTGCCCCACATTCATCACGTGTAAATTGTTGCATCGTTGCACGAGCAATTTTTTCAGCGTTTTACAGTATGAAGAAACCCCAACAACATTCCTTGTTAAAAGCTTCAAAATTTAATGTAATTCTTTCAACACTCTCCATTCATTCCAGTACATTCAAATCCCTCTTCCCTTTCTCTCAATAGGTTCATTCTCTAGAGAATTGATGTTGTTGTTGATGGCAGACTTTCACAATTTGTGTAACGGAAATTCAAAAAAAACAAAACCACTCTAGAGAGAGGACTTTGCGCTCAACAAGAAGAACACTTTCTCATACATCTTATCCACACACACACCATGGTCGATCCAAAGGAACCAGTCGAAGAAGGCACAGCTCCAGCAGCCGAGGAAGAAGAAACAACAACCAAGAAGGGAACCAAGAGAACCAAAGCAGAGGCTGAAGAAGAAGAAGCCGTTCCAGAAGAAGAGGAAGAAGAGGAAGAGGAACCAGAAGATGAAGATGATGAAGAATATGTCGATGAGGAACAAGACGAGGATGAAGATGAGGACGAAGATGAGGATGAAGATGAGGAAGAGGAAGAAGAGGAAGATAGAAAGAGGTCTTCAAAGAAATCTAAGAAGTAAATTCGAGAAATATTCATAATAATAATAATAATATTTATATAATCGAATTTATATTTGATTATATCCTAAAGGTTTCATCCTCTAAATATTGACAAGACAACAACAACAACACTCTCGTATAAATTATAATGATGTATTAAGAAGAGAATTTTGTATAAACTCTCTTGCTAAGCTTATTTAAATATTATTATTATTTGTTGAATGTCGAATCATCATCCACATGGATAACGACGATGGTTCGAAGTGTGTATGTTCTGGTTCCTTTCGAGTCATCATTCGTGATGAAGAGCCTTGAATACTTGTTCGATAGAAGCTTCGATCATTCAACTCATCACCTGCAGCAAAAGCAACGCCTTGTCATCATGTTCGATCGAAACGGTAAGTGTTGTTGTGCAATACTTCGAAATACTCTCTCAACTGTCATTCGAAATTTCGCGTTTTCACAACTAAAAAATACAAACAAGAGAGAGAACCTCAATTTTGCCATGTCCAACAAATTCACTGCAACATTCAAGAAGTTGTGGGATTCTCCTATTGGTACGTGATGATGATCCAAGGATGATGTAGAAATTACATGTTTTTATCCACAAAAAATTGACCGATTTGGAAATTTATGAAAAAAAATAATGAAACTCAACAATAATTCATCATTAATTAATTAACATTTTTATGGAAACATGTACAAAATTAGGATTGAAGACCACTCACTTTTGGGGACCAGTGGGTATGTTTGACAATCATTGTGGTGTGATTTATTCAACATTTTTTATTTGAAACAATCTTCAAAATTTCACAATGTGAATACTTGACATCAATACTCACCTTGCGTGACACGATCATGCATTCCGATTTTATCATGACACACTCAACCATTTCAACATTTACAATTCAAATGATACATTTCACAAATTTCACAATTCAATTTACAAATTTCAGCCAACTGGGGAATTGCTTTGGCTGGCTTGGCAGATTACAAACGTCCTCCAGAAAAAGTTTCCGGACCAATGACAGTTGCTTTGTGTGCATATAGTGCAGTTTTTATGAGATTTGCATGGATGGTTAAACCACGTAATATGCTTTTATTATACTGTCACGTTGTCAATGAAAGTGTTCAATTGTATCACTTGTCAAGAAAGATTCATTACGAATTTACAAAACCAAAAATTGATCTTCCACCAACTCAAAATTAAAATTCTTGAAAAGAATAGGAATATCAACAGCACAAATGCATTTGTAATTGTCAAATTTTCCTAATCCTTTATAATAAATTCTTTGAGGTTCCATTAAGAGCTAATTCCATTTCTTTAAATAATATTTTGATTCGTCATCTTTTTTTGGATTTCATCATCATTGAGCATTATTTCGTATTTCCTTATCAGGAATGTGGTATTTGAGAGCGATGCTCGTACAACGAGCGATGATATTTCGCACATTCAGATCTTTTGGCTAAATTCTCAACACCATTTTGTTGGTTATAAAAAATATCCTCAACTGCCAGTTGTCAGAACCATCCACCGGTACATCTACTGTAAAACAGTCTCAAAAGGTTTGTCGCTGCTTTGCTAACCACACAATTCTTATTTATTACCATTTCTTTCCCAATCAAAATGTCAAAAGTCCAGTCCCAATTAGTATTTTTCAAAACGTCAGACACGCACCTTTCAATTCGGAGACAAAAAAATTGAACCATGCACCCAACCCACCCTCTTCTCTTTCACAATTCTTTCATTCCCTTTCCAACACACTCTTTCTACAACAACAAAATTCTTCCCTCTCCAACACAACCACAAACATCAATGACACTTGTCATCCAACATTATTTCAACTCGGTTCATGGAGTCGAGAAACCAATCCCAAACTCGAATACGGTCTCTGCCCCGATTCAATCATCACTCCAATTTTCGCTGGTGTCTTTTTATTGTTCTATCTATTGGTTGTGGTATTTTCTTTTTTTGGAATTATTTGGAAACGAAAGAATGGACACATTGAATTTCGTCATCCAGTGTATTTAGTCATGACTTTGATTGCATCCATGATTTTAGTGGTTGGATTGTCGTTACGTTTTCTGATTGGAAGGAAAATATTTCCGTGTGGAATTTACACCTTGTTGTTTTTTGTGTTGCCAGGAATTATCATGTTACCGACTGCATTTCGATGTATGAGATTGTTTTTTATGTAAGTTGTGAATGAATTTCATAGATGTGAACCTGTGCCAATGATAATGGACAAATTTGGAAAATTGTAAAATGTGAAATTTGATCTATTCCATCCTTTCAAATGATTGAAAAATTGAATACAATCTATTCATTACCACACACAGGTATCGACTCAATTTACAAAAAACAAACATTTTCGAAAGAGCTCTCGTAGCCCAGTCACATGCCAAAATTTCCAACGCCATCTCTTCCATCATTCCCGATGAAGTTCAAAAATTAGAAAATGATACACTCGCCACTCCAAGAAATTCATCTCGAACCAATTCAACAGCTCATTTCATTGTAGATACTTCTCGAAAATCTTCAACGAGTCATTTAATCATTCAAATGGATCAATCCTTTCATCATGAACAATCATTGGAAACAAAAACACCTCGTGAAAATACACCAAAAGAGGAAACTGTCAAAAATCCTTCTGTGAACGCATCTCAAGAGGATGCTTCCGATTCGTTCAATGAACCATCCAATTCTCTCGATCGAAAATGTATTGAATCTCCTCCAACGAATACAGAATTTTCTGCTGGACTAAAATATGATGAATATGTCAGTACAGAAGTCACGGAAGAAACCACTGCTGACATGATGACAGACGGAAGAACCACTTGGAATGGAGATCATTTTCGTGACATTTTAGAACTAAAATCAGAAATTAACAAATTCAAATTTTACAAATTCATGTTAAGCTACAAGGTTCTCATCATTACTTACCTTACCGTCTTGTTCATTCAAATGGCCATGTGGTTAATTTTGGGAGGAGTCGAAGAAGCTGTCTACACTTCTGGTTCGACCACTCCAGGAACAAAACGAATTTTTTTATTGGAAGGAGGAATGCTAGTGTTTGAGCGAGGATGTTCCATGTCCACAACTATGGTGTTGATTATTGCAGGAGAATCTGTGTTTTACATGATTTTTGAAATTGTAGCATTTGTATTGTGTGTGAAATCGGATCGAGATACTTGGGCTATTAAGAAGGAAGCATTAAGCTTGATTATTTTTCAAGTCTTGTTTGTGATTGCATTTGTTGTGGCTGGATTGTTGGATATTGTGGTGGTCTTGACAGATTATTTTGTACCATATGGATACACGTTGATGTTTTATTCATTTTTGGAAGTCATTGTCACAGTGACATGTCCAGTTGTGTATGCAATTGTGAGAGATTATAGAGAGATGAGACGTTCCAAGTATCAGAAAGAAACCGAATTGGAATCGATTTTGAAGAATAAGAAATTGTTTGAGAGACTTTTGGACTATTCTCGTAGAAGTTTTGCTCCTGAGAGCGTGTTGTGTTATCGTGACATTCAACATTTCAAAAAGTCGAAAAGCAATCAGAAAAGAAAGGCTGCTCAATTTATTGTCAACACTTATTTGCAACAAGGTTCACCTCTTGAACTGAATATTGACAATGTGAATGAACGAGGAGAAGACTATACAAGAAAAATCGCTGAATTTACTGAAGATGCTAAAATTCCAAAGACCTTGTTTGATGAGTTGGAAATGGCTTGCTTGGTCGACATGAGAGATGTGTTCACAAGAGCTCAAGTCGATGACAAGGAAATATTCAACGCAGTCCAACAATGGAAAAAGGCTCAAGCAAACATCAAACTAGAGGAAGTCAAAAGGTGAATTCAATAACTGTACACTTCTGACCAAATCAGCTACCACGATGAATAGGTGATTTGAAAGGAAACTGTATAGAATGAGGAGTTTATTACTTATTTACGATCAAACTGATCTTCTCATTACTGCTCTCCTCTTCAGCAGTCATATGCTCCATTTCTACATGAACAGTTGAGTCATGAACCACTTGATTGACAGACATAATGTTTGTGGTAAGAATGGATTGCTCAGAGCTTTCAATGGCAACAATTTCACTTTCTTTTGACAAGGAACAGCCAACACGGGGCAGCAAAGGCCACAACAGCATGGAGAAGGCAGAGTAGAGTTGTGTGAAAATTGTAAATATGATCCAATACCAAAACATATCAATTTCTGAAAATAGAGGTGTAAAACTCATGTACAATACTCCCAATACAAGCGCGACAATCCACAGCAAGATGGCAACTGCAAACATGAGATTGTTGTACCACTTTCTCACAACGAAAAACATTGGAGCTAGATAGATTAACCTTAATAAATGCAAGCCCAACATTGAAACAAAGGAAACTCCCCATACAGCATCTCCAAAGAGCTGGAATTTCACGTATCCGACACATGTCTCAATAACCACAATCACTACATTGGAAATAAAGAAAATGGGTCCGTAAAATGCCACAAATCGTGCAACATTTGTGTTCGAGGTTAAGGTACTCCTGAAACTCAAACTGAGAACAATCAATGATAGCAACATCAAAGTATAGGCCGTTACAGAAGATGCCAAAATTGGTGTTTCTGTTGTTTGGTCAAACATTGGAAGAAAGACAATGCATGCAGCCGTTTGGACAATCTTGAATAATGAAACAGCAACCCTTAAATATTTGCTTGTTTGAACCTTTGTCCTAAATATCATGAGACCAATAGTGGCACAAACAGAGAACACTGTAAACGCGTACAATGTGTAATGAGGAGCCAAATGCATTGCTGTCATGTCATTACTAATCCATCCTGTTCCTAAATACTGAACAGCGTTCTTACATGAGGCAATTAGGGCTCTTGTATTGAACGACCATGCAGCTGTGTCGGTGGTTACTTTATCTAACATTGCAGCACCAAGGAAGTTTGTTTGACCAACATCTAGATAACCGAAAAGAACAAACAGGACAGATCCAACAATTATTGATATTGAGTACCATGCATACACTAATTGTTCAATGGTCGTGGGGTAATTGGAATATTGAACATTAATATTAGGCAACGTTAGAGTGGTTGAATTGGTCTGTACATTACAGCTGAATGGCTGCAAAGTTTGAACGTTGATAATGACAGCACTCAGACATGTGTCATACAGCGGTTGGCTCAGATATCCATTACTTCCAAACACATGAATATCCTCCCAAAATTGAGAAGAGCATTGGATTTTAGGAAGCAAGCATTCGTCTTTCAATGATCTCGTATTTGAAATAGCTCTGCTACTGGCGTCGTAATCAAATGAAGACTTGAGGAAGCGTACAGATGATGCCGTTGGTAAGGTAAGGGTCGCCTTAGTGTTGTCCAATATCTGAATGTTAGGTAAGAAACTAGAGATCCGTACGTCTGAGCTAATTTGAATATCATAGTTTTGGTTCGCAAACAAGACATTCAACGAAACACGATCAGAATTCGTCCAAGATATGTCAATAAATTGCTGCATGTCGTTCTTCTGTTGAGCCACCAACTGTGTAGATGAAATAAATGTTGTAATATATTGAGAGCTGTTGAAAGCATGCATGGTCGAGTTTGAAAGAGAGATGTTCAAGTTTAAAGGAGCAGTTCCATTCTTAAAAGTAATAAATGGAGTAATAGAGGGATTGCAGACCACACCCTTGTGAAGTTTAGATTGGTTCCAACTTAGCAGTGTGTTTGAGCTGTTATAACAATTGAACATAAAGGATGTTTGATAGGTTGGTGAGACAACATTAGAATCGTCTCTGGATACAACGATACGGCTATTCTTAACAAATGAGTTAAAGATAGAAATGCTCATTCCTTGACTGAAATACAGATCGAATAGATCGTCAACTATTAAATTGGTAGAGTTGAAAGAAATATAATTCCACTTCGAACTATCGTCAAAGAGAGAAATGTGACCTTTCCCACAACTACTTCTTTAACATTCACGTTCGAGTTGAGGTTTCGTAAAATTGTATCTTCCACCGATTGTATTCTCAGCTTATGCGTATCAAGAAGGAAGAGGGAGCATTGAGACAGTGAAGGATATGATATGGAGTATTTTTTCAATGCATCCTGGAACCATGGTGACATGACAGTTGCATGATTTCTGTTCACTCTCAAAATACAGCCAGAATTATATTCAAGCGATGTCAAATTAGTGTTCACTGTTGTCTCTACGTTCTTTCCAGTGACTAATATTAGGTAGTCATGATTGAGGAGGTTGTCATCCACGTCCACAATTGTGTTAGATGTAATCATGTTGTTTACAACAGTTTCCATGTCCATGTAGCTTATTTTCTCAGAATTAAATATAAATTCAGCATTGCCAGGAACACCATTAAGAATGGTAGAGACATGACTCAACATGTTAAACGCAAGTCTATCTGGAGAGCACGAAATAACCATTTGTCCAATGTTTATGAGACCAGGCCAACTTGAGCCGTTCATGGCCACCTCAAGAACACCTTGAACTTCTGATTGCTCTATAATTTGCAACAATGTATCGCTTCCTTTTGATGACTGAATAGTGAACATGTAATTTTCGTCGAACGGCTGATTTTGGAATGTGATGGACGTTGTCTTTTTACCATTAATGTCAAGTAGGGAATTCATTGGGTGATTATACCAAACAATGTCTAATAGGGTGACAGAGCCCTTGTCATAAACTTTGAGAGAATCTCGTTCAAACACAACCTGTAAATCACTACTTGGTAGTTGAGGATCATTCGTAAGGTGAGTTCCCAATGATTGAACATTATTAAGAATGTAAATGTTTGGTAGCACAAAATTGCTAGAGGGGTTAATATAAATGAGATGCTGAGCAGTGTTCCACTCTACCACTGCAAACTGGTTGGATGAAAAATGGTTGAAGTGTATTTGAAGTGGAAATTGGTTATTGGAATCACCAACAAATGTAAGCATACTCGATTCAGAGAAGGATGAGTTGATGAAGGTATGAGTATTCATAAGAGTTACTTCGTATCGACTGTCAACAGAAAGCGTATTGTTTGTGAGTGTCACGTCTGACCATGGTGCTTTGTAGTCAACAAGGGTCAAGACAGAATTTCTAACAATGATCGACTTCAATAGTTGGTCAAAGTTGATTGCTTGTAAGTTTGGTGTTGAAATGTCAAGCAAGTCAATGATATTTGTATACATAGAACACTTGAATGCAAGTGGAGAGATTGTAAATTCTTCCAAAATTGCAGCAAGCCATTCGGATGGTACGTTGTTGACCGAAAGATCTGCAGGTTTAAGACAACCGGAGTTCAGCACCATGCTAGTGGAAGTTTGAACCGCTATTGTAGAATGTATTCCGGTGACCACCAACGTTTTTGAAAAGCTGCTAGGTTCAACGGTGACATCTGCATTATTAATAACCACTGAGCCACTCATGCTCTTCACTAGTACTTTTGAGGCGCTTGTAAAGTCAAATACAGCTTCCAACGTATCTGGAGTGCTCTCGACAACTGCATGTATTGGTTCCTCTTTTGAATTAACTCTCAAATTTCGGACCCCTAGAGCCTCAACATGGAAAACTCCAAGATTCAGAACTGCATAGTTCATTGGGGTGTCAGAAAAGAGTTGGAGAGGATAATTTTGAATTGATCCATTCTCTTTGACATCTACAAGTATTGTTCCGTTGGTAGATGGCTTTGTGTCTATGAAAATTCTAGACGGAGTTGAATAGTCAACAAGATCAATATTAACAATCCAATTTGTAGGAAAAGAGCCTGATTGTGTGACGCCCAAAAAAACCACAGTTGAATCAAACCCTATTTGTGAAACTTTAAATAAGGTGTCTGTAGAGAGTTCAATTTGTCGTGTTGTAGCTGTCTCTGTTACGTTAACCCATACGGTTCTCATGTCGTTTTGTAGCAATTTAATATTTCCTCCTCTCAAATAATGGTTGGAGCTGGGTTTATAGTTTGCTGGATATGAATGATGTAGCGTAATCAAGTCAGATCTATTGCACGTTATATGAGCAATATCTTGTTGAGTATTTGGTCCTATTGGTCCTACTATTGTATTACCATACATTGAGGATGCAAAGTCTGCAGTAAAGAATTCAATAATATTCCGTTTAGAAGGAACACTGAGCATGGTCAGTTCAATGCTGCTTGTTGGACTAACTTGAACAAATTTACTGGCCCCGTTTCCAGTTTTATAAACTGCAGGTGTTTCTGTTTCAGCATGGAATATGTTGTTTTTACCATCACCAAGATCAACTGTAAGTGATGAAGCTGTGACTCCTCTAGCCACAAAAGTATCGTCTCCTGAACCAGTCTTGATATTGAAACGAGAGCTGCGAGGATTATATGCAACTTGACACAACGTGTTGGTGAATCCGTTCACATCTAATAATGACTGCATCCATGGAGTTGGTGGCTCCACTGGTATAAGAGGTTTGCCGTCAGAGTCTGTGGCAACTAGACATCGTTCGTTCATTGAGAAATGTTGATTTCCATTATTGTTGTAATTCGAGACATCAATGTTTGTAAGTTGAGAGCTTCCTGAAATTGCAACCATACTCATAATGTTTGCTAGTGGGTTTGCCTCTGCATGGCTGCACACTCCTTGTTTTGGTCCAACAGAGATTGAGGACATACCAGAGATCAAAATGGTCGACTTGATAGCAGTTGAGCAAAGATATACAGCAGGAACAAATTCTGGAGTGGAAAATGCTGCAGGGAATGAGAAATGATATTCTGTTTTGATGGAACCTTGAATGAATCTAATTTCTGAATATTGGTTCTCGCTGTAGTGAATTTGTAATCTTGAAATTTGCCTTAAATAAATATTGGTCATGAAATCCGTGTTGATTGGATCATCAACAGTAATTCTACCATTTTCGAATGCATATCGTAAAGGTCGCTTTTCATTTCTTGCATCAATTACTACGGCATATGCTTCGTTATTGGTATCCACGCCCTGAATGTAAAGAGAACATTGAAGCGATGAGAGCTCACCGTTTTGGCTGATATATACTACTTGGTCACCTCCTCCCTTTAAATCAAGTCTAAACTCGTTACGAGTTTGGCATGAAGAAATATTGTGATAGATGGTTCCTTGAGGAGAGTTGTCAGTTGTGACATGAATTGAATTAAAATCATCTGGAGAGAAATATGAAACTGTCACTAAACCGCCATCGTTCTTGTTTACAATGTCGTATCTTCGATGTTCTAAATTGGTCCAACGAACTGAATGGTTTCTACCAAGAGAAATAGACGAGCTTGTAGCATAAATCTCAGAAATACCTGGTGGAACATTAATTGATACAGTTCCCAAGTTGATACCTCCACTACCTCCTGATAAATACAGAGAGCCTTGTATTGCTGCCAAGTCTGTGACATGGAATTGATCATCGGCATTTCCTCCCACAGCTGTCACTGCACTTCCTAAAGCCACCTTGTCAATGATGAATGTAGATGGTTGATTTTGTGCAAAAACATTAATGACAGGCATATCGTTTTGTAGCTGAATGAAATTATTGTTGTCATCTAAATTAATGGAAGATGATGAAATCTGATATTGAGAACTTGGAATTGTTACAGTTATTTCACCAGGTCCGGAAATGTACAGTGGTCCTCTATAATCAGTGGCTTGGGAATCAATGTTGACTTGTGATTTTTGGGCAACTGCGAGAGAAACAGTGCAAGGAGAGCCTTTAAGGCTGAATAATGTTCCAAAATCGGCCTCTTCAAGAATAGCTCGAGCACATCTTCCTGGAGTGAATTGGATGCCCATGCCGTCTGTGTTAGGAGTGATAAAGGTAGGTGAGATGGTGAATGCAGAGGACTTTTTGTACGAACTCAGAGAGATTCTTGAGGTAACAGTAGCAAGTGGCGGAATTGTCACGAGACCTTGATAGCCCTGGACGTGGATTTCAAATGGATTGGACCCTGGATTTCCATAAAATCCAATTGAAGAAGCGCCTGTATTAGGTGCCGTGAGTGGAGGAGCGTTTTGAGCAAGAGATCCAGAGGGTGTAGTGAAACCAACCACATGTGATGCATCTTTGAGTGAAGTTGGGTATATTCTATACACAGATGGATTGTCGCTTGTAGAGGTGTATTCCGATACATGTTCAAGGTTCAAATTACTGTTCTTATCTGCAACTGGTGCCATAGTTTTTCCTCCAAATGTGAGCTTTGGGAAAACAGGAGTCTTAATTTCTTGCGAAACAATGGTCCAACATTTATGGACAAACCACACATGAATGCATGCCTTAATGTTGAAACCAAATCCTGCGGAAATTTCCATTTGGAATGTAACAGTATTGAGTACGCCGTATTTCGATATCAAATAAAAGAGCTCATCAAAGGTAACCATCTGATTTCCATTAATATCCAAAACTGTGACACCGGCATTGGCTTGAAGAAAAGCGTATGCGCTTCCTTTGAAAATAAAAACACTGACGGACACTCCACCGGTGAGTCGTGCATAACCTGAAACAATCCACAGTGGTGATCCATCTGGCTTTCTCGTAATCATTCCCATACCTCGAACTAGATTTGTGATTTGTTTCGTTTGAATGGCATCTCTGATTCCCTTTGTTGAATAGGCAAGCGTTGGAAGATCAATAACAAGACCAGCGGAAGCCTCAACATATAATTCGACATATGGCCAAGCCCAAATGGGAAATCCAAAATGGGCCGAGTATGACATGACCATTCTTGGTAGAACAATTTCAACCAAATCAAAGTCCTTTCCAAATATCAAGCCAACCACAGCTGATGGTATCAGCTTTGGATTCTCAAAAAGAGGTACATGGAAGCTAGAACTTCTTGTTTCAATGCTTGACCATGTAGCTGAAATTTCACTTTTCATATTTGGTGGAATTGTATCATCAAAAATAAGGTTTTGATCTGGTAAATCTCCAACATGTAAAACAGGATCTTCGGGTTTCTCAAGGTCAACAATAAACTGACTAAATTTACGCCTAATACCACATCCATTCATTACGGAAAGGAAATTTCTAATTACTTGAAGCTTGTCCATCAAATAGTATAGCTTGTTGTATGCATCAATGATTTCTTCAACGTTGATTGCGTCACAACTTCCAGAGCAAAAGTGTTTTGCCAAGAAGATACCAAGCTCAGCTACATTCATCTTTCTACCAAATATACGAGAAAGTACAGGAACTTCCTTCGTCAAGAAAGCATTTGGGCCTAATATTTTGTCTAAATTGGATAAAACTTTTTCTGCTTGTTTTCTTGCTCCATCTGCCATCCGAGCTAATAATGTTCCAATACAAAGAGTTGGCTCAGAAATGGAAAATGCAGGTGTGGTTGATGTGGATTTACCCATTTCCCAATCCCACTTAAATTCAAGTGTTATCTCAAAATGAGGTAAGGCATCGAGCGGATCTTGAACATTTTTCAATAGTTTCTTGATAATGCCTGCAAAGCCAAGCTCTGCTTTTCCTGATAGGATAGCATTTACTCTAAAGAATGATGTCCAGTCGCTGTTTACACCAAATTCTGCGTGGAAATCACTCTGTGGATCTACAACAATCTCTGCGCCAATAAAACCTAGCTCACCTTCGAGCAGTGCATTGCCGATTTTAACATCGGCTACTCCTTTAATGACATATCCGTCTTCAAATGTAACTAGTATGCCGTTTGTCTTACTGAAGATTAAGTTAAATCTGAAATCATAATCTATTTCTGATTCAAGCTCTGTTTGTGATTGCAACCGAGCGCCTTTAGATGAAGCGCCTAAATCAAAGTCAACATTGGTAATTGAGTGCTTAACCAGTCGCTTAATTTCAAACTTCCATTCATATTGATCGGAATGAACATCTGGTACTTCTGGGCACTGAATTGGTTGTAATTTGCTGCACAAAATGATTGTAAACTCTTTCAGAATAAATTGATCAATAGAATCAAGGTTTGGAGCTTTTCCTTGAATGACATCATTCACCATTTGTGTAATGTCTACCACTAATTCATTGGTCATCTCTGGTCCAATAAGGTTGGTAAATTCTTTTTGAATCAACTTCTGAATTTCTTTATCAATCAGAGGTACTGCGACTGTCTGAATTAGACCATTAGGCCCAATAAACAATCTCTTAATCAAGGCAGAGAAATTATTTTCCCATTGAGCAATAAAGGTGCTGGGATCTTTAAAGAAGTCAAGTAAAGTATGGTCCTGCAATAAATCATTCACAGTCTTAGAAAAAGATCCTGAAGGACATGTGTGTTGATCAATAACCCACGCATTGGGCGCTCCAATTAAAAATTTCTCAATATTAGGAACTTGAACAGATAATTGACAAGCGGACAAGTCAAAAAATGATACCATCGCATCGAAACCAGCATTTCCTGTCAATGAATACTCAATGGCACCATTGTTTAAAGAGATTGATAAAACTGTGGGGCTACCTATAAAAACATCTGCACTAGCAAGCATTAGATTAAGAGGACCTAAGGATGCCTTTAAATTTCCATTCATCTTGAAATTTGTGTTGATATTGAATGATGTGCCATCTAAAATTTCAAACGAAACACCATTGCTCCAACTGCAAGCGAAATGAATTTCAAAGTTAGCATTGGTGTTCAATGAAATACTGTCTTTTGTACCTAGGATTGATGGTAGAGCAGAATCACCAAATACATTCGACTTTACGTACAATCCCTCGTTTGAGGTGATAGGATAGTTCAACAATTTCAAAGTAACCACAAATTTCTTGTCGCCAACATTGATATCATAGCACACTTTTTGACCCCATGAATGCTCTAATAAATCGCAAAATTTTTCAAGCGAAAATTCTACAATGCCATTGCAAACGCTTTGTTTGGCAGAAGAGAATTTGTTAACAATTGTTGATTCTAATAAATGTTTGAGAGATCTTTGAACAAACGGTAGGGGAGCCTGTAAGAACGGTTGTTGTCCAATCGTATCCGTTGTATGCATTATTTCATCAAAGAACGAGCACAATGATGTGGCATTAGTTTGACTTAGACCAATATACGTTTCTTTAACCGCTGAAATGGAAGAACTGAAGGTAGCCTCTAATTTGTGAATTTCCATTGAGATTGTATCCAGTATTTCGTCAGAAACTACTTTCCACATCTTATTAGAGCTTAACGAAATACTGTCAAGCGGAGGTAAATCGCTTCTTGCCTTAATAGTAGGGTTAGGTAATGTTATTTCTCCGTTTGATGCAATACTGATATCATAAATATCGAACATAGTGGTACTGTTAGTCGATGCTCTCAGAACATTAAAACTTGGAACAATATCCTTATTGAGTGAAATGTCCAGATTCAAAATTCCAGATCCTGTTAACGTAGAATCGGTATTTTCAAGATCAAAAACACCAATTGATCCTGATGAAAGTGAAATAGGAAGGTTTGCAGAAGGTTTGAAAGTTATTTGTGACTGAATTGTGACACCAGAAGTAATTGGTAAGGAGGTAGGAGGTACTTGAGATGCCATACATAAAATTGGTATCGTTGAGTCTAAAATACTCATTGAAATTGGTAGTAAATAGGAATGATCATCTTGTTGGTAAGATTTCAAAGAAATTTGAATCTGATCCAAAGATTTAAACGTGTCACTTCCCTCATAAACACCAACAGAAAACATTGGGCGAATAGTTTCGTCAATGTTTGATGGTAATAAATTCAGCATTACGTCTTTAAACGTTCTTCCTACTGGTAGCTTGAATGTGAATGTAAATTTAAGTGATTTAGAACGTTGGTCACTGAATCTTTGTTGAGCTTCCATTGCTAAGGTAAATTCATAGTTTGGATTGGTTATTATGGTGTCAATTGAGAAGTCGTTTGTGCCGCAACTTAGAATGGAGATGTTATACAAGCCGTATAAAGAAAAAACGGTTCCAAATTTTCCAGAAAAATGAATTCGGTTTGTGATTGATGCTGTGCCTTTTGTTTGTAATTCTACTTTGTTTTGAGAGCTTTCAAGGCTAGAAAACATGTTGGAGCTTGAAGTAAATGCCTCCTTCAAGTTGAACTCAATGGAAGCTGCTGTAAGCTGTGATGGGAAAACGCTCATCATACTTTCTGGTATCTGTAAAGATTTTGTTGGTACTTTGACAAATTGATGAGGAGAGAAGGGAACTCGTGTTAAAATATGAACCAACCACGAAACCTCACCCCATGTGGTAAAACAAGGATAAAATGGAGCATGATACTCAAGTACTTGCTCCGTTGATGCAAAGTCTTCATATTTGAAAATAAGATCGAATAAACTGTTATCCACCACTTCATGAATACCAATTGCATTTGCGATGGCTGTACTTTCTTTGGCGACTACAATGCCCTCAAGACCGCATTGAGAAAATCCGTTATTCATACTCTTCAATTTGTTTTGTGGATCAATGTTGTTGATTGGACATGGATAAGTTTTTCCATTGACTGTAATATTGAGATCTGGAATGCTATTTTGCATTTCGGACAAAATTAAGGTTAACAATGGCTCTCCTAGCGATGTCTTTGTTTTGGGATAGGGTATCTGAACAAATGTGTTATCAATAAAATCATCCCAATTATGAAGCGAGCTCAAAGAGGCGTCTAGAAATGGTACTCTAAAGTTAAGCGGTCCATTATTCAATTGAGTCAATACCTTGGCAACATCTTTCATATTGAAAAACACAGCTTGATTTGGAACGAACAAAGTGCTACCATCTCCATTAAGTTCCACACTTGGTATGGTTCCAATACTTAACAAGTTACCAGAGTCAATTGCCACTGTTATAGGTTGAGATAATTCATTGCTGAAATTTAGGTTTGCAGTGAATTTAACAGAATTTGGCATGTCTATATTGAAGGAAATCATCCCTTCTGTGAGAGTACCTGTTTGCATATTATATCTTAACGGAATCATAAAACCTGTTTGAACGCTTTTACCCTTAATAGCAAACTGTGTGAAAGAAGGAGAGGCTGAAAGAAGAGCATTCATGGAGAGTGTCAGTTGTGTGGAGGCACCCACTGTAGGAGCTCGTTTCATTACTTCCAACGCTCCATCTAATAATTTTAACTTGTGCAACTTGTGAACAGAAAGACTCAATGAAATAGCGGTTCCTTTCATTTGAGCAGTTGCCAAAATCACACTTTGACAGTTTTCGCTCGCACATAACAGATTGAAAAATTGTTCAATCTTCATACATAAATTAATAATGTCCATCGAGTTGCCCAAGGTATTCAAGGTGTGAGAAAGCATGGTTAACACAGTCTCGATACCGTATTGTTGCGTTATCATTGTGAACGTGTTTTCTATAAGTGGTAAGGTTTTGTTAATATTGTGAAGGCCATCTAAATTGGAAGTAAGAGTTGAGACGTAACCGCTCATGACTTGTGGAGAAACAAAATGATTATTGGATGTGTACACAAGATCTCCCTTCTCATTCAAAGTAGCATATACGATACTGTCGTCGTTATAGCTTGCAGCCTTAATTGATACCTTATTGGTTGAGTAGTCATAGGTCGCGTAAATCTCAAAAAACGTGTTCCATGTATCAAAGACGGCTGAAAATGACACAACTCCATGAACAGTTAGTGATGATGCGGAATCTGTCGCAACAGAGACATTTGTGAAAACATTCTCAATGAACAACACAGAGGTAAGAGCACCACTGAATAACGAATTCTTCATAGTAGTGGATGCATCGATCAACTTGGTTGGTCTTTCAATAGAAAATATTTCGAGATACTTTTTGTAAAGGGTTGTCAATTCGGCATTGATGAGAGTTATGGCACGATCATTTCGAAGGATAAGGCTTGTGGTTTGTACCATTGAAAAATCTAGCACCGTCTTTCCATCATGCTGTATCAAGAGGGAGAAAACATCGCGATGCTGCTCAGCAAAGTAATGTAAAAATCCCAACACTGTAGGAAATGGTGTCACTCTATCGATGTAAAACTGAGCCACTTGTTTCGCTTTCTGTTCATCAAATAGTTGGGAGCATGTATCATCCAAAGGCTGCACATTCGTATGAAGGGCAGTCTTAATTTGTTGCAACAAGCTTGGCAACAAAACAGTAAGGCTATCTTCAGTAAAAGGTGCATCTCGTACAAACAAGCCTCCTGGATTACTTGAAAATATGTCATTGGGTATTGACGTAAAGCATTCATGAGCGTTATTGATTTGCTCAATTCTTCCCAAAAGAAAACCAGAAATTTTTAAAGGAACAGAGCGGATTAATGTTGTTGCACTCTTGATACTATCGGTGAATAGTGGAAGTGGCCATGCTCTTCCTTGTGAGGTTGTTCCGGCTTCAATATTAATTCTGATACCAGTGTACCCCATGGAATCGCACTGCATGACCACTTGAGAGCCACCAGAGAAGCCCAGTGGATAGAGCTTGTCTTGGCTAATGAAAACCATTGCTGTTAAGCTGGTCTTGTACGATGGTGGTAAATGAGAAAGGTCACAACTTTTACCACTCGATTGTACTGCCTCTTTGAGAAGGTCCTTGAATGCGATTAAGGTTGAACCAATGCATGAAGAGTCGTCTGTGCCACTTTCACATGATACCTGCGTTTGAAATAAATCGCCCATCTCACTGAACGAATTCGTTTGTGGCATGTAAAGTTTTGATAAAGCAAAGTGTTGTTGTGAGTTTGTGTCATCCATGATTTTGCTACTGTTTAAAAAGACACCTCGAACAGCTGAGGACTTTAAACTGAATGGAGACAAGTCTGAATAATAGGCATGAACTCCAAATTGTGTGGCCAAATACATGAACGAGGCTGCAATATTGTTGGCATTGTTGTTGATTGTCGACAATTCATCATCTTTGAAAACAGCAGTAGTTGTGGATTGGACCATGATGATGAACGGATCAATGCCATCAAATAAATTAATATCCAAAAAACAAAGGCCATTACCAGAACTGCACGATTCCGACGACATCATGGAACCATCCCAACCGAGAGGAAAATAAGGTATTGCAGAAAAAGGTAAAGGAGAGCCGGTTCGCTTACTCATCGTGTACTCTAACGTGGTAGGTATGGATGATTGCAATTTCACTCCGGCCACACTACCAACGATCGTACTCTTCAAATGAAGCGTTAAGGTCATATTGACAGCATCGGTTTCAGGATGAAATTGCATGGAGAATTGTCGTCTTAATTGTGCCGATTGGACCGTGATGGAATTCGGAAGGAAGGTTTGTTCAATGTGCAATAATGATGATGGCGAAGATGATGAGGAGAGAGTAATCCATCCAGAATCATTTGAAAATTCGAGGCTATTCGTTTGGGCATCATTAGTACTCCACAACGCGCACGCATCATCGAGCCATGAAAAATCAGTAAGGGTATGTGTTGAAGAGTAGAGGCTATCGGGTGTTCGATGATTCCTAAATGAGGCAAAACCATGAGCAAGTTGGCACAAGGACGCCTTATTCCTGTTCTCGAGAACGTTGGTTGGAGTCTTTGTTTGAGCGGCCCACACGCTCGTAACCACGAATAGTAACACCACGCATGAAGCAATATGTGTTATTACTTTCTTGGTCATGATGATGATGATTCAAGGAAATTGATACAAGGCAATAACCGTGTTGCAGATCCAAAATCGAGGAAAAAGCACTTGAGAGATTTTTTTCTGAGACCAACGGATTCGAATAATAAATTGGTTCTCTCGTGTGAGCATTTGAATTTTGTGTAAAATTGTTCGAACTGGATCATACTGGATTTCGTTTCAAGCTCCAACGTAAGTTATCCTTTTTTATGCCCCGTCGTTCACTGTTGTGAGCTTTGATGAATCAAGAATTTTGAATGTGGTTGTCATTGATTTCAAAATCTCGTTCACAATCATTTTGAAATAACTGACTGTTAATTACATGATTAACATGGATGATGATAAAGAAAATTTAAATTACGCAACCACATTCCGACTTTGCTGCTCAGTTAAATATGATGAAAGAGTTGTTCAGGCTTTGACAGCATCCACATTTTTTAAACACGGAACTGTCAAATGACAAAGAGGAGTGGAATCCAAAATTCATTAATTTACATTCAACCCCTTCCACTAGGTACGAAGAGTCCAGGCTTTTCCATTCAGAGATTTTCAACGAACACAATTGTGTTTATTTCACCTTTCATATCCTTTCATGGATCCATTTTTGATGTTTTCATCTGACTTTGAAATGTTGATTAGCTAATCACAAAAAAACACACGAGTAACAACACATTTCCTAGAGACACGACATCTTATTGTGTCCGTCATTTGCACCTCAAGCTAAAAAACTCTTGGCATTTCATAATCGAAACTCTAATTTGCACTTTTTGTTCATCATTCAACAACAATTCTTCATTTCAACAACAACAAGTTCATCAATTATTGAAGCGATACATCTAAACATTTACATTCTAACATGTGGTACCACTCCTCAAATATAACTGCTACTGGCTCATCGCTGGGGCTTCCCTTGTATCGTTACCCTTCATCTCTTCATTCTCTTCTTGTGGAATTATTTCTTTCAATATTTAATTTGAATCGAAATGATCATCATGTCCACGCTACTCATCATCATTGGTTACCAGTGGTACCAAATTCATATCCCATCCCTTCCGTATTCTCATCATCAAATTCAATTTCCTCCTCGTCCTTGTCATCTGTGAATTATGATTTTCCCTTCTCTTTCAATGAATTTCTCCAAAACATTTCCTCCAATATTTCCAATTCAACCATAAATGCAACTCGATGTCATTCGTCATTATTAAACACATCATGGAGTCGAGAAGCAAATGGACGTGTTGATTATGGACTCTGTCCAGATACTTTTATTAGTTTTGCATTATGTTTAGTTTTTCTTTTGGCATATGTCACAACCATTGTCATGTCTGGAGTAGGAGTGATTTGGAAACGAAAAAGTGGACATGTTTCAGCCAGAAATCCCATTTACATGTTTTTCACACTCATCGCTGGATTTGTTTTTATTGCAGGAATGCTTTTAAGAATTATTATTGGAAGAAAAATTTATCCGTGTGGATTATTGACCATTTGTTTTTTCACATTTCCACCTGCTGTGTCATTGCCAACCATTTTTCGATTAATGAGAGGATTTTTCATGTACAAGATTAATTTATTGAAGACAAAATTATTTGAAAGTCCCAATACGAATGGAAATGCAACTGCTTCGAGAAGAATGTCTGCTTCAAGAGAAGAATTTAACAAACAATTTGAATTGGCTCAACAACAATCTGGATTTAACAACTCCAGTGTCCATCATAATTCAACGATACCTTCAGCCATGTTTGGAAATGAAGATTCCACACAACGAGTGGCCACTGCGTTGGGCGGTACAACACATTCATCCATGGGTCATGAACATGATGAAATTTCCAATGTGGTTGATATTACCTTACCCACAGATATCATGATGTTCACTTCCAATGTGAATGACAAAGCTCCAACTTCTGAAGGAGCTTCCTCCTCAGATCATCACGAACCAACGTTGACAGATTCATCCACTCGTTCAGACAACTCAACAAAAGAAGGTAAAAAGAGACACTCTGTAGCTCATCGTTCAGTAGCTTCCTCCTCATCCTCTTCTCATCCCATATTAAATCCTCATCTTTCGTTGAATAGTAGTAATACTACGGGTGGAAATGGAGCCATGGTTGGATTTATTTTAAATCCTACAACGACCACAACAACCAGTTCGTCCATGATGATGATGGGAATTATGAACAATGGAGATTATGATGAATATGACACGGAAATGATTATGGAAGATTCTGAATCTGCTGTCGATGTCTCGACTTGGAATATGAGTGACTACAAAGACATGTCCGAAATGAGAAGCGAATTAAGAAAGTTGAAAATTTTCAATTTTTTAGTGAGCTACAAGTTTATTTGTGTGGTATATGCATTGGCATTCTTATTTGGGATTGTATTGTGGTTAGTGGCAGGAGGAATTGAGGAAGCTCTCTACAATTCGAGTACAGATCCAAATAAGAAACGAATTTTCTTATTGGATGGAGGAATTTTAGTATTCGATCGAGGATGTGGAATGTCCACGAATACCATTCTCATTATTGGACTCGAAAGTATTGCCTATATTATTGTGGAAGCTGTCTTTTTGGTCATTACTTTCTTTGTCGATCGTGACACTTGGGGAATTAAGAAAGAGACGATTGCCTTAATTGCCATTCAAGTGACAAGTGCTGTATTGTTCATTATTTTGGGAACTTTGGATGTCATTCAGACCTTGATTGATTACTACGTTCCGTACGGATTTGTATTGTGGGGATACATGTTTCTTGAAATTATTGTCGCTGTGACTTTACCTGTCTTGTATGCTATTCGACGAGATTACAAAGAATCCAGACGTTTACTCGATTCTAAAGAAAGTGGTTTGGAAAAGGTTCTCAAAAACAAAAAAACATTTGCAGTCATGTTAGATTTTGCGAGAAGATCCTTCGCACCAGAATCTGTTCAATGTTGGCGTGACATTCAACGATTCAAGAAAACGAAACGTTCGAATCGAAAGAAAGCAGCCATGCACATTTTAAATGCATATTTAACATTGGGAGCTCCATTAGAATTGAACATGTCACGAATTGAGGAAAAACGAAAAGAGTTACTTTGCATCATTGAAAAGGAAGAAAAGATCTCTCCAAATTTATTTGTCATGATTCAGGATCATTGTTTGAATGATATGGCAGATTTGTTTGAACGTTTACGAAATTCGAATAAGGAAATTGCAGAAATTGTGAAAAAACACTCCCTGTCTCGAACACAAGTGAACCCACAGCAATAGAAAGACCTTCCAATTTCCAAAAGTCGATACTGACAAATTTTGGAAATAATCATTCACTGAATACGTCAAGTGTCATGGTTTGACCAAAGGCATCAAAATCCTTTGGTTATCTCGCTCATAAAAAAAATGCAACAAGAAACCACCTCATCCACCACTCTCTCCTCCATATTTTCCCTCCTCTACCAAGAGCTTATAAACCTTCCATCACGGCGGTCCCATCAACCCGTCAAACTCTCTTCATTTGCAAATTCACTTTTTTCTGTTTTTCAAGATTCATCCATTCAACATTCTTTCCAAAACAACAACGATATCGTGAACATCAATGCCACTCTCAACTCAACCCTTCCCTTCAACATTTCCACCGTTTGTCATCCCATTCTCTTCCAGCCAGGTCTTTCCCGAGAAGTGAATGGAACTTATGAATTTGGACTTTGTCCCGATACATATTCAAGTTTTACATTGTGTTTGATTTTAGTAGTGGCCTATGTCGTGACTGTGGTGTTGAGTGGAATTGGAATTTTCTGGAAGAGAAAGAGTGGACACGTGAAAGCTCGAGACCCATTGTATTTGGGAATGACATGTGTCGCGAATTTTGTGTTTGTCGTTGGATTGACGATGAGAATTGTGGTCGGAAGGAAATTATTTCCGTGTGGATTGTTGACGGTGTGCTTTTTTATTTTACCACCAGGTTTGTGTGAATGATGTTTGAATTTGATTTGGGATTATATGAATTTGAATTTTAAATAATAATTATATAATTGAAATATTCAAATAATAATATTTTTAATTTTAAATTTTAAATGAAAATGGATGAAATTGATATAATATTTATTTTAATGATTTTTGTGAATGATTCCGTATGAATGAAAAACATACAACAGCCATGATGTTACCGACAGTATTTCGATTAATGCGACTCTATCTCATGTATAGGATTAATTTAAAAAAGATGAAATTATTTGAAACTCCAACACCACAAGGAACCATGACGGTCAAAGAAATAGATCCAGCAACGACTCAAAATATTCAACCTACATCCAATGGCGAGTCCATGAATTATTCTCTCAATACTACTACCACTACCATGTTTGGACAAGAAGATATTTCACATCGACAAGAACATGTGTCAAGTGTCATGCACGCTGACCTCGTTCCTCCTTCCCATAATCAACAACCACAAACTATGGTTGAATTCCAACAATTAGATGAAGATGCCTCAACCGATAATGATTCCGAAACCATGGCAGATGTTTCCACATGGCGTCTCAGTGAAGTTAAAGATTTTTCAGAAGTGAAAAAAGAAATTCGCAAATTGACCATTATGAACTTTTTTGTGAGTTACAAGTTTTTACTCCTTGTTTATGCCATTGCATTTGTGGTGGGAGTGGCTATTTGGTTAATTCTTGGAACGATCGAAGAAGTGATTTATAATGCAAGTACAGATCCCAATAAGAAACGACTTTTTTTATTGGAGGGAGGAATGCTTGTGTTCGATCGAGGATGTGGATTCACGACAACTACGATTCTCATTGTTGGATTGGAAGCTCTGTTCTATATTGTCATTGAAATTGCATTCTTGATATTGAGCTTTTTTGCAGATCGAGACACTTGGAGTATTAAGAAAGAAGCATTGATTTTGATTGTTTTTCAATTTATTGGTGCAGTGATTTTCATTGTCGTAGGAATGTTTAATATTACTGAAATTTTGTTGGATTATCTCGTTCCAACTGGGTTGGCACTTTGGGTGTATAATTATTTGGAAGTTTGGGTTTGCGTCACACTTCCTGTCTTGTATGCCATTCGTAGCGATGCTTCTCAAAAAGATTCAACAATCGCCGAGAATCATGACATGCAAGCACCACTTTCGATTCATGGCACTCATGACGTGGAGCTTCCACCTGTGACTACCGTTCAAGACACCTCTCGAGAAAGTGGTTTGGAAAAGATTCTTAAAAACAAAAAAACATTTGAAATCATGTTAGATTTTGCGAGAAGATCCTTCGCACCAGAATCTGTTCAATGTTGGCGTGATATTCAACGATTCAAGAAAACCAAACGTTCGAATCGAAAGAAAGCAGCCATGCACATTTTAAATGCATATTTAACATTGGGAGCTCCATTAGAATTGAACATGTCACGAATTGAGGAAAAGAAACAAGAATTATTAATCATCCTCCAAAACGAATCAAAAACAAATCCAATTTCACACCATCTCTTCGACTCGGTTCAAGATCATTGTTTGAATGATATGGCAGATTTATTCGAACGATTGAAAAATGCAAATCATGAAATTTATGAACTTGTTCAAGAGAGTAGTGGAGGTTCTTTGAAGAATCGCAAGTCGAATCGTCGAGCAACAGTGTCTGTGGTTGTTGCTGTAGCCAATTCGCCAACAATTGTTGCAAATGTTGAGGTTGCCAATGATCAAACCACAACTTCCACAACGTTTACTAACAATGAATAGTTGAAATGCAACGTTTTGAAAATATGATTCGTTCGGTGGATGGACATGAATATTTTCATGAATGAACAATGGAACGCAGCACGAATGAACGATTGACCTTAGGTGTACATGGAACTTGAGAATTTTTTTACTCACATTTTATTAAGTAGTAGTGCAGAAAATGACACACACGCACACGCACACGCACACGCATACACACACATCTCTTCGCTCGCTCGCTCGCTAGCGTTACAACAACTCTTCACACACAACCACTTGCTTGTTGTGTCCGCCAACACCAAATCATATTTTAGTAATAGTGATAGTAAGGATAACGATAAGGATATCTATAACGATATCTATATCTATAGGGTCGACGATGATGATAGTAAGGATACCAATAATTCGCCTCATCGTATTCACTTTCAAATCCAGAAGGACCACTTCCTCCTTGACCTGATTGACCCGATTGTCCCTCACCATCTGAGGTATCTTCAGAATCTGCTGGATCGACTTGTTGTCCAGCTGGTGGAGAGGCAGAAGGTTGAGGTTGAGGTGGTTGTTGACAATAACAACAAGCAACAAAGAGAACCAGTAAGGCAACCAACAGGAAAATGATGGATTTCTTCATTTGAGGATTTAGTTTGAAAATTTGTTTTTTTAGAGAGATTTGGGAGTGGTTTAACATTGAAATTCGAAGTATTTGTTTCATGTGGACACGAGTGCATGCTGTATTTGAAATATTACCAAATCGAAAATGGAAATTGAACATTTTGAAGACGAGTTGAAGACGAGCTGGAATGATCTGGCCAAGGTCGAGAGTCAGTGCCAGTCGAACGGTCTGAATGGCACTATTTGGAAATTTAACAAAATTGGAAATTCCAAGAAGGGAAATTCAATGAACGACTCCAACAGTCATTTTAATGCCTTAAATTTAAGGCCATCACTTGATGCAAAGATCAAATCGCCATGCATGCTCTAGACTTGTACCATGCAATTTAATTACACTACTACATTATATTTCACATTTATGATATACAAAATACAGAATGATATTTATATACAGGGATGCATATATATATATACACAAAGTTCAATCAATGACACACAAGTGAACTCTATTACTACACAGTGAGACAATCAATGGTGCCTTGACCAACTTGTATTTTCTAATATTTATATCCATATCCATAATAATATGGCTTACGATAATAATAATAAGGTCTATGATAATAATAAGGTCTTCTATAATAATATGGTCTTCTATAGTAATAAGGCCTTCTGTAATAATATGGTCTTCTGTATCCATAATAATATGGTCTTCTATATCCATAATGATATGGTCTGTATCTATAACCATAATTTTCTTCGCCTTCTTCTGCCTCAAATGAAGGACCTTGACCTGACGAAGATGAAGATTGACCTAAATCCTCACCACTGCCTTCATCACTTCCTTCATCAGGAGATGTTGTAGCTGCTTGTTGTTGTTGGGATTGACCGGTTGGTTTTTGAGAAGAGGATTGCTGTGCAGTTGCTGTTGTTGCTTGTTGGGCATGACAATAACAGCAAGTGAAGAGCAACAAGACGAGAAGTGCAAAGAGAATGCACGATTTCTTGGTGAACATTTGAAGTGTTTTTCTAAGATGGAATGAATGAGGGAAGAACAATGTTGGTGGTTATTGTTAACTGTCAAATGTACTGTTGAAAATGTAAAAGGATTTGAGTGTGTTTTTTTTCTAGTTGCTGTTCGAGTTGTTCGGTTGAAGAGAAGTGGTATGCAATCATTGCTGAGATTTTAAAGCTCGAAACACTCTCGATGTATTTGGAACATTACCATTTATGAATGGCGCTGAACTGAAATCAAGAACTTTTTGACCAACGAGAATATCCGCAACGAACACCATCCAATGCAAGAAATTGGAGAATTGACAATAATGATGAATTTCAATTTCAGACAATGGATGACATCAAAATGAAACGTTCCTGCAAGCTGAATAATTCATCCATTACGATGAGAGCGTATTGACTGTTTTTGAAAGAGATTTTGAAACCAAGGCAATACTAATAGTTCGCGAGATGAGTTCGGTTGGTGTTGTATACGTGGATTTTATGTTAAAATCAAGAATGACTTTGTTCATCCAACATTTACAGATTGAATGGATTTTTCTATATTTTCTTATATAGATGGGAATGGTGATCATCAACAACTATTGAACCTCAACAAATTTTCACGACCTTAACAATTGGAAAATGAGATTTGTAGAGATTTCACATTTGTATGTGGAAGGTAACCTTGCAAATCATTGGATTAATATATGCATAGCATCTGATTTCAAAGAACAATCAGTGGCATTACACAAGAGAACCATCTTGCCATAATACAGCTGACTTCCTCAAAGTACTACAATAGAATTCAAAATCATACTCATAGTAAACACATGAAGCTTCATGGTTGTAATAAATACAATTTAATTGATCAAAATTCTTTTGAAACATCTGAAGGAAATTCTTTTTTTATGAACTTGAAACGTCCACACGTGTTTCGTTCTTGATCGGATTATAGACAAACCAAGTTGAAGATGGTTGTATAACCTAAGGAAACACCAGATTGGTCCCAAGCAGACGTTCCAGCAATAAGAAACACATTGGTGGACAAGTGTTTTTTAATCGTGTCGATGATGAGATTGTAGCCCATGGTCCGAAATACTTATTTTTTAAGCTGTCTGAAATTCATCTATTAATAAAAAAAATACTCTCAACATACACACAACATTTGGAGTTCAATAAATTCCGTAACCCTTAATTGCTCGTTAAGGTTAATAAACGTAAGGCTGTGTGAAAAGAAAGCATAATCATTAACTTTAAGGGATATCGACATTTATTGCCAAGCCAATACACGACTCTCTCGAATTTCTCTCTATTTGAACATTCATCACCTCATATCTTATTCAATACCTTTCATATCTCACTGGTTTTGAATATCCATATCGATTGCGATATCGCCAATAGGGATTTGGACGTCTACGTCTTCTTCTTCTTCTTTGTTTACCATAAGAATCATCATAATCATCAGGATTAGGACGATACCATTCACTTTCAAATACTGCTGCTGATTTCTTAGATCGTCCTCCACGGCCACCACCTCCCCATCGACCAGCTCCTCCGAAACGACCTCCTCCTGCTCCTGGCCATGGATTTCCATATGGCATTCCTCCAAATCTTCCTCCTCCGAACCATGGATTTCCATATGGATCTCTCCATCTCCAGCCTGGATAAGGTGGACGCCAGGTGTCACCTCCTTGCTGTCCTCCAGAACCTTGTCCAGTACCTTGTCCTTGTCCAGAACCTTGTCCACCTCCTTGTCCATCTGTGGAACCACCTTGTCCATCTCCTTGTCCATCCGAAGAACCACTTTGTCCATCTGTACTACCATCAGTAGTGCTATCATCGCCACCATCATCAGATCCACCACTTGTATCATCGCCTCCTGAAGTGTCTCCTCCTGAAGTATCCCCTCCTCCACTTTGACCACCAGAAGAATCTCCTCCTCCACTACTATCACTACTTCCGCCTCCTTGATCACCACCTCCTCCTGAATCACTTCCTCCTCCAGTGTCTCCTCCTCCGCTTGTATCATCGCCTCCTGAAGTGTCTCCTCCTCCTCCAGTATCACCACCTCCTCCACCTTGTCCTTGACCTGGTTGTTGTTGTTGTTGCTGTTCTTGTTGTTGTCTTCTTCGACGTTGTCTTCGAACTCTTCTTCGAATTCTACGTCGCACACAATTTGGACCTACACATCGACGACGTCTTCTTCTTCTTCGACGACGACAATTAGGACCTCGACATCGACGACGTCTACGTCTTCTTCCACCTCTTCCTTGTTGTAGAGAACTTTCGTATTGAGCGACCGAAGCATCTTCGACATGATATGAATTAGTTTGACATTGAATATAGGTACAGAAAAAGAGAATCAATAAGAGAAGGAGTGAAAGTGAAGCAATGGTCAATAGACGACGCTGTTTGGAAATGGAATTTGATGAATGAAAGAATGATGAAATATTTCCGCCATGCTTGTGATTGCCAAAGAGTGTTTGAAACAGCATGTTGTGAACATACGTTTCAATTTTTCTTGTTGTTGTAAAAAGAAATTCATCAGTTTTTCACAAGTGTTATAATTTGTTTTTAGTGTGATCTTTATCGATATAGATGGAAACTCTACAAATTGAGTTTTTTGATATCTTACTGAAAATGGCAATCTTTCATTTGAAGAATCCAACGATTAAGAAGGCAACGTTGGAACCATGGCTGAGAACTGGACAGTTGAACTCGGTCCTGAACTTGTTTTGCTGTATCATTGAATAATGTTAAGATTTTGATTTGGTAAGAAAGGTTTTGTATACAAATTGTTTTCAGCCTTAATTGTGTTATATACATCAGTTTCTCGTTTTTCGGAATTGTAACATAACACTCAAGAAAAATAGTTACGGACTTGTCCTCAAACTTTGTAGAGCTCTATTTCACACAAGGTCAAAACGACCTAAAAGACCTATAGCTCCGTTTCAAGATACAAGTTTCACAACACAACCTTATTAAACAATTTGAGTTTTAATGACAATTTGGCCTTATGAATGCCTTGTTTCCTATTAAGGGTATGGACGCCATCCCATCGATCTAGGATGAATATATCTCCAAGGATACACCATTCTCTCTGTTCTCACTTCTCTCGGTTTTCTGTGATACCGTCTTCTTGGAATGTGAAAGAGATTGCTTTTCAGATTGGGACCTCTTCTTCTCGCTCTCCTATTGGATCTTCTTCTTGCTCTTCTTCTTGAAGGTGCTCTTCTTCTGGATCTTCTTCGAGCTCGACGTCCAGATCTTCGTCCAGCTCTTCTTCCAGATCTTCGTCCAGATCTACGACGTGCTCTTCTTCGTCCAGCTCTTCGTCCTGCACGACGCCCAGATCTTCTTGCTCTTCTTCGAGATCTTCTACGGGAAGGTCCTCTTCTTCTACTTCTTCTTCTTGATCTTCGTCGTTCTCTTCTTCGGCCTCTTCTACGACCTCTACGACGATCTCTTCTTCGGTCTCTTCTTCTTCTTCCACGCTCACCTCTTCGTCTTCCACGTCCTCTTCTCCTTGCTCGCTCTCTTAATCGTCTTCTCCTTGCTCGTTCTCTTCGACGACGTCTGGCTCTCTCTTGTTGCTGCTGTTGTTCATTGGGACTGGGTGTTGGAGAAGGTTCCTGACCACCACCACCGCCTCCAGGTTCACCTCCACCACCACCAGGACCAACTTCTCCTCCTCCTTCCTCACCACCACCTCCTCCTTGTTGGGGTTGTCCACCACCTCGACCAGGTGCTTGACCTCCTCCTCCACCAGGTTCTCCACCACCTCCACCTCCTCCTTCTTCACCACCACCTCCACCTCCTCCTTCTTCGCCACCACCTCCACCTCCTTCTTCACCTCCTCCACCTCCAGAAGGTGCTTGACCACCTCCTCCTCTTCCTTGACCTCCACCTCCAGATGAACCACCTCCTCCTTCTTGACCACCTCCTCCACCTTCCTCACCTCCTCCTCCACCACCTTCTTCACCTCCTTCTTGTCCACCACCTCCAGATGATCCTCCTCGACCACCACCTGAAGAACCACCTCCTCCTTCTTGTCCACCACCTCCTTCTTCCTCATCTCCTTCAGTGTCTTCCCTAGATGATGAAGAAGATCCTTGTTGAGCAGAAATGAGTTGGAAGATGAGTCTTGTAATTTGTTCAATTTGAGAAGGAGTTAATGATGGTTGTTGTTGTTGTTGTGGAGGGAAAAGTGCTTGACCTTTGACCACTGAAAACTTTTCATCCTGATTCAAACTTGAAGAAGAATCTTTCCACCAGCAACAAAGAAGAATGAACACAAACAGACTACACAAGAATAGTTTGCAAGTAGTGAGGCTGTGAAATCTTCTTGCTCCGTGGTGTGGTTGATGAAATGCATTCTTGGATGAAAACATGTTTTTTTTCAATGAAAAACCAAAGATTGGAAATTGGCGTTAAATGTGTGGTCTGATGGCATTCAGGATCAACCCCGATATGGTCAAGCTCACATGAATGGAAAGCTTAATCTTGGTGCTTTAATTCAAATTTAACTTCCTAATTGGATGATATTAGTGATAATTTTGTTAAAATATGTTAATGGAAATTAACTTTAAAAGCGAGGTTACCAAAGCAGGGAATGGACAAATACTAGACTGAGACAAGGATGAGTGAGCGATGAACTTGAAAGTTCAGTTTCTTCCTGAATATGAGTTCCATTAAACTGTATCGATCGTTTCAACCAAGTTTATCTCGACTCAACAGTCTTTATACAATGAACTTGGAATGCTCATGACAATATCAAACGATATTATTAACAAGGAGGCCTTAAATACAATTTGAACAAATTTACAAAAAAGAAAAATTTAATCATTTCACAAAAAAATGAAAAAAGCCATAAGAGCATGATGATGCAACAACAGAATATCAATTTTCCGAAACACGAATTAGTGTTGAACACAATTCAATACAACAATTGTATTACAATTTGAAGGAATTCCTACTTGAAAATCCAGAAGAAAACAACATTTGAAAATCATCATAACGGCTATTTTAAATAGGAACAGACAAGGGTCATGTTATTTATTGAACGACGTGGATACTTGTTGGAAATATTATAGAGATGAATCAACAGATCGTACCACTTGAAAATATATAACATTCTTGAAAATACTTACGAACTGCGCTCAACGTGTTATCGGGAACGATCACTAAAGTAATTTGTTGGATGTTTGATGCAACGTCTCTAAACCAATTAAGCTCTATTACGAATTGTTTCAGTTCAAAGTAAGTCGTTTTGCCCAAAAGAGCTAGATCAATATCCATAACATATTCAAATTTCAAAACGATCATCTTATTTAATAATTTGAGGTTTAGTTACTGTTGAGATTAGAATTCTTACAAAAACTAAATTAAGAAAATTTCTTGCCCGTATTACAGTATTTCATATTACGAACGTGTCACAACTCTTAGCTTTCAGAATAATGTCTTATAGGTATGTGCATTAGGTTACTTTTGAGATTTCCTCTTCTTCGACGAGTTTGTCTTCGTCTTCTGGGAGCAGCTCTTCTTCTTCTCCTATTGGATCTTCTATTTACTCTTCTTCTATTTCTTCTTCCTGCTCTACGTCCTCTCCTTGTTCTTCTTCTGGATCTTCTTCGAGAAGGTCCACCACCAGATCTACGTCCTCTTCTTCTGGATCTTCTTCGACGTCTAGTTCTTCTTCCACGACCTCTTCTTCGCTCTCTTCTTCGGCCTCTTCTACGACCTCTACGACGATCTCTTCTTCGATCTCTTCGACGTCTTCCACGTTCACCTCTTCTTCCTCTTCGATCTCGTCTTCTTAAACGTTCTCTTAGACGTCTTCTCCTCAAACGTTCTCTTAATCGTCTTCTCCTTGCAAGATCCCTTAAACGTTTTCTCCTTTCGAGTTCTCGAAGTCTTGCTCTATCCGGTTGTGTTTCACCTGGTTTTGGTGTTTGAGAGGGTTCCTGACCTTGGGGTGTTTGTCCACCTTCTTCAGGACCTCCTGATGGTGTTTGACCTGGTTGTCCTCCACCAGTCGTAGGTGTTTGACCTGGTTGTCCAGCGCCAGGTGGTGTTTGTCCAGTTCCACCACCTTCTTGACCACCTTGTGGAGCTCCTCCTGGTGGTGGTGTTTGTCCAGCTCCAGGTGGTGTTTGACCTGGTTGGCCAGTGTCAGGAGGGGTTTGTCCTGGCTGTCCACCTTCTTCACCTCCAGTGCCAGGTGGTGTTTGACCTGGTTGTCCTTCACCAGTCGTAGGTGTTTGACCACCTCCAGTCTGACCTGATGGAGCTTGTCCACCTCCTGGTGGTGTTTGTCCAGTTCCAGGTGGTGGACCTGATGGAGCTTGTCCACCCTCTTGACCTCCAGGTGTTTGACCACCACCCGTAATAATTATTGTCGATCCACCTCCAGAAGATCCACCTCCTCCGTCACCTCCTCCTCCAGAAGATCCACCACCAGAAGAACCTCCTCCACCTGAAGATCCACCTCCTTCGTCACTGCCTCCTCCTCCACCTGAAGAGCCACCTCTGCCACCAGAACCACCCCTACCACCTCCAGAAGATCCACCACCAGAAGAACCTCCTCCACCTCCATCATCATCATCTGAGGAATCTCCTCCACCTGAAGATCCACCTCCTTCGTCACTGCCTCCTCCTCCTCCACTACCACCTTCATCATCATCAGCTTCATCCTTATTTGACGAAGAAGTTCGTTGTTGAGCAGAAATGAGTTGGACGATGAGTCTTGTAATTTGTTCAATTTGATCAGGAGTTAACGATGGTTGTTGTGGAGGGAAAAGTAATTGACCTTTGACCACTGAAAACGTTTCAACTTGATGATTGTTATGAGTTGAGAAAATATGATCATCCACCACTATGGTTGTTGTGGAATATGAAGAGTCTTTCCACAAGCAACAAAGAAGAATGAACACAAAGAGACCACACAAGAATAGCTTGAAAGAGAAGGTGTGAATTCTTCTTCCGTTGTGAGGAAATGCATTCTTAAATGTAAACATGTTTTTTCATTGAAAACTCAATGATTGAAAAACGATGTTAAATTTGTGGTCTAGTTGCAACTTTCAGGATTAATCCCAATATGGTCAGGCTCACAAGAATGGAAAGCTAAATCATTTCAAGATACATTGTTTATTGCTTTAATTCGAATTTGACTTCCTTATTGAAAGATATCTTTGATAATTTTGTAAATTTATCAAAACGGAAAATGACTTTAAAAACGAGGTTACCTAAGAAGAGAATGGACAAGTGACTGGGTTGTGAACTTGTGAAAGTTCAGTTTCTATTGGTACTATTTATGAGTTCCATTGTATCCATAGTGTATCCATGGTTTTGCTCAAGGATTGTTCTATGGATACAAACTTTATACAATGAACTTTGTAAGCTTCATTAAGAATGTGACATTTGTTTAGTAGAATAAGGTTTTTGAAACATGTTGGACCGAAAACAAGTGAGTTGATTGTGAAGCCAAAGTTTTATTACCTGAAGAGTACGCGTTGCAAAAGAGATGTCTATTGAAACGTAATTTATTGTCCAGTACAAGGAATGATATTGATCAAAAAGGTAAAGATCAATGCAAAAGTTTAAACTTTAATTTATTTGAAACGAGATACAGTTGGAAACAGCTCATCCATCTACTGGTTCTTCTTGATCTTCCGACTCGAATTGTGGATAGTAATAAGGCTGTCTAGCGTACTGGAATTGATAAGAGTATGGTCTTGAGTAAGAATAATATTGTTGAGAATAATAAGGTTGTTGCTGACTGTAATAGAAAGTATAAGGAGGAGGATTGTAATACGAAACGAAATATCTTTGGTGGTAGGGAGGATCCAAGGGAATATTTTCTCCATAGATTTGCTTTTGTGCTGAAACAAGATTCGTGGACGTGAGAACGACCATGACAAGTGCTGTCATTAACAACAGCGTAACGACCACGGGCTTGTTGACGGTTTGGATCATGATGGTAAGCGATAGGATAGAGATTGGCGTAAAAACGAGTTTTTTTGTTGTTATGAAAAGAAAGAGGAATGGACTTGCTCAAGTGATCGAATAGTCCAAGTGTGGAAGGATCACAACACTCGATATGAGTTATTTCTAAAGATGGAATATAGATGAAATAAATTTAAAAAAGTAAATTTTGCATGTGTGGAAAGAGGGAGTCAGCTGTGTGTAAATGTTCCAACAATATTGACTGATGCACTATACTTTTGTATCTTGATGGACAGGTTGGTCATTGATATGTTGTTCTATTTGATGTACTTCTTTTTCCTTCATTTCTTGATTTTGATAAGGCACTGTCTGATTTTCATTCTTTGCTTCATATTGCAGAATCAAAGGATTGTATAGCAACAAGACGAAAATAGCAAAGACCAACACTCCAAAACACTGCAAAAAGTAATCAATAATATGTAAATAACCAGCATACAATGAAGTGAATATGGAAACCACGGCTGCCAATATTTGAATGAAGGCGCTTACTATCATACCAATAATCAAACCAACAATCTTAATGTAAGGTCTTTGCAAAGACTGAGCCAAATTCATACTGCTTTGATTGGATTTGGCTTGTGACACATTTTGAGAGCGTTTTTTAACAACATGCAACAATCGAGCTCCAATTGCAATAAATAGTACTGTTTCCATAATCATTACACCCAAAAAGATAAGGAAGAGAATCACATAAATGGGAGTAACATCAGTTCTCAGAATCTTCATTTTGAGGAGTAAATTGATAACTCCATTGACAATAATGAGAGCAATGAAAATCGTTGCAGAAATTGCAGTGATGACAGAAACGGACCACCATATGATCTTGTAAGTCTTTGCCGTCATTGCGCCAGCCATCTTGACAGTCTTTAAACTAATGACATTGGTGACAACAAAATTGTCAACAATCAAAACATCACCAAACTCAACTACTTACAAAATAGCCATGATGAAACTCATAATAACCAATATAGTGGCCATTTGCGAAATCACAAGCACATTTTCAATGACAGAAAACACCCACAACACCACTTGATACGAATTCAAATTCGTCACTTGCGTTAAATCAACAAATTGGTTCACTCTCAATGCAGTTCCATTATAAACCAATCTGAATATCAATCCAAAATATTGCACCAAAATGAACACTGAAAGCAAGAAGAAGAGGATTTTGTGATTTCTCTTTGTCGTCTCTCTTGCCTTATACATGATGAAACCAATCACTCCAATCAGAATGGTAAAGACTACAATAAAGAAACATGAATTGACAATGGAGGAAATGTTTTCGACGGAGTTGGGAAAGAGTTTGGAAAGAGAGGCATGCGTGACGTTCGTAGTAGTGGTACCATTGGTGTTGTTGTTTTGAGAGGATTGAAACAATTCATAGGAAGGATAAAAGAGGAATTTTGAAATATCGTACAATGAAAGCTCAGCTGGCGAAGACATTCTGATGAAAGACAATTCTTATTGCTTCAATATCTGAATGTATGGCGGCTTGGTCAAAACTACAAATTTGGAAAGATTCAAGATGATGACAGCACGTTACGGCGACAAAGATATGAACCAGAGAGATGTTGCAAAATCAATAGTTGTACCGAGGCAATGATGGTTAGGGGTATTCTAGTATCCCAGCTTGGAACGGTGGTGGTGGTTTTTTGTTTGATGTGGTTGTTGTGGTTGTCAAGTCCATCATCTAGAAGGATTTCATCGGGGTCGCGCCAAGTGCAAGAACTGGAGGCCTTATGATGGCGACAAAGGGTTGGTGGTTCGCTCTGTTGAATGCTTTCGTGAATGATTATCCTGTCTTGAACAAGGGTTCATTCATCCGAAACGGAAAACCAGACCTAAACAAGTTATTCTTTCAAGGTCATATCTGGAGAAATTGATCAAACCATGTGTGCATAAGGCATAGTTCCCGAAAGCTACACGAATGAGGATGCGTTCATAATAACCTCTTGAATGTAAGATGAATAACTTCATCTCTCCAGAAATTTGAAATAATTCTATTCAGCTATGAGCATTTGAATGAACTGATGGTTTATGATAATGGTAATTGAGAGGCTAGACCATTACTAATCGTCCTCGCAAGGAAATTGATCAACGGTCAGAAATTTAGGCTAATTAGAATTCTGCTTCAAGTCATCAACGACTGTTTCAACTCGGAATGCATCTTGTTGTAGAATTTCCTGATTTGAAATTTGTTCATGATTTGCTTTTCTAAAACTCATTCTCGGAGAGGGTGAAGAAGCGCTTCTCGCTGATGATGGCAACTGCTCATTTTCCATCATAATCATTTGTGCTTGTTGATGATGATGAGCCTCTTGATGATGATGATGTTGATCCAACAATAAGGGTCCATACAGCAACAAGACGAAAATAGCAAACACCAACACTCCAAAACACTGCAAAAAGTAATCAATAATATGCAAATAACCGACATAGAGCGAGGTTGCAATGGAAACTGCTCCGGCCAAAATCTGCAAAAACGCACTCAATAACATTCCAATAATCAAGCCTACTATTTTATAGTAAGGCTGTTGCAAGGTACGACTCATCGATGTGTTGACCTGAGAGACATTGAGAGATCTTTTTTTTACAACCATCAATAGACGAACTCCTAATGCGATGAATAATATGGACTCTAATAACATGATGGCAATATAGATGAGAAAGAGAACGAGATAGATGGGAAAGGCATTGACACGAATGGTTTGGGTTTTGAGAAGGAGATTGACTACACCTAGAGTAATGACAAGTCCAACAAAAATGATGGAACTGATCAGGGTAGTTATGGTAATGAACCACCATAGAATGGTATAGGTCTTTGCGGTCATGGCTCCTGAAATTTTCACAGTATTAATGCTATAAAGTGTTGAACACAGCATCAATGTCAGCCAATGTCAAATGTCAATAATTAAGGAAGGAATATCAACTTACAAGATGGTCATCATAAACGCCATAATGATGATAATGGTTGAAATTTGAGAAACGACCAAAACATTCTCCAACGTTGATGAAACCCAAACAGCCACCTGATAGGAATATAAATTTTCAACCAATGTCAAATCCGTAAATGAATTGACTTTCAATGAGACTCCATTATACACCAAACGAAACACTAATCCAAAATATTGAACCAGAATGAAAACACACAACAATGAAAACATGATTTTGTGATTTCTCTTCATGGCCGATCGTCCCTTATAAATAATCACTCCAATCACAGCCATCAATACGGAAAACACGACAATGAAGAAACATGAATTGGCAATCGAGTTGATGTTTTCAATGGAGGTAGGAAAGAGTGCAGCAAGGGATTCATGGGTTGTCGTGTTGTTCGAATTCGTCGTCGTATTGTCAGCAGTGCTTTGGAAAGGAGAAAGAAATTGTGAAATGGCATCACCCGGCGAGGAGTATTCTTTGATGAGAGAGAGGAAACTCGTTGGTGAGTTCTGCACTGCTTGTTGCTGTTTGGAATACATGGAACAACTCAACTCATCCAAGGATGGGAAGGAAGCTTCTTTAACCATTGAATACAAGGCGAACATGTTTTCACACAAAGCTATTGAATAACAAAACGAATTGTAATAAAAACTGGACGATGCTCTTGCGAGACTCTTTGTTTCGTTTAAATCTTGATGATGTGAAAGATTAAAGTGTTGTGATTTCAAAAGGCTTGAGGCCGGTCAGGACAAAATTTCAGGATACAACATGTACAATACCTGTCTTTTATGATCGTCTTGATGTACAGATTTTGGCCACCCTCTTCCTGATTTAATGTGAACTCAACTTCATGTGTTGGAATTTTGGGCCGTTACAAAGTAACTGTTTCCCCAAAAAGTAAAAGATATCATTTTCTGGCGATCAACAAAATGCCGAACTTCATTTCGTTCTGATTACGATTTTCATTAAGGCATCACGATTGGTCTTTGGCTTACATCAAATTGTCACTAAATGAAACAATTCTTTTACTTAGTCTTGAATGGCTACAACGACTTGGGCAGGTCTCAACACTCTTTCATTGAGAACCCATCCGCTCTTTAAGACCATAGCAACAGAGCCATTTGGATGCTTATCACTTGGTGGAATCTTCATCATGGCTTCGTGGAAATTTGGATCGAAGGTAGTTTGTTCTCCAATTTCGAGTTTGGTCACTCCATTTCTCTCCAAAACCTTCAACAAGACAGTTTCAGTCATTTTCACTCCTTCCACTGAGGTCAGCAATGCTTTTGACTTCTTTCGTAAATCTTCAGTACAATCTGGACTGTCTTGAACCAATTTAACAATTTCTGAAACGTCTTCAATGTTCAAATGTTTCAATCCAGTCTCCAAATTATCCACAACTTCCAAAAGATTCTTTGAGAACGATTGCAAAGCAAACTTCTTTGCATTATCCACATCATTCTTTGCAATACGACGAACGTTTTGCATTTCAGCAACAGCTCTCTTTAATTGGTCATCAAGCTTGTTGTTCTTTTCTTTCAATGCCTCAATTTCCTTTTCGAGTTCTTTCACCTTGGCATCATCAACGGCTTGAGTTTGTTGTTGCTTGGTTTGTTCTTGTGTTTGAGTTTGTTCCTTTTCTACGGAAGGAGTTTGTTGTTGTTGAGTAGTGGTATTGTTATTATTTTGTTGAGTTTGCTGAGCAGTGGTATTGTTATTGGTTTGTTGTTGTTGGGTTTGTTGGGAGGATGAAGAAGCTTGTTGTTCCCATGAAGCTCCGGAGTTGTTAGTATTGCTGTTTCCAAATCCAAAAACATTTCTGGTTTGAGTGGTTGAGAAGATATTGGTTCTTGCAGTGGTAAGGGCAGCAGATGATTTTTTCATCATCATGACGGAGGAACGGGAGTGGGTGGTTCCGGCCTTCAAGAGGGAAGCCAAACATTTGGATGTTGAGTGCATCATCTTTTTAGAATTGGTGGATATTGGTGGAATCTAGAGAGGGTGTGAAGGAAGTATGAAAATTGAATTTTTTTTCAAAATTCTTTTTTTGATTGAATTTTTATTGAATGAACAAAAACAGGCTTGTATGCAACCCAATCAAAAACTCAACCATTCGGAAAACGGAGACGGAGCTTGTGTTCGGGCCGTCATCTTAGACTAATCAACACTTCTCTTCCTCGAGGGAATTCATGTGTGTCGTCTTTCCGAAATTTAATTTAATATGAAACAAAATTTTTAAAAAATAATCTTCGTGTGCCAGACGTCATCATCTCTTCAGGATTATGTGTTTCTTGAATACTTCCAAATGAACAGTCCGTTACTGGATCAATTCACTCTGAAGAATCCATCCGAGCGTCTAGCGATTATCTCGACAATGTAGTTGACCAGCAGTGATTTTTCGGGATAGCACACGATGGTTGTAATTCAAGTCAAAGACCATTAATTCAGAGATTAAATTGTCTCAACTCCCGCTCAAAAAATTTACTGACTTTACTCGCCAATCTCTTGATTTGGAGACAAAGAAAAAAAAACGCCTCGACAACATTGCGCTCTTTTTTGAGAGTGATTATCAACAACAACCACAGTTTTTTGATTGTAGTGGCCCGTCGTCTTTTTATTCCTTAGTATTAATTCATTGAGAGAACAGCGTTTGAATTTTATCTCTCATTTCTGTTTACGAAGAAAATTTTGAAACTAGTCATCATCGGCATCATAGGCATCAATCATTGCTTTCAGTACTAACGTTCCGTAAGGCCATCACTTGCTCCTATAACCATCATCATCCCTTAATTAGGCATAATCGTCATCATCACCGAAAAGAATGGGCTCAGGAAGTTCAACAGCATATGCCCACGATAGGGAACCACCATTGTTTCCTCTCTATCAGGTACCCAAAGGAAACTCAAATCCCATTGTTGCTCAATTAGGAGCTTTCCAAAAGACATTTTGCGAAATGTACGACAAGGAAGGCGGAGGGAAAAATTACGAAAAGCTTAAACCCTCGAGCACTCAAAACAACACAACATTACTTGCCTCAAGAAAGCTGTGGGTCGGCTGCTCTCCTTCACCCGATTTGGAAAACCTTATTATTGCAGTGACTGATTTGCGCGAGAAGTATTTTGAAAAAGTTCTCACTCAGAAGAGTTTGAATGATATGGTAAGTTTCATAAACAACATGGTTTCTGACCGAACAACTTAAACCCATTTATGGAAATTTGCACTTTCCAGAAAAACTCACTAAGCAAAGAATTGAAGCTTGCGAATATGGAGTGGAAAGTATTCTTTGATACGCTACGAGCATCAATCACACAATCAGGAAGGTTGAGAGTGACTGTAGACGAGGCAGGCAACCAATGCAAAGTTCTTCTCGAAATGACTGCAAATAAGCAAAAGGCCGATATTGCACTCAAGCTCGCACGTATTGGAGAACCAAAAGAAGGAAAATCTCCAGACTATTGGACTCAACTTTATCATTCTTTCATTTACCCACTTTACAGTTTCTACTTGTTGCGAACTGAAACAACACCGACTGAAAGAATTGATCAGCTTGAAAGAGATCTCAAAGTAATGAAAGAAAAGTATCAATACTTTTTGCAAATACGAGAAAAGCTTGCAAAGAAGTCTGGTGAACCCAATATTCCAGTCAATGCTTCTATGGAAGAACGAAATGCAAAAGCTCTTCTTCGAAGGCAAAACAGCGAGATGGAAAGAAAAAGAAAAGAAATTGAAAGCTTGGTTTTCCCTGCTCAACAAATTTCCAAATTCCTTATTAATATCAAGAAAAAGCTCATCAAAAACAAAGCCATTACCGAAAAAGAATATGAGAACTTCAACGTAGTGATCAACTCGCTAAGATTTGACTCCATTCACAAGATTGAATTTGGAAAGAACCTAAGAGAATACGACCAAGAAGTGGTGCAGTACATCAAGACAAAATTCGTGGACGCTGCTCATTTGGGAGGAAAGTCAAAGCCAGTGGAAGACAAGAAAGCTGAGCCAGCGAAAGAACCAGTCAAGACAGTGGCAGAGCCAACCACCCAAGTCGCAGGAAGACCTGGAAAGGAAGAACTCAATAGCGTTCTAGAAAAGCTTGACAAATGGAACTATGATGTCTTCAAAATTACAGAACTGTCAAATAACCACCCTCTATTTTTTACTTCATACGCTCTCTTCCTAAAATATGACCTGCTCAACAAGTTCAATATCAACGAGAAAGTTTTAATAAGCTTTTTGAGAGAAATAGAGGCAGGCTACCAACCAAATCCTTACCACAACAACATGCACGCAACTGACGTGCTGCAGTGTACACACTACATTATAAGTAAGGGAGGTCTCTCTCAGTACATGACAGATGAAGATATTTTTGCGTCACTAATGGCTGCAATTTGCCACGACTATCAACATCCAGGTCTCAACAATAACTTCCAAATGAATTCTCACTCCTATCTTTCCATCCTTTACAATGATCGATCCGTTCTCGAAAACCACCATGTTGCTGAAACATTTGAGTTAATGAGAAGCAAAGAATTCGACGTGTTCCAAACTCTTTCAGATGAACAATACAAAGACATTAGAGAAACCATGATTCAAATGATCTTGGCGACTGACATGGCTCTCCACGCAACAATCCTAGGACGATTTAAATCTAGAATCGAGACTGAAAATGAATCATCAGAGATTGATTTTTCTGCTAAGGAAGACGTTAGATTGGCTCTTCAAATTGCCATCAAAATTGCTGACGTAAGCAATCCAGCTAGGCCTTTAAAGTTGTACCTTAAATGGGCAAAACGTATCGAAGAAGAATTTTATAAGCAAGGAGACAAGGAAAAGGAGCTTGGCTTGGCATTGTCACCATTTATGGACAGGACAAAACCCAGCTTGAACAACCTTCAATCTGCATTTATTAATTATATTGTATCTCCAATGATGAAGAGTTATTGTAGGTTATTACCAAAGATGAATTTTGCAATGGAGCACATTGCCACCAATTTGGAGTATTGGAAAGAGAATAAGACCATCAACATTGAAGATCTCCAAGACTAGATTTTTGAGCCACCCAAGCTAACGACCATTTGTAAAGATAAAATCAGCCTGAATGTTTGAACCTATTATTAATAAACATAAGACCATTGTAAATAGAACACACTTGAGTCGTGTCATCCAGATACAATGCCTTAATAACATCAGGGTCCTAATGTTTTGTCCGCACAATCTCATTGGAGAAGCAGAATTCTTAATAAGTGTTGGTAATGGACCATCATCATATTTTGAAATTCAGAACGTACACCTTCTTGTTTGCTCCCCCCAAATTCCTTCTTCTCCCTTTCTCATTGTGGTTTTAAAAAAATTTTGCAAACCTAAAATGATATTAGCTTGATGACCCAAATTGACTTCCCAATCAACACAAATTGAATCAACGTGATCAATTCTCAATTCTTCTTCTCGAGAAGACTTCTTCACCGGCAGGAACCATCCATAAAAAAATGTCATCATCCAAAACAACATCGGGGTTATTCTTACTCTTTCCGGGACGACATTTACTGACCACCAATTTTCAATTTTCATACTTGCTGAATCATTTATGTAGACCCGTATCGGAATGGACTGATTTTTATAATCATGCTTTTCATACGCAATTAAATGATCATCATCACGTCTCCCATGTTGTGTTTTGTGTGACTTCGGCCAATCAGCAAAATTCCAGATACAATCCAATACCATTCTACGTGAGATCCATTGGCTTAGATCGCTTCGGACAAGAATTAGTGAAGGCTTACGCCACTGAGAATTTGATTTCTCAAATCTCGAGAGTGAATCGAGAAAATGATGAAATTTCAGAAGACCTATTGATGAATGATTTGATACCAGATCAAAGACTCAAATATTCCATCGTTCCGGTACCACATTTTAATCCTTCTGACAAATTTGCAAGCAATTTAATCAAGTTAACGAGAGAGCATTCAGAGGGAGAATTGATGCTACATCCTGACAATACCATAGTATTATCAAGCACGATGGATGTCATTAAACAATTTGACAAGTTGGGCTATTCTGTAATTACTGCAGAAATGCAAAGATGCAATGGCACTAATGAGAAGGAGTATGAACTTGTAGCAAATCTTCCTGTTCAAGTATTAACCAAAATGGTTGATGAAGTAGGTGACGGTCATGCAAGTCACAAGAATTGGCCTCTCAGCAAAATTGTGGAGTCAGACATGCACAGAACTACAAAATCAACATGGATCGATTTTATTGATGTTCCAAAAAGAATATTTCGATTATGGAACGATCCTATTTTGAACGACTCTGGTTCGTTAACTGAGACGCGTAACTATGATACGTATGCATGGGAAATGTCTAACACGACAGTCATTAATTTGAAATGGAACGATATAAAGAATTTTGTGAAAACTGGAAAAATTGTTGATGAAGGATGTGCCGATGGAGCATTGCTACTTTGTATTTCTAAAGATTACCCGGATTGTGACTTGATTGGTGTTGAAATTACCACCGAATTTTTAGCTCGATGTCATGAAAGACAGAGACTAGGACAGTTTGGTTCAAGTTTTGTTTTCTTTCATCAACGAAACATTACCAAGCCGATATTTGAGGACAATAGCATTGACACTACTATCTGCAATAGTACCATTCATGAATTGTACTCATACTCACCCGTTGGAACTCAAGAAAAAGTCGTCAAAGACTATTTACAGTTCAAGTTTAATCAATTAAGACCTGGTGGACGACTCATTGTTCGAGATGTGATTGGACCTGAAGAAAAAGACAAAACTGTATTATTGTGGCTCAATCACAAAGATGGTAAAAACTATTGGCTTCCTTCAGATCCACAACAACAAAGATTAGAATATGAACACAAGGTACAAACGACAGTGAAAGGCCACACTGGAGCCATGCTTCAGTTATTGAACGAGCTTTCCACTTTTGCATTATTCGATCGTTTTGTCAAAGATTTTGATTTTAGTAAGGAAATCTACAACACCATGGAGTACTATGAAATCGATGGAGAATATTTTGTGAAAACAACATTACGAGGAGCCGCCGAGTTCATGCTCACAAAAGATTATCACAACAATTGGGAAAGTGAAATGCATGAAACATTTACATTTTGGTCCTTGTCCGATTGGAAGCGTGAATTGAATCGAATTGGATTTAAAGTCATTGAAACAGCTGAGAGCAGTAGTGCCAATCCAGTGGCTGCCACTCGTTCCTATACGAATGAATGGATTGCAAAACATAGATTTGAGGGACATTGCAAGATTTATGAATGCCCAAAAATGGATGACCATCAAGAGGCTCTTTCGTTGAAAACTCTGAAAGAATTGCCTCAACCTCCAACGAATGTGATTATTGTATCAGAAAAACCGTCCTATGAATACGAGCTGATGTAAATATGAGTTGGATGTATTTGATATTACAAATGATAATTTATTTCTGTACAAGTGATCACTTGTCAGGCCACACACATCAACAGATTACTTCTTTGTGACAATGTCACTTGTGGAACCAATTGAAAATCTCATGAATAAATCTCCCATAGGTTGTGAAGCTAGAGCCATCTCCTTCTTCATTCCCGTCAATTTGCCTTCCACTGCTTTCCAATATTCATCATTTCTCAACACAAACTTTCGTTCACGTCCTTGATTATGTAAACGAAGTAAAAATCCAACTTTCAGTCTGACTTCACCCATGTATTGATCTCTTGTTTTTTCATAATCCATACACTTGACAATTAAAGTGTCATCATAATCAAAGATATGAATGGTGTGAGTTTCATGCCAATCTGGATGAATAGTTCTATTACACAACTTGGATCTCACTTTTTGCTTTTTCGCTCCTTTTCTCGAGTTCTTTTCATTGAGTTTAATTCTGAGATATGGATCTGCAGAACCATGATCCACTGGAATGAGATTTCTTCCTTTGATAATTTCAATCTTAATTGCCTCTGGTTTCAGTGAAATATACTTTGGAATGAGATCGACCAAATTCTTTTCACCTGCTCCCATAATTCTCCATCCTTCTTTGGTGAATTCAATCACACACATCGTGACCACAACTTCATTGTCACTTTCGTCACCACTATCATAGGAATCATCATCAACCTCGTCGATCGCATCTTGATTCTTTTCAACGAGTGTCTTCTTTGGAGTATATTTATCAAGGAAGAGAGATCCAGAAGCTTGAACACGAACCAATTCCTTTCCTGATCGCATATCCACGACACGCGAATAGATTTGTGACTTGTCATTCAAAACACTTCTTGATTTGACTTCAATATTTGCAACAATATATTTCACAGTGGAACTTTCAATCAAATCTTTCATACGAATGTCAAATTGTTCTTCATCATCTTGTGTGTAAATAGTTAAAAAGTTAATCGGACGATGTTTCAATTTGGCATCCATGTCACTATAACCTTCATAGACTTTTCCCAAATAACGACCAAAATGATCATAAATTTCAACTTCAGCATTGAGCAAATGTTGTTGTCCACCATTTCCAACAATTCCAAAACCAAGAACTAAATCTCTACAATCTTTGTGGAATTCCTTAGTGACAGAGTCCTTGTTGGGAGTTGGAACTGTGAAAACATCACATGAAGGTTCACTAATGTCAAATTGACATTTCTGTAACATGGAACGTAAATATCTTCGAGCTGGAGATTTAAAGGTAACAATTTCATCTAACACTTCAATGAACCATTCATCTTTCTGTCCACTACGATACGCAATGACTGCTAAATTTGCATCTTGTTGCCAATTGAATTCTTGTAATGCTTGTTCACTTCCATCAATGTTGAATACATTGGTTAATTTTGCAACACACATGTCTACCTTTTCATCGACATTCCATAATCTAAAGCAATTGATTCTATTTTCAGGAATTAATGAATAATCCAATGCATCTTCATCTTCATTGGTAATAATGTCCTTAAATTTCAATAAGAAACACATGAAATAGGGAGCATGTGATTCCTTGCTGTATGTTAAATCCATTCTGTGGAAGGATGTTAAACTTTGGAACATTTGATCTTGTCTTGGAAGATGTTCAGTACCGGTGTGTTCTTCTTCTTCTTGTTTCAATGTGAAAGATTCACTCATTGGAATGTTCATATTGTGATCACTCTTTTTGGAGAGGGCTAATTTGCGCTTTTTAAGATCATTGGCTTCATTGACCATGGTTGGTTTTGCACCGGTGAGAAGTTTTCCATATTGTGAAAATTCCAAGACTTGAATGGAGTCTAAATTTTTCACAGTTGAGAAATCAAATCCAACAGTTTTCACTTCTTGTTTTGGAATTCGGAAACATTTTGGTTTTTCCTTCTTTGGTTCTTCAGCGGTGACTGTCAAATCCAAATCGGAAGCATTGCTCACTCTGAGAACGACGTCTTCCTTGTCAAGCGTTTCGTTATTGTCTCCTTCTGAGGATTTGTTTTCTTGTTGTTGCTGTTGCTGCAATAACTTTTCACGCTCTTGTTCTTCAATTTCAGTTTGTGTCGCTAATTCCAAACATGGAGGTAACTCAATCGTGGGAACATGTTTCTGAATTTGAGATTTCAAATGAGGATCAATCAATGGATGAACTCCCAATGAATATTCACCAATGTTACTAATTCTCCATTTAGTGAGTCCAATAAAGCTTCCTCCATACATGTTTCCAATTTGATTCTTTGAAGGTGCTGTCAAATTGGCACTTGACAAGTCATTGGGATTTCTCAAACATGTGAATCGACATGCAATAAAGCTTTGATAAGCTCTTTCTGAAGTGTGAAGTTGATATCTATACAAATCTCCAGCTGAACTTGTGGTAATTTTCACATAGGGATCTTTCAGTTCTTGGAATCCAGAATCTTGTGCATTCGAAGTTGCAGTGACCACCACAATAATGGAATGCACAGATTTTGGAAGACGTGACAAATCTACTTCTGCACACAAATCACTATCATTGCCAGTCATATCTCTATTTCCTTTCAAGAAAATGGCAGCAGGTTTTGGTTTGTGAAGTCCAGATCTTGGTGATTTGAGAGTCATACTTGAAGAGGATTGAATGAGAAGAGGAGAAGTACGAGGAGAGCCCATTCCAGAGGTGGTATTGGTAGTATTCGAAGAAGGAGCGTTCGCGCTTGCAGTAGTTCCGGTCGTTGGAGCAGTAGTCGTGTTTGGATTGGCACTTTCCAATTTGACAAGTGACAATTTGGTCGTGTATTGATCAATGTGACCTAAACGAGCTCCGTATTTACCAAAGAATAAAACAGTGGCTGTGAGATAATATCTGGAATAGGAACGGCCAGAAAGTGATTGCCATCCAATATAGATTTTGATCCTATCCTCATTAAACGTGTATGATTTTTGAATATTCACAGTTGGAGGTTCTTGTTTTTCAAGTTGTGTCTTGTCCTCTTCTTCATTGGATTTTGCGAGCTTGTTATTTGCTTCTTGAACTGTGAATTCATCTCGTGAAATTGGAATGAATGGTGACTTTTCAGCACTCGTTTCCAAAACAGTTTTCAAATAATTTTGAGCTTCTTCGACAATCAATTGATCGATTAAAATAGATCCTGTCAATTCTGAATACACACGAACGATATATTCTTCATCTTCATCATGATCTTCGTCTTTAAGAATGGAGCTGAACACCATGGAATCAAGAATTTGATTCTTCTTCTCTTCTTGTCTCAAATGAATAATATACGTCAATCGATTTTTCATGGAAATGAAAATATTTTCCGGAAGCACTCGTTTACACATGGCGTACATGAATGAATCCATAAATCTTTCATGAGTGGCAATGTCGACTTGCTTTGAAACAATTTGCCAATAATAATTTGCTTGAGTCGTTGATGTGTCTTCATGTTCCTGAACATTTTCTGCTTCTTTCAAATGTCCTTGTGAAATTGCTGGACTAGGACTTGCAGAAAGAGAATCTGAATTTTGAGTTTCATCATCCATTTCGTCTTTGATACTTTCCTTTTCCTTTCCTGGAATGACGGTGGTAATGGCTTCAGCATCTCCACCACGTAGTTGAATAATTGCAAACACTTGTCCAGATGCATCTTTTGAAACATCTAAATTGGAAACAATGACACGTTTCAATGGTGCTTTTTCATTGTCACTTTGTGTGAATTGATATAAATTACAAGTGACATGTGAAAGTTCAGATAACACTGTTCCTGGATAGCAACAAGCCAAAAATACAATACAACGAACTTCGTGGTCAACTTTTGAGAGATCAAGTTGAATATTTTCATTTGCTTCTTTGAGGGCTGTTTCGAGAGTGATGTTGTCTTTAAGTGGTTCCTTGCTGTGTGTGAAAGAAGTTTTAACAAATGATTGTGTGTGATTATTTCACAATTTTGATAGACGACAAATTTTGTGTGAAGTCACACATGGAGACATTGGTGAGTGTTCAATTGAATCCATAAAGAAACAGAAATTAGTGGTTGATGACATGTCAAGTTCGATATCCATTATTTTGATATCATTGGATTTGTGTGATTGTCATTTCATCATCATCATCGTCAATTGTGAATATTATTATTCACAGGTAACAAACATCCAGATCATCATCATGATGAAGAATCAATGTACCGATAACTTACGCTTGACTTGCTGAAGAAGAATCTAAATTTTGATTTCCATTTCGATCATCTCCTCCATGTTTCATTCCACTCACGCCATTCAAATTATTAAAAAAACAAACATCATGGATACCACCTTGTTTATTGACAAGGATGGCTACTAAATCGAGGTCGTGAGTGGATGTGGATGATTTACTTTTCCATTGTAATGTTGCGATGAATTGTTGTTGTGAAAGTTGGGATTCAGAGTTATTGTTGTTGTTGGAAAAGTAGGGAAGATTGTATTTGTGGTCGTGGGTATCTAGGAAGGGCAAGGGATGAGAGTTGGGAGGGAGTTGATGAGAGGACCCTTGGTTTGACATTTTTTATGTTGTTGTCTCTCTTGAAAATTGACAGGTGACTGTTTGATGACGATTTAAAAAAAAACCTCAATGCCAAGTGAGGGGCATGTAAAATGTTTTTTCCAATCGATTCATAGTATTGAAAATTAAATGAATATGATGTATTCGTTAATATCATATGGAATTATCATGTTCATGGAATTGTTTTTTTTCAATATCTTGCAAAAATGATTTAGGCTGTTCGTTTTCCATCTTCTGATTCACGTTCCTCACAGCCTTCGCCATAATCTTCTGGTTTCTCATAGAGATAAGAAGATGGCAATACATCAATTGTTGTTTGAAAAAGTGGTTTTCCATAAAACTGGTGCAATTGCAGAACTTTAAAAAAAATTGTTTTGAACATTCATCGCGGCTGTTCCATTTTCAGAGAAGCAGAACAACAATTGTCGGATCTTGAGGAAGTGTTTTAAAAATTAGAATCGGGAGATTCAATTAGAAGCTTCTCAAGTTGTTTTCAACAAAGAGTATTGATATTGAAATTGAAAAATTATTAATGATTAATTTATAGCAGTAATAATTGTTGTAATTAATTATATAATTTGATCGAGCCCAACAGACGGATTTTCTTTCTTTTGAATTATACAGGAGTAGTTTTGAGTCTTCCACAAAACTGTCCAAATATTTGTACATTCCGATTGGCCACAATTTATTGGAATTATTCATCAATCTTAATTTTTACCTTGAATCATGTTGCAACCGAATCATCAGCACTCAAGACTTTCCCATGATTATCATGAGGAATCTACCATTCTGAACACCTCATCTTCACAATATCAGCAATCACAACGCTCCAATTCAACACCCACAAAAGTCTACGGAGGAGGTACACCCATTCCCTATTCCGATGAAAATACAACACTTCAAGTAACACTGCCTCCTCATCATCAGCGAGGTATTAGATCATCAAGTAGTAGTTTGGGTGGAAATTCAGCACAACTTCGAGCTCAAACCAAAAGCCCTCCATCTGCAACGTCAAGTAATAGTAGCAACAATTATGGATCATACTCTCCCAAGACCTCCCCTTTACCCAAGGAAGAAGTTTCAACATCTGAATGGACAGTTTTACAAACACAGAATCATGACCAGCTGTTTCCTTTGGAAGGACACGCAACAATTTATTGGGAACAAAGTTTGGAAGATGAAGATGATTTGACACAACCAAATCAAATGACATTGAATAGAACCTTAAATATGATTGTTTTATATGGAGGAACTGGCCCAATCCGTGGCAACACAAATCAAGTGTATTGCATGGTTCCAAAACATTCTGGAAATATCACTTCGAGCTCAAGCACCCCTCATTTGTCATCATCTTCTTCTCTTTCGAGCGCACAACAACAATTTAAGTTTCAATGGGTGTCACCTCCAACACATTACATATCCGCCTATAATCCAACTCCTGTTGTGGGAGAGAAAAATATTATTCAGAAAAAGTCCTCAAAGACAAATGTGCTCTCAGGAGCATCTTCCAGTAACGATAGATCTGGATCAGCTTCTCCAAGACGTTCGTCATTTGAATCTCTTTATATAGACGATGGCTCTGCTGAGATACCTTTATTTAAATCAAGATATGACCACTCGTTTGTTTTATGTGGTAATAATAAGGCATACATGTTTGGAGGTAGAAATGGCATGTTCTCTAAAACGCCTTTGCAAGATTTTATTTTATATTCTCTAGACATGAATATTGAAAACCAATTCACATGGGAAATAGCTCATGTACCTCCTAAATCAGATAGAGAACTCTCATTCTTGAAACAATCACAAAAAGATGTAAATGATTTGTACAATAGAGAATCACCCTTGCCTCGGTTTGGCCATGCATGTTGCGCAGTCAACCAAAAGCAGTCTGTTCTTCAACCCATCAGAAGTACAAGCTCCATATCCAATAGCGCAGCAAATCTCGATACTGGTTCAGAAAGTGACTCGTTATCAGACTTGTCTGCAGGAGGAGTTATGAACAACAACAATGGAGGATATGGTGAGAGTACTACAAACTCCTCAGGTGCTAGCTCAAGCTCAGCTCGATTCAACAGTGATGGAGGAGTGGTTTTGGATTGTGCCATGTTATTATTTGGAGGTGTTGCTATTGTTGACTACAGATCTAAGAAGTGCAAGGAAACTAGTGACTTTTGGATGTTTAATTGTAAGGAAAGAAAATGGCTGCATTATCCTAGTATCATCCAACGATATTTCAAAAACTCGTCGAGCATTCTTCAATCCAAAACATTGGATGATTCACAATACATGCAAGAAATATCTCTCTCGTCAAGCGGTGGTAATCAAGAAAAGAAAAGAGCTTCTCAGACCTTAACAGCCAACCGAATGTCCATACACAGCGCCTATGTGCCTGAGGCAAGATATGGCCATCAGATGTGTGTTGTTTCCAATTCACTAGTGTTTGTTATTGGAGGAGCTACGTATGCAAAAGACAAAATGTACAAGGATATTTGGATGTTGTCTCTCAACACGTTTGAATGGAGAAAGGTTAATCTTTCGCATCACAAATCGAACGAAAAGTATATTCAGAAAATTCCAATTCGATATGCCTCTCACGTTGTGATTGGAAGAAGAGTTCTTATGTATGGCGGACAGCTGTCATATGATACTGGAAATTATTTAAAAGAGTTGCTTTGTTTTGATACTGAAACATACACTCTCTCTGTCATTGAAAACAGTGTCTCTCCACGATTTGACACTGGACTTGTAAAACAAACCATGGTTCTCTATGGTATGGATATTTTGATTATTGGAGGCAAGAGAGGCGTTTCCTCATACAGATACAATGACAGCGTCCAACAATTTTCTCTCAAGTTACTTTCAGTGCCAAAGACCAATCAAAAATTCCTTAGAGAAAATACCAAAATGAAAAAGTCAAATCAAATCTTGAATCCAAACGAGATTGATTATCAGATACAAATTTTTGAGAGCGCAGAGGACGAGGAGGACGAATTCTCTGCCGCCAACTCGGTAAAAATTCAATTAATTGCACAAATTTTGATGAGCGAAATGTCAACGAGTGATTATTCAAGAAAAGAAGCACTCAAATACCTTTCAGAATTTAGACAAATTGACATTGTTAAACAACTATTCAGAGACCCATCCATACACAAAGCTTTGGCAACTATTATGCAATCAGGTTCAAAATCTGATATAAGACAAACAGCTAAGGTACTTTTACGTTATTTTAAAGATACCGATCAAGGCACTTTACCATTTATAATTGCTAGACAAGTTTTGAAATTTGTAGAGAGCTACCTCACTCTGATCAATTCCCTTATTCGTTTAGGAGAGCCCATTAGACAAACATTGCACATTGACTACTTGAACCTATTTCATTTAATGTGCCAAAATTTTGAATATTATGAGTCTCTTTCTAAGGAGATTATATCAGTATTCCACCAATGTTTCAGGATGCATAACCCTCTCTGCAAAGCGTCACTTGATGTATTACAATTAGCAATATCCTCATTTTCCTTTTTATCACTCAACGCCATGCATTTTGCATCTAAATGTGACAAAGATCTTTGTGCTACACTTCGTCAATTTATCACACAATCAGAAGATGCAAAAGCAAAAGCTCTTCAGCAAAAGGATAACAAGGAACTTCAAGGTTCAGTTATGAAATTAGATGAACTGCTCATGCGCCTCAAAGAAGCTCTCGCAAAACTTTCATCTCGAAGCAAAACCATCAAGAAGCATCTAGGACGAACACTAAAAGGTCACAATGATGATGACGACCTGGATGTATGAGAAAGAATGCTCTTTTATAAACATCTCTCTACGGACATTCAATGATTTTGTGTGTGCAGATGGTATTGTCTTAATGACAGTTCAGAAGAACGTTTTACTTCAGCAAAGAATGATAGCTCATGACAACCAAGTTCATTCTTCAACACTCCTCAATAGTTGACCCAATTCGACAAATTCGAACAATTTAAGTCAATTCTCATGTTATCCGTTCTTCTCTGTGTCATGCGTCAATGTATGAAGTGTGCATGAATACAACCGTTACGACCCATCAAGACGAATAATACAACGACAATACATCAGAAGACCAAGATATCGAGTTGTTGAACCAAATCATTTCCCACCAAAAGCATTACTGTTTCGCTGGTTTCATCCAATTTCTTCATACAAAAAAAATTGTTCACATCTAGTCATTTGACATTTGGCATTTGAACTAGAACCCACCCTTGTACATCACAACAACCCTAGTTGAGCTAGTCATTTCAACAACTCCTTTTTCATCATACATCTGTCCAATTTCCTTTCACTCGACCCGACTCATCCATCAGCCATTTTAAACACAAAAAATGTCCACAACAACTTTCGAGCAAACCAGTACACTTACAACTCCGCCTGTGATTAAAACAACAACAACCACTCTTCCATCGTCAACCAATGTCTCTGCATCAAAACCATCGAACAAACCACAGGAACGAGTAGCCATCATCGGAGCAGGTTGGTACGGTTGTCATTTGGGTGTACAGTTGAAGAAATTAGGATACCAAGTAGTCATCTTTGAAAAGAACTCGGACATCTTTTTGGGTGCTAGTGGTTTCAACCAATTCCGTCTTCACAAAGGATTGCACTATCCTCGTTCCTATGTGACTCGTGTGCAATCATTGAAAGGTTTTGATCATTTCATGGAAAAGTATTCACACTTGACCACACAAGTCGATTATAACTTGTACGCAATTGCAAAGAGAAATTCTTGGCTTGACTTTGGAACCTACAAACAAGTCATGGATGCCACTAAAATTTATAACAAACCCTTCAATCATGAACACTTTGGATTGACAAATTTGGAAGGATCCATGTTGTGTGATGAGAGAGTGCTCTACCATGCAGCTCCAAGAAAGTTCTTTAGAGAACAATTTACTGAACAGGAACTCTTGTTGAATACTCCTGTTAAAAAAGCAGAACAGGTCACTATTACCAGTTTTGTGAGTCCACAATTTGAAGAAGATGACCAAGAGGACAAGACAGCTAGCAATTTGAGCTCTCCTGAATGTTCCGATTCCTATCTCTATGAATTGAAGGAAGAACAAAATCGTTTTTCTAAAATTAAGATCAATGATCGAGACGATTTAACCTTTGATTGGTGTATTTCATGTACCTACAACACATTCCTTGTCACTCCATCGCTCAATATTTACTATGAACCTTGCATTTCTTTGATTTATAAGGATATTCGTTCGGACCCATTCCCTCGTGTGGCCATGACCATTTGTGACGGTCATTTCTGTTCTCTCTTCCCATACATTTCTGGTCCTGAAGAAGAAAAGAGAATTGCACAAAAGTATGCCAATTCCGATTTGGGAGTTTTGAAACATCACACTAATGGTCACATGAATGGTAGCACTACCGATGGACAATACATTATTCCAAAAACTAAAGGTGTTGTGTTAAATGATGACGATGATGACGCCACCGATTCACCAACAACTCGCTCACATATTCACCGTCAAGCCAACGATGAAGACGATGTTGCAATTTTATATACCTTGACCTCAGTTGGTCACACTCCACTCGGTCAATACAATTCTTGGAAGAAAGCTGAAGAGAGACGTTTGCAAGTTGAGAAAAATCCAGAAACTGAAGTTGCCAAATTGATTCCATTATTTGAACAAAATATTTTACAATTCTATCCAAGCTTCAAGCAACACTTCCAATATCATTCATTCTTTACATCCATGAAGACTAAACCATACGATGCAACTGATAGTCGTGAGTGTACAGTGGAACGTGAAGGACGTTTTATTAGTATTATGAGTGGTAAGGTGAATAGCTTGCATGTAGCTGAGAAGGAAGTTCTCAAAATTTTGAATGAGAGCAAATCTCGTCGTCGTTAAACCATGTGACATTGGAAAGAATTGACATTCCACTTGTGTGAAACAACCTCTTTTCCAAGCCATATTTCACTCTTTTTTAAAAACTTTATTTATTAAACCTCTTGTGTGTAAATTTTTGAAATTAACAATGATGGGCTTGCAAAATGTCGTTTGTTCGCAGCAGCGGAGAATAGTTTTTGAAAATAAAACAAAAAAAAATTCCTTGACTCATGCTAAGGGACATTTTCACATCGGAGAAGGGATCCGAAGGATCGTCCTCAAGTAATGCTGGTGCTTCTCGTTCTGGAAATCCTTTGAGCGGATTCATCAATCCAACATTACAAAATATTCAAAAACAAGAGGATTTTTATTCCCATATACAACAGGGTTCATCTTCGTTGCAGCAGAATCATCATCATGAAGCCTTTTCTCCTTTTCAATATAGTTCAACAACAAATGGTAGAGTATCGAGTGGGGATTCGGCTACTCTTTCACCAATGAGTAGAATGAAGATGAAGGAGAGAAGTGAGCGTATCACTCGACACTTGTATCCCGATATGAATGAACAAACAAATCAATTGAATCAAAGGTTCGGAGCGATGAATATTGGAGGCTCAAGTAGCAGCAATAATTATTCGGGTAGTTCTTCCATGTTTTCATCTAGCAATATGGGAGATATGGGCGAAGAGAATGCTGGAATGTTTTTACAGAATCATTCGTTAGATTCGTATTTAAATATGTTGCAACAGCAAGTACAATCCATCGGAGAACATATTAATCAAGAACAAGGAGTGGCTACTCAATTACATGAACCCTATATTTTCCTAACCTCACAAACAACAAATCCCTATTTGCAACATCAGGACCATCAATATCAAAATTTGTATGAACTAGCAAAAAGATTGTTATCCCAAGAAAATCAACAAAACGCAACAACAACCAATACGGAACAAGCAATTCTTGCTTTGGAGGCTCAAGTGATTTTAGAGCCACATCATGCAGATGCTTGGTATGCTTTGGGACAATGTCATGCAGAGTGTGATGACGATGCAAGAGCAATTGCTTGCTATGCAGAGGCCTTTAAGCAGGATAATAATCACTTGGATGCACTCGTTGATTTGGGTGTGTCCAATGCTAATGAGCTTCAAAAACATGTATCGTTGATGTATTTGAAACGTTGGATCACGTCACATCCAATTTACGCCAGCGTAATTGGAGATTTATTGAAAGAAATAGAAATGGATGATCATGTATCTGCTACAATGGTTGACTTTTATCAAGTACATAGCAAAGTGAGAAAATTATTTGAGAAAGCTGTGGCTGAATCACCAACAAAGGATGCCAAACTTTATACTGCATTGGGCGTACTGTACCATCTTGTAAATGATTACGAAAATGCTATTCAACAATTCAAAATGGCGTGTCAAACAGACCCTACAAACCATAGCTTATGGAACAAGTTAGGAGCTACTCATGCCAACGCCAAAAAACCAGAATTAGCCATTGAATGCTACAGAAGAGCTCTCAACTTGAAACCAGACTATGTTCGAGCTTGGGTCAACCTTGGTATTTCCCACAGCAACCGAGCCGAATATGAAACTGCAGCCAAGTTTTATTTGAGAAGTTTGAAACTATGCCCTCGAAATAACCATGTTTGGTATTATTTGAGCTATGACTTTAGTTGTCTCCAACGAAAAGATCTTGTTGAGAAATGCAAACGCAGAAATGTTGATCTTTTCAAATCAGATTTTCAATTTTAACCATGTACATTTTTCCACGCCCCATTCATCTTTCATTGAAATTCTCTCATGTCAACATCATCTATTCAAAAGTAAATAGGTTGTTGCAATAATAGTGATCTCGCACATAGGTGTCAACTACACGTTCAACAATTTGTTTTGAATTTGGTCAAAGATCAACATTTGTGTTGAATATTCCGACTAGTATTGTTGATATACATGCATGGATTTCCTAAATTATTTTGAATTGTTCCCATTCTTATTGTGGTCGACCAACAACCTATGGCCCACCAAGAAATTATGATTTGTACCCTCAATCGATCTATTTATTAAACATGTTTATTACCATTCTTATTGTTTAAACAAATTTCCAAACAAAGAAAAAAATGCCTCCAACGAAAAAGACAAAACTCACTCAAGAAGAACAAGTCGAAGAAGAGAATTTTCAAAAACTTGCCGATATTCAAAATCAAGTCGCCAAGCTTGATGAAGAATTGGAAACTGAGATTGCTCTATTGCAGAGTAAATATGATGCGTTGAAGAAGCCATTTTATGAATCTAGGAAGCCTTTGATATCGGGAATTAAGAACTTTTGGGCCGATGTGGTAGGTTTGGTATTGATGGTCGTTATATGATCCTCATCGTTTGTATTTTGAAATTAATGTTGGATCGGCATGAATAATATTTACATGAAATGTTGATGAAAATCATTTTTTTTAAAACTCGTGATGATGATCTGATTCGGAACATTGTTCGGAATAATTTCCACAGATTTCAATACATCCACTCTTTTCGAAAATGTTAAATGATACAGAACTTGAAATTTTGAAATACTTGATTGACATTGAAGTTGAGAATGATATTTCAAAAGATACAAAATTCTTTAAAGTTACTTTTAAATTTAAAGATAATCCGTTTTTCACAAATTCAGAACTGTGGAAGCTTATTAGATCCAAACCTCAAGAAGAAGCTCCAGAAACACAACAATCAGGTATTAAATGGAAGGAAGGACAACATGTTTCGTCCTCAGAAGGAGACAAGAAGAGAAAACATCAACAAGACCAAAGCTTGTTTAAAGTCTTTGTTGAAGAGACGGAATACGATGAAGATTTTATTTCCATTATTGTTGATGAAATTTATGCTAATCCTTTGAGTATCTTGATTGGTGACGATGAAGAAGAAACAGAATGAATGAAAATAAATGAAACAAGGTGTATTTTTGAAACCTTTTTATAATATTGTGTTGAACATGGCCTAATTAAGGCAGTAAAATTCATGAGTTGACTTAGAACACACATTTACGACCACCTAAGCTTGTAAAGCCATCAAGACTTCGTTCTTTCGACGACTCGTGGTACTTCCCCTACTCACACCACAATAACTGGCCACCCAATCGTAACATGAACGAGGTGCTGCTTGTTTTTGCTGAGCCCTTCCTTCTCTCCATTTGGCAATAATAACCATTGTTACTCCAAACAATATAAAGGCTGCACCAGGAATGACGAACGGCGAGACTCTCTCGTGCAAAAACAAAAAGGCCATGACACTTGTCACAATAGGGTTCAATGTGGAATAGACTCCAATCACGGTAGGAGTGGTCAAGCTCGAGGCCTTGGAGTTCAACACGAAAAACAAGGCACCATGAACAAGTCCACCATAAAACAATCCAACGTATGCCATCTTGTCCATTCTCAAAGCGACTTGCAAAGGTGAATATCCAAAATCAGCCAATGAAAAATAGAGAGCTGGTAACAATGGCACAACACTTCCAATCAACCAAGTCCAAAATGCCAATGTCAATACTGGGAATTTCTCTTCTTGCAACACTTTTTTGAAATTAATTAAATACAGAGCATAGAAGAACATATTCACACATAAAAAGAGCATTCCAATAGTGAATGAAAATGTTGCAATAAAGCTTGCAAATCCACTAGTGGCTGAATTGTCATCATCTGGAGGAGGTGGAGCTTTCTTATCACTCAGGACGGTTGAAACAACTAACATGGCAACAGCTCCCAACACTGCAACAATGACTCCAATAATTTTCAATACAGATCTTCCTTCTCTTTTCAAAAGAATGGACAGGATGCATGTAATAATGGCCACCACTGTATTAGGTTTCATCCATGAATGGAATGAAAATTGTGAAAATGATTCATTGAACATTTGTCATTGTAAAATTAATTAAAAAAAACATTCATATGCCATACTTACTGGGCTGCATGATACCAGCAATGGTAGCATTGGTCCATCTTAATCCCAAGAAGAACAAAATTTGATTCATGTTAATAAAGAAGCCCAACCAGAAAATCTTTTTAAATTGTTTCCAAGTTGGAATTTTTGAAAGAATGAACCGTACCACTCGTTTCACAATGTTTCGAGTGGAATATTTGCTTTCCTTGGCAAGTTCTAACGTGTCATCATTGATAGACTGATATCTACTGTTTGTACTTCCACAAAATAAAATATTCTCCACAAATGTCACTTGTCGATTGAGTGTCTTTGTTTTTCGAAATGAAAATTTTGTAAAAACTGCAGCAGGAAACAATCCTATCACAATTAACAACGACCTAAATAATGCAAAGATGGTTGGATGCATTAACAAGATAGCATGCGGTATCAGCACAACATAACCTCCAAACGTAAACAATGTGGTCAATAACAGTAAATGAGCCAATAACTGACTAGAAGTAAACCAAACAAATGCTTTTTTTAGGAATCTCCAAAGAGAGAATGGTTGATCTGATTCTCCATCATCATCGGAAGATGAACTATCTTCATGAATGAGTGAATTTTCATCTTGTTTTTCATCCTCTCCATGATCATTGACGGAATGGTTGATCGTTGCTGTTTGATAATAGAGCGAATTTGGAATGATATGTTCCACTTGTTTCATGGTCGTGGTCGATTTTAACGCTGGAGATTGTAGCAATTGTTTCCTCTCTTCCTCGTGTTCATTTTCTTGGGATCTTTCGAATGGCATTGTGTATAGAATTGTGTTTTGAAATTGTTTGAAAATGGGTGTGAGTACGGTAATTAAGAACGTTCGTCGTGATGATCCAAGTTGTTCACATTCAAGTGAAGAGCTCTTCTCAACGATGAAAGAGAAAACGGAGGCTCAGAAGGCTTTTTTTTCTTATCGTTATTGATTTCTTATTGAAAAACTAAATGGAATTTCAAAGTGTTGTTGTCATGTACTCCGGAGTGGAGAAATGCAACTCCTGGACGAGAAACATGCGAACAACAAACACCGAAATGTTACTCAGGACGAAATGATAGACCTTGTTCATGTTGTAATGAAGAAGAATGATTCACGAGAGTTTGCTGAAAAGCAAAAAACCAAACGAGAATCATGTGGGTACTGAGAGAGGATCTAATCCAATTATGGTGAATTTCAAAAAATTGCTTCATTCAATAATAAGGAATCCATCCATGGAAGTCCTTCAAACCCTTATTCTCATTCCACGTCCGTGTGCACATTCAGTGTTGGTTCGTATTAATTTCTCATTCCGATGCTCTTTTAATATTCAAATTCAAAAGTAAATTCATTAGAGAGTTCCAATCCTCCAAACAATCACGGTTCACGAACTCTGATATTTTCATCTCAGAATCTGAGCTAGCATGAAATGTTCCTTCCGAGTTACAGCCTCCAACATTCCCTTCTCGGTATGATGAAAGAAAGAGGCTTTTGCAAGAAAATTACGGAATTAAAAAAAAATATTTTTTCTTTTCAAACGGTCAATTGTGTGGTTGCCATCATCATAAGCCTCTGGAAAGGAGTTACTAGTTTGAGCCTTTGTTCATCAAGTCAGTTACGACGGAACACGAAACTTTTAAAAGAAACTGAATCAACGACATTTTTGTTGTTGTTTATTGAAAAAAACGCACGCTCTATTTCTCATCTTTTCACCTTCATCATCAAAAACCGTTTTAAATATTCTTGTTTGGATATTATTACAACAATAATAATATTCAAAACATCATCGTTATATAATTAATAACAATCATCATGTACCGGGGAAGACACCATGCAACTTTGTTAAACTCTGACCGAGGAGGTTCGTCTATGAAAGAGAGAGACTCGTCCAACAAATTTGGAAGAAACCCTTTTCGTCATACAACTAGGTCTTCGGTTTCATCACCTCCTCCACCTCCACCAGTGACTCATTCAATGGGAAGTGGTGGTACCACTACGACTTTGGGTAGCAGTAACAGTGAATCAAGGAATGTAAGCAATAATGATGGTAGGAAGCCTTCACCACCTCAACCACCTCCACCTCCACCACCATCATCACTGGCAAGCACATCATCACCAAAACCAAGTCGACCATCTTCATCCTCGTCAAATACATCATCTTCTTCTAAGCCTCCACCGCCACCTCCTCTTTCATCATCAAGTGCATCTTCTCCAAAACCAAATCGACCACCACCTCCACCTCCAATCGAAACCACGAATTCTTCTTCTTCTTCCTCGAAAACAGCAGTTGTGCTAGCCACTAAGGTGACTGAACGTACACCACCACCGCCACCTCCTCCTTCAAATCCCTCTCCACCTCCACCTATTAAGGAGCGAGGAAGTAACCATATTACTACCAGTCCTGCTGTGAGCAAAGATCGTTATGAGAGCAGTCGACGAGGAGAGAGCAACGATTATCACAGACACAGAAGCAACAGCCCACCCCGACGCCAAAGTTCTTCCAGTAGGAGCCATACCGACGATGATAGTCCTAGAAGAAGCCCTCAAAAACGAAGTACCAGCCCAAATCGCTACAACAAATACAGCAACACAGGCTCGCATTATAGAGGTAAACCCTATCATTCCGATCGAAGCCGAAGCAAGAGTCCCAGCAGAGATTATGGTAGCACTTCAGAGAGGGATAACAAGGAGACTTTAACAACTAAGGCCACTTTAGTATCTCTGTCTCCTAAGGACGAGCGTAAAATGCCAGATACCCAAGAAAATCAAAAAGGATCACCATCGATAGTGTCCGTACCTCAACCACCACCACCTCCACCACCCACTTCTTCAACGGAAGATCAAGTTCCACCACCACCTCCACCACCAGTATCAAAGCTTTCCCCAGAACCGTCAACCAATATACCAAAGGCTCAGATTCAACAAGTTCCACCGCCACCACCAATTGAACCACCTCCAAAAGACAGCCGAAGAGCTTCTGCAGTGGTTTCGCTACCACCGCCACCGCCACCACCACTGCCATCATTTACCTCACCAACAGACTCAGCTTCGAAACCAAAAATTAATGCCAAGGCGGAAAGAATTGCTACACACAAGAGGCCACAACAAGAGGAGGATCAAATATTTAACAAATTGAATGATATACGAGACAAACAAAAAGAAGGAACAAAGGAAGGAGTAAAAGAAGGAGAAAAAAGAAAGTTAGAACACATCGAGGTGGATAACATTAGCTCCAAGATTCCAAAAATAATTGATACCAGAAGTACAAATGACATTGGAGTTGCAGCATCTTTGGAAAAAATAGAATTGAATATTGATAAACCTGCATCATCTCATCAGGCTGCCATGACTAGTAACGTGAATATTTTCGAAACGTCTGCAATGCCGAAAACAAGTCCACAATACCATAGTAGAATCCTTCGAATAAGTATTGAAAGTAGAAATCCAATAATCAATAAGGAGTTAGAAGGAGATGGAATTTTCAAATTCTTTCCAAACGGTATGTTTTTGTTCAACAAGCTAGTTGGATTCATTTGGAAAATTCACAGCCACGAGAGCGAAGAAAGAAGGTACAAGAGATTTTTTGGTAGAGTTTGCATGTTTGGAAGACGTAATACCATTCTTGGAAAGAGAAACTATAGCTTCCATAGAGGAAGAATATATTACTCTGAAAATACCTAAAAGTTCAATTCCTAATCAGTACAAAAATAACGACAGTTTATTAATGTCAGATTTTATTGAATTTTTAAACGTGAAGTCAGATCAAGGAGCTAGAGATGTTGCACAAACTTATTGGGAGAATTTAGTTGAATCATTGAGGATACCTAATTCAAGCTCTTCCTTTGACTTTTTGAAATTCCGTGAGCGTAGAGTTTTGAAAAATATTGGAGGATTTGATTTTGGAATTTTAGTGAGCGATACTTCTAATGTAGAAGGAGGCGTTGAAAACAAGAATTCATCTGCAACACAAGAATCATGTTTTATATACGCATTCGTTATTGAAAAACCAGAATCACAATACTGCGTTCTTACTGTGGATGAATTGAGAAAATGTTTTCCAACAGCTAAACACATTTCAATAATTGAACCCGAAAAGATTTTGTTAGAATTTAATAGTGTGGACGACATTAAGGTATATAAGAAGATTAGTAATCACAACATTTATAGAGTAAGAAACAGGGAGTTCTTGTTAAAGAAGGCTTCTCAAATTCAACAACAGAATGTATTGTCACGAAAAGATGACTCATCTGTTGTCATGAATGGAGAAGTTGAAATTATTTGTCCTGTCACTCCAACAACACTTGGTTCTTCAAACACAACAGAAACACCCAAAAGTAGTAAGGCACAAGAGATATTGAGCCTGTTGAGACGACAACTACAAGAAAAAACTCCAAAGGCACCTGCAGAATCAGAAGGACAACGCGTTGAATCGCTTCGAAACATATTACGACAACAAATGTCGAGCAAATCAGTTAGCCCTACAAGTAACACAAGTGATACGAATAATTCATCAGCAGAATTTATTCATTTAGAAAATAATTCTGACAATATGGAATTAATTCATGAAGAAAATAATGTTATGGACGTGACTGTTGAAGAGGAAAGTAACGAACCTCCTAAACCAGAAATTCAAAATCTACGTTCAATGTTAAGGCAGCAAATGACAGAACAAAAGAATGACACTCTGCGAACACCACAAAAACCAAGAAAGAAAACATTTTCATATCACTACTCACTCTTTCATAAATCATTTACCAAATAAAGATTGTTTCTTGGTTGTTACTAGTCCACATCAAGATCGAATGTTGGTTTGGTTGTTGGTCGTTGCTGCTCAGAGTTGTTTGATGGGCGTACGAAAGGATATTGTTGAACAAGAGTTTTGCACTGTTCTTGGAATTGTTGCTGAGCATGTTCAATCTCTGCTTTCGAGGCTTCGGGGTGATTCGCAATAAACGCAACAGCTTGTGCACATGCCATTTTCACAGCAGTTCTATTTTCCTCCGTGACCTGTTGTTGCTCGTCGTGTTGATTCAAAGTCTCTAGAAATTGTCTCATTTCAAACACACACTGCTCTAAGGCATGTTGTGCTTGTAATTTTTGTTTCAAGATCTCATCATCGGCCTTCAACTTTTCAGCGAGCTCAACCATTTCATAAATTTCTTCCTCGCTTAATCTTGTGGATTGTTCGTTGATGTGGAGTGATTTTTGAATACCTAATGCATGAGCAGTCACTTCCAAGTTGTCATCTAAATCATGGCACATGGATATTGTCACATCAATCTTGTCTCTTTCATTGGTCCGTTTAAGTAATTTCACATTCAAAAACCAGATATATGGATCATTGAATTTTATCCATACGAAACATTCCACATGTTAAACATTCACAACAACAAAAGATAACTTACCCAACCAATGCAGGAATATTCTCTAACACGACTTGTCCCAATTCATGATTATCTCGACACATGACTCTCTCACCTTCAAATACACGAATTCGAATCACATTTCCCTCTTGTACTTGTACTTGTTGTAAAATTGACTGCTTTCGACATGGATAACATGTATTTCTTGGAATTACAACTTGCATCAAACCATTGGAAGCTTCAACACCAATGGATAATGGAAGAATATATGAAATTAAACAATTGAAATCTCGTGAACGTTTCGGACTGGTCAACATGAGAGATTGAATCATTGCTCCTCGCACCACAACTTGTTGAGGATGAATGGAATCATGAATGGTTGACAATGGATGGAAATTGGAATTATTCGACAGAAATTCCAACACCTTTTTTTTCACAGCTGCAATTTGCATACATCCTCCACATAAAACAACGTGACGGAAAGTATTTGGATGATCGGTTTGTGTAAATCCTGGTGTCGATTGAATGAATTGTTGGACTTTGAAAAGTGCCTTGTCAATGAGTTGTGAATGAATCAATATGTCTTCGAAATCAGAAGATGAGAGAGTCCATTCAAAATCTAAACCATGCATCAAGTTGTTAAGACGGATGGTATGAAGAGAAGTGGTTCTTTCATTGTCTCCTGTTTTGTTAATTTCAGAGTTTGTTTCCTTATTTGAAAGTTCGATAATGGCTTGTTCACACGCATTTCGTAATCTCAGAAATGCTCTAGGATCTTCATGAATCGAGTTTCTCTTCCACTCTTTCTGCATTCGTTCTTGACATTTCTCCATTAATAGGTTCACAATGGCCTCTCCTCCAAACTCTGAATATGACGCTGAATTCAAAATCTCAAGAATATAATCCTCTGACATCATGTCACTGCATTTGAAATCACTTCCCCAATCCAAAACGAGGATTCTTGAGATTTCAGAAAGTTGGTGTAATCCATACGCGAGACATGCACATGTTGATTCGTTCATGCATCTCATGACATTGAAACCAGAGATTGTGGCACTGTCTTTCCAAGCTTGTCGTTCCGTGCAGCAGCTCCAAATGGAGAGAATTAATCGGAGTTCAGGATTGTGTATGGGTTCCTCTTGTTGTTGTTGTAAATATTTGTCAAGTAAGGTATGAATGCGTGAATAAACGCGACTCAGAATTTCGGGAGGAGTAAATGTCTTGGAATGAATTTGAATTCGAGGTAATTCCAATTTTGAACTTATTGAAGGAATGACATTGAAAGTCCATGTTGAGGAGGAACATGAAGTTTCATTGTTGGCATCGTTTGATGATGGTGCTGTTGAAGGAAGAAAAAATTTCTTTAAATCGTAAATGATATGATGTGGATTAAGAGGTGGTGTCACATTAACTTGTTGAGTGCTGGAATTTGTTTGGGATTGTGAAAAGAATTCATGTTGAAGAACTTGATCGCCAATGATGAATGATTTAAGAAAAGTGTTTGGTTCGAAATCAGTGGTAGCATCAGCAGTAAATGTTCCTTCTTCCAGACCCGGAAAGGCAATGACATTTGGCATGCTAAAGGACGAAATGAATTTTGAATCATTCGAGTTCAATCCAACCTGATTCGGAGAATCTTCTAATAGTTCATTGATCGGAAGTATTTGTACCAGTTCTTGAAAATCCATCTCATCATAATCTTTTGAAGTAGGAATGGCCATAGCAACTTTAATTTGAGAGTTTCCCATATCAATAGCCACACCTATTTGATCGGTATATTTCTTCTTCTTGGTACTCGTTATCATTCTGTGAGAAGAGAAGACTCAAGTGTTCAATTAAATGTGAAAATATTTTTTTGCAAGTTTTCAAATCGTTTCTATCCATTGATCTGGAACATGAAAGGCTTTCATCGGATTTGATTCCGACTATTTCCGCAACTGTTTAAAATTGGGCAATTCACTGTGTATTCACTACCGCCCAATAGTAAGCGGATATTTGAAAATTTTGTCCTCTGAAAATTCCAAAAACACGTATTGATTCATTCTATGGATGAATCTTCGTATCAGGAGGATTTGATATTAAATATTTTTTTTAATAAAAAAATACACCACGAAAAGCCTTCTTCTCATTCTTGATTAATCCCTCCGCACACACACAACTGGTTCAGAGAGAGGAATATCAATTTTCTTTTCATGACAAATACATAACATATTACAATAACAACAAAATTTTTTTTTTTGATAATCATCATCATGCCAGTGATATTTATTGGAGGAAGTCCTCGGATTACACTGTTTTTCATTGGATTACTCTTGTTTTTTCAATTCTTTAATCATATCATGGATTATTATTCGGGAGATTATTCATCCTCTTCACAAGATTATTATAACAGCGACTTGGGATACACGGATACAAAAACATTTACCTTTCCGAGAAAAATATTATCAATTCCGAGCAGTCGTTTGTTGAATAGATTTAAAATTTCGCATTCTAGTAGTGGGCCCTCAACATCGACGATGAACCATTATTCCACTGTATTGTTAACATCTAACAAGTTTTTAGAAAAAGATTTTCAAATTGAAACCAACGTGGATGGTACAAGTGAAAGAGTGAATTTTCATTCAGATGAATTACGATTTAGAGATGATGTTTTTGTGAAAGTGGTATTAGAAGAGGATACATTTTTGCGAGGAGATTCCACTTTAGGATCAATGGCAAAAGTTCAAGTATTTTCGTTGAAAAATTCCAATGACATGAAATATATGTCAGTGGATGATTTGGACTCAGTGACTCTTGACACACCCTTAAGTTGGGAAATTGAATATGAAGAAACGCTCATGGACTCAAAAATTTATTTCACTCGGAAAGGTACTTCTCAATTCAATAAGGATTGTATCTATGTGGTGACAGAACATCGAAATATTTCTCTAGATTCACTGGATAGGATTAGCAAAACAATGGAATTACGAAAATTTTGTCCCCAACAAACACGAAACAGATTTTTTAATTTAACCAATTTTGCCTTGGAAATTTCAAGTATTGCTGACACATCTCTCGATGAAGATTGCGCTATTATTTCATTTTCTGACGACCTTTATGAATTTAGAATCATTTGCTTTAACGGAACTTCATTATTTCATGGTCCAAGTACCTATTATTCAGAACTATTCAACAAATCATCCAAAATACCCAAAGTGAAAGATTTGCATGACGTTCTCTCTATTCATGAATTGAACACTCGAGACTCTCCAAATTCTGTTTTCACATTGAAAGAACATAGTGATATCGATGATTTGCGAAATCAACTCTACTACTCCATGTACGATCACGTCACCAAACGAGGACCACAAGTACAACTTCATCTCTATCATTTGAATACTAATACTCAACATGAAAATTGGGTGCATGAACGATTAGATCATTCCATCTCAGGTTCTATGACTGCCATTTACTCTCGAAATGCACATCGTTTACATGATGTATATTACAAAGGTGTAGAAATCTCTCATCAGTCTGAAAATGGCAAAGTTGTGGTTTTTCCTCTTCATGGTGGGGCTCTCTATGTCATGCGAGCGAATGCAATGGGTGGAATGACAATCGACAAATCGACCTATTACAGTTTTGTTGGAAATGGATTTGGACTTTATGATTTGCGAACCTTACAGGAACGATATTATGCACAGGATCATTTTTCATTGGCACTTTTCGAAGCCATGAAAAAAAGAATGGAAAAATATAGTCATCCCAATCAAGTGGCAATCAATGTGGATGGCTCGTACATCATTGTGGTACACTATCAACTCTTTGCATTTGTTTTTAAACAAGCAGGAAAAGGATTAGCATTGCAATCGGTGTTGAAAAATGTTCATTTCACAAGAGAAAATTCACACTTGAAGAGCTCGGTCATGGCTATTCAATCGTTGCATTTTGTGAAAAGAGGTGTTGTGGCAGCACTGTGTGAAGATGGATCTATGGAACTGTATGACGTTGAGCATGAATCGAATGTGAATCCATATTCTAGTGAAGGAAAGAGTGAGGAGAATGCTGAACGGACTTTTAAGAGCTGGATACTTTATGAGTTCTTGGACAAGCCTGTGTTTTATTCGGTTTTGATATTAATGATTGGAATGTTCATGTATAATGAGTACATGATTAGAAAAAGAATTCAGGCACACCGAGCACAATACCAACAACAGCAACAAGCACAGCAACAAACAACCTCATCCACCACTAATTAGCCCCTATTTCGACACGATTTTTAGTGCCAGATTGTTTGAACCATACATGAATATTTGTGCTTTATTGTCACAACTTGTGGTGAACTAAGGTAGCATGACAAATGGCATGGAGTATTCTTTTTCGTTTTTCAGTACAGAAGCACAGAGCAGTAAAAACTTCCTCAATTTGTACTCCTCATTCATGGTGGTTGAAGTTCCTGTAGCAGCAGAAGAGCTATTCACCTCTAGAACCGATGATGTTGTTGGCTCCTTATTTTGTGGAGACTCAGCCATTGCATTCATGCCACTCCAATAAAATTCATAGAGAACCATTAAAAATTCAGTAAATTTTCGATAGCATCCATCCGGCACAAATATCATCATTGCACCTTGTACGTGATGTGAAATATACAAATGAAGAGGACACAAGTCTACAAGATCTGCCCAAGAAAATAGAAAAACAGGATATTGATCGTCTTGTAGTTTGCTTTCAACGATTCGAACAAATCGTGGTGTGTCCGAAAGAACTTTGGACAATCTCAAAAACTCAACAGGTTCATACTTCTTCTTGTATGATTTGCTTGAAGGCTTTTTTCCATATTTCACAATAGGAATGTGGAATGGAATGTTCATGCGAACGTCTTCATTTTCTCTTGCCTCTGATGTTGCTTTCAGATGAAGCTTTTCACTGACTACATGTTGTGCAATAAAATTTTTTCGGTCGTCCTCCATGGGCTCAATAAACTTTGGATCATCATTCGAATAAAAACTAAAGAACTTGGGATATCTTTTGACTTTGGGAATAAATCCTCCAATCTCTGTTGCTGCTTTCTTTTTGTTACGTGTGAAAATATTATGCATGGAAAAGTATCTCAACACATTTTCTTCAAATAAAAGCTCCCATGGAATTGCTTGAAGTGAGTTTGGCACCAGTAATGAAATAGGTGTAGAGGGAAGAGGTAAAATTTCTGGTCGGGGCATTCCCATCGTCTTTTTCTTTGTAAATGTACCTGTTTTCTGATTAATGCTGGATGCATAGTTAAAATTAACAAGTCCCAATTTTTTCATGAGCTCTACATTTTCTGAAAATGCTACGGGATCTGGTTTGTACTTGAAGGCCTCTCTAAACATAGAAAAGTGTTGTCTCAATAGTGATAGATTTGCTTTGTTCATAATTCTATCTTTCTTGTCTCTCATGCTTTCGATGATAAGATCCTTAATGTATTGATTGATGTTGTATTCAGATGCTGCTGGATCTTGAGCTTTTGACATGATGGTATTCGAAAGAGATCCCAACATTTTAGACCAAGAGAGAACGGTACTGTCCACTTGATGAATTTGGCTTGTACTAGTTGATTCACTCATGGAATCTAGCATTTGTCTTCCTCCAAATTGTACAAATGATTTTTGTAATGTGTTAGGAATGTAACAACAAATAATATTATCCAAATGAAGTAAAAGAACTAATCGCTCTAAGGCCTTACTCTTCTTGATTTTCTTGAGCGCTTGTTTCAAAGGTGTGAGACAGGGAGCGAGAGATGCTTGTTTTTGTAAATTGCCTTCTAGTTGAAGATTCATTGTAGTTTTTAAGGTTCCTGAAATCATGATACCTTTTGTCTCGTTGAAGGTTGACAGTAACGACTCTACCACAAGCTTGTCTCCAGGGAGAAGAGTTAAATTCGTTGCATCCAAAAAGTCAATACTAGAGTTGGTGGTCTTTGTGCTATCATTGGATAAACTGTTGTAGAATGATTTTCGTTTGTGACCAGACAATTTGCTCTCTCTAACAGCATTCATAAGATTGTACAGTCTTCTCATCGACTGCTGATTCTTAAATCTGAGTTGTCCATCAATTTCACCAGGGTATTTGCGTCGATCGTACTTCATGCTCAACAAGCAATAAAACAGTCTTTCTATGACTTTGTGTCTAAGCTGAGAACGCTGAGAGTCTTCTTTCATCTCGTTTTGAAGAATGTTATTTTCAATGACTGACTTGAACGGAGATGTAGGAGATCTCAACATGGAGGAAAAAGAAAAACTTTTCAAAGATACTGGCATTGCAGAAGAAGGAGCGTTGACCTTATAGAGTCCTTCAAAAGGCTTGTTTTTGTCAAGTAGTTCCGTGTCTATGAACGAAGAAATCTTAGTAGCTTTGGAGTCTATTTGATCAACTGAAAGTGAAGTCGGTTCTTGAGTTCTCTTTAACACTTGATCGTATTCTAATGTGATAATGTACAAGGTATCAAAAACTCCAATATTAGAATTAATAAAAGTTGGTTCGAATGACAACAACAGCCGAGCACACCTATTGATCAAATTCAGCAACTTTTCAACAGTCGATGGTGTGGCTCCGCTGGCTACCACAACTTGCAGATTATTGTCCACAAAGAGCGTAAATAAAATATCTCTCATTTCACACCAGTATTTCTTGGCGCTTTGGGTTCTTCCTTGTAACAACCTACATTCAGCAGCGGTCAATGCCACATCCATACACAAGAAAATATCGGATGCTGTCACAGCAACGTTTAACGTTGGTTCAATGTAATCATCAAATACCTTATTCAAGTCAATATAATTAAATTTTGAGATGGAATCTTTGGTATCGAGATAGACATAGTCTTCAGGTCTCTTTGACATGACTGCCACAGGCAAAAACAAATATTCTACAAGTACTTGTGAAATTAATAAATCCATTTTTGCTAAATTAATTTCGTTGGAGCATGCCTCATAATATTTCTTAGCTTTTTGAAGACAATCTATAGCATCCACAATTACATCCTTCAAATTGTAAATTGGTCTCTTTGAATAAAGATAGCTTTCGTTTGGAGCATCTCTTAAAACCTCAGATTTCTGTATTTGTACAAGAATGGGTAATCGTTCTTTGTCCTTTGGAGCAAGTTCATTAGGGAAGTTAACTGGATTACACCATCTTGCAACACCCATAAATATTTTAGCTTTTAGTTTGAATAGTTGGGCCAAGGTTGAGAAGGTTCTGTTGCATCGATACAGTGCCATATTTACACTCTCAATTGCATTTCCAAACAAAGACCGTTTTCGATAGTATTTGATGACGATTTCCAATATTCGCATTTCCTGTTGCTGTTGCAGTTGCATAAAATTGCTCTCCATTATTAGAGCCAATTCTCGCAACACTTTGTCGCACTCTTTGTACCATCTTTTCTTAAGGTAAGCTTCAGCAATTGTTATATACAATTCTGGGTTCTTGATGTTAATGAAGCTTTGCATTAAGTTAAAACAAATGCTGATACATCTCTCTAAATTTCCACCATTCAGCAATAGTTTAGCATAATCGACTTCTAGCTCTAATTTGAATTCTGTCGATGAAGAAAGTGATTTGATCGTTTCGAGAGCATCACGTTTCACTCGTTCTGCATTTCTGAGTTCACCCTTTTCCATAAACAGTGAGGACAGTTTAGATGAGATGTTTGCAATAACAGCAACTCTCTTATCGCGACATGCTTTTTCGTTTAGGATGGTATAATAACGAATGGATCTGTTCCAGTCATCGTTTTTAACAGCCATGGCAGCCAACTCGTCTATGAACTTGTAGTCAAATTCAGAGGCCAACAGTCTGTAATTTTGAGTATAAATTTCAAAAATAATTGCTGCGTAAGGATACTTTCTGTTTGCATAAAGCACGTCACCAAATTTTTGCATTGCTCTCAAAGCATCGGCTGTTATTATCGTAGGAAGTGCACTACAGAGAGGAGGAGACTTTTGAAACACGTAAACGCTCTCAAAGAGAACACACTCGGCCAGTTTTGATAAATCCATGTCGTCTTTTTGCATCCAACATGATCCTAGAGTGTAAGCAACGACAGCCTTTTCTTTTGAGATACACATTCTGTTATAAAACTTGCTAAACATGATAGCTATTCGTTCTTGCGAATTCAACAATGGATGTCTAAAGTGGGGTATCCAAGTCTCTGAGCCTGCATGTCTTCTCAATGACAAATCATACATTTCCAAATATATGACAATCTTGGCTCCAATCTCAGATGGAGTTGGAAACGAGAAATAGGGAGAATTGAAACTATTAGAAGCTGTCGAAGTAATTCCAGTAACCAATGGTTCATCCTTGAGCTTTGTATCAACTTGTTGATAGAACAAATCGTTTTTTTCCATAGCTTCTTCAGTAATGTCAAATACTTCGTTAAAAATCATTGCCATTGTGGTGAAAACCTCTCCAATACTTTCATATTCAGGCAAAATCCCATTAAGTAATTGTGATATGTGGTACTTAATTTGAATTTCACATTGTAGAACGATAAGAATGGCTCGCTGATGAGGAAAATGATGGAAAAGTAATGAAATTAAATCAGTAAATTCCTGGCTTTGAGTGGGCTCTTCAAGATTGAATAGTTTTGTTGCGTGGGCAGCCTTCAATAAGTCGATACTAACATGAAAAACATAAGCTCTCTCATTGGGTGCCATTTTGTTGATAATGTCGGTTGAAAGGCTATTGGGAATGAGTGTCAGAATTGAGTTTGAGTTAATTACTTACTTTTCAAAGAATTTTGTTAATATACTCTTTGTCGTCAATGGCTGTTTTCCAAGGTTAATTAATCTATAGCAAATTTCTGAAATTGGAGTTGAATACCATTGAATTTCCACTCAATAACACTTACCATAAAAGTTTTCAATAAATTCCATTGAAAAATCATATTTTTGAACTCGCTTTTCGAGTCTTCCCAGTAAAAAGTTAGCATAGTCGTCTCGAGTGCAAGAATCAATCACTGTCTGATCTTTTAGTTTCTTGGGTTTTAGTGACTGACACCACATCAACATCTCCCTCTTGTCATTAAAACCAGGTTTTCCGTTAATTAAATTCTTGCTCAGCACAAGCTCAGGTAACATGGAGTCTTCCTTGTATGTTCGTGATTTAAACAACCTGTATTTGTTTGGAAAGAGTTCTTCTTCAAAAACGTCTTCGTTGGCAGAATCGGTGTCCTCCTTCTCCTCTCCAAATAAAAAGCCTGCCAAAGACGATTTAGGAGCATCATCGAAATTGAAATCGTTTCCCCAATCACTTCCACTGCTTGTGTCGTCACTATCTTCTTCCCAACTATGCTGTTTTGGTTTTTCCTCATTGTTAGTTTTTTCCATCTGATCAATCTCTTTCAACAGCTTTTCCATTTTGTCCATAGTTTCTGTTTCGAGCTGATCTCGTTCAAAATCATCTCCTCCATTCTCTTCGTCTTCCATGACAGGGAGCGCCTCACTGCTGGAGAGAAGGAACTGTTCTGACCTGAGCCTCTTTTTCAAGTGCAAGAGACGTTTGGCTAGCGAGATTTCATTGAGAGCACGCATACAAAGTGCTAAATTATAAATAATGATCAGAAATACATGTACGTTGAGAACTGAGAGAGCTCTTGTTGAAGTCAAAGTCCTCAAATCGTCAAGAGCAGGAACTAAAAATGTGGAAAGCACTTTGCAGAAATACTTTTTCTCGTTCACGGTCATTTCACAGTTGGAATATGTGGGCTTTGTGAATTCTGCCATTGCAGAGGAGCTCATCATTTCTTCTGCCAAGCAAAGTAAAATTTCTGCATGTAAAATCCTAGTGGACAGTACAATAAATGAAGGAGAGTTGTTACAAATATATTCTGAAGGAGCTATAGCCTTAAGAAGTGCATCGGTTTTTTCTTGAGCTGATTGCAAAAAATCGTTGGCATCATCATTCTTCTTTTTCTGCCTTAAGAGTAACGATTTCAAAAAAAGAGCTTTGGCATGTAAAAGGTCGATTTTAGGAACGAATTTGCAATGCTGATTGTTGATTGCAAGCTGCTCCACACAACACAAGTGTGCATACGCTTCTGAATATTGTTGATGGTCTCTGAGTACTTGCGCAATTTCTAATCTCTTTGTCATTTCTGCAACGAGAGCATTTTCAAATTCTTCAATATTTGAAGATGGTATTTCTTTATCTTCATCTGTATTGAATTTCCCGGTTATGGAATCCAGTTGATCATTTAAAATTTTAATATCTCTATACAGTGACCAATTTTCATCCAATTCAATTACATCTACATCTTGAGCCAATTTTGATTCGTATAATCGCTGCTTGTCCACAATTTCAAAATTGGGAATAAATTGAGTGTAGTGCATGCTGGTTACTGATACATTCGGAGAAAAGTTAGAATTAAGTCCAACATATGATGTTAAACTTGGGTCACCACTGACATCAGACGCTTCCGACATGAATCTATTGTGATATTGTTGATGACGTAATTTCCATACAGAGTTTTTAGAAGCAGACACGCTCCGTGAGTGTGGAGCATGCAATGAATTTCCATGTGGTTGACTGGATGTATTGATGCTACTATTATTGTGAGTAGTGCTGTTACTATGACTGTTATTATTCATAAATAAATTATTATTCATGACCATCATTGAAGGAGAAGATGGAGAATTCGCTGTTGCTTGAGGGGACGATGGATGAGACTTATTCTCAGTTGAAGGTGGAGATGATGATAAATTTGGGTTCGGGATTGCTGCTGAAGAGGATCCATTATTGAGGTTGGATTGGGGGTTTGATGAAATTTCAAGTTTTTTCCGATATCGTTCTTCTTCCGTTTGAATCCAAAACGAAGGAACCCGAGATTGATTTCTATAAAAAGTAGCATGAATAGGAAGAATGGGTCGTAGATCTTTACATTTTTCAGCTGTAGTAGATGTTGTTTTTCATCATGATGAAATATATTTTTTTTGTAAAACCAGACATGCAGCGTCCAAATCGGGAAAGTGAGAGTATTTCGTTGTATGAAAATCATCACGAACACACACCACGGAGAGAAATTGGACAAGGATCATGAAGATATGATGATTACACACACTGTTCTTTTTGGTTGGAAAATACATACCTAGTGAAAGGAAATCCTCAATGTATTTAATTTCGTTTTTCAATTGCTCGTTGAGTTGATCAAACGAGAGAACTGTATTGATGGATTGTGATCTTTTCATGATGATGATGACGAATAATTGTTGTTATTGTGAAGTAAATGTTTTTGTGATGATGTATGACAAAACGACGAAAGAATAAATCACTGCAGTTTTTTGGTGTGTGTTCACACAGTTTCATTGACAAATAGTTTCGGAATGAAATATTGGCATGAAGAGTTCCAAGATACTGATGTTGTGGATCGTTTAATGATGGCGCGTCAATGATAGGTTTAAATTTTTTTGATAAACCAGGATGTATGACAGTTGACGTGATCACAACTACAATTTTATTGAGAGGTTAAGCAAACCAAAGATCTTAATGATCTCAATAATGCTTTTGACCACAACAGCTCTAATACACGCCATGTCTTACGTAATTCAACAAATAAACTGTTACAGAATTTCTAAAATCTCTCTATTGCACATTAATGCGCACGATGTGTTCTGGTCAAAAGTAAATGCGTATTAATGCGCACGAGGTGTTGGCTGGTTGACCTAACGCAAATTGTGCTCACGCACTTTCTAGCATGAAAAAATCGAATTTCTTTAAAAGTAGAGAGAAGTGAGTGTTGGAAAGCAAAATCCAAACAACAACCCAAAAAATTGTCGTTTCTCTATTATAACCTAAACCACGTGTCAAAATGTCATCCTCATCCGATCATAACATTGAAGCCATCTATGAGTCTGTTAAAGAACACTATTCCAAGCAACAAACCAACGAAGCCAACATTTCAAACTCGTGTTTCCTTGCCAAGAAGCCTCACACCATGATTCAAAAATTGTTACCTCTGATCCCTGAAAAGGTGAATGAAACTTTCTTTGGCTGTGGATGTCCTATCCCTCTTGGTATTAAGGGACTTACTGTGCTGGATCTCGGCAGTGGATCAGGTCGTGATGTCTTTCTTGCTTCTGCACTCGTTGGAGAAAAGGGTAAAGTCATTGGTGTTGACATGACTCTGAAACAAATTGAATTGGCCAAGTCCACTACTATGGAATTTGTAGAAAATGCTAAGAAGGCAAATTTGAAAGTGGGAACGATTGAATTCCACGAAGGTCTTATTGAAGAATTGGACTCCATTCTTCCCAGTGAGAGCGTTGATTTAGTGGCTTCCAATTGTGTCATCAATCTATCTCCTCAGAAGGAAAAATGTTTGGAACAAGTGTACAAAGTTCTCAAATTCGGTGGAGAATTTGTTTTTTCTGACATTTATAGTGACAGAAAGCTTCATCCTTTGGCTCGTCAGCAACTCACAAAATTGGGATCCTGCATTGGAACTGTCTTTTACACTAATGATTTTTTGTCAGTGTGTAGAAAGCTTGGATTTCATGTAAGAGAAGTTAGCCGTGTTGAACTTGCAGCATCTTCGCAAGATTTGCAGCAAATGATCGTTGGCCAAGCCAAGTTTTATAGCATTACCTATCGTCTCTTCAAGCTAAAGAAATTAGAAATGACCGAAGAAAACTATGGCCATGTCGTGACCTACAAGGGCACTTTGGAGGGTTATCCTACCATTTACAAATTTGATGCAGAGCTTGAATTTGAAAGGAACTTACCCGTGAATGTCAGTGGAAACGTTGCTTCTGCTTTGGAGGAAAGTGAATATCTTCGTAGACACTTCTCAATTCTCCCCAATGATCGTGAATTCCATTTTGGAGAGTTCATTAGCAACCACAAGAGTCAAGACGCACGCCCAATTGAAAAAGTGATTTTTCAAGTTCCAACTAGCTGCTCAAAGTAGTAGTGGTGAAAGTTTGTCTTGCATTGTATAGTCTCAATAAATATTATGACCTATTATTGAAAATGATTCTTCCCAGCAATTACTCGTTTAACACTAGTACAAAAGTATGTCAGAAGCATCAAGAAGTGGAATGACCTCTTTTTCTGCTGACTCACTAGCATAATGTTTCTTGACAATTTCCATCTTCCATTGATATCTTGTCACTGTAGAGTGGAGCGAGCAATGGTGTTGCATATAGATCAACTTGATTTTCAAGGGAATATCAGAATCGTTCAAATTTCTCTCAATTCCCATACTTATCGAAGAAATGTCTGTATCCAGTTTTGAGTACAAACATTCAAAAGTGTATATTTGTGCAACTGTAACGTTTGACAACATATAGTTATCGTGTAGATTAATATACTTGGGTTTATCATTTTCCTCCAACTCTAAAAATTGATACTTAATATAATCCAATAGTTGATTAATGGTTTGAATGTTTGAGGTCGAGTATTCTTCCAAGTGTTGCGCAAATTTGATTAAAATATAATACTGGCTTTCTACATTTTCTCCATTTGGCGAAAAGCTTATTAAGCTGTCACATTCTTGTCTTGATCCTTTTTGTGTCAGATTCAAGTAGTAGTAATGACATAGCGTTGCAGGAATGGTTTTCAAAGACTTGAATTGCACAGTAACATGATCACCAGATTTAACAATAAACTTCAAGTGTAATAACTGGGTGTTCTTTTTGTCCGCTATTTCTATACACATCACAGATTCAAATTTTTTGGCCATTGATGGTGCCAATTTAGAGGTTATTGTTGCCTGGTGATGCTTTGAAACATTGTCATCAAATGAATACTTCAAATCCATTACTTTTTTTTCTGAATGATGCCTGGCTGGATTTAAAAGCAATGCCTTAATATCCTCAGATGCATTATGAATTGTTTGGTTGAATGAATAGAGAAAATTACAAAATGGAATACAATTATTGTTGCTCTCAATATGTTGAGGTAACTGGTAAAAGAATAATTTTCCAATTGTTAACTTGACTTTCAAACGTTGCTGTGAGTAATCTCTAAGGCTTTGTAGAATACATGACAGGTTGTCAAATACCTTGTCTGAATAATATTTCTCCGAACAAAAGGTAACATCATTCTGTAAATTCAAATAAACCTTTCTTGAGATTGTTCCATTACCATAGCTAATGTGTTTTAGGTTTTGACTCGAAAGAACAGGATTTTCGAGAGCTTGTGAAAGTGTAAGAACCTTCTCATGCTCTTTTCCAATGGGTTTCAGAGCAAATCTTCTCTCATTGATATATTTGATACCAAGTGGAAGTCTGGTATATGGTGTAAAGAGAAGGAAGCTTTCTTCAACGTTGATCATGTCATGTAACAAAAATAGTGAGGTGATTGGAGCAAACTTTCTGCTGAATTTTTGCTGCTTATCATAAAAATTGATGAGTAGATTGTCCACTAATGCAAGGGCCAAATCCACCTGGCGAATTTCTCCCCTGACGGATACGCTGGTGTAATCTCCTAACAGCTGTTTTTTACACTGTTCCTCTTTTTGATGTCGTTTTTCTTGCTTCTTTTTAAAAGTGTCACCTTCTTGATGTTGTTTCTTGGTAGAAATTTTGTCTCGCCTATCGTGATCGTTAGGCCTTTTCCCAATGAAAACGCTTGCCCTTGATTGCTGCTGAATTTTCATAATGTTTCGTTTGCCAAATCCATAGAGGTACGGTACTGCTTCTGTTTCAACATAGATTATACGCTCCCGCGAATTGTAAATGTTGTTTTTCACAAATTGTTTTGTGTAATACGCTCTAAAAGAGGCAGCCTATATGGAGTTAGAATTGCGTTGGATACGTATTATCAACTTACAGTGTAATATATCTTGCAAATGAAATCTTGCTCTAAATTGCATTTCCAATCATAAATGTGTTTTGACTCCAATATAGATAGCATTTCCTTGGCAATCGTGACATAGTAAAACGAGCTATCCCAATTGGTATTGAGAGTAATCTCCTTGATAATATCTGAAATGGAAGCCAGATGTTCTGGATCAATAACGCTCAAGACAACATAGGAGATATCTACAGGCTTATCTGTAAATGGGACAATGAGTAAAATATACATTCGCATTATATTTAAGCTAGTAGCAGCCATATTTTTGGCTTCCCATGATGACCTTAAATCCTTTTCAACATCCAAAATGACCTCCCGCAGCACTCTCCTAAAATAATTTGGATACATGTGGAAAAGGTTGGCAATTAGCAATGCATGCGACAACTTGGTATGAAATAATGGATGTAATTTGGAAGATGTCTTCAAATCCAAGAGCTCTTTTTCAGATAGGAGAGCTCGTTTCAAGACATCATAGATAGAATCCTTTGATGGTCCTGTTTTTAGTCCAAACAAAATTCTGTAACAAATTTCACTAAATACTTGAGAAAAATGTGCATTGGAGCTTCTGCACGCATACCATATGATTAATTCTGCAATTGTAGATGTAAGTAAGGGTTCTTCAAGCGTTTTTTCAATTCGTTCTTTCAAAGTTGCTGCAATCTCTTTGGCAGATGTTGTTCCAACTCCTTCAAGAATTCTTTACATGCTTTGATGTCACACAAATGAAATCATAATTTAAATACTTACTGCGATATTTCATCTAAAAGATAGCTGCTAGAACTATCATGAACCTGACTTTTGAGTTTTTCAATGGGAGGGTTTTCTCTCTTATTCACGATATCCAAACTAACATTGGGCTGAAATATTCCAATTTCTGAAGTTCTTCTACCTAAACATGATAGCATATCTTCTTCAATTTGGAAAGGAATGGAAAAAATGGTCTGGAAAGGAGTTGTGAGTGAAAAGAATGCAAATTCTTTGCAGTGTTTCTCAGGAAATAGAATATTTTGAGACGAAATATCATAATTTCTTTTCCTAAATAGAACATCCTCAATGGTTGCATTTGGGTTGCTGTTATACTGAACTGTGGGAGATGGTAGTAAGGTATTGGGATTCCATACGTAAGCATTTTCAAAACTGTCATTAATTGAGCATACACTAAAATACTTTTGCTTCCCAAATCCTTTGAACGAGAGAAATGCAGAAAATACTGGTGCACAATAATCACCAATAATGACAGCTAACACAGTTTCAGTGTGGTAATCCCATAATCGAATGCTGTTATCAGTGTGTGAAGTGATGAGCAACAAATGAGATTTGTCATATTTGTGAATCTGCATTGATGTCACAAGCCCAGCATATTGATGCTTGAACGATTTGAGTAATACAATTCTTGACTTTTTTAAAGTGCCTCTGTCCTTCTTTTCTTTGATCTGCTTTTTTTGGTACTGTTTCCTTAACTCTTTTTCTCTCTTCTTTTCTTCCTCCTTGGACAATTTTGTCTTTGGTATTTGAAATTTAGTCCTCTTTTCAAATTCATGATCTTCTTTATCATTCAGATGTTCTGGTATTTCCGTTTTTACTTCATCCACCTGATTGTATTGCAGAACATAAACGCCATCAGAAGCACTGAATATTTTGTCTCCACTCAACGAAAGAGCAAGAATAGGCTGCCTGTTCGCCTTGCTAAACGAAGCTTGTAGCTCTCCAGTTTCATAGTCGAGTACTCGGATAATACAATCATTTCCTCCTGTCACAATAAATCTTTTTTCATTGGCTTCATTGGACTTTTTGCTAACCACTGCAGTGCAGTAAGATTTTGTGCCAGATGAAAGAACATTGCTTCCTCCAAGTATGGAATCTTCTGCCTGATCAAAAAATTCCTGTTGTGTGGAGGACGAAATAGGTTTTGGGCTTTCGTGAGTTTTTTTCTTTTGTGTAATTGTAAATTCTTCCCATGTGCTTTTAGAGCTATCTTTCTTGATAATATTGCCGTTTGACAACGTCATGCACACATCCATTGATGATGCCTCATCTTTTTTGCTCTTGTTCTCTTGAATTTGTACATGTGTTATTCCTCTCATTAAATGGCTATGCATGACATGCATACTGTACACAAAATTTGTTAATTTTTTCATATCCCTCCGTGCAATAGAACGTCCAATTCTCTCCAAAAAGGACGGATGATTTTCATCCTTATTTCTGCTCTTTTGTTGAATATATACATGATGAAAGTAGAGGTACCAAGTCCGATTGACCAGCAATATTGAAAAGGGATTATCTGTAAAATCAAACAAGTGCTGAATAACAGTTTCAATCAATAAAGGATGTTTCTCAAATGAAAGGCGAATGGGTACGACATTCAAACTTTCTTGTTGATACAATTCATCTTCATCATCAACCATAATATTTCCGAGCGCACCATTGAGTGATGAGGCTTCGGATAAAGTTGGAGTAAATCCTTCGTTAACATCATCCTCTCTCCCTCCAACTAGTATTCTCTGATCATGATCAGCAGTATGCGGATGATGATGTTGCACTTCGTCTCCTTCACACGAATTGTAAGCTTTGTTACCTGGTTGTTTCTGCATTTTTTTGTAAAAGGTGCTGTTCTTTCCGCTCCCTCGAAATTAACACAAGAGTCGAGGTAAAATTTAAAGTTTGTTGTTTACTTTTCTTTAATAGTTGTTTGACATCTCTGATCAAAAGATTGATTTGATATGTTGGGACGAATATCGTAAGCTTTTTGTTATTGTTATTGGATGGCCATCTAAGTGGTAAAGAGTCGTCATTGGAACCTAAGACAGGCAATTACGGCATTCCTCAGTTTAAATAAGAGCTCGAATTTAATGTTGATAAACTTTTAAAGCAAGTTCTCCAAAAAGTGAAAACTCATGTAGACGTTCCCTGCAGAACGACGTGTTTAAGCCTTATCACATCATTGTAAAAACCTATCTTTCCGTTTTGTACCGATATGTTTCGGAACTGAAGGCTCTTTCTAACTGTAAATTGAACTGTAAATCCTAACATTTAGAGATAGACATGAATAATTTTGAATTGTTTCCACTTTTGCCAATATCTATTTTCTTGGGATGTATTGTTTGTAGACTTTTGTTGACTTGAACCAAAGCGAATGACTTGACCCAAATTTCTTTTTGAGGTTTTTTAAAAAAATTCTCTTCATCTGCCAGCTTTGTCGTGAATTTTTCATCATCACCAAAGAGGCCTGAACCGATCATCACAAATTGTCCACTTTGAAACTTTGTTGAACGAGTTGTTAGTGAATCTACTCAGGGTACACACCAACAGAACCAACACGTTGACGTACATTATTTTCTTCTCTGAAATTATTTCATCACGAAAATAATCATATTCACGTTTATAACCGATCTTTGTTATTGCGACGGATTCGATTTGTTGCATACATTGTTTATAACAACAACTGGTACATCATTGTAGTAGCGTTTTGAAGAAGATTCATTGCTCTACTCTCCTTTTCATCATTAACTTATTTTCAAAATCCTACAACACACGTTTGGCTAGAAAATCTGAACAACCTGATTAGATTCTAGAAAACCCAACGATAACAATTGTTCTCACTCATTGATGCCTTAAATTATTTACTATGACTATCCATCATCACAATAATCAATTCCAATCAACACCATCATCACACCTTTCTTCATCATAAACATCCATTACTCTTTTTTCAACATATTTACAATATGGCACCAAAACGAAACAAACAACCAACAACTAAACATCATCAACCTAATAATCAACGAAGTCCTACCCATCATAGACCTTCTTCTCACTCCTCTTCAGGGGCTGGGAATTATCAGTCTGATGGTAACAGTAGTAACGACAACAGTGGTTCTATGAACTCGAACAATACCTACAGTGGACGAACATTGGGTAAGTCTATTTGATACAGCTGAAAGATTTCATCAAATAATTTGATCTTTATGAAACCATTCAAATCACTCAAATGACATTAGAGGCTTCGAGTAATACCACAACACCTCGTAATTTCAATTCCAACAAGACGTCCTCCCTCAAAAGAACAACAAGTAATTCTTCGATTGCTTCTTCGGACAGTGAAGGAATTGGACATAATGACGGATCAAACAACAACAACAATAATCGCAGCAACACCGTAAAACATCATAATAGTGGTGGTTCTAACAGCTCCAAACCACATCGTGCGAACACTCCTGGCAGCAACTTGCCTACAAGTACAGGGCAAGGAAGCAGTAATTCCTCATCTCCCACCTCTTCACCAAATCCAGGTAACAAGCGAAAAACAAATATTCCACCACCTCTTGATACAAGCAATCTCAATCACACCAACAAGAGACAACTTTCATCAGAGTTGGTGAAAGTGGACTTGCCATGGAGCGTCCTTCAAGCCAAGAATCCCTCTTTTAAGGCAGCAACAAGAGGGTTTCACACTTGCACCGTTGTGGATGATAAACTTTACATCATTGGTGGAGATAATCGTCAGACAGAATTTAATGATGTCTGCATTTTTGACATGAGTAAGTTTTTCTCAAAGCTCTTCAATTTTAACGAAGATCATTGAAACCAACAATATGTATGATTTAGAAACTCATTTTTGGATCAAGTTATCCGAAAAATCCTATTTACCAGCACCTCGTACTGGACATTCCACCGTCTTGTACCAGGATAAACTGTATTTATTTGGTGGAAGATACAAAGGTTTTTACACAGCAGACCTATTTGTATACGATCTTAAAGAAAATGTGTGGCAAAAAGAGAATATCGGTAAAAAGAAACTGGTTGCAAGGGCCGCACATAGCTGTTGCGTTGTAGACAGCAAAATGTACATATTTGGAGGAATCACTTCATACCAAGGAATGGACGGAAAAATGAATAGTGATTATCTCAATATTTTGCAAACATATGACATTCCTCAAAAGAAATGGCGAGTGATCAAACCGAAAGGTCAAGCACCTTCTCCCAGAGCTGGTCATGGATGTTGTGTCGTCGGAAGAGATATTTACATTTTTGGAGGAAGACAAGGAACGATTGTCCTTGATGACATGTATAAATTTAATGTAGATAGCGAAAAATGGAGTAGAATAATTTTCAAGGGAGACACAATACCCGACGCTCGAGCAGGGCACACCATGAATGCTTTTGCAGGAAGTAAGCTAATCGTTGTTGGAGGATCCAACTGGGAAAAGTATTTTTCTGAAGTTTACGTTTTTGACATTCCAAGCAAGGTTTGGGTAAAATGTGGGTTTGCAGGAATAATTCCAGTAGGTAGATTTTGGCATACTACCGTAGTCTATGAAGAGGAATTGATTGTTATTGGAGGAGGAAATTCCGAACTAGTTGAGGGAATCACTGTTGCCAATTTGAAACCTTTACTCTCTCTTACTGAGGCTGTCTCGTTAACACCTCTCACTTCCATTTCTCCAATGCCTTTACCTGACATACCTCAACCACCTAAACCTACCACAATGAAGATCAAGGCAGTACACAAGGGTGACATGAGAATATTCACCAAAGTACCTGTGGACATTTCATTTTCCGAATTGAAACAATATTTGTATGGGCAGTATGGATTTCCTGTTGTGATGAAATATGTAGAACTAAACGATGAGAAGGACGAAATCACCATACTCTCCGATGAAGAACTTCAAGAAGCTGTTCGTGCATACGCAGAATTTAACAAAAATTTACGATTAGAGATTAGTGAAGAAAAATCGGACTCTTCAGACAAAGTTGAAGAAGATTCTCTTATACTTCAGCAAGGAACTGACATTAAGTGGCAACGAGGAGAAACCATTGGTAGAGGTGCTTACAGCGAAGTCGTTAAAGGCTTTAATTTAGACACAGGTGGATGGATGGCTGTAAAAATAATAGACATCTATCGTTATGATCCGGACAAAGTTGAGAAGGAGATTGCTAATGAAATCAACTTGATGAAAGATCTACACCATGAAAATATAGTCCGATACATTGCTGCCGAATTTAACAAGAAAAGAACCAAGCTATTTATTTACCTCGAACTCGTAGAGGGAGGCAGCATAGACGCAATTGTCAAAGAATTGGGACCTTTGGCAGAAAGCGTTGTTAGAAATTATACAAGACAAATTTTATTTGGTCTCAAATATTTACATGACAAGGGTATCATTCACAGAGACATTAAGGGAGCCAATATTTTGGTTGACGGCTCTGGTACTGTGAAATTGGTAGACTTTGGTCATTCCAAAAAACTTACTGATAACCATCAAACTTATAGTGTTAAAGGTACACCAATGTGGATGGCTCCTGAGGTTATCAGAGAACAAAAATATAGTAAGGCTTCAGATATTTGGAGTGTGGCTTGTACAGTAGTAGAAATGATTATTGGTGGCCTACCATATCCTGATATGGAGAAGAGAGATGCCAATTACGTCATGATACGCATTGCAGAGGGGAAAACGCCACAAATACCTGAACATTTGAGCGAAGAAGGAAAACTATTTCTGAAGAAATGCTTCCAGCAAAATCCTGATGTTAGACCATCAGTCGATGATCTCTTGAAAGAACCTTTCATGGCCAAGCTGAGATATGACGGAACCTCTAAACTGGTGGATAGTGACGAGGATATTGATGATTTATGGAACAGTGACGACGATTACTCAGAAATTGACGATCATGATCATGATGACGATGAAGACGATGATGATGATGTGCCTACTTCTAAGGATAATAAGGGAAAAGGACCCATGACACCAGAGCTAGACTATCACGAGGAAGAGGATGAAGAAGAGGAAGAAGACATAATAGAGGAAGAAGATGAAGAAGATTCCGAAGATGAAGAAGCATATGACTCTGAACAGGAAGAAACAACCGATGACGACTCACTTCCACAAGCAGAGGATCGTTTTGCACAGAGCATTTCACAACAGCTGAGAAACATTAACGCAAATAATCCAGCTAATGCTCTCAATTACACACCTCCTACCATCTCGACGTCGACCATTTCGAAACAACAAACACCTGATGCTTCTTCAAAGGTTCCTAGAGGAGTACAACGACCCAACCTCAATCTCAATCCCTACGCATTCCAATCCATAACCTTAAACTCCACTGCATCCACTCCAGTCACAACACCCCTTACCAGCAGATTTGGACTGGGCAGCAGTAGCTCTTCAGTTGCAGGAACATCTTCCAAAACTGGTGCCTCGTCATCAGTTGCAGGTGCATCTTCCTCATCATCCACAACAAGAAATGTTGCAGCATCGTCCTCTACTCAAACTGGCGCTTCATACAATGAAGTGCTCAAATTCTTGTCAAAGAAGCATTAACAAGGACAAATAAAGAGTTCACTTGCGATCAGATGTCAACCATGTGTGATGTCAACACAAACAGAAAAAATGCTGCAGTTGATACTGATAACCACCAACACGGGTGTGATAAAATTCAAAAAGTCTTTAATAACGGATCTAGACCGTGATATTTTCCTTCGTCTTTCAAACCTCATAGTCACATTATTTGTAAAATCAAAACGAGAGGTTGATCATAAACTTTCCTATTTCGAACTCAACAATCGAGGAGTGACCATAGAGGAAAATACACAAAGCAAATTGTTATGTATTTTAATGCACGACATTACCGATGTATGTTTCTACGTGTTATTAAATTATATTTTTCAAATGATGATGACCACCACCATATATTTGCTCGGATTTCATCATGAATTTACGGACCACACATGGAACACTCACTTCTCCGACATCACTGAATACAATTTGTCATCAACAACTTGACCATATTATTATAAATTTTCCCAACCACTGTACACTATTCCATTTGGTGTGTGTGTGAAATCATGTCTCATCCAACATAATGAACCGACACTTTATGATTTCAAAAATTGGTGTTTGTTCCGAACGCACATGGATACTCTACTACTCCAATCATGAACATACACTCCTTCTATATATACATGTATTTAGGGTTATGAATTTGCAAAACTCGTCGCCGAGGAACTTTTAGATCGATTTATTGCCACCTTTCGAACTCCATCTTCCATCCCAAGCAAAACTCTCTATTCCAATTCATTTAAAAATCCAAATGCTGCTTCCAATAACTCTTCACTCAATAACAACAACTCGATATCATCCAATGGATTACCAAACAATAATGCAAAAGCAACTTCTCCACAAACACTGAATAATACGGGAATGAACTTGTTTGGTAGTAATCAAAAAAGTCAATTGTCATCCTTTGATGGAGAGGACTCGTCAGCAAGTATTGATACAGCTCAACAATTTAAAGGGAATTCGGATTTCAGTTCGATGGATCAAATGACCATTGATGATTGGATGGAACAGCAAGAATATGATTTTAATAATATTAACGTCGATGAGAAAATATTTGAAGCCAAGTTGGCAGAAATTTATTTGGAACTTGTGTATCCCATTATTGAACATTGTAAGTGTTTTTGAACCATGTTGTGAAGATTTATTGTTGAAAATATATGTATGGATTCGGAATGATCATTTGGTTTTGAATATCTTGTTGGATTTTGAAAATTGATTTTTTTGATATTCATTGTGACATTTGGCACACATTGAAAATCATTCAAAACAGTGGATGGAGTTCGAGGAATTTTAAATTCTTGGCTTATTGAAAGTGGAGATGAAGGAATTTTAACAACAACCAAGCCACAGCTCGAAGCAGATTTAAAGTTTTTGGTCAATAATTGTGATCGATTGTTGAATGGTGAAATGCAAAATTTAACCATAAAAGGGAACGGTAAAAATCTACAAGTGGTCACTGTCGAACACAAGTGTCATCTCGTTGTGTTATTAGAATCGAACGTTCAACCAGAAATTACCGGATTTGCCATTGAGAAAGCTGTCTTTTTATTACGGAAAGTTTATGCCCTCAGAAAGAATATCAAAATCCAATAAATCTGCTGCTCCTCAAAGTTTTTTGATTTGGAAATAGGAGCAAGGGCAGTTCGCATAATTCAAGACACTATGTTCAGCATTTTTGAATTGGAAGCCATCAGGATTGAGTTTCTATTTCATCTAAAAAAACAAAAATACTGTTCACTGAGATCCTCCTAGGTATCCCATTCCTTGGTTCCAACTCGTCGCCTGAAAAGAACTCATCGTTATTCCTTGGTAAAAGGAATTCAATTACAAAAAAATGGCCACTCCTCTCTCCGATTATCCACCCATACTGAAGCCTCTCGTTCCGTATTTGCAGAGAGCTAACGAATTTGAAAAGCGTGCACCTATTGTAAGCTTTTATTGTAGAACATATGCTGTTCAGTTGGGAATTTCAATTGTACAATCTCAAGATCAATCCGATGATGAGGCGACTCAGATATTAACGGATTTAATGGATCGGTTGGAACAAGACAAGGAACAATTGAATATTGAAGCTCAGGAATCTGAAGCAAAGGATATGGTGGAAATGTTTGCTTTGAAGGTTTTCAAGAAGGCTGATGATGCCGATCGAGAAGGCAGGCACGACACGTAAGTATCCGTAGTAATATTTAATTGTTGTTGATCAAAACTTGTCCGTGTGATCACCACAATTACCACATCCCTATGGATAAACGAAAATACATTTGTTCTATTGACATTACATCTTCGCCACAACAACATGATTCACTTTGGCTTGATATTTCTTTTTATGATTAATGATGATAGTCAAATCGCAAAACTGTACTATGCAGCATCTATTCTTATTGAAGTCACCAAACAGTTTGGAGATTTATCATCAAATGTATGTCATCATAATGGAGTTATTAGCACTAATTTGATTTTATTCACGCAAATTATGATTTATCATTAACTACACTCTTAGATGGTAGAAAAGCAAAAGTATGCCAAATGGAGAGCAGCCGAAATTCAAAAATCAATTCGTACTGGTCAACCAGTTCCTCCAGTCGAAGATCAACAAGCAGAAGATCAAGACGACCAATTGCAATATTATTCTAATCAACAAATTAATCCAACAAGTAATCAAAGTTCGGAAGAGGATGAAGTAAACAGATATTTGCAAGAGCAGGAGAATCAACTCGCAAAGGAAAGACAGCCATCACCAAGCTATGATTGGAATAGCTCATCACAACAACAAACTCAATTTAATTATCAACCGCAGCAACCATCTCAGAAACAACAAAACGACTATATGAATGTTTCACCAACAACATCTTCCGAGGAAACTTCATTCCAACAACCAAAGACATTCAGTCAACTGCAACAACAATTTTCAACACCGCCACCACCTTGGGGCAGTCAGCAGCAACCTAAACAGGAAACATCATTGAATCCATCACCAACATTCAATACTGCATCAAGTAACAGCATCCAACCTTCATCGACAAGTCAACAATTACCAAAGCCTACCATTCAGCAACAAAGAACCACTGTATCCCCTCCTTCATTTTCTCAGCCTTCACACACCACACCACCACCTCCACAACAACACGTGACAAGCCATATAACAAGTACTGTCGGAGGAAGTAAGGATATACCTCTCGATAACATGATGAAAGCACAAAAATTATGTAAATTCGCCATTAGTTCGCTACAATTTGAAGACGTGGAAACTGCCAGAAAGAATCTTATCGAAGCTTTAAATTTAATTAGTTAAACAATATGAATTTCTGATTTTGAGGTGTGTAGACTGATTTTGGTAGCTACTAAAATACGAAAGTTTGTTTTCATCCATGCAACTGTTTTGATCCTCTCACACTTTATGGCAACTCATCTCGAAAACGGCAATAAAGAGAGGGTTGAAATAACACTGGACCAACATTCAATTATCCCTACGATCCGAATTCAATAATTTCGATTACGATTCAGCACAACTCACGACATAACCGCTCTCACAGCATGCTAGTATTCTCCTTTCGCATGTTTCCCTCAAAGAAACCACTTCCTTCTTTTGTGAAATGATTTTCAAGATTTATGTAAGAGGCTTGGAGCAAGTGGCTTATGACATAATGCTCTTCGAGATTTATACAAGACGCGCGTGCAAGATACACTCATTCTCTCGAGCGTTGCGTGCCAACACACTGCCAGCGAACCACTCTTCTTGTAAAACACCGTCCATGAAATTCTCACGGGCAGTTCAGCTTCCATGCAACAAAAAACTTAACCTTTTAAATCAAGAGTACGACTACCGCGTTGGCATGTTTAGGAAAAACTTGTATGGATAAATATCTGATTGGCCTCTTGTAGCAACACACACAACAATCAACAGCCATACACAAAAAACCTTCCTTTCCTACAAGAAAGACTTGACTGGCTGAACAGAAAAAACAACCAACGAAAACGAATACTCACTTTCACACACGGAACCATTATGCCCTCTTTCAATATTGTTGACGAAACGAAACGAGTGCCACAGAGACTCTCTCGAGAACGATCGAATCGAATCAAACGATACGGTCCATTACCATCCAACACATCGTGTGCTTGTGTGTACAAGACTGGAATTCGTAGAGTCAGACGAGAAATTAACACAAATAACTTTTTACAGAATTACTTTGAACAGAGATTTGGTGATGACTTTTTAAGATATGAATGTGGTGATACGAATATCAATGTTAATAATACGAGGTCGGCGTCATCCTCGATCGTTGCACCACATGTACATGGCGATACAGCTTCTGTACATAACATCAATGGCAACACTTCAAAGAACAAGTCAGTAACAGCTTCATCATCGTCGTTGACAACAACTGTTGCTGCAGCACAAAATTTCACACAAGTCTTACACTCCACCTTTCCATTTCCAAATTCGGTAGAGTCTCACAGAACGCCTTCGAAGGACGCAATGTCATCTTCTTCATCCGCCAATTTTTCCAATAGGAGCATTACCAACATGACGAAACCAAAGAGCAAGAAGAAGAATGTTGGATCCAAGAAACAAGGCAAGATGAACTCTTCACATCTTTCTCTGAAGATGAATGAAACAACCTCCATTGTTTCTACTTCTCAATCTATGGAACTCTTGTCCCCTCTTCAAGAAGACATTTCATCCTTGTGCCCCGATAAGCGATCGACAGCTAGCAGTATCGTTTCACCCAGTGGACAAGTTTTCACACCTCCATCTATGAATCACACCATTGTAGAGTCGATCGAATTTGAATCCATGAACAATCGTGATCACTCGAGCAACAGGGAAATGACAACAAATTCATCCATGGTGGCACCACAACCATTGACATTTCAAACCAAGATGACAGCAGAGACGAACTTATTCACACCACATGTTGTTGCTGCAACTGTTGATCCACACCACCACCACACGGCATCGACATCCATGATGTATGTCTCTCCTCTAACCTCTTCTAATACTTGTCTAACTTCTTCTACTGGTCCAACAGTTCCTTCAACCTTTCACACACCATGCAATGTGGCAACAACGACTCCAAACAGTTTAAAATCCAAATTATCGATGGTGCCGTGTACAACTCCAAACGATCAACAACAGTATTACTCGAGATGTTTGCCATCCGTAAATCCATCCACAAACCAGGAAGCACTCTCATTGATCCATGAATCACAGGATTCCTCCTGCAAGGCCACTATCGTTTGTGAAGGTGGGAGTGTTCACATTCAATGGGGGGATCAATTCTTCCGCACTCTTTTTGACTTACTAAACAAGCAACAGTAATTTAGTTTAAAATGGAAAGTAAAATCGATTCGTCCTTACATGACAATAGGTCGAAAATATTTCCATTCATGAATACAAATTTTGCATTCCTATCAAAATGGCTTATCATTTCAAGACAGTAACAGAATGAAAGTGTTACATGAGGTTTTGATCAGTCTCCTTTGAAAAAGTTTCTTTACAGATCCAATTACCGTATTTGTTGGATAACGACTGCAAAAAATGAACGAGTCAAAGCATGGCCAAGAACAAGTATCACCTTCCTTGGAAGAAGAAGTTTTTCGCACGGATGATTTCTTTGAAATTACGATTGAGCGAGGAGAGCATTTGATGGCTGCTGATCTCAATGGGTTTTCTGATCCGTAAGTAGTACTGATGTAAACACGTATTTATTATTATAATAATAATGAAATGTTGCTTAATGACAATGCATTGCATGAATATCCACCAGTTATGTAAAGGTCATCCTTAATGATCATTATACTCGGAAAACTCAGGTCAGAAAGAAAACATTGAATCCCTTATGGAATGAAGTCGTGAGGTTCTACCGATTGGATGGTACTCATGTCTTGCATTTGAAATTGGAAGTATACGATTGGGACCGATTCACAAGTGATGTAAGTTGATGATGAGCCTCTTGAAACATGACTCCTATGATACATTGATTTCAACTTCATTTCCGTTTGATACAGGATTTCATAGGACGATGCGAATTAACCCTTTCAGCCAATGAAGATATTCTTCCCGATCAAGAGTACAGCCTTAGTTTACCTCTTCGGGATACCAAGAGTGGAACGATTTATATCAAGTACAAATGGATTCGAGATAAATCCAATGAAGAAGTGATTTATTCGCAACTTCCATCCATTCCTGGTCTCAAATATGACATGAAATTTGGAGCTACCTTTATTCCTTGTGTGCCTGAGGAATATTTTGCCATCACCACCAATAAGGACACGACTGACATGATCTTTATGGAGGTCTTTCATGGCAATATTGCAAAGGATGAGCTTACTGTCATGTATCACAAGATGGACTCGTCCTTTGAAAAAGTGGCAGATTCGTTTATCGCCAATTATTTGAAACATTATCAACTGGACTCTGAAAAGAAAGGAAGCTTTAAGATGTTAGTCAAACCCACCGATTACACATCCACCTATGATGGAGAAGGAAAGTTCAAGAAGATCATTCAGACAGCATTCCATACCACCTCAAAAGGAAAACCTGTAAATGTTATTTTCTTGACCTGTAATTATGAGGATAAGGTAATGTTGAACTTCATTTGCAAGACCAGAGAAGAAGCCATCTATTACACTCACTATGCGTTGCTTCAAGGCATTGCCACTCATAGTGTTATTTCCAGTGTGCCAATAAACCACCATTAATTTCTCTTCATTTCATGTCAACACCCGACACTTTGAAAAACAAGTTCTTGAGAGGGATGCACATTTTAAACGCACCATTAATCATTCCTCCGCTCCATTCCAATCCCAACTCAAATTGGCATAGGAAGATTTTGAGGTTCTTCGTTTCCATGAATTTCTCCAACACAAAAAATGTCAGCATCCACCACCTCTTCGTCTTCGGTTGAACATGGTTTCAATTTCTCTAAATTCTATTCGGGTGAGTTTGAGAAAATCTCCGAGCACATCTATCGACTCAACATTCCATATGCCATGGCCGAAAAGGTCTTTCCCAAATTCACCATTCCCGTGAGTGTTTTTCTCGTTCATGATTCCCTTCAATCCCGATATTCCTTGGTAGATGTCGGACCACCAGGTTATGAACAAATAATCATGAAGGCTCTTGCTAAATTCTTTGATAAGGGTGAAGAGGAAGAACATTACAAACAAGCTCTTTTGGAAATTGATCAAGTACTCATCACACATTTTCATATTGATCATTGTGGAGGAGTTAGAAAATTATGGGAATATTCGGATCAGGCCTTGCCCGTCTATTCTCATTCCCAAGATTTGGAATACATTCGAGATGGTAAGAAATTTCGAGAACAGAAATCAGAGTATTGGTTGTTTGGTATGACTAAATACTTGTTTAGTGATCCGAAAATGGAAGTGCCTTGCCAGAACTTGGACATGATTATGAATTCTAAAGAAAGTACCATCAAAGCAACAACTAGGGATTATATAAAAGAAGAGAAGAAGAATGAAACATCGGAGAAAGTGGTGGAGAATGGTCAACAAATTATTGAAGAAACACAACATGAAACTAATAATTCAAAATCATCCACAATTGTGGAATCGTCTTCCAATGCACCACATCGCCATTGTTTGTGTGCATGTCATTGTCCAGGTCATACAGCAGGTCACACTTGTTTTTATCATGAGGAAGATCGAGTGTTAATTTGTGGAGGTAAGAGTTTTTACATTGTACTGTTTTGAATTGAAATAATAATTGAACCACTACTGTCTATTGTATTGAAATAATATATTAATATCATTTATATTTGAAGACGCATTACAAAATTTGACAAAAAAGAAGAGCAAGCTAGAATATTCCTATCCACTTTCATCTTTTAACCTTTCCATGTCAAAGCAAAATATCAAGCAATTAGTGAATAGTTTGTCGAATGAGATTGATATTGTTTTTCCAAGTCATACCTATTCAATGAGCGGGCATACGATTGAAGAAGTATTGAAATTTGTAAATAAATGATCCAATCAGTGTTCAATCTTTTGTTGTGACATTCTACTACCTGCTGATTTTATAGCTTTTTCATGATATTTAAAACCCACCCTGTCAAAAAAAACGCAACTAGAAACACTGGTCCCGCAAAGCATAACACACCAACCACTCTAAACAAAAAAATCACAATTTTGTCCAGAGTAGAAAATTTATAGCGATTTTTATCCTTTTCTTGTTGTGTTGAGGAATCTTTTTCATTGTTCTTTGTACTGCCATTCTCTTTTTCATGGATCCAAAACCGGGTTTTTTTATTAAAACGCTTCTTAGAAAAGGTGCTTTTGTCTCCGTCAGGTGAAGCGTTGTCAGACGTGTTAAATACACCCTTTGTGTTATACAACCGTTGTTGTGAATACCCAATAGTCGTTCCATGAGGGCATATCCTCTTCAACGATTGTGGTGCTCTTCTTAACATTTTTTTATAAATTATTGATCGTGATTTGCAGGTTACACGAACATGGAAGGACCTATCAATTTTGGTTGTTGCTCTTCACTCTATGATGCCACATAAATAAAACGTAAGTTTTTTGAACGAGCTCGTGTAAATCTTGTCAACAAGTCTAATCTCCTCTAAAGCAACAAAAACCACCACGACGTCTCGCTGTGTGTTGATTCATGTCTTGTCCTTCTTTTTGTTCCTTTTTTGAATTCAAACTCTGAGAAGTATTCTCTTGATATGATTTTGTAAAATGTGAAATAATGACAAAGGCAACATCAGCAACCACATTCTTGAGTTTTCTCAAATTAATATTCTTCAATGTAATTGTCTTTTCTTCATCCGATTTTCCTAAAATAAATGTCATTTGAAGTGCCAGTACATCTTGGTCAACAATAAGGAAATCCAAATCTACGATCGAAAACTTGACTTGGATCAATTCTAATACATGAATGGAAGCATCACAAATTAAATTACGTGTATCATGAGATAAATTCTCGAGTTTTTCCATTACAGCTTGAGAAATGTCATCCAAAGTGGAATTCACATTTTTGAAAAGTTGTGAATTTTTCACACAATAGTCATGAAGCATTTGTTTGAATGTTTCAATGGCCTTATCAAGATCCTCCATACTTTCTTCATAGAATTTCTGAGTTTCATGCCATTCATCCACACACTTGTTGAATACTTTTCGTTCCATGATGACATCTTTGACTTGTTCAAAAATTTGTCTTCCCATTTCTGTGAAATTGGAAATTTCCTGATTCATTCGTGAGATACTTTCTCCAATTTTTAGAGAATATTTTCGACGTGCCTCTTCGACCTTCTTTTCGGCCATGTTCAACTCTCTCTCAGCTCTAATTTTTTCCTTAATAAATTCAAGAATTTTTCTCAACTTTTTCTCATCTTGTTCAGAATTTGTTTCCATGAAATTTGTTGTTGTTATAGCCATGTTCTTATGAGTAGTAGTGCTATCATTGTTCTTATGAGTAGTAGTGCTATCATTGTTCATCTTGTATTCCTTAATTGCATGTCGAATGAGAAGAGCTAATTTTTCTAATCCTTTGATTTTACCTTTCAAGCGAGGTCCAGTAAAAGTTTGTGAAAATTGAATCAACAAGTCAATACCTTCTGCTAATCCAATTTCTGCCATAAAACTCACTTCTCCAGTCGAAGGAGCAAAAATAAGATCAGCACCAAATTTAAACATGTCCAAAAATTCAATCATTCCAGAAACACGCATTTTAGGACTTTGTGAATTGTTGAATGGAATGAAAAGATAAATTTCAGGACTCTTTTCAATGGATTGTGAAGAGGTATAACCATTTTCATTTTCATTGGATGGAAATAATCCTTGTAATAATTTAAAATCTAACACGTCCTTATTTTCAGCAAGTTTCTTGTTTTCGACTGGAATGAGTGTTTTGTTTTCCACGTCAAATCCACTCACAATAATGTTACCATTCCACAATTTGAATTGTGAAATTTTTCCAAAATATTGAATTCCACTCGATGGAGTAATCATGGCAGCCAAAATTCCTTCGATGGATTTTTCCAGAATTTTTGGTAATTGAATGACCATGTCTGAAAAGAGTGTCATGCCCATTGGAATTTTTCGACGTTTGACAGTTTTTTTACCTGTAGCCACATCCATGGTTGTAAAACCATCTCGAATCATCATGGATTTTGCAGATAAACTAATTCCAGCTTTGACGATGCGCACATATTCATACGAAGTGGCAAGTTTGCTCTCAAATTGAATATTCAATACATATTGAGCGAGTGTCATGATATCTTGAATTCCAAAATTTTCCATTTTCAAAATCAAGAAATCTTCCAAAATATTCTCATTCATCGAAATGTACATTCCAAGTTTCTTGTCATTGAACAGAGTCACATTCGCTTGCATACTCACACCAGAGGGCAATCCAGTAGTAGCAAGTGCTGCATAATTTAAATCCACTCCTAATTCACAATCTCCAATGGTTAACCATTGAAGTCCAAAGGGTTGATTCCATTGTCCTTTCATTTTACCAAATAATTGAATATCTGTTGCACTGACAATTCCTTCGAGAATGAAGAGAAGTGGAGTTGGTGTTTCTTGTGACGGTTTTGCAATCATATTATGAGATTCAATGTTCAATTTTGAGAGAATGGCATTGGTCACTTGTGTGAAAATATTAAGTGGAATGATTTCAACTCCGACTTGGAATAGAACTTCTGGATTTTGAGAAACAGAGAGCGAGAGATTGAGAGGCACAAATGCAATTCGAGTACCAACTGGAAACTTTAAATTGTTAAAACTGACTCCAAAACCAAATTGAGCTGGTTGAAGAAGAGTTCTTCCGTTTCCAACCACTATGGTTAAAATAGTTTCAAAATCTGCTGAGATTTCCTTGTGGTCACTCTTTTCAAGAGATGTTTCGTTTGTGCTTTCCATTGTTGATGAAATTGGTGAGCTCGAATCTGTGTGTAAAATATTCAACTTGGATGATATCAAACAAGTCAACCATTGATAACTTCTTTTAAACTTGTCATTTAACATGTACCATTTGCTATTGTTAGAATCTAACACGAGAATCAAACTCAATGAATTTGCCTTAATATCAATTTTCAATTCATCAATTTCCTTCAATGATAAATCCATAGAAGTGTCATCATAAAAATAATCAAAAGTACTCAAAATGAAGTATGCTTTTTCGTACTTGACAATTTTCTCAATATTGGTAATGGCTGTCTGAATCATGGGTTGATTTGGAAAATATAGAGACAAGGACTCTTCATGTTCCAATCCACACAGTACCAACAGTTTTGGAGCTAAAGAATCTACTCCAATGGTCGATTGGAAAAACACTCTTCCATCCATCACGATCGTGTCCAAGAATTGGAATTTACACACTGCTCCCATCGATATCTTGGTAGGTGTCATGACATTCCATTCGAAAAATAATTTTGAACCTTTCAATAGTTTCATCATTGATTCTTTAAGATGAGAGTTAAGAATTGGAAAATGATCATTCAGCTCAACAGTTCCTCTCACTTGTAAAATATTTTCGGGAGAGAGATGAATGGAACATTTCAAATTGGAAAGTGAATAAAATTTAAATTGACATGAAATCATAATTCCCTTTTTCACTTTGTAACTTTCAATGGTTCCATCTCCAGATGAAATTGAGAGAGTTAAATTGCTTAATTGGATATCATTGTTGTGTTTTTGAAACTTGTCTGATGGTTCAATACCCATAAATTCACAAAAGAGATGAGACAATTCTTGTAAAGTAATAGGATCGCTTCTTGTGGCAATAATTGCAATCATAGAGTCTGATAATTTACCACGGAAAATATAATTATGATGTTTGGTTGCAATGTGACATTCGATAGCTAATTGCAACTTGTTGGATACATTAAATGTCACAATGGCATTTGAAATTACTAATTTTGGAATACCAAAGGCATCCTTCCATTTCACAATAATGCCACGAGTATTTCCATCATCGGTTGTTTCAACATTTGACAATTGAAGAGTGTTCACTCCAGGAATATCTGTACGCACTAGTAATTGTACATCAAACTTGGTACTCATTTGTTTATCTGTGGAATGAGTGTCAACAATCAAAACAGGTTCTATCATTTCCATATTCTTTTCCAATTGAATATCAAAATGCATTCGAATTTCATTTGGTGTATTGGTTTTGATCACATCACATACACATTTCAAATGTGTCAAATTCTCCTCTCGAAATAATTTTGGAAGATTTTTCTTGATCGAACTCAAATCCACAATTTCACATTCCAAACGAAATAATAAATTTGTTTTTTTCATCGGAATGTGAATGTGGACATGATTCAATGGAATTGTTGTGGAGTGAATCCATTGTTTGGAATTTTCATCGATTTTCTTTTCAATGATGATTTTTGAAGGTGTGGTCGTGTTTTCATGATCATCACACGAGGGTTCAAAAATTTGAAATAATTTAAAAAAGGAAAGTGTGAAATTGTTGGAATGATCATGGTTGAAAAAGTGAAGGCTCCACATGTCGATGTGCTCTTCATTCTCGGTTTTTGGAAGGATTTGAATATCGAGATTGAACGGAGGATCGTTCGAAAATTGTAATTGACAAGTGGCAGTTTTGTTGTTGATCTTGTCGTTCGGGAAAGCTGCAACGTCTTGATCATTGTCAACAATGTTGAGTAGAGTACATTGTTTGAAATTTTCTCTCAAATGTTGAGCTAAACGATGCAAATCTGACATTTTTTTTAACATCATGTCATTGGTCAACTGTTTCATTTTCTCAACCTTCACCAATATTGACAAACTGTATTCACAACAATTTAATTTTGGTCACTTTCACAAATTGCCAATCTCTCTGGCAGCATTTTTCAAACAATTTGCACGCTTGCCCATCAATATAAAACCTTGGAATTCCACTTCCAAATTCTGGAAGCGCAAGAATTGGCATTTTTAGGTCCCAAATTGTTGGCTTTGATATCCCTTTCATTACTCAGCCGTACCACCTATGTTTTGTAAACTGGTGGATGAACTTGCAAAATTCAAAAAATTGAAAAAGGTCCCTCACGGTCCGACTGTGTCGAACTAGGGAAGTGTGAAAGATGATTTCCCACTTCCCAAATTTAATGTTTGTTGTCAACATAAAACAAACGCAGTTGGTACCTTGGTTTGGTGTTAGCCGCACCTACAGTAAAGCAACTACTTCCTTCCAGCTCCATTTCAATTCATTACGAATTCACCAAGCTTTTAAACTCGGGCTGAACCTGAAGACGCGCGTTAGCACTGAACTGCAGGAAGCGGATGAGAGCATGGTGTTGGAGACATGGTTGGCATTAACAAAAGTTTTTGGGTGTGACTTGTGTCAGATTATCGAAGCCAGTCTTTTAGACTCGGGGCTGAACCTGAAGAAGCGCGTTAGCACTTGACCGCAGGAAACCAATGAGAGCACTAGCTTGAGGGAATCTGACACACGTCACAGAATATATGCATCTCACTTTATATTCCACACGTATGGTATTGAAACCAACAATGTGAGTGGACATGTTTAGCGCATGCGCTGCATTTGAAAGTGGTGTTGGAACGAATTCCTTTTCTCTTACAAAATTCACATGGTTTGGGTTGTTGGGTCAACATTGGAAAATGTTGCAACGTTGAAATTTCCTTATACCGAGGTTGTCGATCACTAAGGCTGTAAATAATGGCAACCAAATGGCCTAATTGTTGAGGCTTTCGGTTATTGGGTCCCATATGGAAATATTGATATAATTTGTGAGAACCAACCACAAGTGTCTTCATCATTGCAAAAAACATGCATCGTTTCCAACTTCTATGTCTACTTCGAAAATGGTACAAATTCAATGCAGCGTCAAATGAATCAACACTTCCCATGTTCATGTTATAAAATCGTAAAATGTCACATCTTGGTGTTTTGTTAGACCCTTTGGCTTTGACACGTTCTAATTCTTCTCTTGGAATTGAAGTGGACCCAACAGACGCCATAAAATTACATTTACCAGAATCAAACACTGAGAGTGCTGCAAAAGCGTTATCATTTCTAACAATAAAGCTTTGATCTCCTTTCTGTTTGAGATCCGGTTGCAAATAATTGGAAAATATTTCGGAAGGCCGATTACTTTGGCAACTCAATACAAATTCAAAGTTATTTTGTTTCAATTGCTCTGCTAATGTCAAACTTCCGTAAAATTGATCAGTAATTATTGTGTACTTTCTTGTGTTGTAATCTGGAAGTTTCTTGGCCAAATCCATAACATAATCAACTACGGTAGTACTAAGGTTATGCTCATTATTTTTCCCTCTGTATAACCAAAACCAAACCGGCATCCCGAAACTGTCACATAGAATAAATAATTTTAAACCTGTGGCATGTGGTTTACCACGGACGTGTTGTCTTCCCTTAAACCGTCCTTTGAACAATATAATACATTCATCAACAACCCCAATATTACTTGGGATCCAACACTCATGAAGCAGGTTGCAAAACGTGTCTAATATCCAATCAATATCGTATGATATGCATTGATGAATTTCTCGAAAACGTTTCTTGGTCATTATGTTGCGAATTAATCCGTTCCCAAATAAATATTCCTCTTCCTTTGTCCAATAATGTGCCAACTCCGGCATTTTGATAAGCCCCATTGTAAAAGTAATCGCAAAATAATAGTTCAATTCCTGCAAGGTAACCTCAGGTTTTTTCAATTCAGCACATTTTAAATTAGTTTTTTCTAAAATATGCTTTTCCACCTCAGCCGTGTATAATTGTTTGAATAATTCAAAACTATTTCCGTTTGTAACTTTGTTTGACGGTTTGCCACATTCTTTGGTGATGTATGGATTACAGAATTCCGGTGCTTTTTTCCAGCCTTCAGGAATATAACCATGCTTGTCTTTGTTGTGGGAGAGGAGAGCTTTTTTGCTTGCAAATTTCTTATTACATTCTTCGCAAACAATACTTGATTTTTTCTTTTTTTTTGATTTCTCAATTAATCTACTTGATGTCATTGATTTCTTTCTTTTCTTAGTTTCCTTGGTTTCGGCTGATGAATTATTGTTTGTAGATTTTTTCAATTTTTTAATGCTCCGTAGATTCCCTTCAAACTCATTTTGAGATGCGTTTGGATTAAGTGATGCGTAGAAGTTCATTATAGTTTGGACTAATTGTTGTTTGTTTCCTGATGTCCTAACATGATATTGTTTACATAATTCTTTTAAATTCTTGTTTGTGAGTTGTTGTAGCTCATCTTGTGACATTTTGATGATTTGTTGTTCCGATGATTTTGTTTGTTGAGTTTCACCCGAAGGTAGTTGTTGTGATGATTGTGGTAAAGTACTAGGTTCATTTTGTTGTGATGATTGTTGTGATGAGCAAAATGTGGCGCGTCCGTGTTGTTGTGGCCTGTTTGACTTGCTCATTTTTTCGTTATTTTCCAACAACACCAACGGCAACATTGATTCATAAATCTACTCACTCACCACATGTGTGATGAGTAAGGATGAAGTCATCGTTTAGTGTGAGCCTGTTGCAAACGGCTGACTCAAAATCCTACAATTAATTTGGATGCGGCTTTCCGAACCGTGACTCACGAAATACAAAAATAGACGTGGGAACTTGGCATTTTATTTTTAAATTTGCTGCTTTTTGATTGGATGCAGGAAAGAGATATTCGATTACCTTGAGAATGAAAATTTTCTTGAAAAGGAACAGGAGATTGATGATGATGAGCAGAATGTGAAGCAAAGTGGAAAGGATTCGGATTATCAAGTACAACCACACCATCTAACAAGCCAAACCCTCTGCCTCTAGTACTACCGAGCAGCGTGAACACAAAGCAAGTAATTGCAAGAGAAAACGTGTAATAGAAGACTATTACAAGGAGCACAAGAAAAGGACAGCATAGATAGGTGCCTAGAGTACTCTAACAAGAAAAGGTCCACAAGACACGAATCTGACACAATTTGGCTTGCATCTCAATATTGAACGTCCTAATTACTCTGATGACGATGAATGCTTGTTGACAATGACGTTGAGATGTATAAAGTTTAATCTTTGTTGATGAGAAATTGGACCTGTCCATCATTAATGCGTGATTTTAATGTTGACATTTAGTCATTCGACGCTCTCATTTCAAAAAAAAATGTCAGCTTACTTTTTCACCCGTGAAATCGGAAGATTGATAGCTTGTCATACTCTGTTTTCGTTTTTCTCTCATGTATTTAATGAAGGTGCAATTCTACTTTCAATGGAACTCTTACTTGGCAAATTGATCACCAGAGTGTTATTAGTTTATATGGCTGTCCTAGGTGTTAGAGATGCTCTTAGATTTAGAAAACTCTCCTTCAAGTCTGTTACCTTCCATAGATGGCTTTTACTTTCTTTTTCTCTTTGGTATCTTGTGATTATCAAAGAACGTATCATTCGTGAGGAGTATGATCAGAATATTAAAAACAAATGGTTTCCAGACGTTTATTATATGAAAGAACATGATGTATATATTGATTTTACATATAGAAATAATGCCGTTGCTATTGGAGGTAAAACTAGTGTTGTTTTTCCAAAAAAAACTAGTTTATGGGACTATGCCTCAACCTTTCTCTTCTCTTCACATAATTGGCCACCTAATGCACTCAATGCTCTTGTTTCACATGAAAAGGGACACAATGCTACTTTTATTGCCATGGTTGCTGTTCAAATGTGGATTCTATGCTTTTGCTATGAGAATGTTAAATGGTATTTCTTTCCTTTTGTTTTTGTTGTTGGTAATACAATGTCTGGTTGGTTTTTCGAGTTGGTGGCAGACTCAAACGTTCTTCACTTACAAGGAATTGAATTAATGTCAGTTTTAGGTTTGGATGAAGATCATTTTGGAAGTCTTGGAGTTAACAGTCATCCACCAATCTTTCTCAGAAAACTCACTTATCAGACTGATAGATTGTTATGGAAATACTGTTTCCAGTATTTGAATTATTTGGTGGGAATTTATACACTTTTCTGGTTTTGGTCAACAGAGGGGTGGAAGAAATCGCCCATCCTAGCACACAGCTAATAGCCCGGATGGGGATGATTGCTAAAATACTGCTTAATTGCAGCAACTCCAGCAACAATAGCCACCAAACAATCCCAAAATTTTTTTATTCCAGTAATTGATAGATTTATATGTTGCTTGAAACACACTCAAGTTCTGGCCAACTTTATTCATAACAAGTGACTTGCGGCAATGTAGACCACAATGTTGTTGCGTTCAACACGGAATGTTTGAACAATCAATCTAAGAATTAGTTGTCACTTCGGTATTATGTAATACGCTTGATGTTTTGGTTGGGAACACTACAACGTCAAACATTCCGAATGATCACTGTTGGTGACTTTAGTTGCTTGAACGTATATTCTTCACATTCAGTATCTTTTACCAAGATGGAATATTGATGATCATCTATGTTTCGCTGGTGTCTTCTTTCGGTCAACATTTAATGTTTACAAAAAAACACTTGCTGCTCAAGTTTCACATGATGAGAGAGATGTTGCTGCCACACCTTCTTCATCTAATTAAAATGTATCAATATTCCAAGTGAAGCTGAGAATTAGATGTGTTAATGTTCAATATTATTGTAAAAAAACAATTTATCCAATTTTATGAATGATTTGTTCTGAATGTAGTGAAGGGTAGGAATGTTTCGATTGTAAACAATAAAAGAGTTTGGGTTGAGTATTCGAAATAATTTTCATGCTCAAAAAATGTTCTTCATACTAGTACTTCGTCTCCCTTTGCTTTGCTTACTGACTTCCCACCCATCGCACTCCCACCCTTGTCATGCTTTCTTAAGCTTTTCAAGTTCCTTTTTCGCTGATCCTTAATGTTCTTGTGGTAAGAAAGAACCTTAAGACAGTACGGGACTACCTTGTTCGAATCTTTTCGACAAGTAATTGAATATTTACTTTTTAACCTTATTTTAATATTTATTTTACATTAATGTGACATTATCTCCGCCTTTGATACTTGGTTTATTTATGATAATGTGAGTTGATCACAATCCATCTCTTCTTCATCACTTCCATCTTACTTCCTTGCGTTTCTCTGGTTTTCTCCTTTTTTTCCGCTGTGCGGTTTTTGGAGTTTTTTACCTTCTACCCCTTTTCAACTGCTCGAGACTCTGCTCAATAAAGTCTAATGACAAAATAGGCAGAAAATCCCTCAAACACCAATCCTTTTCAAAGGATGGATGTTTGGCGACATACAAACCCATTAGTTTTCCTCGAATTAAAATCCAAACTCTTGTTGTTGTTTTCAATGTAGAAACAAAGACAAGTGTCAAACACTTGGTTACAGAATCACCTTAAGGAATTGGGAAAACCTCATTACTAATTAGAACCTTGTCCAAGTATCCAGGTTTATTAATCAACTGTTTCATTCATTTTCTCAATTTGCATCAATATTGACAAACTGTACTGTATTAACGTACTTTATATGAACTCAATTTTTTCAACTCTGACCTTGACGCGAGTTCCCTTTTCCAACCACCATTCAACCAAAAAATAATTCCAATACAAACCTCTCGTCGTCAATTTAGACAAGATGAATCATCATCGACTGACCACTTCCTTGATCCATCACGGATCACAAATGGAACGTTTCTATGTCAAACGAATGCTTGAAAAACTCTCTCCGAGCACTTTGTGTGAACACTCCTTGAAGGACTATCATGTCCAAGGAGTTCAGTATTTATGTTTGGAACGATCCCATCAAATAACTACAAAAGTCTATTTGCTAGATCCTCAATTACATGGTGCTAGATCTTCATGTTCATCTCAAATTCATTCACCATTGGACTCTAATGATTCAACACCAAAATTGGATGATGGTCATGTAGCAAATCCACACAATCATCGATATCATTTTAAAACGACAGTATTAGCAGGTCAAATGGTGAATAAGGTCTTTGAGGAACGACCATGGATTGAAACTTGTCGTAATAAGAAAGATCATGCTCACTTGTTTTGGAAATTTGCATACTTTTATCAAAATCATGAATTTGTGAAAATGAATCAAGTCGTATTGGAACCCACACAATGGGAACATGTACATTTGGGAGAATCGTATGAATTAAGTCCAGAACAAATTCATACCATTCAAGTGAGTGATCAAGAGTTCACAGTTCTGTTTTTACAACAATTTCAAGATGTGGTGTCCAATGAATTTCCTGGAGCTTTTTATTGTCGAGAAAGTGAACCACCCAATGTGCAAGGATTGTACTCGAGATATTCAGAGATGGAAGTTGATGAATTGAGACGAAAAATTTTGGAATTGATTTGAAAAATCTTTTGGAAATAAAAATGTTTTGGGAAATTCAAAAAAAATGTCTGAATTTGGAAGGCACCATTCTTTGCCTCGGACCAATCATGAGACTACTCAATTATTGAGTCAACCATTGGATGAGTCTTTAAAAAGTACAGAACATTTACTGAGGGGAAATGCAAATAATTTCAATCATGGTCATTATCATTCATTTTCGCAAAAGGATCAAGAATGCTTTGCATCTTTGAATTCAACTGCGTATTATCAAGAGGATGACGATGGAATGGATGAACACCAAGATGATACCAATGAATTATCCGAAGAATTACTCATTGGAGATGCATCCAACAATCGTCATCATTCTCATGAATTCAATGAATTCAATGATTCAGTCATTGAACGAATTTCTCCATATGTTCAAACACAAGCCAGTTCTTCTCCAATAACCATGACACCTTTTTCGGCAGAACATGTCGAAAAGTCCAATAATAAACGAAGAAGCAAGAAACAACCAAAGAATGAACAGAAAGCCAAGTTGGATTTTCATTTTCTGAAACGGTTTTTTATTATCATTGGATATTGTTTGAGAGTGATTGAAAGAAATAGTGACTATCACGTTTTGGATGAAAACGGAAAGAGAATTGTGCGTAAACGATGGTGGTTTTTCAAAGGAACAACGAAGATTGTACATAGTGAATCAGAGAATGGCAAGCAAACAATTGCTAAATTTTGGAATAATTTATCGATATTCAATTGGCTTTTAGTCATGCTGTTTTTGGTTGTGTGTGTCGGGGAGATTTTATTAGGAAATGAAGTTGGAAAGATTCCTGGAGCTTTTTATAAGGTGATTATTGATGCTTCAAGTACAAAATTTTCAGATTCTGGTCCCTTTGTTAAAGTGATGCTCATAAGTTTATTATGGATTTGTGGAATTACACTTGTGAAAACATTTAGACAATTTGTGTTGGATTGTGTGCGCTTGTTTTGGAGAAGAAATTTAACCTTCCATTTACAGAGAAGATATTTTGAATATAGAAATTATTATAACATGATTGTGTTAGATAAACGAGTTGACAATCCCGATCAAAGAATAACCAAAGATGCTGAGAATTTTATTGACATGACCTGCAAATTTGTGGAGAGTCTTTTTACTGGACCTATCACAGTGTTTTACTACACCGTGACAGTTTATTTAAACCTTGGATGGCAAGGTCCACTCTGTTGCTACGCCTTTTTCATTATTGGATCCATCTTGAACAAGCTCATCATTTCTCCAATTGCTAATTTGTGGTTCATTCAAGAAAAATATGAAGGAAATTTTAGGTATACTCATACACAGATACGCTCAAATGCAGAGTCCATTGCGTTTTATGGTGGTGACGCAAATGAAAGAATTATTCTTAATCAAAAATTGAAAGGTACTATTAACAATCGACGAAAAATTGTCATGTGGAATATTTTGTTGAATGGTCATATGAATCTGTTCGGCTACATTGGAAGCATTTTGGCATACATGATCATTGCTCTCTCAGTATTTGTGATTGGAAACTTTGTTGACAATAATGAATCAGCAGGAAACATTGCAGATAAGATTTCAGTGGTAGGTTTCCTTAAACACTTGTTTTGCCAAACATTATTTTAGTCCTCCTTTCAAGTCATGATGCTGATTTCTGGCTTTACAACTTTCATTCAAACGGGTTCAGATTTATCAGAGCTAGCTGGATTCACTGCAAGATTAGGCGAAATGAAAGAAGTGATGGATGAGCTTGAAAAAAATCCAGACTATAAAACCCACAGCAAGCTCTCACTCAGTCATTCAACCAATTTCGAAGAATGTGACAGTACAGGAAGCGTGTCTCACATTGAGTTCAAAAACGTGAGTGTATTTGTTCCCAAGACTCTGGAAAAGTATTACACAGGAACCTGTTTGGTTGAAAACCTTTGCTTTAGAATTGAGCAAAATCAACATACCATCATTACTGGTAAGTAATTGAGAATCACACATTCATCTCAACCACATTGCATGCTAAAACATATTACCATTGGATCAACACATGTTAGGACCCAGTGGAAGTGGAAAGAGCTCCATTTTGAGAATTTTAGCAAATTTATGGCCTCATAAAATTGGTCAAGTCATCAAGCCAACCAGCTCATCAGATCTCTTCTACGTTCCTCAAAACCCATATATTTGTACAGGTACTCTGAGAGATCAAATTACATATCCGTTGAAGACGGAAAAAGGAAACACACAAGACAATCCTATACTCTTTGATGCCATTTGCAAAACAAAACTGCAATATATTTTGGATCGTGTGGAACGTGATTGGGATGTTGAATGTGATTGGAATGCATTGCTAAGTCCTGGTGAAAAGCAACGATTAGCACTTGCACGACTGTTCTATCACAAGCCCAAATTTATCATCATGGACGAATCTACCAGCGCATGTGATGTAAATGTTGAGGAACTCATCTACGACAGTCTCGTTAAACAAGGTTCTACGCTCATCTCTGTGGGTCATCGCCCAACACTCATCCAATTTCATACACACATGTTAGAAATTGATGGTAGTGGAAGCTGGAATTTCTCAGAGATTATCAGGAAATGATCAATGGACATTGCCAATAAATAATTCCATTTCTCACAAATGTCCCAAAGTTTGCCTTAATGTTGTAAAGACCTCGATAGCACCCAGCATCCACAAAAATTCCATAATTAAATTTCGTTTCTCAATTTTTCATAAACTCCCTCCAGAACAATAGTCACATCCATGGGTTGTTTTTCTTTTCCTTTCGGACATAATGATTTTGCAGAGTCCTTATCAATTTCCACAAGTAAAATTTTATGTTTCGACTTTCCACCTTTATCAAGTGATACTTTTGATTTTGAGAGGCCCAAAACTCCAGCAATATATTCGCATAATTCCTTATTGGCCTCTCCTTCTTTTGGTGGTGCTGCAATTTGTACTCCGATCTCTTCATCATTGATCGTTGCAATTTGACTTGTAGAGCTATTTGGTTTTGCGAATATTGTGAGCCTAATCGAGAGTGGAAAGCTTGTTGAATTGGTGGCAATTGACTTTGGAATATTGGTATAATTTTGTGTTGTTGATGATTGGTTATTGTTACTGGATGAGCCTGAGGTTGCATCTACTTTCTTTTTCGGAGCCATCGTGATGGTTAAATTTCTTTTCGGTGCAAAATCCAAGCAATAATAGCAATGATGATGATGATCAGTAACAATACTGTGAATACTATGAGTATTAAATAAATATTTATGAACAATGGTGTTATTAAATTTTGAACAAGCGCTCCGAGTAATGAGACCACAATATATTTTTTTCATTTGATAACAATTTCGTCAAGCGAAGGGATGATGACGAACAATATTTGGTTTTGCAAAAGTTGCTGACAAGTTCATGATCCTAACCATTGGTTCTTGGATAATCCTGTCTTACCTTACATCAATGGAAACCATCATGGTTCTTGTTGACAGAAAAACAATTTGATATCCGTTGGCAAAAAGAAAAAAGTATCACAACCTGGTCTCATTGTTGTTGAAAATAGACCCTCAGCCACACATTTCTTCTTCCAATTCATTTCCTTGGTAGAGAGCCACATCATCCACACGTCCTTTATCCGATCATCATCTCTATTTAAATTACGTGTTTGTTCAGTGGTTTCCATCAGCATAATAATTATATTCTTACCAAATGACTGTACATCATCATTCGCCATCATCCTCGTCGACAAGTGGAGGCTCATCATCATCACCACAGACCAGTAGTGCTACTCTTCCAATTGTAACTGTAACGACCTCAACCCAGATTATTCCCAAACACAGAACCTCTCCTCATCTAGTTTCCAGTACGACCAGTTCGAGTGGAGAATCGATACCTCCCATTGCCGAGCAGCATCATGTTTCAACCTCTTCCATCCACCACACAATACATGAACCTTCTCCTTCAACCTCATCTTTCTTTTTCGTCCTTTGCTTTTGTTATTCCTTCTTTTGTTCTGGATTGGCGATCAGCATGATTGGACCATTATTACCATCTTTTGTTTATCAGATTAATATGTCTCTGTATAGAGAGGGTGAAAAAGCAAATATTTCTCTAGAAGATTTAGGAGTATTGTTTCCAAGTAGAGGACTGGGTACAATGCTCGGAAGTTTACTCGGAGGCTTTCTCATTAATTACACAACCAAAGCATGGTCAAGACAACAACATGTATTACCTCTAGTTTTCACATTAATTGGAGCAATTTTAATGTTTTTTGCAGAAGTGATTGTGTTGATTGCAGCACAACCAAAAGTATTTGCTATTGTTTATTTTGTTGTTGGTTTTTGTAAGTGATTGCAAATTACAATTTAATCTAATGATTCAATCGTGTAAAAACAAAATTCATGATGACAATTATTATTTTCTGTGACCACAAATATGTTTAAAATTGACAGCCCATGGATTAATTAACGTGAGTTCAAGTAGTCATATCCTTAACAAATTCCCAAAAGAAAAGGTGACATTTTACCTTCAGTTATTGAATGCAACATTCGGGTTGGGTGCCGTCTTTGGTCCTTTCATCTGTGCATTGACCAAGAAATATTATTCAAAATCAATCAGCACTAATGTTATGGCTGTAGCTATTCTTGCAGAAAGCTCGACAACCAAAGCTATTTTAGCTTTACTCTTATTGATATTTGTCTCAATTGTCATGTATATCATTGAAATTAGGAGAACGAAACCAATTTCTCAAACCTCTCAACAAAAAGAGTCAACGAGTGTGAGCACTATGAGTTGGAGAAGCATCAAAATCATCTTGCTAGTATGCTTAGGTAAGTGTTGTTTCTAAATTAGAAACGTTCAACTTGTTCAAATACTTGTTGCAAACCAAATTCAAAAATTTCCAAATTAATAGGAATAATTTGTGTGACAGGTTGTGAACATGGAGTTGGAGGCACACTCTATTCTTACATTCATACCAGACGATTAACTACAGAATCTGAAGCAAGTCTCATTAACTCTTCATTCTGGTTGTCATTCACTGTTGGACGAATTTTGAGTATTTTCCTTTCTTATCACATCAAGTCATCCTCAATTCTCACAATGGATGTCATTGGATCCTTACTGAGCTCTCTCATTTATTTGACATTTTCTAACAACGTTCCTGTTGTTTGGATAGCTACGATCTTACTTGGGCTTTCGCTTTCTTCACAATATCCAACTCTACTATCATTTCCTTCCTCGCATTTAGATGTTAAGGTTTCGAGTATTGTGACTTCATTATTTATTGTTTGTGGCGGTGTTGGGTCGATGGTTCTTCCCTATGTTATGATTTCCTTATTTAAATCCAATGGACCTGAGAGCATGTTTTATGTTTTACTTGTCACCTTTTTATGTGTTGCATTTGTATACTCGTATTTAATTCTCGGATTTAAAAAAAAGCATATCGATCCCTATATCACTGGAATTATCGGAGGTGACATGAACATTGAGAATGACATGATGTCTGAAGAAAAGAAATTGAAACGAAGGAAGTAGACTTGAGCATGGCATTGATTAAAATTGAGATTGTTTACATGACGAATGAGATGATGTATGGAATAATTCACAAGACCTCTTGTGAGAGCATAAATGTAAGTTGATCATGACAATTGGAACAAGTGTGATTCAGCAATGTTAAAATTACAGTATCGTATTCTCACTATTTATTCTTGTTCTGATTATTAATAAGGTTGTTTACAAAATTGTTCAAAACTGGCTTCTCTCAAAACGATGCAAGTATCATTATCTAATACTTCTTATCCTTCTTGTGATGCTTCTTATGATGCTTCTTGTGCTTCTTCTTCTTATGATCTGGCTTGTAGATATCAACCTTGGTACAAATAGTCTTATGCTTGGCGCACTTGGTTACCAATCCATGCTTGACACACTTCTTAGTACCACCAACGAATTGATACTTCTTACAGACATTGACTGGCTTGGACTTTTCAACACACTTTCTCCAGTGCTTTCTCTTAATACAGTGTGGCTTGGTCTTGTGATATTGAGTACAGAATGGAACTGACTTGTAGGCAGCACAGAATCTACGATGCTTGTGTTTGATACAGACTCTAACTCTCTTCTTGAATTGACAGAAATGATTCTTAACCCACCTGGTACAGAAACGAGCCTTCTTTTGAGCAACACAGAACTTTCTATCGACGAATTTAACACACTTCTTAGTGTAACCCTTCTTCTTGCTGAATTTGACTGGTTGATATCTGACACACTTCTTGGTCTTGACCACTCTGTTACAAATGCTGTGACATTTCTTGACACAGAAAGCAGTGTAGTAAGTATCAGTCCATCCCTTGTAGTGCTTCTTGGTAACCTTCTTCCATTTCTTTTGGCATTTACAAACTTGTCTGTAAGAATCACACTTGGCATTGACTTTGTATTGAGCACATCTTTGCTTAAAGTAGTAAGCAGTCTTTGGAACCTTAATGTACTTGGCACAAATGTGTGAATGATCGTATTTGGTACAAATGAAGTGATAAGCATATTGATCACAAGCATGATTAGTACCCTTCTTACAAGAATGCTTCCATTGGTATTTCACGCAATACTTTTCATTCTTGTACTTGTCACAGACTTGTTTATAACCATGTCCCAAGCAGAGTTTTCTTGATTTGGAATGTTTCACACACTTGCTAAATCTCTTGTAACGAATACATTTTCCGCCACCGACCTTCTTCCAATCGCAACATTCCTTCTTGGTTCCTACCCATTCAAAATCTGAACACTTTCCCTTGATACTGGTGTATCTGACACACTTTCTGTAACAGAATTTTTGATGATCAGCATAGGAATCAACATTCTTGGGAGAATCGTCCTTCTTCTTCAGTACTCCACCTGCCATAACCACAGCAGTTGAAAGCACAAAGGCAAAGAGTAAGGCAACGATGAATTTGGACTTCATACTGTTGTTGTCTTCTGTATCAGTATTTCTTGTTGTTGTTTTGTTTTTTTGTTGATGGTTTTGTCGATCAAGCAATTTAAGAGATGCATTTATAGAGTTTTGTGAAAATATTATTCAGAGTGGATCTCGAGAAGAGAGGTCGATACAAAAACAACGAGAAATACTAAAGGGATACGAAAGAAAGAACGGTCGAATTGAGAATTTATGTGCATGAATCGAAATTGGATTTTCATTCATTTCAAGAGGAACAGTTGACAAGCTACAGATGCAAATGTCATATCCATTTTTGAAATAAAAAAATAATTTGATAATGAACAAAGTCGGGAGAGAGACTTTTTAATTTCTGGAACTACAATTGTAGTTGAATCACATGAGTACTTTGGAGATATTGGCATAGCAATGGTCTTGCACATGATCTTGGGTCTGTTTGAAGAAAGATTTTTGACTTTTATGGAAATTACTGATATTTGGGTGATGTTTTTTTTTAAATTATTAAAATATTTTTTAAAAAATATTTAAATTAAGGAATGAAGGACTGACCGTTACATGTAATTACTGTGATCCATCGAAATATATTTCCCTTGTAATAAATATCTATTTGTTAAAAAACACAAATTATAACTTGTTGTGTAACCTTTCGAAAAAAAAAATGAAAAATTCAAGAAGTGCCACCACCGCTTCATCCATTCTCACATGTTCTCGATTTGGTCTGATCCTTCTCGTCCTTGTGGTCGTCATCTTTAACGTGTTCATGTTTCGATACATTTTCAACATGACTTTAAAAAAGAGAAAATCTTCCGATTCTTCCTTTTCACTTGTCATACAACAACAACAACAACAACCAAAGAGTGGTACTGGTGAACAAATTCCTTTTCCACCACCAGTGGTGATGTTACAACATAAGGAAAAAGAACAATTATTAAACATGGCTCAACAACAAGAAAACCCATTGGTTGTGAAGCGAGGTTTTGATGATGAATCATCGAGTCATGACGACGATCATTTAACAACAAATAGTCATCATGAGGATCCAATGACTTTTGATGGCACTCCAAATGTTGTCAAACGTGTGGTTATTGAAGAAGAATCTTCAACTCAATATTATTCATTTGTGTTAAATGAACAAGTTCCAAATTATGGAGTGGGATTTTCACAACCACAAGAATGTGACTCGAGTTTTGGTCTTTCTTTTTACAAGGGATGGAGAAATGGAGAACAAGTGTATTGTAAACCTAAAAAGGGAAATTCTAAATTTACAAATTCAGAAGTGAATTGTTATCGATATAGACAACCCAAACATAGTGGAATGGATATATTTTGTGAAATGAAAAATGTCATGTTTGATTTTTCAAAATTGAAAACCATGACAAGTGACTGTCAACAAGTTTGGAATATGGACGGATGTAAAAGATATTACGAATTCAATGAAGGAGCCATGTTGGGAATGTGTAAAAAAGAATCATTTTTTAACACTGATCACAAATGGCCCACTGGACATTTCCAACAAGTGAATCGACCAATTTTTAATGGTTTTTCTGAAGCCAAGTCCTCACTCAAAAAATTTGATGAGATTGTGGAAAATCCTGTCTTGATGGTTGCACGAGATGGAGCATTTAATACGTATCACAGTATGGAAGATTTTGTCAATGCATTTCTTGTTTTAGAAACTTTGAAACTTAATCCTAGTCGTGACCAATTGGATTTACTCATTATTGATCAAGAAGTTGATGGACCCTATGCTCCAATGTGGAGTAGAGCATTTTCTAATGATAAAACAAAATTAAGAATGGTCAAAGATTGGGTTTCTCAAGGAAAGAAGATTCTCTTTAAGAGAGCAATTGTGAACTTGCCTGGAGTGAGTAGTCCAATTGTGAAAGATATTGGCACGCGAAATCCATGTGGACCCATGGTGGATTTATTTGTCAATTTTGGAAGACATATTTTGAAATCTTTTGACTTTATTGTTCCGCCACGAACAGAAGAACAAGTCATGCAGTTACCTGCATTGTCAGATAATGTGAAACCGACCGATACTACTCTCACTGTGAATGTGACAATTATTGATCGAAAGTATCATCACGAAAGAAAAGATGTGAGTAGAGGAATTTATAACATGAAAGAGATTGTGAATTCCATTCAAGAATTGTCTGGAATGAAAATTTCTGGAATTACGTTCAAGGTCAATGTAGTGGCAGTGGATTTTGCTCAATTGACTTTTGAGAAACAATTAGAGATGAGTTATAATACTCAAATTTTGATAGGTGTCCATGGAGCAGGTAAGTTGTTGAATTTACAAAGGTTGAAAGCATGTTGAACATCATGAATTCAATTGTGTTTATGACTCGAACGTAAAGGACTCACACACTTACTGTTCCAAGCGGGAGGAGCTAATATTCTAGAAGGACCAAAGACAAAGGAGCAATCCCCTCTCGTATTTCGATTGCGACCTCAATGGGTATGCGGAGGAGGGAGTGTGATCGAGATTCCACCCCTGTTTGGTCAACACTATAATAATATGGCCAGATGGGCAGGAAGAAAATACATGGTCACACAATCATCGTCGCCCAATGTGAATGCACAACAAGTGACGGATTATGTGAAACAGGGTCTTCAAGATTGTGCTCAATTTTTCAAATCCTTCTACTCATCAAAATAAGGACGAGTCAAAACATTGTACGTTTTAAATTATAATTTATTCCAATTAGTAAGATTACTGTTAAAAGGAGCTAGACGCAACACTACTTCTTCTACTTTGTCTTTCCAAATCGAGCATGACTAAAATGGCCTCTCTAACACGGTCGTATTGCTCAGGTTTGCTATCAAAGTACATTTCTAAAACTCTTGGTTCTACCTTGTCAGATTTAAAAGTACATGTTAGAGTGATGGTCTTACTAATTATGCTTTCCTCCATATCCAAATAGAGTGTTGTGGAATTATCATCTTTTGAATGTGGCGAGAAGATGAACTCTTGTTTGGAAAGGAATTTCGAATTTCTTCTGTTCAATAAAAGCAAATCTGAAAAGACGTACATATCCATAATGCCACGCTTTCCGTTGGATCTCTTGTAGTTGATACCGTCTTCACCTTCAAAGTAAAACAGCAATCTTCGTGTTGGAATGAAAAAGTCCTTAAGTTTGAATGTTTCACTAAGCTCCAACGATTTGTGAATATTAGAATATTCAAGTTGACTCATATTCAGTCCACTTGCAATTTCCTTAATCAAGAGCAGAGCATTTTCAATGAGACCGTACGACTCGTCACCGCTTGGTGTGACATCTTTCAGTTGTTGTAATAACATTTCATATCGAGGAATGCGTTGCAATGGTAAAATCATGTGTCCATCAATGGTGAAATCTCGTGCAGTGGTGGATTCTTCACCTAATTTGACGGAAATTTCTTCTAAGAACTTTTTGAATTTGTTATTCTTTTTCTTTTCTTCTTCCAAAGCGGTCACAGCAACTCCATAGTTACCAATAAATCTTGTATATAACTTGAAAGAATGTGCATAATGTAAAAGTAATTTTGCAACATTGTACGATTGTAACTTGTCACCAAAATATAGTTTTTTAAGTTCACTTAGAAAATTCTCATTGACACCAGCTATAATTGCAATATCGTTAAAAATCATATCAAACACTTCTTTTGAGAGCAACTTCTTTTCTCGAATGGGTTTTAAATAGGCTTCCTCAAGCTCTCTCAAACCCTTCACATACGACTCTTCAGTAGAGAGTATTTCCTCCAAAATATGATCTCTCTTCTTCTCAAGAGGTGTCTTTTTTTCAGCTAACTTGTCAAAACTCACTCTCTCATCATCTTGGGAGGCAATTACAGGAACCGTGTTCATGATTTCATCAAATATTAACTCACTGCTCTTGACTGATAAATCTTGCAATGAATCCGAGCGATCATGCTGTTGTTGAAAACGACGTCGAGGACTCGTGATGATATGTTGTTGTTGCTCAGTTTTACGAGGTGTGGAAGGTATCGACAGTTGATGAATATTTGAAGTGGTGTTATTTGTTGTATTTTCATCGTCACCAACATCAGTGCTGTCAACGCTTGTACTATCACTTGATGTGGACACTTGTGTGTTTAGGAAAATGAAGAAGAGGAGCGAGCAAACAAGTGCTGCGAAATAAAAGATGACTTCTGCCAACATTTTTTTTGATTGTGTCATCTAACAAAATCGGATGGCCTTTGCCAAGTTCGTAAAACTCTCTGGGACTCTGTAATGCATTGATTCAAAGTTTAAAATGTTGCAAGTTAGTGTTCGATGAGATTGACCATGCCATTCTCTGCTCTCTTGTAATGATCTGGTAGCAAGTCACGCATCATGTGGAAAGCATGAAAAGGAATCTTTTCTACTTGCGTCGTAAAAGACAAGTCACAATTTTTCAGTTTGTCAATAAACAATTCAATTTCATCGGCAAACCGTTCTCTCTCGCTGTATGAAATGAAGATTCCTTTAGGGAGCACCTCTTTCAAAGCTTGTATCTTTTCAAGCGACCAAAAACAAGGTGATAGAGCTTTGGCTCTTTCCCGTTGATTGAACCCACATGGTACTCCATTGTTCTTCCACATTCTTATCATAGTGTTTGTTAAAGATCTATCTTGGTGATCAATATCGTTAATTCCTTCTGTTTCTCTCATTGATAAGTTCATCCATGGGCACAACAATATGGCTCCTTTCAAAGCTGTACGATAGGTCACATTTGTTTCGTCTTTCGTATCAAGTTGTGAAATCTTTTCTGCCAAAAGGAGAGCCAAATTAGCGCCAGCAGACTCTCCTATCATGTAAATTTCCTCCACGTGCTTATCATTCACTAACCATTTAAAAGCGTCAAAAGCTTCCTCTACAGCATCTTCAATAGGGCGAAATGGATACATGGTATATTCAACGCCCAATAAATTATATCCATGCTTGGCACACATCAACTCATGAATATGACACGCAAGTGCAGATCCTAAAATATAACATCCTCCATGAAAATGTAAAAGACAAACTTTTTTGTTATCCCTCCGTGCTTTTGAAAAATCAAAATATAAACTCTTAAGTCTTGGTAATGTATCTTCTGGAACAGCTTCCTTTCTAAAATCAATTTTCTCAGTTGGACTATAATATGGTCCAGCGAGTAACACATGAGGAGATTCAGGAGTGGTATTTCTTAAATTGGTTATTTCAGCTACGATTGCCTCTCGACTCTTTGTTTTATCTACAAAATAATCATCAATATCGGGATGAGGCTCTGGTTTACCGTTCAACAACTCCATCCATCGTATGATCGCTAATTCACGTTTTGAAAGCCCTTGAAGAGCCTGTCGTCGTATGTAATCTCTGGAATGTTCAGTTAAGCCTTCTAAACTTGTATTTAATTTAAATATATTATAATACTCCAACATGTAAATGATTTGGAATAAGCCTTGAAGAATCAGAGCAAACAAGGATAATTTCTTGAATATTCTAAAATATAATACAACGGAAATACAAGTTATGAGAATGAAAGCAACTGAATAATCCACCCATTTCGGAAATATATTCATAAAGATCATGGCTGTTGATTTTTAGAATAAATTATTGGTTTGTTTTCCTTTGAATTTCAGGCAGCAACAATTCTTTCGTTTCTCGAGAAGACTCGGAATTGCTAAGTTTTTTTTTCGCTCACATTTCAGTGTTCCATTCTGAGTCGAAAGTTTCACTGAATCCTTCGTTTTCAAAGTGCAAGTGTTGTCATGAACGTGGGTGGAATGTAAAGATCAATTTCGAAATAACACGAACATGAATTAATAATTCAAAAAAATGTCTCGCTATTTGGAATCACTTTATGGCAGTGATGACGAGGATGACGACTACAGTGGCTCCGAAGAGGAAGCCATGACTTTAGAGGAACAGCGAAAATTATTTTATGGTAATGATGAAGATGACCAAGAAGAGGGACAAGATGATGATGTAGAAGAAGATACCATCGATCAATTGCAGCAACAATTCCGATCCACCAGTGCTCTCCGTTCAAAAACTAAAATTGAAGTACCAAAGCAAAAAAAGCAAGAACCAGAGAAGGTGATTGTTTATGTTGAACAAAAGGGAAAGGAAGAACGGAATTGGGATCAAACTTATGAATCCTTGTCTAAAAGAAAGATTCGTTTGAAGAGATTCCAAATGAGAGATTTGGAAGCCCACAAATTACACTACGACAAAATTGATTATCCAACCAGTTTTGAAAAAACTGCTGAAGAAGGTGAAAGTTCTGACAGCGAAAATGAAGATGACGAAGACCATGATGGTGAAACATCCTCAAAGAAATCAAAGAAAAAGAGCACAAAAGTTTTTCAGCAAAAACTTGTGAAGCAAAGCATTGATCTATCTCTTTCAAAGATGGCAGGATGTATTGCAGGAGGTAATTTGATAGTGTTATCCGGAGGCTCAAAAGATGGTAAATTATATTCTCAATTAGTTGCGTATGATACCAAGAATGAAAGATGGATTGATCTGAAAGAAAGAATGTTTGAACAACAAACTCTGTTGAAAGATTCGGGTCTTAATACTCAATTTTTGTTTCCTCCTCCAATGTCATGCCATGCACTAACAGTACTTGGTGAAGCATTGATTTGGTACGATTGTAGAAGAACGGCTTTAGCTTTGAGATTCTTTATGGACCTTACAAAACAAAAATGGAGACCAAGAAAAGTAGATGATACAGAGATGATGCCTAAATGGCTAAAAATTGACATTAACGACGACGGAATTATCAAAGAAACCCAAAACCACGGCTCATGTTTGAAAGAAAATGGGTTTTGGATTTTTGGTGGCCGAGACGTCAATTCTAATATGGTCATGAACCAGTTGATTCGTTGTGAATTTGAAAAGGAGAGGTATAATTACTATAACAGACAAAATTATTCTGATGACCGTGTGGGATATCATATGACAAGAACACTCATTACCACTAAAAACGGAGCACCACTACCCAGAGAAAATCATGCTCAATGTGTGGTAGACCACAACTTGTACATTTTTGGAGGCAATTATACCTCAAAGGATAGATTGTTGAACGACCTACATGTATACAATCCCACGACTAACAAATGGTCAGAAATTGATATGACATATATTCCTCCACCAATGAGGGAACATTCTTTTAGTGCGGTTGACAACAAGTACGTTTATCTTGTTGGAGGAATTCTTGAGAACAATGTAGTGAGCGATGTACTATATCGATTAGAGCCCAAAACCAAGAATTTCTTCGTCGTAAATCCAGGAGGACCTTCAACACACGTTTTACTCGGTAATGGCTCTGTAACGCCCAAAGATTTACAACAACCTCGTGCTTCACATTTGGCGGTAAGCGATGCTTCGCATGTTTATATTTTTGGTGGACTTTCTGATGTATCAAAGAGAACATTTTGCAACTATGGAGTGGTGCTTAAAGAGATTCTCGATGTGGGTGTTGAGAACAGCTCTTACCATTATTTGATGAACGAATTCACAAAACAACGTAACGGAGAATTGACGGGTTACGATGTAATTTTGAGAGTTGCTGATAGAACATCTGGAGAAAGCGAATATGTATACGGCCACAAGTGTTTGCTATCGTCTCGATCTACTTACTTTAAAGAACTTTTCAAAAATTCTACAGGTGAAATTGTGGATGAAAAAGAATTATTTGAAATTAAGGATTATCACTTGGATAGTTTATCCATTTATGTTCGATTTTTATACTGCGGGGATATTGTCATTCCTGAAGACTTGTCCAACCAATTGGAGACTCTTCAGGATTTGTTGACAATTTCCAAGCCTGATTGTGAAAGACAGGGAATTATTACAGATATCTGTAGCGAAAAACGACTGTTTTTAGACAGTTCCACCTCTGTGTTAAATCAATTGAAGTCTGATTTTGGAAATCTTTATACACAAATTGAACAGACGATGGACAACTTTATTCCTGAGCCTTGTCATGAGAACCATTACGCAGATGTCACTATCCAAATTTTAGATCCAAACACTGATGAAGTGATCCACCAGTTACGAGCTCACAAATTATTCCTATGCAAATCGAACTACATTCAAACAGTTTTCCAATCAAACATGGAAGAGTCAGCCACAGGTATTATCAAATTTTCAGAAATTTCTCTTAATGGGTTGCTTTGTGTCTTGCGATACCTCTACACCAACGACATTTTAATTCCTCTCGAAAACTCTGTAGAAGTTTTCATTGCCTCTCTGCTCTTCCAATTGAATGAGTTGGCAAACTATGCCAGAACCATTGTTTGTCAACACATTACTATGGAAAATGTCATTGATATTACCTTTTTGGTGGATGTCTATAACGACTTGGCTCTGAAAAACAATTGTATTCGATGTCTTGTACAACATTATGAAACTCTTTCCAAACATGATGTTTTTGAAACCTTACCTGTTGAAATCAAAGGTGAAGTGAAAACTCGTTACTTTGAACAAGTGAAAAAGCTCACCAAAATGAAAGCCAAAGAAAGAATGAAGAATGCCAACAAACACAAGCAGTAATCCAAGCTTTTTAATCGAATTAAATGTGATTGAGGTTTTTGTCAATAACACACTTTTTCAATTCCATTTGAGATCCAGTTGCCATTATTGTGATGACACAAGAAAAAGAAACGTTGGAACAACAACAACATTCAACAACGACCACAAAAATGAGCCAACACGAGGTGCTACTTCGGCCGAGGCGATCATCTTCATCATCATCACCCTCTGGGAAGTATGAGGCTCTTCATCGGAGAGTTGGCTCTTCTTTTACCTTGTTTTTTGTTATATTAATGATGGGAATGGTGTTGTTATCTATCCACGTGGTTGCAGCTCAGAGTAGCAGCAGCGGAGGTCCACACCTTTATCCAATTGATAATATATCACCACAAGATGAAAAATCAACGGAAGCATATGTAGTGATATTAACCGATGATTCATTATTGTCTGCTGCTCGGGTTGTGGCTAAGAGTGTGAGAGAAACAAAATCAACACATCCATTCGTTGCTATTGTAACGGATCGAGTGAGCGAAAGGAGCAAGAAGATTTTGAAGGAGGACAAGTTTATTTTGATCCATGATGTACCATCATCCAAAGGACCCATCTATCCATACATGTTACTCTGGTATTTGGGCAATTATGGCTTCTCGAATGTAATTTTCTTGAGTACAGACGTTTTGGTCAAGCGTAATATTGATTCTCTCTTCAAATGTAAAGGACGATTGTGTGCAACAAACTCCATGACTATTCCCGATGATTTGGATATTGTATATATGGGATTGAAGACGGATATCAATACTTTCAATGACATGGTCAACAGAGAACAAGAAATTGTGAAAAAAGCATACGACAATACTCCTCAAGCTTTTATGACAACTTATTTCGATTGGAGAACATCGGAATACATTGATGATAAAATGTTAGAGTCAGGCAATACAAAAGAGAATGCATTGCTAAGAATGCCAGTCCATTGGAATGGTTTTGAACCTCTCTATTATACATACAAGCCAAGTTGGGACTATATGGAGATGAAGGGAATGAGAATTATTAATTATTGTCTCATTCCAAAGCCTTGGGATTGGTTTGTGCATCCTATTCTGGATTTGGGTCAAGAATGGCTTGCAGTTTTCCATCGTTTGCCTGTTCAATCCATTACACCTGATCTTACTCCCTTCTTACTGTTACTTTTGCCAATTATTTTGGCAGCTATTTGCTTTAGTGTCATTGGTAGACAAAGCTTCCATAACAAGAATGTTGTGTATGACTTTATGTGTGGATTTTGTAATAATTTACTTTTGAGACGTATTTTTGTCAACATGAACACTCCATGGAAATTGAGAATAGTAGGATATATTTCATGCTTCCTGATGGCTGTGACCTTTGTGTTGACTACATTATTTTTCCATGCCATTCAGTCCAATGAATGGGATGTGTATTTGAGATGGGCTATTTATTATTCATGGGTTTTATCCGCTGTTTCTATTGTGCTCTTGTTTTATTACAAGCTGCTCATAGTAGAAACCACTATTGATATTGCAAACAAACCATTGACTTCAAATACCACAACTACTGACATTCCAATGAACACTGTGGGAGAAGAGGAAAGCGATGAAGATCAAGTTGTTGTAGACATTAATGATGGAGAGGAAGAAAAGAAAGATAAGAAACCTTTTATTTCTAAATTATCAGAGGAACAAAATCCTTTAGGGCAGGTTATAGCGTTCAAGCCAACCTTGTTTTGGTTTAGAACCCTCTTGTTGATGGTTGGTGCGCCAATCATGTTTGTTTTATTAATTTGGGTATTGAGTTTTGTTGGAGCAGATTTGGGAGGAAGGGCTGTTGTTGGCGTTACTTTCATCCTGATATACTCATTCTTCTTGGTAAGACTTGTATTTGATGTACCAATTGTAGCCATTTTCAAAACGTATGAACGAAAATACGGACCTTCTCTCTTCATCCAAAACGAGGAAGAATTCAAAGGCACTAAGTATAATTAATTTATTAAATCATGCCAATCTCTTTTGTCAAATGGATTACTCAATTTGAAATTGTCGTTAAGCATTTGTTGGGGTCAAGATCCTGATGAGCTTGTTGTTATCAATGAAATTTTTGATGGGCCGTTGCAAGACTCTTTTTCCCTTCTTCCCATACTCTTCGATTGAGTTCCACTAGAATTCAGTTTCTTTCATTTCTTGATTTACAAAACTGGGGCTTCCTTCAAGTGTGACATTGTAAAAGTTACGTTCCTTCTTTTTCTTTCTTCGTACAACAATGATTATGATCACAATAAGTCCCAACAACACCAAAAAAAGTGCTGCAACGGTAATGGGAGCTATTACTGCAACAACATAAAAAATAGCTTCGTTTGTGAAGTGTGGCGTTGAGGTGCCTGGAACAATAATGTTAGGATTGTCTGCCGAGCAATTGAGGCCAGAGTAATGGGGGAAGCACAGGCACGTATCAGTGTCCGTGCAATTGCCATTAGAAGAACAAACTTGGGAACTGTTGCTAGGAATTCCAAAACACTTGTGAAGCTCACAATTCTGTCCAAAATAAGAGTCCTTGCATGTGCATACGTTAAAGTCCGTGCAGTTACCTCTGTTTGAACACACAACATTCGACTGATTGCTCCTATGTCCAAAACATGTTGTTTGCTCACATTTTGGTCCAAAATAGTGTTCAAAACATTGACACTTATTAAACTCAATACAGGTTCCCCTGGATGAACAAGAGTGAGACGAGTTACTCGCCAATTCAAAGCACTCAGTCACTTCACACTTTGAACCGTAATAATTTTCAAAGCAATGACAAATGTTTGGTGCCACACATTCTCCCTTTGATGAGCAAACACTGGAAGCATCACTTTGAATTCCATAGCATGTAGTAAGGTTACATGCTCTACCGAAATAGTTCGCATCACACTCACAAATGTTGACATCAGAACAATTTCCTTTGGAAGAGCACACAGACGAATCGTTATTCCAAATTCCAAAACACTTGTGAAATTGACATCTATTTCCAGAATAGCTGTCCTTGCATTCACAATTATTATATTTTGTACAGCGTCCTCGATTATTTCCAGAGCAAGCCGCGCTTGAATCATTACTCGACACTCCAAAACAGGTGGTTAATTCACATTCATGACCAAAATAGTTGTCAAAACATGTGCAATTGTTAAGAGAGGTGCAATTTCCTGCTCCAGAACAAACATTGGAAACATTTCCTAAAATTCCAAAGCAATAAGAAATTTCACACTCTGTGCCTTCATATCCTTGCCTGCAATGACATTGGTCTTTGGAAATACAATTTCCATGTGAATTACATACAGAGGAATCGTTTGAGAATTTTCCAAAACAAGTTGTAACGTTGCATTCAAGGCCGTAAAAATCTTCAGAGCAGAGACAAAAGTCTTTGTTTACGCAGCGACCATGATTGTTGCATACAGTGCTAGTATTTGAGGTTAAACCAAAACATGTAGTCGTAGAGCAATTGGGGCCAAAATACTCAGCCATGCATTCACAATGATTTGGCCCTGTACAATTACCATGGCCAGAGCAGACTAACGGATCATTGGTACTGTCATGGCCAAAGCACTGGAACAGTTGACATTCATCACCATAATATTCTGGATCACAGGAACAGTTATTAAAGGATACGCATTTTCCTTGACTTGAAGAACATGCCTGTGAGGAGTTTGAATAGTGTCCGTAGCACTCTGTAACTTCGCATTCACGACCATAGTAGTGCTCCTGACATTCACAATGGTTGAATTTGGTACAATTTCCTCTCCTGTTGTTACAAACATTGGTATCATTGCTCCACCATCCAAAGCATTGTGCAATTTGACATTCTATTCCTGAATAGCTTTCATTGCAAGTGCAGTGGTTGAGAGAAGTACAGTTTCCGTTGGAAGAGCACACGTTGGAGTCGTTGCTCAACAATCCAAAGCATTCCATGATTTCACATTCTCTTCCATGATATCCTTCGTCACAGGAGCAACTGTTGTGAGCGACGCACCGGCCTTTAGATGAACATACCATAGAGTCATTGCTAAATATTCCATAACATGAGGTAATCTCACATTCAGGCCCAAAATAATCTGAAAAACAGCTGCACCAGTTGGAAGAGGTACAATTACCGTTCGAAGAGCACACAGCAGAATCATTACTTAATTTTCCAAAACATGATGTAACTTGACAATTGATTCCAAAGTAATTTTCAAAGCACGTACAAGTATTGTACGAGGTACAGTTGCCATTCGAGGAGCAAGTTTCAGAGCTATTACTCCACAAACCAAAGCATTGACTCAACTCACACATAATTCCTTGATACCCTTCATGACAAGTGCAATTGTTAAACGAGCTGCAATACCCTCGTTCATGACCAGAACAAACAGCAGTTGTATTGGTATTCAATATTCCAAAGCATGTGGTCTGCTCGCATTGTAAACCAAAATAGCCCTCTGTGCATGTACAATTGTTTGGGTGTGAGCATATTCCATGCGACGAGCAAACATAGGAGCTATTAAAATCTAGTATTCCGTAGCAGTCTATCCACTGACATTCAGATCCATTGTATCCAGGAAAACAAGAGCAGCGATCTGGTTTCTCACACACGCCATGTGTTGAACAAACAAGTGAAGAATTTGAGTCAATACCAAAGCATTGAGGTGATTCGCATTGCCCAAAATCATTGAGTGTCAGATTTTGAGAGCTACAAAAAGGAGTTAGCTTTTGTAAGCTAAACTCCCATGTTGCAATCACCTCCCCAAAATTGGATACTGCAATGTTATTCAGGGTACAAGACAATTGGTTGGCATTACAATCAGAATTTTGAGACATCAAAGAAGTGATATTTCCATCTTTCGATATCTTTCGAATCACTGAGGTGTATGAATTTGCTTGTGAATATTGAATAAAAAACACCTCACCGCTTGGAACGACGTTGATACTTCTCGGATAGTGTAGGTCAGCCAATAATGCACTACCTCCGTCACCTATTTATGTCCAACACATTGGATCTCCTATGCTGTCGAGTACTTGATAATTACTTACCAGAATATCCATAATTTCCAGTCCCAGCAATGGTCACAATGGTACCATTTGTGAAAATTTTTCTAAGCCTATGATTGTAGGTATCGCTCACAAATATTTCACCATTAGTAGCAATGACAATTCCATCAGGGGTGTCTAAGTCTGCATTTATGGCAGGACCTCCATCACCTAATTGTTGTTCAATAATAGAACACCGGTTCATAAGTGAGCTTACTTACCAGAGAACCCATTATTTCCAGTCCCAGCAATTCGAATAATATTTCCACTCGAGTCAATTTTTCTAATCCTATTTCTGTAGGATTCTACGAAAAATACCTCACCGGTTAAAGGTGAAACTGCAACACTGCATGGACAAACTATTCGTGATTGAAGAGCGGGCATTCCATCTCCTGCATTAGATCCTCCCCCTGCAAACGGTGAAATAACTCCATTGCTTGTCATTTTCATGATCATGTCGTTATCAGAGTCCGCAAGAATCATCTCATTATTTTTCGTTATTGAAATTCCAGGGCTGTTGTAAAATGTAAAACCACCAATGGATCCTGACGGTACAACAGTTGTAATTATGCCATTGACATCAATTTTTCTTACTCTATTTAACAACATGTCTTGTATATAAATTTCATTATTGGGTGACAAAGCCACATAATTAAAGTCGCTAGTTAAAGTAGAAAAAAACAATTCTCCAACAATTAAATGTGAATATTTCGCTTGGTAGCCGTCCCCGTCACCGTATCCAGCGATCGTGCGAACAATATTGTCTACAAGAGAAATATTTCTAATCCTGTAATTGTAAGTATCAGTAATTAGCAACTCGTGATTTGGGGTAAGAGTAATGTAATAGGGAGAGTTAAACTTGGCATTGACTGCAAGGCTCCCGTCTCCTTCGAACCCACCATTCGTTCCAGTCCCTGCAATAGTGGTAATACCCCAGATACAGATATCTTCCTAATTCGGTGGTTGTTGGTGTCACACAAATACACATCATCATTTTCAGATAGTACAAGACCACGAGGATAATTCAATTTGCTATTGGTTGCCACTCCATCCCCTAAACATCACAAAATTGTCATCATTATACTTGGCAAAAATGACGTTAAGGTAACACCAAACCTACCATTGAATCCATTTTGCCCGTTTCCTGCTATGGTTGTTAATGATCCATCCAACCCTATTTTTCGTATTCGATGATTTTTTGTGTCCGAAAAATAAACCTCTCTTGAATTATTGGAAACTGCAATTCCAGAAGGGCCATTTAGTTTACAATTTGTGGCAAGCCCATCCCCGTTAAATCCTCCATTTCCACTAATCCCAGCAATTGTAACGATCGTACCATTCCGCAATATTTTTCGAATCTTATGATTACCTGTATCACTGATATAAATTTCATTATCCAGAGAAATTGCAATTCCTGAAGGTGAATTTAAACTACAATTTGTAGCTGGCCAACATTCACTTCCAAAATCAGCTGCCACTCCATTTCCTGCTACAGTAATGATCGTACCATTGGAGCTGAGCAAAATTTGTCGTATTCGATGATTTTTTGTATCAGTAAAGTACACATCACCGCTTATGGGTGAGACTGCAATAGCATAAGGCGTATTAAGGATGGAATTTGTGAGGGCCAACATGTAATCTCCACCATAACCGACACTACTATTTCCAGCTATGGATGTAATGATATTTGTTTCATTATTGTATGAGATCTTACGAATCCGATTTCCATCACAAATATAAACGTCTCGGGTGAGAGGTGAATAAGCAATTCCGAGGGGAAGAAGTAATTTGGAATGTATGGCAGGAGTATCGTCATTGACTGTAGTTCCTCCTGCTATAATCTCACTGGAATATTGTGTTTCTAATGACCTGCTGCTCGGTGATGATAAGGCTTGAACAAGCGGACGATGGATGCTTATTTCGGAAAGGAGTTGTAAGCACAACATCATGAATGTTGTAGTACCCAGCATCATGATGAAGGAGAAACAAGTTATCTGTGGTGGAAGCTGTTTCCATATCGTTATCATTGGTGGAGTCGTCCGAACGGGTTGAAATGTTTTTGCTTGAAATTGAGTGAATTGATGTCGTTTTTTTTTTCCTGTACTTGATCAACAAATTGCAATTTGTTTTTTAGCATCGTTGCAAGCAGTTTTTAAAGCGCTCTGATGCTAGGATCAGGGTTATGGTTATTAGCTCTGGGCCTGTTATTTAAACCACATTTTTTTTGAAAGTTGACACCAACAAGAAAATGTATTTTAGATCCAAGAATTTAAGTTTTTTTCATTTCTACACGGTATGTGAGTTTAGAACCGTGCTCTTTTCCAATATTATTGTGTCATGATCCCAATTCATTCTGGCAAGTTTTGGAATGAACTCCTCAAGACGTTCTTTATGGAAGAACAAAGGAACACCTCTGCGCAAATTCTTATCTTCTTCTCCCATCGAGTCGAGATATGGGCTTGGTAAAATGGAAGATCTACCCTCGTGCAACAACAGTAATCTAGAAGAAGGTACCATTAAGAATAGTCCAAATCCTGAAAAGTGTTCTCGAGCGTGTCGTGTACATTTTCCAAGTGGCTCATCTTTGGAACATGAACAGTTTTTGAGCCATGCAATTTTTCCTGTGATGAGACAAAGAGTTGGATTTTCCAACTTTTTACCACATTCAGGACATGCTTCGTTGTGGTATTGAAGGAAAATATCTTCATACAAGCGAGGTAGCTCAATGAAAGAAAATGGGTGACACTTTCCAAAGAATGGCAGTAAAGAATCTGCTTGAAGTACATACAAACTTTCCTCGTCTTCTTCGAAGTTTTCCGTCTCCAATACAATTGCTGAAATAGATTGCATCGAAAGTGTGACTTGTTCTATCCATTTTGCAATTAGATCATTATGGGCTGGAGAATTTTTGATGGCCATCAAGAGTTCACTAATTGAAGGCAATTTCAAATAAGAACGCAATTGAGAGTAATCATTTCCAATGGGTAACACTTCATCAGGGAATAAGAAAGAATGATATAATGCTGCTCTTCTTAAAAAAGCTAAAGAAAATGCTTCCATCTCTTGTTCTGTTAAATCCACAACCTTACGTTGGAAACTAGACACAATTGGAATATTTGCTATTGAAGTTATATCTTCATCTAAACTCTCTACTCCAGTGCTTACACTAACTCCTAATCTAATATTGAATTGGATTATTATTTGAATAACGAGAGCCTGATATAAAAGTCCAAGTATTTCGTGATATTGGGATTTCTTGAGGGCGACTTGTGATGAAAAAAGTAAGGTGGTTAATCGAACCAGTAAAGAAAACATATCACTGCTCAGCAAAGGCAAATACATCTTTCCACTTCTCTTTTGTTCGTTATAGAGTTTGAGATTTTCAAATTCAGTTAATCCCATCAATGATGCATAAAGTGCTTTCAGTTGAAGCGAGCTGGTTTTCTTGTTATCTTCACTCAATTGTTGATATGATATGAGGAGATCAAAAAGATGAGAAATAGATTTTCTGCTTGATTCAGAAAGAGGTGAAACCACTGACAAACTTGAGCTTCTTTGTAAAATTTCCTCCACAACCAGTTCGGAGATGAGAGCATTACAAAAGTATGACGAGTCTGTTCTTTCAAAATTTTCAATAGATATTTCCATTGGATCTAAAGTATCGCCGAGGTCTTCTTTCTTTTTACGAATAATCTTTTCTGAGAAAGTGGAAAATGTTGTGTTGGTTTTAACATCCTCAACAGCATTCTTAATGCTCAGGTTCGTAAATATGGATTTGATGTCATCCAAATCAGGCAAAGAATACGAGTAGGTGGAGTTGGTATTGTCCACATGAGTATGAGTGCTTGAAGCTAGTGGACACAAGCAATTGATAACTCTATTACAAACGGGACAGAGAATCTCCATTGATTCCAAGTTAATTTGACCAAATCCCTTATATCTTCTCCTTCTTGATTCTTCTTGAAGTAAGTTCGAATAATATCGATCATAGCAATCTGCATGGCAAGCATGAGAACAGTAATTGATTTGCACATTGTGTTCCTTGTTGACATCAGAAAACATTTCAGTAAGGTCTCCAATGTCAACTACAATTTTGTTTTCGATATTTGGAAACACTTTTTGGTTGTCGTTGGAATAGACAATGTGAGGAAATGGATTTTTCACAATTTGACACATCAGAGAAAGGGAGGTATTTCCTTCAGGAGACTGGTGGTCGTGACAGAATGCACATTTGAGTTTGTCGACGCTTTCGACCACTTCCTCGTCTTCGTCGAGGCTTAGTGCGAATTTTTGCTGGCTAGCCTTCATTTTCTCTAATAGTTTTTGCCGACTTTCCAACGCTTTTTGTTTCTTACGATCCTTTTCTTCTTTGTGTCTAGAACTCTCGGTCACTGATTTAGCCTCCAATATTATTTGATCACATGTTTCATTCAATTCGCTCAACCTATTCAATATTTTCTCAACAAGCTCAGGTTGACCTGATACCTTGAATAACAATTCAATGATTGAATATCTTGAGCCGTCCTCCATTTCAATAGACTGCAAAACATAATTGATTGGAGACTCGTTTTCTTTGAATGGAATGTCGAGCGCATTTGAGATGGGAGAAAATAAAGTTTTTTGAGGAGGACGTGTGAGCTTGTAATTCCTAGTGTCTAAGGAATTTAAAGAAGCCAACAATGCATGTAAAATGTAGGGTGGTAGTTGCTCGGAGGCACTAGTTTTCACAGATCTATACATCACCAAAAAAATGATCTTGTAGAGATATGACGAAACAATCAAGTTCATCAACCCATGCTCAATTTGAGTATTGGCAGCGTGAGTAGGTTTTTCCAGGAACAAGGGTGGAGATGACTTGCCTCCATGTTGTGCTTTGTAATTCTCGATTGCTTGATAATATTTTTGTGAGCTCATACTAATGAAATAAGGATTAAACTCATCCCATTGGTTTGATTTAACAGTAAAGTATCCTTGTTCATGTGATCCCTTTGGCTTGTGAAAATTGGCAACTTCATTCACAAACGCTTTAACATCTACATCTGATCTAAATGACTTGGGAATAGAGTTTACAATGTCAGAAAATTTACATTTTTGTTCCGAGAAGAGATAGTGCAAAACGTATTGACGGCAAATGTCCCAATTGGTCATTGACTCCATATTCACTCTGTTGGAGTATATAGTCAATAATAACCTTACGAATTCTTCCTCTAATACTGCACGTCTATCTTCATCTTCTGTTGGCTTACTCATGGTATATAATTTAATATGGCCCAGAGTGTTGTTGAATTTCTTCAGTAAAGTCTTGTAGATAAGTTCATTATTGTCAATCAGACCAAATATCAGTTGAACCAAAAAAAAGTCATTGCAATAAGCGTAATCTGCAAATTTTTCGCTAGCAAAGTTAAAGTGTTGATCAAGAACTAAATTTAAACGCATACATATTTAAACGCAACATAAATTCAATTCCAAAAATTCAAAATACATACTGTGTTCATGATTTCTTTGCCATAATCTCGCATTAATTTGGGCACCAGTTACAAACTCTTTTAAAGGGTGTTCAACCACTTGCAACAAGAACTTATTAGTAATGTCTACATCACTGGGAGTTGTTTCTTTGAGAATATTTGAAATGGTATCTCGAATTTCAAGAGTAGGATATCTAGTCATAAGTTGAATAAATACAGTGGTAGCAAATCTTTGAATCGGCAGGTGATATGTAATTGGAATATTGAATGGCTTCTCATTCTTCACTGTTCCATCATTATCAATTTCCACATTATCATCCTTAATAAACTTGGCAAGAGAACGAACTATCTGTTTTAGCAGTCCTATGTAATTGGTGTTTTCGGAAAATGTTTCGATAACGTTCGTGACTTTTCTTGCAATCTTGGGTAATGTAATCATCTCCAAGTTAAATATGGTAAACCATTGGCTTTCATCGGTATCCAACCGTTTAATATCGGATGCTGCTTGGATGTAGGATAAAAATGTTAGAAACTTATGCAAGCATTCCTCGTTAAGTAATAGCTCTTCACAAAATCGTTTGTGTATCACACAATATGATATATCAAATATAACATGATATACTGCATCAATTTTGTGTGTAGTGGTCACTGGTTTGTACACGAGCTTGTTGTTTCTAGAATCATCCATTTGAGCCTCTTCTTCAATAGCTTCAATTAAACTGTCTAACAATATGGATACAAGGTTACACTTGTCTACTAAGTGGGTAGCAATGGTAGGAGTGGTAAATAGTTGAACTGAAATGCTAGAAACGTGAACATCTTTTGAGACATCTTCGTCTTCATCCTCTGCAAAATATGAATTAGCCTCTTTCTTCTTTTTTGTAAAGGCAATATAATCTGAAATAATTAGAGAATAGTTTCTGAGGAAACACTCGGAAAAGAACAGTTTAAATTCTGCATCAGTAATTAGTGCTGAATAAAGCTCATAAAATTTGGTCTTAGCAGATTGTGACATTTTTGGCATGGATTGCAATTGCTCGTCCACAATGGTGATGTTTTCTTTGTTTCCTAATTTTCTTAACTCGTGGTAAGCCAAGTTTTTCAAACAAGGAGATGAGTTAATCTTTTCTGCAATAGATTCAAGCATGTAAACAAAGTTTTGATAAAGAGTTTGAAGCTGAAGAGATTTTTGTCTCTCTTTTTCATCTTCAATACTGTTAAACTTTTCTACTATCTTTCGTATGTACATCATGATAACTCCATCATTTCCGAATATTGACATCATTAATACCTCTAGTAATTGTTTGTAATTATGATCCAGGTGTGCTAATGGGTCGCTTCTGCCGGTGTGGTCACAACAAAAACCTGCTTCAGACCACGCTTCTGCATCTCCACAGTCACACATACCGTTTGACGTTCTGGTCATCGTGTAGTCATGGCCTTCATGGTTACCCTTTTTGAAACATTCTTCACAAATTGCGCATGTTGGATCTTTTTGGCAAGTGCGGCACTTGAAGGCCAAATCACCAACAGTCCAAGTTTTACCACAAACACCTCTGTTGGTGGTAACCATTTTTCGATAAAAGTTCTGTTTTTTAGGATTACCAAAGTACAAGAAAACTTCGAACCATTCAATACCCTTCATGACTGCCTCATCAGTAGGAACCTTTGCGTCAGATGTGGTTTCTGGAGTAAATCCTCTCAGAAATTGCATCAATGTTTGAAGATCCGGTGCAGTTCCACCACTCAATAATTGTTCAAGTTGAGTTCTCCCCATGTTTTGTCGTGTTGGAAGCTGTAATTCCTGTTCTTGATGCTTTGGAATTTCAAAAACAACGTCTCTAAAAAACCCGATCATGTGCCTTGTTCTTTCTTCATCACTCCACTTTGTATCATGCCAATACTTTTGAAAGTAATCTCTTGCTCCAGTTTCAATCATTTCACCATCGCCATATATTTTCCTAAAATCTTGCAAAATATTTTCATCCGTGATGTAGTAGTGTTCAGAAGCGTTGTTTCCACCTCCTCGAACACCCTCGTCCGATGATGACGATGATCGATTTCTCCCTAAAAACGAAGCAAACATTTTTTTTTAATCTTAAAAATAATAATATTAATTCCATCATGCTCTTACACCACAAACTACGCCTGAGCGTAAAGTGCAAAAACTGACGAAGAAAAAATTCGGCTCGTTTTAGTAAGTCCCGGAGTCAAAAAAAATGGAGTGATTGGTCTGTGGTGTTGTTTTCTGCTTCTCACACAAAAAAACACACCAACAACACACACAACATGGAAGCTGAATTAGTGGTCATTGAAGAGGGCACTGTGCCTCTATACTGTGTAAGTAATTGATTATTACCACAACAACAACATCATCAAACAACAATTTCAACACCTACACTAATCTTTACCTCAGCTTGGTGTTTCTGATTGTGATTCGAGTTGCGAAACAAATACTAATCACGTAAGTACTAGTGAATATCGTTCACCTTGTATTGATCTCAATTATCAAGGCCAATGAATCACCAGCATTGGATAGCCAATCCACAACGAACCAGAGTACGAACAATGTAAGTATTATGTTTGTCCAGTATTCAGCAGTAACATATTTCACAAGATTCCTTCATCATCAAGCATCGAAATGAACCCTTCTCACCCATCATCACCAGTAATGACTACCTCTACAGTATGTTTCAAATTTGTTACAATGTGTTTGCTTAACTTGTTCAGGAATGGATCTTCACAGACGAAACTATATCATTTCCACCTTGCTGTCTGTTGCCTAGCACAAGCAGCTTCTCTGGTATTGTTGATGAGACACAATGTACGATAACACCAAACAACAAATGTGATGATGACAATATTTCCCAACAGAGCAAAAAACGAAAATCAAGAACCACAGATGAAGCTGCTGAAGACACTCACAAGGAATATCAATTCACTTTAGAGAAAGGACTGTTTGAATTTGTACCAAAATATAATTCCTTTAAAGAAGTACCAGATGAGAAGAAACAAATTTATGGAATTATATGGGAACAGTTCGCCAAATGTGCAAGAAATATTATTTATCAACATCTACAGATGAGATGTTCAAACTCCATCAGCCATGAAACGGTTGGATGTTGCAACCCAAACGTGTTTTATCTTGCTCTGAGGGGAACAAAGGCTAAATATTACCAATGGTATCAAGACATTTTGTGGAATGGCCTAAAGAAGAGACAGAAGTGCATTCAATTCAGATTTACTGACAGTGTTCCTCCTTTAGACAAATGCAAGCATTGGTCTGAGTTGGAAATTACTCACTCACGTCTTACACGTAAATTCGGAAAGAAGATTACGAAACACAAGATGAAAATTGTATACATTTCTCTCACATGTAATGTGGAAACTAATCAAGTGTGGACATCGTTCAAGTTTGACAAAGAATTCGAGTTTGTACAATAAAACAATTAAATTCAATCCTCAATACACTCTAAATCACAAAAAATGTAATCAAATTGAAACTTTTCATCACCGTCCACAAACCAAACCACATCTAACAACAACTTTTTTGAAGGTCAATCATATGGACTTTCAAATCAAAATCACCACACATGGTGTTCCTCTCCATTATCTTCTTTCAATGTGCAATCACCGTCATCTACCGGTTTCAGTAGCATTAATCCCGGCTCTTTTGATTCACCAAGAACATCACACCATCTTTCGAAAGAATTTATGAAGATCTGATACAACCAAACCAATCCAATTCAATGAGCTATCAGAATATCCCTATTCAATATGGAGGATGTGAACATTTATTTCAAAATCATCAATCCTATTATCCACAATCTTCTCATAATTTCTCCACAATCCAACATAACCTTGACAATCCGAACACATTATCATCTCAACCTTCACAACATGAAACCAATCAAACCAACATTCAAACACACAACAAAATACAACAATTACTTTGTCGATAAGCTAGCTTCACTCGCATAAAACAAAAGCGAGGAGGTCCACCGAGCACAGAAAACAAATTGAAAATAATTAATAATATTATTGATAATACTGATCTCAATTTCTCTCAGTTAAGCTCCAAGGAGATGCTGTTATTAAATTAAAGAACAAGAGTTTTTGCTTTTTGTTGTAATTTAATTTTTCAAGTTGACATTAATTTTCACTCCAAAAAAAATGCCTTCACCAAAGATGAGGTCGAGTATTTTAAATCACACACCTAAACTACGATTACACAGCAACAACGTGGAACAACTTTGATGTAACTTAGATACCAAGTGATCAGTACAAAAGATGGATTTTTATCGTGTAACGAGAAACTTGTTGAACGGTGTAATGACGGTGAATGTGAGTATTATCATCAACAATCAACCAATCCTTGTATAACGAAAGGCTGAAGAGAATTGCTTTCGAAACGTTAGTAACTGGCTTTGGTACAATAGGTGTGGTCATAATCAGGAGGAGGTTCACTTTTAATGAACGAACGTCAGCACTACTGAATAAAACTTTACAAGATTCTGAACCAATCCCGGAGTTTCTGCATTTCGTTGTCAAAAAATTTTTGCCTTTTTGAGTCGAATTTTTTCGCTGGTAGTTTTCTTATGGCGTAGTTTGTGGTGATCTTCTTCGAATTCGCCATTCATGTCGTTGAAGCGATCAACATTATACACAGGTTGATGCTGATGATGGAAGGAAGCATCTTCTTCATAAACCTCATCATCACTTGCTTCTTCTTCTGAATAGTCTTCTTCATTGGAAAAGTCATCATCGTCTTGAAGAAAGAGCGATACTTGATTTGAAAATCCTTCAAGCCTCATAGTCATGAGTGAGCAAAATGCAAGCATGGAATCCTTTTCATCTTCATCATCCCCTTCCATCACAAAGGACAGAGCAAAATCTTCACCTTGTTGCAATCGTTGTAGCTTATCTGAATATGATATTCGCTGAATGATCAAGTGAATATGTTTGTATTGATTCAACTCGAGAATGGTTTCCTGTGCTTTGGCGATCAGTAAACAAAATTCAACAATCTTGTCTTTGAGAAATGATTTCATGGTTGGATGTCGTTTTTCAAGAGAGTCAGCAAACGATGAGAAGGATCTCGAAACCAAAAACCAAATCATTCTAGCACTTGTGGTTGTGACATTATGTTTGGAAAAGGACGCTTTGTTTCCTAATTGAGGAATTTGTTGTTTTTCATTGGCAATGAAATAGGCCAAGTTCACAGTGCTGCTTTCATTTCCAGTTTCTGCACAATATGTCACATCTTTAAAGTATGAATAAAATCGCTTCTTCATCCAATCAATATTCTCTAATTTATGCAAAGGATAAAAAGAAGAAGCTAATTCCCATGATTTGCTTAATCGACACATTGAGACATTAATATCTCGCAATGTTACAAATGGTAAAATATATTCATGCACAATATTGAATGGTATTTGTTGTCCAAGCATTGTAAAACTCATTTTCTCAAGATCTCTTCGAATACTATCAAAATTATGTGTCACTCGTTTTCGATCTTTCAACAACAATAATTTCATTTGTTTTGTCATTTCTGCAATTTTTGATGAGTTCATAATGGTTCTAAATTCTTGGGTAGTGGAGACCGAATCCAATTCATTTTGATCATTTGAAGTTTCCAACGATTGTACACCGTTTTCATTTGGAGTCAACCCCGACTGCTTCTCACTCTCTTGATTCAAATCCTCGTGATTTACAAGAAGAGACGATTGATGAGAAGAAACGTCAAATTGATCTTCGTCATCTTCCGAAGGTTTGTACTGTAGGGGTGATTCGAACAGTCCTGATCGACTCTTTTCGAATTGTTCCAAAATCTTTTCTTTTTGAGAAAATTCTTGAGAACGAATTTGTTGTTCCGATGTTTGTACTAATTCAGGAGCAGAGACAGTAATTTCAGACGGTTGACCATCACTAGATGACTCTCCGAAAAGATCATTGTATGAAGAGAGAAGAGAATTGAGATTGGCGAATTGTTGTTGTGGAAGCATTTTTTTAATGTTTGACAAGTGAACAAGTCACAACACATTGCTCAACGAAACGTTGCCAACGAACTTTCAAACGATCAATGTTTATCTGGCATTCGGAAATTCATTCGATCCACATAGAGCCACAATTTTCTTGGATCCAAATGATCTGCAAAAGGACAATTATATGGAACATGATAGGCATTGGGAGTTTTAGCACACCATGTGTTTGCCAGAAGACTCACTGTAGTGGCATAAAGACCTTCATGTTGCCTTAATTGTTGTTGCATTGGTAAATAATACCATTCGACCATGGCACCAAAATTTCCTCCAATGTTTGCAAAATCAGATTGTGACAGAGCAGAATTTGAATTCAATGAGAGAGGACATCCAGCTTTTGCGGAATACTGACATAGCTCGTTCAACAATTGTTCACAATCTGCATCGGAGACGACATTCTCAACCACTACATATCCATATCGATGATAAAAATCAATATGTCGTTGTGTGAGACGAGAATGTTGATTCACAATAGGTTGAATTTGATCATCTGGCTGCAATAAGGTCTTGTAAGATCTCTCATTATACAAACATTGACCGAGAGGTGTCAATGGAATTAAATCCTTCTCCACATTCAACAATTGTTGTTCCATTTTAAACTTGGAATTGAAATCCGAAGGATGTTCAAAAATCTTTCGTTTTTCTTTGAGAGATTCAATGGTCTTCTCGTTCACACGATGAGCCACTGAATAAGCATGATAAAATACGGAGCGAGGTCGATCCATTTCATTGGCGTCAGAATTTCGGTGAGCACTTCGAATATCAAAGTAAATAAAATCTCCCTTCTCAATAGGATGATAAGGAATGGCATCATGCTCTTTCACAATCTTTCTCATATATTCAAGACAATCATTGGCATTCATGGTTGACAATAATTCAGTACTCGCTGGAGGTGCTGTCCAATCGCGAGGAACTCTCTTCACCTTCCTCACCAATTCAAACAATGGTTCATCCTCTTTCTGATTGAAACGAATATGATACGAGGAAATCCATGGCGATTTGGTTCGTTTGGATTTTCCTTCTCTCAACATTTCATCCATGGCAGGGAAATATCGTTCTGCAACACTGGCAAAACCAGGTATTAATTCCAAACCTCCTTCTTTCTTATTGGGATTTGTATGTCCGGAGGTTAGGCATAACATGGATTGAAACGGTCTGAAGCGATCCAAAGGCCCATACGTAAAATCACTCTTTAATTTTCCCCATAAATTGTAGGGCCATGAATCCAAGTGGAGTCCTGTTCCGGTTTGAATGAGAATATCTTCACTCGTAGTAGTACTACTACTGGATGCTTCTGCTGCTTTCTTTTTGTAATATTCCTTTTTGAAAGATTTCGATGAATTCTTTTTCTTTTCGGAAGAGGAACTAGCCACACGTTCCGATGGTTTGTTCTTGTTCGTCATGCTTGATAGTAAATTGAATTGATTTTTTCAATTTTCTACTTCATCGCTCTTCATTCTTATGAGAATATTTCATTTTCAAATTGCATGATGAATTTCAAAAATAGATCCAAAGTTCAAAGTGGTAAATGAAGTAATTTATTAATTGTAATGTTTAATTGAGACCCTATGGATCAAAATGCCACGTCGCTATGAACACTTGGCGGCCAGTTATCCCTAAGGTAATTTTTCTGACACCCGTAGCCTCAAACTTTGAGATTTTGTATTTTTCTATTCAATTCCAACTCGACATCTTCTGGCGACATGGGTGTGAAAGGTGTCGTCACTCTCGACAAGTGTTGTTGCATCGTTGGAGGATTCGACCCAATTGGTTCTTCTGTCCCACTCGACATGTTCTCTTGGCTCATCAATGGACCATACAACAGCAAAACGAATACTGCAAATATGAAAATACCAAAACATTGTAAAAAGTAATCAATGATGTGCAAATAAGGAACATAGAGTGTGGTGGCAAAGGAGACAGCTCCAGCTAAAATTTGAAGAAATGCACTCAAAACCATTCCAATAATGAGACCAATGATTTTTCTACAGGGAGTTCTTTTTGAGGTGCTCTGTTTGGAATGTAAAGATTGATTTTTCACAACGTAGAGTAAACGAATTCCCAAAAACATGAACATGACGGTTTGGAAGGTCATGACTGCAATGAATACCACAAAGACGACAATGTAAATGGAAGTAACATCAAAATCGATACTCATTTTCATCAATAGGTCTGTGATGGTTAAGGTTAGAGTCAAGGCAATGAAAATTATTTCACACAAAATGGTGATAATGATTAAAGTCTTTTGAAAAATCTTGAAGGTTCTTTTGGACATGGCACCTGACATTCTCATTGTGTTCAAACTATTGGAATTTCACATTTATGGTTGGAAAATAAATGCATTCAAATACTTACAATACAATCATGATAAAAGCCATAATCAAAATAATTGTTGCAATTTGTGAAACAACTAATCCAATTTCAAACGTTGAACACACCCACATGGCAATTTCCATATCATGTAAATTCCCAACAAGTGTCAAATCTTGGAAAGAATTAATTTTCAACCCAATGGCATTATATACCAAACGAAAAATTAATCCAAAATATTGAACCAAGATAAAGATTATCACTAACAAGAAGAGTATTTTGTGATTTCTCTTCAATGCCTCTTTCGCTTTAGAATGAAGATGAATATAGCCATCAGCAAGATGGTGAATACTACGAGAAAGAATATCGAGTTTGCAATGGATGAAACATTCTCTGTGAAGGATGGAAATTTTAGAACTAATTGTTGATGAGTCATATTGGTTGATGTAGAGGAGGAGTTGTTGGAAAGTAAATCAAATGTCGAAGTGGGATGAGGGTAAATGACGGTCATGAAAGAAAACACGAAAGAAATTAGAAAATGAGTATTGTTTTTTGTTGTTGGAATTTGTTCAACATGCAATAGTGTTGCTCTTCTCTTTCCTTAAGCAAAAGATCATAATGACTTTACCCTCTCTTTGATTCTTATTTCTTGACACTTGACATCTACTGTCGCATTCATTTTTTGACCAACATGCTCTAAATAGATCGATTTGTGTATGTGCTATCCCAACCTATCTATTTTAGAACGTGTTCATCAAATATTAATCCAATTCTCTTTCAATTGTTAAACATTGTTTATTTCAGCAACCGTACCGATCTCTTTTTTGTGTTCAACAGTTCGTTGTGAAGCTGCTTTCAAATCACGGCATGATGCATTCCATTTCTCAGATGCAGAAGCACTGATTGGACTCTGTGGTGACTGGAGTTCAGAGAGGTTAATTTGAACTTGCTCGTTATTCAGCAACGGACCATACAATAACAAGACGAATACTGCAAATATGAAAACACCAAAACATTGTAAAAAGTAATCAATGATATGCAAATAAGGAACATAGAGAGATGTTGCAAATGAAACACCGCCTGCTAAAATTTGAAGAAAAGCGCTTAAAATCATTCCAAAGATGAGACCAATATTTTTCCATAAGGTGGATGATTAGTGACAGTTTTGTTTTGGAGAGAACGATGTTTGACAATGTACAATAATCGAATTCCCAACACAGTAAACATCACAGTCTCCAACACCATGACCACTATATAAATAGTGAATACCAGAGAATAGATGGCAATGACATCAAAATCAAAATAAGGCATTTTCATCAACAAATCAGTGATAGTCATTGTAAACACGAGACCAATGAAAACAATTTCACAAATGATGGTTATAGACGTAATTACTCTCCATAATTTGGTGTATGTTTGTTTGGACATGGTACCTGACAATCTCATCGTCTTTAAACTATGGAATTTCAAGAATTACCATAATGAGTAATTGCCAAACGTATGTAGTACTTACAACACAAGAATGATAAATGCCATGATCATAATAATGGTTGCAATTTGGGAATAGACCATACTAACTTCCAACGTTGAAAATACCCACATGGCAATTTCCATTTCATTCAAATTCTGAATTGTTGTCAAATCTTGAAATGAATTAATTTTCAAACCAATTCCATTATAAACCAAACGAAAAATCAAACCCAACGATTGAACTACAACAAAGATGGACATCCAAACAAACAAAATTTTATGATTCCGTTTCATGACATGACGAGTTTTGTAAATGAAAATTGCAATTCCTGACATCAAGATGGAAAATACAATTAAAAAGAAACAAGAATTGGCAATGGATGAAACATTTTCAATATATGAAGGAAATTTCTCTGCTAATTCTTGAGATGATGTTGTGGTGTTTGAATTCAGAGAAGATGAATTGGAGATTTGGTCACCAAGAAGAAGACGCAGGTTCGACCTAAATTGCCACATGTTTGATTTTGAATTATTTAATGGTTTTGACAGTTGGAGGAGAGAAATATGAAAGATTTAGACAGAAGTGATGTTTCTTGTTTTAGAGAGGTTGTTTATTTGAAGAGATGTTCTTTTTTTTATGGCCATGGAGATAATTACAGCGAGGGAAATTATCAGTTTGATTTCATGAAATGGGATGACATACTTTGTAACAATGATTGAAACCCTGAATTGTTGCCAGGATATATATTAGTTACAACGATTCATTTGAAAAGCAAATATTCAAAACACTTAGACACTATAAAAAAATGGCCACTTTAACAATGTCACCAAATTATTCCATCACACTCTATGCCATTAAAACAGCAGCGAGTATGATTCCTCATATTTTACTGCGCGAGATGAAACTCAAGCATGACATTGTATTTCTCGATCAATCCAAGAATGAACATAAAAGTGAAGAATATTTAAAGATTAATCCGAATGGTGTTGTTCCGACGTTGGTGATTAAAGAACAAGACCATGATGATCTTGTGATCTTTGAAACAAGTGCCATTTGTTTATACTTGACCGATCGATTTCCACAATTGAATTTGGCTCCACCATTGAATAGTAAAGAGAGAGCACAATTTTATCAGTGGATGGCATTACTATCTACTGGCATTCAACCAGACATGATTTTATTTTATTATCCTCATCGATATGTCAGCAGTGAAGATCAATATGCTACTTTTAAATTGGAGACTGAAAAGAGAATTTATGAGAAATTCAAAATATTTGATCGAATTTTATCAGATGGAAGAACATACTTGTTAGGTGAAGAGTTTTATTGTGTGGATATTTATTTATTTATCTTGTCTCGTTGGTCAAGAAATTTTCAAGCTCATAAGGCAAGAGATTTACCTCATTTAGGTCCATATTTGAGGAGAATATTTGAGAGAGAATCGGTTCAACAAGTGTTGAATATTGAGGAAATTAAAGAGCCATACTTTTAAGGATGTGGTGGCACCAATGATGGCACGAATACGCATCGTGAAACCTCAATAAAATTATGCAGAGTCTGATTTGTGCTTTCTTACCAATAAACACCAATTGCCAGTGTCGAAATAGGAATCAACAATGTCCACACCTTTGACCTTTGTGAGTAAAAGTTCGTCCAATTCTCCTTGCTTGTACACATGGCAGTAACGCTTGATTGTGACTTCATTGTCCTCGATGGGTGGTTGAGATTCATTGTCATCATCTTGTTCTTCTCCATGCGATAAATATTTTGCTTGCAACTTCCATGGTACGAATACATCTTGACTTTGGAATTTTCTCTTTGAACTTTGTTCTTGTTCAAAACTCCAAGCATAAATGAGAATTAGACCATTTGGTTTGGTTACCCTCACTAACTCTTTCAGGAGTCTGATTCGTCTCGCTACAGAACTGATATGATGCAAAACGGCGATGTTTAAAGTGGCATCAAAACAATTAGTCTTGTATGGGAGATTAAGAGCATCCGAGACAGTCACATCAAACCCTTTCTGAACACAAATTTCACACAATTTTTCACTTCTATCAGTTGCAATCCATATGCATTTAGGATTAAGTCCAATGTATTTTCCATTTCCACAACCAATGTCTCCCACCACAGAGTAGCTGTCAAATGATGTTCATATAATTGTTAAGGATGGTTTACCAGTTCAACAACCCCTTAGTATTACTTACTCTGGAAGTGATTTAATGAACTCTGCGACCTTTGGCCATGCATAATGTCTTGTATTATCCCAATGAGATGCAATGGTGTTGTAAGTCTTCTGAACAAATTCAAGCTCTAGGTTCGTTGTGCTTAGTTGTTGGGAATATGGAAGATTGTGAGCGACATAATCTTGTTGTTGTGAGTCACAAACTTCCACCCATTTACATTTACAAGAGCCGCTTTTTCTGACTGATCTAATGGTGAGTGAGACTCTTCGTTGCCTCTTTCTGATCTTTCCATTCACTCTGTCCAACTCACGGCACATAATAGCATGTCTCCACAAATACCTAGCTTCGCCTACAATGACTGCAAGAGATCTACGAGGTAGATCAACATATTTTTTCTCGATAACCTCGTCATTCACACATTTGGAAAAATACATGACCGTGCTACTAAGTAAGGAAATAAGGAAAAGGCCGTCATTAAAAGGGCCATGTACATCAATATGAGGTCGGATTCCTTGACCAGGTTGATACTCGTTAATAGTTAATTGATCTGCTTGATAGGATGCAAAATCAAAACTTGAAAGGTATTCATCGTTCTCAAACGATGGATCCTTTTCTTGCTGTTTTGTGTTCAACAAGTCCTTCATCCTAGGAATAATATTCTGAACATATTCTGGAATTGGATCTACATTAGCATTAAAATCAATCGACCTAATATCATAGTCAAATTTAAATCCATAGTGTTGAACTCTTCTCTGAAGTTCATGGACCCATTCATGTTGATCGACTTGCTTAATAATTTTCTCCTCTTCTTCCTCAGTAATAAAGTTCTCAATCACGAGCAAACCAGGAATTTTCACGTGTTCGGTTGAAGAAGTACATTCAATGTTCCAACCTTTAATGTGCTTCTTTTTTCTCTGTTCTTTGGTTTCTGTTGCCGTATCGGCGTATGAAACATGAAAAACTGGATGTTTTGAATTTAGATAGTTTTTAACTCTTTCTGCTTCTTCCGAATCTCCAAATACTACATAAATTTGAATGGTTGGATGAGAAGCATGAACAGGTCCATCATGATCATCACTCGAAGAGGCTTCTTGCTTCTTTCTCTCGAGCTTTTCCTTCTTTTTTCGTTTTAATTTTTGTTCCCTCACCATGACCGTTTCTACTTCCACATTCTCCACATTTTCCGATACTTCTTGAATGATCCAATCTTCATACAATTTATGTAACTCGGAACCTGTCTTTGATTCTTCTTCACTCTTCAAAACATTGCCCACATTGGTAATAAACAAATAGGGTGTCGGAACGGTTTCATCCTTGGGTTTTACAAAATAATAGGAATGACTGCTCGTGGAGGGTGTTGTTGTTGATGATGATTCATCACCAGGAGTGAAAGACGATGTTTCCGAAGATGATGCAGTTGTTGGATGCATTTTTTCAGACACTGGCGGCTGGCGTGCAAGCTGAAATTTGCACGAATTAAGCCATCACGAAAAGTGTCAATGAATAGAGATTAAGGAATATGTTTAACTATTAAGCGAAATGTATCTTCGATCTCGCTTGCAGTACAAACAAAAACAACACAAGCAACATATGCAGCCAGTACACACGCAACATCCAATCGCTGCAACACTTGCAGCAATAATCACCCAATAATAAACTTCACGAATGACACAGGTTGCATAATAGGACTCTTCAGCTTCCATGTAATAAACGAGACCGCCACGATGAACAGTGCGAGAGGTGGGAGCACCCAAAATTGGCAAAGCTCTCCAACATGTCCCATTGATACCCAAAGGAATAACTCTACTTTTACCATCTTCAGAAGGGTTGGCACTTGTGACTGTGAAAAATCCTTTTGAAATATAAACACAATCCTTATCCGAGACACAGTCCATATGGTCGTGACATTTAGAAATATCTTGAAGATTGTTGTTTTGAGTTGGATGTGTTGCTGAAAATGGTGGTTGTTGTTGAAGGATGCTGCTATTGGACTCCACAATGTTGGGCAATTGTCTATTACCACAAGTTTCAAAGAGTGGATCCATGCACATCTCAGTAAAAAGTGAGACAGGCTCATTCGGAATTGGACATTGAGAAGTAGACATTCGATATGAACCTGTCGATTCATCAAAAATTGAAAGCACTGACACACATGTATCAGATGTAGCACACCAAATACATGAATTGTCAGCTGCTCCGACACAACTCGTACAATCCGAGAAGGTTTTGCAAAAATTCTGTGCTTTCACAAAGGATGAAGAATGGCCATTGTTGAATTCTGAGATCAAGAGAAGGAAAATAAGAAGGGATACAAGGAGTGAAAATGGATTCAATAATTTAAGAAGAGGAGTGGTGGTCAATGGCAGTGATGATGAAAAATTGAGAAATTTCTTGGACGAAGTAGATCTCGATTGATTCAGTGTTGTTGATGATGAAAATTCGTACATGATGATGGAGTGCGTTGAACCTATTAATTTGTTGTTGAACCACTCATGATTGGGATCATTCCAAGGGCTTCTCAAAGCCCTGGATGAGAAAGCCTGGCTTGCAGTAATGGTTGGAGGGTGTTTCAGTTCCGAGCCGAAACCATCTGCTTGGAGAACAGAGAAGGCTTGTTCCAAAGCATAATTATTTTGAATTTTAAGAGGGTCAACAATATTGTTACTTGGTTCTTTTTCAACAATATTCATGACTACTCCTACCACTCCTCGTGTTGTTTCCCCAGTCCTTACATCCAAAGTATCCGTTAGGAGTTTCATGATTTTTTTCAGATTTTTTAATTAAAATTCTTTTTTAAAAGCTTTTTTCTTGAAATCAAAAGAAGGCAGACGACGATCTTCTTTGATAATATGAAAAGAGTCCACGAGTCATGAAACAACGAAAAAAGTTGTTTTTTCATATGGTGATCATTTTCTTGAGTACTTCACTTTTCTTTGGAAAGTCCTCAAAAAATTCTCTCGACAAACATACAGCAGTCACCTTTCACACATCACATGCTATTGAAATATCAATTACCACGACGCAAAGGATTTTATTTCATCATTGGTATTCTCAACATCTTCCTCATTGCTACGTTTGTGTATTTTTGGAAGTTATCGTCATCAATAACAACAATAAATTCTCACAACAAGGAAGATGTTTGGAAATCGACTTCGGAGCAAAATCAAATATTCACAAAACCTGAAAGATTTGTCATCAATGCCTTGTTAGATATTTCTAGGAGCGAACGAGCATTGAATGCTTTGAAATTACATGAAAAAAAGAATCAAAATTTGGATTCTGTCTCTAGAAAATTACTCTCTGACATGATTTATATTCGAACACGAGTGTCTACTTGTCAAAACTCTGATAATGGATTTGGTTTGCGATGTGGAATTACGAATCAATTGTTTGAAATGATCCAATGTATTTTTGTCAACTTGTATTTTAGTCATTTAGTGAATGCTCAGAAAGATGATGAAATCGAAGGACTTGGATCAAAAGTGGTGGCATTATTAGAACCAAATATTTGCATTTATGGTTCATGGACTTTGTGTGGATGTTCAAAATATGTTCCATTTTCAGAATTGTGGAATTTTGAAAAATTATCTCAATTTATTGGATCGAAAGAAGCGTGGCAGAGTGTGACAATACGATCCAATTATTCGACGCCAGAAGATGTGTTTTGGACAAATCAAGACAAAATGGATATTCCTTTCCCAAGATTGGATTTTCCATGGCATCGAGTGAACAAGGATACTTTTTTGAAAATGATGCAACAAAGAGTGGAATTGGATGGAATCTCTGTTGAAATGATGACAGCAGTTGAATTCGAAGAAATGGATTGCATGAGAAACGAGTTGATCCATGTAAGCTCAACACGAAGAAAATTGCTTGACATTTTAGAAAATGCAAACACGAGAGAGGATATGTTGATTCAGTTGGTAAAAGAACTCAACAAGATTTGCAAACGTCGAATTTCAGAAATGGCACGCCACAACCTATTGATCGATGATCTTAACCAAAAAATTTCACGTGAACTCTCTGTCGATTATTCAACTTTTCACTCATTTGAAGAAGCAGGTGCCAACAAGTTTGGATCTTATCAAGGAATAATGAAACCTAACAAAGATCAATATTTGACAAAAGTCATCAATCTAGGGAGAGTATACGCTTGGTACAATCCAGTGTTACCTCAAGATTTTCAACTATATTCAGAAATGTATTTACATTTGGAACCAAGAAGAGATTTGTTGCAAAAAATTGAAGACTTTATGAAACATCTCAAAACAACAGCAATCAACAAGAAATATCAAGTGAATTCTCAAAATGGAAGGACCATTGTCATTCATGTTCAAATGCCTGCCGAACATGAAACACACATTTATTACACGTGTCAACGACTTCCCATGGATCCAGTCACTAAAACATTTGATTGGATTAATTTCCTCCAAAATGATGTAAAGGTCACAAAGGGTGATTCCATTCTAGTCATTGGTTATGGCTTTCAATATGAATTACAAGAAATTCAATTTCCTGCTCAGAAAGTATTTAAGGAATTGGGAGCTTTTCTTTTCACACAAACTGAAATATTTGGAGAAACAACACTAGAAAGCATTTATTATAACTCTCTCTATGCATTCTTTGTGAGCATGAAAGCAGATGTATTTGTATCTGGAGTTTGTGGATCTCAATTTGGAAATCATGTCTTGTTTTTAAGGAGAATGCAAAACAAGAAAGCATGCATTGCCTCTCATGTCGATCAAAAGACCTTCTTTTCAGAAACACCCATTCAAAAACATGGTTACAATGAAGAAGTGGTGCAACGACAATTGAATCGAATCAAAGAAGAGGTATATCATTATCCTAATTTTGTGTATGGAGTTTTATTTAAGGCGCCTCGATGCAAATATTTATAACAAGCATTCATTGTGAAATTCATTTCCAACTTTGGGAAATTTGATGAAGCGCTGAGTGTCATGTCTCACTTCTTTTTGGCCATGCTGATATACATACGTAGAAACATCAAGATCTTAATCTTTTAAAAATCCATTTGAAATGATCTCATTGAAATCCAACTGAAAAGAAACAACCACATCCATTCATAACCATTCATTGTCGGATAAAAAAAAAATGACGTTTTCCCTTAAAGATGTATACAAGTATCTTGCCATGAACTCGATACTCGGAGGTCGAAACCTACTCTATGGCATTATTGGATGTTTCATGGTTTCAATTTCAGTATGGTTCCTCCTTCTCTCAAGTGGAAAAACCAGTACGCAGAACCATCGAAACCATCACGTTCCATTCAATGTTGAACCTCGCAATCCCATCTATGAAATGGCCTCTCAACTGCCTTTTCCAATCATTTTCCCTGTAAAAACCAAAACATCTCCTCCGCTCTCTGTGGCTTGCTATGCCAATGATCAAATTATTTGTAAATTCCTTCGAGAGAAAGGAAGATGGGATGTGTTTGATCATCAGGAAAAGATTTTGGCTCATTATTTCAACAACAACAACAACAATAACAACAACAGAAAGCAGAGATACTTTATGGATTTCGGTTCTAATTTGGGCTTATTTGCTTTATTACTTGCTGCTCAATCGAGTGATTGGAAAGGTATTGCAGTGGAAGCGTTGTTTTCCTCGATCATTGAGTTCAATGTTTATGCCAATCGATTAGAGAAACAAATTAAGGTGGTGAGTGGAGCATTGGCTGAAAACGGAGTTGGCAAAGTGAAAATGAAACTTGTTGCTGATAACCCAGGTGGTTCATTGGTGACGGATCAAGGCAATGTTGAAGTTCAGAGAATGACCATTGATGATATCGTTGAAAAGTATGAACATGAAGGTTTCATTCCCAAAGGGGTTGAGTTTGATTATGTCAAGATGGATGTGGAAGGTTGGGAAGTGAAAGCTCTGAGAGGAGCCACCAAACTGTTACAACAAAAGAGGGTAAAGATTTGGCATTTGGAATATTCCATCTATATCAAAAATGGTGGAGACGAACCCAAAGAGTTGCATCGAATGATGGTCAATGCCGGATATACCGTGTATTTGGATCCAGAAAGGACAAAGCTAATAACTTTGGATAATTACGAGGTAACCTCTCTGGTGGATGTCTTTGCTTTTAGAAATGACCTGTTAACATCCACAAATCTTTAATGTGTTTGTGTGAGCACACAATCTTTGAACAAATTCGTACAAGCTGGATCGCTTTCAGCGTTAGGTTGAGCTGAAACAAGGAGTACACGGTAAGAAATATCCACACACATCACTCAAAATACATGTTACACACAATAAAACGATCATTAAGGTTTTTTTATACATAAAATGGATCCGTTTTTGGTTTGTACAAAATTTTTTGGTGGATTAAATGGATTTCAGAGAATGAATTAATTTACAACAATGACTACTCATCCATCTTGATTTTACCTCTTGAGGGAATTGCAATTCGGTAATTCTTTTGTAACTCACCCAGAGGACATTGTTTGAGCATACCACTACCAGTGGTCATGGAATCATCGTCAAAAAAGAAAAAGGAAGTGTTTTGAAATGGTTGATATTTGGGATTGGTTGGGTCTTCTGTGAGTTGGCTGTCAAAAAATTTGTCATAAATATGAAGAAAGTCATAATCTAGATGTAAGGTTTAGATGTTAATTTTCCATCCACGATAATATAACTTACCCTCTCTTCCTGCTTCGCTCACCCAATAATTGTCAATATCAGTCGATCGCTCCTTGCTGTATTTTTCAGCAAACCCTCCAATGATTGAAAAATGTGAAATTGCCATTCCAAATTTGTCTAACAGCGATCTACTCGTAAAATGAATCACATCATTGTCCAAAAAGTAATTAATATCCTCTACAGGAACGTGAATAGTAGCAGCACATTCGTCTCTCCATTTTGGATTATCTCTATTAATTTCCACTACATCTTTGATAATTTCCTTAATACTTTTCGAATAAAAGTAGACTGTTTTGTATTGACCTCGTTTCAAATCCTCAAAATATCCTCCATTTTGAAAATGCGTACGAGTAAGCATACAACCTTCTAAATTGAGTTTGGATAACACTGTTGAAATAAAATGTTGACCATTGCAAGTTATTTCATCATAATATTGTTTTCCATTGAATCGACAACAAGTTTTGGCAATTGTTGCTAATGCCATTGCCACCTTTCTTGTTCCCTCAATTCTTGCAATGGGTAATAATTTGAGCTTCTTTCGCTCTGTATTTGTTCGAAGGTCACAAACTACATGCCTAGATGCTGACCATGAAAGAATTGCAGGTCCAACTTGAAGTGCCAGTGGGAGTATGCCTGCTCTTTCCTCTCCTATTGTATTAAAATCTTTCAAAAATACTAATCCAATCGTGATACTACTTGTCGAGGCACTTTCATTCATTAATTGATTCATGGGAAGAAAGACATCCAATAAGAATCGATCGGCACACACCAAATTTTGTAGCTCTGCATTTGATACATTTTCATTGCCTGCAGTGTGAATGTTTTTCAAATATTTCATTATTATTAACAAGTTCCAATATATGGTCAATGCAATTCAAAACACGATTATATCAACAGAGGTCCTCATTATTATGATTGCAATACTTACCAGTAAAAGATCGTTTCGTTTGTTTGAAACATGTAATACCATCCTTTTCTTCACTTGTCAAATTATCTTCATCCCAAGCATTCTCTAATATTTCCATAGCTTTGTTAAATGAGCAAAGTTGAGGAATAGGCAATGATAAATACGACGCATTACCAGTCAAGCTAGCCAAGTTGACCAAAGAGGCAGACGGAAATAGCAAGTAATTATTTCTATTTATCGACAAGGACGCTCCTCCGCTATTGCTAATGAATGATGATGATGATGATTGTATGAGAGTGGAATCTAAAACATGATTTGTAGATGGAGGAGATACAGAATGGTTGAGATTCTTATTCAAGGACGACATGGAAGTGTTGTTGTTGTTGACTCCTCCATGGTTCGTTGAACTTGTGGTCGTTAGAATGTGGTTATTTCCGTGTTCACCACCACCCAAAGTCGAGGAGGATGGTATGATCATCGCTCCACTCGTACTACTGCTTGTATTGAATATTGATTTGTTCTTGTTCAGACACAAAATTTGATATTGTTGTATTTGTTCGGGAGTCATTTCAAAGTGTTCAAGACCTTCTCCTCGTTCCAAACGATTTTGGACCATTTCGGACCGACTCATACTCGATTCCGAGTAACAAGGAAACATTTGAGCTTGTCCCATGTTGTTGTGGTTGTGATTAGGTTCTGAAATTTGAGAGACACGATGGTTGACCTTTGATGTTTTTGGATATTTGCCGATTGTATTCGGAGAGAGGAAGTTGTTTGATTTTTTGAAAGTGCTGCTGTTATAATTGGATGATGAAAGATGGCCGAGTCCTCTTCACTTGATGTTGTGGTATTTTTGTATTCGTTGTTGTTCCAGGATGATGAACAAATATGAACGTTGAGAAGAGTTCTTCTATTGAGGATGCAAACGCTTGGGTTATTTCTAAAGAAGGACGCAAGATCTAGATGAGAGATTGACAATTCAACTGAGCGTTAATCACTCGTGCAGGTTGTGATATTAATAACAGGGTTGAAATTGAGCTCAAATGCAAAGAGGGTCTGTTTTTTTTGATGATTTTGATTTTATTTGGACTGGAGGTTCTGTCATCAATCATTGAAAGGTATCATGTCGTTTTATCAAAGAATAATATTATTAATTTCATTTTGGGACGTTTGTAGACAATTTGATATATAATATATAATTGTTGATGAAAATTCATAATGCAAGGAATAGGAACATTAAAAAAATTATTTCGCCCACCGTGGGGCTCGAACCCACGACCACAAGATTAAGAGTCTTGCGCTCTACCGACTGAGCTAGACGGGCAGACATTACAAATGATTCTATTAATGTTTTATTTGTATTACATTAATGAGGGTTAAATCAAAGGTGAACTCGTCGTCACTCTGCAGCTGCGTACAAGAAAGCTCACACCAAGAAGTTAAATCCTCAAGAGATATCGAACAGAAAGAAGTTTCGTTCGAACCGTGCACCATTTGGTTCTTTCCAAATCTGATCTTTATTGAACAAAAAAATGCAAAGAGAACATTCCAAAAGGCAGAGCATCATTTTTGTACAGGGGCTACCACATTGAGAGGTATTCACTGCCAAAGGTCACACACAACCTGAAAATGCTCGTCTAGATGCAAAAGCCAACGCTTGCATCCGCTCATTCATTCACAATACAAAAAAACAACTGGTCTGACAACTGCCATCAACACTTTCCCTTCTATACTTTTAAATAATATGAACCAGTCGTTACTGTCGTCAACACCTAGCTTTGCCGCTGACACCTTTTCCATGATCACAACTGCTGCTCTGTGGGGTGCACTCTTGACGTGTGCGCTCATTGCTCTCTATATTCTGAAATTGTTTTATCAAATTTATAGAAATTATTCATTGGTCAAACACATACCTGGTTCTTGGCAGGTGGCATTCGCTCCCATCCATATTCCGCTCATTTCGCCCATTTGTAACTTTTCCAACGTGAGAGGTGTTTTAAACTGTGCCAAAAAGATTGGAGACTCTGAGAATGGTATTTTCAGAATGTCAATGGCTAGTCAGAACATTGTTTGGTTGATGGGTTCGGATTACATCAAGCAAGCCACTGTTTCATGGGGTCACAATATTGGAAAACCACAACATTATGAAATCTTTGATATATTTGGAGAGAATATTGTGAGTGCCAAGAATACAGAATCATGGAAGAAACATCATCGAGCTTGTTCTCCTGCATTCTCAACACGTAATTTGGAATATGTGGTGCAAGTTGCAAATGATACTGCTCAAATGCTTCTCGAGAGATGGTTCAGAAGGATGAACTTGGGCAGTGATGCTACTCGTCTTGCTGCTTCTTCCACCTCAACGATGGAAATCAATGCCACTGCTTCTACGACCACTCCTTCCAAGACGAACAATCGTGATCACAACAAGCTTGTTGGTGGTGAATATCAGTTACCCCCACACTCGGTCCTATTCGACGGAAATGAAATGGCCGAAGTAACCATGAACGTTTTACTCAATGCTGGTTATGGACTTTCCAAAACAGCACTATTTGCCGACTCGGAACGAAAGAAACACCTCTTGACTGCGGAAGAGAAGGCACAGGGAGAAGAGTTTTTGCATCATATGGAGTCGCGTTGGCTCGTGCTTTGATTTTACGTCGATTTGTCGATGAGCATGAACATCCATGGTTGTATCAATGGTTATTGAAAGCTTTCAACATTGAAAAGGGTTTGAAAGCAGCTGGAGAGGTTCTAGATCAGATCATTGCTGAACGAAAGAAAGAATTTGGAGTGACCATGTCCTCCTTCAATACAAATGAAGAGAGAGAACAATTTTTCGATTCTGAGGATGAAAAGAAGGATTTATTGAGTTTACTCGTCAAGGCTAATTTAAGGGATCAATTACTGACAGACATGGAAATGAAGAGCAATGCTTTTGTGGTGCTCTTGGCAGGTTATGAAACCACTTCATCCACACTCCAATGGTTGGTGTATGAACTTGCAAAGAATCCTGATGTGCAGAAAAAGTGTCAAGATGAAATTGATCGTTTATTGAATCATGGAACAATTCCTTTCAGTTATGAAATGTATAATGACTTTCAATATTTGAATGCAGTCATTATGGAAACATTACGTCTTCACTGTCCTACCTTCCAAGTCGATAAGATTGTTCTCAATAAGAATACTCGAATTGGTAAATATGACATTCCTAAGGGTACTCATGTCAATATTCATATCATGGGACTCAATTTGAATGAAAACTATTGGGAGAATGCCAACAAGTTCGATCCAGAACGATTTGCTACCAAAGAATTGAAAGAGCAAGCTCAAAATCAAGCAACTTGGATTCCATTTTCATTTGGTAATCGAAGATGTATTGGATTTAAATTTGCACAACTCGAAATTATTAGTGTTGTGATTCAATTATTGAAGGAATGTAATTTCGTCTTGCTCAATGATGAAACAGTGGATCCAGTGTTCGAGCAAATGGGATTAACATTGAAACCAGGAAATTTAAAGGTTGCCATCACATCACGACGACGACAACAACAATAACACAACCCAGAATTCAAGAATGGGTGCAATGAAATAGTTTGGATGATCCACAACAACATCTATCGCGCTTGACTCTTGGTATCAAGCCTAAGCTCTCGTTGATTGTAAAAACAGCAACAACATAATTAAACACAAGTTATTGAATTTGCGTTTTGCATAATCGGCCATCAATTAGATTTCCTTTTATGTTGGAACAACCCTGTTGGGATGAGGTGTGTTGAGAGAGCTTTGAATTTCGTGAAAGCAGTTTTCCAACTCCGAAGAAAAAATGCCTACATCCTCTCCGTTCGATACCACTAATGCTTCATCGTATCATCATCAGGATACTTTAACGAACGGGAATTATCATCAAGATGATGAACATTCATCATTGCTTGGAGGCAATCATCATGGATTTGCCTCAACATCGGAAGAGCGAGGTTCTATAAATTATTATGGTCAGCAGGAAGGTTGGTGTGAAGCATAATTTCATTCTATAATTTTACAATATTCATGATGATGGTGAATTTACGCAAATCATTGAAACCCGAACCTATATGTGTAATCTTTGAACATTGTTATAATGAAAAAATCAATTGGATTTTTTCAACTCCTATCAAATAGTTCAACAAATGACTCCGGAAGCAACTCAATCATCATTCCTGCAATGGAATTTGAAAAATTCTGAGGGTACTTTTTGTGAAATGCAAGAACGTGAAATGTTAAAAGAGCATGAACAAGCTCTAGCTGAATGGGAGCTAGAACAAAAGAACAAGACCTTTTACCAGCGATGGTGCCCCAGTTTTGATTTTATGACCTCTTGCTTCAGGGGTTGTAGAGGAAGTGACGAAAATCCTATTGTTGACGACGGTACGGCGGAGCTGCATGTGCAAAGAACGGACGCTAGACCTCAAATTGTGCCAGAGTCATTGAAACCAAAGAAGGAACACAAATTAGGAGAGTTATTTGCTACAGCAATTTGTGGTAACGATATTACAAGCTCTTGCTTGTATGTTATTGGTGTCTGTATCAGTTATGCTGGAATTTGGGCACCTATTTGCCTCCTAATGGTGAGCTTTTTACTGTTTTTGTTTCGGGTATGTTGAGTAATATGTAATCATTAGTGACCTAAGGCGACGGCCAAACAATAGTCTATTTATGCTGAAGTGGGTTCTGCAATTACTTTGAATGGGGCTAGTTATACCTTGCTTCTTAATACCACATCAAAGAAAACTGCTTCCTTAGCAGCATGCTTGACAGTACGTATTTTACGGTTTTACGAATTTATTCATTTTAATTTTCGTTCCTTAAAAGATCATCTCGTATATTGCAACAGCGGTGGTTTCTGGAACATCAGCCATTGAATATTTGAAAAACATTCCATACTGTGAACACATTCCTCTCATACCATCCACTGTTATTTTACTTGGTATTTTTGCGTTTTTGAATCTTATTGGAATTTCTGAAAGTGCTTTTGCTGCTGCCATTATTTTTGTTTTCCACATTGCTTCTCTGTCAATATTAACTGTATATGGATTTTTATATGTTTCAGCCACTAATAGTTTTGAAATGCTTCAGAGAAACTGGCAATTAAGTAGTGCATCATTCTCTGCATTGGGAATGTAAGTGTGAAAAATTTTTAAACTTGAATTATTTAATTTTTTATTCATGTTGGGTTAGAGTCAAATCAATTTTCTTTGGTTTCGGAGCTGCCATGTTAGGTGTGACAGGATTTGAAAGCAGTGCCAATTTTATTGAACAACAAAAACCAGGAGTATTTCCAAAAACATTACGAAATATGTGGACATTGGTATCATTTTTCAACCCAGTTCTTTGCTTTATTTCTCTATGTGCTCTTCCTCTTTCTCAACTAACTGATCCTAAACAAAATGCTAGCTTGCTTTCTCAAGTTGGTAGAGCTTCTGCTGGACCTTGGCTTCAAATTTTGCTTTCTTTTGACGCTGCTTTGGTTCTTAGCGGTGGTGTTTTGACAGCCTATGTTGGTAAGTCATGTGTATTCATTTAATATTTGGTATGAACAATAATAATGTTTGCAATTTGTGGAATTTTGGATAACACCTAGGTATTGTTGGGTTGGTTCGTCAAATGTCTATGGACAGAGCTCTTCCTGCATTTTTCCTCCAGGTTAACTCATTCCGAAAAACGAACCACTTCATTATTATACTTTTCTTTGTGCTTTGTGCCTCCATGGTTACCATTTTGAATGGTGACATTGATGCTCTTTCAGGAGTATATACTATCGCTTTCCTTTCCGTAATGATGCTTTTTGCAATGGGTGACTTTTTACTCAAATACAAGAGAGGTCAGATTAAGAGAGACAGAAGAGCAAAAAAATCAGTGATTGTAATTGCTATCATTGGTGTTGGAACTGCTTTATTAGCAAATATTTTAGAAAATCCAGAATATTTGAAATATTTCTTTATTTATTATGCAATTTGTGCTGTCACAGTTTTAGCAATGTTTTGGAGAGTGAAAATTATGAAATTCATTATTTATCTTGTCTACTCCAAACTCAAAGAGTGGAACATTGCCAAATCAGTGACCAACAGGATTCTCAAATTCTTGGTTAGACAGGCCAAGGACGTAAATAGCCAATCCTTCATTTATTTTGCCAAGAACGATGCAATCTCCATGTTGAACAAGGCGGTTCTCTACGTTCGTGAAAATGAATTGACAGATTGGATCAAAATTGTGCATGTGTACAAAACTGCCAAGAGTGAAGAAGAACACATCGAACAACAGAAACTTATCAGTCGATTGAAAAATGACTGTAAAACCTTGGACGAAATTTATCCAAGAATGAGAATAGATTTTGTCGCCATTGAAAGTGAAAAGGGTTTTGGCCCTGACATTATCAGATTGATTGAAAGTCGATTTGGTATTCGAAAGAATTTAATGTTCATTTCCTGTCCTTCCGTAAAATTCAAGGTCAGCGACCTTGGAGGAGTTCGTATCATTACCAACGATCACCAAAACTGAAACTAGTTTTTTAATTAAATGATTGTCTGAGATTTTGTTCCAATGAGCGTTCTCTTTCCCAAATTCTCTTCTCACAATCAAAATCCAAAAAATGTCGTCATCTGCCCAGCAGCATGAGAAAACACATGACTCAAAAGATGAACATCACACCACAACAACGACACGAAATACCATGCTGGCTGGAGCTTTGGCACGATGTGGAGCAGCAACAATCATGTACCCGATTGATGTTTGTAAAACTCGAATGCAATTTCAACGAAGAGCAAATTCCAATTTTCGTACCGTCTATCGGAATACATTTCATTGTATTAATACCATGATTCGAACAGAAGGATTCGGAATTTATAGAGGATTATCACTCCGATTATTCTACATTGGACCTGGAGCAGCCATTACGTTTACTGCCTATGAAAAATACAGACAAAGCGCAGAAAAGGCAAGAAAGAGTGGAAAGAGCGTTTTTGAAACTGGAGCAATCATGTCATTACTTATGGGAGCTGCAGGTAGAGCATTGGAATCAGGCATCAAAACACCTTTCAATATTGTAAAACAACATTTACAAGTGGAGGGACAATTAGCTGTTCAAAAAAATAGAGGACTTGTGAAATCAGTGAAATATATCATTGAGACGAAAGGAATTCGTGGTTTGTTTGTCGGATATACCGTGACACTGCTTCGAGATTTACCATTCTCATTTCTATATTTTTCAAGTTATGAATTTATCAAAAACAAATCACAACATTTTGGAATACCAATTTTGAAGGATTACACAGCTGTTCGAGGAGCTTTAGCTGGATCGTTTGCATCAGTAATTACTCTCCCTTTTGATGTTATCAAAACACGGATACAAACACAGCACAAAATATCAGCAGATTCACATTACTCTGGTTATCGAGATGCAGTAGTCAAAATTTTCAAACATGAAGGATTTGCTGGATTTTTTAGAGGAATAACACCTCGATTAATTTATACCATTCCCTCCACTAGTATCACATTCTACATGTATGAGTTTTTAAAGAAGTGGTTTCATATTAACACAACTGCTGCGGATAGGCTAAAGGAATAGAAAGTAGCGAAATTAATCCTTCTTAAATATAATTTGATTTGTGAATCATCCAATTCATAGCTTATAGTTTATCTTGTACGACAATAAATTGATAACTAGCGATTACTGGTTGTTGACGAAGTTAACGAACTCGATTGAACCAATCGTCTGTATCTCTCACTTTGCTCTTCAGATAACTTTTTAGTTCTCCTGTAAAACAAAATACCACTCAGCACAATAATGACCAACAAGGAACATTCGAAAAGAATTAAATTTTGTACAGTGTACGGTGTATAAATTATATCGGGTCTGCAACTTTCTCGTGTTGTAGTCTTTTTAACTTCTTTTGAATCTCCACCAGCATGTTCTGTTCTACACTCTACCACATGATAATATTTAGTAGCCTCACAATATCGATGAGGAGATTTTAAATCTTCCTCGGAACATGGTAAACACTCAGAAACTGTTTCGCAAATTTCTTTTGGTGTGGTAGCTGTTGGTTTATGATCCGTATGTGAGCTTGTTGAAGTCTGCTGTTCCGAAGCTACAAGAGTGCTCATAAATCCTATCCACAGAATTGAAATGAACAGTATCAATAATTTCGATCGTGTTTGTGACGTCATTTTTTTTTAGAGTTGGAAACAAATCAAGTTTGCCGCTTTCTTTCGTTACGAAAAAATTTATAAAAAAACATGAACCGATATCGTTCACCCTCTCCACCACCGTATTCTGAAGTGGAGAACGGATTTCAATCCTCACCTCAAAAACACCTTCAACAACAGTATCAGAAACAACGAGATTACTATTTTTCAGACTTGAATTCAAGCTCGGATCAAATTCGGGATGATGAGGAATTGGGGAAATTAGATATTTCTTCAATCGCTGATGACTCGTATTTGAATTATTCCTCAAGCTTTGAAGAGTATTCAGCCGGAAGCAGAACTCCTATTCAACGATCCGATTCTCTTCCGTCTCTTTCACCATCTAAAAATTCTTCAAGAATGTTTCAAAAAGCGTATCATAATCGAGAAGCCTCTGAAGATTCCGAACATTCATGCCAGATATGTGGAACGATATTCACTAATTATTCTTACTTTTTAGAACATATGTATGGCGGAGGAAAATGTAGTGAACTATTTGAGCAAGTTCAACAAACCTCCAAACATGATTCATTATTTACATCACACTACAGAAACAGTGATGATATTACACACCGAGTGAAAATCGAACATTTAGCGTTTGTCAGCAGTTTAAAAGATCAATTCTCTTTTCATGGAAAAAACGCTTGTACATCTGTAGCTTGTGAATTTGCTGTACAAATGTTACATGGTGTTGTAGACACTGAAAATCCACGAGCATGGAATGCATCTGCAATAGATAGAATTGTTGAGAGTGGATGTCAACAAGATCCAAAACTTGGCAATTTATCATTTGAAGAGGTCTACAGTATGAACGATAGAGTTAACTCAAACCTTGAGCTTGTACACGAGGTTCAAAATTCAGTTAAGGGATCGTCATTTAAATCCACACTTGAAACAATAGAGAATTGCTCACAACACCTCCAAAAACCAGTTTGTGCAATTTTCACAAAACAACCAGAAACTGTTGTTTTGTTTTTTAATACGAACACAGGAATTTTCATTTTGGCTGATTCTCATCCTCGAGAAACAGACGGAACAACTCACGGAGCAAGCTTGTGTTTCACTAAAAGTCTGAGATCAATGGCCACAGTGCTCAAGCATTGGTTGTTTCCTTTCATGAATTTTGACGAATCAGCGAAAGGTCTTAGTGAAATGTACAATTCTTTTTCATGCTCCATAGTGAAACTGAGGCCCTGTACCACTTACTCACCAACCTATTCCATGACATCAAAAAAAACAACTTCCAATGTAAGCACACCCCTTTCGAAGCAGTCACCTTCGAGAACGCTCCAACGTAATACTAACCACCTTTCCTCACCACTTCAAAAAGAGAACCAGTCTCGAGATCTTGCAGGAGACATGTCAGCCTTGAAATCAGAAAATGACAAACTACTCAAACAAATTCAACTTCAAGAAGAGAAGATACAAATGTTGCAAGACAAGCTTAATCAAGTCTCTGAACAAGAAGAGCGTTTAAAAACAAACAATAAGCAGTATGAGCAACTTTCCATTGCACTGAAGGGCATTGAAGAAATCATAGAGAATGTTTCTCCAATCATTCAAAGCTTGAACAGCAAGTCCCCGAGTGTTCTGTAGAAGACAAAAACTTGTCATAAAAAATGCTCTCTTCTGGCGCTGCAAAATTTTTATCCTCATCAGCAAAATCACTCAAACTTCATACCTCTCCAATTTCATCATCATCGGCACTCATCTCTTTGAATTCCTTTCAACATAGAAATTTGAACAACTGGACATGGGGGCCAACAAAGGACTATGAAAATCAATTTGTTGTTGGAAAGGCACCACATTCGAAAAGAAAGCCTGCCAAAAAGTTCTACAAGTGGACTCCTAATCCTGCTGTTCCTAAAAAAGAGATTGAAGAGCATAACGCAAAAGTAAATACTCCAGGAACCAAGAAGCCTCAAGTCATCTCGGAACGAAACAAGGAACACATTCAACGAATTTATGCTGCTGCAAAAGAATTTAACCCACAGGCCGCTATTGAAGCCTATCATAGATGTTCTCATGGTTTGGACGTTCGTGCATATTCTGCTCTTATCAAATCTGTATGTTTTAGATGTTTGATGTAGTTTTCATATTTATTACTATTTTGATGAAATTTGTTCTTACCGGCATATCTTGAATGGTACTAATTCTAAATAATCATACTTTGTTGTGGTGTTACATTCGGAAACTTGTGTCTAGATGGAGAAAGAGGCTGCTCACATCGGTGATGCTTTTCAAATCTACAATGATATGAGAAAGACAGGAAAGAAGCCAAACTTGGTAACCTTCTCTCATCTTGTGAATGTGTGTATCAATGCCAACCACGTTCCTCGTGCTTTGTACGTGCTCAAAGAAATGATGATAAGCAAACTGAAAGTTAGTGAGAAAACCATGAAACAGGCAAACACCATTTGCAAGAAGCTCATCAAGTAAGTATTAGATTGTAATTCCGACATCTAGAATCATAAAATTTCAATAGGCTGTGCTACGCAAACAACGAACCTGGAAGAGTACTAGTGATTATTGATGCAATGAGATCATTTAAGAGTGATGAGGTAAAGAACTTAACTGGAGACATTCCAATTGAATTTTTACAAAAAGTAGTATTTGAGGATGTTGCAGAAGATAAACGAGCTGCTGAGGCAGAGAAAATGCAAGACTTTTGGATCGGTGTTAACAAGGCTCTCAGACCAAGCTTCACTGCTCAAACATCTGCCACTCTTCCAATTTCACCAAAACTGTCTTATGGTTTGGAAGGTAAAACACAAAGGAGAGCACATTTTGAGGCCGAACTTCGTAAATTGCAAAGACTAGCTAAAGTTGATGCCGATAATGAAAGAAATAACAAATTGTTAGATTTTGATGAGCATGGTATTAGTACACGTGATTACTTGGAAGCACGTGCCACCAAATTCGATGTGTTAGGTAGCGCAGAGCATGGAGACATGGATGAATCTCTCAAAATATCATATAACACTCTTCTTACTGAGTTTTCGCACATCTTGTACTCAACAGTTTTCAATGATAGAAATTACAGACCATGTGTTGACAAGTATAGTGAAACAACTGAATCATTGGCGGTACAATATACAGAACGTTTGAAAAAACAAGGATTTTCTGAAAGAGATATTGCAGTTGAAGTGTCTTCTTTCAAAGATTTCGCTGAAGCTCATAATTATATTAACAATAACTTCATACAAGAAGATGGAAGCATTGAGTTGACAGATGAGTATCTCCAAGTTTTGAACACAGCAATCAACGAAAATTGGACTTTAATTGACAAGCCAGATCATCAAATTGTATCAATGATCCCAACGGTTGTTGGTGCTTCTCCACAAGAATCTGCAATCTTACTAGCAAAACCAGTCAAGAACTTACTAAACAAGTTCATTGAGGCCGAATCAATGACTGAACTTGAACCTATTATGGATGAATATAAGTCTGAAATGAGCAAGGCAACTAGATATGTAAACCGTAAAGTGGATTGGATCCCAGTTGTATTGGGTGTTGATGGTAGACCTTTCTTCCCCTCTGAAGATATTATCTCTATCGACAAAGTCACCACTGAGACCATAGAAAATGCCAAGCAAGCATACATTAATAGCATTAAGGATGAAGAAGTTAAGAAGCAAATCAAGGAAGAGTTCTATGACTACATTCACTTGATCTGGATTGATAATAAGGGTAGAGTTGTTGAAGGTATCAGTTACTAAACATTATTTAACCAGTAAAACATGAGTTCAAATATTTATCAAAATCTTTTTAGAAAAAAATGTTAAAACTATTGAATAGACCTTCATCCATATTTCGATATTTCCAAAATTCCTCCATGACGGGATGGCATTCCCAACAACCATTTTCAATCAGTTTATATCACAACAATCACTCATCCGAGTCGAACTCAACAATACATTTCCGAAAGGGGTATGTGTGATTTTAGGCAATGATGATAATTCTCAAAACAATAGAATTAAAATTGGTGAAAAAGCATCCATGAAGAGACGTTTCTCAGCTCAAGATGTTTCAGATTTTGCCAAGTTATCTGGCGATTTTAATCCTTTACATTTTGATTCTGATTTTGCTAAACAGCATGGGCTATTCAAAGATCGAATTGTACACGGTGTTTTAGTGTCGTCTTTATTGAGTAACTTGGCTGGTACAGTCATGCCAGGCGCTGGTTCAATATACATGTCTCAAGAACTGAAATTCTTACGACCTGTTTACATTGATCAAGAAATTGAAGCCTCAGTCGTATTAAAAGAAGCTCAAAGCACAAGAAAGAGTGGAGACAAAAAAGTTATATTTGTGATAGAAACAGAAGTTCGATCAGTGGAAAATGGAGATTTATTAGTGTGTGGAGTTTCACGACTGTATCATGCAAATTTGGAGGTTATCGAACAATAATTGCAAAATCATGACTAAATTCAAAAAACAATTTTATTTTCGAAACGTCGATTGTACTGTCTCAATTGTTATTTCTTTGGTCTTTTCAGTGAGAGAAGCGTGCCACCTAAAAATTTGTTTTTAACATTTTTCACACTCACATAAGCAGGTGTCTTGTTTGTTTGCATATTCAACGCAGCATTGGTTTTAAAAAAGCTCGACGAATGTAAATCTCCAATAAATAAGTTTCCTTGATCTCCCAGCAGCATGGGAAACACATCTTCTCTCCATTCATTTTCCATGGCTTGCATTTCAATGGTCAAGTCTGATAATACGACTTCGGAATCTTTCACTAATAATTTCCATTCCAAGAAAATGAAACAATTAAGATAGGATCCGCACTTCATGACAGAGCAACTGGCTTGTTCAAATTTTGGTTTGAATACTTTGCCATCGGTCACAACCATTGCAAAATAATTATTAGAATCATTTTCGGTAATATTAGAAAAAGGTGAAACGGTAAACTTGAAATTACAACTTGTTGAACCAGCAACAATCTCGGGAAAGTCATAACTCTTTCCTTTCACAGGAATGAATGGAATGATGGTCGAAAAATTTGAATGATTTGGATCAGCAAATGTAAAACTTGTAAGTTGGTGTTGTGGATTCGATCGATCCGAAAGCATTCTCATGTCTTGCATGGGCACCACACGTTTCGTCTTGACAAGTTGATCATTCATGGTCGTCACTGAATATGTAGCAGCTGAACTTGTTTGAGAAGAGACTGTTTGTGAACGTCCTTTAAAACTTGGATTATAAACTCCCATGGATTTTCCTTTCATGTGAATACCACTTCCAGAGGAGGTATAGGATGTACCACTCGAAGCGGCAATCAAATGGATTCCATAGGTATAGGAAAGAGCTTGTTGAAATGGAAGTGCATTCCAATAGGGAGGAAAATTCACCCACCAACTTGTAAATGCAATGGCATCGACCTTAATATCGTTCAATAAAGAATTTAAAGGTTCTTCAAAAATAATGTCAAAACAAATGAGTAATCCGAATTTAACACCAAAGTCAGTCTCGAAATACACGGGTGTTCCATCGCCTGGATCAATACCATTCTCAAAGTACTGTTTGTTGTGTGTTCAATAAATGTAAAATAGATTTGAAATGATTAAAATTTCATGGATACTTACTAAATGAGTTTTATGATATTTTGAGATGAGCTATGATTTCATAGAGATGGAAAATTATATAAATGTTGTGGAAAAAAGATCAACCTACACTTCCATTTCTATCAAATACTACATTTGTGTTGAATAAAAACATTCCATCTACGATCATGTTGGTCATCCTCTTCATGAAATTCCAAAGCAAACCTATACCTACCTGCTGGACAATTCTTATTAGTTTTGAGATTACACTTTTGAACATCTCCCATGTTGAACACAATATAAGCGCCAAACTTGGCAGATAAGCAGCTTATTCTTTTTAAAATATAATATTGATCATATTGGGAAGAACCACAAATATTGGTGACTGGTAAATGATTGGGAATGGGTTCAAAGAATAATCGTAACTTTTCTCTCTCAGTCAAACCAGGACCAAAGAGTGCATATTCTAAGAATTGTGTGTGACCATCCATTTAAAAATAAAGGAGAGAATATTGTTGTTGTTGACATTAATTTCTACTTTTAAAAAACACACCTGGAAATACAATAATATCCGGTCGATCTAAAGTTGTGGAATGATTCATGATATCCATAATAATTTTCTCAAATTCATCCAAATTGGATTTCAGAATTTTTCTTGCAGTTTCTGAATTTAATTGTGGAAATTGAAAAGGAAAGGAAACAGGAGCAAAATCCACAACTGCTGCATGGTAGGTTAATTTGGAATGTTGATTCGAGCTGTACAATTTGGAAACTTGATAGGACGATGCTTGTCCAGTACTCTTTGGTTTGGCAGCGTCAATCTGATTTGAGAAGATGCTAATAACCACTGCCATCACACATGCTAAATACATGGATTTGCAAATTGCATGTGCGAGCATCGGAGTCAGTGTTGTGTGCTTTCGGAGGTCTCTTACGGTCATTTTTTTGATTGGTTGTTTGGTTTGTTAAATTGTGAGCAACATTAAAAGCTAAATTAAAATGTCACATACACACCGAAAAACTCTCTGCAAATCACTCGAGTAAGACCGATGTGTCACTATTAGCTTTGTAATAATGTCATCATGTCCGAATTGTAACACTCGATCATCGTTAAAGTATTGAACGTTCCATTTAACATGTTCGGTAACCGTTGTGTTGACCAATATTTGTGTTTATGAAATTGTAATTGGTGTAAATTCGCTAGAAATACACCGAGGTTGTTATCCCTTAGTTGAAATATTCATTACCCAGTGTGTTGTCTAAAATAAGGATTTCACAGATTCCCAAGAACGAGAGAAAAAGTTAGAGACTTTGTCTGCAATGCTTTGATAGCTTTCACTTTGTTGCAATTTGAAGGCAACCATTGAAAGGCCATATAAAATGCTCAAATGCGCCAATGACTTGAAGAATAATCTAGTTGCATTGTCATAAGTGACGCTCTTCTTGAATGTAATAGCTGGTTTCAAAAGGAAATAATAGTTGACTGGAGTTGTCACCACTGCAAACCACCAAGGAACGACTCCGAAAGCTGGCAATGACCAGCAAAGGGGGAATAGTGCAAGAGAGTGCAAAAGTGACTGAGTGGCAGCTGCTTCTGGGTTAGAAATTGAAAGCATTTTGTATCCAGCAATATCATAATCGCGTCTGCATTTGTATGAAATAGCCATAAAGTGAGTGATTTGCCACAAATACATTGAGCCAAACATAAACAATCCAGTGGCAAGAAGCTTATTGTTATAATCGGAGGTTGGTATCAAACTCATCAATGATGAGGAAGGTTTTGCCGAGATGCCTTTGCTTATCGAATATGGAAGCATTGCTGCAGTCACACCCATGAGCGGAGGTAAACTACCGTTTAAAGTTCCAATCCAAGTGTTAATCCAATGCACTGGTTTGGTTGGTGTGTAAACGCATACATAGAGTAATAAATTAGCAAGGCCTAGTAATGCAGTCTCCTTGTTTGTATATTTGTACAGAATATAGGTACCAGCAGCTCCGGCAACAACGGCTTGTGTGATGGCGTGTGGAACTCCAATTTTGTTTCTTGGGAGTGGTCTGTTAAATGTTCTTTTCATTAATTTATCTCGTTCAATTTCAAGAATTTCATTAAAGCTATTTGCTGAAGCGGCTTGAAGGAAAGTACCAATGCAAAGTCCGAGAACGCTACTACGAGAGGCCGATGATGATGAAGATACAAGCTTGGCAATTTCATCTTTTTCCTCCGAAATGACGTGAAGCTTATTGGCAGCATAATAACCACATCCAGCAGTGAAAACAACAAGAGAACTCAATCTTGTTTTCCATAATTCATAATAACATCTTGTATAATGTCTAAATAGCCCTTTCTTTTTGTTCTGTTCTTCTTCTGCAAGTAATTTTTCATTTACATCAACCACCAAAGCATCATCCTCTGGAATTTCGCTCAAAACCTTCTTCACCTCGTGGAGAGACTCTTCCACTGGACAAACATCCAACACAGACTTATCATCACTACTCACAATCATCATTGGGTCCGATGTTTTGGTTTCGGGAGAAAGTGATTTGGTATCTTCACAATTATCGTTTACGGTAGACAAGCCTTGTGTGGAGAGTTGGAAGCCTTCAACTGTTGTATGGCTGCTATCGTTGTTTTCAGCAAGCTGTTGTGGCATTTTTTGCTTCAATGAAAAAGAAGACTAAAAAAGGAAAAATTCAAAGCTTGCATGAAGACAAAAAATTCTTTCTCTTTTTACCAAACAATAGTAACGCGAATAATATACCTCTAATGATCTTCAGAGAGATTGGGAAGTGTGTGAGTTTCTGCAAAGGAAATACCTTGCTCATTGTAAGACAGTGGTGAAAATATTTCAAATGAAAAGTTAACTGGGAATGAGGGAGGATTAAAACACAGACAGCCACCAACATTGGTTCTAAACGGTTGACATCGATCTGACAATATCAAAGAATGTGGAGATGGGAATAAATTGAGTGAGTGGTCTTGAGACCAAAATATGGGTTGTACATGGAGTGCAAACGGAGTCAAATGAGACTGAGAAAGAACAGTTTCGCTCATCTATTGATTGTTATCCAGGTGGTACAATTAAGAAAATGTTCACGAGAAGAATGTGATATACTTACACTTTGATACATTGGTTTCGAATGGTCATCATTCTTGTTCACTTCAATGGCATGTCGTCTCATTTGTTGTTGCAAATCCTGTCTAAATATCACAATTTCATGTGTGTAAAAGCGAATTCTGCAAGGATTGGTTGTGAAAATGCTATTTGGTATTTTTGACTTGAAGGTCTTGCTGATATTACTAAGCACTGACGACTTGGGTAAGACTCCGTTCGGTGATAAGGTTGGGTCATTTGGACCAGGAACAAATACAAACAGTGGAGCATTTTCTGTTTCTTTTGAAGTGTGAATATAATTTGGAAATCGTTCTTCTATCATTTTAGCAAGTTTTTCAAAGTTCTTTTGGTACTGTACACGGTCAGAGATTGCAGCTGAGCTCGAGGAACTTCCAGTTGTATAGAATTGAAAGGGTCTGGAAATAAAGTTGCCAATAAATAAAAACATTGCTGGAATTAGTTCATATCGATCACCAGAAACTCTATTGTGCTGATTCCATTTGAAATAATCGAACAATAAACCCAATTTCTCAAATACGTTGGGTTTATCCAAGCACACATCTGAAACTACGACAATGAATGAATCCTTAGACAATTCTTCCTTATTTTTCAGTTTTTGTAATTTTTCAGGTGTAGAAGGTCCAAACATGTCCAACATGTTCGATCTGCCTGTGGACAGAAATTTTTCTGATTGTTCTCTTTCTTCAAATGGTGGTAAAATTATTGCAGCCGCTTTAAACACCTTTGTGACACTATCAAACTCCCCAGAAATGATAACAAAACATCCTTCCACAATCATTCCTCGTTCATTGGTAGTCTGTGTTGATTCAAATTTTGAAACGATTATTGCACATTAAATATTGAAACACTTACAGCATTACTGACATCTACTTGTACCACTCCATTTAAATCTTCAACTTGATAAATATTTCCAGATTTCTTTGTAATCATGCCCATGATATACCTTGTTCCTCTACTTCCTAAGAGTGATTCAATACTTGTCAATGAAATTGCGTTGGGGTCTATTGGGTTAAAATCCTTGTCTCTCAAAACTCTTTGATAGATGATTTTGTATCTATCACGAAATAGTTCAACTTTTTGTTGCACATCTGAAAATATGCTTGTGGTTTTTCGTTCTTCAGTTTCAAATATTTTTCTAGATAAATTATATGAAAAGTATGGCTTTTCATCTGCATTAATGATTTGAATAGCATCTCCGTGACCAAGTACTACGGTGTCATTATGTTCAAGTCTATCATCAGAGGTATCCATTCCAATCGCTTTCTGTGAATATTCCTTTAATTTCTCTTCTAACAACTCTCCCGATAAATTTTTATCTATGAGATGATCGTTTTGATGGCATTCATTGATTACATAGTACTGAATCCTATTAATGAATGCATACTCACCTTTCACTCCTTGCTCTTGTAAAAACTTGAAAAATTCAGGTAAAAAAGTATTCATTTCTTCTTTGCTCATGTCCTTTCCGATACAATAATCAGGAAGAGTGGAGCTTGTTAACACAAATTGAAATTTCTTGGCCGTTGCCAAGCACAATTTGGATGCCAAAGCCTTGTTGGTGGCGCTCATCCCGAACGACGTTATTTTTTTGATTTTCAAATTTGAAAGGCGCCAAATTGTGATTCCAACGTCCCTTATAAATTCTTGGAACGTCATTGTCGGCACGTTCTCAAAGATTAGAATATGAGCACAACACAGCTAGCACGTATGTCTTGCAATGAAAGACATATGCTTTGTTTTTTTGTTCAAAACCTTTCAATAACTCTTCACTTCTTGTCATTGCAATGTCAAGACAAAGTATTCGTAATACTACTGTTGTACACACCTCAAAAAGATACATGTTCATTTTGGCTGGTGACTGAGAATTAACAATTTCTCAATTTCAACTAGTAATCTATTTTGACCTTTTGGTTGTAATCGTGGGGATTTTCACCTTCCAAATCCAAATCAAACAACATTAAATATGACTGACCCACCAACATTTTTATCCCAAAACTGCAGATAAATCGTCCGTTGTGTTGTTTTTTAACAAACTTTGACTCTCATTCAAGAATCATGCATTTTCTGCGCCTGACAACAGCTGCTCACAGAACCAATCGCAATAATTATTCGCCCCTTTAAACGCATGATAATGAATGCATCGACAATGTCACTTGTTTGACAGTTGTGCATGCACACTCTTTTCATCCGTTCACAAACTCAAACAAAAATGCTCAACAACTTCCGCCGATTTATCACTTCGATTAGTAGCTCGGCAGATAGTCACAACTCTTCTTATTCTGTCAACATTGACTACATTGAAATTCCTATCGAAGAATGGAGTCATAAAGTAGTCATGAACTTTTTATACAAGGAACAATTCTTTGAATTAATGAACAAAGTTGCCAAATTAAAATACGAAGGACCTGACCTGCTCAAGACTAATGAAACTCTGCAACACGAGTTGAGTGTTCATGAGGATGAAATTACAGAATTATTATCGCGAGTGGAGAGGGTCAAACTGAAACAAGGATATTATCGTCGGAAACAACTCGAACAAGAGTATGAGAGTGGTAGTGGTGTTGGAGGAGGTGCTCGTACTCCCCGTACTGCAGACACTTCCAACAAGTCCATTCCAGTAACCATAGCCTCATCATCATCATCGCCCACTTCACCGCATCATAACCACAAGGGTGCAACGAGTCATTACAATCAACAACACAATAGTACGACCAGTCAGTTGATGGGAACGGTGCAGTTGAGTTCCACGTTGGACAATTCACAACTGCAACAACAACGACACTTGATGATGAATGGTGGAATGAACTCTAACACCACGGTGCTCAGTCAATCGATGCGAACGCCGACGACTTCAAATAACTTTCATCATCAACACCACAACAACAACTTGAATCATGAGCCTCCTCTTTCGGGAATGCAAGCCTACTCCATGTTGTGCTCGACATTTCTCACTCAAGAAAACAATGATACCAACACCTCGTCGTCATCGATGGCTTCAACAACTAGAAAACAACGACCCCGAAGCAATGGCGGCTTGACCTTTGATGCTCGTGCCCTCCGATCCGATCATAACAAGGGAAATCATTCACCCAAAACAACAGCATCACCTCTCAATGTATTTCCACCCACAGCATCACCTCCCACTCGTTCTCAAGATGGAACTCTGCAAATGAACGAGAAGCGATACGAATTATTGAAAGAAACATTTAAAAAACAACTTAAAGAATCTCAATTACTTGCAGAAAGATCCTATCGGCTACAAAAGTACAAGAATTGTTTTACTGGAAGTGATGCAACTTCACTCATTTATCGAATGATTAGTGAGGGAATAGCTTCAGCCACTCGTTTTGATGCCATTGATATTGGAAACAAAATGATCAAGGATGGTTTTATTAAGCACGTATTGGGCAGTGAGGATTTTAAAGATGAATCTATGCAATACTATATCATTAATGAAGACAAAACAGTCCCAGAAGATCGTACGAGCTCTTCCAAAACACTCGCTTCTGCAATTTTCGTCGAGGAAGATCGAGCCATCACCAAAGACATTACCACTCCTGCCACTACAGATTTGATTATGAATGGGCAGGTTGGAAAGAAAATATTAACACTCATTTCAAATCCTGATACCTTGCTGGAGGCGTTGGTTTTCTCACCAAGCTCACTTTCTGAAAAGGAAAAGCAAGGAATGGAAATTGTTAAGAAAAAAATTTCACGTTTAAAGTATCCAGTTTCAGAAGTCCAATTACCTGCAGTTATTCAAGATTTAACAATTCCAGAAAGATTTTGTTATAATTATTTGAATCCAAATAGGATTCCACGTAGCAAAAAAGAAGCACTAGAGAAAATTGATGGTACTCAATTTTTAACCATCGGTTTAGCTGTTATTTGTACCAATAGTTTAGGAGGAGAGTTTTATAGTTTTGCATTGCTAATAGGCACATTTTTGGTTGAGTTTTCAGATAGAGCATTTTTGGCATTGGTCAGAGAGAAGGATTATAATTGTGTAGATTTTATCGAGCTCTCTACGATCAAAGAAAAGGAAAATATTGAGCTATGCCTCAAAACGGTGAGCAAATGCTGCTGCAAATGGAATGAAAGAGCAGCTGGAAAAAATTCAAACTCCAAAACATTTGTCACTGAACTATTTCGGTGGATTGACATTCCAGATAGCACGGTTCAACGAGTAGTGAGTCAAATTGAAACTGTAGTGGACAATTATCCAATTAATTCTAAATCTATAATTTTACACAAGGATCAAATTGACACTATTATCAAAATTGCAGATTTACGTGAGAGAGGAATTTCACCTTCTCTGAGACAAGTTTTGGAAGATTGCAGTGCCAGCCATGCCAAAAAATTGACATTTAGAACGCATGCTGATTTGGACGAATTTTGCTTGCTCCTCAAAAATACCAACATCCTTAATTCTGTACAAAATTTACTGCTCACAGCGTTTGACAAGAACTTTTTCTGTCAATATTGTGAAAATATTAATTTACCCAATTCAGAACCAATTTTGTACGAAAATTGTCAATCCTTAGGTTTGGATCGTGGACTTGACTCAACAACCATTTGTAAAATAGATGACAAATATTCGTGTGCCTTTAACGGACATGGTATTGCTAAAAAACTCGAACTTCCACCCTCCTTGGCAACTTCTGAAATTTCACCTTCCACCTACCAATACTTCCCTTGTAATATACCACTGCCACACCGATCTCAAAAAGATCAATAAACTTGAGAGCATCAATTCATGTCATGTGAATTTCATGCCAGTGGTAAAGTGATGTGTTGGCATGGAAGAGCAGCTCAAGTTTTGGCACACCAACGGTCTCAACCCTCTGGCTATGTCAGCTGCTCTTCCATGACAATACTTGTCTGAGTTTGGACTCTTCACTTCTCGGAAATGGCATCAAAACGTTCAACTGTCAATGGATACCGAAGGTCAACAACACACGATTCAAAAAAAAATGAACAAGCTTCGTTCCGTCGTATCCAAGAAGAAGCAACGATATCAAAAAGAAGGCTTCGACCTCGATCTCACCTACATTAGTGATAGAGTGATTAGTATGGGTTTTCCATCCACTGGTGCTGAAAGTCTCTACAGAAATCCATTGGAAGAAGTTCAATCGTTTTTTCAATCAAAACACGATGACCACTACAAGATTTATAATTTGTGTGCCGAGAAGAATTATGATCCGAGTGTTTTTTCAAATCGAGTGGCTAGGTATGTGTTCCGTTCAAATGATGTGCTTTCTAATAACATTTTCATGATGATATGAAATCGTCTCAACACTATGGAAATGTTGACATGTACTGTTTATGGACTGTCTTGAAATATTATGGATTTGTTGAAATTGATGATTGTAAACGATTCATTTCATTATTTCATTATTTCATCCATCATGATAACATCACATGTTCTCTCTTCCTATGAAATATTTTTGGTTATAACTGTCACTCAAGATTTCCTTTTGAAGACCACAATGCACCACATTTTTCATTGGTATTGGATTTTTGTGAAGGTAACTAGTTGTTGATAATTAGATGATGGTATATTAATTTTTCTTTCGAATCATCATGTTAACCGAAATTTTTATTATTGTGACACAACCCTCTAGATGCTTCTCGCTACTTGATGGAAGATAAACGAAATACATGCGCAGTACACTGTAAAGGTTTGTACACGACAATTGTTGTTTAAAAATTTGCTGACATTTTCATGACAGCCGGAAAAGGAAGAACGGTATGTATTCTACGGAATGATGAAACTGTGACAGTTATATTTCTAATGGATTTTATTCAACATCTATTCACTTATGTATCATTTAATCAATATAGGGTACAATGGTCTCAGCTCTCATGCTCTACTTAAACGCTGCCAGTTCAGCAAGTGAAGCCACTGAATTGTTTGGTAGAATTAGATGTAACGACTCTAAAGGTGTCACAATTCCGAGTCAAAGAAGGTAAGTGTAGGAAAACGAATCACACTAAATTCATTTTGTATCATGACGATGATGTGGTTTTCAACTTGGATCAGATATGTGACATATTTTGAGGAATGTGTAGTTCGTAAAGGAATGAGATTTCCAGTGAAAGATGCAAAAGTAGTATTGAAAGCGGTTCACATGAGTTCTGTACCTCACTTTGATCGAGATGAAGGAAGTGATCCTTATTTTATTATTCAACAACCAATATACAATCGAGAAGACTTGGATAATTATCACATGGAAAAATTGTATGACTATTCGGTAGGTATTTTCATTGATGTAAGAATAACTTTTCAAACACATCATCATTCCAATGTGTTACACACAATTAACATACCACTATTGCATTCCCAACACTACTACACGAACAACCCTATATATGGAACCCAAAATATTTTCACAAAATACTCTAAAAGCAAAATGAAAAAGTCAAACACTTCAAGAAAGGAGAGGAAGTATGGCTCAAGAATATCAATATTGAAGTGTCAGGAGATTTTAGAATTACTTTCTATGACATGGATAAAGTCGGAAAGGATGACAAAATGTTTGTGTGTTGGCTCAACACTAATTTTCTTCATCTTCATCAACCTTACAACACTTCTTCTCCAAATTCAATTCCACACAAAAAGATGCTAGGACCTAATGACATTGTGGTACGAGTCCCTAAAGTGGAATTGGATAAGGCAGTCAAGGATAAGAAACATCAAGCATTTGATGCTGATTTCTTTATTGATTTGATCTTTGAAGTGAAAGAATCAACTGTCTACTCTGAACCTCGTAAATTTGTTTATGAAACACCAGAAATTGGAAAGGCATTATTTGGTGAAATTCAACAATATGCTAAAACTGAAGCATCTAGCAAGGAAAAGGAAAAAGCTAGAAAACTCTATGAACAAGGAAGAGAATTCTTTTCCATCAAACAATATGCAAATGCTGTGACATGTTTTTCCAACGCTATTTTAATTGATGGTGCTTTTGAAGAAGCATACATGTCAAGAGGTTTAGCCAATATGAATTTGAAACGTTTTGGTGAGGCCATTTACGATTTCACATCGGTCTTGAATATCTTGTCTAAAGGAACAACAAGTTTAGGTGAAGAACTTCCAATTCAAGATTCTATCATGATCACATTACGGGCCTATCATTCACGTGGTAAATGCCATGCCAAAATGCAAGATTTGAGGCTGCTCTGAAAGACTTTGACAGTGCTGCTTCCATTCTTGGACATGCTCAACAAATTGGAAGTGAAGCATCTTCAAGTATGTCTTCGAGTAATGGTTATGCCAATGGATCTACTCCATTTTTAGATTCTCTCTATCAATCTTTCTTTAGAGTCTATTTGGATAGAGGTCTCATCAATGATTCACTTCAAAAGTATTCAGATTGCATTATGATTATACAAACTTTATCAAGTACATGGATCCTCTCAGTCATTCCATTCATGCCAAATTAAGAGAAGGAAAAATCAGTGGTGTGAAATACGAGCAATATTTATTTGAAATGTTTCAAGCATTTTGCAATAAGGCCATTGCCATTGGAAAAATTGTTGAAGAATATCCCAACAAGGACGCACAAATATTTAATGACTTGTCCAAAGCGATTGAATATATTGAAAAGATGTCTGATCCTGCAGCCAGTACAGAAGCTCAAAATTTTGCTCAAGTTTATTTATCACGAGCTCAGAGACAAACCGATAAGGAAGCTGCCATTGATGACTATTTAAAGTGTTTACTCTATGACAAGAGCAATAAGAAGGCAAACAAACAATTAGCTGTTTTATTATATGAACAAAAGAATTATCGAAGAGCGATTCTCTTCTTTAACAAACTCATTAAGGATGATCCTCAAAATTCCAAAACCATTACCAATCGAGCCATTTGTTACATGAAATTGGAACAATACGATAAGGCCATTGAAGATTTCATGCTCGCTCAAAGCATCTCACCAGAAAATATGACACTCTATGTTCAATGTGCAAGATGTTTCCGAAAGAAGCATGAACAACTTTCACACGAAGGTACCTCTCAAATTCCTCCCTCTGAAATTGATGAATGTGAACGACAATATTCTACCGTTATTGATCATATTGTAAAACAAAAGAAGAAAGCGATAGATTCAGCAGCATCTCCTTCGTCCTCATCGACCTCTCCTTCCACACCATCTTCATCGTCGGTAGTGCGAGATGATGATTTAAAAACTCTCTATTTTGAGCGAGGAATGAATCGAATTCTTGCCAAGAGATTTGACAATGCAGTTCTTGATTTTAGTTTATGTTTAGAATTAGATCCGAATCACGTGCTGGCTCTCTATAATCGAGCATACACACGACAAAAACATTTTAAACAATACGATCGAGCCATTTCTGATTATGAACATGTATTGAGTTTAAATAGTGGAGATTTAAGAGCTCGACTCGAAAAGGGATGTTGTTTATATTATTTGAAGAAAGATCAGGAGGCCATGATGGAATGGCAAATGGTTTTGAAGAAGGACCCAAATAATGAGGCTGCAAAGATTTATCTTGCTCAATTAATGAAGTAAATGATGTTAACGAGTTGTTCAATTTTCTCATTCAATTCATTGTTCGCTGTTTCACTAATTTTTTAAATTGTTTATTATGAACAAAAAAAATGCCAAACAGCAGTATTGAGACTGGGAAATTGCTCTCAACTTGTTTTCTGAAAGCAAAGGCTTCTCCTTTGTTTCAACCGGAACAGGTGCTCAGTCATTGTTTGAGAAAAGCAGAGGAAAACAAATATAACGCATATATTAAAGTTTGTTCGGAGTATGCAAAAACCAAATTACATCAGACCCAAAGCAAACCAGAGCATCCATTGAGAGGAATTCCTTTTGCAGTGAAGGATGCTTTTTGTACAGAAGGAATTAACACAACTATGGCGAGTAATATTCTTAGAGACTATATTCCTCCTTATACAGCAACGGTAGTGAAAAAATTAGAAGATGCTGGTGCAATAATGATCGGAAAAACAAATATGGACGAATTTGCTATGGGAAGTGGAACAATTTTTGGAGCCTTTGGTGAAACAAGGAACCCACTCGATGAAACAAAAATTTCAGGAGGTAGTTCAGGTGGTAGTGCTGCGGCTGTTGCAGAAGAGAGCTGTTTTTTGTAGGTTTTACTTGGATAATGATGTATTTAACGTGGTGTGAACATTAATTTTCATTTAAATTGCTGTAACAGCTCTTTGGGAACTGACACTGGTGGTAGTGTTCGCTTACCTGCATCCTATTGTGGTGTTGTAGGATTTAAACCTTCATATGGATCCTGTAGTAGGTATGGAATGATTTCATATGGGTCATCATTGGATACTTGCGGAATTTTCTCAAAAACCGTAAAAGAAAGTGCTATTGTGTATAACACAATGTGTGGAACAGACTACAATGATTCAACAACAAAGATTGATGTCACCACAGTGGACTTGTCTTCATTGGAATCAATCGAAAAAGACTTTAATACTGGAATCCTGAAAAACACTAAAATTGGTATTCCACTCGAATATTTCGTAGATGAGTTGAATGACGATATTGTTAGCGTTTGGGAAGAAACAATTAAGTGGCTGCAAGACCAAACAGGAGCTCAGATTGAATATGTATCTCTGCCTCACACCAAATATGCTCTCTCAACATATTATGTTATCGCCACTGCAGAGGCGTCATCAAACCTTTCAAGATATGATGGGCTAAGGTATGGAAATAAGGTTTCAAAGAAGCAAGATTTGTTGTCATATTACCTGCAAAATAGAACAGAGGGTTTTGGAAAGGAAGTACTAAGGAGAATTGTTTCTGGAACATTTGCACTTTCAGTTGACAAATACGATACATTCTTCAAGAAAGCACAACAAACAAGAAGGCTTATTACCAATGATTTTTACCAGCTACTGCAAGATCAAGGAATTAAGTATTTATTAACGCCTTGTACTCCAACCCCAGCACTTGATAGAGATGCATTTACGAAAATGTCGCCAGTAGAAATGTATGTGAATGACATTTTCACAGTGCCCAGCAGTTTGGCAGGAATACCAGCAATTTCGGTGCCTATTGAGATCAATAGCAAAGGAACCAAGTCAAAAATAGGGTTGCAATTAATTGCTTTGGATGAACAATCGTGCTTAGAAGGGGCTACCGTTTTGGAAAAAGTTAAACTCTAAATTATTTGATACATGCAAATTTCTTTTTTGTCGGCTATGATCAAATTATTGGAAACCAAGCACAATTCAACCACTGCATCTGTTAAATTAAAGGTGCTATCGATTCCAATATCAACCACACCTGGTTCTTTGGATTGAGGCTGTTTGAATTGCTGAAGAGAGTAAAATGATTTTAAGGATGTCATGACAATGCTCTCCGAGTTGTCAAATGCTAGGACGAGAAGGGATGAAATGGACGTGTTGTAGAGCGATTCTAGTTGATTGCTCATTACATCAAATGAAGAAATCTTGGAAAGCTTGGTATAGATCATGGGTATCAGCGACTAGCACCGATCAATAACTTTGAGTATTACCTACCTTGTCATTGACTATGGGTAGAGAGAGTTTAACAAAAACATCTCCATCTTCTTTGCTGCAATTTAAAAAGTAGAGATTTCCCAAGCTCGATAGAATGATGAAAGAGTTATTACTGAGACTTTTCACTGATTTTACCTTTTCATCACGTTGCTTGCTTATAGTTGAAATTGTTTCCTGTTCTGAGCCAGTAGTGGATGTAGGCTTTTTTATGGAAGATGCAGCTTGCTCGGTTTTTCCTTCGCCCGCATCAGACTCTTCCTTCTTGGGAACCAAAAGTCCGTTCTTCTCTGTAACAGTTCCTTGCTTGGCTTTCTTTTTGGTTGTCTTTGTAATTTTGGGTAAATAAATAATTCTTCCTGTGGCTTTGGACGTTGTCATGGATGAAGCAGTGTCTCCACTATTTAGCTTCATTTGTTGATATTTCCAATCACAAACTTGGATTGAATTAAGCTGGCCTAGCACAACATGCGAATGAGTTAATTGTAAGCTATATGCTTTCTTTGAGAAAATGTCAATATCAGCGCTTTTATCAAATGTTAATTGCTGCTGATTTAAAATATTGAGTTTGAAAATTTGTAATAAATGTTGAGAAGGCGAGTAATAACAGAAATATCCAGAAGAGCATGAACTCATCAAGCAATCCGCATCAAGAGAATCGTTGATAAATGAAGGAAGCTGATTTTCCATTGCTTTCACTACATATTCTCCAGCTTTTACAAATTTTGAAATATAAATTAATTTCTTTGAATTATCGTTCATAATACAAATTACTAAATTTCGTTCTTCAAATAAAGTTGAAAGAGGAACCACACAGAATGATTTTACTTCATCCAATTCATACAGTTTTTGAGAACTGGTACTGCTCTTTGATTCGCCTAAATGTACAGCTTGATGATCATCATCGGAGCTAGCACTCTTTTTTTCATCAGCAACGGATAGACTTCCTTCATCATTAGCAATAGCAAATATTTCCAACCTATTATTTTCGTTGCTGAAGTGATGAATGGCAAATAAATTATGAAAGGCAGCACAGGCTCCACTCAAATCGAAATTGTTGGAAGTGATTTTCTGAATGAGCTTGGTTTTCATTTTTTGTGTTTGTTTGGGAGGATGAAAAACAAATGAATACAACATTGGAATTGATAATAATTTTAATTGATAAATACTTGAAAGACGGGTTGAGTTATTCGTATGGAACATATTCCTCACCAGTAATCTTGTGATCTTTTTGGAATTGGTCAGCACTGGACAACACAGAATCAGCAATATTCTTCATGGCTTCCTGTGTAAAGAAAGCTTGATGTGAGGTCACAAGCACATTCTTGAAACTCATAAGACGAAGTAACAATTCATCATTCAAATCGTTTTCTGCAGAATGATTTTCATAGAATGTGTTTGCTTCATGTTCATAAGTGTCAATACCCAATGAACCAACTTTTCCATTCTTCAAATGTTTGATGACAGCCTTTGTATCCAAAAGACCACCTCGGGAAGCGTTAATAATCATCACTCCCTTCTTCATCTTCTCCAAAGCTTCATCATTCACAATATACTTGGTAGATGGAAGGAGAGGGCAGTGAAGAGAAATAATGTCACTTGTCTTGAAAAGAGTATCTAAATCGACATATTCAACACCAAGATCTTTCACTTCTTGGCTTTGATAGACATCATAAGCAACTACATTGCAACCAAATCCACATTTCAAAATCTTGCAAACCAACATTCCGATTTTACCTGTTCCAATAATACCAACATTCCTTCCATTCATATCAAATCCCATCAAACCGTTAATACTGAAATCACCCTCTCGTACACGGTTATAGGCACGATGAGTCTTTCTATTCAAAGTAAGCATCAAAGCAACCGAGTGTTCAGCAGTAGCATAGGGAGAATATTTAGGAACACGAGCCACTGTAATTCCATGCTTTTTACAAGCCTTGAGATTAACATTGTTGTATCCACTAGGATGATGATGAGAAGGATATCATGAGAAGGATGATGGTGATCCGAGAATGTGTTCGTGTTGTATAATAAAGAAACAACATGAGAATGATTCATTCCGATGATGATGGAACGAGTAGGTTGTAGGTGTAATTATTATACATAACGTTCTTACAGATGAATACTTACGCACATCGACACAAGATCAACTTGATGCCCAATTCTGCAAGGGAATCAATGACAGACTCTCCAACAGGATCATTCACAAAAACACAAACGGCATCACATCCCTTTGCTAAAACAGTATGCGATTCATCAAGGGCAGATTTAACAAATTTGAGGGTATGCTTGTGCTCTCCCAAAGCTTCATTGGTTTTGGTCAAAAATTCTTCATCGTAAGGCTTGGCACTGAAAACTGCTATCTTCATGTTGTTGGACTGTTTGCTATTTTTTTATGTTTGAGTATCAGTTGTGAATTTACTTTTATGGGCTTTTGGAACAAGAATGAAAATAATACTATGTTTGTACAGTGGATGCCACCTCGTGATGGTATTTGGCTCATACAACGTGGGTGACATCTATTTGCTTTAAAAAACATATGGGTGATTCATGGGTGCTTGGGCAGCTATTAAAATTAGTAAATTCCTGAACAACTTGAACAACAAACGAATTCAACAAGCAGATTTTCTTTATTTTCAATTTCATCGTTTTAACAAAACAATGCAAAAAATATTACTCGAGTGCCGGGAATTGAACCCGGGTCGCCAGAGTGACAGTCTGGAATGCTACCACTATACCACACCCGATTCACATTTATTAAAATACATCTCATCTATAATATTGTTCAACTATGAGGTTTTCTGTTCTGTCCCGAGATTGTTAACCTCTGAATCATTTCAAAAATAATGTCGGGACTGTGTCATTTTGTTGTGTTTGTTGCTACTTTGTTTGTCTCTTTAGTGCGAACGTTGGTGCTTTGGAGTATTCCAATTGTTTTCAATGGGAAGACAATTTTTTCCTTTGGACCATTAACAACAGTATGATCAGTAAGTACTTTTATGATGTAGTAAGGAGAACTGTTTGCAGAGGGAAGAGCCGTTTTTAAGAATGCTGCTAAGGGATGGGCTTCCATTGGTTTCCGAACAGGATTTGATTACATGACTTTAGTGGACGACAATGGAGGAACTGATTACCCAAAGATGGGTTCATCCACTTTTTACGTAGGCTTCCGAGATGCTTACCTTAATCATTATTTTCAAGAATATACAAGTAATAGCGACGCGACTCCTCAGCTCTGTTCAAAGCAATCAGGCATCGGCTTCACCCGATCCTTGAACACTTCCCAAACGAATAGTGATGATATTCACATAATATTTGAACGGCCTCTAATCATGACAACCTCAGTGCTAGGGTATTACCAATTTCAAAACGGAGACAATTCAAGCATCATGTTTGCAAAAAACACTGAAAAACCTGTTCCTGCTTCGAAATATTTAGATGACATGTGCCGTCATAATCATGCAGAAGGTAGGTTATCCTAAACCATTCACAAAGTGTTTCATTAATCCTACCCTCTCACAGTGATGCCCTTAAACTTTTTTGCTCCAAGTACTTGTCTGGACTCGCACCTAATACCACCAGTTCCAGACTATTTGGAGCCATTGCCATCGGATTATTACGACAAGTTTTCAAAAGAAAAATCAAAATCAAATCCATCTCGTTCGATTTCCTTGTTGAATGCGTTTATTTTGTATTTTGTGATTGGTGTCACGTTGTTTTACATGAGAAATGCTTAACAACTAACTATCGCGTGACGTTGTTACGTTTATTGGTAATGATCGAAGCAATTATTGCTTATGCAGCTTGGACAAGAAACGAATGATGAATAAAGAATCTATAACCCGAAACGTTTCGCGCCATTTCTTTGTACAAATCTCAAAAAAAAACACAACAGATGGAGAGGAAAGTTTCACCTGAACAAATCAAAGATTTGCGAAAAATCATTGACCAACAACTAAGATCGAAAGATGTCTACAATCAAATAAGAGAAATTTTGTCTGACTATCTCAACATGGACAATTCTAAATCGGAAGACGTTCATTCCGAAGAGCATGTAAGTAAAATTGCAGCCTGCATACAAAATTTTGAGGTCACTGTTCTAATGGTGCAGGTCCTTCAATCTTTAAAGGAACGAGGAGTAGTAGAAGAAATAATCAAATCACTTCATTCTCACACAAACAAATCGTCAGTGTTCAATAAGGATGTTCAGGGCAGCTCTATTCTCGGAAAAAGAGATTTAAAGAAAAATAAGATTTTACATCTACGACTAGTTGGAGGGAAAGCATTTATGGAGTACGATGACAACATCAAAACCGACGAAAAAATGATTTGTTTTTTTAATTATAAGGACCAAAGATTTGTTTCCCAGCCTGTCACATGTTGCTGTAATCCAGTTTTTGAAGAAGATTTTGTTATTGACTTGGAAATTGATTCTCTAAAGAATGCATTTGTTGATCAACAGGAAATTGATGATGAAGGAGTTGGTACTCTTTTGCAAATTAACAATCCCATTGACATCATTGTTCTTACTGTGGACAACGAAGGTCGAACCAAATACGTTGGGGGTCATCGATTGGAATGGAGGAGGGTGCTCAAAAAAGGAGTGATTCTAATGACAGTGGAATTGGGAGGAGGGTCAGGTATTGAATCAAAAGTTTCTAAAGGAGTCCTTGAAATAAGGCTGGAATTATTACCTCGACCATCAGTGTTTGTCACTGCAAACGAAATTTCTCAACAGCTGAGTATTGAGCGTAATAGAGATTTACAAGCTGAAAGAGAGTTTTACATGTACTGCAAGCAATGGTTCGAAGAATATTGTCAAATCAGAGAATCCCACAAGAGACGAGTTGTGAAGCTGTATGCAGAAATTGAAGACGGTTCAAGCGTTCCTGTTGTAAGCTTCATTTCTCCTCTCAAAGCTGATCGATTGATAAATTCTCCCTCAGAGGCTGCACGGTTTGTTTCCCTGTTTGCCTACGAACACAATGATAACAACATGGGAACAACCTCAAAGTAAGTTATTTATCAATGCTGCTCATTTAACCATCAATTCATGGTACAGTAAGGAAATTTGGTGGAGTCCGCATGCGTTTATTGCTAAAAAGAAGGGTGACGTAGAAAATCATGCTTTACTTTTATGCTCACTCCTGTTAGGATTTAATATGGACGCCTATGTATGTGTTGGAACTGATGAAAAGGGAGCTAAAATATGGGTGATGACACGTTCCAAAGATAATGAAATAACATTTTGGAATAGTATTACAGGTCAAAGATTTGAACATCATTCTGATAAACACAAGCTGCTGACTGTTGGCTGTGCTTTCAACCATAACTGTTATTATGCCAATATTCAAAAGACTGATAATGTGAGCGATTGCATTTTTGATATGGAAAACGAAACACTGTGGAAAAGTATGAGTCAAATGAAACTGTCGCTTGTCAGAAAGTTAGATCCTGTAACATTCATTCCACCTAGAGTGAATAGTGCACAGTTAGAGAAGGAAACCGAAATAGCTTTGAAAAAGGCAATAGGAGACTTGAGAAAAGATCTTGGTTTGAACACTTCATGGGATGACAATTTAGGATTTGTTCTCTCAACTGCACTGCAGGCCTATGAAGTTTCCCATATCAGCAACTCGGCAAGCAGCTCCTTAATGGACGAGTTCAATGAAGTCATCAAAAATATTATACCACCAAAACATACATTTAAGGCTTTCCCAATTCAATTGAATCATACCTCAGTGAAACGAATAATCAATACGTGTCAGCGACACAAAAACTTTAAAAACATTCTGGAGAGTGTTGGTGATCGTGTGCGATTTGGAATTCGAGTTAAAATATTTACCTACCCAGAAGATGTTCAAGCAGTTTGGCTAATGATTTGTAATGTGTATCTTAACGTTTAATTGATAGAAAATATATGATCATTGTACAAGAGAAATGTTCTTCTCCCTTAGAACTTCAAATCCTCATCAATATATTCCATGTATTGAGGTGTAGCGTTTGACCATGTGTAATGCTGAGGATAAGCAGATCCTGTCATATCTGGTGTCATCATTTGTGCTCCTGGATTAGCCATCATTACTGTTTGTTGTGGAATTTGTTGTTGCATGATTGGTTGTGCAGATGGTGGCATTTGTTGTTGAGCTGCAGCAGCTTGTTGATTCTTTTTGGATCTCTTTTTGCTACCTGATTCGGGAGTGGCTCGTGTGGACGATGATGGTTGTGGTGTGCCACCCTCACCGCCACTTGCAGTTTTATCCTTTTCTCCTTCAAGCATTGATTCAAGCATTGGACGCCAAGTTCTTACACGTTGATTGATGAACCAATTGTTCACCTGAGTGAGTGTTAAACCTGTTTCCATACAAAGATCTTTCTTTTCACTTTCTGAAGGATAAGGATGAAGGAAATGAGAGAACAGCCATGACTTTAACACATTTGTGGCATGTCGTGGTAAGTTTCCTCTTCTCTTTGATCGTAATAAGGTGTTTTCTTGTAAACTTAGAACCTTCGTCAAGTATTTGTCTTTGAGAAGTTGTTTCATGATTGAAAATCTAGCTTCTAGAGATTTCTTGCATCTATGTCTCTCTTCAAATGTAACAATTCTGCAGAGACTCTGATTGTTGAGAACTCGTTCAAATGCTTCTTGCCACTTTCTCATTCCATCATCAATGTAACCACATTCCACTCGATATTGCTTTTGTAACTCTTTGAATCTCTCTAAAAACGTGTTTACATCTTCTTGTTTTTCATTTTGGGTGTCTTTTCCCAGAAATACAAGAAGAATATCCTTAGGTGTCATTTCAATGAGTGAGACATTCTTTGAATAGTCTTGTGGTAATGCCTCATTAGAGCCAAATTGATCGATGGCTTCATCTGTGACATCAACTGTGGATCCACTTGATAGAATAATTTGTGTGTTTGCTTCTTCCTTAGTTTTTTCTTCAAACTTTTTCACTGAAACGTCAATAATGCTTCGCAGTTGAGCAATGACATGTTGGAATGATTCTTGTTGAACGAGATATTGTCCCAAAAAGGTCATGGTATCTGCGCTTAATAAGAACTTGGTGAGTGTTTCTCTATTCGATTCAATATAACTCACAAGTCTCTCTTTTAGCAAGTTGAAAATATTGTTTGAATATTCTGAGAGATGATGAGCCAATGTTTCACGTTTCAAGTAAACATCCACATCGTCAATAATTTCTTCAATGAGGTCTTCAACCAACACATATTCTCCTTCAGAATCATCCTTGTAGAAAAATGGTTTTCTATTCTTCTCTTCTTCGTAGAGACCACTCACACCATTGGTACCTGTTTCATTTGGCATCATGGAAGCAATGACTTGTGGATTTTGTTTTCCAGAGACAAACACTGGATAGTTTTGAATCAGTTTGGTTTGTTGCTGAGTGTTAAAAAGTGCTTGTGAGGGAGCAACTGATGTGGATGGATTTTGTTCCGCATCTGAATCTTGCTGAGTGGAAGCAGCTGGTTGAGGTGTGGGGAAGGATGTAATAATTTCTTCTTCTTTTGGTTTATACTTTTCTTCTTCCTTGAAAAGTAAGAGATTGTTTTGTGTGACACCTGAGAGCGCTGAGCTTGATGATCTAATTTTCACAGCATTGAATCTGTCAATAAGAGCATCAATAGCCTTTCCAAACAAGTCATTAATTTGTTGAATTTCTTCCTTAATCATTTTAGGAGACTTAATAATGGCAGAGTTTCCAAATGGAATGGCAGGTGGTGTTGGATTTGTATTGTTGTTATTGGATTCATTATTGCTGTTTTCAGCAGCAGCAGATTGTGAAGAAGATTCCTTCTTCTTTGACTTTTTCTTTTTCGAATTTGGTGGAGGAGATAAATCATTTGGATTCATTTGAGAAGAAGCATTTTCATTCGTGCTGTTTTGTTGATTCTTTCTCTTTTTGGAGGAAGACTTTTTCGTGGTTGTTGTTGTTGAGGGAGAAGCCATCAGGTGTTGTTGTTGTTGTTGCGAGGTCATGTTAGGAGTACTATTACCACCATGATGAGTGAGCGAAGAAGGTGGAGAACCCATCATTCCGGATGTACTACTACCACCAGGAGCCATAATCATACCATTGGGCATAATAATCGTTCCGTTTGGACCAATACTCGCACCAGGTGGTAATTGATGTGGTTGTAATAAGGCTTGTTGTTGAGCATGTATGGCAGCCATTGGATGTGAGGTATGACCATAGACTCCCTGATGTGGTGGTCCTCCTGTGTAAGGTGCTTGACCATAGGCACCTGTAGTGGCTGTTGAGGCTCCAGGGTAAGGATATCCACCATTTTGTTGATAGGGTTGACCTGTAGTAGCCGTAGTGGGGTAACCGTAAATATCGACCATGGGCTGACCTGTTGCTGCAGTGGTCGTGTTGGTGGGTGTGGTTTGAGGTATGAGTCCTGGAGGCTGAACACCACGTTGAGCAGCAGCTGCTGCTAAATATCGACGTTGGATGGCAATTTGTTTGGGATCATAGTTGAGTTTGTTTGGAAGAGTCATGTTGTTGTAGTTGTTGTTGTGCGAGTTTGATTTAGGGAAGCTTTTGAAGCTCGGATCCAAAGGATTGGCTAATTTGATCAATTGCAAAAGCAAGATGCGTATGAGCAGAGAGGTGGGCAAGTGGTACGCTTTGCAATGGTTGTACTATGAATGTGCTCGATTGCTGATAACAGAGAAGTACTAGTATTTCGAGCACAAGATTGGTTCTTCTTGTTGAATAGTTGTGGTAGTAGAAGTGGTAGTAGTTGATGAATAATTACATTTGTTAATAGCATGTTTATAGTACACGATTAGTTTCGTTTCCGTGGAGGATCATTGATAATATTGTTGTGTCAAGGTTTGTTCATCAAATGTACGTGTACACAATGCATTCATCAACACAAATGTTGCAAAATCATCATCGGATCGAGTACCAAATCATCATCATATAATTCATCACGATTATAAAATCGGATATTTTGATATCAAAATGCTTGCATCGCGTTGTCAGCATCATTTAATACTCACCTATTGTAAGATAATGATGATGGCTGATAACAGTATTTGGCTCTCTTATTAACTGTCAGCACCAAATTTCCAACTGACAGGCGACTGCACAAAAATTTTGATTGAGTGATGGATGTTGAGCGGCCACGTACAAAGCAAAGAGTTTTTTTTTGACAAATGACGGGGCGAAAAGTGAGTGGGCAAAGGAATTTGTGTAACGGTTTTAAGACAACTCGAAAAACAATTCTGGATTACAACAAATTTTTCAATCTTTGTTTTTAAAGTTGTTGAGAGATGATCCTGTTTTTTATTGTTGAGGAGAAATAAATGGCTCAAGTACATCGAATATTTAAAGCAAGACACCTATTAAAGTTCTTTGCGAATGACAAACGATGCTTCCCACACAGCAAATATCATCTCTTAAATGTCAGGTTTTTATTCTTGATGCTCATTCGATTGGCATGTGACTGTTCAGGCCTCTCTTCGTGCTGTGCCAAACGTTATTATGTTAGGAGAACGTTGATATCAATAGAACGTTGAGAACCACCTCTCGATCGAGGTCTTTTTAAGGAAAAATTGCAAACAACAGAATTCAAAAAATGAAAGTGCCCAAATGCCTCGTGCGGCAATTCAGGGCTCCTTGTAGTTATATTTTCAAACATTTACCTCCTGAATTTTCACAAGAGAACAAGGAGATGATTGATGCATTTCATAAATTTTGTTCTGGGGAATCGGAAACAAACTCCCATCGAAAATTAAAAATTGGTCATATTCAATTCTTTGAAAACTCGGAAACGAGATTTGTTGTTGTACAATTTAAAAGCTATACAAAACCACTAAGATTTTACATTGAAGAGTTACGACGAAAAAGGTTCAACGGAAAGTATTTAATAATATCACCGTTGTGGTATCCAAATAGGCATCTTCATCCAGAGTTCTTTGAAAATAATGAAAAATAATTGATGCAATTCAATGGTCGATTGGTATGATTGCGGAAACAATAATTTATGAATTGATAACGATTGCATTTTGAAATTCATGGATTAAATAATTGTAAAATAATATTTTAATGATCATTTTAAATCTCATCATCATCTTGCATGGAATCGTCACCGTCCTCTTCTTCATTTTCATCATCAACTTCGTCATCCTCCATTTCATAATATTCACCTTCATCGTCCTCTTCTTCTTCAATTTCTTCCTCTTCTTCTTGCGTGGACTCAATTCCAAGCTTAGCCTGAAGTAATGCTCGTCGATTCTTCATAAATGCTGCATGTTCAGTGCTGTAGTGAGTCCATAGACAAGTACTCGTTAGTCTTACGTTAAACACCTCATAGAACAATAGTGCAGGTGGAATTTCATCATTCAGCAAATAGAGTCTCCATAGAGACAAACCACCATCCGATGAGACAGCCACTAAACAAAATTCGCCAATATTCACTTCTTTTACATCCAATGCTTTGATTCTACTTTCATGTAATTCCAATGCTTGAAGACATTGTCCCTCTTCTAAATCCCAAACTGTGATTTTTCCATCTTGAGCTCCTGTGGCGATATAGTCGTCATTGATATAAATTGCTGCTGTGACATTCTGGTCATGAGCAAGAGTATACATGACATCAAGTGATTCAGTGTCATAAACCACAACTTCAGTCCTGTAGTGAATGAAGAAATGAGTACCATTTGGAGAAAATCTAATCCTCTCTGCACTGTGTTTACCTAAATTGACAGTATATGCCAAACTTCCCTTAATCATATCCCAAACTCTCAATTTGTTATCATTTTGACCAACAGAGAACAGTAATCTTCCTGAAGGATGAATAGCTACGCTTGCTACAGGTCCTTTGTGAGCTACTTTTTCCCAAACAGGTGTGAAAGAATATTTAGCTCCAGCATGTAAACTGATGACTCCATTGGCTGTAGCAAACACTGTGTATTGATCTTTCAATGAACCAATATCAAGAATGTTTCCTTTTTGCAGCGGTATAGATCTTAACTCTCTTCTTGTTACCAAATCATACACGAGTGCTAGTTCATCATATCCAGCAGTAATTACATATTTTCTTGTTGATAAAAGTTGATTAATACTTCCAGAATGAGGTTTTGTGGCAAATGAGGTCGTAATCATTGGTTGCTCTTCAAGTTTTTGTTGTTCCGAAAATTTGAGTAATTCTGCTTTTGGTAAATCAAGAACAGTTTCAAAGTTGGGATCATTGCTGGTGAAATATCTGAAACAAAATCCAACAAATCTAGAGTCATAGGAACCAGTACAAATTTCAAGCATCACTTCATGGATTGGACTTTCCGATGTGTTGTTATCTACAATACTTTTTCCAACAGCTACGGATGATGATGTTTCATCTTTCTCAGAAGCCTTTGGTTTTTTAGTCTTTGGTACCTTCTTTTCTACCGACTTGGAATCGGAAGTAGAGGCATCTTTCGTGTTCGATGGCTTGTGTTGTGCGGCTTTTGCAAGTTTCGATTTTAATTTTTGAGCTGCGTTCATTTTTTTTGTTGACTTCACAACAAACACTCAGAGAGAAACAACATGTTTTCAGCTGATATACCATATGACAACAACAATGAAGAGGTTGAGTATTCATAGAGATGTGTTGGAGCTTTAAGGAGGATCTTGAATACCAAGCTTGGAATTTGTCTTTGTGTTTTTGAGTGAAATGAAAAATTGAACAGGAACTTAAATGTTCATTGGTATCTCAAAAGTAGTGACCTCTTTTGATGGGAGTGCTCTCACCTCCAACGAAACGAGTTCTCTCAACCTGATTCCATCCTCGAAATAGAATTTTAAAAAAATATTTTAACGCACCAAAAAGCCATCTCTCTAACGACGGCGTCATCACCAACCTATCGCTATAGTTTTTTGAATACAATCACGGACGAAAAAGATGATCAGATTTTTCAAAGTGGTACTGAGTGATTTCAAATGTACAAACCTTACAGCTGCAGACCGTAACGGATTCAGTGATCCGTACATAAAGGGTAACTTTGATAACTTTAGAACATTCAAAACTCCATACAAAAAGAAGACACTCAATCCTCAATGGGAAGGCTTCAGCGTTGAATTTGATTATCACACAAAATTCGGATCTAAACTTCATTTAAAGAAATTCTTGATTGATGTCTACGATCATGATATGCTCGGAAAGGATAACTTTTTAGGATGTTGTGCCGTGGACTTATTCACATTGGCATCAGGTCCAGTAAAACAATGCATTACTCTTCGTTCTCAGCTCAATGCTAAAGATAATTGCGGATGCATTGAATTTAACTGTGTCATGGAGGAGATCACTAAAAACTTTGTGATTTGCTTGTCCCACATGAAGGTCGAATTTCAACCTCCACTAGATGAACCAAAGAATTTGAGATGTATTGCTCACACCGAATTAACAAACTCTCAAGATAGCAACACAATTGTTTGTAGACAAGTTCAAACAGAAGCTACGTGGACTCAAATACCAAATTTAGAAGTTAAGAACGTTTCTTTGAGAGAAGTCATGGGTGATTCTGTTGTCATTAAGATTAAACACGAAAAAACTGGTCTCGACCCAACGATTGCAAGAGTTACAATCGATTTGAAAGACGTGTTAGAAAAATTCCTTGATGAAAACAGAACAGTTTCTGCAGGAGATAGCATTGAAGATGACATGGTACCAATCAAACTTTCTGGTATCCCTGTACATTACAAGAATTCAGACAACAATCCAAATTCTTCGTTTAAGAAGTCAAAATCCTCTCCATTTAATTTGAAGAGTAGTAGCTCTGAGGTTGAGAATGCTATTATTGGAAGCTCATCATTGGTTGCTGAAAGACCTTTAGGATTTTGTGAAATCGAAATAGGATTTATGGGAATGCCAATTTATGCACAAATGATCAGTGGAATTAATAAGGATAAAGTAGTTACAGGAAAACCTCTCTTGGAAAATCTTCCTGTTCCAGTTGGATTTGTTTTCGAAAATGACAAATCAACAAGAAGAAAGAGCGTGGACCTACAATCCTCAACCTCACCATCTACCAATGAAAGAAGACCCTCTGTAAGTCAGCAAGCAAATTTACCGACCTCTCCTGGTCTTCCATATGGTTGGGAAAGAAAGGTCGATAAGAGAACCAATAAGGAATATTTTGTGAATCATAATACCAGAACAACACATTGGAGTCTTCCAACTTCTGAAAATCTTGAGAACAAGGTACGTTGTTTATATATTTTTGTTCATCGATATTGTTGACACCTCCATTTTAGGCTCAATTGGAAGACGAACATACAGGAGAGATTGCTGAACTTCAAATGGTTGAAAATCTGCAACCAGTAAAACGAGATTCAACTGTTCCAGTTTTCTCTGCCAACCCAGGATCTCCAGGACAAAATCTGGTCATTCCACAACAGCAACAAACTCCACAACAATCTCCACAAACTCCATCTGGCTTGCAACCTAATTTGCCAACGACTCCTGGCCTTCCATACGGTTGGGAAGAGAGGTTAGATCCTGGTACTGGACGAACTTACTTCATTGACCACAACACCAAGAGAACTCAGTGGAACAGGCCTGTGGACAATCCAAATATTGATTTGGCACAAAAATTTAACAACATGAACATTAGCAATAACAACCCTCCTGTAATGCCTCAAATGGGTGGGTATCAACAACCTAATTATCAACAGAATTATACTACTACTGGACAACCATTGTATCAAATGCCTTATCGTTCACCTGGCTCTCCTCAACAACCAAATTTGAGCTATCTTCAACCATGTCAACCATTGTTGACTCAAAAACCTCTTCCACAAGGTTGGGAAGAACGAATTGATCCAACCACAGGACGTACTTATTATTTGAATCATTTTGCAAAGACCACACAATGGGAACGACCAAATTACTGAGTGTTCAAAGAGAAGAATTAAATTATTTACATTTTCTAAATCTTTTCAATAACAATGCCTTACTCAATATCAGTTACATCTTGATGATTCACTGGACTTGTGACATACACAAGAAAATCAGCTTCATTCACACTACGTTCGCAATAGACTCTAGCAAAATAAGCTCCCTTTGGGGTTGGAGGTGAGAAGGCAATATCGCTCTTTTCTAGATGAATACCATACACATAATGTTCTCTAACTGCATCCAACAGCTTACTAGCAATTCCATTCCTTCGATGTTCTTCCTTAACCCAAATTCTGTTAACACCACAGACTGCTCGCTTACAGATTTTATCATCCCAAGAAAAGAAGGACAATTTATCGTCATAGGCAGAATCAATACTGGCTGTAGAAAGAATAATGTCCTCAATGGATGCCTTTTCTGACTCGGTCACATTCACTTTTGCATCCTTCATTAACAAATTTTCAATGGTATCTTTCTTTTCAATAAATGCTGGATGAGCTCTTTCAATTCTCTCTACAACGACACATGCAACGATTTCATCATTATCGGAATTTACATAGAGAAACATGGTATGTGTCTGAATGGAGAACGGAAGGGTGCATTGAAGAGAGCTCTGATCAATAAATTCGATTATATTCTCAGCTTTCTTTTGTTGATTCTTTGGAGATTTGGAATGAATGGCAATGATCTTATAAGGATGACATTCTTCCTTGACAGTGTCCTACTTATTTTGAAACACATACGAGTTCATAAGAAATGTTATTAGATGGGCACACGATCTCTCGTAAGAAATGTTAGAAAGGTGACATACCTTGGCACTCACTTTGTATTTCATCAACTTTTTGAAAGATTTACAGAATTGATTATGAACCTTCTCATCTTGAAAGTCTCCATTCATATAGACCATTCCACATGAACTACATCGAATACTGGTGAAACTCTTTTGTCCACAATCCATATACAATTGCTCGAGTCTTTTAGCTGATTTGTGGTTTCTTCGTGGCGTCGAGGAAAGCATCTTCTTTTGTTTATTAATTTTAGAAGGAGAGGATGTTGCAAGAATTTCATCGTGTTCGAAGGAAGGAGTCAACGAGCTGTTGGAGAATGAGGAACACTTGGTAGTAGTGCTCGATGTTGTTTTGGATGAGCCCGATTTGTTGATGGTCAGCTTCTTTCCCGAACCAAAGGACAAGGTGGATTGTTTCATTGCAACTTTTTTTCTTCTTGTTGGAATGAAACCGTTTGATTCATTCACATTTAATTTTTTTTTAAAATTTTGAGTAACGGCTAGTTTTGGCTGTGATGCAGTACTGCAGGCTGAAATCAATACGTTGTTCATTACATCACTACACAACAAACATATCTTGCTCATGTGCACGTGGACAAGAGAAGGAATCGTTCCAAAAAACCACAAACAAAAAAATGTTCTTCTCTCCAACAACACAATCCTCGCATCACTCAACGGCTTCATCATCATCGTCCAGCAACAGTGGACTGGTCATTAATCCGTTTAATTTATCAGATTTTCAGAAAATAGGGATTGGTATGGTTGCAATAGGAGTAATTTCAAATTTATTGGGATTATTGTTATTCTTTGATAGAGGCTTTATTGCAATCGGAAATATTGCGTTCGTCTTTGGAATAATTTTGTTGATTGGAATACGATCGGCAATGAATTTCTTCATCATTCAACGAAAAAGACTGAAAGGAACGGTTTGCTTTTTGATAGGGTTTTTCATTGTAGTTTATGGTCATTCCATCATTGGAACATTATTTGAATTCTACGGTTACTACATTCTGTTCTTCAACTTTATTCCAACAATTGTCTCTTATTTAAGTAGCTTGCCAGTCATTGGTAGTTTATTTTCTCTCATTAATTTAGGAAGTCAGAGGCTACCAGAATAGTTGTATTTGAAGGTGGAGACTTCATAAGCATGTTTTTCATATTTTGCTTTGTTTGGAATAGATAAATGAGTGATGTTTCACCCTTGTTTGTAACTTGATTGTCATCTATTATTGGACAGGATTGACCCATGATTGATATTTTACAAAGTGACGAAGATGCTTGATCATCCTCTTGCACCGACTTGAAGGAGTTGTGAACGAGTTTGTTTTTAAGCATTTGTTGCTGTTGTTGTAGATGAGAAGATTGATTAAACGTTATCAATTTGATCGTTGGTAAATGGAAAATGTTATGGTGTAAATTAAGGCATGATTCATCCAAAGCACTGATATTGGGCGAATAGATGGTGGTGGCAAAAATTTCAGCACTCGATTGGTGCATGGTACAAATATTTCCGTAAATGGTTGAATTTCCTTTGACCTGTAACTTGGCTTGTTGTGTTAAAATGATGGAATGGTTCTTTTGATCTTTGAAAACACATTCATGATCGACTGTGGAAGAGGAATTGATAGAAGAAACTAAACCATTCCGACCACCAAGAAAAGTGCATTTTCTAAAATAGACACATGTCTGTGTTCCAGTGACCCAACAACAATCAAACAGTGAATGATTATCTGTAGCGTCACTTTGATTATCGAGAATAACTTCGAATGTGCAGTTCACTAAAATAGTTTGTCCAGAAAGAAATTGCAACAATTGGTTGACATGACTGATTCATGAGCTTCTACTCTTCCTTTTGCAATACTCGCTTGAGATGCAGTAGTGGTCGTACTCGATGGATCGAGAGTAATCTTACTGTTAATAGTATCATTTCGATAATGAATGAAAGTAATATTTCTGCAATAAGAAAATGGAGCATTGAAACAAATGGTTGGTTGTGGTCCCTGTCGATCATTGGTTCCATCTTGTAGCAAGATGATTTCACACTTGTTATTTTCATCAGATTCACCAATTAAATTTAGAGATCGATTCATAAGTAAGGTGGATGGAATGTAATGCTTTCCTGGTTTTAAGATGAGAGTATCGCCTGATTTTGCCACATTCATGGCATTGTCTAAAGATGAGAGAATACGTGTCGATTGTTGTAAAATAATTGTTGTTGGTTGTCACACATCTTGTTTCACTTACCCAAAGTCATCTTATTTCCATATTGTCTTTTTCGTGTGACCAAATATTTAGAGACTGCATTAACAATATTATTTCCACTAGATGTATTTTGTAAAGCGTCTACGGTATACACATTGCAACTAATGGATGAATGAATACAACAATTATTCTCAAATACATAATTTGTGTTTTCAAATTTGTCTTTTTGATCAATGGTTGATTCTATCAATTGCTTATTCGTTAAAGGTTTTCTTTCCAATGCCAATGAAAATGAATCAGACATATCCATTCCATGATGGACACCCACAGAATCATCATCAAGATTATCTTCATCAGCACCACTTCCACCATTCACACGGTGTGATGAATAACTTGAATGATTGAGAGACGACATGACAGAAGAAGGATCTTTGAACGAAGAACTACCACTCACTGAAGAGAATTCTCTGTAGGCATCATTGAGAGCTTCTGCCCATTCTCCTGCTAAATATTCGGAATCTGCCCAAATCAAATACGTTCTCTTGTCACTTGGTATTTCAATACAATTTTTGAGAGTTAAATTTTTCACTTCAACAGCAATGGAGCTTCGATTGACAGGTCCTCTCAGTACAATACTTCCTTTGTGTTCTTCATCATCTTCTTTAGAAAAGTAAAACAATTCATTGGCCAATAAAATACAAAAACGTTTTTTAACGGAACGATAGGAACCTCCTTGTTTGTAGAGCCAACCACTTTTCCTATATTTTTGATGATCCATCAAGAATTTGGCAGATGGCATTTTGTGAAGATGATGTTCGATGATGGTGGGAAGAGTGTGAAATTTTTTATGTGTTGGTTGAAATTTGAGACGAATGAGAATGTGTTTTTTAATTCTTTGGAGAATGAGAACACTTTTTCAAAGGCACACTCTTGTTGGAGATCATTAAAAACTTCATGAACATTTACTTGAATATTTGAATTTGACCCTTCTCCATATTTCCAACCAAGAGTTCTCCAGTGTATTCATTCAAACATATGGCATGAGGTAATGAATATTCAGAGAATGAAAAAACAGAACGAGTGTCAGTGGTCTGATGAGCTTTGACTAAGTGTCCTCCCACTGCATTGTACACCGATAACAAGTGTCTACAATTATCACACACAATGAGATTTTTCGAGACTTCATCATAGGCCAGTAATCTCTGAATATAACAACCCTGAAACATGTCTTCATTGAAAGAGATTTCTCGAACATATTTCCATTCGCAATGATGATTTGTCATTGGAAGATCCCTTTGATTCATTGAAGTTGGTTTTTCACTGTTTTCAAAAATTCTAATGGAAGAACCCTTACTTTCCACAACAGCAACAAATCGCTCAGAGTTTGAAACAGCAATGCCATGTGGTGGATGTGAAAAATCTGAAATTTTTGAAATGCATTGTCCTGTACGAGCATTCAAAATATCGACGACACACTCATCCATCGATAGATTACACATAAATATCCAATTATCGTCTTGTCGGTGTTTAGAGCTAGCATACATTATGTCCATGCTACTGATTATATTTGGATGTTTGTAATAATCGTTTTTCCAAATAAGGGACTTCTTTTGAGAATAGGTTTCTAATAGACATTTGACATCAAATTTGAATAAGCCATCTTTACATGAGACAATCAAGTATTCCTCATTGTGTAAACTTCTGTTAGCAGGAGTTATTTTCTCAATGCACATACACCGAGGGCTATTCAAATAAATTGACTTGGAAAATTGTCTAGTTATCAAATCAAATGTTAGAATTCTTCCTCTAATGAAATATGGATCACAAATGAGGACAAGATTCAATTTGTGTGAAATGGTGGCATAACAAGCATGGACAATGAAATTTTTAGTGTCACCATAGTCCATGAACCCACCTGCCTCTGTACCGAATGTTTGAATTAATTCAAAGTTCAAAGAAAAAGGAACCAATGGACGAGATCTCATTTTGTAATGGAATTTTTCCATGATGTGATTTGTTGAGAATTCTTCATCTGTGTGAAAATCAAATAAATGCACAATTTCGAGTTGTGTATTTTCGATTGAAAATTGAGAGGAGCTTTCGGAGGACTCGAGCTGATTCATTTTCCTCTTTTTGCTGTCTTCTGAACATGCGTTCGGATTGATGGAATTTCGTTTCATTTTTTAAAGCCAAAAAAAAATATTTGCAAGATATATTCATCACCGATCAGAATCAATCGACTTTTCATTGTTGGTTTCATCACACTGTGTTGCGCAATATCAAAAGTACCATAAAATGGATGATTTTAAATCTACGCTTATTGAGGTGAGACAAGTAAAAGAATTGATCATTGACGAATATTCTTTGGAATTATTCAAATTAAATTGCGTTGCCTGTTTATTCCCCTATGTATTTATTGCTTCTAGGAAAAGTATAATAATTTATCGGAATGGAAAAAACTCTTCTCTCGAATATTTGCACACCATCAAGGTTGCACAAGAAATTAATTTTATTCGGAATTGTCATAACAAAATATTTTTTGTAGGTGAAGAGGGTATGACCATGATGATTCTAAAACAAGAAAACGATTTGAATGAGTTTCATGAAGCAACGCCAATAGCTGAGAAAAAAAACCAGCAAGATTTGAATATAGAACAATATGGATTGAAATTAATTAATCTATATCAAAATAGTCATGAATCGACATGGTCTATTTCCTATGACGACCAGAGTGGTATTTTTGTTGTTGGAGATAATTCTCATGTCATCAAAGTTCACTCACCGGACTGTAAAGAAAAAGAACCCTTTACATTGGAGGGTCATTCTCATAACTTACCCTGCCTTCATTTATTTTCCAAAGACAGATTATTAAGCTGCTCGATTGATAAAAGTTGTAAAGTATGGGATTTAAAAGAAGGAAAGGTGCTGTATAATTATGATTTTAACGAATGGTGTTGGATAGGTGCTCGCTTAAATTCAAAAAGTTTTTTACATGCTCCCAAAGACTCAAATCCAACTGATATTTTTCTCATTGGTACTCAAAGTTATATTTATTTACTGAGTAGCACGATGGATACAGTATTATACAAATTATTTCTGAAACCAATAAGAGGTTTAAGACTCTTACCAGGTCATATTTACGGAGCGCTCGAACGAGTGTCTTTGCTTCAAGTTATTGAAAAGCACAATTTAGTTCTACTGGCAAAACAAAATGACAACAAGATTCTACTATTCAGAATGATTTATGAGCAGAACAAGGAATATTCTCTCATGCCTGTGGATTTACTACCATCTCTTTCATTGGAAAATCAGTGTGTTATTGGTTTGAGCTACTGTGAAGAACTGGATCGCATCTATGTGTTATGTCTAGACAAGCAAATGTATTGTTATGATTTGAGATTTAAGTTTACTAATGAGCTTCATATGACACATGCAGACTTGGAGCAAGTAGACGATAAAAAGGCATTTCAGGAACGAGTATTAGATAACCTTCATTCTGTTTCACAAGTTGTCATTTAGTAACAAACATGTAGAACATTCCAAAATAGATGTCTTTGCTCAATTTGACTGACTCTCTGGAGGAGTGGTTGCAAAGAACGAAAAACGCAAGCATAAAACAAGATTTTTGAAAATTCAAAAAATGCACAAAAACACGCTCAACAGGTTGATGGCAAGCAAGTCTTTGATCCATCATCATCATAACATGATCAAGACAATACTATCTTCATCCATGAATACAATCAAAACTACAAATACTCTTCGTAATTATGCCATTACCAAAATTCCTCTACCTTCCCTCTCACCAACCATGACTTCGGGTGAGATTGTAAATTGGGTGAAGAAAGAAGGCGATAAAGTAAATGTGGGCGATATCTTGTGCGAGATTAGAACTGATAAATCAGTTTTGGAGTTTGAATCAGTAGAGGAGGGTATTTTGGGCAAGATTGTTTTGCCCGGAGGATCCAAGAACATTCCTATGGGAGCCACTATTGCTTACCTTGTCGATAAGAAAGAAGAGATTTCATCCATTCCATCAGAATCAGATTCTCAGACTCCATCAGCTGCAACAACACCAACCACCAAGCCTTCCACCTCTGCATCACAGGCAAGCAGGCAAGAACAGCAACAACAACCTCACGAGTCATCTTTCTCTCACTCAGCACCCCTTTCTCCAGCTGTTCTTCGTATTCTTCATGAAAATTCATGGATTAATACATCACAGATTAAACCCAGTGGTAGAGGAGGCAGATTGACCAAATCAGATCTTGTTCAGTTTATGGCAACCAATCCTCAAACAGTAGGTACACCATCCACTCCACAAACAGCAACAACCACAACACAACAAGCAAGTGTTGTGCCACCTACCGCTGTAAAGGCATCACAAGTCGCTTCGCCCTCCACAACCATGGTGACACAAACACCACTTACCTCATCTTTCAATGACATTCCAACAACACAAATAAGAAAAATTATTGCATCCAGATTGTTGGAATCTAAACAAACAGTACCACACAGCTACTTCACCATTGAAGCTAGAATTGACAAGTTGTTGAACATTAAGAATAGATTGGCAAATGAGAAGAATATCAAGGCTTCTGTCAATGATCTCATTATTTATTGTGCATCCAAAGCTTTGCAAAGAGTTCCAGAGTGTAATGTTGTTGTTAAAGGAAATCAGTACATTCAAGCAGAGAATATTGATATTTCTTTTGCTGTTGCGACACCAACTGGTTTAATTACGCCAATTATTCCAAAGACCAACACAAAAACAATCGAACAAATTGCATCATCTGTGAAGGAATTAAGCAAAAGAGCAAAGGAAAACAAACTCAAACCAGAGGAATTCCAAGGAGGCACATTTTGCATTTCAAACCTTGGTATGTTTGGAATTCAACATTTTTCTGCTGTTATCAATCCACCCCATGGCATTATTCTTGCCATTGGATCTTCTCAAAAGAAGCCTGTTTTACCTTCTGTTGATTTAGATGCCGACACCCCCATAGATACCAATATTAATGACGTTGAGATGGGAACATTTATGAGCGTTACAGCTTCTTGTGATGCTAGAGCTGTTGACAGAGAATTAGCAGGTAGATTTATGCAGGTTCTGCGTGAAGAATTGGAATTTTCGTTTTCACTTTAAGACTTCGTGTGGTAATTACAATCAATATTTATTCCACAATGAATATATTCAACGTCAATTTCCGCCAAAATATTACAAATTGTCTCAAAGCAAAAAAAAATACAACATCCTCATATCGCTACGCACCATCATCATTACTCATCATACACAATTGCTACTAGTTGAAAAACAATAGCCTAAGATCATGTCATTAAACGGAAAGACTAAATCGTCTGTGTTACGACAAACGGTTATTCCTAGACCAAGAGAGCAGATAAACGTTGAACGAGAGGTACGTTTCTTCATCATTAAAGAGACCTGTTGATCGTTTTGAATATTCGGATTTTCATCATTAGTCTCCTAACCAACAATCGCCAGTATCTAGCGTTTCTAATTCGAACAAATCGGTAGGTAGAGGTTCTATGAACGCTCATTAATAACATTTCGCAAAGACAATAATTTTCAAAGATGCTCCTGCTAAAGCATTTGAACCCAAGGTTTATGTGCCATTTAAACACGCCCAAAATGGCATACCAAGACAAGTTGTTGTAGAGAGGTTTGTATTTTCACTCTTGGTTTCTTTGCTAATTGTTTCTGCAATAGATTGAGGAGACAATACGAGCAACAAGATATTGAGGAATTACTCAAGAACGAAGGAATAGACTACTCAACTCCAATTACACCTGAAAGAAAGTTTGAATTATACTTACCACTTGAAATTTTTGATAATACTGACTTTGATGACAGACCACCAGGTGAATGGATCAATTTGGGGCGCAACGAAGAGAATGGCCAATTCACATACGTACCTGCAAAAGCCCTTCTTCAACAAGATGGAGTTGGGAGCTGGTATTTTTGTAAAGTATTTGAGGTTGATGAAACTAATAACAGATACCTTGTCGACTTCGTGCATCAAGAGGGTAACAAGGTTTGGTTACCAAGAATTCACATAATGTTTCTGGCCGAAGACCCAACTAAATTTGCAAAACGGGTAGCTCATGCTCACAAATCAAGAAAAATCGCAGAATCACTAATTAGATACTACTTGTACATAGAACATATGCCCATCGATGAAGTTTCCCCTTTATCAGAGGAACAAATGATGAATATTAGAAGACTAGGTTGTTATTCTCAAAAATTGAGAGACAAAGTTTATGACTCATCAACAGACGAACTTCTGAATGAAATAATAGGAGAATACCAAAAAGTTACGAATAGGATGATATTCGATAAAAACATGAAAGATCCTCTCCAAAAAGATTTATTTAAGAATTTGGAGCTTCCAGATGAGATTCTTGATCCATTTCAAAAGAAGGCTCCCTTTCTAGGCACAATTGAAATACCACCATATCCATTTGACGAAAACAAAAGACAATTTTTCTTTAACTCCTACTTTACAGAAAAAAACATTTTGGATGCATTGCTAAATGTTAAGAAAGAGCTTTTGGACAAACAAAATCTAAAGATTTTTCACATTCCTTTAAAAAAGACGGTAACATTGGATGAGTTTGAGCAAATTCAAATCCAAGCTATCGATACCATCGTATCAAAATTAACTGGTGAATGGTTGACAAATTTAAAGCAGCATATTCAAGACAGTTTGATACATATTGAAAAAGGTTGGCTCAGCGTAGCTGGAAAGACTGTTCAGATTTATGAGATGAGCAAACTGAAGCGTTTTATGAACGCAATTAGATTTATGATGCAAGATTCTATTAAGTTTTTAATGCAAGACTCTTTTAAGGAATATGTGAGATATATTGAAGATTATTGTTCATTTGATGTAGCTATCAAATCGATTGATCAAGTAGAAGTTACATTCCACAACGAATCGGATTCGTCCAAGAGAGCACCTAATTTATTTTCTATTGAACTTACTTTTAAAGACGACAAATTCTTTTATGTCACCCCTTTAGAGAAATTCAAGCAAGTGGTTGTTGAAATGTTTGACAAGGCTCTCAAAGATTTCCAAAAGATATCAGATGTTGAATCTCATGTTCTTTCTGAAGAGTTTTGTGCAAGGTTTAGCGAAAAACCTTCAACTTCTGATCAAGAAAAAAGGAAACGACAAGGGTCAGGTTCAACAGCACGAAGAACTCAAAAGATGTTTTTATGGGGAGAGGTTAAAATGCTAGACACACTTAAATCTACCGATTTAGAAGTTTCAAAATGGAGAAAAACCTTAAACGCATTTATGGAAGTGTCGTTGTTACCTCTAAACACATTTTTAAAACAATTCGAAAAATATGAAGAGCTACTGAGGATAGACGTTCAAAAATACATGGAAGAATACGAAAAGAAAGAAAATTTAACAATTGAAGACATAAAAGCAGATATTGTACGAAACTATGAGATGAAGGATACCATTAGAGAAAGTATTCCTCAAAAGGTTAATGTAGGAACCTTTTTAATTGATTGTCAAAGTATCAGAAATCATTTAAGCAGAAAGTGCTCTGAGATAGGAAAGAAAATATTGGACTTTTTAGCAAGAACCGCAAGTGAAAAATGTAACTTTATTCTCGATAACTTTAACAAACTTTCCAGAGAAATCAACAAGCCACCTGAAGATATCGAATCTCTAACAAAATTGAAAGGAAGATTGAAGGAAATACCAGATGTCATCCTTGAATATGAAGAAAAAATTGTTGAAGTCAAGAATTACTACAGTATCTTGGAAAATGAGTTCAAGTATCCACTTTCTGATGAGGAGTTCAAAAATTTGTGGACAGCAGCTTCATGGCCAAAGAAAATTCAAGAACAGGTTGAAAAAGTGGAATCATTCCTCGAAAAGAAAAAAGAAAATCTCAGAGAGAGGTTGATCACAGATCAAAAATCCTTCATCAAAGAATTGGAAAGTATTCAAAAAGTTGTTTCTGGCTTCTCAAAGCATAGAGATATTCTTGCAGTTGCAGACGTTGCTAAAGAGGTCAGATCTATTCAAAAACAATTACAAGATTTCCAGGATAGAGCTAGAAAGAACAATCAAAAAGAAATGCTTTTTGGAATGGATGTTACAGAGCATACACAGCTAAATGCTATTGTAAAACAATTCCAACCGTTTGCAGATTTATGGCTAACTGTAGATAACTACTTTGCTTGGGAAGAAAGCTGGTCCAAAGAACCTTTTGAACACCTAGATGCTCCAAAGATAGAAGAAGAGGTTAAGGCAGCCGAAAAAGCAATGTTAAAGTGTATGAAACAGTTCAAAGACATTCCAGAAATTAGAAAAATTTCCGAAACAATCAAGAAGAAGGTTGAAGAATTCACTCCCTATCTTCCTTTAATTTTGGCACTTAGAAACCCTGGAATGAGACAGAGACATTGGCAAGCAATTTCAAATGAAATTGGTATTGAAATAATTCCTGGTCAAACTTTGAAATTTATGGACGACGTCTTCACGATGAAGTTATTGGCTCATGAAGAAATTATTAGAAAATATAGCGATATTGCATCCAGAGAATTCACGATTGAGAAAGCTCTTAAGGATATGCAAGAGGCTTGGGAGACTTGCAACTTTGAGGTTCTTGCTTACAGAAAGACTGGTACCTATGTCATGAAAGTCAGTGATGAAATTCAACAACAGCTTTCTGAACATATTGCCCTTACTCAAACTATTAGCTTTTCATCGTTCAAAAAGCATTTTGAGGCTGATCTTAAAGCATGGGAAAATCAACTCAATTTAGTTTCCGAAATATTTGAAGAATGGACAAATTGCCAAAGAGAATGGATGGCCCTTGAACCAATTTTCTCTGCAGAAGAAATGCAAAATCAATTACCTCAACTATACAAGCAGTTCAAACAAGTCGACACAAAGTGGAGAAGAATTATGGATGGGGTTTACCGAAATCAAAATATTATGTCATTCTGTACATCTACAGCTAAATTACTGAAGACCTTCCAATCCAATAATGCAATTCTCTCAACAATTCAAAAGGGTTTGAGCAATTACTTGGAAAAGAAGAGACAACAATTTGCAAGATTATACTTCCTTGCTGATGAGGAGTTGCTTGAAATTTTAGCGAAAACCAGAGATCCAACGGCTGTACAGAAATATCTTAGTAAGATATTTGAAGGTATCGGAGAACTTGATTTTGTTGACATTCCTGAAGAGAAAAAGACCAATTCAAAGGGTCCTGCTTTAGAGATGACTGCTATGATGTCCAAGGCTGGTGAACGAATTGACTTTATTGAAAAATTACAGCCTTCAGGAAGTGTTGAAGTTTGGTTGAAAGAAGTCGAACGAATAATGATGAAGAGTTTAAAGCTTTCGATCTCCAAGTCACTTGTAGATTATACTCAAACTCCAAGAAATGACTGGGTATTAAAGTGGCCTGGACAAGTAGTTATCCTTGGAAGCCAAGTTTACTGGACAAAAGATATTACCAATGCCCTTCAAAAAGGAGGAAACAAAGGATTACGAGGATACTTGAACACTGTCAAGGAACAATTATTAGGATTAATTAGAATTGTGAGGACAGAGATTTCGAAATTAGAAAAAACAAATATCGAAGCGCTTATTACAATTGAGGTGCATGCAAGAGATGTTGTTGAACAAATGTTAAACGAAGGTATTGAGAGTACTCATGACTTTGAATGGGTATCTCAAATGAGATATTATTGGGAACCAGCTTCATCAGAAGACGGTACTTCTCCCAACGATTTTACTTGCTATGTAAGACAGGTAGAGACTCAATTTGAATATGGATATGAGTATTTAGGTAATACATCTCGTCTAGTGATTACTCCATTGACAGACAGAATTTACTTGACGCTCACAGGAGCACTTCATCTTGGGTTGGGAGGTGCCCCAGCAGGACCTGCAGGAACAGGAAAAACTGAAACCGTTAAAGATTTAGCAAAGGCACTTGCAAAGAAGTGTGTTGTGCTTAACTGTCAGGAAGGTATGAGAGAAAATTCCATGGCCCAAATTTTCAAGGGACTAGTCCAGTCAGGATCGTGGGGATGTTTCGATGAGTTCAATCGTATTGATGTTGAAGTGCTTTCTGTTGTTGCTCAACAGCTTTCAACACTTCAAGAAGCAGCTAGAGCCAAAGTAGCAACAACTACCTTTGATAATATTCAAATTAATGTTGATCCATCCTATGCGGTATTTATTACAATGAATCCAGGTTATGCAGGACGTACTGAACTTCCAGACAATTTGAAGGCTTTATTTAGACCCGTAGCATGTATGGTTCCTGATTATGGATTAATTGCTGAAATTCGTTTAATTTCATTTGGTTTTGAAAATGCTAAACCATTGGCCAAGAAAATGGTTCAATCATTCAAACTGGCGAGCGAGCAGCTATCATCTCAAACTCACTACGATTTTGGTATGAGAGCTGTCAATACAGTCATTGCTGCAGCTGGTTTATTGAAGAGAAAGAATTTAAAGATGAACGAAGAGTTGTTGGTTTTAAGAGCATTGAGAGATTCAAACATTCCAAAATTCCTTGTGAACGACGTGGTTTTATTCAATGGAATTGTGTCTGATCTTTTCCCTAAAGTTAAACTGGAAGAGACAGATTATTCAGACTTAAATAATGCTCTCAAGGAGGCTACCGATCATTTTGGTATATCTCTTACACCAGTATTTAACGAAAAATGCTTGCAACTTTATGAAACCACAATTTTACGTCATGGTGTCATGCTTGTCGGTGCTACTGGAGGTGGAAAAACTAATTGCTACAAGACTTTAGCTTATGCCCTTACTTCACTTAGTAAGGCTCACAAGGAGGATTTCCATCAAGTTCATTACAGTGTCATTAATCCCAAGTCTGTAACAATGGAACAGCTTTATGGAGAATATGACAGGAATACAAGAGAGTGGAGAAATGGCGTTTTGGCATCAGAGTTTAGAAAGTTTGGAGAAGATACAAGTCTAGACTGTAAATGGTTGATTTTTGATGGACCCGTGGATGCTCTATGGATTGAGTCCATGAATACCGTATTAGACGAAAACAAAAAACTTTGTCTTGCAAACGGTTCTATGATAGAAATGAGCGTTCATATGAACATTATTTTTGAGGTTGAAGATTTGGCAGAAGCATCACCAGCCACAGTCAGTCGTTGTGGTATGGTTTATTTAGATCCAAAGGCAACTGTTCCACCAATGGTTCATGTAGATTGTTGGTTAGCAAAGATCTCTAATCAGCTAAAGCCATACTTGGAACAATTAAGACAACTTTTCGAAAAGTTCTTACCTGATGGAATTGAGTTCATCAAGTCTCATGTTAATGAATATATACCTACAGTAGAAAGCAATTTGACACATAGTACTTTCAAAATACTTGAGACAATGTTTGTCGATTTTGATCCAAGCCTTGGTAGAAAAAAGAAAAAGTCGTTTTCTTTTGAAGAAGAGCAACAAGGTAATGAAGAAAAGATGTCCAAATTGAGCAAGATCATTGAACCTTTATTCTTATTCTCTATAACATGGGGTTTAGGAGCGTCATGTGATTTTGAAGGAAGAAAGGCATTTGACGCATTCGTGAGAGGCAAGATTAAGGAGAATAATATTGCAAGTGCTTATCCTGAAGATGGGTTAATTTATGACTACTTCTTTAACACTGAAGACTTGGTATGGAAACACTGGATTAGTGTTACACCAGAGCTTGAAATCACTCCTTCCACTCAATTCCGAGATATGATTGTTCCAACAATTGATACAGTAAGAAGTAGTTGGCTTGTTAAAAAACTGCTTCACAACGATCATCATGTACTTTGTGTTGGTCCTACAGGAACAGGAAAGTCTGAGGTTGTTTCTCAGGTCTTAATGAGAGAAATACCTGAAGAATTCATTCCGTTCATCATTTTCTTCTCTGCTAGAACTGAAGCCAATGCAGTCCAAGATATTATTGACGGAAAATTGGAAAGAAGAAGACCAGGTGTTTATGGACCTCCTCAAGGTAGAAGGTACATTATTTTCATTGATGATATCAATATGCCAGCCAAACAGCAATATGGAGCCCAACCTCCAATTGAACTCATCAGACAATGGATGGATCACGGTGGTTGGTATGAATATTCAAACGAAAGATTACCTTTTAGACACGTTGAAAGCTTGACTTTTATTGCAGCATGTGGTCCTCCAGGCGGTGGTAGAAATACTGTTACTAACAGATTAATGAGACACTTTACTTTTGTTTCATTCCCAGAGCTGCAACATGACAGTTTGTCCAAGATATTTTCTACCATTTTAAACAAGTCTTTCATTGATGTGAATTTGAACCTCAAAGACTTTTTCTTACCCGAAATTTCAAGCAATTTTGTTGATACTAGTATTCATTTATTTAATCAAGTTAGAAAGGAAATGTTACCCACTCCATCAAGATCTCATTACACCTTTAACTTGAGAGACTTGTCAAAAGTTTTCCAAGGTATACTTCAGGCAAATCCAAAGAAGATTGTAAACCTTGAAGATGTTTTGAAATTGTGGACTCATGAAAGTTCTAGAGTTTTCAAAGATCGTTTGGTTGACAATCAAGATAGAAAGAAGTTTGAAGAAATCCAAGAGTCTTTACTCTCTAAGTATTTCCCACAAGTTGACGGCCAAAGCCTTGTTAAAGACAGAATAATCTACTCGGATATTCTTAGCCATGGATCAGATGTTAGAACATATGACTTTGTTCCTGATCATTCTGAGCTATTCAAGGTAGTTAACGAACAGTTAGAATACTACAACAGCATGAACAGCGATAAGAAGATGGATTTAGTTTTGTTTTTGGATGCCATTGAACATATTTGTAGAATTGGTAGAATTATTAGACAACCTGGTGGAAATGCTCTTTTACTCGGTGTTGGTGGAAGCGGTAGACAAAGTTTGACGAAACTTGCATGTGCCATAGCAGAATATGATTTGATGCAACTCGAAATTAGAAAATCTTTCACTCTTAAAGATTGGAAAGAGTTCCTTAAATCATTACTATTCAATGCTGGAAAAAAGCATGGAAAGGGTGAGAACACAGTCTTCTTGATTGCTGATACTCAGCTTATTTACGAGTCATTCCTAGAAGACATTAACAACTTATTGAACAGCGGTGAAGTTCCTAATTTATTTGAAACTCCAGATTTGGATGAAATATACACAACCATGAAGCCAATTTGTGCACTTGAAAAGCTTCCAGCCACTCCTCTTTCTTGGTATAACAGATTCATCAAAAGTGTAAAAGATAACTTGCATATTGTGTTGGCAATGAGTCCTATTGGTGAAACATTTAGAAGCAGATTGAGAATGTTCCCATCTTTGGTAAATTGCTGTACAATTGATTGGTTTAGTGAATGGCCAAAGGATGCCTTGTTAAGTGTTGCAAATGAAAAGCTTGCCAATCTTAAACTAATTTCTGTTTCAGAGCATGACTCTCAAGAACATCAAGATGAGATTAGAGACCAAGAAGAACAATTGAAAGAGAAAGTCAATCAAATGTTTGTCTTCATCCATCAGTCTGTTGAAAAAGGTTCTGTTGATTATTTAAGACATGCTGGACGAACAAATTATGTTACTCCTACCAGTTACTTGGAACTTCTCACTTCCTTTAATAACATTATGGACGTCAACAGAAAGAATCTAGAGAAGGAAAAACGAAATTTACAAATTGGTCTAAAGATTTTGAAAGAAACCGAAGAGTATGTTCATAAACTTCAGGAAGATTTGAAAGTAAAGAGACCCCAGCTCGATAGAACAAGAATCGAAATTGAGAAAAACATGGAAATTTTGAATGTTGAAAGAGAAGAAGCTCAAAAAACTCAGGAAATTGTAAAGGTTGAGGATGCAGAAGCAAAACAAATTGAAAGTGAAGCTAAAGGCATGAAACAATCAGCAGAGGAAGAGTTGAGTCAGGTCGAACCTTTACTTGAAAAGGCTGTTGAAACAGTTAAGAACATCAAAGTGAATCAAATTCGTGAAGTTGCTAACTACAAAGTCCCTCCAGCTGGCGCTCTCAAAGTTTTAGAGGCTGTGTTAATCATGTTTGGTGAAACACAAGGTGTGAAAAAGGTTAAAGATGGTGTGACCTACTACGATTGGTGGGAAAGCGCTAAAACTTATCTAAACAACGCAACCAAGCTCAAAGATGACATGATTGGATATGACAAGGAAAATATTCAAGAAGCTATTATCAGAAGAATTACAAAATACTATAACGATCCTGAATTCCAAGTGGCCAGAGTGAAGGAAATTTCGTTGGCACTTGTAGCGATGTGTCAATGGGTGAGAGCAATGTATGATTTCTACTGGGTGAACAAGGAAGTCGAACCAAAGAGACAAAAGGCCAGAGAAGCTGAAGCGCAATGGGCCATAGCAAGACAAAAAGCAGATGAATCCAACAGAAAGCTTGCTGAAGTGATAAAAAAGCTTCAAGAGCTTGAAGATGCCAATACTAGAGCCCTGAAAGAAAAGGAAGAGTTAGAAACAATGATTGATATTTGTGAGAAAAAGCTTGAACGTGCTTCAAAGCTTCTCGATGGACTTTCTGATGAAAAGGTTAGATGGCAAGAAATGCTCGAAAATTATGAAAGACAACAAAAAGATATGTTGGGCAACATGATTATCAATGCAGGTACCGTAGCATATTTGGGAGCTTTCACCAAACCATTCAGAGAAAGACTTGTGAAAGAATGGGTTCACGAGCTTGCCAAGCAACACATTCCATTTACAGAGAACACTGACGTTTATAATTCATTGGGCGATCCAATCGCTATTAGAATTTGGAATCAGTATGGATTACCATCAGACAAGCTTTCCATTGAAAATGCTATCATTTTGAACAACTCTCGAAGATGGCCTCTCATGATTGATCCTCAGCTGCAAGCAGCTAATTGGATTAAAAACATGGAGAAGGAAAAAGGTCTTAAGGTATTAAGTATGACAAAGAAGGATTATTTAAGCGAGCTAGTGAGAGCTGTACAATTTGGTAACCCTGTTTTGATTGAAAATGTTGGTGAGGATTTGGATCCTGCAATTGAACCAATTTTATTGAAACAAACATTTGGTACTCCTGGCAACCTCTATATTAAGATTGGTGAAGAAACAATTCCTTACAGCAATGATTTTAGATTATACATGTGTACCAAGATCAGAAACCCCAAGTATACTCCGGAAACATGTGTCAAGGTTACTCTACTCAACTTCTTCATTACTCCTCAAGGTTTAGAAGATCAATTGCTTGCCGAAGTTGTTAAAATGGAACGACCAGAATTGCAACGCCTCAAAACTGATCTCATGCAGAAAAATTCAAAGATGAGAAAAGATTTGAAAGAACTACAACAAAACATTCTCAAAATGCTTTCCGAAAATACTGGAGATATTCTCGAGAATGAAAAGTTAATCAATGCGTTGGGCGAGTCAAAGATTGCAAGTAAGTCCATCCAAGAAAAAGTGGAGGAAGCAGAAACCACAGAACGAGAAATCGACGTTACTCGTAACAAGTACAGACCTGTTGCTGAAAGAGGTTCATTACTCTTCTTCTGTGCTTCGGACATGACCAACGTTGATCCAATGTATCAATATTCCTTGCAATGGTTTATTCAGCTTTACAAACAGGTGATTGAAACAAGTGAGCAAAATGATGACTTGAACATTCGTTTGCAGACTCTTATCTACAATCATACATTATCTTTGTACAATAACGTTTGTCAGTCATTATTCGAAAAGGATAAGCTACTATTCTCATTCGTGCTTTGCATTAGAATTATGCAAGGAAGAAATGAAATTGATGAACATGAATGGAGACACTTCTTGACAGGAGGTATTAAGACAGATGAAGACGAAAAGGATATTGCAAGAAAACCAAGTGGAGCAACATGGATTACAGACAACTGTTGGAGTGACGTGGTTTTATTGAACAAACTTCATACCTTTAAGGGCTTTTTGGATTCATTTATCCAAAATGTTAATGAGTTTAAGACATTCTTTGAAGATTCTAAACCAAACTTGTTACCAATTCCAGCAGGATGGAATGATAAGCTTACGGAATTCCAAAGAATCATGGCACTCAAAGTTATTAGACCAGATAAGGTTATTGAAAGCATCCAGACATTTGTCGAGAAAAAATTAGATAAGAACTTTGTCACTCCGCCTCGTTTCGATTTGAGTAGATCCTTCAAAGACTCTAACTGTGTAACACCTTTGGTCTTCATCTTGTCTCAAGGTGCAGATCCAAAGTCTGAGCTCAACAAATTTGCAGAACACATGCGAGTAAGACAGTTGTTGAGCGTTTCTTTAGGTTCTGGTACAGAGAATGCTGCTAAACAAGCAGTTAAAGATGCCATTCAAAACGGAAGTTGGGTTATTTTACAAAATTGCCACTTGGCACTTGGATTTATGCCAATGCTGGAACAAATTGTTGAAGGATTTTCAATTGAACAAAATCATGCAGATTTTAGATTATGGTTAACTAGCATGCCAACACCAAAGTTCCCAATATCAGTTCTTCAAAACAGTGTTAAAATGACATTGGAGCCTCCAAAAGGTTTAGCAACAAATTTGAAGGGATCCTTCGACAACTATAGCGACGATTTTATGCAACATCCAACAAAACCATTGGAATTCAAGAAGCTTTTGTTCTCTCTCACTTTCTTCCATGCTGTTATTCAAGAGCGTAGAAAGTTTGGCCCATTAGGTTGGAATATTTTCTACGAATTTACAAGTGGTGATTTAGATGTGTGTATCAAGCAACTTAGAATATTCCTCGAAAAGTATGAAGAAATTCCATACAAGGTCATCAAGTTTTTAACAGGTCAAATTAACTATGGTGGACGTGTAACCGATGACTGGGACAGAAGATATTTAATGACAATGATTGAAGATTTTATAACACCAAAGGTTCTCAAAGATGGTTACAAATTTACAGATTCTCTCAATGAATATCAATCCATTCCAGCTGGAGAATCTGCCAGCTACAAACAATACTTGGATACTCTTCCAAACGTTTCTCACCCAGAGATATTTGGCTTGCATGAAAACGCTGAAATTACATACAATACTGCTGAATTAACCAATGTGACAGAAACAATGCTTGCCATTGAAGGTAGTGGAGGCAAGGTATCTGATGACAAGGACATTGTTGTTAGTACTATTGCCAATGACATTCTCAGTAAGCTTCCACAGCCATTTGACTCTGAACACGTCAACAAAAAGTATCCAACAGATTACAATGAAAGTATGAATACTGTGATTACCCAAGAAGTAACAAGATATAACAAGCTTCTGAAAGATGTTCGTGAGTCGTTACAAAATATTCTCAAAGCTCTCAAAGGACAAGTGGTCATGTCAGCTCAATTAGAAGGCATTGCTAACTCATTGTACAATAATTATGTTCCCGATTTATGGTCCAAGGCATATCCATCTATTATGCCTTTGAGCGAATGGGTTCTTGACTTCCTCAAACGTTTAGATTTCATTAGAGACTGGATTGAGAATGGAATTCCAAACGTTTTTTGGATTAATGGATTTTTCTTCCCACAAGGTTTCCTTACAGGCCAATTGCAAAACTATGCAAGAAAGTATCAAATTGCCATTGACCAAATTTCCTTCTCTTTCAAGGTTTTAACTAAATCTGAAGAAGAGCAAGCCAGACACAAGAAGCCAGAAGATGGATGTTATATTAAGGGTCTCTACATGGAAGGAGCAAGATGGGACAGAGAAAATGAATGTGTTGCAGAATCAAATCCAAAAGAATTATACTCCGAGATGCCAATCATTTGGTTCAAACCAGTGGCCAACAAGCAAGTTCCAAAAGAAGGATTTTACGAATGTCCAGTCTATAAGACTCTACGAAGAGCAGGTACACTCAGTACCACAGGTCACTCTACTAACTATGTTCTTTCTATCGATTTACCATCGAAGAAACCTGGAGAGCATTGGATCAAGAGAGGTGTCGCTTTGATATGTGCTTTGAAATATGTCACTAATTAGTGAAAATATAGTAGCTGAGTAAAAGTAACGTTGTGAAATTTAGTTCTTCACCTTATGGAAAAAATTAGAATGGGAGCACATTGTACTTCGTTGACATATTACTTTATGACTTTGTTCAAAAAACTTTCAATATTGTGTTTCAAATCCGATCTTTTACAAGGTTTACAAATAACAGCATCTACAACAGCAGCATATTGAGCTTCATTTGTTAAGGCATCTGCTGTGAGCATGATAATCTTAATATCCTTATATTTTTGTTTAATAAGCATCGCAGCTTCCAATCCGTTCAAATTTGGCTACAACATTAAAAAGTAATGTTTTTTCAAGACTCCACAGTACTTACCATGTGCTATATTGTACAATTTCAATTAATATTTATCATTACCTTCCCAAGTACTTACCATATCTGTAATCACCAGTTTGTGTCGTTGTGGATTAATTTTCTCTATCAATTCCTTTCCATCGCTCACAACATCAACGTTGAATCCCAAGCTTTGCATCATCTTTGAAATTACTTTTCTATTGATGGCATTATCTTCAGCAAGAATGATATTGCTTTCTGTGAGAATTGTATCCTGTTGTGTGAGTTCTGTTGTTCTTGTATAATTTTGAGCTCTTTGGAATTGGTCCAAATAGTTACTTTGAATATCAATTTTCTTGATGGTCATGTCTTCTTCGTGAAGCGTTGAGTAATGCTGCAGAGATGAATGTTCACAAATTTGAATTGGTATTTTCACAATAAATGTGCTTCCTTCATTCTCCTTTGAAAATAATTCAATTTGACCTCCCATAGATTTCACAATATTCTTAATCGTACTCAAACCAAGGCCACTCCTATTTCAGACAAGTAATCATCCAAAAAATTGGTATCATAAATATCGAATGAACCACGACAACATACCCTGGAAATATACTTTCATTCAAGTTGTGTAATTGTCCAAACGGTTGGAAAATATATTGTTGTTTATCTTTCGGTATTCCAACACCATAATCAACAACTTTAAATTCAAACCATGTTTTTTCAAGAGTTTGATGATTGGACGAACGATTAATGTTGAGTGGACATGGAATGATGTTGCAATGAAGCTCAACAGAACTGTTCCCATGTGAGGCCTATGATTCATCATCAACAATAATTGTACATCAATAGTCATTCCATATGACAATCAACCATTACAAAACATTTTCAAACCTTACCTTAACAGCATTGGTTAATAAATTCACTAAAATTTGACTCATTCTTGCTTGATTCATTTTTACCATCAGCGAAGAAGGATCTTTCACATTAATCACTGTTTTTACATCCACATGAAATTTACTCGCATAACTTGAAATAATTTCTCGCACACTCTCAATACACTTTTCTAAATTAAAAACTTGAGTGTAAGTAGTGATGTCAGTCGAAGTATGATTGTCTTCATTTTTACTCTCATGCTCAGTCTTGACAAATAGTAAAATATCTTCAATCAATGTTAGTAGTATACTTTCTGCAGATTCGATAGTATCAATTAATTCTCGTTGTTCTTTTGTTAAATTAGTTTCTTTTATGAGTTCAATAGAGCCAAGACTGAAAATGTACCAATAAGGTAAATATTAAGGATCAAAGGCGGGATCCACAAGTGTTTCGTTTCACAAAATGTTCATGGTTAACACCACAAGTAAACCTACCTGGATAGAGTGGGTGTTCTAAATTCGTGACTCAAATGGCTCACAAACTTGGTTTTAGCATCAAGAGCTGTTTTCAATTTTTCTGTAGTCTCTTGTAATTGGTCACATTCACTCGAGAGTTGAACATTTCCAAATATAATAAATGTTCCAAAAATAATGACTGTAAAAACAGAAGGTACGTGTTCAAATAGGATATCCAAAATCATGTCCAAATGGTTCGTTTCAATTGTTACGATTTCATAGAGAGCTAACAGTACATAATGTAGCGAAATCGCTGCCACAGGAAAAGTAGCCCAAAAAGGTCCTTCAGCCTTTGAATGAGCAGTGTTCTTACTCATTACAGCTGTGCATGATTATAAGGTATTTTTTCAATTAAAAAATCTCTACTCACCAATGGTTGCCAAAGCATTCGATAAAAGTATTCCACGATTCGTTTTCAAAACATAAAATCGAATGGAAAAGCTCAAAATATTAAACAAAATGATAACCTTAGATTCCAATGTATTTTCTGCTTTTTCCATACGAATGAGCCTTCCACTATTCACGAGTATGGTGAGCACGCCTGTTATAAAGACCCAAAAGGTGCTCTCTTTATCTTCTTGTTTTTTAAAGGTATAAATAGTTTGCAGTAAGTAACCTGTGTAAACTGTAAATAATATGATGGAGGCTTGCCATTGAAGAGGTGTGTGCCAAACTTTTGGTATCGATGAATTCTTGAGAGGAAGATTGAAAAAATTGATCGAGTAGTGATTATTATGGGAAGAGTTCGTCCAAGAGGATAATTCCGAAGAGGTTGATGGTGTGTTTGTACTCATTTCAATGATATTCGTGGTAGTGGTGGTGTTAGAGGAGAGTGTATTTGATGATGGATGAAGAAAAGAATCTACAGTGGTAGCATTGCTGTTGGAATGACCGGAGGTACTTGGCATAGATGGACAACACTTGGTGTCATGAAGATTGGGGTTTTCCATAGTAATGGTGGTTTTTGAATTTTGAGTATTCATCAAGACATGGTTGCTTTCGGATGGATTGGAAGAAGAGGATGATCTTATCGTTGTCATCATGCGTGTGTTTTGCATGAGAATATTCTTTTTTGGAAAAATTGATAGTGCGAATGACGACCACGCATTTAACTACTATTTTGGAAACTTCTTGTTTAATAATACTGCGAGCTGGGTCAGTATCTGAGCGACCTTAATGGAATTATAAGCATGACCACAATAGAAAGTACCATTTCTCGCTCATACTACCGCTCATCATGATATTCCTCTTGAATAGTTGTGGAGGAGAGAGTGTATGAATTTGTATCACACACACACCATTGGTGTGGTCCACTTTGTATGGTTCAATATTTGTAAAAAAATATTAAATGACGCATGTAGTTGAATTGAAAACGAGATGATAGTGCAAACGAGATGAGTGACTAGATATTTCGTTCTCTCCAACTCAATCTCAATTCTTGTAATCGCTTTTCCTCTCCAGCTGGTAAATTTTGAACTTCTTGTGAACCTACTCTATAAATTCTTTCAACAAATGTTCGATCTGAAGAATATTGTTGGAAATTTAACCATTTTGCATTATTAGCAAGTACAGAGAGTTGTTTGTCTCCAATCACTTGACCCATCACAGTTAGAAATCCTGATATTGCCAAACTAGTTCGTTGTTCTTTTTGTAATCTCTGATTCAATTCATGAACTTGTAATAATTTATCAGCAAGTTTGTATCGAGTGAAAAGTGCATCCACAAATGGATCAATCATTCCTTCAATAATATCTAACAAGAGTCGAACAATCATGTGATGTAATAAACTACTTTGATATTGAAATAGTAATCGAATTAATTCTTCTAAAACATCTGATTTGAGAATTAATTGTGAGAGACTTGTAGTAGTATCAACTGTGTCTTTTTGTTGTTGTTTCAAATATCCATCATAAATGGAATTCAATACTTCTAATTGTTTGAAGAGCATGACAAAGAGTTCAATAATTTTCAATCGATAAATTCCAAGAGGAGGAAATGAGAGAGGAATCATGAAATCGAATGAACCTTCTGTGTTATCCGTATTATTATTATTATTATTACTATTATTATTATTACCAGTATTATTACTGCTACCATTACTATTATTATGACTATTACTACTACTACTCATAGTGTTTGTAGTATCACTTTTAATTTCACTTGAATTCTTGCCCCATCGATTCTTTTTTCGTTCCATCCCCAGTGCATGCAAAGGATGATATTGTTCCACATAGATAATGGTTGGATCTTTTTTCAAAATCTCTCGAGCCATTTCATCTTTCAATAAAGACACAAATGTTGGAATTCTCTCAATGACCAATACCAATACAAGTCTCCAATCAATTCCACTCTCATCTACAATCATCGAGTCTATGTTACCATTCCATAGAGGAGGATGATTTGATGATGATTGTTGATGTTGTTGATGTTGCTGATGTTGCTGATGTTGTTGTTGAATTGGAAATAATCTCTGACTATTAGTAGCAATATAAAATAATAAATTCATTATAAAATTCATATTATCCACAAAACTAGGTGAATTGGAAGTAATATTTAAAGTATTATCAATAATTAATTCCATTTGTTTTCTATTGAGTATATATTGTACAATGACAGGAGGTTTTCTTGTAATTGGTTTTCTATATTGAATAATCGTAGTGAGAATAAAAGTAACACTTCGTGAGAAATTTTGTTCACATTGCAAGGCACATAATCGTTGAATAATTTGTTGTTTCAATTTGAGAACTTGTAAATTCTTGTTCACTGCCACTTCATCTTGTTGATTTAAAATATTTAAAAACGAATCTTGAATGAGATTTCCTGAAGGTGCAGTGATGGTTTGAGTGGGATCATTATCTTCATCTTCATAGAGAAGACACATGAGAAGGAGTTCACTAATTTCATCACTGGAATCAATATGTTTTAACATTTGTAAAATGATATGAGTTGTTGAAGAGTTTTGGGAAGGGTATGATGTATGGGAAGTGTCCACATGATTCCATGTTGTGGTGGAAGGATTGGGGAGATTGAGGGGATTGGGAGGAGTAGTAGCAGAAGTAACAGCAACAGCAGTAGAAGAAGAAGTAGAAGAAGTAGTAGTAACAGTAGAAGAAGTAGAAGAAGTAACAACAGTAGAAGTAGTACTACTCGTCAAGGATGTAAATTCTTGAATATCATGAAGTGCATAGATATAATCCATCACTAAATGAGTCAAGTGTGGAATTTTCATCATGGCAATAATCACTCGTACAAAACATTTCACTTGAAAGGCATTCAATGGTTTTTCTTGATAAATAAATGAAAATAATTTTCTTCGAATGAGTTCACTATTCAATAATGCTACTCGTGAATGAAAGGATGCCATTCGATTATTGTTATTGTTGATGCTATTGTTGTTGATGCTATTGTTGTTATTGTTGTAATTATTATTAGAATTGGATGAAAGTCGATCCAAATCCATTTCATTCTTCACTTGTAAAAGTGAATGGGTCGTAGTAGTAGTGGGTGTTGAAGATAATATCATGGGAGTATTGTGTTGTTGTTGTTGTTGTTCATCATGATGGTTACCAATAATCGTTTCAATGGTATGATCATCATCCACTCTTGGCAATACATTGTTGCCAACAACATTGGAATCTACTCCAAGTAAGGAATGACTGGAAGAATAAGGAACTGTCAATGATTGACGAAATGATGTATTTAAAGTGATGGATGCAAAATCATGATGATTTCCAATCATATTCGTAGTAGTACCATTAGTAGTAGTAGTAGTAGTAGTAGCATTAGTAGCACTCGTATCCGTCTGATAAGAATACGGTAACATGATGAGTGGTAAAATGTGAAATTGTCCAATGGTGGATATCAAAATCTCAGTCGCTACAAATGGATACTTGTAATTCAATTTCTGTAAAAGATATTCTCTCTTGTCACTATTTTGAAGATTGGTTTGAGATGTTGTTGAATCCTCTTGATCATCCATGGAAGGTCGAATGTGATCTTGTTGTTGTTGCGAATTCAAATATTGTTGTTTTTGTTGTTGATAGATTAATAATTCTGCTTCACTCATACCTCCATGAGCATCGGAATTGTCATCACCTGTTGGAGAGCGTAATCGTCGCATGGGTCCACCATCATCATCGTGTTGATCATCTCGGTGGTCGTGACCCATCATCATTTCGTCATGATCCTCTGTAGTTCCTCCGCTAAATTGTTGTAAATTCGAAGAAGAAGATGTAGCTTCTAATAATTTATATTCTAAATAGGAGGGTATTTCAGTGTGAGTACATGTGACATATTCTATTAATTTTTGAATGATCTTTTCTTGTGTGAGACTATATTTCCAAAAATGTTCAGTCATTCATACATTCAATCATTCAAATAATAATAAACAAATATATGATGAACATGAATAATAGTAGAGACCAATACATAAACCAATGAATGTTGATATATATATAGGGTAAGACAAACTCGATAAATCTCTGAATTCAACAACTTACAATTCAATAAGATTTAAATCCTCTGCTTCTCTACACATACTATCAATTCCTTCAAAATCAAATACATCTTCAATATTTAATTTTGAATAATCAATACTATTAGGATTTGAATTGGAAGAAGAATCGACACTTTTCGTATCCTCATCGTCATGTCCATTCAAATCACCATAAATATTCAAAAGATTGGCGCCAGTACTCGTTGACGTCGATTTTGCTGATGATGAGGAAGTATTGGTGGTGTTCGAGGAAGTGCCTTTCTTTTTTTTAGACTAGAGAGTATGGTAATCAATTCATTGGAAAGTGTTCATCATCATGTTGTTGTTGGATGATCCATATGTTTGTTGTGTACATGTGTATGTTCAACACATAGTAACACCACATAGAATAATCATCATCATGACAATAAATATTTTATGTATATGAAACAATAATAGATCATCATGATGTACTCACATGATTTGTTGCTGATGATGAGGTGTTGTTGTTGTTGTTGACATACGGAATGATGGTATCGTCTTCATCGTTTCTCCTCACACTTTTGAATATTTTGGAAAATACTCTCATTTTTTTGAAAACTGACAACTCGAAAAAGTTCAAGAGAGATGGTCAAGGTGTTGCATATTCAACCTGGTGTGAACGAATCATGAGTGCTCGATGCTCGATCATTGGGACATGAGTGTGTGGGCAATGCACTACATTTATTACAAACTCTTTAGATCTTGTTGAATGAATACATGAAGTGTTGGTTTACTGTAAATCAGAAATAAACACAATTTGGAGGGAATTCACGATCGTGCAGTTCATTAGGGTGGTAACACACATGAAACAACATCTTGTAAAATACTCCACTTGTCTTCTGAATTGCATTCCACTCGAGGATACAACACATTAGAAATGATTGCTTGAACATGAGTAGGTGTTACAAAGGTCTTGTTCCACATTAATGCATATGCTCTTTTTCACAATGTAAGAAACAGTCAAACATGTGATTCAATAACTTACTTGGCAGCCATAATGATCATACTTGTCACTTCAGGTGTTGGATATTGTTTCACAAGTGGATGATGTCTACACACAGCAATGATATCTCTAACATATTGCTGAATTTTCACTGTAACATCAACACAGTCAATGAGTGATGGTGCAACCAATGATCCATAACTCGTTGACTTTCTATCCATGTTTTTAGAATGTTGTGACATGATGTGTTGAATATTGGAGGAATAATTTTGAACGTCTTGAAGAGTAAATGTTGAAGAAATACTCAGAGAAGGTACAAAACCTATAAATTCACACAACTTGAGTCGATCATGCGTGAACACATTGTGAGTCAACATGATTACCATCCATCCATGAACAATTTACATCAAATTGATTCCAAGTTACTTACCAATGCATTTGGTAATTCCAAAGTGTCACAAATACAAATAAATTCAAATGGAATATCAAAAGTCTTATCTCCCAAAATTACTTTTTTGAATTTAAATATTTCCAATAACGCATATTTCACTCTTTTTGATACACTTCTAAAATTATTTAAAATTAAAATTCTCACATTTTTTGAATTTTCCATTTCCATTTTTTCAATTTTTACACCCAAATCCAACATTGTATTCGGTGAAAACATTAAATCAAAATTATTAGAAAATAAACTCGTATTCTGATTTGATTGATGTTTAGAATGATGTTTGTAATTTCTTTTAGAAATTAATACACTTCCATGTCTTTGAAGTGGAGAAGGCGGAGAAGTAAAAGGTGAAGAGGAAGGCATGGATGGAACATGTTGATGATGAAAGGATTGATGATTCACGGTTGATGAGTTTGTTAATGAGGAAGATGTGGTGGAATTTGATTGTTGATTGGAATTTGTAGTCCCATTATTAGGATGAGAAGTGTTTCCCATAGTTCCGACATTATTTGCAACATTAATTTGTTCTGCCAAATGTGTCATGAAATATCGATCATCAAAACTAAATATATTCTTATTGTGAGTTCCTTTTAAACTTTGTCTTTTCATTTCCATATTTACAGTGGTTTGAAGAGTGGTGGTGGATATGGTTGGAGGAGAAGAGGCTTTGAAAAATGATGACGGTGGTGATGCATTTGTGGTGGTAATTGTATGATTTGAGGTGGTGTTTGGAGTGTTGTTGGTGGTGGTAGTTGAGGTCACTGTAGAATTGAGTTGTTGATCTTGATGTATACTCAAACTCGTACTTCTCTTATGTTTGGCAGATAATAAACTATTATTGGTACTGACAGTGGAAGGGTTGTTGTGCATGGAAATATGTTGTGAGGAGGATGAGGATGGTGGTGATTGTAGGTTTGTTGTTGGATCATTGAATTCAATGTTCGGAGTTTTAGGTGATGTTGTGAGTAACATGGGTAATCGTTGTTGTGAGGGTGGTGATACGGAGGAGGATGATGTTGCTGTAACAGGTGAAACAAAGAACAAAAATAAATCTTCAACGGTAGTGGAAGTGTTGCAATTCAAAACATGGATATAGGGATAGATGCTCATGATATCGGATGATACTGTACTTGTTCCTCCTCCTGCTTGTTGTGTTGAAATGAAACTATGACCACCACTGTTGCTGCCATGACTCAGCACCGAATGATTGAACGTCAAGAAGTGCTTTTTGGTGATCAGCGAAACATACAATAGAGGGTGGAGCATTTTTTTTGAAAAAGCCTCAATCACACAACAACCTTTTCAACAAAGCCTGTGTAGGATATATTTGAATAGGGCGAATAAAGGGAACACCATCTTCGTGTTTGCGTCAATTCTCATGGTTTATTTATATTCAATTTATATTTGAATGTACATTTGAGAATTTGCTGCTTTTTGACAATCATTGTAGTTCTCTTAAGAATACATTTGAAATTGGAAGGAGGAGTAAAAATGTGCAGTATTTGTCATCAATTAATCATCTCACACCATCACAGGAGAGAGACAAGTGTCATGGGCTCTACTTCTTCTTCTTCCTCTTTGAAGAGTCAGAAGCCTTATTTTTACGCTTTTTATTGTCACCATCAAGAATGGTGTTGTTGGATGGTGAGGATGGGTTTGATGATACTTGTTGAGAGGCTTCATCCACATTGGTTGTTGTGTTGTTGTTGTTGTTCAAATGATTGTTGCTAATACTACTATTGTCATTTGATGAGGCAGCAGAAGCCTTGTTGGACCTTTCTTTCAGCTTTTTAAAATAGAGCTGAATGCGAGCAATTTCTTGCTTGATTGGATGATCATCAGGATTTATTCCTTGCGTTTTCAAATACACTGAGCAGTGTTGGTAGTCATGTTGTTGTGTGTGAATATTTTGAATTCGCAGCAAGGAATACGATGAGCAGCAGAGGTTCAAAATGAACATGGTTCATATTTTAAAAGGAGTAGAGCAACACGTTTGTTGTTGACAAATATGGCCATGTTAATTGCAATGAGTCAATCATATCGCATAGGCAAGCGAATAGAAAAAGGTTATCAAGTTTTTTGATGTCATCATAAATCCGAGTCATCATACAAATATTACATTTTCATGATATCATGGATAAACGGAATATGAAAGATCCTCATCGGATACATGATGAGGATATAGTCAGCACGTTGTCATGGGTGAGTTGTAAAATGAAGGCTCTTCATCATCATAAACTTACAATAAAACAGAGTATTCACTGTATAGGCACAACATAAATTCACTTTAGCTCTTGACTCAGGATCCAATTTTGAGGTTTTTGTAGTGAGTGGTTGCTCTAAAAGAGGTTGTACCATACTCTCCACTTGTTTTAGAGAACGATTGAATGCAAGTATGTTTTGTTCAATTTCCGACGGCAACATCATTGAGTTATTCATTTTTTTTGTGTGCAATATTGCAAATTTAATTCAAATTGTTTGTTCGCGAGTAATATATCTCTGCAATGTTGATCATTTCATTGACTTTGACATAAATTACCGTCTTGCTTTGTTTTGAGGTGTGGGTGGGAATAATTTTCGTTCTAGTTCTGCAAATTGAGCAATTTTCTTTTCTATGTCCTTTTCTTCATGAAGTTGTGATTTGACTCTTTTCAAAATTTTCATTCTAATGTCATTGGTTCTTTGTATTTGTTCTCGTAACTTGTTTTGAAGAGTTCTAATTTCTGCACAAATATCATCATCCTCTCTGGATTCATCGTCGACCCATAATTGTGGATTGCTGAGCTGTTGTTGAGGTAGTACTCCAATGCTCTTAATTTCGTGAAGTAACTTTTCTTCAAACACAGACATGTATTGAGGGGAATAATCAAAGGATGTGCTATTTAACATTTGATCAACATCTTTGAATTGATTACTCATTGCAAGAATGTGATTAGCACTTTGAATTTGATTTTTGGAGAGATTCGTTATTTTTTGTTTCAAATATTCTGTAATTTCTAAATGTTGTTGATGTTCAAGAATCGACGATGAGGTTAAATCAGAGGGTAATCCTGAATTGGAATTAAACATATTAGCAGTGGAGGGAGTGATGGGAGTAGTTGCTGAGGATGGAAATGCGGCTGATCTTGCCGAAGATGGTGTTGTAATAGATTTTCTTGATGTTCTGCTTGACTTTCTCGGGGTTTGTTCATCAATAGATTCATTATCGCTGTCAATCGTGTATGCAGAGCTTGCAGATATATCATCAAAAAACGTTTCTAGTGGTACTAAATCTCGTTCTTCAATTAATGATGAAAGTAATCGCTGAGAAAGGCTGTGCTGAGAGAAGAACAATTTGGATGCTTTTTCCACGCTCAAGCTTTCTGTATCGTAGTCAGTCAACTGCTGAATTGCTTGATCGCTGCTAGTAGTTTTCTTTGGCAAATTGGTATAAATCTTTGTATTTTCTTCTTCCCATTTTTCAGTGTAATATTTTCCTTTTTTTCCAATTTTAAAGGCTTCATCATTCTCACTATTTTCTCCTTCTAACAATTTCAATCGATCCTTCTTAATTACAGGGAAGAAGCTATTAATATATTCCCAAAATTGATATTGAGGAAGAGTACGATCAATTTGTGAGGATGGAGTTTTTGAAGCCACATAGTGTTCATCTTCCATTCCTAAAAAAGCATCTCCATCATATTCGCCTCCTCCTTGAGTACTCGATACAAAGGTTTGTCCTGTATCATCAGATCCTGATGGCTTTTTTTTACGTCTTCTTGTACTGCTTGCAGCGGTTCGTTTCTTTTTCTTGGTGCTTGGTGTTTGAGGTAGAGATTGAACGATGTCAGAAACCATTGAAATGGAAGAGGCATCATCAAAGGGAAGTGGTGATTGATTACTACCTCTTGATACAGAGTCATCTCGCTCCGCCATGTCTTCAATCTTGATCGTTAATGGGCCCTCTGTTTGCAGCACTTTGGAGAGTTCATCTCCAGCACCAGGTGAGGTCACACCACCTAGTTTTGGAGTGCCTCTAGACTTTTTTCTAGCTGATCGTGTCTTGATAGAAGTACTCACATCTTCCTCTGAGGCTTCTTCGGCAGTTGCTGCTGATGTAGTAGCACTGTCCTTTTTTTCTATGGCCACAGTGGCATTCTCATGAGACCTTTCTTCATGGAATACTCCACGTGGAACGGTAGCACTGCTAGTACCTCTCTTTCTTTTTCCAAATTGTTGATCCTTGGTCAGGAGCATCAATTCTTCATCCTCATCAGCTTCAATGTCTTCCTCTTCGTCGAGAATGAGTTGGTCTTCTTCATCCGTTAACGAGGGTTTATATTCATCGTCTTCATCTTCAATCATGGCATCATCCTCATCGTCAAGTACCTTTTTCTTCTTTTTTGACGCTTTTTTAGAGCTTTTTCTTGTAGATTTCTTGGATTGACTTTTTGGAGCCTTTTGAGCAACCTTTGGCTCTTGAGTGGAGGAAGCAGATGGAACAACAGCCTTGCTAGCTGAAGGTTGAGAGGGTGGATGAATGCTTTTTGAAATGTCTATACTTGTTGTGCCTAGCGCTGGTTGAGTAGTTTCTTCGCCGAGAAGTGGAGTTGGTGGTTTGATTGCTTCTTCACTTTTCACTGCTGCAGAGGTTGGTTGAGTAGCGGATGGAAGTGCTTTGGTGGATTTTGATGGAGATAGAGATTTGGTGGTGGTCATGGGAGCATTTGGAGAGGCTGTTATACTAGCTTTAGATTCGAATTGGTTTGTAGGAATATCAGAGAGTAACTTGGGTGATGTGGATGTTGCATCTAAGGCTGAGGGAACACTCGTGATATCTATGGATGTGGATGTACCTTCATTGTTCGTTGATGAGAAATAGTCTAAGAGTGATTTTTGTGATTTGGTATTTGGTGTTAAATCGCCTCCTAACACTTTTGGTATGGTTTTTGCGGTCATAGAAGGTGTAGCAGAGGTTTCAACAACATGAGCTGAATTGACTGCATGGAATGTACCCCCTAGAATTTCATCAACCTTAGCCAACTCTTTTTCCCAGAATTGAACTCTTTCCTCAATCTTTGGTTTGAACTCTTCTTGTAACTCCTTAACTGTTTGTTTTAATTGATGTAAGTTCCAATTTCTTTTCACACCTCCTTGTATTGCAGACTGTATAAAAACATCTAACTTGTTGTGGTCATCAATAGGCTCAATGGGAAATGATAATCCATAGGGATTTGAGCTTGGAGAAAGGTTCACCTTGTTCGGACTTTTGATACTACTTGCTTGCAAATCATCTTGACTGGATGATTGAGATGTCAATGTTTTGAATGAATCAGTAATCTTTTTTTGTTTGGGTGGCATTCCGATCGTTTCGTGATGAGGTGAAGGTTTCGCTGGACTGGATGCTGGGTGAATGGTGTCTAGCGAATTTTTATCGATCAATTTCTAAATTTTTTTAGCGGCGTTGTGTTGGTGTGATGATGGTGGCGATGAGAGCACACGAAAATTTTGTTCACAGTTAAATATTTTTTTTAAAAGTTTGGTTTTCATTTCTTGACCAGGCTTGAAGAGTCAAAAAGACAGCCTGGAGCAGTTAGCATTGCTAGGAGTCAGCAAGATGGAACGACGGCTCCACTAGTTGGATATAACAATGAATACAAAACCACTGACAAGTCAATGTATCGAACCGTTGTGTTCAGAGAATGAACCACCTCGCACTCGCTTCCAAAAAAAATCCAAATCCAACCAACACAATCATGGGCCAAACACTGGCTTTATCGCAACTTGTACCTACCAATATTCAAAGACTCACCTCTGGTACAACACCATCATCATCACGAATCACCCACGGAGATTCAAACACTGAACGACATCGAAGGCTTTCCGAAGAAGAAGAAGAGGCTCATCAAGAATTTATCGATCAACAGCATCAACCACATGATTCATTTCATCATGATGATCTAGAGAGCGGAGTTGTTACTTCTCAATCATCACCACCACCACCACAACAACAACAACATACAACTAGCAACCATACGAGCTCTGTTTTATTATTTGGAGGAGCTCCAATGATGATTGACGGATTATTAAATTATGAATTCTTTAATGGAATCAATAATGTCAATGAATTAGTAAGCTTGTTTGGATATTATGGAAGAATTGAAGGATTATTTGGAAGGAATTTAGATCACTATGAACAGCAACATCAAGAACACACTCCATTTGAATATAAAGACACAATGATTCTACGAAATGATGTGAATATTCAAAAAAATTCTCTTATACTAGTCAATGATCAGAATGGATTTAGTTTATCCTTTAAATTTGATGTGAGAACTAACTTCATTGATGAATGCAAGGTGAAAATTTATTTGAAAGCTAAAGAAATTCGAAATTTGAATCCTACTAATAATGGACCAGTTGTAAAATATGAATCATCCACAGTGTTACCTTCAAAAATATTCAATCATTTTGAAATTCAACAGAATGATGGTGCCCAATATTATACTTCTTCTTCCCAAACTCCAACACAATCTACTACGTTAGGAAATACAACAATGACTGATTTATCATCTTCACAAATGGGAACATCTAGTGATGATGATCATTCACTCAACAAGTCTTCAAGAAGAGATTATCACAATTCAACAAGTCTAGAATATAATGTGAATCATTCGATATCGTTAGAAACTATTTTTACTCATCGAGAAGAAATGCAATACAACATTGCAAGTAACAACAACAGTGTTACCAATGATTCTCATTCTTCCATAGAAATGGAATCTACACTCATTCCAATGGTTATTGAAATTCAAAGTGAAACATGTTCTCAATTCTCTCTTTGTTCCATAGTAGACTCTCAACGATCATCCGATCATGACAGTAATTATTCTATTAAGGTGAACAAACAAAAGTTAATGATTGGAAATGAATTGTATGAAGTTGCAGAAATTTATCATCAAACGACGAATCATCATTCCAACACTGAACAAGCTGACACTACCACTGCTCACTCTCCTCACGATGACGAAGAAGATGAGAATTTATGTGTCATTTGTATTAGTGAACCAGCAACCACAGTGGTATTACCATGTGGTCATTTGAGTCTCTGTACAGAATGTGCCAATGCACTTCGTAGTCAAACTAACAAGTGTCCAATATGTCGACAAACCGTTGAATCCGCCATTCAATTACCATCCAGAGAGAATATGTAATTCTACCAATGCAATAGGATGGCACAGTATATTGAGGTTCGTTCGATCGATCCTATTTTGATTATGTTGTTGTTGTTGTGTGTGACTTGTAGTCTACTAACTTGTACCATTAGGTCATCTCGAGCAATCGTGTTGTTGAGACTGAAACTACGATTGTCAAAAGATTGGCATGCAATACAAGGTTCGATCAGACTATAAATTTTGTAATCTCATTGTTTATTATTACCATACTACACCAATGAAAATGAAATACTATCTTGACTCGATGAGATGACCTTTTTTGACTTGGGAGGTGGGTTTGACTTTTTGGATGTGGGTGATGGTTGACTTCTTTTCTTTGACTCTTGTTTGGATGAAGGCGTGATGCAAGTATGGTTACTAGGGTCCGATTGTGTCTTATCGAATTCTGTCTTATGGTCTGATGTTTGACTCATCGTTTGGGTTGCAGATTGTTTGGATTGTTTCATATCATTCACTAAATTCGAAATGGATCGTTGAGTGGAATTTTTGTGAGCCATTTTTCTCAATCGTGCTTGATTCTTTTCCTTTGCATACAGAACTTGTTGATTGGGTGTTGTTCTTGTTGTTGAATTCACATGTGATCTTTTATCACCATACATCATTCCCATAAAGGTGGATCTCATTGAGAGAAATTCTTCACGTTCTTGATCGGTAGCATTGGGATTCAATTTTGAAAGTTCCATCAATGAAGTTAAACTCTTTCCCTTAAGAAGAATATGAGAGGAGGAAGAGTCTTCAGTAGAGTTGTTGAAATCCTTGGTTGTTGTTGTTGTTGCAGCAGTACTAGTCTCTCCATGATTGGAAATGACATCAAACGAAGGATCGTCCGATGATTTACATTGCTTTCGTATCCATTCACTAAAATCTTCACTCGACATGATTTCATACAATTTATACAAGCATGAATATCCTATAAAAGCATCCATTGCTGCATACTTGACAAAGGGTTCAAATTTTGATAAATCTTTTCCTCTCACATTTTCAATATTCAATAATTCAATTCCCAATAATTTCAAGGATGGAATGGAAGTTCCAAATAAATGATATTGAGAGGATACTATTGCCAAATCAATGATATTTTCAATAATGAGAGGAGTGCTAGTTGTAATAGGAGATTTGTTATTCATCATACTAGTGATATTATTCTCAGTATTATTATTATTTTTAGTACTCATCGTAGTAGTGTTATTACTCATCGTAGTAGTAGTGATATGATATTTCTGAGAGATTAAATGTTTAATATCATTACAAACACCAACTCCAATCTTTGCTGTTTTTGAATTAAAAATTCAAATAATTCATTTGGAATTTTCTTCATCTTTTCAATTCCAAATACAAAACATAAACTATAAATCGATATTTGAATGGTAGTGATCGTGAAATGATTACCTTTATATTCTGCATCGAATCCAATTGGAATCAAGTTATTTTTACATATTAAATGATTTAATTTCTTCTCCTTTAATTCCATTTCATATAAATGTGAAATAAAATTTGCACAATTTTTCATTAATTTCCTTGAATTACTATAAATGATATAAAAAGGTATCTTTTCACATGGATTCAAGCACAATTGAATATCTTCTTGATAGGGTTCAATAATATTTGATTGAATATATTGAGAAATTGATGAAGAAATAAATGATGAGTGAGACAGTTGTTCTATGGAGGATTGAGAAGAAATGGATGTATTTAAAGATGATGGATTGACAAATTCAGAAATTCTTTCGGATTTTGTTGTTTCCGAGGGACGTGCTACTTTGTGTTGAGTCGACTGTTTATTATTGGAGGTATCATGATTGGTTTGTCCTACTAGTTGTTTTGTTGTGGAGGATGATGAATGAGTGTGCTGGTGATGGTGGTGCATTTTTTTCAATGTTATTGTTGAGAAGGGAAGGTTATTATTTCAGGGACAAGGCTTTGATTCTTGCTGGACTCATGAAAAAAAAATGCTCATGCAACGAACACATTGCTTTCTGGGCAGCATCTGCCATGGAACAAGGTTCATTTCAAAATATTTATTTTCTACGTTGAAATCATCATTTCATAATGCAAACCAACACCATCACCACTCGACTCGGCAACTACGATTCTATTCAAAAGTGCATCGTTCTCATCCCATTCCTGAAATTACTTTTAAAACTATTCAACCCGATCAAGTATCAAGTTTATCATCATCACAACATTCACCTCCACCACTCATCATTTTACATGGTCTTTTTGGATCCTATTTAAATTTTTCTACTTTTGCAAGACATTACAGTTCCAAATTTCACACTCGTGTTTATTTAGTGAATTTAAGAAATCATTCAGATCCTCAAAATCATTCTCCAGAAATGAGTTTTGCATTGATGGCTTCTGATTTGGTTCAATTCCTTCAAAAACAAGAAATTTCAGAATTTGATTTATTTGGATTTAGTTTGGGCGGTAAAACGGCCATGACCGCTTGTTTGGGTGATGAATTTAAACAACTAGTTGCACATCGCGTGAGAAAATTAGTAGTGGGTGATATTAGTCCACTTCCATTGAGAGATGGTGAATGGGATATTCCACATGTGGTTCGTGCACTTATTCTTTTAGATGAACAATTACCAGAAATGAAAAGTCGAAATGAAGCAGATGCATTTCTTCAACAATATATACCCAATATAGAAGTGAGAGGGTTTTTATTAAGTAATTTGAAGAGAAATGAAAATGATCCTCATATACGAAAAGGTGTATTTGATTGGAAATTTAATGTAAAAGCAATTGCTTCTAATTTACATGAAATTGCTGATTTTCCATACAAGACTCAACGTGTGTTTAATGAAATTGTTGAATTGGGTCAAAATTATTCCATTACCAATGAACCATGGACACCTTTTCAGAAAGAAACTCTTTTTTTGAAAGGTGAAAAGAGTAATCTCATCAATACTAATAGTGGTGGAATGAATTCCCCAAGTGAGCTGAATACCAGTCGTTGCCCAATCCAATGCTTCATAGAGTCCATCTCCTGTAATGGCACAACATCCTTGAATGAACCATTTACGATCTTTCACTGTATGTAATTTCATGACTTCACAAATTTCTTCAGTACTCGCTGCATGTGGTAAATCTTGTTTGTTTGCTAAAATTATGAATGAAGCATTGGACAATTCATCAGCATGAATTAAATATCTATGAAATTCATCACTTGCTTCTCTCAATCTCTCTCGATCATTGGAATCTACAACGAAAATGACCACATCTGTATTTTGATAGTAATGTCTCCATAATGGACGAATTTTGTTACCTCCACCAACATCCCACTAGAATGTGTGTGTGTGTATGTGTGTATGTGTGTTTTCAGGGAATAAGAATGTTAGGAGGTTGTCGAGATCATCATCATATGATGAATATTCAAATGTATGTTCAGGAAACATGTGAGAGTCACACACATGTTGTTAAAAAAAATATAAAAAATTTCACAAATATCGAGTCCATCAATCATAAAAAGATATAAATGTAGATATAATCATACATGAATACTTGATTCACACCACAACTTACCATAGTAATATCATAATTTTTATACCTGACCGTCTCAACATTAAATCCAATGGTTGGTATGGTCGTTACTGTTTCACCCAATTTATACTTGTAAAGAATACTCGTTTTACCAGTAGCATCTAATCCAATCATTAAAGCTCTCAATTCCTTCTTGAATTTTGGTAGTCTTTGTCTCTCATCACCATGATCCATACCATACTTGATATCAAATCCAAACTTTTCCCAATCCTCATTAGAAATGGTACCATTCAATTTGAAAAGAGTCATAATGAGACGATCTTTTAAATTCTCAATAATAGAATTGAGTTCAATAGGAGGATGATTGAATTGACATGCTCCAATACCTAAAATAAATACATGATAAATAAGAGAATATAATAATCCAGTTTGACAAGTGGTCCAATCCAAATATGAAATTAATAATTTTGAACTTTCATAGAAACGATTCTCATAATCATGTAATAGCCATGAGAGAATTAAAAAACAAACAATCTCAGATGATACTGTCATGTTTTTTGATTTTAGAATATAATTCATCATTTCAAAAGGTAGAGATGCAATGATTCGAAGTTTGACATTCAATTTCAATACGAGTACTAATTTAGAAATTTCAGCATTCATATTGTCAGGAATGGAATGTTTGATGAATGGAAATTCTTTTGAAGTAATATCTAAAATCAATTCTCGTTCATGTTCAACGACAGTCCTCGATGGATTCATCAATAAATGACCAATGGTAGAGACAAGTTGTAATTCTTCTTGTGTGAATAGAGAGACTAGACAAGAATTATTTATATCTGTATCATCATCATTGGTGGTAGTAGTGGTAGTAGTATTTGTGTCATCAGCAGTAGTAGTAGTAGTAGTACCATTACTATTATTTGCAGTAGCACCATTCACAGTAGCACCATTCGTGGTAGTAGTAGTAGTAATGGTAGTGATAGTAGTAGTACCATTACTATTATTATTATCACTATTATTATTGGTATCACGTGTTGAGCAGTAATGATTAAAAATATGATCAGCAACGATACATGGTAAATTCATAGCCAACACATCACATGCTTTTGGAATAATAATATTCCTTGTATCTTCAGATAATTCTAAACATGTAAATGCAATGGTTGATGCATTGTAATCATTCAATACTCGAGATATAGCTCTAGTAAGAGATTCTACTTGATATTCATCTGCAATTTGTAATAATGAAATTAAATCTTTCATCTTGATAAGAGAATTATATTCAGTTTGGGTAACATTTGAATGATTGGTATGATTTGAAATATTTAAATGATTTGAAATATTTAAATGATTTGAAATATTTAAATGATTGTATGAATCACAACACATTACATCATCCTCTTGTAATAATTTAAAATTAGAAACTCCCAAATATCCCAAATGAATGAAATGAATCATTTGTTCAAAATATTGAATCATGGGCATGGTATCATCAAGTGTCATTTCATTCGATTTGGATTCCATCATTTCACTATGAAACATCTTCTCAAATACTTTGCTATGAGTGGCAAGTACTTGTTTCATGACAATGAGTCGAGATTGAGTATGAGGAATGTGAATGGTAAATGAATGGAGAAGTGATGATGAATCATGATTGGTTTGATTTCTTTTGAAATATCGAATGATCTTTGTGTCCGTCAAATGGATGATTTCATATGAATATTCATTCATCATGATGGTATTGTCACAAGTTGTTGTTGTTTCTGTTGGAACTGTTGGAACTGTTTGGACCATGATGTGGTTATTGGTGATTTCGGAAGTGGTGGTGGTCGAGGTGGTGATATTGGGAGCCACATGATGATCACTGTGAGTGTCCTCTGTAGTAGTAGTATTATCAATTGTAGTAGTAGTAGTATCAGATGTTGTGCATGGATTATTATTACTGTTGGTATTACCATGAATGTCATCCTTGTCATCTCTCACTAAATAAAAATACATGTGATTTTGAATTTTAGAAATTAATTCTTCACGGATATCTGTCATACCCATCACTTGTGTGGTGGATGACAGTGAATCTGCTGATGCTACCTTCAATTCATTCATTAATTCTCTTTTGACACTACATTCCAATCACAATACCAATGACTCGTTTGATTCATCTTTTTAATGAAATTAATCAATTCTTCATCAAGTTGCTCAACAGATTGAGAAGATGGTTGCATATCGGAAGAGATACTTGTCAATGTGCGATTGGAATGAGTTGATGATAACATGATATTGGTCGGTGCAATCGAATAACGCATCACTATTTTTTTTTTGAATCCTTTTTGAAATCGATAAGGTGATTCACTCTGCCACAATAAATGAGACTCGAGATTTTCGTTGTAAAAGAACTTGCACGTCAGCATGATAAGAACACTAAATGACACATCATTGTTTCATTGTAATCGTGCACAACATAATGTTTTTCGGCGAGAAGTTCTTGCTCTACAAGAACTTTTGGAGTTTGCATGACGTGCATTAGTGTTGACAAACTTGTTATGAACAGTTAGAGAACGCCTTTAATTGAGGAACATTGATTTCTGTTGAAACAAGGAACGCAAGAAGAAATTGATTCAGAGAATTTTACAAGGACGAATTATGTTTTCACTGACTGGACAAGTGTCAAGAATGCATTCGAGATAATAACGAATGAAACGTCTTACTTCTCAAGATTGATTGAATTTTTGGTGAGGTGTTTTTATTTTGAAGTTTATTTGATTGTCCAAGAGAGTCCTGTGTGTAACAGACAGTACAACCCTCACTGTGGATATCCAAGGAGAAGTCATAGAATGATTCCAAATAATTCAAGGTGTTAAAAACATTTGTTCTCGAATAAGGTGAAAAGACTTCACATCATCTGTCAAATTTTTCCAAACAAGTCGTCACTGAAAATTTACATCATTTGTCAATCATTCAACAACAACATGATGATTCACAAACATTTCAAAAAAACATCAACAACTATCCTTGTTGTATCATCCATTGCTGTCTGTCACCTCAAAATTTGATAGTCATCCGTACTGAATATATATATATACACAAAGGAATCAATCCACCACACTTGTTGTTGTTGTTCAATCATCATATTTTCACAAATATCTTTGAAACTAAATAGACCATCCTATTTCTCCAATAGACACACAATCCTCTCCAACATTTCCTTTGTGAATCATCATCAAAATGTCCACCACAGATAATGCTCCTCCAACCAACTCTTCACGTAGAACTAAAAAGAATAATGCTGGTGAATCCTTCTTTAAACGTTTGCTCGAACAACAAAAACAAGAACTTGGTACTTCCAATAAATTCAAATGGGTGCCTGATGGAGAAGGTGGATATGTTGCAGGTGAAATTGTTGAAGAGACTGCTACTGAAGTTCAATTTAAATATGAGGATGGTAGAGTGAGTACTTGCAAACCAGATCAAGTCTTTCCAATGAATCCTCAAAAATTGGTATGTTTTTTTTGGGAATGTCTCTATTTATGTTCTTTGAGGAATTATTTCACATGATACTGCTGTGTGAATGATGAATATGAATGATCCAATATATTATGATCATCCTCCTCCTCCACTCGCACTCCTTCCAAATAATAATAATAATATCCTCAACTTCCAAATACGATATTTATAGGATGGTATTGCTGATATGGCCTCTCTCTCACTCCTCAATGAACCTTCTGTCTTTTACAACCTCAAATATAGATATGAACGTGATCAAATCTATACTTATTCTGGATTGTTCTTGGTTGCTGTCAATCCATACAAGAATTTACCAATCTATACTGAAGAAGTGATCAAAAAGTATGAAGGTAAACGTCGTGAAGATGTTGAACCACATATTTATGCTGTTTCTGATGTTGCCTATAGGTATGTTAATTGTGTTAATTCAACAATGATGATTTTATCATTGTCATCCTCACCTATTGAATATTTAACAACAAATCTCTATTTTGATCCAATTCAATGAATTGATCCGAATATGGATCTCTTGTTGAATTTGAATCATTGCCTCCTCTCTCTCTTTGGACTTGTTTGCTGTCATCCAATTCCATGGACTGAACAAAACACTCCTCGCCACTTCACCACTCCTCATCACCATATATAGACAAATGTTACAAAATGGTGAAAATCAAAGCATGCTCATTACAGGAGAATCTGGTGCAGGTAAAACAGTGAACACGAAACGAGTCATTCAGTACTTGACTCATGTCGCTGGTAAAGGTGGTGCAGGTGGTCAAATTGAACAACAATTGAACATGTGTAACCCCTTATTGGAATCATTTGGTAATGCCAAAACTCTCCGTAATGACAATTCTTCTCGTTTTGGTAAATTCATTGAGATTCAATTTGACAAACAAGGTTATATTGCTGGTTGTAGAATTCAACACTACTTGTTAGAAACCACACGTGTCATTAGACAAGCCTTGAATGAACGATCGTTCCACATTTTCTATCAAATCTTTAGTATTGAAGATGAAAAGAAGAAGGAATTGTATTTGACTGATCCAAGTGATTATGAATATGTGAATCAGAGTAATTGCTTTGTCGTACCAGGTGTCGATGATGAGGCTGATATGAAAATGACTCTTCAATCCATGCGTATCATGAAAATGACAGAAACTGAAATTGACATGATTCTCCGTATTGTTGCTTTCATTCTCCATATTGGTAATGTTCAATTCAAGGATGATGAAGAAGAACATGCTCACGTCACGAACGCTAAAGAATCTCTTCAATTGGCATGCGAAATTCTCAAAGTCACTCCCGATCAATTGGTCAAAGGTTTTTGTAAACCTCGTATCATTTTGCCAGGTGAAGTCATTGAAACTGCTGTCGACTCGAGAAAGGCTAACTTTAACCGTAACGCGTTGGTCATGTCCACTTATTTGCGTATGTTTGATTGGATTGTTCAAAAGATCAATCAATCCATGAGTGCCAAGTCTGAAATTAAGAACTTTATTGGTGTATTGGATATTGCTGGTTTTGAAATTTTGATATCAATAGCTTTGAACAATTGTGTATCAACTTTACCAATGAGAAACTTCAACAATTCTTCAATCATCACATGTTCAAGAAGGAACAAGAAGAATACTTGAGAGAAGATATTGCATGGAACTTTATTGACTTTGGTTTGGATTTACAACCAACCATTGATTTAATTGAGAAACCACAAGGTGTCTTGGATATTCTCCATCAAAAGTGTGTCGTTCAGAATCAAGACGAGGAGAGCTTTGTTCGTGATTTACTCTCGAAAAATGCCAAATCGGAAAAGTTGAAGAAGGATAAATTCGATCAAAAGGCTTTCCTCGTGACTCACTACGCTGGTGAGGTCAAGTACAATGTTCGTGATTGGTACAGCAAGAACGTGGATCCACTCAATGATGATTGTAAGATGGCCATGCAAAAGAGTATGTTGCCTTTCGTGAAGAAACTCTTCATTTCTAGTGAGGATAAGAAGGAGGACAAGTCGGCCACCAACTCTCGTTCCACCTCGGGTGCTGGTGTTCGTTTCCAAACCGTCGGTAACAAGTACAAGAAGCAACTGAGTGACTTGATGCAATTATTGGCCAGTACAGAGCCTCATTTTATTCGTTGTATCAAGCCTAACTCTCTCCAGAAGCCAGGTATCTTGCAAGCCGTTCACGTGTTGGAACAATTGAAATGTAACGGTGTCTTGGAAGGTATTCGAATTAGTCGAAAGGGTTATCCTGGTCGTATCAAATTTGCTGATTTTGCCAAGAGATATGAATTATTGGCAAAGAGTGCGAGTGCAGTCAAATCCTTAAAGACGGATCGTGAGAAGTGTCAAGCCATCATCTCCGATGTGGGTTCTTTTGTTATGGATGAAACCAAATACAAAATTGGTAAGACTAAAATCTTTTTGAAATCGGGCGTGGAAGCTCAACTCGAAGAATTGAGAGAACACCAAATTGAGAAGGTCATTGCATTGGCTCAAGCAGCCTGTAAGGGTCACTCTGCTCGTAAACAATACAAGAAACTCATTGGACGTATTGTTTATATCAAATTATTGCAAAGAAACTTTAGAGCCTATTTGAGTATGAAAGATTGGGATTGGTATCAACTCTTTGTCAAGGTTCGTCCATTGGTTGAGGCTGATCGTTCTGAAAAGATGTTGAACCAAATGAAGGATGAAATTGAAAAGTTGAAACAAGAAGTCATGAATCAAATTGAGAATAACAAGATTACTGAACAAGAAAAGGATAATCTCTCTCGAAGTGTTGAACAAATGAGAGCTGAGATTCGAACTCGTGAAAGTGAATTGGAACAAATGAATCAAATGTTACGTGAAATGAAGGACAAGATGGATCATCGTGAACACGACATTGAATCTCTGAGCGGTAACATGCAAGATAAGGAAAATGCCATTTCCAATTTGAGACGAGAAATTCAAAACAAGGACTTTGAAATGAATCAATTAAAGACTCAATTGGACAATGCCAAGAGAACATTGGCTGATAAGGACAATGAAGTTCTTCAACGTGGTAAAAACATTCAAGAAGTCAAAGATGAATTGAATCGAGCCTTGACAGAATTGGAAGATTTGAGAGCTGAATTGAATATTACCAAGAATACTTTGAACAACTCGGACTATTCATTGGATCAAACACGTCAAGAAATGCTCGACAAGGAACGTAAATTGAGAGAACGAGACAATGAAATTGTGGAACAAAAGAAGAAATCTGCTACATTGGAACAAGATTTGAAGCGTGCTGAAAATGATCGAAATGAATTCGAGTTGCAAGTCAATTCCATGAAGAAGGCCATTGACAACTTCCAACAAGAATTGGATAAGAAGAATCGTGAATTTGATCAATTGAGAAGACAAAAAGTCTCTGGTGATCAACAATCTGAACAAATTCTCTCTGAATTGGAAGAAGAAAAGAGAAAACGTAATGAATTGGAAAAGAAATCACGTGAATTGGATCAATTGTTGGAAACTGAAAAGTTTGAACATGAACGTGCTCTTTCCAATGCTCGTGATTTGGAAACTGAAATTGAAAATCTCAAAAAGGAAATTGCCACATTGAAGATGAGAATTTCTGAATTGGAAGATGCCAACGAGAGATTGAAACGTGAAAATCAACAATATGAACGTGAATTGGGTGATTTGAGATTGAAGAGTGAAAATGAACAAAACAAGATGCAAAGTGAATTGCAACGTGAGAAACAACGTGCCAATGATGAAATTTCCAATCTCAATAACAAACTTGAAGATACACGAAGAAGATTGGAAGAATCTGAACAAAAGGTCAACAATTCTGATCGTGAGAATAGAAACTTGAAGAAGGACAAGCAACAACTTGAACAAGATAAGGCTGATTTAGAAATCAAGTTGAAGAGAACTGAAAGTGAACTCAAATCAGGCTCACAAGACGCTGACAATTTGAAACAACAATTACAAGAATCTGAAAATAAGAAACGTGAATTGTTGAATCGTGTGCGTGATTTGGAATTGGAATTGAACAATCTCAAAGAAGAATTGAATCGAGAGAAATCCAAGAGATCTTCACTCGAATCGGACTCTTCCTCTCTCAAAGACAAGTTGAACACACTCGATCAAGAACTCTCTGCATTGGAATTGGTCAAGACCAAAGTTGAGAAACAACTCCGAGATACTCAATACGATTTGGATCAAGAAAAGAATCTCTCTTCCAAATTGAGATCGGATTTAGATCAAGTCCGAAAGTCCGAGACTGAATACAAGGCTAAAGCAGAGACTTTTGAGTCTTCACTCCAATCACGTGAGGCTGAATTGAAGAACTTGAGAGATCAACTCGAACAATTGAGATCTCAACTCTCTGACAATTCGAACATTTCCGAGGAGGCTCAAAAGCAAATCAAGAAGATGAAGGATGACATTCGAAAGAGTCAAGAACAATTACAAGAGAGTGAATCTCGATTGAAGGATGAAATGATCAAACACAAACAAGCTCAATCCACCATTCTCGAAAAGGATAATCAACTCGCACTCTCAAAGGATGAATTGAATCGATTGTTACGAGAAATTTCACAATTGAGATCTGATTTGGATAATGCTCGCAATAATTTATCTGGTGCTGACACTGAATCATTGAAATTGAAGAGTGAATTGAGAGAGAAGGATCGTAAATTGAAAGAAGCAGAGAATGAAAAGGATGATTTGGAATCACAAGTTCAACAATTAGAACGTGAGATGAATGAACACAAATCTCGACACGATCAAAAAGATCAAACCATCTCGCAATTAGATGCCGAACGTAAACAACGAGAAGTGGAACTTGCCAAATTAGCCAATGATGTCGAACGATTGAAACAAGAAAAGGAACGTGATGCCACTACAGCGCGCCAACGTATCGAACAATTACAACGCACCATGGATGATGCTGAGGAACGTGCCTCGAGTGAAGTTCGCAAACTCCAATCCGACAATAAGGATCTCAAGAATCAATTGAAGCAATTGAAGAAGGACATGGAGAGTGGAATGAATTCTTCGTCTTCGGGTACTGTAGACAGTGCTGAATTGTCTCGTGTACGACGTGAATACGATTCTGAATTGATCAAATTGAAGGCTCAACTCGAAGATGAAGTCATTCAACGCAACGACGCCGAACAAAAGAAGAAACTCTTAGAATTTGAATTGAATGATTTCAAGGACAAGTACAATCAAGAGACCAAGGCTCGTAAAAAGATGGAAGCACTCAAATTATCTCTCCAATCTGAAATTGAAGATTTGAGAGAATTGGCTGAAAAGGCAGAAGATCTCTCCGAAGAATTGTCCATGTGTAAACAACAACATGCAGATATGGTCAATGAACTTGAAAGTGAATTGAAGAAGGAGAGATCCGATCGTATTTACAATGAAGAAGAAGCATCTCGATTCAAGCGTGATGTTCAAAATCTTAAAGTTCAATTGGAATTGGCTCTTCAAAAGAAGGAAGAGGAATTGAGACGTGTCAGAGGTCAATACGAACAAGAAATTCAAGATTTACAAGATTTGTATAACAAGTCCAAGAATGATAAGAAGAAATTCTCCAAATCTTCAACTTCATTGGAGACTGAATTACGTGAAGCTCAACGATCGTTACAAGATTCTGAACGTTACAGATCATTGGCTGAACAGAAGGCTGATCGATTGGAACGTGAATTGAAGATGGCTAATTTGAGATTGGAAACTGAATCATCCAATCAATTACTCATTGCACAAGAGAAACAACGAATTGAAAGTCAATTGCAATCCGTGCGTGATCAATTCGATGAATTGGAGAGTGAAAATACCAAGTTGAAATCAGATTTGGATTCTGAGAGAAGAAAGTTCCAACAATTGGTTCGAAGATTGAATAGCAGTGCAAGTACAAGTTCAGCACGATCCTATGTGGGTGCTGGCGATGATGATTCTGATGACGAGGATGAAGAATAAGTGTATTGTTAGCTAAGAACACTTGGAAGCTCGCTTTAGGTTTTTAATTAAAATTTGTTTAATTTCAAAAGATTGTTGTTGCGCTCTTTCTTCATGCAAACTGGTTACGAACTTTCATACTAGGTGACTGAGGAAATCTTCAACAGGACACTACCACACTTCCCCTTCAACGACGTTACATTTTAGTGCGCCTCCTCAATGACGCCGAGCTTGGTAATAAATACGTTCTACAGTCAACGTTGATGGTCTTCCCAATTGTGCGTCCTTAACAGGATCCAGCAGCTAATTAAAAGACAACGTTAATATGAAGGCAATATTTTCCAACTCCAAACAACAAATTCAATAGGCCTTAAAATCATCGTCAGACATTAGGATCACTAAACACGTCGTTGCAGCCCAGCCAAAATTTTCGGAGGGTTCTCCGACAAGTACTTTTTAACAATTTTTGAATGAAACTTTCAAAACAAAAAACATGAAGATGTAGGAAACTGAGTTTACTACACCATGGTCTCTTCTTTTCTCGTTGTTATTATTCAAAATATCGAGCAATGTACAACAATAGCGAACTAGGTGATATTTTTCGAAAATTTTTGGCTCAGAAACTCAAGCCAAACCGGAGCGGCAATTCAGCCCGGAGCAAGTGGGTTGTCCCTCTATAAAAAATGACAAAATCCTTGCCAGTCTTTAATGAACGAAATGTCGAACCGTTGCCATCATCACATGAAAGAACATTGGTTGAATTAGTACAAAAGAAGATTCTGGAAAGTGTGATCAAAAAGGTCATCAAATATGTACAGCGTCCAAGTAATGAAATATTTTATGGAATGTTAACTGTTCGCCAAGTTGTATTATTGTTCTTGTATTATATTACATATGGTGACTCGTTCATCAAAATGGAAATACAATTTCATATCCCTCATTCAAATATCAGTAGAGCAATCACTATCTTGCGTTCTATCCTGTATACCAATATCAAGAATGAAATTAAATTTTTTCCTTTAGCAATCAGAAAAAGAGCAATCCGAAGAAGAACGAGAGCCAAATGGCTTCACAAATGTACTGTTGCACTTGACTCTATTGACATACCAAAAGCTGTAACAGAAATCATGAAACTCAAAAATTTGAACAAGCGGAAAGAGAAAAATACAGAGCGAGGTGAATTGTGGAGGTCACATAAATTGAAAAATCACCATCATGCCCTACGGTACCATTTTGCGTGCGACTTCCTTTATCGCATTGGATATGTTTCCAAGTATCGGCCTCCCACAGAGTACGATGGTCATGGAATTATTAGAGACAAAACTCGATTTGAAAATTCTTTGGAAGAGGGTGATGTTGTGATGGCAGATGATCATTATAGGACAGTCAAACGAAAAATCAAAAAGGTTGGATGGGTATGTCCTAAGCGTGAAACTCAAAAGGACTGGAACCCTGATACAGATGTTAAGAAGAATAAGCAACAAAGGGCTACAAGAAAGCTTGTGGAAACGGAACTTTCTCAAATAGCGAACAACTTTCGTGTCCTAGCAATACCATGGAAAGGTAGTGTGATACATCACCAAAAGATGGTGTGGATCATTGCAGCCATCCACAACCTCATTGTAGATACACAATACCCCAACTTGGTAGAATAAAACAAATTTTTTATCGAGGGACAACCCACCAACGACGTGTCTACCATGTCTTGAGAATGCTGCCTTCCATCCTAAAACACAATATTTGATAAAGCATCATAAATAGACAGTACGAGCGCCATTCGTTTCATCATAGTGCTAAGTTTGTAGATGCTACACATCACATTTCTGATATCACAGAGGACCGATAACTTGAATAATGGAAACTATATGATATAAGTTAATACATGCAATCATTATTCTATGCAATAATGATTACATACCAAACGGCTAAGCGCCACAAGTTATAATGAAAGAACGATATTTTTAGGTAATATCGCTGTAATACTACATGAAGACGTTATTGTTGTCTAGACGTCCGAGAAAAGGTTGTTAGGCTGTGATTAAAATTAATTTGTGTAGATCAACCACAGTGAATGGATAGTAGTTCTGGAACAAATGTAGACTGTACTAATGCACAGTGTTGTCAGTAACTAATCATTCTCATCAGCAACAAATTTTGAAACCGATGTGTTAGCTCAATTTTGCACAAGAAAAGTATAACCCATGTTACTTGAAAAAACATGTAATGTAACTTCAAACAATAATAGATAAATACCAATGGGTTAGTTACTGTCTCCACTCCAGGAAGTGTCGCTTCTTTTGACATGGAGTCGCGAGCGAATCAACTACGGATAAAAATTTATAAAAGATCGTGGGATTTTAAATTCTTTTACCCATCAATAATAAGGCCAAAGACAAAAGTGTCAAAGGAAATTACTGATCAAATCAATGAATAAGGCATAAGCCAATTAATACAACACAAAGTGTTGTTGAATTCTAAATATATAAAGGGAGGGAAGGCAATCACTGAGCTAATCGATAATAAGATTTAGCAAAATTAATACAAAGTTGAATTCTTATCATCATGGAAGGTAGGTGTTGTTGTGCCAAACTCATTTCCAAAAACGTTTGGACAGTCTAGAATAAGTTCAAAAGCAGAGGTTTCAGTAATCTGAACATCATCATGCATGGTTTTATAAAGATCACTCAAACCGAGTTCAAATTTTAATAATTGACGAATCTCTGGAATTCTCATTCTTCAATACTTTCATCTCCTCTCTCTCTTCTTCTTGTTCTTGTGACCTTGGCAATATTCGATGCAAATTGCATGGCCTTCTTTGGTTGATTACATTGTTCAATTCCCAATACATGTTTACAGTATTCTCTCAAAATTAATTTATCTCGAGTGATGAGTGCTCCTTCTTTGGAATTGTTACATTTCAATGTTTTTTCAAGTTCAATCTTTTCTCTCAAATCTACAACAACATTCAATGGTAATTGTTGAACATGGTGTATCAATGATTCATCCAAATAAGGTAATCGACATTCCTTTCCATGACTACTAATGATACGATCATCTCTTCCTAAATTTCGATACCATAATCGATTCAAATCCATATTCATTTCTGTATTCAATCCTTCCCATCCTTGTTGTGAAAATCGTTTCAAATATCTTCGATATCCACCAAATAGTTCATCACTTCCAACTCCACACAGTAAAACTTTACTTGTGGATTTGTAGAGTTGTAAGGTTGTGTTGGTTTCATTCTTTTTAATTCCAATATTGTTGTTATTGTTAATTCCAATACTGTTGTTATTGTTATTATTATCATCATGGTTAACATGATTGTTATTATTGTCATCATGATTGTTGTTATTATTATTATTATCATGATGATATAACCAACCAATTCCTCTCGATGCACACCACAATACACATCCAATAGTATAATCCAATACAGTATTATTGGGATGAATTAATTCTTTAATTCTCTCTGAATATTCTAATTCTAATTCACTCTTCAATACATTTACTAGTAATAATCGAAATCGATCATTATATTTAGAATTGAGTATTTTGAATGATTGAATACTTTGAATTCGATCATGTGAAGATTCTATTTGAGAGAGTGTATTTCCAAAGGATACATTGATGAGTGTAATTTTGGGTAATTCTTGTTGTTTGAAATGTTGAATGGTGGTAGTGGTAGTGGTAGTGGTATTGGTGGTGGTATTGTGTTGATGTCGATAACAACTACTACTACTCGTTGGTGTACAAACACTAGTGTTTAAATGTGCCAATGCTGCTAATACAATACTATCAATTCCACCGGAAAATAGAATTGCAAATGGTGCTTCATTTGGAATGCAAAGAGGGTTCATGTTGTTTGGAATCGTGTTGGGAATAGTCATGTTAGTTATGGTAGTGTTTGTGTTGTCAGTGTTCATTGTGTTGTTGTTAGTCATATTCGTATGATAATTTTGATGATTCATCATCCTTATGCATACTTCTTCATCTTTCCTTGGATAATCATTTAAATAATTAATTCTTACATTCACACTATGTGATAATAATCGATGAAAAGTATCTAAATAATTCATAACATTTGCATTCTCATCGTATAATTTCATTCTATTTTGATCATGAATGAGTCTTGTATGATTGAGCATGTTCAATGAATATTCAATTTTCTCTAATACATTGGTCGTTAAATCTAATTTGAATAGATTGGGAGAGAGATTGTACCAACAATTATATGGCTCAATGTTAAGTGAAGAAGAACATGATGATTCTATCGTGGTGCTGCTGCTACTATTACTACTATCCATCGATCGATCAGGTAATATGGCAAAACTAGTACTTGAGAGTATTAAGGAGAACCTATTCATGGTAGTAGAATGATTCGTGGTAGTAGTAGTAGTACTAGCTGCTGTGGTAGTAGTAGTTGTGGTAGTAGTTGTGGTAGTAGTAGTATGAATAGGAGTCATGGAACGAGTACAAGTCATAGAAGTGGTAGGAATGACTGGAGGTTCAATCTCTTCTTCTTCGTCTTGTGAAAATGGTATTAATGAAAATAATAAACTTCTACGACCTAATCGATCTCTTCCAAATAATAGATAATTATGTTTGATATTATATAAAATAAATGCAAATTCTCCTTGAATATTATTAAATATAGAAATAATTGAAGAGAGTGTAGAATCAATATCATTCTTGTTGTTGTGTTTGTTATTATTATTATTATTATGACTATTATTACTATTAGAACTAGTATTATTCTGATTATGATCATTACTACTAGAACTAGTATTATTACAACTAGTATTATTGTAATGACCATTCATAGTACTATCAATCATGGATGAATCCATTACATTCTTCACATCTTGTTCATCCTTAAAACATTGATGAATTAAATGAAATAAAAATAATGTATCATTTCCATATTTCAATTCATCATTTCCATATTTCAATTCATCATTTCCATATTTCAATTCATCATTCATCTCATTCATTCTCTCACTATAAATTTCACCATTCCATAATAATACAAAATCTTGATTATAAATGGGTTGTTTACATAACTCATTTCCTCTCAATGATAATACACTTGAAATGAAATGTAAATTTGAATTTGCTATTGGTAATGAATATATTTCAGTGTAATCAGGTCCTCGATATTGTAATTCATGTTTCATTGCATTTAATAATTGTTGAATAGAAGGATGGTATGTGAATGATGGTTCTTTTTTTTCATTCATGGATGAACGATCAGTATGAATTTCATTCTCAGTTTTTCGTGTGTTGTTGGATGAGGAAAGCATATGGATGAAATTTTGACAAGTCAAATTTGGTTCGGGAATTGGCTGTGCTCCCCGAAACAAGGGAATCAAAGATCCAATGCCACACATTTGATGATTTTTTTCGAGTACAAATTCCAAAGCAACCACTCTTCACAAATTTCTTGAGACTTTGGGTTCAAGAGAAGTACCAAAAGGATCGAAATTGGATTCTTTATTGTTGTTGTTCACTCATTCACTCATTCACTCATTCACTCACTCACTCATTCATACACTGTGAGGGTGCGTGTGTGTGCAAATTACAACAATCATACACACATGTCCTGTATGGTTCCACACTTCTTTCGAATATACTGGATATATTCTTTCAAATTTTCATTCACTTCTTCTGCTTTTTCTTTAAATTCTTCATCATCTTCATCTTGTTCAGTGATACCCATCTCAATTGCAGATTCATCACTCTGTTTTGATTCCTTTCCAACACAATGTTTCTTTTCAATATTTTCTTTCAATTCATGAATAAAATCATCTAATTGAATCTTTTCTAAACATGGTAACAAGTCATGAAACAATTCCTTTTCCATTCCCTTCTCATCAGAATAAATTTCAAAAATATCATTTAACAATTCAATGAGAATATCAAAGTGTGAATGTTCAACACTATATGAAATAGATTCAATAAACACTTTCAATGCTCTCAATTTGGATGGAGTATTATTCAATGATGCAATTCCATGCAGAATTTCAAATGTTAATTCTAAATGTTGTTTGTTTTTGATATTTGTAACAAGTTGAGATTCATCGATTTGATTTTCATTTAAATTATTTGAAATACCAATGGCATAGGTTTTAAAGAGAGAAGAATAATATTTCTCGTCATGATTGTCTTGTTGTTGAGAGGTAGTAGCTGCAGTACTATCTGCAGTACTATCAATAGTAGTAGTAGTAGTATCAGTACTATCTGCAGTAGTCTCACTTGTATCATTCTTGAGAGAATCCAATGAACTAAAATTCACTAATTGTAAAATACTTCTAATGGTTGAAATAATAGATAGAGTATTTGGAGAGTGTGTATTGGCAATACCCATAGAGTTACTTGTAGCATTGGATACATCATGAGTACTCATCAAATTCGTAGCATTAACCGTTGTAGAAACCAGAGGTGTTGTTTTCAATCCAATCACTTCTCTACTCATTGAATACATTAAATGTAGAATCTTTTCTTTATAAACAAGGCAAGTAGAAGATGTCCATAATAATTGACATGTTTCTCGAAGTAATTCTTCTTGTTTCAATAATTCATTCATAAAAGTATTCGATTCAATTAATTCTAAAAGCAAGTCAAAGAGAGTAGAAATGAATTGTTCTACTGGTGGAAGTGATGAGTTTGATGCATCATTACTCTCAGTATGACTCTCCTTATGGTCATAAATAATCGATGGATGAATGGAATGATCACTCTTATACATCAAAATGATACCCTTCAATAATTGATGTATTAATTCACTTTCTAATTTTGAGAAAATATTTTCATCCACTTCAAAGAGACGATTCAATGCAAGTGCACTTTCATGAATGATTGGATTATGATTGTCAATGGTTAACAATTCAATTAATCTCTTAATTGCATTGTGATGTTGCAACAATTTGATTGATGCTAATTGTTCTTCGGGATCCTCAACGATTATGGTTTGAATGGTTTCACAGGCTTGTTCAATGGAGAGAAAGGATTTCGAGAAGAGAAGTTGAATCACTTTGGGTTGATTGGAGGCTTGATTTGATTTCTTCTTTTTTTGTTTTGGTTGTTGGGAATCTTTGGAAGTTTGTTGAAGAGATGATTCATCCTCCTCTGCTTCGTGTTGTGGTTCGGAGTCAACATGATACTCCTCCTCGGATTGAAATTCTTCTTCTTCTTCGGTTGAGTCTTTTGCTTGTCGTTTTGGCATTTTTTAATTTGGTTGTACACGACTCAACACAATGAAATACTTTTTTGGACCTGTGCTTGAGTTATTTTATTTCTCATCCAAAGGACCTTTTTATGGTCAAAATGATGCATACTCATTGTTGATGCTGTTGTTGTTTAATCTTTTGCATGACCACTAGTAATTCATTGGGATGCAAGTACTTTTTGATGGAACTTGTTTCCAGCTCCTCCAATATGGTTGCAATAATCAACAATCGTTCTTTTCGTTGTATCAAAGCATGATCAATTAACTTGACGATATTCTTATTGATATTGAGCACAAGTAATTTCAACTTCTCTTTTGCAACCAAAATACTTTCCTTTGTGTTGGAAGGATCAATTGCCTTAATAACCACCTTTCCATAGATTAACTTTTTAATTTCAGGACTATCAAAGAATCCATCCAATCCGTGTGACTCTGGTATGTAGTTGGATACAATTGGTTTTGGATAGAGTACTTCTGTTCTGAATTTGCTTAAAAACAATAAATTCTTAAAATCTCTCTCAGCATCATTCTTCATCACTCTGACCACTTCCTTAATTAATATTTTACATTCTTCCAAAGTATAGAGTTGATCTGTTCGGATTCTATATAAAAGATCTTTTCTAGCTTCAGACAAGGAAAATCCTACAATCTTGCCGTCATCGACTCTCCAAATTCTAACGCTTGTAGGTTCCTCAGCCAAGGTCTTTCCATTCTCAAAGTGAGCCAACTCACGTTTGATACGCTCTCTCTCTTCCTTTTCAGCCTCTATTCTCTTTAACTCTTCAATTTTCTTCATTTGAATCTCTTTGAGTTTGTTCAATTTGATTTGTTCTCTCATGATCAACTCTTCTCGTTCTCTCTTTTCTCTAGCAATTCTTTCTTCTTCTTGCCTTTTAATTTCTTCAAGTCTTTTACGTTCTGCTTCTTCTCTTTCAATTCTTTCTCTTTCAATTCGCATTCTCTCTTCTTCTTCTCTGCGTTTTCTTTCAATTTCTTCTTTATGCTTTTCATAATAAATTCTTTCTTCTTCTTGTCTTTTAAGGTTTTTTAAATGAGTTAACTCTCGTTTGGACTTTAAAGATCTAAGTGATGATTGAATAATGGTTGCATACTGGATCAATTTCTGACCTCTTATAACTTCGAGATCTGAATATGCATAATGTCTCATGAAAACCTTAGTGTTTCCAATTTGAGCCTTAACTTTATCAAATCCTACTTGTGCAATGATTTCTTCGCAAGCCTTTTTCATCTCATCAATGGTTTTACAATCTTTACGAGACGAGCTTTGAAGATGAATTACTTTGAATCTATGATAAAATTGATCAAATGGCATTCTTACACTGTAGCCTTCTCTTCTAATTTTTACTGTCTCAAGAACTCCTGAAGATCTCAATTGGTTCATGACCTCTGTTGTACTAAACATATTTGGCTTTTTAGCAGGATGAGGTTTGATGCATCTAATGTAATGAGGTCTCGTCGAATTGATAGTAGAGAGTAAGACATTAAGCTGCTTTCTGAATGATTCAGCAACTGTATCTTTAGCGCTTCCGTTGTCCTCCAGTAAAGCTGAGATGAAGGAACATTTGCTTGTTTTTGTTAACTTGAACAAATCATTGTTCAAAGTGTCCTTATTCTTTTCAATCCATCCATTAACATCATAGGCTACGTCGCCAGCGTAGTGCTTGAGAATGAATTCTTCTTTCTTCAATGGTGAAGCATCAAAGAATTTTGACTTTTTAAAATACAATTTTTTGATGTTATCTAAAAAGTCAAAATCCGTAGAATTTGATTTACAGCAATCAGTGATAGAATTAACAACTCCCTTTTGAATCAATTCGATACATTCAACATTGTCATTGAAGGTCACTGCAGTGGCATCAATTCCTTCTTGCTTACATTCCTCGACATCTCTCTTAAAGGTATAATTGTTGTAAACTCCCTGCAGTGCTTCATTGGCGTAGTTGATACAAAGTTGTTCAAAGCTATTTTTTTGGAATGCTTCAAATCCATAAATATCAAGCAATCCAATAAAGTTGTCAACTTTGTGATCTTTTGACGCATCCAAATTCTGATTAATCTTCCTAATGATCCAATTAAATGTTGCATCATAGAGGGCCTTTGAAAATGCATCTCTGGCATCACAGGCTTTAGCTGGACTTAGTCCTTTCAAAATCAAGTCCTTTCCAGCAGTGACATACATGGATGTGAGAGCTTTCTCAAGACTGGCGGCCTCTAGTTTAAGTAGAGAAGATGCATTGTTTAAAACTGTTCTATTTTCTATTTCGGATGCATCTCCTTTGGGTTTGAATTTGAGATTTTGCAAATTTAAAACAGCAGCCACAATTCTAAAAATTGAATCCTGTTCTTCTTGGCTCAATCCGACAATGTTCATTGCCTTTACAACTTCTTGAAATTCCTTGGCATCATCAACACCATCCACTTTAAAACATTTTCCTCCATTAATACACGCATAGTCTTCTGGTTTGGTTAGGAATAATTCTTGTTTTTTCTTGGCATCACACCCCGCCAATAATTGATAGAAAATATGATAGCCTCGTTCTCCTGTGGACTGAGAAATTACTCTTGATTTTTCGAGAAGGTAATTGTACATGAAAGCACCAAGAATAACACCATCCTTGTCAAATTGCATGATAATGAATTTACCAAATCGTGATGAATTGTCATTTCTTTGAGTCTTGGCATTTCCGAAGGATTCGAGAATTGGTGAACACTCTTGGATTTTGAGAGCGATCTTTGAAGCTCGTTCTCTTATTTTTTCATCGTTGGTGATCGAACAACTGAGCTTTGACAAGTACTTGATGACAGTTTTGCATCCCTCAGTTTTTCCTTTACGAGGAAGTTCAACGTCATGGTTATTAAGAGCAATCTTCTTTTCGAAACTTACCTGCACCTGACTCTCCACTGATCAGAATTGACTGATTCTGTTTGGTTTCTGTCATAATTCTATAAGCATTGTCAGCAATGGACCACGCATGAGGCATCACTGTTTTGCTTTGGTTGATGTACAAATCCATTTTATCATCCTGAACGTATGGAATGGTCCATTTGAACGGGTTCATTGCAACAGCAAGAACTCCTCCAATCATGGTGTAAATAACATCCTTTTTGAATCTGTTTCGGAGGCAGGTTAGAAGAGTTACCTCGTGTAGTTCGCTCATGGCTAGCAAATCGTTATGATCAAGTTTTTGTAAATCGTCCGAGTATGGGAACAGCAAATCTTCATCAAGAAGCAACGGATTCTGTTTGGAGGTGAGGCTTTTGATGATTAAAAAACCGAACGTACCTCGTTGGAAATGGGATCCGAATTCAGTGAAGGGTTTGGTTTTACCAAGTAGGCTCCCTTTTTGTTGTTGGGATCCACGCTTTCAATCACTCCAACAATCCATGAGTCCTGCGGATGATAAAAGTAGACCGTTTGTCCAGCCTTAAACAATCCCTTAAACGATGACATTTTTTTTTATAATATACGGTTCAACCACTACTCGTAAAATCATTCATGGCTTGGTTCCTTAAAGTGAGCTGGAATTGTGTGATTACTTTTTGAGACACCCACGTTTGCTCTCTCACAAAACTGTAGTAGATTGAGATTTGATGACGAATCAAGATGTATTGACCACCCAAACCAAAAAGATATGCGTTCACATCCGAAATTCTCGGTCTTTTTTCAAAAAGCATAAAGTGCCTCATTGAATGTCCAACAACAGATGCTTTAATTTTACAATGCAAGAACGTTAATGGCTCAACAGTAGATGCAGCAGTGAAAGGTTCAGACTTCAGTTTGAAACTGTCCACACACTCTCCTTTTGAATTGTTTAACGCTTGGGTTTCGCTCTTTTTAACGATCTGTTTGGGCACTGAATAGTCTGTCTTTCAGCATGATGAGGTGTTCCGTTGAGATGGTGCACTCACTTGGCCGGTGTGAACGCACAACTCTTCACTGTCAAGCAGGATTGAATGCTGAATAAAATTCTTTGGGTTGCCTTTTTGACATTTTGTAAGTGACAAGAGAGGTAATGTTTCACCCTTTTCTTTTTGCTTCTGTGAGTGTTGATCACTCGCTGGCATGTGCCTGCAGCGACAAGAATTGATCCTGCTCAACTCTTCCCACACTCCTCACCCATCATCATCCAATACACAACGTTGAAAAATTGTCAACAATTGTTGCTCTCGTCCTGTCATTATCACAAAGTTGAAGAGGAACTTTACATCACTCACTCACAGTTGTTCCACTTCGCGCACACACTCATCATTATCACAGAGTTGAGAGAGTCTCTTGGAAATTTCATTCTACGCATTCACACACACACACCAATTCACTTGTGTTGCTTTCTGCATCCGTCTCTATACCAATCCAACTCTTTTAACAACAACAACAACAACACGACCAATACTTACTGAACAACAACACTCAAAATGGGTAATTGCTTGGGAGGAAACAAAAACAATCATAATGTCAGACCAGTTGTCAAAAACAAGGATGTTAAATTACTCTTGTTAGGAGCTGGTGAATCTGGTAAAAGTACTTTATTCAAGGTAAGTTACTAGTGATTGTATTTCAGAGAATGAAATAATAATAATAATTATAACAACATGATAATTCATACGTGTTATTTTGTGCGATCATCATCATGTGTACGTACACTTACCGAATACGAACACCATGATACACACCATGACATACCAATCACTACATTCTCAATGATCATCATTGGTTCATTGATGAAATCGTTTCACCCTTTTTGTTCATGTCAACCACCACCTACACTACGACCTTCTTCGGCGACTATACTCCACCCAACAACAACAACAATGGCACTTGTACAACCACACTCAACAACAACCACAACCACCCAACAACAACCAACAACCCAATTGAAGCAATTCAAAATTCTCAAAGAAGGAACCTACACACCAGAAGAACGAGCCATCTTTGCTAGTACTATTAAAGGAAATATTGTCCGCTCCATGATTTCCATGGTTGAGGCTTGTGATGAATTGGGTGAAGAAATTGAAAAGGAAGAAAACAAACAATTTGCACAAGAATTGATTCAATTAGATGATGAGAATGCTCTCTTGAATGTTGATGCATTCTACAATGCTGAATTGGTACAAAAATTGAAACAATTGTGGTCTGACACAGGTATTCAAAATGTATTACAACGTCGAGATGAATATCAATTATTGGATTCGACTGAATACTTTTATCAACGTATTGACGCTGTTAGTGAGAAGAATTATGTACCAACAGATAGGGATATTTTAATGTGTAGAACAAAGACGACTGGTGTTGTTGAATTGAAATTGTAAGTAATAATATTAACACGATCAACGTGGTGATGTGTTGTAACTAACTATCGACTCTTCCAACATGTACCATTCATGAAATATTATAATACTCTTCCAACATCGTACTTGAATTGACCAACATATACCATTCATGAAACATTGAATGTTATGTGGTATCCATTGAATGATACAACAACTACTACTACTACTACGACATGTGTTGGTCGTCGAATGGACAAATGGAATTGATCTGTTCCATATTGAATTCAATAATATCAAATCCATTTCTACCAACAACAACAACACACTATGATAGCGAACAAGATGGCACCAAAGTTTCACTCATCGATGTCGGTGGTCAACGTAATGAAAGAAAGAAATGGATTCACTGCTTTGAAAATGTCACTGCTATTTGTAAGTATGATATTGATTGATGGTCATGGACAATTCCAATAATGAATCATGATAACATGTCTGCGAATCATGTGAACCTAATGCTCATACACACCACACCACACCACACCACACCACACCACACCCACATATATTCAATTTTGCATTCTCGAACTCAATAGTATTCGTTGCTTCCATGTCAGAATTTGATCAAAAGTGCTATGAAGATGATAGTACTAACAGAATTCAAGAATCACTTCTTCTCTTTGATGAAATTGTTAACAGCAGATATTTCATTGACACACCTGTAATATTCTTCCTTAATAAGAAGGACATCTTCCAAAAGAAGATTGAAACTAAAAAGTTATCTGATTTCTTCCCTGATTATCAAGGACCACCACATGACTTTGATGCAACATCCAAATACATGCTTCAAAAATTCACATCAAGAATCAATGATCAAAATAGAGAGTTTTATCCTTTCATTACATGTGCAACAGACACTGACAATGTGAAGAACATCTTTGACAGTGTGAAGAAGATTGTCATTAAGAAATAAGAGAATTCTAATTGTTTTTACTCTTATTCAATTCGTTTTGTATTTCATGAACAACCACACACATCAGAGAGTTTATGTGATTAGGTCCTTATTGGTTTCACAGAGTCACTAACGAACAACAATATTTTCTCAATACCAAAATTTTGCTTACCGAACACATTGTACACTATTTAATTCTTCATAATAATAAATCAATTGGATTGATGATCCAAGAAAAAACATTTATTCAGAATTCGGGAGAGCGAGATTATGAGAGTTTTCAAGAGTGTCATTACAATTCGGTGCGGATTTAGTTCTTTCGTAAATGAAACCAATGTTGCTCTTTAGAGTTGTCTCAAAGAATGTCCAGACATGACATGTGTCACTCTGGGTTGTTTGATTTGTTTCATTGTTTACACATGCCTTTCCTTGATAATACAAGTCCAATTCAGATAATACTTTCTGAGGTGTGCCTACGCCAGAAACAAGATCCATAAACAATTGTTGAGACAAATCTCTGACCTTTTTTTCTTCGTCCAATATTCCTAAAATTACCACGTTCTTAATCATGTTTGAAACAAGACTTGAATGAGAGTCATAAGGCTGAATGGATGTTCTGAAGAGATTGTTTGTACATCTAGTGCGCACTGATCCTACAGTTGGTGATTCCCTTGTCATCAAAGTCTTGTTCACGTGACAAATTCCATAGTTTTGAAGGAGTTCAAAGCATTTCACTCGAATTCGTTTATCTTTATCACAACTCTTCAGTAAGATGGTTTCAAAATACTTTGCAACAAAGGAATCATCGTTTTTCAATTTCTCTTCAGCAAGTTTGTTCCAAACCTCCAGTATTTTGAACCTCACGGTTTGGTTGGGATCCAATTTCAGTGATAAATCTAGTTTTGAAAAGATTGAGTCCACAGAGTATCGTAAGGAAGAGGTTGAACGACCGTTGGAGTCCAGAACTTGTTCAAGTATTTCTACAGCTTTGACTCTTGATTCATAGTGTTTATCTTGATGAAGAACATTTCCAATGATAAATTCTAACATGCAATTGACATTTCTAATGGAAGCTTGTTCAACATCTCCCAAAAAAATCATCTGGAGTAATTCCAACGCTTTTCTCTTTTCCTTTCCTCCAATCAAGTTCTTGGTTACAAGATTTTCAATGCTTCCAATCAAGAATTTGGCAATAGGGGAAAATCCATTGAGATTGCAATCCTCATTTACAAGATTCGTTATGAGTTCAGTTATAAATATAGACATAGTAGAACAGAACTCATTTACAGATGAGTTAGTTTTTTCCCAAGTGCAGCAGAGGATCTTTCGCTGAATTAAGTCTATGAGAAGAGGTTGTAGTTTAGCATAATCCATTTTCCATAGCCTTTTCATCCAAAACAAGACATTCTTCATAACATTTGAGTTTAAGGTTCGAGTGGATCCTTCTTCAATTTTCCTTTCATGTTTTAGTGACATGTAAATGAGATATTGTGCTGTATGAAGTAAATGTTTGAATAGTGCTTGATAGGCCACTTCGCTTAGTTTTGGGAAGGGTTCAAAATTATGATTCTCATCATTGTCGCATGTGACTGCGTTCCAGAACAACATTCTCTGGATAAATGCATTCTTCATGTCTTGCATGTTTCGCTTATTGGAGAATCGACTGGGATTACACATAGACAATCTATCCCACAAGGTTTCCTTCGCGAGGAAGCTCACAGTGATCATGATGCCAAGCATTTCGTCATACAGACCAAACTCTTGTGCTATTTTTCCTAATAACTGCAGGTTTGCAGAAGACAGATCTGGAAGTTCATTGGCGTGGTTTCTCGTTACCTTCATGTTAGGATACAACATCAGCTCAAACAAGACGTATACACAAAATTTACAATTCAAACAAAATTTGTGCAAGATGATTTCCTTTGGGGTTGTTTCGTGTTTTGCTTGAATGAGCTTGCTAAGGAACCCCGCAAGTAACTGAAGACATTCTTTATACAAGTCTAGAACAGGTGGAGGAGGATGGACTCTTTCTATGAGATCAGATTCGGAAGTACTTCGAGTGGAGTAGAGAATATTCAAGAATAATTTGCTAGTTTTTTCATAAGCATGATTATGTTTGGTATCGTCCTGACTTTTCCCTTTTCCAATGCGTTTGAGATCCTGCTTCATCACATTTATAACCTCTTCAACAACAAACGAAAGATTATTTGAAAAGCCTAAACTTGTCATTCCTTCTCAATGAAAAGCTAAGGAAATGTTCGTTGTTGAATGCGCCTATTTTTTTTTATGATTTCAGTGGAAAAGAGAAGCCTTTCAACGAAAATTTCCATAAGGGTGTAAGAATTCATCATGTTTACCTTTGAATGTCATGTAACATCGCTGTAGAATCATTTAAAAGAATTGAGCGAGCTCATGACAAAAATCTTCACCAAGTTCAATAGGTTCGAGCATTCTCTCGAACTCATGCAGGGTATTTGAACTTCAAAAATAGGCGCAGTTGATTCGCTTTTTAAAAAAAAATGATTCCTTCTTTTCTGAAGGGTAAAATTGAGCAGCCAACAAATGCATTCACCAGCGACGATGAATTGAGTGAAGAAGATCGGAACAACAACAAACGAAAACTCGTCGATATGCTTCAAAATCAAAGTTCAAGCGCAGTGTCAAAACTCATCACCAAAAACAAGGAAAGAAAAGAAAAAGAAGAACAAGCAAAGAAGAAACAAAAATTCGTCAAGTAAGTATAATAGTCGAATTTAAAGAGTGGTAATCAAGTTCGAATTTGGTGGAAACACCCGTTGCGGACTATTTGTGCACAAAAATGTGATCATTTCCAGAGAATCCAATGCGATGAAAGAAATTGAAGAACGCATTCATATGATTGCAACGAGTTCTTCGTCTTCTTCAAATAACAACAATTCCATTATTGATGACAATGATGAATGGGAGGAATTTACTCAAGAAACCGCTGTTGAGAGTGATCACCATGAAGATGATGATGATATTATGAGAGAAGAAGAAACAACAACAACAGCCAGTAGTTCCTCAACCTTACCTGATGAACAAGATGATTCTCTTCATATTACTATTAAAAATGAAGATTCGAATGAATTCATAGATTCCTCTTCTAAGGATCCATCCAAAAAGAAAGTAGTGAATCGAAAATCAAAACATGAACATCGACTCATTTCAGTGATGAATTTGACTCATTTGATGTTATATTTTAATTTTTATTATTTATTGAATGAATACATTTCATCCATGTGGGAATGTGAAGAAGTGAAGGGACATGTTTTAAGTTTATTATTACCATTCACTCAAAATTCTTCTTCTACTAGTAGTAGTAGTAGTAGTAGTAATGGTACTAGCAATACATCTATTCATCCTCAAAACAAGACTCGCACTACAAAGAAGAATACTAAATCTACTACAAATCCAACTCTAACAACGATTGATGCCTGTGTTGAATGGGTCTATGAGACATTTACTTTTCACAAATTTAAAAAACATTCATTTTACAAAATACTGGTCGATGAGAAAGATGAAATATCTCAACATTTGAAAAACCTTGAAATTCATAATATTTGCGAATTGTACATTGTCGTCATGCTCGTCTTGATCTACTCTGGGTATACAGTGAGATTTGTTGCGAGTTTGGAACTTCCATCGTTACTTGAAAAGAAGAAGAAGAAGAAGAAACATGAACATTTTGAACATGACATTTGGTTAGAAGTGAATGACCCAAAAGAACAACCACATGAAACTCGTGTTCACTACACTACCATTGAATTGAATCAAAAGGAACCCAATATTGAAAATACGACATTGAATATTGAAGGAGTTGAAAAACTTTACAAAAAGATGAGCAAAACTTCATGTGAATATCCTATTGTGGTTGTTTCCTTTGATTATCTTGGAGGAAATGTTCATGATTCAGACATGAGTAATGATCATTCTAATACTAACCGTAACATTGGTAGTATTGGTAGTATTGGTAGTCTTGGTAGTATTGGTGATAATAGTATTGGTAGTAGTAGTAATGATCATCATCATGATACTAACAACAACAACAACAACAGTGGTCATAATAGTCATCATCATGATCACTCCAACACACTCAATGATACTCTTTCCACTCGATCCTCACCACTCCATCTCTTCCATTACATCATTCGAGATGTTACTCCTAAACACTATATTTGTAAACATCCAAGTACTTTGATTGGAAAAGAGAATTATCAATATGTTGAGAATGCCATGAAAGAATTGATTCATGAAATTAATGAAAAGAATTATTTGAAGCATTTGAAATGTTCAAGAACTCATCCATCGATCCATGAAGTAGAGCACTCGTCGACGATTATGAATCCTCTCGTTGATGCAAGTTCAACAACCATTGAGAGTAGTAGTGTGAATACCAATACTGATCCAAGGAATAGCAAGCACAATACTAATAATACTGCAATCAACACAATCACTCAAACACCAAAAGATCCTACTCTTGTCATTACCATTGAGGATGACAAGACAGAGGACCTCATGCAAGATGATGTTATTCTCATACATGCTCAACAACCACCACCTATGAATGAATCCAATGGTATTGAATCAACTCCTAGAAATATAGACTACTCTAAAATTACTAATCCATTTATTGAAAAAGACTCTTTGCTCATTCAAAGCATTCTCACTCAAATGGAATTGGAAGTTCCATCTTCGATTCAAGATTTCCAAACACATCCCATTTATATCATCGAGAAATTTATTCCAAAATATGAAGGAATATATCCAAAAGATATTGAACCAGTATGTGTAGTGAAAAGCCACAATGTTTATTTGAGATCTTCATTGAAACCTCTTCACACCAAAGATCGATGGCTCAGAGATGAAATGAAAAAAGTTAAAGAGAATGAAAAACCTTACAAAATAGTTAAGGCAGCCAAATTTAGCAAGAATTCAGAGTATACCGAGTTATTTGGAGAGTGGCAAACAGAACCCTATTCTGTTCCAGTCGTTACGATGAATGATCCAATTCCCAAGAGCGAAAAGGGAACGTATGAATTGTGGAATTCAAACTTTTTACCTCAAGGGTGTTCTCATATCAGTACAGCCAATACTCCTTTGAAAGGTTTAACAACAGTAGCGCGAAAATTAGAAATTGACTATGCAAGAGCAATGGTAGGATTTGAATTTAGACAAAAACGTAGTGTTCCAAAATATGATGGAATTATTGTTCACTCTGAAAATGAACAAGTATTGAGGGAGGCCTATGTTGCCTATGAAAAGAAACGACTTGAAAAGTTGAAAAAGAAGAGACAAGATCGAATTATGAACAATTGGTGTAAGCTTGTGAGAGGTTTATTAGCAAGAGAGTATGTCAAGGACAAGTATTTGAATAAGAAGGAAGAAGTATTTTTGAGAGATGTCATTACCGTTGATGAAGAGATGTGCAATGAAAATGGTAGAAACATCATGTGCAATGAAAACAGTGTTGGCAATGATTCCTCTTTGACTCTCAATGAAGGATCAGCCTCTTCTTCCACATCTCCACCAAAAGTGCAACGCATGCTTGCCAGTGGAAAAATTGTCGAATTTGAACAATTGTAGTGTTGTTACACTTCCTTATGACCGAGTTGATTCTGTAATTGTTGAATGGTATTCTGAAATCTCAGTAATCCCACCTATTCCAAGTATTGATATGGACCAAATGATGCAAGTTTGTTTCACACATGAGCAAGTTCGTTTCACCCATGGTTCAAGTAAGACCAAGTGATGCAATTTTGTTGGCATTGACGACCGACCCTTTGAACACTTACCGATTTTTCTCTTGCTATTTTTATCCATTGTGCCACTAATTGAATCCGTTCTCTAAATTCATTGGAGGAAGTGCTGATGGATTCATCAAACGAGTCAGCAAATATTGGTTTTCGATATCCAAAACTAAATAACAATGGTCGTTGAGAACTCTCTACTAAAATTATTCTTGGATCAATATCTGTCTGATTCGATGATACAATACCGTTAATGAGAGCTTGTAAACATTCTAATTGATAATTCACCTCTCGTTCATCAACATTTGATTTTTGTAATAGCTCAATAATTAGAACCCAATCGATATAAGGAATATAAATATAAGGTTGATTCCATCTATCTTCAAAGGAGGCTATGGTCTTAATGTTTTCAATGTCGTTGAGAGAGACAGGATATCGGCCGTGAGTAGTATAATATAAATATACATGTTGTAAAATTAAATTTAGTTCAATTCTGGTGTATGCAATTTTACTTTCGATCAGCTTGTCATTATAAACAATGCTTGTCATTCCGCTAAATGTAACCATAATACTAATAGCAATTAAAATTTCAATTAAACTGAAGTGTTTTGTAATCTTTTTTACAGCCATTCTTTCAGTAATTCTATTGTTGTTAGTTATAGAATTAAATTTAATTTTTTTGTAAAAGATCCATACAATTCCACCAAGTAATATTAAAAGTATCAACGATTTTTTGGATGCTCTTAATAATATAGGTAAAATTCGAGGAGTCAAGGCATCACGGTGATTCAAAGGTGATGAATGAAGAGTTGTATTATTTTCTTGAATTTTAGGAGAATTTAAAGAATGTCCAGTTAAATGCTTGATGATCATATCGAGCCTTCGTCGGAGCACATTGGAGTTTCCTTTTCGCTTTGTAAGCTGCTCTTCAAGTGCTTTCTTTTTATAATACTCTTTGTACATTTCATTAATAGTGGAAAGAGATTGCTTGATTTCACCTGACAATTCTTTGGGGTGAATTTGTGTTGCCAGAGTTTCGGGATGACTGCCATGTGAAAACATTTTTTAACCTGCAACACTGCGATCGGAATTACACTCGGAAGTAAAGAAAAAAAATTTGTTATGTGTTGAATACAGCACCATCATCATCATGGACGAACAATCCAGTCATTCACAAATGAAATTTAAAGGATCTACTTCCAAAACATTTTTTGAAGATGAAGTAGTCAAACAAATAGAGTTGCAATATGAATGTACTAGAAATTTAAAAGATCAACAACAAAATATCAATGAAACATCAAATCAAACCAAAACTACTACTCCTCAGATATTATGTAATGTAACGAAAAACATTTATCAAAATACCATTGAAGAATATTACAAAAGAAGACCCTTTAAATTATTAAAGTCCGAGAAATTCTTTAAATTAACTCCCGACGAGATGAATGCTAAATTTGATATTCATTTACAAACTGGCAACGATCTGTTTCATAATAATTTAGTTAATTTTGAAGACTTTTTCCCATTTCCTTCTCCTCATAAATTGATAGACTCTCTTTTTGATGAAATTAATATTGAATCATTGCGCACTCGGAATTTCAATTTTGGTCCTCGTGATGATAATTCCACTTGGTCGAACTTTGATAAGGCTCAATTCGATGACACAGTATTTAATGGGGATAAAAAATAAGCACATTTCAATCATATATATTCGAAAGTCAGGACTTGTATGTGCTCTATTATAACTATAGGCCCTGCTAATATTTATTACGAATAATATTCTGAATGTTTGCTGCAAAAAAGGGTAGAGATTGGAAGAGATGAATTCAATCTCTTAAATTGAAGTATCACTCCAGTGATTACCATTATGGGTATGAAATGAATGAATGACTCTTCGAACCTTCATCAAATAAACCTGCTGAAAAATTTTGTAAGGTTCATAAACAGAAAATCGAGCAAAAGTATCCAATAAATTGTAGACCATTTGAACTTCAAGTGAATCAATGAATTGAGCCAATTCCCTCCTTCTCTCACTATTGTGATCATTCATCAATGATTGCAAATATTCATCATCATCATTTTGAGTCAATTCCAAATAGAGTATTGTAAATTGTCTACGAATGTGTGCTGATATATTTACCGAGAGAGGAGCATTGACACTCAAATATAACTCATTCCACACTCTCATTTCTTGCTTACATCATCATGATTCATCATGGTCGTACGAGTTGAACTAGGATTCTCTTCCATCGTCATTATCTGATCATTAAGGTTCATATGGTAGGTACCAGCAGCAGTACGATTATTACTTTCATCATTGTCATCATCATCTTTGTTGAATAATAATTGAAATCCTTGTATGTCATTTCTGAGATGGTTCAAGAGAGAATGAGTCAAATTCCTCAAGTGAAGTCCTAATCGATATTCATCGAGAAATGACCATTCATTAGGATCATGATCCTCATATCTCTCATTGGAATAGTCTAACAAAGATGAGGAAATATCAAACGTTTCTTGAATGGTTGAAGCTTCTCTTCACCCAATCTCCATCGTTAATGTCTTGAGAGCTCTTGCAAGGATCGTTCGTAATGAAAGATTCCATGTTGTATTTCTTTTTCTAAATCTCAAATATTTAATGCCTTCTTTCAAGGTTCGAATAGTCCATGTGTGAATGTTGAGTGAGGGTTTTGTTGTTGATAATGTATTTGTTCGATTTGAACCAAGTTGTAATAACATGTCAAACGTAACAACATGAATGTGTGTGGTATCACTTTCATAAATTGGAGATGGAATCATAAACTGAAAGAGATATTTTCCTGTTTGTGAAAGGTTAGAAAGAGTAGTTGTTGTAGTAGGGAATGCTTTCATTGATTGTTGTTTGATTTCTACTCATGACACTACTGCTACTATTAATATCATCTTCATAGGGTTCAAGGCTTAATTGACTCGTTACCAATAAGGGTAATTGAAATTTGTTGGCAACGAGAGGTCTCATGGTGATGTTCATCTCGAGATGAATGGGTGTAGTGGGAATGGTTGATTCATCATCGAGTACTAGTAATGAATTGGATATATTTAATTTGAACCATCTTTTAGATGCACTCAACAGTTCTACACGAGTCGAATTTAAATTACATCGAAGACCAATCATGTACGTGGTCGTATTACATTGACAAGTGTCCATACCAATACAAATACCATTCCCACTACACACGTTGGGAGTTGTGGATTTCTTTCCGAAACATGATACTATGGATTGAGCATCAGTGATCAGCCGTTGATGTTGATGTTGTTGAATTTTTTTAAAGATGATTTGACACAAGACCATTTAAAAAAGCCTCAATAGGTGTTGTTGCGAGTTTGCATTAATAATTTAAATTGAGAAAACAATTGGAACGTGCAAATCGGTGTGAGTCCAAGCAACTTGTGATTCCCTTCTACTCACCAGACTCTCTTCTACTTCCTGTACAACAAGTAGACGAAGAGGATTGTGTCGCATTGGTGTTATTAGGATTTCGAATGGACGTATTTCCTAATTCACTTCCCTTAATTCTATTGCTAGAATTTGAGGTGAATGTTTTAGTGGGTGTGCCTGGTTGATTTTGCATCAAGAGTGGTCCACATCTGACACCACTACCTACAACATCATCGTCCATACCTCCAACCATAATTTCATGAGCTTGAACTTTTTTGAATATTAATTCAGAGCTTTCTAAGAAGGCTCTGTACACATTTTCTGCAGTTTTGGCAGAAGTCTCCAGAAACATGTGAATTTTGTTCTTTTCTGCAAATTCTAAACCTTCCTTATAGGATACTTGTCGTTGTGTTTTGGCGAGATCTATATTGTTCATAAATTATACATTCACGATTGATAAAATCAGTGGCAAACAATTTGTGAAAAATTTCATCCATCTCCAATTACAACTCACCTGTTTTGTTTCCAATTAATACTACAATCAATTGAGAATGGTTGGAGTTGTTTGAAAGAGCGTCCGTGAGCCAGGTTTGTACAGATTCAAATGTGCTCCGTCTAGTAATATCATAAACAAGAAATGCACAAGCACTACATCGGTAGTAGGATCGAGCAATAGACCGAAAGGCTTCTTGACCAGCTGAGGAGCAGTAATGAATCATTGTGTGTTGTTATTAAGGACATGTAACAACATTCAATAGGCCATTTACAAATAGATACATTTAAAGTAAGATCAATAGTTTAAATCGCTATCACATACCTGTATCCCATATTTGAGTCTTAATTTTGATATGGTTATATTTAGAGCCAAGGTCTATGGTTTTTGTACCAAATTCGACTCCAATAGTGCATTCAGATCTCGAATCAAATCGATCGTCAGTAAATTGAAGTAATATACATGACTGTTGTCACATATTTAATTGATATCATGTGTTGCATCCATGTGTTCATAAAATTACGAATCAATAATCATCACCAAGTCAGTAACACGCTCTCAGTTCTCACTTACTTTTCCAACACCGGAATCTCCAATGATTATATATTTAAACATGTAATGATATGCAGCCGATTGATTCATGATGAATTAAAGATGATCTCAGTTCAAAATTAAAGAGGTAGTTTGTGATGTCGTTCTCTTGAAAAACTCGTGAATATTGGTGTAATAGTTTTGTGCAATTAATATCCGTTTCAAAACTGATGATCTTTAAATTTCAATAATCAAATCACTCAGTCCACCAACAATGCCAACAACCACTTTCTTTTCCGATCCGATATTCGAATTATGGTGTTGCTTGCAGAGTTGTTCAAAAAAATCTTCTTGTTATTTTTTATGAGATGGCACGGAAAAAGCCTCTCCATGAGAATGAAGTTGGCCAAAATGAATGACCCCATCTAAGAAGCAACCAGTGGCAACTCTTTGGCTTCAAAGCTTTTAATTCATCCTTTGAGAAAGGCCCTCTTAATGCATACGAAACACATTCAAAAAAATGCTCAAATCCTTCTCATCAATACCTTGCAACAGAACAAGCATTGGTAATTTTATCCAATTAGGATGTATCCACGGCCGTGGAACAACAAAGAGGCTCACAAGCACGTTGAGATTGTTTCATCATAATATTATAGTACAAGAATCCACAACAAATTCATCTCTCCGAGAATCTAAAACACTCCTCAGTCGTAACTTGCTTTCCCGAACACCAGCCGAGTTCACTTCAACATACAATAACAGCCAACCTTCTAGAGTGCTAATAGCACAAAGTGTTCACGACAACAAAATAATTTTAATTTATATTGTAGGAGCATGTATAATTTGTCTGACTGGTATTACTCTTTATCATATCTATTTTATCAACACAGTACCATTACATACACATGTACCAGAGAACATGCCTTCGGTAGATATTCTAAGCTTGTCAGAAGTCAAAAGCCAGATTAATGAAGAAAAACAGAAAGCTGGTCAAACTCCTATTGTTATGATGAAAGCCGTGCCAGAGGAGCACAAATTACCATTGACAGCCGTATTTCTGGGAATTAATGCGTTTTTCTGGGTCATGGTATTCAAGGTTAAATCAAGAATGATTTCTCGCCTCTATGTTAACAATCCTAATCACTACGTAAAATTCAAAAAGCAGTACATGATGAATACTGCAGTGTCAAGAAGAAACGGAGATGAACAAGTGTCCTTACCTCAACAAGGTCAAACTCACCAAGTTTCTTCTACAAGTATTCCACTACCCATTTTACTTCAACAGCAACAACAAAGATTACTCGATGAATTATCATTTACTTGCAACACTCTGGACAAAATACTTCCTGGCAAGGAGGTCACTTTTTCCGCAAAGGATGTACTGTTTTCTGAAAATGATGGTACCTTTGTCTATTTGAGAGTTGGGGATGAGCAAAATTTCAAACGGTATTTTTATTGTGCCCAAGACAAGGAAGAGAGTAAGGAACTGGCTGAGTTTATGAAGCAAGTCAGTTCTCACAGATCACAACAATAAATGTTGTGGATGAGTTAACGAGGAGGATGAATTCTAGTTTTTTCACCGCAGCTGACCATAATATAGAACTATGAAACCTATTCTTACTAATGCACGACGACAATCTCCAGATTTGATTGGTTTTCAACAATATGTTTTTACATCATACACTTGGTGATCAGCTTGGATACTATCACTTAGAGCACACCCAAGTGTCTATTCGGTGCCAAAATTACAAATTACAAATGGCGGCACCGCCAACCCGAATCTCAGAAAAAATACAACGATAGTCTCACTTGGCAATCCTTACTAACACAATTATTTAAACAACCAATTGAAAACAATGCAACTCAAATATTTGGATCCTCCAATATTGGCTGCTTCATCAGCCAAAAGTATCTCATCATCAGCCAAAATTACAGCCATGTGCTGGTCTAACAACAACCGAAGACTGGCCGTTGCTGATTCGGAACGGTCCATACATCTTTTTGATGAAACAGGAGAGAAAAGAGAGCGTTTTCCAACAAAAGCAGCAGACGGAAAGAAGGGAAATAAGTTGTATACAATAACAGGAATGGTATTCAGCCCGGATGATGTCAAACTTGCTATCGCTCAAACCGACGATATTGTGTATATATATAGGTTAGGTCTTGAATGGGGAGAAAAGAAGATCATTTGCAACAAATTTCTTCAAAAATCAGCAGTAACATGTTGTTGTTGGCCCAGCATGCATCCTTCAGAAATTGTATTTGGATTAAGGGATGGACGTGTGAGAATGGGAAATACGAGAAACAATTCAGCAACTACGTTGTATCAGGCAGAGTCTGAGGTTGTTGCTCTTGCTGCTAGTAGTGACGGGCATGGATTAGTGAGTGGGCATTTGGATGGATCAATTTACAGATTTTACTTTGAAGATACACCCAATGGAGACTTATCAGGTAACCTTAACGGAGATGTTATTGATGACATGATGATGGGCGCTGGTTTTGCAAACAGCAACATCATTGGATCACAAAAAATATGTATTCATTCAACGATACCCTATTGTCTAACATGGGGAAACAATATTGTTGCTAGTGGAGCTGACAAAAGAGTATCCTTTTACAGTATTGATGGCTCATTACTCCAAAATTTTGATTTTTCAGATAGAGAAGAGAAAGAATTTAGTGCTATTGCTTGCAATCCATCAGGTCAATGTTGTGTGGTCGGATCTTGGAACAAACTAAAAGTTTTTAATTATAACATTCATCGGAACATGTGGGAAGAAGGTGATCATATTGAAATTCCAAATCTATATGCTGTAACATCTGCTTGTTGGAAGCCAGATGGCTCTAGGCTCGTAATAGGAAACATGACTGGACAGGTGGATTGGTTCGATGCATGCATCAAAAGATATCGATATAAGGGTGAATTTGAGTTCACATTTGTCAGCTCCAGTCAAGTTATTGTAAAGAGACTTTCTACAAATGTAAGAATTGTTCTAAAGTCACTATTTGAAGAAGAAATTCTTAAAGTGAATGTAGCGAGAGATCAATATATTATTGCCAGAACTCCAAGAACGTTACTTTTGGGAGATTTAGAATCGTGCAAGTTAAGTGAAATTGCTTGGAATTCTGATGAAAGCAATGAAAAGTTTTATTTTGATAATCCAAAAGTATGCATGGTATACAAGGCAGGAGAATTTTCGATCATTGAGTATGGCATTAATGACATTATTGGCAGTTTTAGGACCGAGCATGTTAGCACGTTCTTAATTAGTGCCAGAATTGCAGACAAAGAAACTCCAAATAATGAAATAGATTTAAGCGGAGGCAACAAAAAAGTTGCATATCTCATTGACAGTCATACCATTTGCATTTTGGATTTGGTTTCTTCATTCACCATTGCTAAGATCAGCCATGATTATAGAATTGATTGGCTGGAATTGAATAATAGAGCTTCAAAACTGTTATTTAGAGACAAGCAAAGACATTTACATGTTTTTGACCTTAAGAGTCAAAAGACTACCACCCTTTTAACTTATTGCAGCTATGTTCAATGGGTACCAGATTCTGATGTTGTAGTTGCTCAGAATAGAAGTGATCTTTGTGTGTGGTACAATATAGACGCCCCAGATCGAGTAACTATCGTTCAAATCAAAGGAGAAGTTGTAGACATTATTCGATCTGATGGATGTACAGCTGTTCTTGTTGATGAAGGCCCAGGAACTGTCAATTATGACCTTAACGAAGGATTAATTAACTTTGGAAATGCGATGGAAGATAAAAAGTATGAACAGGCAGCAAGCATTTTAGAAAGACTTTCTCTCACTCCAGAGACTGAAGCAATGTGGAAAAAACTGAGTGAAGTAGTTATGGACGATATGAGATATGATATTGCTGAGAGATGTTTTGCAGCTCTTGGTGATGTTGCCAAATCTCGTTTCCTTCGTAAAATTAATCAAGAATCAAAACGATTAAAAGAAAGTGAAGGAGAAGGAATTGAACCTCTGGATCATTGGAAGATCCGTGCTGAGATTGCAATACTAAGCAAAGACTTTAAAGCAGCTGAACAAATTTATTTGGAACAAGCAAAGGTCGATGAGGCGATCAAAATGTATGAGCAGTTACACAAATTTGAAGAGAGTATATTCTTAGCCATTGAGAAGGGTATTAACAATGCTCAAGAAAAGAAACAAAAATATATTGAATGGCTTATTCAATCAAAGCAAGAAGATAAGGCAGCCAAGATTTATGAAAAGGAGGGTCAATACATTAAGGCAATTAACCTGTATATTCAAGGAGGATTTCCTGCAAGTGCTGCCAATGTTGTAACCAAGTACAATGTTGTATTTGATAATGGAGCCAGTGAAAAACTTTTGGACTCTATTGCAGAAGCGTTGTCCAAAAATGGACTATTTGAGAAGGCAGGAGAATTTTATGAAAAGAGAGGTCTCTATGAAAAAGCAATCGAAGCCTATAGGAAAGGAAAATCCTATCGATTTGCAGTGGAGTTATGCAGATCAGCCAATCCTGAGATGGTTATCAAATTAGAAGAAGAATGGGGAGATTATTTGGTGCAACAAAAGCAAGTAGAATCTGCTATTCATCACTATATTGAGGCAAACAATTATGTGAAAGCTATTGAAGCTGCTATCAACTCTAGACAATGGACTAAGGCAGTACAAATTCTTGAAGGAATGGATGTACAAATTGCCAAGCGCTATTATGGAAGAATTGCTAGACATTACGAGGATATTCAAAACTTGCAACAAGCAAAGAAACTCTACATCAAAGCAAATGAATATAGAGAAGCAATGGAAATGTTTGAACGATATAACAAGTGGGAAGAGGTACAGTCGATAGCAGAGACATTTATGAGCCAAGTTGAAATGAAACAATTCTACACAGAGTTAGCATCCAAGCTAGAAAAGAAACAAAGGTTTAAGGAGGCAGAAAAACTGTTTATTAAGGCAGATGAAACAGATTTGGCCATTAATATGTACGCCAAAAATCACATGTTTGATGATATGGTGAGATTGGTCGCTAAATATAATCCAATCCATTTAAAGCAAGCTCAACTCAAGATTGCAGAACAACTCGAATCAGAGGGACATTTACGACAAGCTGAGCATTACTATATTGAAGCTAGCGATTGGAAGAATGCAGTGAATATGTACAGAAATAATGATAAATGGAATGATGCAATCAGAGTTGCCAAAGCTCATGGCGGTTTAACTGCTTGGAAGAAGGTGGCTCTGGAATGGGCCAAACAATATACTGGAGGAGAAGCAGGTGTCAAGTTGTTGAATAAGCTTGGTCTTATTGAAGATGCTATTGATTATGCTATGGATGGAGAGTTCTGGGAAATGGCATTTGAAATGGCAAGATCATCAAGTAATAATATGACTCAAAAATTGCCTCAAATCCATATGAAATATGCCATCTCACTTGAGGAAGCTGGAAATTTGAAAGAGGCTGAAGCTGAGTATATCAATGCAAATAGTCCTAAAGAAGCGATTGATATGTATGTGCACCATACAGATTGGGAAAATGCCATGCGGGTCGCTGAAACCCATGACCCTTCTCTGATTAATTATATTATTGAATTCCAAGCAGACCTGGCATTCCAAAATAGAGAATTTGAAAAAGCAGAAAAATTATATTTGGAAGCAAGAAATCCAGAAAAGCTCATTGAAAAATACAAATCAATTCATAGATTCCAAGATGCTAAGAGAATTGCAGATACTCATCTCTCTTCAGACTATCAACGAAAGCTGACTTCAGAATGGGCAGAATATTTGGTCGATTACAACCAAAAAGATAGTCAGCGAGGCACCACAAGAAATTTGGAAGAGGAAGACACTGACAACAATCAAAATGACCCAGCTGCTCCAGCCCGAATGTTTGCACAAAATGGACAATACACAAAGGCCATCGATGCATACATTGGATTTGCTTGGAAAGGTCTTGATCCTGAATATTTGGAAGGTGAATGGATAAATGCTGTAAAGATTACCATTAATAATTTACAACCAAGAGTCTCTGAAGTAGTCTCCATATTTACAAAGAGATTGATTGAGATCAAACGCTATCAGACAGCGGCAGAAATATTTTGTATGGTGAAGCAATTCAAAGATGCTATTGACGTTTATGTGAAACAAAAATTATTTAGTGAAGCACTGGATCTTGCCAAACAGCGTTCTCCAGATCTGTTAGATTACGTAAAAGAGCAACACAAGAAGAGCTTGAAACCAACAGAAGGTCCAGAGAACTTGATAGACCAAATTGAAAAACTTGTGGATGCTGGTGAATGGGACAAGTGTTTGGAGCTTTCTCAAAAACATGAAAATCCAGAAATTCTCTCAAGAAATACTGCATCCTACGTGAATTTGTTAGTGAATGAGAGACATGACTTTAATAAGGCTCTCAGTATTTTGGAAAAGTATGGAGTTCCTATTGACAAACAAATGATCAATACCTACAAGGAATTAGTTACAAGAATAATTTGGTCAACAGTTCATCAAGACCAAGTGAATACCACTGATATTAAGAGATGTAGAGACATGTTACGATCATTAATGGAAGGATCCACAAACGCTAGCATGCAACTTCCTCCTGTGATCTCTAAACTATATCAAGCATGTCACATCTATCATGTTAAAGATCTTTGTAAGAAGCTTGATCTTCAAGAACTTTACACCAAGAACTGTGTGAGTCTTTGTCGATATACGGATGAAATACCTCCAGATTCAGTATTCTATGAGGCAGGTAAAGCATGCGAAAAGATGAAGTGGGAGAATATGATGTTTGTCTTCTATAATAGATTTTTAGATATTGGAGATGCCATCGAAGAAATTGAACTCAAAGAGGAATATCAAAACCAAGATCCACCAATTCTTATTAAGGGCACAGCTGAATTGGAAAATTCAGATTTCCAAGGAACTGACGTACCTTATAAGGTTCCCATTCCTGTCTCACAATTAATTGATGAAGACTTCAAGGAAGAAATTACCAATGTTGTGTTACAAAAGTCCATGAAATCTGACTTTAATAGCTCATTGAGCAAATGTCCTTGTCCTTCATGCAAAACACCTATTTACGTTGCTAATTTGAATTGTTCCAAGTGCAAGTCACAATTCGAACCATGTTCAGTCACTGGTTATCCTGTTGCTCCCGAACAAAGGGTTTTCTGTACAAACTGTAGAAAACCTTCCAATAGAAGCGATTGGAATTTGTTCATCATGAAACATAAGAGATGTCCTCATTGCGATGATTTGCAACTAACCATGTAGAGAAGGTAAAAAAATTGATAAATTATTGTTTGTGCTACTACTGCACAAATGTTCTGTAAAATTAGTTGTTATTTTCATTAACATGAAATGCCAGTAGTAACTCATCACAACCATCACGGTGTTGTTGAGACATCAAATCTGCAGCTCGTAATTTCCAGTGTTGCAGGATGGCTGGTCGTATGTGTTGAATATTGAGAAGAATTAATGACTTGACAAATTTCTAATATTCTATCAAATTTCATTGAGAAGAGACACGCCTCAATTTCATTCAAATAATCTCTCAGTTTCAAATGCTCCTCTGTGGCTTCCTCAATTTTCATTTCTAAACTGTAAACTTTCAAGGGTTTTTGTTTTCCTTTCAAAACCATGTAATCCACAAAATAGCATATGAAATGACTCTTCACACGGTCATAGGTATTTTCACCAATCAGAATTTTAGTCCCAAATTTAGGATTGAGACTAGGTAAACTTGAAGTAATATTGACTCCATCTCCCAAGACCTGTTGTTGTTGTCCATTAAGCAAAACAGTCAAAATATTTCAATTGAACAAAAACCTACCGTAAAACAAATTCGATGTTGTGACCCAATATTTCCACAAAGTATACTTCCACTATTCACTCCAATGTATGGTCGAATGAGAGATGTATGATCATCATTCTGCAGGAAGCGTCGTTTCAACCATTGAGCATTCAATCGATCCAATGCCATTTTAATTTCACACGAAGCCATACAAGCCTTTCTTTCATGATCCTCTACCGTGCATGAAGTGTCATTCCAAAATGCAATAATTCGATCCTTGGTGTACTTGTCGACGATACCCTTACTATTTTCAATAATACCATAAAGTTCTGTAAAGAGTTCTGTTGCCAACGAAACAAAATTCACACGATCCATACCGAACATTGTTTCATTGTTCGTAATCAAATTCCCACAATGATCTGGTAATAGAGAAAATCCATGAAGATCAATACACATCACAGTCATGGATTGTAAAGTCATTCTTTGTTGTCTTGATAAACGTTTCGTTACACTATTGGGAACATATTTTGAGAAAATCGTGAGAGACGATTTCATTGTGTTGAGACTTTGCTGCATTTGTCGAATGTCATACAATAAATTGAAGGATTTCTTTTCATGGAATATAGTTGAAGATTTAAATTGAACAATTTCTCTTAATTGTTTCTTAATATATCGAAGAGACATTTGGATACATTGAATGACTGTAATTAAGATAAATACTCCTAGAAATAGAACTACAGAGAAAATTACAACAGAGCTAATACTACCTGACATGACTTCATCCACCTTTAAGACATGGTGATTGAACATGTTAATGAGAGAAGAATTGTGACAATGTAAAAAAACTTACAAATGATTTGTGAGGTATTGCAATCACGCTTCCCCAATTCAGTCCATATTGATCAGTTATGGTGTATTGAAACACTTCCAAATTTGGAGTATTTGCATGGTAGAATAAAAAACTTCCCCAATCCTTAATAGCTGCAGTATCATTAAAATCTTGTCTTTCAAAATTTAGAGAATGCCATTCTGTTATTTTCTTTAGAAAACCTCTTGATATTACCTCATTCATTAAATCTTGCACAATATTTTGAGAACTATTCGAAGGTGTTCCGGATGAGGAATGAGCCATAAGACTCGAAATGTTGGTAGAAATGGACAAAGATGATGATGACACGATCAAATTGGTAGAGGCTACAATTTCACCATACGAATTAATAATAAAGGCTATTGCAACACCTGCATTTCTGGCAGATTGATCCAATGTATTGGCAAGTTTATCCAAATTCAATTGAAGACCAATCACTCCATATAAATGAGAAGGATTTCTTGGAGCTGATTCATTTCTATAAATTTTAAATTCCGTATAATTTTCATAACCATCAACGGTATTCCATGTGTATGAATTGTTGTTTTCAATAGTAGTATTCTCCAATGATTGATTCAAATTATTGGAATGAATGGATGAAATTTTCTGTGAAATGTATATTGGAATGGATGCTGTCATGGAGGGTTGACCAACGAATGAGAAAAACAATGGACTCCATAATATTTTAGGATTGGTTGCATTGAGAAATAAATGATACCAAGGACGAGCTGTCACTGAGAAGGTACTGTTTTGAGAAAATCGAATATTAGATGGATCAAGAATTTTAGACAAGTCATCAATCATGTTATATTCGTACATGGCTCTCACAAGAGAGGGGTTATTTGTTTTTTCAAATTTTCGAATGTATGTTCGTTCTACTCCTAAAAAGTAATGATCAAATCTTCCAAAATAAGAAATTTGTAATGGTAATTTCTGTTCAAAGAAAGATTGGATATGTTTGAATAGAACTATCCATCTCATTTCATCATTTAAATTCATTCCATCCAAATCCTTTAATAATTGATTAATGGTAAGAGTTGTTGTTTTAATCATTTCACTAATTTGGTAATCTACAACGAGACTCATTTGAATTTTTTTTTTTGCATAACTTCTTTGAATAATATTGTCTCCACTTGTATATAACAAGATGAAAGCTGAGCACAACATTATTATTTGATTGCAATTTTCAAAAAGTTTGAGACAATACTGCAACAACATGATGATGATGAAACTTACATGAAAATAATCCAAACAATCCTTGCAATATGAAAAGTATCAAAATTACATTCATGATAGTGATACATGGTGAGAGAATGTGATGACAGTTTCCAACCAGGACATTTCTGTAAAAACGTGAACAACCACAGGAATATTTCTCGACTCTTGTTTCATCCTCTCTTGTCGAACGAGTGTGATGACGAGTCGAATGAGAAGAAGAAGAAGGTTGTAGTTTAGATCGGAGAGTAGAACTGGGTGGTAACAGGAGTTGTTCATAACATTGGTTACTGTTCGCGTTGCTGTGCGAAAGTGGTAATGTGGATGTTGTGGTGGTGGAGGGAAGTGAAGTCAAAGGGCTCATACCAAGTACCGTAGGGTGGCTCACATGAATACCATGCGTATGGTCACTGCCAGCCATGCCGGAGGATGATGGTTGCAGCATGGCTATGATGGTTGTTTGTTTTGAAAGTGTGTTCCAAACCTGTCCGTCAAAATTCGCGAGAACAGATAATGCGAACCGAAATCGGGATTCTTGCGAGGGCAGAAATTGTGTTCTGACAACAAATGACACACAGGTTTATAAAACTCTGGCCAAAACAACTGGCGTTCCCAACTCCCAGAAATAGTGTTACAATAGCATTTGGAAAGCACTTTATTTTTTAGAATCCTAACCATTTTAAAAAAGGTCGAGCAGGCTGTCGAAGTTTTGTTCTGGTGTTTGCTGGAGGTTTTTTCAATAAAAATGTTAAAACATGAACGAAACGCCTTTGTCGGTCTGTTGAGACCGGAATATCATGTTGCCATCAAAACAATGCTATTCGCAGTCCATCAATATATTAATGTCGAACATTTAATAGAAGATATTATTGATCAATGTGGATTTCATCGCAAGGATTTTAATACCATCCATCGCCATCTCGAACTATATTTCTCATACCTCATCACACACAACAAACGAGTCCCATTTGTTCTATACTGTTGCAAATTCCAGGTTGACAATTCAACAAAGATTGCACAATATGTTACTGATTGCATTGACCCGGACGAGGATAGTGCTATCTATAACATTTACTCTGACCCAAAATTTCAAAATCAAAGACAAAATCAAGAGTTAACATCAGAATGGATCAACAAACTACATTTTCAAGGCTATTTGAAATTGAAAGAGTGTCATGACGAGCTGATGCGAATTCGTCAAAAACGTAAACACTCCAAAACAAGTACAGCTTGCGAAGACCCACCTCAAACCTCAACAACGTCACAACGTTATTCTAGTTCAACCATCATGAAATTACTCGAACCAGAAAAAAATGTCGGCGTTATTGAATTACATAAAATCCTGGATCATGGTTTTGCTGAAGACTACATCACGTTGTCATATTCAACAAAAGAACAAACAGCACCGTATTACATGCTGCAACAACTAATTAACAACAAATTTATTCCAACACACTCATCAATTGTAAATACCAAGTCCGACACCATCTCTCATAATTTTGTAGACCATGCTGATTTTAAATCACAAAATAACGATGATGATAGTTATTATTCGGAATGTGATATATTTGATGAGGATATTCAAGAATTGAAAAAATTGTTTTTTCAGGTGTTAGGTAGTCGCAAATTAGTACCTCGAACTTTCTTTTTCACATATCTTCGTGATGCTTTTTCACAATTAATTTGCAAAGACAGTAGAGGCCATAGATGGAGCCCATCTGTTCTTTGTTTTGCTCAAGATTTATTGGTTATCATGGGATACAATGCGTATGAAGCATTGGCGAGAGGGTTGAAACGAGGACAAGAATTTGAACCCTCTTCTGAAAGATGTAACTTAGTCCTACCTTGTTCATCCACACTCGACCATCATTTTCACACCGCATCATATGGAGAAGGGAATACTAAACTAGACAAAGATGACTTTGATAAGCTAGTAGAAAAAATGAAGGTTATTGAAAATCAAAATTTTGGTCTTGTTCAAATTGATGCAGTAGATGTAACACCGCATTTAGGAATCAATACCAAGCTTGGGCTTGTATACGGTGCCAATGAAGGTCCATTGAAGATTAGTGATTGTACTGCACTAGCTCAGAGTCCGAATTTTCCACCCAAGGGTTTTTTAGCTGAAAAAATTGTTCAAACTTTATATTGCAGTATTAACGGTGAAGTTCGAATTCCTGGAAACTTCAAAGTATGCACTACTGAAACTGAACAAACCATTAGAGACACGATTTCTGAATTTCGTGACACATATACTCGAAACATCGTCTGTACTGTGTCAGATGCAGGGTCTGCTAATTACAAATATTTCACATCGAGCCCAAATGAACTACATCATTTTTGCTACAGTCACCATTGCAAAAACATGAGGAATGCAATTAATGGGAGACCAAAATTATATCCGGTTGCCACTAAAGTAGGTGCTCCAAACCTTCAAATTGCACGCCATTCCTCTGCTTGTATTTCTTCCAACGACAACGGAAACGGTTGCCATTTGATGAAAATTGTTATTCAAAGAACACAAGCGACCAACATACCACTTTCCTTCATAGTGAATGACAAAGACACAATTTCATTTGAATGGAAAGAAAAAGAACCACGGAATTTTAACTCTGGAGGCATTTCTTTCTATCATAGCAGCAATGACAACGAATTAAGTGTTACGTTGTTGAGTGAAACCCTTCATACTAACATTGGTAAAGTGTGTGTGGCAAATTTTAGCAATCAAGACATAGCTGTCACCAAAATTTCTTGTTCTATTTTACAACGATTTGAATTGAACACACTCGATGAAATATATAGACAACAACCTTTAGAGTGGTGTAAAATAGTTAAACGGAGCTCGTTTATCAAATATGATGATCAATCTGAGGATGTATTACGTGATGTATGCAATTTACAGTTACTTGAAAAATTACGATTATTGAACGAGAGAACCAACTATCGATATTTAGGATTCTATAAGTACTTAAAAGCGATACATGATTTATTTCATGTTTACGATGACAAAAATCATGATGGAACATCTTCACACAATTTGCACGAAGTGTTGCAAGTTCTTAAGGAAAATTTGGACTATTTGAATGAGTGGGATACCGTTTTCCAAGACGTCATTATTTCCAATAAGAATAATAATTTTACATTATCCGGAACCCTCACAAAAAACATCATTATCCATAACATCAAAACAATTCAGAAATTGATCAGAATTATTCCACAAGATGCAGTTTTTGATTTGTCTTTATTGGGAACACGTTCTCTTGAAGGATTTTTCGGAGAGTCACGTGATTATTCAAAAAGAACCACAGTATTGGACTATCATAGAAGTTACTCAAACATGAAAATCAAATTAGTGAAAAAAGAATGTGTATATCTTTCATACAATAACGATAGAAAGAGGAAATATTGTGATGCCCCTAGTCAAATTAACCAACAAATTTTGATGAGAATGACTGAAAAACAATTTGTTGACTTTAATAATGAAAGAAAGCAAGCTAGAGAAAGCGTGACATCCATTTCTTATAGTTTTACAGATCAAGATTTAATTTGTGCGAAAGACTTACAATTGCGATGTTTACAACATCGTGTCAACTCCATCCGTCAATCATACCATCAGTCAAGACATGACTATAGGGCCGGATTTGCCACCGATTTCATGGAGACAAGCATTTCCAATTACTACAACATTTCACTTCCTGTTTTCCATATTGAAACAAGTGAAGTTTTGCCAAACTTAACAGAACGACTTACATTAACCGACGACATCAGTTTTACCATTATTCAAACACACGACTCATTAATTCATGCTCAAAATCATATTGCGGCATTTTTGCTTAAAAAGCCCGTAGAATTTGAAATTAAGACTAATCATATTTCTTTGAGCAATGCAACCGTAGAGGTTCGCAATTTCAATGAGAACAATGAAAATGCATCTCGACATTCTGAACCAATTAACTCATTTAAAATATTTGTGGCACCAAATCAGACGGATCCATTCAAATTTAAATTAATTGGACAATTTTCATCAACAACCAGCACCAAGCTTTATCAAAAACAAATTGCTGTGATTGTTGGAAATTATCAGTTGTTGTCACCTCCTTTTTACGTATTTGCAAAGAAAACAAAAAACCTCGTTTCGTATTCCCAGCTGAGCCAGGTGGTGGCTTCGTCTCAAGACATGCAATAAAATGTCAAGCATTTTTCATCACAAAAAAAGTTCGTCCAAAAATTGGAACACGTTTAAAATTGTTCACCTATTTATTTCTTCCGACCACAATTACACCGTATTTTTCTAATCACAACAACATACCTCAAGTCGTTTTATTATTCATTATAGCTCCAGCAGAAGCCTTTGTCCTTCAACAAAGACAAAGCAGCTTTTGCTGGGCGAACAACAAAAAGCTAATGTAACAAAAACACTGAGACGTAGCCCGAATGAACCAAATAAAGGAATGTTACACCAGCGAAGTGGTAGTTGGGAACGCCAGCAAAACAACACAAACTACAAGAACAAGCAAGTAAACCAAATTTCGAGAATTGAAAATCATCATCAACTCATTGTGGTAAGGAATTGGGCATTTCCCTTTTGGCTTTTCCGATACTTCCCCTGTTATTTCTTTGGTTTCTTGTGCATCTTGTGAATCGTTTGCTTGTTTACCTTTCATAAATGGACATTTTGAAATATCACCTCCCTGTGTGGGATGACCTGGTGGAAGTTTAGAAGTGGTGGTTGTGTTGTCTGTTTTGGTGGTACTCGTTGTTGAAGATTTCATTTGTGCTCTCTTTTTCATGAGTTGCCTATTTCCTGTAACCATTGGACACCCTCCTTTCTTACTCTCAGCATCTTCAAGTTCCTGTCGATCCTTTTTGTATTCTTGAACAGCTTTAGCAAATGCAATTCTCTCTTTTGGATCCATGTATTGAGACTGCAACATTTCGTCAGGCATTTGTAATAAAGCATCCAAGCTTGATGGGAATAAATGAGCATGTTGAGATACAGTTCTCAAAATGTGTTTAAAGTTATCTGATGTGAAATCAGTTGCTAAATATTCATCATTCGAATAAATGTCCATATTCGCTTTTCCAGTATGAACCAATAAATATGCAATTCGTTCATGATCTTGGCTCACTTCAATTCCATTAGCAAATACTCTCTGTAATTGACTTTGAAAAGCAAAATGCAAAGCAGTATCACCCATTTGATCCTTTAAATCTACTTTCACAGGGTTGTTTTTCAATCCAACGTTTCCTTCTTCTTGGAGATCTGTATCAAGTAATAACTCTACGACGGCCAAGTTGCCCAATGTAGCTGCTATCATGAGAGGAGTTACTTTGTGCTTATTAATAGCATTTACGTCAGCACCTTCAGAAATAAGCAATCGAGCCACTCCAAGAGTTCCATTTCTTGCGCAAGTATGCAGAGGTGTTTCTCCTTCTGAATTCTTTGAATTTACATCTGCTCCCAAAGAGATTAACAAACGAGCTAATGATTCAATATCACGTGCTGTTTTGACTGTAGTGTCTTCGTTTGGATCTTCTGATTTGGTAGCCTCAATTAAAGACCATGTACAGCATGAATGCAAGGCTGTGTAACCAATATAAGGAGCGACTTGGCATTTATCATTCACTGAACAGTGTTTTCCTGCCTTAATTAAAAGTGACACAATCTTTGGCTTGTTTTTTTTGACTGCAACCAATAATGGTGTCAGTCCTTCGTTATTCACAACATCACATCTCGCTTTTCCTCGCACAACAATATCTTCTACAATTTGATATCTAATTTGATCCTTCTCTTTTGTGTCTACATCCATTAAAATAGCTTTATGAAGTGGAGTGTTGTATTCATCATCAATGATATTGAATAAATCGTGAGCTAGATATTCCTGATCGTCAAACAAGTCTTCATCACTGATACTTGCTGCATCGTGAGAAGAGAAATACAAATTTAAATTATCTAAATGTTTATCTACCAAAGCTTTTACTTTTTCAAGGTCTAGACTCTCCACTGTTTTAAAGACCTCATCACTGGTAACATGATGTGGTGTTGTGATGGTAGGTCTTTCCGTAACGTCTTCAAAAGTTGTAACCATTTTCCGAGGATTTGTTTGAATAAATTATTTTGAATAGACGGATGATCAATTGTTTGAGAAACAAGAACAATATTGTATTTCGGAAATCGGATGACGACTCGACTCGGGTATGACTGAAACACTGGATGATGAGCGTTTTTTTGAACAAATTTAATTTTATACAAAAAGGAGAATGAGCGGAACTATGGTATTTTCCTTTTGTACAAAAAAGGCGCGCCATCACTGATGATCATTTACAATCTGAAGGAAACCTTATTCAAATTCTTTCCTGGTTTCAACGAGAATGTCTTGTTGTTGTCCCATTCAAATCTCACAAACTTGAGAATTTCCATTGGTTTGAGTTGATTTTTCACATACATGGAATCAATGGTAAAGGTTTTGACATTTCTATTGCTCACTCCAAGGAGTTGTAAAATTGCACCTCCACTACCACCATCTGTATTCCATACTTTACATGTTTTTTCAACAGCACTGAATGTACATAAAAGTTGACCATTTGGTGAGAAACTTAATGCATGAACAGGAGATTTGGTGTGAGCTTCAAATAACTGCCATTTGCTTGCAGTACGCATATCATAAATTACAACAGTTCCATCTGTTGCTCCAATCGCAAGTTTTTGTTTTTCTTGATGGAAAGATACCATTGGATAAATCTCAACCATGAAACGTAAAATATTTGTAGAATTTGCCATACACACATCTCGAATGGCAGGGAAGTGTGGATCTAAAACTTTGAGAAGCAGTGAAGTTAGTACTACCAAATGATCCATTAAACATTTGGGATGTCTTTGCATGACAGGATAGAGTGAGCTAATAGATGCATTGAGAGTGGTTGTACTGGTTTGTTGAGCATTTGAAATAATATTGTTAATGAAATCAATATAAAGTCGAGTATCTGCGCTTGCCATATTGACAAATGCTTGTAATGAATCGACAGAGAGTTGACTCACTTCCGTGTTCGAGTTGGAAGGTGCTTGTGATGTTAATGCTGGAAGAGATAATTGAAAAAGTTGTCGACAGAAACCCATGGCATCTGGAATGTAGTATTTCCAAATAGAATAACCATCTCCCAACAAAGTAATTGCAGTACTATGTTGAGGTCCACCCTTTTCCAAGATATCAATCAACTCCATAGCAGTAATGGTTGCAATTCTTCCATCGACAGCTCTTGGTGCTCTATAGGCAAGTAAAGCCAATGCAACCACAACGTTTTGTCTTTGAGCATTAATTTGTTTGTTACCAGAAGATGTCATCTTGTTGGAACTTTCAATGAGCATGTTCGCCAATTTTTCAGCCAATAATTTGTGTTGAACACCTTCCATGCGTTGTAAAACACTGTACATGACGGATCTGGCAGCTTGTTGAATATCCTTAGATGGATCTTTCAAGAATTGAGCACACCACAAGAATGAAGGTTCATGGAAATTGTCAAATCCTGTATGAATTTGATTCAAATAATAGGAAATGCAATCATTGCAAACCTTTTGGAATTTAAAACTTGCAGGAAGGTTATTGGCAATAGCGTTCAAAACAGCTACAGTACCAATCAAATAGATGGATGAAAGAACTGGAGAGAAAATGAAAGGATGGCATCGACTACTCATCTCTGGTACAATTAGAGAATAACACTCCCCTGCTCCCTTTAAACCAATAAACCCTTTTGGAAAAGGTAATAAATTGATCATTGGTTCCATTTGTAAATCTTGAGTCTTAGTTTGGTCTCTTGTGCGAGCTTTTTGAATTTTCTTCATAGCAATGTCAATCTCTTGTCTAAGTTGAACAATAGATGGATCATTACCATATTGTAAAATATAAGATAGAGAACACAGCAAGCCTGACATGTTCCTATCGTTCAATTTTGTCTCTGACTCATCGTCATCAATGGAAGACTCCATTGGTCCATCACTAAAATATTTCAAAAGTAAATCTTTCTTTGTGTTAATAAAGGTAACAAGTTTTCTAATACTGATGGTAAGTAATTGAATATCTGGAGTTTGTTGATTCACTTGCAAAGATATAGACTCAATAAATCCTTTCGATTTGTTATAGGCCTCTGATGTCGCTGATTGCTTCGAAAAGGATAACTTAACAATTCCTCCTGATGAAGAGCTTAATCCGCCAGAGACAGAGGATGCACCTGCATCCGATTGATTGAAACTACCACTGATCATACTTGATTGTTCACTAGTTTTGATGAGAGACTTGGCAACATAGCCAACAACTCTACGCTCTAAAAGTCCAGTACTTATGCTCCAAACACAAACTGAGCCATCGCTGCATTGAACTAATAAATAATCTAAATCGCTTCTCCAGTAAATGGCTACTACAGTACTTCCATGGCCTCCCAATATATGGATAACATCTAAGGTCTTGATGCTGTACAAAATAACACTGTGGTCATCATCAGAGAGTGAGCAGAAACAATTTTGTAATTTTCTACGAATCGTTCTTGGAGGAACAAATAAAAGATCAACCTTTCCTGAATGGTAATTGAATACTCTTAATAATTTGTGATATTCCAAGTCGGTGGAATCCAACTGCCATACTTTGATGCTATAATCAGCGCTTCCAGATACGAGAAGTGGGTTATTATCATCATCACTCATAACTAGGAGAGTTGTTACACGTTTTTTGTGTGCTTTTGGAATATATAGCTCTTTTGCGACATTATTTCCTTGGCCGTTCATGGTAATGTATTGAATGTGAATATCTCCATTGTAGTACCCACGAATGAGGCAGGGTGAAATTCTCTCTACAGCAAAATGAGAGACACTAATTGGAGACTTTACAGTTGGGCAAACACTTTCATGTGGATTTTCTTGACCCCACCCTTTTGCAAGTACATTATCATCAGATAATAGTGTAATTTCAACAAAAGATGTTGAAGCTGAGATGGATACTTTCCACGCTCTAATAATTCCATTGTTCACACGCAAAAGAATTCGACTAATTGGATCATATTGCCAAACAAAATCGCCATAAGGGTCATTTTCTGAAATGCATCCGTCAATAGTGCTGATAATCTTTGGTTGTTCTTTTTGTTGCAAAAGTCTATCAAAATTAGGTGTGGATGGTGAAGAGGATATTTGTAAAGCGTCCATGATTGATGTAGAAAACGCTCTTTCAATGGCTGCGCCAATGGACGTGAGATCATTTGTTGAAAGGTCAATATCTGAGGTTGATGGTGTCTCAGGAGAGGCATCGTTTAGAGAGGTATTGCTCTTTGATTGTGGTATGGCTGTTCTTTCTGGAACAATTAATTGTAAATTTTTGACTCTCTTTGATCGAGAGTTATCAGTGGTTTCAGATTCTGCTGTGGAGCGTGTTTCCATCTTTTCAGACTTGATTTCATCAACAACACTAACTTCTTTCTGATTGAACTCGCTATTGTCTCCTACATTTGATTCACTCACAAATGTAGAGTTTTCATCATTGTTCATATTAGCTTCTTCATCTCCCATGTACATGAAACCATCACTATTTTCGCTTTGAACTGTATTCATTTTCCTGGTATCAGCTGTTGAATAAAATTGTAGCATATCATCCATTATGGACTTGACACGTTGTTGTCTACCTGTTGTAGGAATCTTATAAATGTAGGCATTGCCCTTACTGGTATGAAGCAACAACAGATCTTTAGCAATAAATATTCCTCCTTTAAACTTTTCATTCTTTGTTGGAAGAGAAGAAGGGTTGTCAGAAATGGAAAAAGATTCCAAAGTTTGTTGCAATGTAATGGTAAAAATAGGTTGAATGGAATGGAATGTGTAAATATAAACAATCTTGTTATAAATCACAGCAATCAATGACCAATAATAATTGTTAGCAACCATAACGGGTTTAAATTGTTGGTTATTGGGTTGGTTTGCCATTGGAGTTTGAATACTAAACAAAGGCTCTTCATTTTTGATGGCATGAGATTTTTCATCGAGTTCAAAAGACCAATATTTCAATGAGTGATCATCTCCTACACTCAACATGACTGATTTGATTCTATTTGATTTGGTATCGTCCGAAAGAATAAAAGGACCTGATGAAAGAGAAGCAATCCATTCGGTATGTCCTTCCAAAACTCGAATAATTTTCAATCGATTCAAATCTAACAAATAAATCATGTTGTGTTTGCCACTAATTGCAACGATACTTGAATTGTAATTACTGTACTTGTTGAGATTACAAATACATTGAGGAACAGCATCAAACAACAAATTTGGTGATAGAGCCATACATCTACCATCGTATAAATTCCAAACACAGACTGTACCGTCTAAACTAATGCTACAACAACAATTATTATTATCAAAACCATATGGATAGTTTGATGGTGGCGAAGACGAAGAATTTAATAGCGGAGATGATGGCTGTCTGGTGGTAGTACCAGGGCTCAACCCATTATTGTTGCTGCTGACAATACTGTTGTTGTTGCTGTTGCTTGAAGCGCTATCGTAGCTGCACTCACATAAATCAGTAACCTTTGTTTGATGTCCATACATGAGAGAGAAGGGAATGTATCTATCTTGATCGAAATTCCATAACACACAGATACCTGTACTGGTTCCGGTCACTAGTTTGTCTTTTATGATGCTCGCGCAAGTATATCGAAACGAAGGAGGCGAATCATTCCAAAAGATTATTGTTGATTTTAGCGACATTTTTTTTATCCATGTAAAATAATAATTTGTTTAATTTATTAAAATAAGAAATAATTTTTATTTAATATTGCTATGTTATAATTGTCAACCAGTGTAACGTAGACAATTGACTACTAGTATCAAACAAGAGCTTCAATTTATTCGAATTTGCTGACAGAAGAACCCAAAACCAAAAATAACATTACAAAAAAAATGAACAACTATTTCCAAGGAGTGCGGATTGACATTTTCAAAAGGCCCTATCGAGTTTACACTGGAGCGTTTTGTGGAAAGCCTCAACTCGATGAAGGAGGTAAAATTATGTTGCCAGCTTCTGCTTTAGATGAGTTGGCTAGACTGAATATTGTTTATCCAATGCTTTTTAAGATATCTAATCCAAAGAAGAAAAAGTACACCCACTGTGGCGTTTTGGAATTTAGTGCAGAGGAAGGAAGAGCATACATTCCGTTCTGGGTATGTATATTTTTACTTCTTGATCACTTTTGAATCACATTTTCAATTTTGATCCGATGTTACAATGTTTATCCTCATCGCCCTCTTGTCAACATACAACGCGTATATTAATAATTACAATATACCATGAACATTGATTTTTGTTTCATCATTTTAATATCTTCATTATTTTACTTCATCATCAGATGCAAGAATATTTACAGTTAGCTCCTGGCTCTCTTGTAAATATTGAAAGTGCTACTTTGCCAAAGGGAACATTTGTAAAAATCAGACCACAACAGAAGGCTTTCATTGAAATATCCGATCCAAAAGCTGTATTGGAAAAACAATTAAGAAACTTTTCATGTCTCTCACGAGGCGATACCATCATCATAGCTTACAACAACAAACAATTCTTTATTGATATTGTGGCTGTTGCAAGTGCTAGTGGAGACTGTGAAGCCGTCAGTATTGTAGAAACCGATGTAAAAGTAGAATTCGAACGACCAGCAGATATGCCTCCTTCACCTATCAATCCTCAAACTCCATCTGCTGATGAATTATTCAAAGTGAAACCTCCTTCTCAACAACCACCAACGGCTCAACCAACAAAAGAAGAACCAAAGGAAGTGCCAAAATTCACAGGTGTTGGACGCAGATTGGATGGCAAGGGTGCTTCTTCCTCGTCACAATCTTCTTCTTCATCCACACAAACCAGTACGACATCCTCTTCAACAACAACAACAACTAAACCTGCTGCTGTCTCTTCTTCGTCTCCCTCAACTACTCCACCTTCGAACGGAACGTCTCTCAACACTTCTGGACTCGTTGTTGGAAGAAAAAGAAAAACCTATGGCGAAGAGGACAAGAACAAACAGGCTGGAACTTCTGCAAGCAGCAACCCAACAACCGAAAAGAAAGACGAAAACAAGTTTAAGGCATTTTCGGGACAAGGTAGATCTTTGAAATAAAAATTGTGACGTGAGTCGATTGTAAATCTCCCACTTGGAATTGAATGTTCGCGAGTGCTTGGCTCAAGTTGATGTAAATTGAAAACATCTCATCACAAATAATAATGAAACGAAATTTCGAAAAAAGCAGCGCTCTTCAAAATTGCACTGATCGACCAAAACGAAACAAACCAATGGAGAACCAGTGCTCTTCATCATCATCGTCGTCCTTTGATGACAACCTTTCCAAGCTTCCGAGTGATGTTGTGCTTCATAGTATATTACCACACTACATTCTCAATCTTGATAGATATGCTTTTCTGTACAACAAACACAAGTATGATTTGTGTTTATTATTTATGGGACGTTTTCATAATTCCTCTAAAATTCATTTGATATTTAAAAACGTTTCAATCACAACATTTAAAGCTATAGGAAGAAATGGTGAAGTTTTCAACTTTTTTGAAAAAGGAATACTTGATAGTGTGCTGCCAAGCAACATTGAGTCTATTTCTTTTCTTAGCAACTTTTTCACACAAGGAACAAGTATCTCTGCTCTACCTTCAATCATTATGGAGAAACCCTTGTTTTTGAGACATTTAAATTTAACATATCAAACCAGCTTTAAGGATGTTCAACAAATTTGCTCATTGAAGCGTCTTGAACACTTACGACTCGCAAATTCAATGATGAGCTTGCAAGACGTTACTCAAATTTTGAAATCCAACACCAAATTACGTTGCTTGGAATATTGCTTTCCTCACAGCTCTTCTTCCTCAACGAATGAAATGCTCATCGACTCACAAGAGATATTATCAGCGTTTCAAGAAGGAAGTGGTACTCTTGAGAGACTTTTTTTGAATGGAGTTTCTTGTCTTTCGAATTCAATGGTTGCCAAGTTGATCGAAATTTTACCTAATTTAAAGGAATTGAGTGTACAAGATGCACAACTTCTCAGCAATGAAGCATTCTGTAATATTGAAAAGAATGGAAAGAATTTAACTTTTATTAACATTTCTGGATGTGAAAACATTACATGTCCTTTTAAAACGTTGTTAAAAGCTCCAAAATTGAGAACCATTGTGCTTGAAGGATGTGATTTGAGCACCAAAGATTTAAGTATTACTACCAAAGAACATTGTACAACAGAAAACATTACTGATTTGGATTTGGCTAGTTGTGTGGTGAATGACATGTCAATCCTCTCAAATTTCTCATCTCTCACTTGTTTAAACTTGTCCAGTGTTCAACTCGTAGCAGGAAGTGGTGCTGAAACATTTTTGAAAAACATTGCAACTCTCTCACACCTAAAGGAATTGAATCTAACTGGATGTCAATTTATGAATGATACTTTACTCAGCCACATTGCGAACAAGGAGTTGAAAATGTTACGAGTTGGTGGTTGTGGTGGCATTACTGATCAAAGTATTCCACACTTGATGAAATTGGAACAACTCACAGAAATAGAAATTGGAAAGACAAAAATTTCAAGTGGAGGAGTTCAATCATTGTTAGATCATTTCAAAAACATTGTCTATTTTGGAGTTAATCAGTTGAATTTAACAGATTCAGATATTCTCAATATTCAAGGATGGTCTCAAATCGAAAGGTTAAATTTATCAAAGAATAGAATATCAGACCTGGGATTCAAATCATTGGTCAAATATTCAAACCTTATTTTCCTCAATCTTGCTGATAATTTGATTACAGACAATGGAATTGATCAAGATTTATTTTCAAACAAAACACTCACAGGTCTCATTCTTGTGGCCAATCGAAAAATCACCAACAAGAAGCGCTCACAAATCGTCATGAAATGCACTCACATTGTTGATTTGCATCTCTAACCATGAATCATTAGACTCATGCTAGCCATTATGGAAATTGGCTGTTGTTGTTTCAATACATGTTCACCATGTCCTGGTGTTGTATGATGATGAATGATTGAAATTGATTCGTGAATTTAAATGAAAACAGTTACCAACAACCCTCATGATGGTTGAGCCGTTGAACAGCAGTTGTGGCGCCACAACGGTCATCCACGATCGTGTCTTCCAATTTCCAATTCGTTTTCTCTCTTTGAAAAAAAATGAGGGAAAATGTTATCTTTTCAGCACATCATCACCCATTGTGTTTGTCATCCGAAAGCTCTGACTGCATGAACTACTATGCGTGTACAAAGAATAACACCAATAATAATAGAACATACAATTCCTCGTCGTATGATGTCGGTGAATATAAATCATCCAATGACACATTTAATAATTATTTTATGAACACTTTACTGGTTTTGAAGAAGAAGCTTCATCATCATACAACAACATTCATTCATCATTCCAAAATCTTTCATCATTTTATTACCAGCATAATGATGATACTATTCATTCATGGCAACATGATTCATGCTGCTACCACAGAGAAACCAAAACCCGAATTGGAGCCATCAATTTTGACATCATTAGCTTCTATCTCTGGTTATTTAGCCACTTTTTGTTTCACCGTACAATATCTTCCACAAGCTTATTTAAATCATAAAAGGAAATCAGTGAAAGGATTTAGTACTACCGGAATTTTGCTGAAACTTGTTGGAGCATCGTATTTGGGGGTGAACAGTTTTTTGATGGGAGAAGCATTGAGCGTTGGTCTTTATGGAACTTTAAATATTTTACAACATTCGGTTTTCATGATTCAATTTACAATGTTCACAGGTAGAAAAATATTCTTACTTTGTCTTTTTATTCCTTTGTTGCCCATAATTACTGGTTATATGTATCCCAATTCGATTCCATATACAAATTTGATCAAACCAGTTTCACAAATTGTGAGTCACATACCACAAATAATTGTGACATGGGAAGATAGAAGCACAGAGGGAGTTTCACTTATATCACAACATTTAAATTTATTAGGAGGTATTTGTGGTGTATTTATGTATTCAGTGTTCACACCAAAATCTTTCTTTACTAGATTGGTTTATTGGAACAGTTTACTTCAAGCATTGTCCATTTATTTCTTAGCAGTCTACTTTGATGGTTGGGGTCGATTGCGTAACTCTTTCGTCACATTATTTGAAAAAAGTCCAGATCCAACAAATTCCCCTCCAAACACTGAAGAACAACAAGAAATAGAGAAAGCCATGAATCAAGCATCCAGTACCGGAGTGACTACTTCCAACATCATTACTGGAACTAGTGCTAGCACATCGTCCACTCTCAGAAATACTTCTCATCAACAAGGTGCGCTTGATATTGAGATAACGTCAATAACTAGCAATATCGAATAAATCTTTCTAAAAGTAATCCTTGAATTAATAAATGAAATTTTAATTTTGTTTCAATAACACCTCTTTCTGCTCTGCCTCTAAACATAACGTCCTAGCTAACTTCCTTAGTTGTTTGGCATGATGGTGAATATCAAAATCAGCACCACTAAACATGATGCAATTTTGAAACATTAGAAATAAAGTCTTTTTTAACTCAGACACAGAGACAATATCACCGTGAGTGACTTTTTTCTTAATGTCAGCAATGCTCATTGGGCAAAGAATGGATTCATAATAATTTACAATGTTCTTATCCACGGGGTGTAAGAAGCTTTCGGCAATATTTTGTTTTTCTATGGTCTGTAGTACAGAAAGTAGAATCTGTTGAATTGTGTCTGAGGAGATGTTTTCTGAAGTATTATCTTTCTGAGTTTTACTCTTAAATTTTCTCTTTTTCTTTGCAGATTCCAACTCAGTAGATTTCTGCTTGCTTGGTTGTGAGGATTCGTTGTTTTCGGAGGCTGCTGCTTGAATGTGATCTAATTCCTCTTCAGTATTCTTTCTTTTTTTTTGTGATGAATCTAATAATTCTCTTGCTGGAGTGATGAATTCAAAGCTGTTGACAAATTGTTCTACAATTTTCATATTTAACTCTTTATCTTGATGATTTTCAATAAAATTTATGCAATTGCTCAGTCTCTTTTCAACTAATTCCAGAAAATTTAATCTCTTCTTGATGAGGTCTTGATAAACAGCTTCAATGTTTTGATCTCCAATTAAATCCTTAACTTCTTTCTTAATTCCTCTAGAAGGATACTTCTTTTCCAAATAAATTTTACTAGACTTATTCAAAGCACTAAATATCGCTTTTTCATCGTCCGAGCCTAGTTTTTGTTTTTCATTTAAATATAAATCAAGCAAGGCGAGATCGTTTGTGCTCACAATATCGTTCGGAATGAATTCGGAGGTTGTGCTGCTCATTTTTTTCGATTTGTTTATTTCTTGTCAGGTTGAATTGTGTTTGCTTGCGATAGGAATTCGATACAAAAGACTTAAAATTGTGTTCAAATTCGAGTTAAAAGAAGAATTATTTAAAATTATTTCAAAAAAAAATGATTGATGATGAAGATCCAACAGATTTCGAGACATCATCGGTTTATTTGAATCGGTCGGAGAGACCTCCAGCATTATGGAGTGTTTATTTTCCAAACGAAGTGTACATACCATCGGAATTGGATCAATACATGAAAATATTAGAGGATCACTTCATCAAGTTCAAAGATTCCTATCGATTGAATACCGTCCAAGGAATCAGCAGTTATGTCATGAACGTTGATATGGCGGCATTGCTGAGTAACTTGAGTTTGCAATCCAAAAACTTTATTGAAGATAAATTATACAATTCTCCTGGATTTTGTATTGGTGCTATTGAAATGGCAGCACATCATGTATTTCTGGAAGGTGAAAAGCACTCTGCAGTGAAAATCAATGCTAGAATTCAAAATCATTCTGTTTTTAAAGCACTGAAAAAACTTAAATCTAATTCTATGGGAAAGTTTGTTGCTGTCAAAGGAACTGTAGTGAAAGTGAGCAATATTCGACCTATAGTTACTCAGATGGTTTTTAATTGTACAAAATGTGGAACAAAACAGAAAAAGTATTTTCGGGATGGTAAATTTACGCTACCTATGAAATGCAAAAGTCATTCATGTAAATCAAGAGCATTCATTCCTGATAGAAGCACTGCTGTCACTGTAGATTGGCAAAGAATTAAAATTCAGGAAATTTCAGAAAGCGATGATCATGAAGCTGGAAGAATACCAAGAACAATTGAATGTGACATTACCGAAGATTTAGTAGAGTCATGCTCCACTGGAGACGAAGTCATTGTTTGTGGAACGGTCAAAGCTGTAAATACAGAACAACATGCTATAGAGGCCTTTGGTAGATCTTCATCGAGAGGAAACACCAAACGCATGTACTTTCTTTACTTGGAAGGAAATTCCATCACCAACACTAAAGCATCAGAAAAGGGTGATGACTCTCAATCATTTAGTACAGCTGATTTAGAAGCCATCAGAGAAATGGGATGTGAACCTGATATCTTTAGGTTAATTGTACATTCTTTGTGTCCTGCAATTTTTGGCCATGAGATTGTTAAAGCAGGTCTTGTTCTCACTCTCTTTGGAGGTGTTCAACGTTATACCAACGCAAAAGATATGCTCACTGTTCGTGGAGATCCCCATATTTTGATTGTGGGAGACCCTGGTTTGGGTAAAAGTCAACTTTTAACAGCAGTTTCTCATATTGCTCCAAGAGGAATTTATGTTTGTGGTAACACTACAAGTACTTCTGGTTTAACAGTGACGGTCACTAGAGATTCTGCGACTGGTGATTTTTCACTAGAAGCAGGTGCTTTGGTGTTAGCAGATCGTGGATGTTGTTGCATTGACGAGTTTGACAAGATGAGCAGTGAACATCAAGCATTATTGGAAGCCATGGAACAACAGAGTATTTCAGTTGCAAAAGCTGGTATTGTGTGTAATTTACCAGCTCGATGCTCAGTTGCTGCCGCTGCTAATCCAGTTGGAGGTCACTACAATAGAGCCAAAACCGTTGGTGAAAATTTGAAAATTAATCCTGCCTTACTCTCTCGATTTGACCTCATATTTATTTTGTTGGACAAACCAGATGAGTTGCGTGATAAATTGCTCTCTGAACATGTACTTAAACTCCACTCAGGATCAACGAACAGAACAGGGTCTGCACTTTCTACATTTACAACAAAGCACGCTCTCAGTCAAGTGGGTACACAGCACGGTCAGCAATCTCTTAAAGAAATTTTAAGGCCAAAGAAGGGAGAATCATTTGATATCATACCACCACGATTACTTCGAAAATATATTGCCTATGCCAGACAATATGTCATGCCAAAACTCAATGACGATGCCAAGAAGGTGTTACAAGAATTTTATGTACAACTCAGAAAGTCACATCACAGCTCAGAGGCAACACCCATCACCACACGACAATTGGAATCTCTCATTCGACTTGCACAAGCAAGAGCACGTACAGAATTGAGAAATATTGTTACTGAAAGAGATGCTCTCGATGTAGTTGAATTGATTAAGGAATCCATGTTTGACGTATTAACTGATGATAAGGGAAGAATTGATTTAACACGTGTGAGTGGAATGAGCAAAACAAAACAACAAAATGCTTTTATTGAACAATTAACAAAGATTGCAGATTCACAAGATCATGGTCCCCTATTTGAATATACAGAACTGATTCAGTATGCTCAAAAGATGGGACTTACCGAAGATCATAGGATTCTCATTGATCGATTGAATAATCAGGGATATTTGCTCAAGAAAGGTACTGGAACGTACAAACTCACGACGTGTGCCTCTACGACGACCCCAACAAAACCTAAAGCAAGATCAAGACTTACCTCTCAGGAATCATCATCACAAGCAAGTCATTATGAAGAGTGATGTGATCTGTGTTTTTCAGTGTTGAACATCACGTGAACCCACCTTTTGCACCAACGAGTCACAGAAATGTTGTGAATTCGTAACAAAAAATTTGACAGTTTCAGCATCATTTCAGAATCGTTTCAAACAAAAACTTTGGAGTGATGAATTCCGAAATTCGTGAAACATTCTTTACAAATTTAAACAAATTATTGGATAAATCCTCTACATTTTTCAAATCCTTGACAGCTCCTCTCCATTTTGCAATTGTACAACAATTAAACGAATGGAATGGACGAGAAATTGAATCCTTTTTTCGTGTGTACTTTCAATATTTGCGAGATGGCATCATAAAGATAGCTCAAACAGAATTTCCAGAGTCCTCTTATTTGATGACAGATTCCGAACAAATGACATGGAATGACCAAGAACCACTCTCACTCAAAAAGTTAAGAGCATGGGTGGAAACGGTAACTTGTGTGCTGATTGAGTTCATGTTCAACATGATGGAACAACGAGTCATTACGAATGGCATGGAACGTTTCTTTATCATTCTCTATCAATTAGAATTACTCTCCAAATTGTTGGTTGAGAACATGTGTGATTTCACTACAACTGTTGACACTGTCATCATTCATACTCTTTCACGATTTATGAATGAGTGGCGTTACAACCATCCAGATAGTTTGATTGTCATGACATGGAATTTGCCAGGTAGCAAAAAAACAACCAAAGACATGATTGAAACCAAGTTCAAAAAGGAGCATGTTCAATTCATTGAGATGGTAGATGTTGCCTTCTTGCAAGAATTTGCGACTGGTGAGGGTGAATCTGGAGCTTGTGAAAAGTTTGTCAATCGTTTTGAAAAGCTAACCAGGTATTCAGTTCAAAATTTAAAACGTCATAATCGAAAGGAACAAGATTATGGAGTGATTTTGTGGAATGAAAAGTATTATCCTTGTGAAGAAGAATATTGTTTTCAAGGAATGGAATCCTTAAATCCAACATTGATCAATGTTCATTTGTCTTTTACTAATTCTCAGCACAGAAATGAAGAGTTTGAAGAATTGAAATCCTATATAAAGAAAAGACTGAAAAGAACATCATTTATCATTGCTGGAGACTTTAATTTTGAAGTCACAAGTGATCGATTTGATGGATACTTTGAAGACATTGTGAATTGTGATAATTGTGAGCTTGCGACCACAAAAGCAGGAAGAAAAATTGATCATGTTATATTTTCCCGAGATTTTGAGTGTGCATTCAGCATCGTTCCTCAATTGTTGGCCTTTCCAGAATCCAATCATTATCCTAAAATTGTATTTCTTACCAAGGTTGAAGAGAGTGATGACGACGATGATGAAAGTGATGATGACCACAATAAGGACATTGCTGTAGTAGAGGAGGAGGATGATGATTCATTCATTTCGTCTCGTCTCGAACATGGATTGAATTTGAATGAATGATCAATTATTATATCAGCCTTTTCAATGTCAGAATTCTGTTTTCATCAATAATACCAACCAAATCAAAGACATCCCAAGTGAAGATCAAAGTTTAATCTTAAAATATGCAAAATAACTAGTCACATTAAAGAATATCATGGCCATTAAGGTCACTGCTTGATCTAAAATGTAATTATTATCTCCAAATACTCCATATAAATTTCTAAAAGCACCATCCATCACATAATTATACATCATATTACTCTCAACAATAGACAGTGCAAAGGACAATGCTGATATCAACAATGGAACTAAAATGAAGAACAGAGTAATCTTTGGAAATTGTTTGAAAAAGATCATTCCAAAAGCAACGCATGCAAAAAAGGCCATCCATTCTAAAAAGTATAAAATTCGTGTGAATACAGATAATTCCATTCCACCTGAAGGAGTTGTCAATTGTAAATTTGAAAAAATTACTCCACAAATAATCAAGTAAATAAACATGACAAGAAATAGAATGACACAAATCACGACACACACCACGGAAATGGCATGTCTAAATTTTCGAAATAATAATAGTGGAATATTTCGTTTCTTCATCTTTTTCATGGAGAATGTACATCCAAGAGAGGATGTCATCACAATCACAAGTGCCACTATTGAAATGACTCCATAAAAGATGCAACCAATCATACTTGCCAAATCTCTCGGGCGGGCAATGGTGAATCCAATATAAATCACAGTACATACAAATGCAATGAAGAGTGGAATAAGGCAAGACCACAACCCACACAATGAAAACAATGACGAGCAAGAGACACACTTGTTGAGCTCGTACCTTTTCATGGATCTCAATTTCTTTAATTTCCATAAAAAGAAGCCCGAGAGCATCCAACCACCCACACATGCTCCACCCAATAAAAAGAACAAGGGTAATAAATAGTGATGAGCAGAATTGTCTTGATCCAATGGAATGGCAAACGTATGAAATGAATAATAAAACACTCCATAGAGGAGATAAATTAAAAAACTGGTACTTGCAAGAATTTCAAACACAAGGTAGAGAATGTTTTCATTCGTTTTGATTTTGTTAGAACGTGGAGTGAATGAAGAAAGAGTAGTATGATGACTGGAGGTGTAGATGGAAGAATAGGCTTTGGATTGACGAAGAGAAGTACTGCTGCTACTGTTGTTGTTGTTGTTGTTGCTCGGATCATCATGATTGGTTCTGGTCGTAGTAGCAGTAGTACCATAATGATGATTATTGGCTGAAGAGGATGGAATGGAAATGTTTAAATCAAATGGATTTGATGTTTCTTCTTCGGATTCACCATTCGATTCGGATATATACCCACTACGGGCTAAATGATTTTTCATATTTGTAATTCCTGGAGGTTGTGTGGTTGATGTGGTCGAATCAGAATCAATAGGAGGAGTGGTATGATGTTGCGGCGCTACGACTGTTGTTTCATGATGTGGTGTGATGATGAGAATGATGAATCGTTCGAGTGCGTGATGTCTTTCAATTCAACTTGTTGTCCCTTGGTGCTGAAGATTTTCACCTCGTCATAGGACTTGGTATGATCATCATTGATGGTTTTGAATTGGTAATTTTCATCTTCAACATTCACTTTCAGTGACACAGCAATTGACATCAAGAAGCTTTTCTTTTTGATTCGAAAAAGATTGGTGATGGTCAACAACGATAAACATTATTCAGGCATAAACAATATTTATTCATGACATCAAAATCAAATGTCTGCCCGTCTAGCTCAGTCGGTAGAGCGCAAGACTCTTAATCTTGTGGTCGTGGGTTCGAGCCCCACGGTGGGCGATCACAATTTTTTAATTTTCGTTGAATTGTAGTGATTGGATGTTTATTGTTTCAATGAGAGAAATTGTATTTGTGTAAGAACAAAGTACTTAAGAAGTAAAGGATGAATCACAAAGCCTTTTCTTTTGAATTTTATTGCCAAAAAAATGAGAAAGCACAAGTCTAAAGTGAAACAGGCGTCCTCTGGCAAAATTAATTCCGGGCACACGCCCTCCTCTTCAATACAGCTACCTCCGGTTGCAAACAAACCAACAAAATCGAAAAATAGTACCATCAATGGTTACATGACTCACAGAACTTTTCCCGATCTTCCTATGGAAATTATTCAACATATTTTCTCGTTTCAACCCTATTTAGAGATTATTATTGCAGAAAGATATTCATTCGGAAAAGATCTTAGAGGATGTTTAAAATTGAGCGACCGTTCAAGAAAGATAATTTTTTCTCATTGTGATGAACATCTCATCAACAATTATTCTCGTTTTATATTTTGCCAAATATTCGGAAAATGCAAATATTATCAATATAGTTCTACAATGTATGATCAATACTTTCCTCTTACCCATCGCCTAGTGATGATTTATCCAAATATTAAAATATGTACAGTGGAGATTGAAAATAGCATGGATGATTTTTATTTTACTTACTTCTTTCAAAGGAGATTGATGGATGACCTATTTTTGCGAGTGGCTCTCACAAAAATGCAAAAACTAATGCTTGCAAACCCATACAAAAAGAGAAAAAATTGTGGAGGCTCCACTATCACCATAATGAGATTCATTAGAGATACTCTCATGAAATATTTTAAAAGCCCCTGTGGTAAATCTCTAAATGCTATAGATATGGGAAATATTATGTTAAGAGAGAATTATTTAGATTTATTACAAATACTATGGGAAGGATTTACATCACATGAAGTGATTGTAAATGACTATTTAAAGGAAGGATATTTATCGAGATTTGAGCCGAAAGAAACTGAGTATTCGGTAAACCTAGAATATAAAAAACCAACTCTAGACAAAGAAACAAATACGCTCACATTTAGCACTCTAAGTCAATATCTAGAATATTTACAATCCACTATTATATCAATAATGCTGAACGAGAACAAGGATCAATTTTTCAACAAATCAGCAGAGAAAATGGACTCACAATCCTTCTTTGAAAAATTACCGTTGTTGAATCACACAATTAATTTTAATTTATTTCATACCATGAAAAGCAATTATTTAGCCCTATCATTTCGATCTACTATTACTTCTTTATCATACTTTGAGAAAAAGCTCAACCAAAATACTCAACAACAACAGCATCAGCAGCAAAATATTCAACGTAGAGAGAAAATATTTCAAATGCTTACTTGCTTTCCTAATCTTACGAAATTGACCTTTGTTGTGGATAGCCAAACGGAGCCTCTTGATGAAACCGTAAAACTTTTAAAGAAATATTTACCAGGACTCAAACATATTGATTTGAGAGGAGGTTTACATTCACGTTCTTCGTTAAGCATGCTATTACGAGAGTTTCCAAAAATGACATCAGTAGTTTTGTATTTATCCTTGAGAACTTATCCAAAACAAACCAACAATGAGCAATGTTCCAATAATGGATACGCTTATGCTTACAGTCCCAGCGTGGGAGTTGGAATACCCTTCTTAAACGACATTCGAGAAACTGTCAAATGCATTCAGGCTCAACCTAATCCGGCTTCCAAGCTCGCTATTGTGTTCGACCGGGAAACGTTTTTAAAACAAATTGTGAATAAGAAAATTCAAAGTCTGACTGGAGACTTTATCTTGGTTGGAGGCGCTGAAAAACTATTACCTCTTTCTTCCCTTTACAAATTAGTTTTATTCAAGCCAAATTACAACATGTTCGAAAAGTATGATTTTTTGAAAGTGTTATCTCAGACCAAGACGTTGAGAATTTTGTATATTCATGAATCGCTTCTCGGTTGGAGGCCAAAAGGTTACAAACCTACTGTGGAGTTTTTTGAGAACGAATTAGAAGAGTTTAACACAGATCACGAGGGCTGGCAACAAAAATTTAAAATATTTTGCAAAAAAGAGAGAACACCACTCAAGAGATTGTTATTGGATGGAAAGTCTTTGGTAAAGGTCAAAATATTCTACAAATCCATTAGACATTTGTGCGAACAAGGAAAAGAAAAATTGTACGATCTCGAAAAATTACTCATTGATTTATACATTCAGTATATTTCACACAAGTACAGGCACATTAGATTTTTGATGACTCCTGTGTCTGATTAATAAATCATTGAATTCCTTAAACATTGCAGGTAATGACATGCAAAGAAGGATTCTCCATTTGCATCACAAACAAAGTATCATCTTTAGGAGTGATAGGCTGAGTAAATAATAGTGATGCTTCGTTAAGATCTTTGATTTGAGCCTCTGTTGGATAAGTGGGAGAACCAATTTGATGCCACCTAGTGAAAGCATTGGAATGTGTTTCATCAATAATGCTTTGAACACAATTCTTGAAATGTAACTGTGTGTTGACTTTGATTGAGACCACGTAGCTACTTCCAGGCTGTGAAGGCACTTGATAGTTTGATGCAAAGATCATAACCTCACGAGTGTCGCGATTAAGTGTGGTATACACATTCACAGTACTCGCTGCTGTATCAGTCGTGGCATTATATAATTCCTCTCCTGACTTGGCCATTAATTGAAATGCTCTCCAAACAGGCTTCCTAATGGAGTAAATAGTCATCATACCAAATCCTTCTTGGAATACTTCTGAATATTGGCCATGCTCCTCAAAAAGATCACTGAATGTCCAATAAGAATAAACATCGACCACATTGTGCAATGAAAATAGTGTCCTTGTAATAAGAGCAGCTGGATAGCTTGTGTCTTGATAGAAATAGGTGCCACTTCCAAGATCGCCAAGGCCAGCATTCCACTACATTTAGAAAAATTGGTCAAAATGTACATATACGACGTGGAGTGACGTCATCTATTGATCTTTTCAAAAAACATACCTCTGTATAAAAAAGAGGAGTGTTTGATCCAACAATGCTTCTACTTTGTTTTGCAACCTTAATCAATGTATCCGTTGCCAATGGTTCTATATCTGTTGGATATTCATGAGTTGAGACAAAATCATTTGGAATATTATTGGAACGAACAAAATTCACAAAATCTTGAATCCATCCAGATCCAGCAGTTGCTGGTCCACCTACTCTCAATCGTTGACTCACAGACTTGATGGTATGTGCAGTGTTGTTGTACAAATTAAAGTAATCTTGTTGAGTTCCAGTCCAGAATGTATTTCTGTTTTTTTCAAATCCATATTCATATTCATATTGTTATTCAATCCATCAATGAAACTCGAATCATGTTGTGAAGAATTCTTACCTCAAATTAGGTTCATTCCAGACCTAATCATTCATGGTGATATTCCAATCCCCATGGATGAACAAGGAAACGTCATCAGCTACTGTACAATACTTACCTCAAAATGCCATGTCGATACTTCATCAATACCATATCGTTGTACCAAATGTGAAACAAAATTATAAATTAAATCATTCCATTGTTTCATGCTCTTTGGAGGTGAAATTCCACCATTGTAGTGAAAGATAGTTTTACTTGGATCACTTGCTAATAATTGTGGCATGAAACTCAATTCTACAATTGGTTTCATTTTCATTTCCTTTACAAGAAAATCATAACAAGTGTCAACATTATAAAATGAATAAATTAAAGTATTTGGATCATGTCGTTTAGGTAGCACCACACTCATATCATCATCTAAAATACCACTGTATGAGATTGAAATTTGATGAGATCAATGGAATACATGTATATTTGGATTTCAAAAGTTGATCACTCTTATCAAACACCTACTGAAAGCGAATTCCATAAAACCCCAATTCTTTTTGGGCAATTTTTAATTGTTCTCTCCAATCAGCCCGTAAACAAAAGGTAGCATGACAGGATCCTACCGATCGTTTCCAATAATGTTTGAAGGGCATCGGATTGGTCAACATGTTGACTTGAAAATTCACTGTGCCTAATGATGATGATGAATGAAACTGATGATGATTCAAGAGCTGGCATTGGACACCAATGGCACCGAGGAAAATCACAACAACGCTACTGATTGCAATCAAAGCGATTTTAAATGAAGAATAACGCAACATCATTTTTTTGTAAAGCAAAATCCGTGGTTTTCAATTATAATTGTTTGATTACAATTTTCACTTCTACTGTTTGTTAATAGAACAGCTAAGTTGCAAAAAGCTTGAATCTTTACACCATTTTTCTGTAATGACGCTTCATCATAAGATCTTTAAATTAACTCTGTTTGGCAAAACCATTACAACAAACTGTGGTGCAGTTCCAAGTTGAACTTGGGAGTTAAAAAAAATCAAACATCTTGACTGCTCGACTATCCTCATGGAAACTCATCAAATCGTACGGGATACTCTAACTTTTCAAAACCAGAATTACAAACCATTACATTCAGATATATTTGAATTTGATGAACGATTTGTAGATCCGGTATTTGTAAAGGCTTGCAAGGATGCCAAGCAATTACATTCATATTTCGAATTGATGCAAAACGCACAAGATGAGGAAAGCTTTAATAACATTAGAAAGGAATACAATCAAAAGAAGAGAGAAATATTACTAACTATTTTGACAGAAGAAGTACCACAAGTGTATTCTTTAGTGATTTTTACTGAAGAATTTTGTAAAAAATTAATTGAAGAGAAGGATAATTACGAAAAGACACAAAACGTGAAATTACGTCCTAACTCAATGAATAATTACGGAATTGTGATAGACGAGATTGGAATGGGTAAATTCTTTGATACATTTGTTCGAGAGTATTTTTCACCGTTGGCCAAGATTATGAATCCAGCTGGTTTTGATCTTGATGACCATCATACTTTTTTAGTTGAGTATTTCATTGGAGGAGACTCTGATCTTTCAGTTCATGTTGATGACAGCGAATTAACCCTCAACGTTTGCCTTGGAAAACCAGGATTTGAAGGCGGAAATTTGTTTTTTAAAGGTCACCGAGATGATCCCAAAACGTACAATCAATATTTCGAATATAAGCATGTTCCAGGGCGAGCGGTTATGCATGACGGAGCCATGATGCATGGTGCCTTACCGTTGACTAAGGGAGAGCGAGTGAACTTGATCATTTGGGCTCGATCGACACAGATGAGACAACAAATTGAGACTGCCCTCAAGGAAATGCAAGAAAAGGGAGATCACTGTTGTTGTGACCATCATGATGAACATTCGTGTCACGACCATGACGGTGCATGTGAGCATCACCATTAGAATTATTATAGTTAATAATTTAAATTTCATTAATATCTAAATCTTAGTTTCTTGAATTTAAAGTGTAGCTGGAGAACACCTCTTTCAAACACACACTTATAACCTCTCTTGTAAGAACGTTCCCACTCTCGATTGACAATTCTAAAGCAAATATCTTCGTATGGTGGGCCAGCTTGGAATCTCAGAATTGAAAACTCATCACTTGTTGGATCTCTTTCGATCTTAAATGAAGGAGTATTAGATTTGTCAATTAAATCAGGATAAAAAATATTAAATTTGTATCCTTGAATAACTTTTGGAGGTGGATTTTCGTGATCGTAGTGAGTTCTGTTGTATTTTGTCCATTCATATCCAGTTCTCACCCTATTGAAGTATTTTGGCTTTCTTGGTCTATACTTGTCGTTCCAAGCATACTGTTGATTTACAAGTTTGACTTCCTCCACTGCGTCTTCGTCTCCATCTTCAGATTCCTTATTTCTAAATTCTCGTAATAATTTTTCTTCTTCATTGGAGGTTTGGTTGTCGTGTGAAGTACTTTGTCTACTTGAGGAGGGTGCTTGATATTCAGAGGTGCTTGTATGATGAGTAAATATTCTGTCAAGCTTGTTCTTTGTCTTCATTTCAGAGTATACTTCCAATGCCTTGTTATGATATTCTTCTACGAAAGCTCTAGCTTTGTAAATCTGTAAATACTTTTTTAAACCTTCCCAATATTCTACATCTGTTGAAGCATCTCTATTGTCCAAAGTATCATCAATCAATTTTTCCATCTCCAATAATTCTTCCATATTTTTACCAGACAACAGTTCTTTAATTTCATTTACCACTGATTCATGGATTGGCTTTGTTCTATCATCTAGTTTTGCATTCTCCTTTCTTTTTTCTCTTTCCTTTGCGTAGTTAATCTCATCGTTCATGATTACATTTAGAGCTCTCCAAAACTCTTGGTAATCTGTGTCACACTCTATCATGGTTTGCAAATCTTCCTGAGATTCTAATAAATCCTTCAAATTCTTACGATACAGTATCTCGTGCGGCTTTTTATATTCAACTCCGAATATTCTCTCGTGTTCACTGCTTAATATCAGGTGACTATCGTAGTCTTCACCAAGCAATTTATCCTTGTACCTCAAATATTTCATGTTATTAATAATAAAATCTAGCAGCTTAGGTCGTTTTTCTTTCAGTCTGATAAAAGACGCAAGGTTGGCCTGCTTTAAATGAAAGCCAAGCTCTTTTTGTTCATACTCGTCAAATCGTTCAGCCTCACGTTCTCTGAAAACCCTCTCTCTTTCCATTTCCCATCTTCTCTTTTCTAATTCTCTTTCCAATCTCTGTTGTTTGATTTTCAAAATTTCGTTCTTTTTAGTGTCCGTTATTGATTGGTCGTGATCGTAGTCATATTGTGTTGATGGATCCTTTTTAGTCCATACAAATTTATCGGAAAGTGTTTTATCGTTAAAAGGATTTTCCTCGTCTGTATAACCCAACTCTTGAATAATAGTACTTTTCTTTTTCTTCTCCGAAGGCTGTAACGATAAGGGGTCAGAGTCAGCAGCAATATTTCGTTTCATTTTTTTTGTTGTGCTGTTAAATTGAACCTGTTGGTTCATGGTTTCCTTTGTCATGCTGGAGGAGGTGAATTGAGAGATCGAATTTCTGACTGCAAGATCAATTTTGGTTGTATGGAAATTGTTCACATTCTGGGATCACACTTTGTTACGAACATGAACATACACATTTAGCAAAACAAACATATTTTTTTGGCACTTTTGAGCAAGACATGCCGTTACGCCTGGCACCCAAAGAAAAAAACACTCTTGGCCAACCAACCTCAATACACATGCCTAAAGTGAATCAGGTCGTACCCATCGGGGGAACTCAATACGATGCAAAATCCATCCCAGGTCATCATCTACAAACTCCCACCCATGTATCATCTTCCCATAAGGATGATACTTTTTCGTTAACAACGATGGACCGACGGTTTTCGGTCACTACAGGAAAAACTCTATCAGACTCTGTAACGTCTCAAACAATATTGAAGAAACAAGTATTTGGATCGAACACCATTGTCGGTTTATTAGAGAAGATACCACTATCTCTCAAACTCATTCTGGTTGTGATCTTTGCTATATTATCCCTTTGTGTTTTCGGGGCCCTGCTCATCGTAAATTCAGTTAGGCAAATAGAATCAGCTCGTCAAATTCAGAGTCTTTCTGAAATATCAGTCTTGTTTTCTGATATCGTGCACAGCCTTCAGGTAAGTACGGCATATATGATTTGAATATGTACCATGATGACCTTAATATTCATGTCGTTTCATCAGAGAGAGCGTGGTTCTTCGTCCATTTATTTGGGCTCCTCAGGTACTTTATTTGTTCAGGAACTTGCTTCATATCGAAATGAGACGGATGCTGCATTAAAAGCATATTTAGAAAGGACCGTTACTTTGAAAGCGATCATTCCCGATTCATCTTCACGTTATTTCTTGGATGCCAGTGCAAACTTGGACAAAATTCAAGTTTATATTGATGGACTTCAGGTGTGGCGTCAAAAGATCACAAACCTGCAATTTCCTGTTGCAAAAGTTGCACTGGATTATTTTACAAATTGGAACACGGCCATCATTGACACCTTAATCATCTTGTCAAGCCAAAGCTCCGACTCTGAATTTGCAATGGTTCAGACGGTGTTTAATACAGTAACAGAACTGAAAGAAATAACAGGTAAGTGGATTATTTCCAATTTCCATATCTTTCAACTCGTTGAATACTACATAAAAGGTATCAAACGGGCGATTGGAAGTAACGGATTCACTGCAAAAGCCCTCTCAACTACTAACTACAATTATTTCCTTCAAATACAGGCACAGGGGATTTTGCTTCAGCGACATTTGAAACTGCTAAGCTCTCAATCAACCTACTCCTTTTACGAAACAACAGTCATGAAAACACAAGAAGCATTGAATTGTGAAATTATGGAATCCTATTTGATTCAAAACTACCAGTCTGCAACACTCTACTCATCAACCCAATGGTTCAATAACATGACAATCTTTATAGACGCAATGAGAGACGTCGAAAATTACCTTCGAAAAATTACTGTGTCTCATGCAAACAATTTAACTTGGCAAGCAACTGGCTCACTGATTGCATTTTCAGTGAGTACATTCTTTGTGACTTGTCTCTCCACTTGTATTGCAATCATTTTCTCAAAAACAATTGTTGGTCCATGGCAAAGAATTCTCGCATTGCAAGAAGATACTGTTTACAAATTTGTTCCAAAAGAATTTCTCTCAATTTTGAACAAGGATAAAATCACTGATTTAAAATATGGAGATTTCTTTGAAATGGAATTGGATATAATGTTTGTGGACATTCGAAATTATACAGGAATCAGTGAAAACTTACAAACCAAAAAGATTTTCAAATTATTGAACAAGTATTTGAAAAATGTTGGACCCATCATTCGAAAACACAATGGATACATTGATAAGTATTTGGGTGATGGCTTTGTGGCCTTGTTTTTGGAACCTGGTCATGCTGTCAATGCGGCAATTGAAATTCAAATGTCTCTCAAGCTGTTCAATGAAGCGCTTGGGCACAAATATCCTCACATTGCTGTAGGAATGGGAATTGCAAGGGGTATGGTGGCTGTTGGCTTAATTGGCGAATCTAGGAGAATGGATGCCACTATTATATCAGACAGGTAAGTGAAACTACAGAAATATGTATCAAACTCATTTCTGTGTTAGTGTCAATCTGAGCGCCAGACTAGAAAGTTTAACCAAGCAATTGAATGCTCACATCTTGGTGACCAAACAAATTATTGATACCACTCCTATGGTGCGAGAAAGCTTTTTCAGAAAAATTGGCAACATTGCTGTTGTTGGTAAAAACCAAGGAATTCAAGTGTACGAAGTCATTCCGTTTGACGACTCTCCAAAGAAAAATACCAAGGATTTGTTCGAGAAAGCCATGGATCATTTATACGATCGTGATAAGTTCAATATTGGAGAGGCTATCTCGTTACTCAAACAAATTCTCACCATTGATCCCGAAGATGAACTGTGCAAAATGAGGTTGATCACTGCCGAATCTTTGCTGAACGATTGCTCTCAATGGACCTACTGTGATCGATTAACAAAGAAATAACAAGGGCGCGAGTGAATTCTGAGCGAACAAAGAGCACTTGGTATTGAGGATATGCCAGTAAGGCGCTGCATGAGCTTGGTAAAAAGGCCCAAAATGGATAAAACTGCGCAATTAGGGCTGTGTTTTCTACAAATTCAACCAACAATAAATCCAACCTTAAAAATCTCCATTAGAGAACCATACAGGGTAACGAATGAATGTGCAACAAGAGCTTTCTCAAAATTTTGTGGTGGTTCCTCCTTGCGTCTCGTCCTCCCTGAACGATCTTTCATCAGCCAAACAACAACAAGAAGAGTCCACTCCAGCTTTGGTTCATGCTACTATCATAGAAGATACTGGAAAGAGTGATTGTAAATCCTTCTCATCCACTCATCTCGAATCACGAGGAACCGTTGTAAATGGAAAACAAACAATGTTGAGCTCGGAACGGCTGCTAGCAGTGTTGGAACACATTCCTCTCATCATTAAATTAATTCTGGTTGTGGTCTTTGCCATTATATCGTTGTGTGTATTCGGAGCATTGTTAATCTACCAATCTTCGCAAATGATTGCCTCTGCGAAACAAATTACGCACTTGTATGAATTCTCAGTTCTGGTTTCAGATGTAGTACATTGTTTGCAGGTAAGTTAGTTCGCTCTGAACTTTTGGCCATTTAAAGTCTCAAAGAACGAACGAGGAGCTACTACCATGTATATAGTATCCAATGCTACACTCTTTGTAACGGAAATGGCACGGTATCATGTAGATAGTGATGAGGCAATTAGGCTTTTTTGGACAGATCAACGATCATAGAGTCAATTACTATGGACAGAGCCTCAAGGTTTTTCTCGGATTCTAGGGATAACATTGGAAAAATCCAAACGTATATTGATGGGTTATCAAATTGGAGAGCTCGCATCCTTAATTTTGAGTTGTCAGTCAATGATGCTCGTGAATACTATACACGTTGGATTGCCATCATGGTGGACACGCTACTAATTTTGTCCACCCAAAGTGCAGACCCAAGATTCTGTGAAAGTCAAAATCTTGTGGATATCATGATTGAAATGAAGGAGGTGGTAGGTAAGTATGGTGGGATTTCAAATATAGATATTGATTCAATTTGTCTTTATAGGAATTAAAAGAGCGATAGGAAGTAATGGATTTGTTGAAGGGAAGCTCAATTATTCTAATTTCACATACTTTCTACAGATGCAGTACAGACAAAGCTTACTATTACATCGATTTAAACTCCAGACATCAACTGAAAATTTGTTAACTTACCAAAGAGTGGTTGAGAATTCCAGTGTTGCTACCACTTGTAACATAATGGAGAATTACTTGGTTAGCAACCATCAAAATATTTCTCAATACTCTGCACCTCAATGGTTCTTCAACGTTACCATGTATATGAATGCAATGAGAGAAGTGGAAGTTTCATTTCGAGAAGCTGCATTAAGGCATGCACGTGAGTTGGCTAGGCAAGCAACTGGCTCACTGATTGCATTTTCAGTGAGTACATTCTTTGTGACTTGTCTCTCCACTTGTATTGCAATCATTTTCTCAAAAACAATTGTTGGTCCATGGCAAAGAATTCTCGCATTGCAAGAAGATACTGTTTACAAATTTGTTCCAAAAGAATTTCTCTCAATTTTGAACAAGGATAAAATCACTGATTTAAAATATGGAGATTTCTTTGAAATGGAATTGGATATAATGTTTGTGGACATTCGAAATTATACAGGAATCAGTGAAAACTTACAAACCAAAAAGATTTTCAAATTATTGAACAAGTATTTGAAAAATGTTGGACCCATCATTCGAAAACACAATGGATACATTGATAAGTATTTGGGTGATGGCTTTGTGGCCTTGTTTTTGGAACCTGGTCATGCTGTCAATGCCGCCATTGAAATTCAAAATTCTCTGAAAGATCTAAACATTTCTATTGGGCCGAAATACCCAACAATATCTGTGGGTATGGGAATTGCAAGAGGTATGGTTGCGGTTGGATTAGTTGGAGAGTCTAGAAGAATGGATGCTACAATAATATCTGATAATGTCAACATTGCAGCAAGACTGGAATCTTTAACCAAACAGTATCATGCTGTCATCCTTTCTTCGAAATCAATTATTGATACGACACCAAACGTAAGAGAAAATGCATTCAGAAAAGTTGGGAACATTGCTGTTGTTGGAAAGAATCAGGTGATTGAAGTGATAGAGGTGATCCCATTTGACGATTCGCCAAAGAAAATTACTTGCTGTTTGTTTGAGGAGGCTATCGATCATTTGTACGATCCTGAGAAATTCAACGTCGAAAAAGCCATTTCGTTATTCAAACAAATTCTCGAAATTGACCCACAGGACGAGTTATGCCAGAAAAAGCTGAAGCTGGCAGAGTCCCTGCTGCAGGATAGTTCGTCGTGGACATATTGTGATAGATTAACAAAGAAATAAGGCCGAAATAGAGCATCCTGTATGGAAATGCTGTATTACTTGTCCAACGATCCATCTTGCAAATGTTGAGTCACAAACGTAAAAGCGTCGGCAACGACAAAGTGAGCTGGTTTTTTGTCGTCAAGATCTCCCGTATAGAGACCAGTTTTAACCAGTACTGATTGCCATGGATCTCCAGCATTATGAGCACCCAGAATGTCCGACAAAGGATTGTCACCCACCATAAATATTCTGTCGATAGGCTCTGCAATATTATTGTTTTTTGCCAACTCGTTCAAGCGTTTTGTGCAAAAGTCATATGTGACTTTCATAGGCTTTCCGTATTGTTGAATTTGTAAATCTTTTCCAGTAAGCTCTTTAAAAATGCTTTGAAGACACAGCTTAATCATTCCTTGTCCAAATCCTTATTGTGTGTAACAAATAATTTCGATTTAAAGCAAGAAGTGTTTTCAAAAACTTACTGGGCCATGAAAACTGCAAAATGTGTTGTTCTTAAATTGCATTCATGAACTGCTACGTACTGAAGAAGAATAAAGAAAGTCTTGATTAGACATGACAAGCTTACAAGTCTGTTCAAAATTTTCAAAGTTATAGTCTTGTAGATGTCCTGGACACCCATTGTTGCTCAATACAAAATCCAATACTTGTATGTGAATACGAAAAATGTCATAACCATGTGTCAATTGAATCTATTGAGTCTTACCTATCTGTAAATCACGTCCGAGATGATCGCTTTCATACATAAAAAGTACAGCACTCATTCTATCTTCAGGATCTATTTCAAATGAATACATTTGCTTCATTCTTTTATATTCTTCCTTTGTAAGATCTCTAGGAGGAAAGATGCTGTAAAGGAAAGGATATTTTCTATGATATTCATCCACATGAACAGCATGTTTAAATCCATAGGATTTTGCGACATTTAAACAATCATAACCTCCTACAATTAATACTTTTTTGTCCTCATAGTCCTTTGCAAATTCTTGAAAAGGAGTATGGCTCTGAATCATTTGTTCTGGGGTGAGTTTAAACTCATCAGGTAATTGTAAAATATTGTTGACATAATCAGCTTTTACGGATTCCATAAATCCTCCTCCGTTAGTGAGACACACTATGTAAATTTAATCCAACAATGAGTAAGAATTAATTTTCTGGACAGAAGTACTCATCATTGACAATACGTACAAAACGGAATCTTGTTCTTCTTGAGTTCTATCAATGCTTCTCTGGACTTCGGAATTGGTTTATGACCTCTCAACAACACTCCATCGATATCAAAAGCAAAAGCACTGATGTTTCGTTGCTGTCCAAAGTAGCATTGGTTGGACTGTCGAAGCAACTGTCGATTTGGAACTCTAAAAGATTTCAGTGATACAGAAGAGTGAAAAGTAAAGTCGAACCGTTTCATTTTTTTCAATAATTTAACAAATTGTCCTCATCTTTGCAAACGCTTCGAGCGTCCCTTTTAGACTTTTGGCAGGAGAGTGCATGACCATCACAACATCAGCTTGTAAGGATTGTAAAGTGATATTGTACAATTTAGCTTCGAAGTAAGACCGTTGCAATGACAAGTTCATAAATCCATCCCACTTTCTTAAAAAGAAATTTTGATTTTGTAAGCAACGCACAACACTTTCATGTTGCTTTCCTTCCCACTCCCTGTCGTGCAAAACCATGTCCATACTTATCATGTGCATTTTTCAGATGATGACCGCATATCACTTTTTTGTTCCGCACACCTACAGAACAAATTAAAAACAACTGAAAAAAACGATCGAGTTGCAGTACATTCCAAGATTCTTATTCACAGAGGCAGTCGTCAACATGTTCAAACTGAGTGTTGTGGAATTCGTGCCAAATAGTTCCAAGCCAAAAGGAACAGTAGTAATGAAAACTAGACATACAGAACAAATCCAATTGCATGGAAATCCGTTCAATGGTTCGTTTGATTTCTCTGACTATCTAAAATTGAGCAATTCTACACTTGCTCAACAAGCAAGTACTGAAACGTCCCATTCTGCAAGCAAACACAACAATATCCTTCCAAAGAATATCAACAAAATTTCAAAGCCTCACAACACAAAACGCAAGCCAAATCATTTCAAGGTTGGTGTTCATTGTTGCCTCTCCCAGATAGATCATTCCTTCTCTGAACTGCCAAATCATTTGACAAGAGATCGAGCAGCCTTCTACTCTTGTTCGTTATCTCCACTCGTCACTTGCAGTTCATCTTCCTCTCCAAGAACAATTGATTCTTGTCTTGAACCACAAGAAAAATCTCGACGAACCCTCCTTCGAAGTAATATTTGTTCTCTCTTTCACAAGCTTAATGAGCTTAATGAAATAGACCAAGAAGAGTTTATTGCTGGATGGAATGTAACGAACAGCGAGTCATTACGGCTGCGTTCTCATTCACACCATCTCGGCAGTAGAAACAACGATGACAAAGATTGTCCACAAACAGACAAGGATGACATTGTATCCACTTATGAAACATTCCCTTCAATTCTCTCCTACTGGAGTCCACCACAATCAAGTGAGCAACTCCGTTCTTCTCCTGTGTCATCCTCTGACCATCATGGAACAATTACTAATGGGACCTTGCTCGTGAAACCACCTGAGACGGTCAACAACAATTATACAACCACTACCATATCAAAAAGGATCCTGCATCCAACAATGATTCCCAATGATCCAATGGAATCTCGCACCAGCAATGGTACCAAATCTACCACGAACCCTTCAAAAAGAACGTCCATATTATCTATTCAAGAGTTGATAAATTAATTCTTTTAGAAAATTTCCAAATATATGGCATGAATGTTCTGAATCATAGTTGCCTAATGCACGGATATACCATGCCTTTCAAAGAATGAGTTTTTAAAGAATCAGCAGAATTAATGGGTATAAACCTCGAATTTAGAACTCCTCAATTCCTTAATCAAACTAAGATTCCTTAAATGCAAGATAAATGGTAGATAATCGGTGCAATATTACTCCAACGAATGATCATTTCACAGCATGGATTGTGTTTGGGACTCACACAATTCATAAATGTCTCTGAGTTTAATATAAAAGAGGGTGTCTGAAATTGATAAATTTGTAACTTCTGCTGTGCGAATATGTATAATCGTGTTGTTCAAAAACTATAGGTTGTGGATGCACGGACCAGAACAAGCAAGTGTACTTGCGTCCAACACAGAGAAGTGTGTTTCTTCGTGAGCGTTTTCAAAAAACAAAAGAACAACAACATCACTACTTGGAAATCCATAAACCAGTCTAGAATCGTACCATTCGTTCTTGAACTGTTTAAAGATCATTGTATTCAAATCTACAAGAGAACACTCTCATTGTGTATCTGTACAGCATCATCAGAGTGTACTCCTCTTCGTTCATTCTCAACAGAATTACATTAAAACCCAACTCTCACCCCTCAGCACTTGTCTTTAGAATGAAGCTTAGCATTGTCAGTTTCCAGAAAGATCTTTCACCTGCATGTTCAACCACCGTAAGCCCAAACTCTCATCAACAACAACCATGCCCACCACTCTTTCCCTCCACCCACTTGGATACCACTTCCTTCCGTTCCTCTTCTAAAATATCCAAAAAACGAAATTCGAAACGAAAAGATGGTCTCGTCATGACTCAACGCACAGAAATTGTAGAGCCTTGTGAATCTCAATTCTTCAACGATCCTCATAACGGGTGCATGTTCTATTCCTTTCCTTTAGTAACGAATGGACAGAAAAGAACCAAGAATGCAACAACACCAAACAAGAAGAAGAGGAAAAATTCAGCGCCATGCCATCTCAATGGGTTGGTTCCGACTTCACAACATTCAGCAAGCGATTGTAATTCATCTTCAGATTCCAGTCCACATGTATTTCATCTGCATCAGATTTCGTTCGACCACAGCACACATGCATTGATTGAAAATGAAACACCAAACTTTGTAAAAACTATCGCCAATAACCCATCCACGAGTACCATTCAGCTGAGGAATCATCACAAAGCTCATGGAGATCATTCCAAACCAATGGTTCTTTGTCCAGTCATGAGCTCAACATCCGCCAATCCCATTCAAACTCACCTCAAGCTCCACCAAACGACGCCCTCTTCATGCACGACGGTCAGCCATCCCACTCATTCACCAGCTGTGAACAGCATTGAAACGGGCCACATACCAGCCCAACCAACTCCACCTGTAAGATTGTCAATATCTATTAAGGAACTATTAAATCATGAGTGATTCTTAATTTATAACGCTTCCTTAAATCTAATGTGACGAAGGACTTTAAGGCTATTTATCGAAAGATTCCTACCATTGCCAATGGCGATTTCTAAACATGTAAGTGAAACGCCATTCATAACACGGGATTAAATAAGGATGTCAGCGCATTCCTATTAAGGCTTCTCGGTAGGGAAATTGGAGCGTTCTCTTTCCACTATCACCAAAAAAAACAACCCATGAAATTTACATTGTATCAATTCATTCCTGATAGTAACAACTCAATAAGGGCAACAAAGCAACAGCTTAGTTCAAAGAATACCATTGGTTCTACTACGCATGAACATAAACCAACGAATGAAACAATGGTGATGGAACAATATCATGCACCTAATGGGTCTGTATGCTACAGTTGTTCGTTCCCTATTCACGAAGCCCAGTCCTCCAACCAGACACTCCTATCATCAAGTAACGACTGTGAATATCCCAACTCTCTCGCTTCACCAATGTCAAAAGCAAATACAATCACCTCCACGGTCTTCCATGAAATAACTTTCAACCGCTCAGGAGTCTTTATGGACACCCAAGTAACAATTCCAAATCTAAAAAGAAAAGCATCCCCAAACGATGTTTGGTACCAAAAACAACGAAAAATTAGAAGTCCTAGGTTAAAACAACAAATTAAACAAGACGAACATATATCTTCTTCAGAATGCGATTCTTACTTGCATCATAATGACAAGGTTTTGCATGTTGACACGAACACCGTTCAGGAAACACTTCACGTCTTACAGACACCCTTCTCATCAGCTGTAGGCCCAGAACAGTTAGAAAGTTTGAAATGCGTCAAACGTATAAGGCCTACTCGATACTCTATCAGTATTAAGGAACTGCTGAATTAACAAGGCTATCCAAGTTGTAATAAAGTGAGAGCAGGTTCACCAAGATTTTTGTTTAACACTGTTCTGGTTAGCCCAGTTTTTTGCTTAACAATATGTTGCTATAAAGAATGGGAAGCCTAGTCTGCCAAGATGAGGTTGTTTGAATTAATATTTTGATTCAAGAAAGATCATCAATTTTCAAATATTTGAAAAACCAAGGGGCAGAGAATTTCTTTCGTGTTTAGGAAAAAGAGAAGCTTAAAAAAAATGAACGCACCTCCTTCCCACACGACTGACATTATTTCTGATGAAGGTAAGCAAACATGTTCCGATTTTAATAACGATCGATCAATTCATTGAAATCCATTACTTGATTGTTTCTTTCAACTACAGAAAAAAACATTAATTTGTTTTTAGAACGAAAGTTTCCAGAATGGAAGGACGACAAGAGTATGATCTTTTATATGAGTAATTTCAAGAAAACACGACAATTGAATGTCAACGACTGGGATTCAAGATTCTCTTTTTGGAGAAACATACTTTTATCCATCATTTCAGAATATTACAAAAACACAATTTTGATCGTAACTATCCGACAACTGAAACAATATATGAGCCGACGAAAAAAGAGTGATGAAGGAATTGTGGAAACCACACTCGGATGGCAAACTGTAATTGTAAGTCTTATTCATCATCATTTCAAAACTCAACATTGATTCCATATTTCTATTATTTCTTTTTAAATTAACTTCTTCACCAACGGATCAATAATAACAACTGATCAACTCAATGCTAGCAAGAAATGATTCATCAAGGAGAGTTAATATCCATCGAAGAATTTAAAAATGTTTATGACACGAACAACAATCAAGGAATTGGTTCTTGGTTGATCGGAGTTGCCACCACATGGTTCTTTGGACGAACAAGCGCCTTGAGTAATGCAGCGGGTGCCAATACTGCTCTCAATAACTCAAAGATCCCTGAAGACAACAAGTATATAGTGATGAAACCACTCAAAGAAATTACAATGAATTTTATAAAAAATGCTCACAAGAACAAGGTATCAGATTTGGATTTATACTTTGCACCAAGTGAATTGAGAGAAAGGGAATTTCCAAATTATGACTTTACTCAAATAGATTTATTATTGAGATATATGCATTGTGAGGAATCTGCATTTGTTGTAGAAATTGCCAATTCAAAGAAAGGAGTTGTTTGTTTTGAAGAATCTTCCATGAAGAAGGAAGTGTTGAATAATATTCCTCATTACACACAGAAATTTATTGGTATTATTCAACTTAAAGAAATGTCACATCTTCTTGACAAGGAAGTGAAAAGTTTGCAAATGAAAGTTGATTCTTTAGTTTCAGAAGCTAAAAAGTGTCTCACTTTTCAAAGGAAAGAGGATGCTAAATGGATATTGAAAAAGAAAAAATTGGTATCCAACATTTTAGAAAAACGAAACCAAGCCCGACATAACATTTTCGAGTTGTTAACCTCCACCGAGAATGCAACTTCAGATATCGAAGTCCTAAAAAGCTTACAGGTTGGAGCCACTTCTCTCAAACAATATACTACGGAGCTTAATACAATGAATGTTGAGGAATCAATTGAAAATATTGCTGATACGATGTCTGAATATCAAGAAATTAAGCATATTATTGACTCTGGTTTCGACCAAATTAATCAAATTCAAGGACTTCAATTTGACGAGGAAGAATTGTCGAGAGAATTGGAAAAATTAGCTGTTGAGCCGTCAGCATCAGCACAAATTCAGAAACCATCTAAAGTATCGTCAAGCGCGTCATCCAGTCAAGAATCTTCTACTGAAGTGGTATTCCCGACTGTTGACGATATACCAACTGAGAGCTTTTCGGTATTAGAATGGGAAAAGCAACACACAACAAATTCAGAAATTAAGGAGTTTTGTGCCTTAAAGCTGAAAATGTTAACGCTCAAGAAGAAAATGAACAAGCTCAAAGGTGAAGAATTGGCAACCAAGCTCCAACAAAAGGTCGCACAGTTTGAAAAAAAACAGCAAGAATTCAAGCTCAACGGAAACAGCAAAGCTTTGAAACACGTGGAAACTTATCTTTCTCTTTTACGTGAAGAAATTGAATCCATTTCAACGGAACAAGTGGAAGAAAAACAGCCTGTTTTGCTGTAACTTTATTAAATCACGTCAATCAAGTTTGAAATGTTTACATTGGAGACTCTGTCGTTCTTCTTTAAATACCACTCTTTGAGGAAGTCTGCGTACTCTTTAAGCTGTTGTTCATGGTTGGAACGAGTTGTTAAATCTTGTTCTAGTGTTGTAACAGATAGTCTATTCACTAATATTTCGGACATGGCATCAGCAGCAAGTTTGACAGTTTCGAAAGTGAATACATTGTCCAACAAAAGTATTCCTTTGAACTTCTCCAATAGTTGTAATTGACCATCGTGTAGAGGATCATTGGGTTGCCACTTCACCTTTTGTGGATGTAATTGAGATCTGGAAATAGCAAGCTTACAAATTGATGTCAATATTATTTGTAGTTTCTCATGACTTTGGTGTGACAAGTAATGTAGCAGTCGAGGCCATAGCCTTCCAAATATTAAATAATTAAATGTCCAATTCCAGTCGTTCACCGAGAGGCTAATCAAAACAATGGAATTTGGTATTTGAGATGATTGTGTTGAAATGTTATCGATATTATTCAACAACATATCACACACATCCTCCGTGCTCAATTCCAATGCACAAAATTCAAGCAACTTCTCAACAGACCTTATCACAAGTTCGTCATTCAATTGTTTGTGACTCGACTGCATCATTTGTTTAAATACCAAAGCCACAACCAAATCAACACTAGAATTAGAATCGAAACCGTTTCTCAGAAGACGTTTGTTTGAGGAAACCATTGCCAACAATAATTTCACACATCTGGTACTGACAAATCCAAGTGTCTTGTTCCACTCATTTCTCAAGGAAAATTGCAAAATATTGTAAAATAACTCTTTCATTTTGGAGAACATGCAAAAATCCAACCTTGCAAACCTCGTGTTGCTGATTGTGCTTAATCCTGCCAATAATGCAATCAACTTTGAATCATTGTGATCGTCCTTCTCCAAAAGTACTTGACTCACAAACCTCTCTGCTTCGCTCAGTAACTTCTCCAACAAGTTGATTTGACAGCTATAAATGTCTAAATGATCAAGCATGATAATAAATAAATTCCATTGAACAAAGGTAGCTTTGCCAGTTATTAGCCTTATTAATACGTGAGAGACTCCTTCAATAATTTGTGTACTATTCTGAGAGTAATGTTTCCATATGGTCTTGCATGTTTTTACAATCTCTCCTAATACTCTAGCTTGTGAGACCTTATCAGAAATAAATGTCTCAAAGTTGCAAATAAAGTTCATGAACATGGTTTCAATATACTGAGCAACAGATTCATCTTTTTTCATAAAATAAATAGAAGGAATATCTGGCAGCATAGTTGTTTCTGATGACTTTTGATTTTCTGTGATTGTTATATGTTTGGCTGCTACCTTCTCTGGTGATGAAGTATCAATTTGTAAAAATGGTAAATGTGGAGAGCTGGAATCTGTATTTCTTTGAATGGATACTACTTTTTTAAGTTTGGGTAGTACAGGAGGTGGTTGTGATACATCGGAAGCTGTAAGAGTGGGAAGTTGTGGCGTGTACGAATATTGTCTCTCTGATTGCTTTGGTTTTTTAAAAGATGATAATTTTTCATCAATTTTCCTTTTGTGTTGAGATTTAGATGAATTTAGTTGTTGATGCTGTTGAGGAGTTGTGGAAGGAGTTGTGGAAGGAGATGATGATGTAGGGATTATAGAATGTGGTGGACTTTCAATCCTTGAAGGATGAGATTGTCTTGATGGTTGTTTTTGAGTGTGAAGGTTAAAAGGAACATCAATGTTGGATCCCAATGATGCTTTGTTGCAATTTGGGCATTTCGACCAGTCCATTTGAATGGGATCTGTATTGAGTGCTATTGACTTGTAGTCTTTCTTCTTGTTTTCTTCTGGTGTTGTTGGTTTGACGACAGCAAAATCGGCGTAGGAAATAAATCCTCTTTGCTCTCTTAGCTCAGAAAGCTCTTTTTGAGTATGCGTTAAGAGACCTCTGAGTTCTTGCACTTGATTATTCAAGAATTCATATTTTCGCAATTTGCTTTGATTTTGTTCAATTTGTTGAGACAAGTCCTCTTTCTCAGATTTTACTTGTTCCAAATCATTCTTCAGGGAAGATATCGTATTTTCCATGCTCATCTTCTCAAAACGCAATTGTTGAATAATTTGCGACTGATCTGTCGTGATAGAACTCTTTGCACTTTTTTCCAATTTTGAACATTGTTGTTGAAGATTTTCGTTTTTTTCCAATAAAGATTGATTGTGTTGATGTAATTTCATAATTTCTAAAACTTGCTCCTCGATTTTCTTCTTCAAATTATCTTGCAATTCCAATAACGAAGAGACATCAATCAGCTTTTTCTTTAATTTTTTTACATTTGAGGTGATCTTCTTATTGGTTTGTTTTTCTTTCTCTAACTGGCTTTTGAGACTTTCAATTTCTTTCACGAGATGCTCTTCGGTAAAGAACCGCTGTGGTTCCGAAGAAGACTGATTGTAGTTCTGTTCATCCAATGCAGAATCATTATTCATCAATATTCCCTCTTGAAGATTCATCAATCCCGATGATGATGTGATGACAACGATGAAGATAAACAATTTAAATTTTGAACAAGAGCGGGTTTGAGAGCAATTGGTTGCGTTTGATGGCTTTTTTTTTGAATTCAAATGCCGTGATTGAAGGTGCAGCTCAAATGATCATTTGATGAACTTTGAAGGAGAGTATTCAAAATGAAACGTTCACAGTCTTTGTGGGATGGATTGGGTTATTTCAAATCTGTTCAGATCTGAAAATCATTCCATGTACTCCTCCTTTTGAAAGTTTAAAAAATGGTTGTAAATCATCACGCTCCAAAACTTTCATCTCTTTCCATTCAACCGCAACATCATCAGCAAGCCTCATTGATATCCGATGAAAAATCATCATCATCATCACATCATGAATTGAGTAATGGAAATAGTAATGGCTCACTCAGACAAGTGAGTTTTGTAGATTCTTATGATTTATATTTCGAACAAAAGTCTAGTATTTCTCAGAATGCCATGTTGTTGGCAGATATTAATGGAGATGGATTTAAAGAATTAATTGTTGGTAATACATTTGGAACGTTGTGTATTTATCAATGCATCACACACAAACATCCGAAATATATTTGTCATAATTTGGGAACGGTGGGTATTGGAGTGATGGCATGTGTGATTGAATAATAATTAATAATTGATGAATATTGGAACAAATATTGAATTACTGAAAATGTAGATATCATTTATTACCAGCACAGAAACGCTGTGCTCATGTACCGGTAAAAACATTCCGATATTGCTTGTATTGTCAGCTGAAGGGGAAGCGCATATATTCAAGCTGGTTGACAAATCAGTTGCCATTGGAATATGTTTTGATGATTCCCAAAGCATCGAGAGTGAAATTAATACCCAACAATATACCGCCTGGAATGACGATGCAAGTGTAAATAGCTATGAAAGCGGGCTTACAATTGACAGTGCCTTTAACACCTCTTTTCATGACATGAGCACACAACAACACTTATTGGATGCAACTACACCGCCATCAATTCATATTCCAAGTGCTGGCAGCTCTACATCCTTAGTTTCCCCTTCTTCTCCAAGCGTTTCAGAACAACAAAATACTGTTCCTCCATCAAGGAGTCCATCACCACCTACTGTTTCATTGCCTAGTCGTTTACATGACCACCATACACACTTAAAATCCTTGGCTAGGTAAGCTTTGAATGCTGTGAGAGTATACTTTTACTAATTTTCGTCTTGTTTTACAATTATTAGGAGTGAATTTATTACTCCAAGCGCAACATATAGAATTCCATGCAACGTAAATTGTGCTGTATTTTTTGACATTGACCACGATGGTACAAATGAATTAATTTTGGGAGGAAATAACAGAAATTTATTTGTATTTAAATTTGGAGAAAAAATTACTTTCTACAAGGAAGTAAATACTAGGAATAATCAAATTAACAGCATGTCACTACATGACGGAATGTTGATTATTGGATTTGTATCCGGTGCATTAGGAATTGTTCCCTCAATAGATACCGTGATAATCATCGAGCCAAAGTATATTAATTTTAAGAATGACCCTCTAACGGTTGTAGGAAATATTAAATTTGGAGAACAGGATTGCATTGCTATGTGTGGGCTAAGTGGAGAAGTAATTATTCTAGACCCTCTTAAACATTTTCAAATTTCGGAAGAACTGCTTCACACCAAAGGAACTCATATGTTTACTTCCACCATGAACAAAACCAAGCAAAATTATTATCAGCATTACGACTACATTTTAAACATCCAACATGAAATTCTTTCAATAAGTGCTCACCAATTTGTTACCACCTCCACAGATTCTCAAGTTGTTATTTCTTCTTGGGATGGAATCATTTACATTTTAGATAAGGACAAAAACATTGTGACATACAATTTCAAATCACCACTTGCAAACTGCTACTGTGGAATTTTTTCTCTCACACCACGGCACAATAATGAGCTGGTTTTGGTTTTATCTACTTTTAATGAGGACAATTTACACATCTACTACAATATTCAACTTCAAAGTATGAAAGCAACAACCATGTACGATTATTTACAAACTGATCAGGAATTATGTACGCTTCTTAAAGAGTTGGCAACCACATCAGATTCATCCACAAATTACGCCTCTCTCATTCATTCTCTACTCTATGGCAATCAATAAAGTGGCCCAGAACGAATTGAATTGTGGTATCAATAGGGTTGTGAATGAGGTCTCATAACTCTTTCGATCTTAAAAATAAAATGAGCTCAACAACTTTCCGTGAAGGTGGCGACGTGGATCCTTCGTTTTCTTCGCTCAACAACACGATCCGTTCACCACCAGTAGTGATGCACAATGATCATCCGGTCCGAGATGGTCATAGAACTGAGAGAGTTATTCCAAATATTGTTGCTTCTTCTCGGATTTTGTCCGATTCCGATGTCCAATATGAAGCGTTATATTCTCAACTTACGTTGAACCAACATGAAAAAGCCTTGTATTTATTCTTTTATGAATTGTATTTATATTTCGGAAGTTATTCTCAAGTGGTATTGAAAAGTTCATCATTAGTGGAAGAAGAACCAGTTTATTCCACTAACAGGTCAACAACGAATACCAACAATCATAACGACACGGAACATGTATCATCCAATCCAAATACTGGTAGTAGTGAATCTAATGATTGGAAAAGGAAAATACGAAACTTTTTAAGCACTTGTTTAGGACCTCATCGAGGTTTCATCTCCTATTATTGTTACATATTACTATTTATTCAATGGTCTTCTTTGTTTATGGATAGTCATTTACCTTGGCATCGTTCCAACAAAAAGTTTTTCATGATACTCTCTGTATTGGCTAATTTCAAAATTTCATACTTGTGGGAAGATGAAACGAATTTTTGGTGGACTTTACTTGTACCTTTTCTATTTTCATGTTTGGTTACTCTTTCTCTTGTGACATTATCGTTCATTTGTTTTCATTTCAATTGGAAATCATTCAAAAATTTAAGAGATGCAAGAACTGTTGCACACTATTCAAATATTGAGGAACACCCACAGGTTCATTTGCTCAAGGATCGACGGGAAAAGCTTCGAGTTGCTGCATTTTGGTTATTATTTCATCTCATTGAATTAATACCAGGTCTGTTTATACCTGTGTCTCTTGGTTTTTTACATGCTATTCGATCCCTTAACGTTTTTTTAATGATTCCTAGTTTAATACTCATTTTGCCATTTCACATTTTGTCAATTGTTTATATGTTCGTTATTTATGAATGGAGATTTGATACTGGAAGTATATCTGCAAAGAGTAACACTCGACTGGATTTGTTTTTATTTGCTCTTCTCACAGTTTCATGCTGGATGCATTCCATGTTTCAATCTGCAATTACTTTGGTGATTGTCATGTTTTCAGATTTCTTCATACTTTTAATTATTTTAGCAGTGAACATTTTGTTTGTTTCATGGTACAAGACAGCTATGAATATTACCATTACCATACTCATATTCTCAGGATTGATCATATTATCCATTACTTCCATGCTTTCGGTGTTGAAAGCATTTATACCTTCCGCTGACACTAGTTCAGGATTTTTCAGTGAGATTACGATTTCTGCAAGTATTTTCCTATGTGTTATACTTGGCTATTTTTTCACAAGACTAAGGTTAACATTTAATGAATTGGTCGTTAACGAACAGACAAGAACTGAGCTCTTTTTAAACAGCCACAGAAACACTATTGTTATCCCAAGAAGAGACTTTGAGGTTGAAATGGCAACACGTACTATTAGCTTTATTTCTCATTTTGTAGAATCAAAAACAGTTGGACATCCTCCAGCTTCCTCATACGAAGAAGTTAGAGACAGATTGAGAGAAATTCAAGAAATTGAAAGAGTGGATGAACTCTTCCAACAAGCGATGGACTACCAATTTGATTTGGCTTACGTATCACCATACATTTATTTATCTTATTCACAGTTCAAAAAACATGCAAGGGAGGACCCAAGATATCTTGACAGTGTGCTTTCTGTGCAGCGTCATTGTTCCTGGCGATGGCTTGATGTACGATTCATGTTTTATGTAAGAACTCGATTTTGGTTTGAATGTGAGCTTGTTAAAAAGTTGCAAAGAATTACACACCGAGGTGCAAGCCAAATTTGAGGGTTGACCTAATAATTTATTTAAATTCTTGCAATTCTAAATTACCGTATGTACAATATGGACATGTGTCGTCGGTGTTAACAGAATCCACACTTGCTATTAATGCAGAACAATAGGAGCATTTAAGAAAGTTGGAGTTGATCAGTTTGTACGTTTTCCAGCAAAACTTCAATGGCTCATCATCCGTGACACCCGAATAATGGTTTGCCAATTCCAAATCAGCGTCAACAAATGATTTTTCTGAGCATTCTTGCTGACGTTTCAAAAGTTCCTCTTTGAGTTTTGGAATACCTTCACTCAATGGTAAGAAGTGCTTGAGAATGTGGCTAGTGATGCCATAGTTGCCAGCATTCAAATTTCTCTTAATACCCATGTTATAACAGACGATCTTGTGCTTATTAATGACATTAATTTGACAAATAAAGGTAGCCAGTCTTGCCAATTCTTGAATGTCATTTTGTGCTTCAATAGCTCTTATTCTAGCTAGTAAATGTATGAGTAGCTTGTAATGTACACAAAGAAGAATATTTGACTTCTTAAGAATTTGAGTATTGTCTTTCACGAGAGCAGAAATAGCAGATATCATTTGGTTTCTTGCTTCTTTAAAGTCACCCTTCTCCATAGCTGTCATACCGTCCTTGAGACACTGAGTCGGATTTACATTGACCAGCATGGATCTATCATCCTCTTGTTGTGAGCTCGAAGAGGATACTGATTTGGGTGTCGCTGGAGACGTTTCTTGAACCTCACTTGGTGTATTGTCCTTTTCTTCCTTTGCAGCACCACCTCTTCTTCTTCTATTACGACTGGCACCAATACCTCCAAGACCAGCAAGACCAGACACTGAATGTCTAATATCTGTAGCAGAAGCATCTTTGTAAATAACTTCTTCTTTGATTTTTAGACCTTGGAACGCTTTTGTCTTCTTATCATAGTCATCTTCTTCTCCTGATGAACTGTCATCAGAGTCACTATTTTCACTCTTTCTATTCTTCTTGGCGTCCTTAGTGGAAGACATTTCACTTGATTCATCCTCGTCTTTTTCTGATGATTCAGTGGTTGTTGTAGTTGAGGGAACGTCTAGAGATGGAGGAGGTGGAAGTTTATGTTGAAGTGGGGGTAATTTGGAAGAAGATTTTGATGGCTCGGTTGGCAAATCTTCTTCGATCGAAGATACAGATTGATTGCCACCAAAATCATCCTTGAATCCAACTTCTTCAAGGTTCTCTTTACCAATAGACATGGTACCATATCCAAGCCATTTTAAGAAATCAGTCATATCCATCTTAACAATTTCGTCATCAGATGGAACATTGGTCATTGAGGGTGGGCTAGTAAGAGATGAATCTCTTGGGGTCTCTGCTTGAAGCTTTCTTTCAGAGACAAGCATTCTTCCCTTAATTTCTGTACTCACTTCAAATTCCTTCATGTCACTCACTTTGATTGGCCAATCATCCACTTTAACACTATCATGCGCAGAAAGGTCGTAACTTCTCATAAAGTCATCAATGGCTTCATGTCCAATCAACAATGTGCATGCTGTATAAATTGAGTAAAAATCAGGTGAATCTTTACAGCGAAGTGCTAAGAGCTTTAGACCATTAGCATTGTTTGTTGTAGTAAATAAATTAAAAAGGCTCCAAACGTCATTGATCATGTCAAAGCATTTGTGAGCAACAGAAAATTGTCCATACTCGAGAGATGTCTTTGCCAAATCAACAAAATGTGAATAAAACTTGGAGTGTTTAGAAATGAATCCACTTCTATCATGAGACTCTTCTTCATATTGGGAAACAAGCACTTGAAGAGCATAAGAGAAATTCATTGAACCTTTTGCTAATCTCAGTCTTAATTCCCATGAAAAATTAAATAAACTGTTTGTTACCAATTCTGAAGCTAATTGAGGATATCCTTGCTTTTCCAAGTTGATAAGGGTCTTTTCAGAAACGTTTCTACAATCAAATCTCTCAGTCACTTTTCGTAGTAGCTCTCCTTTCTGGTCTGGAGATAAAACATCTTTAGGAATTGATAAAATTCCTAACATTAATGGCTCAACAATATTTAGGTAACGATAACTAATGGATGGAATTCTGTCTTTGTGAGAAACAAAAAACACACGATCACAAAGAACAGCACACATCACTGAATCGGCATGATCCAAAGTTCCAATGAAAGCGCTTGCATTATTTGTTGAGCCATATGGGTGTAAACAATGAATAAAGTTTTTAGAATTGTACAACAGTACAGATCCAATCCACAGAATCGATTGAAATTGGAACGAAAGCTGAGAAGGAGCCTCCACGCATGACAACATATCCATGTTCTTATTTAAAATCAAAACTCTTCTAGAAGTCAATACACCAATCAGACATGGTTCGTTACACATGGTCTCATTCTGCCATTGGATATCAATAAGTGCTTCATTGTCTCTGAGATGGAAAAGCCTATTTAGGTCTGTTTGCAAACGCTTTTCTGTTTTGTCCTCAATAGATACAGCCATGCTCAACTCATTGCCAGCAGTACAATAAATTACCGAACGATCTATATTGCAAATAAATGTTAAACACTAGTTGCAAGTAATTTCAGTTAAAACCTACCGAAAGGAGAGGTTGATAAATACTTCACTTTCCCCTTCAATTTGATATCGCTCTGAAGCTCATTGTTATAATAAACCTTCAAAACGTCACCACCTTCAGATAAAACTACATAGTCCTTGTTGGAGTCCCCTAAAAAACCTCCATCAATACCCTTTTGGAGTTGAAGGACTACCTTGTCTTTTGGAGATGAATAAATGTCATCGACTTTCGAGAAGAAGAACTTGGAATTGTCACTTTCATACGTGTTGGATGAGTTGAGAAGCTTCTCATAGAAAATTATCACAGACTTTCTATTGGCGCTAAAATTGGTTTTTGTACATCTGTAATATGGATAAAGATCCTGAGTAGCTCTCAAAGATCCAATCAACACTTGAGCTTTTTCTTTTTTAAGATCATATGAAAGCAAAGTAGAGTGTGGAGGCCTTGATCTTCCGTCAATGTATGGAATACTTGAAAAAGGAATTAAATAATCTAAAGAGTCTCCGCTTGACACTAATTCATTATGAGAATTAAATTGTTGCTTTTTAGGTGAAAGTAGAGTTTCCAAATTACAGTTGATAATTGATGTATGTGGTAGCATACTTCCAGGGTTCACAGAATCGAAGGTAGAGAAAATTGGAAATCTATCAGCAACAATGGTTCCTTTGATGACTCTTGCATTCAGCTCAGAAATTTGAAAATTTTTGCCCTAACCGTCAACTGTGTGAGTCGAAAAACAGTTCAATCAAATACTTACGTAAAATGCAATAGCTCCTGTCTTTGGATGACATGTAGCGTTAATAATAGGAATTAATCGTTTTTTAGTGTCTTTGGTTCTGTGTAAAGCAACATAATATGGATCCAACATTTCAAAATCTGTTAATAAAGTCTTCATTTTAGGTCCTCCTGTTGTTGAATAAATGATTGATCCAATATCAATAGAATTTAAGCATCCCTTTCCATTCAAATAGAAGAGACATGGTACACTTGGATGAACCAAAAGAGATGTGATCCATTCATCAGTTGTGGCATATCCCAACACTCTTGGTGCTTGATTCGGAACAGTTGGAATGGACCAAACTTTAATAGATCCTTCTCTTGTGCCAGATATTAGAATATCGTAATCATTACTTTCATTGTTGCAAAAACATAGGCTCGTAACAGCTTCTTTTTCCTTTTTGTTCGCTTCGTATTCTAAAGTTATAGTTAAGGATATTATGATGTCATCATGTACAATTATTCGCATCATGTTAACGAACAAGTTTGTCTCCAATCATATCAACATACCCTCTATTTGAAATAATAAATTATGTTGTTCAGTCTCCCAAATTTTAATGATTCCATCACTGCTTGCAGATGCCATCATTGACTTGGAGGGATGTGTTGTAATTGCTGTAATTTGTTTCTTATGACTGTACTCAACCCGATGTTTAGAATCGGAAAACATTTCAATACCAAACACTACATTGCTTCGTTCTCGGGCTAGTTTTGACGGAGATCTGGAATAGAAAATCATAGGTCTTTTGTGGGAGAGAGCAAAAAACGAAGCACTTCTTGCCTCTTCTCTTCGGACTGGGATATGGAATGCAGTGAGAGTATTGGTGTTGAGATCAAGAACGCTAAAACAACCATTTTGAAGAGAAGCGACCAGAACAGGATGAGTATGACTGTGTTCAATATGTGTAACTTCGCTCTCTGTTTTAAAATGTGCTGTTCTAGAACCGGTACCCAAATCATATTCTGATGATGGTATTCATGAATTGTAGCAATGTTAGTTGTAACAAATTAATTAAATAATGATGATCCATATTTCATAGGTTCATGATGATTGAAAATCCCATCAATTAGCAGGTGTCCGAGCCACAAAACATACCGAAAATCTCTTTTCTAAACCCTATGGCAATTTTGTTCTGTGTTGGATGGAAGCTCACCGATCGAATCTTGGAAATTTGTTTGTCGAGAGGTAAGTCCACGCTTAGCAAGGGTTCGAGCTTCATTTTTTGTTGTTGGGGATGACATTGATGACAACAGGTTATCCTATTGGTTTTCTTCAGTCACACAAATTTACTTCTCATTCAGATATTAATACAGCTTAGAAAATACACCCTTTTTGAGCGGAATCTTTGAGCTACTTGAGGAAAGAGCACTAGTGTTAACAGCGCTTGATGGACGAGCAGAAAGTAATAGGGGGCTTTGTACATTGATCTTCTCTTTTGGATACTCACGAGAGCTATTCAATGATGGAGACAGACTTGGTGATGAAGGAGAAAGACTTATCATACTCTTACTAAGGTCAAGACTTCCAGAAGTGTTCATTGGACCAGCTGAAAAAACTCCAGTTATCTTTTGTTTCAGCTTTTGCAATTGATAGTTATATTCTTCTTCTTCCTTCTTATGCATTAAGTATTCTTGTTGTTGTTGACTCTTTTGTTCAGCTCGAGTTTGTTCAAACTTTTTACCAAGATCTTCTGCCTCAATTTGAAGCTGTCTTTCCATCTCCCACATTTTTCTTTCGTATTCCAATCTCTTGGACATTTCTTTCTTCTCCATTTCAACATCTCTCCAAATTTCTCTCGATTTTTCGTTTCTGATTTGCTGAATGAGAGCTTTGCGAATTTCTTCTCTTCGTTTTTCTTTGTCGACCTCCCACTGAAGATGAGCTTGTTTTTCAATAATCTGTATTTCTTGTTCTTGTCTCTTCTGCAAATACTTTCTCTTTTGTTGCTCCATAAATTCCTTTTTGCTTTGAATATAATCTTCTTTTTCTGCTTGAATTAGAGCTTTTCTTGCCATAGCCTTCTTTTCGCGTTCATACATATTTGCAGCCTTTTCAAGATGTTTGTGCTGCTTGAGCTTCTCAGACTCTTCAACTTTTCTTAACTTTTGCTTTTCAATCTCATTTCTTCTTTCTTTCTTTTGCTCTTCTCTCAACACTTCTTGCATAATTATTTCCCACTGCTTTCTCTCCCATTCCAATCTCTCCTGCTCCAGCTTTAGTCGTGCTGCTTCTGCAACCTTATTGAGCTCCGTGTCTTGTTTCTTTTTGGTCTCTTTTTCAAGCTCCAACATAGCAATAGCTCTTCGTTTGCGCTTCTCAGCTTCAGTGTCGGTCCTTTCTTTTTCCAACCTTCTACTTTCCATCTGTGCTCTTCTCTCTTGAAGTCTTTTCTGTTTTTCGAGAGCAATTTTTTGGTTTTCTTTTTCCAATAATGCCGCCTTTCGTCGTTCTAACTCTTCTTTGAGTAAAATCTTTTGTTCTTCTTCCATTCTAGCTCTTTCTTTATCTTGTTTTTCTTTTTCTAATCTCTCCTTTTCTGCTCGTTCGATTTCAATTTTTTGGAGTTCTAACATTCTTTCCTTTTGTTTAGCTTTGAGGATTTCTAGCTTTCTCTTTTCCATCTCCTTAGCTTCTCTCTTTTCTCTTTCCAATCTTTCCTTCTCAGCAAGAGCTCGCTCTATTCTTTCTCTTTCTTCTCTCTCACGTTCTTCACGCTCCCTTCTTTCTCTTTCTTCTTTTTCTTTTTTTTCTTGTTCAATTCTCTCGCGTTCTTTCTTATCCTGCAGCATTCTTTCGAAAATTTCCTTATTTCTTTCATATTCCTCTTTTTCTTTTTTGATACGTAACTCTTCCCTCAATTTACGGGCCACACAACGTCCTAAGAAGCCTCTAACTACTCTTTGAATTTTGATTATATATTTTTCTAGTCTCTTATTTCTTGTAAGTTCGATCATGTTATAGGTTTCTGATTTTAAGAACACCTTGGTTTTACCAATTTGAACATGTTCCTTCTTCAAATTCAAAGTATCAATTATTTTCTGAATAGATTCTTTAACATTTGTAGTTGATCCCTCTCCTATAATTATACTAAATTTCTTAAAGAAAGCTTCATGAGGTATTCTAACACTGTAACCCTCTCGTCTAATTCTGATAGTTTCTAACACACCAGATGAGCTGAGCTGTTTCACAACTTCAGCATTGCTAAATAAACCAGGTTTCTTCGCTGGATGAGGCTTAATAGTTCTTATCCAGTGTGGTGATGTGCTGTTGATCAAGTCCAAGAGCTCAATCAATTGTTTCTTAAATGATCCTGTCACTGTGGTTGGCTTCTTGTCCTTTTTGGTAAAGTCCTTCTTCTCAGGACAAATAGTTTTTGCGATAAACTCCAGCTTACTTTGTGCAAGAACATCAATGATATCATCTCTCAGTACATCCTTGTTCTTCTCGAGCCAATCTTTTGTGTTATATTTAACCTCAGCTGCATAGTGCTTCACTGCAAAATCTTCTTTCCATAGAGGAGGGCGAACAAAATACTCGTGTGATTTATATGTTTGGGCAACCATATCGAAAAACTTTTGATCTGTTGCTTGAGGGAACACACTTTGATCATCTAATATTTTGAGAATGCCTGATTTAGATCCTTGAATCATATCAAGACAAGGCTGATTGTCTTTGAAACTCACTTCTGTTACGTCAATTCCTTCATTCTCACATTCTTTTTTGTCTTTTTTGAATGTATACGAGTTGTAGTGGGCCTGAAGTGCCTCATTCGCAAAGTTAATGCAGAATTGTTCAAAGGTATTGAATTCAAATCTCTCAAATCCAAAAATGTCAAGTAATCCAATGAATGAACTATACTCAGAAGCAAGAGAATTCTCGTTAATTTTCCTGACTAACCAATCAAACATGTTTGAATAGAGAGCCTTTGAGAGAGCGTCTCTGGAATCAGATGCTTGCTCTGGGCTCAAAGGAGACTCGAACACCTTGTTCATGACAGTATATACTTTTACAGTGAGCGCCTTAAGCATAGCGTTAGGGTCTACTGAAAGAAGAGAACAGGCATGCTTAAGAGGTGTGTCAACTTCTACAGTACATCCAGCTTCGCCTGTTGGTCTGAACTTGATGTTTTGTAAGTGCAGAATTGCTGCACAGACCTTAAAGACTGTATCACGGATAGTATCATCGATACCAACAATATGGAAAGCGTTTACCATGTTATTGTAATCAGCAACATCATCAATTGTTTCTACCTTGGAGCAACCTCCTTTCATAATACTATCATAGTCTTCAGCTTTTGTCAAAAACAATTCTTTCTTCTTTTCTGGATCCATACCAGCCAATATCTGATAGAAAATATGGTAAGATCGCTCATTCGGACCTTGTTTCATAAGTCGAGACTTTTCAAGCAAATCTATAAAGGAATAAAATTCAAATAAAGTAATGCAAGTTAACTTACAGTTTTCCGTTACGGCTCCCTTAATAATACCATGCATATCAAATTGAAGCTTAATGAATTTGCCAAAACGAGATGAGTTGTCATTATTTTTCGTTTTAGCGTTACCAAAGGCCTCAAGAATTGGCGATGCTTGTTGAATTTTGACACCAATAGCATCCGCTGCCTCCTTGACACTCTTATCGTGGGTCATGGAGGATGAAAGCTTGCATAGGTATTTGATTACGGTTTTGCATGCCTCCGTTTTTCCTGATCATTGTGTGGAAGTTAGCCTTTAACTTGGAATGTTACCAATACTAATACATACCTGCTCCGGACTCTCCCGAAATGAGAATTGTTTGATTTCCTTCTCCTTGTCTCATGGCTCTATATGCCTTATCAGCGATGTGCCAGCAATGAGGTACAAGACTCTTCTTCTTTTCAATATAATTGACCATGTAATCATCTTTACAGTACGGGATGGTCCACTTGAAAGGATTAAGGGAAACTACCAAGCCTCCAATGTACGTGTATATAAGGTCCTCTTTGAACCGGTTGTGCATACAAAACAGAAGAGCAGACTCATTCAACTCAATCATATCCAAGAGATCATCATTCTTTGCAACGATAATTTCGTCTTTGTACATGTTCAGATCTTGCTCGGACACCCAAGCCTCATTACCTGAAATGGATTTACACAGGTAAGGGGTTGGTATCTTGTTGGTAACCATCTTTTCATTCACTTCCTTAATTTCTCCAACAACCCAAGACTCATCCGGATGGTTGAAAATCACCTTGACTCCTTTTTCCCAAACAGTCTTTGCTTTGGGCACTACTGCCTTACTCATTTTTTCTTGATGTAACGGCAGAATAACAGCGACACCTTTGGGTTTGTTCGAAAGAAGCCCTGTCAACTAAAACACTGAGATTTACTTTGAAGGAGGTACTTGTTGGTCAATAAATTCAGCAAGGAGAATGTCTCTTTCCGAGAGTCCTCCACAATCATGTGTTGAAAGTACAATATCCACCTTGTTGTACACGTTGAACCACTCGGGATGATGATCCGTCTAATTATTAAATTTCGATCAAATGCGGTTGAAGTTCGATTTTAATTCAAGAAAAGAGTCAATCATTCATTCAATCATATCATGAGTGCTAATAAAGAATAGTACATACCTCGTCAGCTTTTGTGGCAACCTTGTTCATAAATTGCCATGCTTGTTTGAAATCTTTGAAAGCGAATTTTCGTCGGATCACATTTCTTTTGGCTTCTTGCACAAGTTCCCAGGATGGGATTTTCAACAGCTCCGTTTTCAACTCTTCATCTGTTAATTTTCTAACCACAGTTCTCATTTGTTGTTGCTGGTTGAGTGGATGAGTGAACAAAGAGCTTGCGTGGGTCAGAAGCTTTCTCGAAAGGAGAGGAGAATGAAATTTTTTGAGCATGATTGATTTTTCACTTTTTATAAAAATGTCTTGCATTTGTTGTTTGGCGATTATTGGAAAGAAGGTGTGTTGACATGACCATCATCATCGGATAGTTGTGATCATAACAACAATTTAATTCTTATTCTATATTTTCACTAAAACGTTTTTAATTTATTAGAATAATCCGCTATTTTTAAAAGTATACAAATCATCAGAAGCAGAGGACCCACTGAAATACCACTACATTGCCCATACTGCATTGGACATCGTAGAAGAAAAGATCAATAATCGTAAAACAACAAATGGTCAAAATGATACCATGTATTTAGGATTGTTATTTCCAACGGAAATTTATAAAGTGTTCGGATACATTACAAATAGTGACGTGAAGTTTTTACTCATTATTGCAGGTGATGATTATCAACAAACAGACAGAGATTCTGAAATTAGGAGTCTCTTCCAACAACTTCATTCATTATATATTGATTGTATTTCTAACCCATTTTACACGTTTGGAGAAAAGATTGAATCTCTGCAATTTGCAATTGCTGCTCGAAGTTTAGTGCAAGGGTATAATCACCAACAGAGTAATAATCCTACTGTAAGAAAAAGTAAAAGGTTCTAAATGATCGATTTCAATGAAATAGATTGGCAAAAGTCGTGCAATTTCCTGTTTCTCTTTGGAATTTAAGGACGTTTTCTAGGAAGTTGTTATCCATATTGGGTGTCGAAACTATGAATTTAACTTTCAATCTTTCAATATTGGCAGGTAGATTTGATCTTTCTTGATGGGGAATGCTCAGTTTCCTGAACGTTGATGACATGGATGGTTTTTGCTGAGCTTTCACTACTTTTGGTTTTTCTAGCGGTGGAAAAGCATTGTTGGCCATTTTATAAGCTTCATGCTCTTTCTGTTCTATTGAGCTAGAGGCAACTGATTTTGTCTTTTTGTTTGGGGTTTCCTTAATGGCCATGTTGTCCTGTACATTCTCGATAGATCTTTTCTTGATGTCACCATTGATTTTGTTAATTTTTACAGTTGCTCGTATTTCCTCTCCATACGTATTACACAAAAAGCACTCAACATCTGATTCACTAAATTCTGAAAAGTCAATCTTGAAAGAGAGTGATTTGTTTTCACAAATTTTGCGTTGAGCAAGCAAAATACCCTTCCTTTCAACAGAGACGTAGCAGTATTTGTTGGAAACTAAAGAATGCACAGATCCTATATTGGGTTGAATAGTAATTCCGCTCTTGTTTTGATACGCGCTGATCGAAGGTTTATCTCTGCTTTCGGTACTCCAACTACCCACTTGAATTTTCCTGGACAGCATAAATGCGTTTCTGCATGTGATACCGTATCTTCTATTTTTGCTTATTTCAAATATACATGACAAAAGCCTACTAAGAGGAGAAAGTAAGGCTTGAGCCTGTTGTCGCATACTTATTGACTCAATTGTGACACCTCCAAGAATCGCCTGAATGAGAATAAAAACTTTCTCTCTTGCAAGTTCAATCTTATCTTTGATTTTGTATCTTATATTATCATGCTTGTTAAGATTGATGAGTATTCCTTTCTCTCCCTGGCGTATAGAAAACTCTTCAAACTCAAAAGACGAGCACGCAAGTTGCAACAACCTTTTTTCTTTCATATAATTTGTCACGGAGCTTAAAAGCACACACATGGTTTTATATTGAATATAAAGACGAGACATGACCTGTCCAAAAGGTGTAGATGAAACAGAGCCTTCGTTGACAATCAATAGCTCTTTTTCACATAATTCTTCTATCCTTTTTTTTAAAATCTCTTCGATTTTTTCATCAAGATTGTTGCTCTTCTCCAACCCGTAATATTCTGGATTTTTTTGAATACTACATTCAAAGGTGAAACTTGTTTTAATAAAGCGTATAAATGTCAACTTACCGAACATATAAAAATGTTGACTTTACCCAAAAAATAGCTTCAGTTATGTTTCTGACGCTGTTAAGACATATCTCTGCATTTAAATGCTCGAATAAGTATCTATGTAAAGTTGATTCAATGACGTAAGGACTATTTCTCAAGTTTGTGTAATAGTCAACCATAGTGCTATCTGTAAGAATAATAGCCAGACCTGAGTCTTCAAATCCTGCTCTTCCAGCTCGACCAATCATTTGCAGAACGTTCATAGAAGGATATTCCATGTATCCAGACCCCTTGTGGTATATTTTAGTTCCCTTTACAATTACCAAGTATGCTGGTGTATTAAGTCCCTGGCTGAGTGTGGATGTTGTACAAATAACAGACAGGTCCTTGTTAGCAAATAGAGTTTCCACAATATTTCTATCGCTTTTCGAGAGCTGTGCTGAGTGGACACCAACTCCATTTATCACCAAGTCCTTAAGCTGTTGATCCTCAATAATGGGTAAGGCCTCTTTCAATCTTTCCTTCTGCTCGTTGGTCTTGATAAAGTAGTTTGGTTTTAAGGTTTTGGAATCCTCCACGATTTGTAAAGCACTCTTCATTGTAGCATTACGACTAGAGCAAAACACGAGAACCGACTTTTCATTGCTCTGTTCTTCTATGATCTGCAACAACTTTTTATCAAGTTGCTTTTCAAAAGCAAAGTAATTCTTTTTTTCGTTTGGAATACCAATCACTTTGAGGTCAAGTTTAGAAGGTCTATATTCTTCACCAAAAACAAGCGTTCCTGATGGATCTACATCCAGCCATTCAGCAACATCCATAATGTTTGGTACTGTGGCGGAAAGAGCAATAACTCTTGCTGAATGCTTCTGAATTACCGATATGCTTTTAATTCTACTGACAATTGCTTCTAGTACAGCTCCTCGTTCCTTATGATTTCGATCAATTAAATTGTTCCATTAATAACAAAATTTTGCTTACCTCGTTCAATAAATGCACTTCGTCAATCAATATGAGCTCAGTCGTCTTCACAAATGCTAAACAATTGACATCTTTCCATCTTCTACTTAATGAATCGTATTTCTATGACCTGTTCGATATAAAAATTTTCAAATTTAGAACTCACTTACCTCAGGAGTGGTTACAATGATGTCAAATTTGTCCAACGAGGAGACATCTGTTTGTATTGAATCTCCAGTTAGCTCTCCAACTTGGATTCCTAGAGTTTCAAACTTTTTTTTCCATTCTGCAAGCTTCTCTTGAACAAGAGCCTTCACTGGAGCGATGTAGACACACTTATGCCTTCCTGGTTCGCTCATCTTTCCATTTTTGAAATACTTTTCAAACAACCTTATAATTCCAATTTCCATACACCCACTCTTTCCAGATCCTTGAAAAGATGAATAATATTGAGGTTGCACAAGCAAATAACATACCCGTAGGTGCCGAAATAACAACATTATCGTCTGTTTCATAAATCTTATGGAAGCACTGCGATTGAAGCTTGTTGAAATACCTGAATCCAAACAGGTTTTTGAAGGAGTGATGGACCATAGAGACTGGCAATAGGTTTTGATCCTGACTGATTTCATTCTGTTTACCGCTTGCTATCATGGTCTTATTGGTGTTGTATGATCTTGAGTTTGAGGAAGGGGCCACAACGTTCTTTTCTGTTTTGTCTTGAGTCTTTGCAAGACTTGAATTGAAATCATCTTTGGGGTTGTTGATTCTAGAGGGAGCTAAGCCTTTCCGCGATTCGTTTTGAGAAGGTTGTTGCCGAGCTTGATACTGTCTGTTGTTCGACTCTGTAGTTTTCTTCGTCTCGGTATCTAACGGCCTCAGTGGTGGAATTAAATCGATAGGTATAATGTCTTTGGCCATTAAATTCTTTGGCTTTGAAAACACGTCTTTTCTGTTAAGTTTTATAGAGGAGGGTTTTACGTTTTCAATATCATCAAGTAAGGCTTCCAAAGAGAGGCTTTGATGATCCTCATCATCCTCTTGGCAATCGAGCATGACAATGGGCTTCATGAAGGCGTGGAATGCAATTACAATTTTTTTACAACACAAAGGCGTTTGAAATTCTGTTTTGTTATTGCCTACGGATACAGCGTAGATACATTCCATGACTCGGATTGTTCTTCCTTAGTATATTCTACTCTATCTGCCATTCGATGTAAGCCTTCTTGGTAAAACTCAAAACGATTTGGAACGATCAAATATCCACCCCAATATTTGGGAATAGACGATTTCAGCTCAGAAGGAGACTTGTTTGAGTTGATTTCTTCAAACTCCTTCCACATTTCATCTCTACCTCGTGAATGTTGCGATTGCGGACAGGTATGAATATTGACCCTGTATTCAGGCTCTTCCTTTTCATATGATTGTCGTACTTGATCCTCAGAAACAGGCAAAGCAATACCCTCCACTCGAATTTGTCGAATCACAGGCAGTGTAAACATGAAATTTAGAGCCACCTTATTGTTGGTAGAAATATCCATTCCTTTCTTTGAAGTAGATGTGTTGGTAAAGAATGTAAATCCCTTCTCGGAAATGTCCTTACAAATAATTTTTCTTGAGCTTGGTTGTAAAGTATGAGCATTGACTGTAACAAAATCAGCAGCTAAATTTGCAACAAATAGCTTGGATTTCATTGCTGAAATATCGACTTGATCATTTGTGGTTGAAATATCTAATTGTTTGATGAAATCATTTGATTGTGAAAGCCATTTTTGAAATTTTCCAATCGGATTGTTTTCAAAACCATCATGTGCATTATTTTGAAATTGAAAAGCCAGTGTGGAAGAATATTCATTTGATGATGAGATTGGCTTGATACCTGGCGGCAGATGATGTGGAATCATTTTTCGTCTCTTGTTTCATAAAACAGCAAGTGGAAAATACAATTAAAAATAGATGGCAAGAAAACATTAAAAAAAAATGTTCAGAAATCAATACGATACAGATATTACGACTTGGAGTCCTCAAGGCCGATTACATCAAGTTGAATATGCAATGGAGGCTGTTCAACAAGGAAGTGCTGCCGTAGGAGTGAAAACTCAGGATTATGTTGTACTAGCAACATTGAAAAGAGCTCCTCATGCCGAACTATCAAGCTATCAAAAAAAGCTTTTCAAGATTGATGATCATGTCGGTATCGCTATTGCTGGATTAGCTGCTGATGGCCGTGTCTTAAGTAAATATATGAGAAACGAATGTATGAGTCATCAATATGTCTATGACACATTCATGCCTGTACAAAGATTGGCCAATAAGATCGCCGACAAATCTCAAAAGAGCACACAAAACTCTTCCGGCCGTCCATTTGGTGTAGGATTATTAATTGCAGGATATGATGAAACCGGAACACATTTGTATCAAACATGTCCAAGTGGAAATTTGTATAGTTACAAGGCCATTGCCATTGGAGCAAGATCTCAAAGTGCCAAGACCTATTTCGAGAAAAATTACGCTACTTTCACTAATAACGCTCAAGAATTGATTGTTCACGCTTTGAAGGCTCTCAAAGGAACAACAGGTGACAATGTTGAATTGACAACAAAGAATTGTAGTGTGGCAGTTGTTGGAAAAGATTTCAAATTTACAATCTATGAAGATGATGCCATTGAAAATTATTTGAATTTATTAGATACATCATCCAAGAAGGTCGAAGATCAAATGGTCGATTAAGCATCAGCTTACAAGGATCTTGTATATTTTGTAGAACTACCATTTTCAAAAGTAAACAGCCTCTATGTGTTATGTTATTAACTTTTATGAGCAAGTCGCCACTCACGCACACAAAATGAATCAAAAAAAATGAGCACCTCATCATCCTCGTCGACAACAACATCATCCCAACAACATTCGGCACACTCTCACGCCTCTTCCGATATTCACTTTTATGCATCTAAAATGTTTTGTCATGAATGTGGAACACTGCTATCATTTCCTACAGCACCAACGGTAACGGACTGGGCATGTTCATGCTGTGGTACACGATTCAACATTTCCGATTATGACTCGGTTCAATTTTCATTCAAGATGACCATTCCACGTAAATCAAAAATTCAAGAATTAGAAGAACGATTAAAAGAAGAAAAATCATCAGGCAATGAATTTTCCATTATTAACGAACCATGTCCAAAATGTGGTCATTCTCAAAGAAAGTTCTTTACCATGCAATTACGTTCTGCGGATGAAGGTCAAACTGTATTTTATGAATGTTTAAAGTGTGGATTCAAAGAAAGAGTAAACAATTAAACTTTTATAATGGTTGAGCGAGTGTAGCACGACTAGTACCTCTCAACCTGTTTGGTTTCAGAAGAGAAAAAAATGATTCCTCCTTCGTCGTTATCATCGTCCACCAATAATAATACTCATCGTCATTCTCTTTCTTCACTTCAACAACAACAACCAACAACTGATGACCGTGAGTCCTACTCGAAAACAAATCGTCAATCGGGTGGATTTACTAAAATCGTTCGTGATTGTGTTTTAAATAATTTCACAAGTGATGATGTGATGGTGGATGAAACTCCTCCTCCTTCAACCTCCCAAAATCATCAACAATTCCTCGAATCCACACAACCACATCCTCTCTTTCAACGTCCTGTCAACTTGTCAATTTTTACAGATCCATGGAAAGTCGATGAAGAAGTGGACTCTACAACGACATTTAAAACAGATTCAACCATAACAAAACAATTATTAGGAAATAGATTAGTATATTCGATCGGAGAGAATGGAATTGAAAATGTTATTGTCAATGACATGACAGTCAATAATGATCATCAAGATGATACTTCCAATGTTTTGAAATTAAAAAAGAAGGAAATTAGTGTTTTTGATCTTGATTTAACATCCATGCAAGATGTTGGAAAGGGAGCTTTTGGAAGTGTTTCTATTGGTAGGTGGTGGTTTAAAATTATTCTCATATTATAATATGATATATAAAAATATTATAATATTATGGACTCGATAATTTTGCAAAACAATTGTTGGCAACCAATCATTTCAACCATCATGTGGAATTTCATGAATGATTTTGAAAATAATTTCATAAATGTTTCATTCATTCACACTATCACACCATTCATGGATGATGATAAACAACAGTAAGGACCATTACTCCACCATTCTCATTCTATGCCATCAAAAGAATTCCATTTAAATTATCTGATGAAAAGAATATTTGGAGAGAATTTCATGCCATCTATTCGAGGTAGGTTGATTCTTGAAAATATAATGAAAAATATCATCATTTACTATGCATTTCATTGGAAACATGGTCATACCATATATAGTCAGAGTGATTTTCTCGTTAAACTCTATGAATGCTTTTTTAGAGATAACTTTTTCAATTTAGTGATGGAATTTATGAATGTTGGAAATTTTTCAAAACTCATTGAACTTATGAATACTCAAAAATTCTTCCTAATCAAAACAATAGCTGAGAAACCAAGTTTATTTCCACCAAATAGTTCGATAGCAAATTCAGACTATCCCACAACTGCTGAAGTTTTTAAGAATGTTGATGTTCTCAAATCAATATGTGGAAGAATCATTAAAAATCCTGCGAAATATGTGCAACGATTTGCGGCTGGAAATATTTTCACAGAGATGGAATGTAGTATCATGATACGTAAAGTATTAGAAGGTTTGAGATATTTAAGGAAAAAGCACATCATTCACAGAGATAGTAAGTTATTTGTTGTTCATTATTGAGTGAGTTATACTCATATTTTCAAAACATAGTTAAAGTAAGTATATGAAGTGATATGATCGATTAGAATTGGAATGTTAACATGATGTTGACAGCCATCGAACAGTAAGTTTTTTTTTGCAAACAATCTCTAGATTGTGATTATTATGCAATACACGATAGTTCTTGTAAATTCTAAAGGAGAAGTGAAAATAACAGATTTTGGGCTAGCCAATGTTAAAACAACATCAGGTGGCCACATTAGTTTCATGTCAGATTATTACACGATATGTGGAACCACAGGTAAGGATCCATTAGTTACTCCACGACAGTTTTTTAACATGCCAATAGTATATTTGAGTCCAGAACGACTTTTAGAACAGCCTTATAGTTATGACTGTGATTTATGGAGTTGTACAGTTGTATTGGTTGAGTTATTTACTGGAAAGAAGCCTTCAGTTACCTTTCCCTTTAAATGGAACACATTCAGTGACTTTGACAATTTCGTGACGTGTCACCTTAATGAGCTGCGAAAACACTCTGCGTCTCAGGTCATGCTTGACTTTGTTGGTTGTTGCTTGAAAGTGGATCGAAAACAAAGACCATCCTATGATGATGTTTTGAAACATCCATTCATAACAGGATATGCACTAACATTGACAGAAGAGCAACAAAACAATTTCATTCTGCATAGTCTCAATGAGTATATTCTGCCTTTTATTCAAGGCTCTCGGCAATAAATATCAACAATATTACAATATCGTAACACATTCAAAAATGATCCTAAGGCATTTCAAATTATGATGCATTAATTCATGTCACAGGAGTACTTGGTTCCTCCTAAGATGAAATTCCTATCTACTTTGGCAGTTATAAATGGTGCACCTGGGTTCATCTCGATTGGTCTGTGATGCTTTTCATTGAGTGAATAAATGAATATTCTTCACATCGCCAGTGTTTACCTAAATCGAGTAATTTTGGTGTATTTGATTAATACCGTCTCGAACAGCTGTGTAGCAGAAGCGGTACTGCTCTTTTCGCTGAACCATTCCCACTCTCAAATTTTTGAGTTGCTTTACAATTTTATAAATATTAAAATCAAAATTGATATCATTATCCCGTTCTTCCTTCGATAATCGTAAATATTCCTGATATTGTGAAAGTAGAATGTGTATTGTACAAAATGTTCCTGTCCTACCAACGCCAGCAGAACTACTTTGTGTTAGAATTGATAGTATTAAAAAAAACATACCAATGAATCGTTATTGGACCGGGAATATAATCAGGGCGCTTTTTCAGGTTGTCAATACTTTCTATTAATTTAAAAAATGAGTCAGTGTTGTCAGGAACTCCCATATCAGGCCATCCTGTATATTGATAAAAATGTATTAATCTTCCTGAGCTCGGTAGTGACTCGTGATGAACTATAAACTGCCTGTAAGTAAAGTCGTACGGAGTTATTTCTTGTAAAACAGTCTCTACCGTCACTTCGTCATACTGTTTTCTTTCATGCAGAGAAGGCCAGTACTTATTCACTTTGTTCTTGTTGAAGCATTGATCAAATAGGTCAGTACCTTCTTTTGCTTCGCCGTCGCTTTCTGAGTCCGACGACACAATTTCATTGCTTAGCATAACAATAATAGTACTATTGTGTTCGACAATCATTCGCCAAAAATCGCAAAATGTACAAGGAAGAGGAGCTTGGGTGGCAATATAGGTTGGAGGAGAGGATAGTCTGATGTGTTTAAAATTTTGGGTAGAGTGTGTAATAATGTGGTTTGCATTGATATAGTCAGATCCAGGTTCTAAACGTTCTCTTGATTTTAGTAAAACTCTAGTATTCTCATTGGGTAAAATATTCTTGTATCGGTTTTTAGGAAGATTGTGTTGACGGTATCCACTGGTGTGCATACCGCTTTTTCTTTGTAACCTTGTTTCAAATTTCTTTAAAGCCTATGGAAAGTCGGTGTTGTGATCAATCTAGAAATGTTATGATTTCAGGAGTTACTTACTTGAAATTCATCGTCTAATCTGTCGTTTTCGATCGGCTTGGCGAATAGAGCCACACTGGCTTTTCGTGGTGCCAATCCAGATGCTTTTCGTGTCATCCCCGACCAATTATTGTTGTTGTTTAATCCTTCTTCTGATGCAAATGCATCATACGACGATGATGATGAAGATGTGCAATCATCAAACACGTTGGAAACGTTAGTTGGTGCACTTGTGAAATCAAAAGCAGAGATGTTTGGCTTGTTCTTTGGTGTTGTGGGTTCAAAGTCATCAAATTGAGAATCGGAGCTTGAAGTAAAAGCGTCAAACTTTGCACATGGCTTTGGCTTGGATGTAGTTATCAGAGAAAACCCGTCTCCATCGTCATATTCTTCTTCATCGTCAGTGTTTGAAAGAAACTTTTGGACGAACTCATTGATATCGGCAATCGGTTGAGTGTACTCATCATCGTCCTCTGAAAATGTTGTGTATTGAAAGGTGAGAGAGTCATGACGAACAATATTTGGTGTTGCTAATTTATCGAATATTGTCTGGTTCATACCTCCTAATGATGAATGTGGTGTATCGTCTGAGAGTGCATTACTGAAGACGCTTGCGGTAGGACGGAAATCAGAGATTGCTGTTTTAGGCTTTGCCTCTATTAACTTGTTGTTAGATACTTTTTGTTCTCTCTCTTGCACAATGAACTTTCCAAATGTCTTAGCCATCTCCTCGCGGAGAGCAGACTTATAGGGCTTTTTCTTAGGATTACTACTAGATGCTGCTGTTGTGGCTACTACTGGGTTTGTGCATGCTTGCTGCATTGTCGATTCAAAGACTATCATCAATTTTCAAAAAGAAATTATTATTTGTGTGATGATCACCGTGTGGTGCGGTGTTGATAAATTAACGTTTGATGATCAAACAATAATTGGTAAGATGTAATGCTCAGCTGATGAGTAATGACAATTTGTGTTTCAACCAACAACAATAATCGGTTTAAAAGCACTTCCTTCAACCAAATTGAATTTTGAAATTCCGTTTGTATCAAAATGGATCGTGCTTGTTTGAAGATGGTTATACTTTGGTTGTTGGTGCACCAATGCGATTGATGATGTTGGTCCAGGCTTTGATGGTTCTACAAATTCCGCAAACTAAAAATTCTCTTGCAATGGATATTTTTTGGTCTTTTTTGATCGCTATGGGTTGCGAAACCAAACAGAGGAGAACCTTAGTTCCAATTGAAAAAGGATGTGTTGAGCGAGATGAAGGTGTTGTTGTTGTTGTTTTTACTTTACTTGAAGCGATGTAGCACTGCTCAAACAACTTGAAGTGATGATGGAAGGTTTTTTTTAACACATTGCTTTGTTGGGTGAATTCTTTGATGTGAAGGAGGTTATTTTTACCGAGTTCCAATTTACAAGTAAGAAATGGCCATGGAAAAGGAGTTCGGGTAGCAGTGGTGGATAACGATATTTTGAGCGAGATTGTTTCATTAAAGAACATAGCGTTCTCATTCATTTATCAATTGCCTCTTTTAAGAATTGCTCTTTCGTAAAATTACTTTGAGCTTAATTTCTGGGGAGTCAAAATTCTTACATTTGCGTTGATCAGTAAAGCATATTCCCACATGTGAATTTTGTCCCGCATAAGCTTGCAGTAGATTGTATCGAGCCGAGTTTGATTGAGACTAACATGCTTTCTCGATTTGCACCAGAGGGTTGAGATAGTATTCAGTGTTTATGAAAAAGAGAAGGCTCAAAAATAATCATCAAATACGCTGCACACTGGCACTTGACGTCAAATCCGTCCGTCATCATTTCTCACTCACCACACTCGACATTCACAATTCTGTTGAACATGTCAAGTGGTGTGAAAATCACACAGTCTTGTCATCATCATACAAATCTCCATACCGGCACAAAATTCACATCACTCGATATAAAAGTCTAAATAATTCACAAATATTCAATTAATCAATTTCCCATACAAAATTATTTCGTAATTCAGAACACGTGATGACATCACAACCTTTCAGAATGCTTGCAAACGGTAAAGAGATGACGACATTTTTACCGCCAAAAACTACAACCGCCAATTGACATGTACTGATTCACATTGTAGTCGCTCCAAGAGGAGCAACAATTCCAAAATGAGAAGTGTTCAAGAGATTCATGTAGGTTCATTGCTGTGTGTTTTGTATCAAACTCATCCCTCTCTCTCTCTTTGTATACTTCAAAGAATGTAGTGTATTCGTTGAGTTTTTCATACTGTCCATCAATCTCAATCAAACAAGTGTATTCACACCCATACATTCGCATCCTCTTCATACACCAAGATATCACCCATGTTTTGTATACAAAATCTGTAAAGTCTATAAAACGGAAAGATTTTCTGAGAGAGACAATCCTCAACGAAAAAAACATCATCATGCAAAAGATAGCAACTCATTCTTCTCTATTCAATAATAGAGAAAGAATCAGCTCATCATGCCTCATCTCAATGCTCCTTGCTGGTGTTACTGTATATGTTGTATTCCTAGGTGTTGTACAGGCTGCTGTTTGTGACCTTTCAAATGTACAGATTGAAATGAAAGGTTTAAGAGATAGTTCTATGGGTTTACCGGTGTATGATGCTATCTATAAGATTCAAAATCAAAGTGTTTGTTTGAATGAGATTAGAAAAGGTTTAACGGATAAGGTTTCTACTAGCATTGTTGATTTCACTAGTGCTTGTTTATTGCCTCCAACAGATGCTGCCTATGCCAATGATCCATGTTGTGGCGGTAAAAATCTTCAATGTTGTGCTAGAAGAAACGTGAATAGAAATGCTTGGGATGTTCGTTCCAATGGTGCTCTCTCTTGTGCTGTTGATGTTTCCTTTGAAGCTGGTTTGGCATTCACTCCAGTTGAACAACGTGCAAGTTTGTGTTCTGCAGGCTCTTTGGAAGATTTGATTCGCGAAGAGGGTGATCAAGTCTACCAAACTGCTGGATGCAAATATAATGGACTCAAGCCAGAAGAATACCTTAATTGTTTGGCTAGTAATCCAGTGTATGGTCCTCATGTATTACCATCATTTGCTAAGGCACTTAACTTGGCTGCCAACTCGACAACCTCTGCCATTGTAGATGCCATGAAGAGTCAAGGTCATCTCGTGGGTGAATGTTTCAACCGCAACACACAACAAGTAGATTCAACTATTACAAGCCAAAGCGTTTGTGAGACTGGTCTTCCAGATGTTTGTCCATTCTCTGATTGTTCCTCCCATAATCAAACTTGTTATGCTTGTAAATCTCCTCTCAAATGCAATGCTTATCCAATGGATGACTATGGTACCTATTTGGACTCTCCATTAGCTTGTCTTGATACTGTCTTGTGCGGTGCTAAGGAACATGTCGTTTCTTACGCTGAATGTGAATTATCCAAGGAATGTAACGTTCCATGTTTCAACTGTACCGATCAAGCTACTTGTCTCAAGAGTGGAATGTGTGAAGGTTGGGGTACTCAGGATCCAACTTGTGCTGTTCCAATTGTAAATAATGCATGCCCAGTTGGTTGTACCATGAATCTATATATTAACATGTGTAACTGTACTAGTTCTGCTACTAGCGATCTACCACAACAATTCAACGTAACCTTGAACAATTTTATGGTTCCATTGAACAATGTAAATAATAACAAGTGTAGACGCGGTTATTTCGAACTAGTTCCTCCTAGAAATGCTGATGAATGTTTCAAGTATAAGGTTTGCCGTTATGGTAACGGTGGTGTTGCTCCTCTCTCTTCATGCTCGAATAGTATGTGTACCAATGGTGGTCCATCTGAATCATTCAAATGGATTCAAGGTCAATGGGTCAAGTCTGTTTCCATTCCATTGCAATTTGCTAACAGAACTCTTATTCATCAAAGAGAATGGCGTTGGGCTCCAAAGACTTCTACTCCTTTCTTTGACTCGGTGAATTTCATATGGTTGCTGCCAAGAGACCAGATTTGATCAATTTGAAAATGAAATGTATTAGTAACTTCCATGAAAGTATTGCAACCTATGTGGCTTGCAAGTGTGGTTCCTTTAAGGGTGCTCCATGTGATACCATGAGTGGAATTTTCACCTTTGTTGATAAGGTTCTTGGTTTGAAGCCAGCCAACTCTCAAAACAGAACTGCTTTTGAGAATTTGCAAAATGGTTACATTGTTGTTCCTCCTCAAGTACTCCCTAATGTTACCTTTGTCGATGTGATGGCTACATTGAGAAATCCAAAGAATGTATGGAATGTATTTGGTGGTGTTAACAATACTCAAATTGGTTCCATTCTTGGAAATGGTATTTCATTCAGTGCTCCATTGAAGAATGTTAGAATTTGTTTGAATTCATATCCACAACCAACTCCAATTGTTTTGAATGGTCTTCCAGTTGGTTTTGTTGCCCAAGACTCAACGTCTCTCAAGCCAATCCTCGTTCCAACCTACATTGAAGGTAATTCCGTATGTGCCACTATGGATGTCATGGCTGGTGTGTTCTATTATCCATATGTCATGCTCTCTGCAAGTGATATCAGTTGTAACGGTATTGTTTCAACTGCTCCAAATGTTTGCTCTGGTTTTGGTAAATGTATTGCTCAAAATACTTGCCAATGTTATCCAGGTCGTTATGGTGCCAACTGTGGTGATATTGCTCCACCAACCAACAATACCTACTATTGTAATGGTGTTCCTGCTTACTCTGCAAGCGTTTGTTCAGGTTCTGGTAAATGCGTGGGTCCAAACATGTGTCAATGTATGCCTGATCGATATGGTTACAATTGTGAGAACTTTTTGTGTTATGGCAAATCCATTGGTGCTTGTAGTTACAATGGTTTGTGTGTTGCTCCAAACACTTGTCAATGTAAACCAAACTTTGCTGGTGCTGAATGTTCCCAATGTGCTTCTGGATATACTGGAATGTATTGTGAAAGACCAATGTGTTATGGTGTTGATTCTCTTAACAAGTATGTCTGTTCAGGAAACGGTGCTTGTGTTGCTCCTAATAAGTGTTCTTGTAAGCCTGGTGCTTATGGTGAAAGATGTGAACAATTCACTTGTGGTGAAATTGGAAAGCCTCAATGTTCTGGACATGGTATTTGTGTAGGTCCACAAATGTGTTCATGCAATGCTTCAACAACTACTGGTTATTGGGGTGGTTCTAACTGTGAAATGTGTCAACCTTCATACAGTGGTGCTCAATGTACTGAACGATCTTGCTCTGCTGCTACCACTTGTTTGGGACGGGGTACATGTAATCCAGATTATACTTGTACTTGTACTGGAAACTTTGCTGGTCCATACTGTAGAACCTGTAAGGATGGATTCTTTGGTCCATACTGTAACGTTACTTGTGATCCAATGAAGACTTGTAGTGGAAATGGTGTCTGTACTACAAATGGTGGTTGTACTTGTAATTCCAACAGTTTGTTGGGTATGTTCACTGGTTCCTCATGCTCTCAATGTCAAAGCGGATGGATGGGAGTCAAGTGTAACATTTATATTGGATCGAGTGCTACCTTTGGAAGTGAAGGTGATCGTATTCGATTCACTTTGGCTTTCCCTTCACCAACCAACCAAATCGATTGTGCAGCTATTTTCAGTCCTCTTACATTGGCCAAACTTGGTGCTTATCCACAATGTCGATGGGAAGATAGATCCAATAATTTGTTCATGGTCATTTTGGGTGGTGCTTCTAGCTTGATTCCAGGTGATAGTCTTACTATTCAAAATGGAGACATTTCTAGAACCTTATCATTGAGTGGATCCTTGTCTCTTCCTGCTCCAATTGCTATTTTACGTACTCCAAGAAACGTTTCATCATGCAGTACTTTCTTCTTTGATGCTTCTGCTTCATATTCGTTTGACAGAAGACCTGTTTCATTCAGTTGGTCATTGAGTGGTCCTGGTTCACTTTCTGCTATCAATGCAAAATTAGCCACTGTCACTGGAAGCTTTGGATACTTCTCTGCTTCAGCTCTCTCCTCTGGCACTTACACTTTGACTGTGACCGTGACAAGTGCTTTCAATTATACTTCAACTGCTAGTTCAACATTTGGTGTTTCTTCCACTCCAACTGCTATTGTTCGTATTCCTGGTGGTGAATCCTATAGAGTGAATATGGGATCCATGTTCAGCATTTATCCTTATGTTGAATATCCATCATGCTACTACTTTGATAGAACTCTCATTTGGACTTGGACTCAAGTGAGCGGACCTGCCAATGCTCAATTAACTCTCAGAGATAACAACAGAGCTTTGGTATTCCTTCAAAATGCATTCTCTGCTGCTGGTGATTATGTCTTTAAGGTTAAGGCTGTTTCTGCTGTTTCATCTGCTTCTTATTATGAAACTCAAGTAACCGTGACTGTTGTTGCTCCTGATCTTGTCTTGTTGGTTGAAGGAGGTTATTATAAGCAAGCTTCTACATCTGGACAACTTGTTCTTGACTTTTCAAGATCTTTCGATCCTGCTCAAGCTTCTGGTACTGAAACTTTCACAATCAGCTGTCTTGATGCTGCTGCTGCTGCTGCTTGCTCACTCAATACTGCCAATCTTGTGGTCAATAAGAAGGCTGTTATTGCTGCTGGTGCTCTCGCTGCTGGACAATATACTTTCACTGTGACTTATAGCAAGGGTTCAAGAAGTATTTCTGATACCATTGATGTTTCCATGGTCTCCTATGTTGTGTTGAATCCATACATTAGACTTGGTAGATTCGATTGGATTCCAAGTTCAGTTCCACTCGGTGTCAATGTTCCATTCTTTGTGGATTTGATTGGTTTTACTACTCCTAATGTTCCAGTTTCATTCCAATGGTCTTCATTGACTGACGGATTTGAATTGAACAATGAAACGACTGTGAAGGGTGTTAACGGTCGTTCATTGATCATTAAGGGTGATTATATTGCTGCTGGTGTTGAATATCAAATTCGTGCTGATGTCACTGCTGGAAGTGCAAGTGGTTATGCTGTCTTTGTGTTCAGTGTGAACAGTCCTCCATTGCCAGGTTCAATTTCTGCCTCTCTTGCTACTAGTTCAGCTGGTGTTGATCCTGTCACAATTACATGCGACGGATGGTATGATTCTGATGCTCCATTGACTTATCAATACTTTTATTATGACTTGAATCGTGGTGTCTGGAGAAGTTTGTCTGGTAGAACCTCTGACAATCAAATTACTACTAAACTCCCACCTGGATTTGGTACTAACAAGAAACTCAGAATTAGAGCTAGAGTTTATGACTCTAAGAATGCATATAGTGATATTGAATTATCCATTGTTTCGACTCCACCTGATTTGTCTAGCGGAACTGCTGCTTTGAACTTCTTGAATCAAAGTTCTTCTGCCACAGACTCTACCGCAAACAGTGTGGCTGTATTGAGTAACTTGGCCAATATTTCTCAGGCTTCCATGGCAGCTAACGTTGTTGCTCAAATTAAGACCTTCATTATGAATGTGATTACTGCTGTTTTGGCTCAACGTTCTGCTGTTGCTGTAACTGTTGAAGATGCTGCTGAAACTATTTCATTCTTAACAACTGCTACTGCCAAGTTGGATCTCGTGGATGCAAACACTAGAGGACAAATGTTGCAAAGTACTGCATCAAGCTTGAATGCTTTGGCATCATCCTCAAGACCAATCACTCCTGATCTTGTGGACTCGATCACTGTTTCCTTGTCCAGCTTTATTAAGAATATTTTGAGTGGTGCAGCATCTTCAAGAAGAAGTATTTTAACAAGTGCCAGTGAAGCTCAAAGTATTATTGATAACGCTAATACTTTGCAAACTGCCATGATGAAGAGTTTGGTTCCTGATCAAGCTGCCTCTGTATCTGCAAGTACTGATTTGATTGCTTACACAAAGAAGATTTCTGTATCCTCAAGCTCATCATTCTCTGACACAGTTTCATCTCCAGTTGCCATCTCCTTCGCTTCAACATTCTCATCTGTCGTTTCTTCAGTCACTACTCTTGGTGTCAGAATTAAGCAAATGTCTAACCTTTACAAATTGATTTATCCACAATCCATGACTATTCTTTCACCATTGTTCGAAATTGCTTTCGATGATCAAGATACTGGTGCATCAGTCACTGTTAAGGGAACAACCATGACCATCACTATGGGTGGTAACTATACCAACACTGCTACCTCATACTATGTGTGTAACATTTGGAACAATTCAACAAAGGTCTTTGAAAAGGATAGTACTTGTTCCATTAAAGCAGTGACTTCAACCTCTGCAACCATTCAAGTGACTCAAGGTGGTACTTATGCTCTCAGTCAATACACGACCACAGCAACTTCATCACCAGTGACTCCAAAGCCAAATACCAGCAAGTCAACTACCAAACCAGCCAAGAGTGCTGCTTCAACAAGTATGGGATGCTCATTGTTGTTGATCATTGCATCCATCTTGTACACTTTGTTCATTACTGTTTAATTTGTAAAATAATAATTATTATAAAATCTCAATTCTCTAACCTTTTTGTTCAGTACCTCTTCAATTCGAGTTATTGTAAGAAAAAAAACTTCAACCTCTCTCTTCATGCCACACAAAGAAGGCACCAAAAGAAAGAGAAACAACAAGAAACCGCATCAACACAACAACAAACGCAAAAAGTAAGTAATCAATACATGCAAGGAAAACATTCCGATGATTGAATTTTAAATCGTAATTTGAATCATTCGTTTTTTCTTCTTCCCAGAAAGCAACATTCCCAAAACAGTACGGCTACTTCCAGCAGTGTTTCACAACAAGGATCAAATTCTTCTACTTCATCCACCCAACAAATACATTCCAATCATTTGAAAAATCATCAATCCAACAGCAACACCCTTCAAGCAGCAAGAATAAGAGTGGTAGTACTTCCTCTTCATCAAGAAACAGTAGTTTACAAACCCTGCAACAGAGTGCTGACATACCTCCACAACCAATTCACGACAGCCGTGATTCATTTGAGAACAACACCTCTTTTAACTACTCCAACAACACATCCCGAAAGAAAAGGAAGAAGAAAAAGACCTCTCTCCATCAGCAACTAACACCATTGCAAAAAGAATCTGTGCACTCGGATCAAGACATTTCTTCTTCCGAGACTTCAACCCATAGAAGCGTCATTGTAAATAGTTCCACTCCCACAATTACACCCGTGAACGAGAACCAAAATATTGCTTCCTTTACTTCCGTGGTTTCCTCTTCATTGTCATCACCAGCCTCTTCTTCGTCGTCATCGAACAGACCTTCACATTGGCAAGTCGTGCGCTCGCTCAAAGGCTTCAAACCAAAATCAAAAAACAAAAAAAATTCTAAAAATACTACTCCACTGTTCAACAACACAACCTCAAGCAGCACAAATTCGAATTCGGAACAAAGCAGCGATCAAGAAGAATACTTTGAAACAGATAGCGAAAGCATCATGTCAGAAAACTCATCCACCCAAACTAACACATTCCAATCAACATTGGAGAACATCATTCAAAATTATGGACATCAAATCGCGAGAGGAACTGCTGTTCCTACAGAACAATTGGAAGAAATAATTCAGGGGCTGAAGGATTACAGCGACCCAACAAGACAATTTGATTCTGTATCAGAGCTTTGTAACATTATTGCCATATCCAATGAACAAACTCTATCTAGAATGGGCATTGATCGTTTTATTCCCGAGTTGTTAAATATATTGTCCAACAATGAGAGTTATGATCTCATGGTGTTATCAGCAAGGACTCTTCTCAACACCATGGATATTTACCCTGCTTCATGCTCCATTGTAGCATCCAATGGTGGTGTCAATGTTATTTCGCAAAAAATTCTTTCCATTGAATACATAGATTTAGCAGAACTGTCTATTCAGATGGTAGAGCATTTAGCTCACCAATATGGGTCCACATTGCTTCAAGAAGGCGTATTGATGGCTTCACTTACTTACATTGACTTTTTCGGTATGGATATGCAAAAGAAGATATTGAGAATTGCATCATCATTATGTAAATCAATTTCCAAGTCTCAATACGAGCTAGCATGTGACGTACTTCCAACTATTTCAAGATTTTTATCAAACTCTGAACATTCCATGACCGACAGTGCTATATTTTGTCTAACAAGAATTGTTTATCCATTTTTAAAGGATGACGAAAAGCTCTTAAATATTTGCAACTCATCTGAACTTTTGAGCCATGCCACTGAGATTTTATCTAATGACAAAGCTTCCAAGAACACCATCAGCTTAATGTTGAAGCTGCTCAAATCAGTATCTGTGTGCTCACAATTAGTGAAAGATATCTATGAAAGAGGTTTTATGCATTTACTTACAGGTCTACTCTCTCCAGAAAGAGGGTTACATGAATGTTTAATTGACACTTTGTACTTTATTCTTGCCTTGCTTCCCAAATTGCCAAGAAAAGATGAGCTCGCATGCCAAATGTCTCATTCTCAAAGAAAGAAATTACTTGTTAGGATGACAGAAGTGAAACCTCCCAATCAATCAACAATAGAAGAACCTAATACGCCCCAGGATAAACTCGAAGCGCTGTTCACAGAACAACCAACACTATTACAAACAGCATCAGAGGTATTACTGGAGCCTCTTATCCACATCTTCTCATCCAATCAAAACGATCATGTTAGCAATATTCTTTTGCAAATTATTGGTACCATCATTTATTTCTCTCCCTCTCAAATGTTGGTTGAAACCTTGAAAGACATTCCATTTTCAACGTTCCTTGCGTCTCTACTTTCTAGCGATGATATTTCACGAGTGAGCACTGCTTTGCAAATATCAGAGATTTTGTCATGCAAACTCCCTTCCATTTTCGACATGTATTTCTTGCGAGAGGGAGTTATTCATAGAATTAAAGCCATTGGAGGAAGAGAGCCAAATTCGTCAGAGGAGTTTTTACTTGATCAAATGCGAAAAAAGACAGAAGAGACATATCAAAAAGCAGAGCAAGAAAGAAAGGAAAAAGAAGAAAGGCTGAAAAAAGAAGCTATTGAAAAGAACGAAAAGATCAAAAACAAGTCAAATAACTCTCAAAGTAGCGAATCGGAAACAGAAGAACAATACCAAGATCCAGAAAAAATTTCAGTGTCATGGGTCGAACCTCATGTTGACATTCCCAAGCTTCCTAAGCTTAGCCGGCTTTACTGTGAGAAGCACAAAAAATCATCATTTAAAAGCAGTGAATTGGTGGGTTATGCTGTCGCTAAAGCTCAGTTGATTTTCGACAAATATTATGAACGGACAAAAGATGTAGAAATGGAAAGCAAAAATTTTGTGAAGCTCAAAGCAATTGCCAGCTCTTTGGAAAAGACAATTTTGGCCAAAGATATAAATGTAGAACTTGAAGAATCACTTCTTCTCCAAATTAGAGAACTCATAATTTCCGAGGATGGTATATCTAATTTTGAGTTTTTAAATAGTGGGGTGGCTCATGCGATTTATGAGTATTTATCAAGAAAAGACGGTAATAGATCCGTGAAAGAACGACTTTTTTTGTTTGCTAGAATACTTGACGAGGATTTACCAAAAACTGCTGCTTCGTTAACAAGAACTCGATCTAAGAGCTTTGGTAATGCCAACGACATGCTAACAGCTGTTTCTAACACTGATAACAAGAGTATTACTGCCAACCCTACATATCTAACGGAACTTGTGAAAAAGCTATTTGATGCCTTCAATTCTGTGGAAAATTTCAATATTAATGTATCTGAAACGAGCTCTATTGCTTCTAATGTCAATGCTGTTATCAACAAGTTATCAAAGCAGTTTAAATTGTCATTAACGGACGAACAAAGCAAGAAAGTGATTACTCTTCAAGTTCATCCTCTAGCTAGAGTTAGAGAGGTTGGTACTTTTTTAATTTCTAAAGCAGGAGAAACACCAAAAGAGGAGCCTGAAGTACTGAACTCTGAAAGTACTGACACCAGTTATTTCCATTTGACCGAACGTGATGACGACGAGTTTATTGGAACTGTTAGCACCATTGATATTGAAACACCAGCGTCAGAAGCAGATACATCATTTTTATCTGCTGACACGATGGTAGATGAAGAGAAATCTGTTAAATACGTCCAATTATATTTGAATGGAAAGTTGGTGGATGAAAACAGTACTTTGTTTTCAATATTTTTCAAAAACAGTTCATCTTCATCACACCCTTCAAACCTCAACCTTGCAGACACAACTCAAAATTTGACTTTTAAAATTGTAGACACTAAGGAGGTGCATGATAGCGATGTAATCATGGATACCAATACCACTTTGAAAACGTCCAAAGCGGAATCTCTAGTGAACAGCATTATACAACACTGTAACGACAATCAAAAGATACAAGAAGAGAATATCGAAAAGGATGCAATTGAGTTGCTTGATCTGTTGAAAATTTTGAATTGTTTGAGCAAAATTGCTCCCATTCTTCCTCATAATGAGAAGAACATGAAGCGTGTACTTGTTCCTTCTAGCATGTTTTTAAACCCTAAACTGGCATCAAAAATTGTACGATATATCCAAGACCCGTACTACTTGTTTGGAGACTGTTTCCCTTCATGGCTGTACATGCTCATGGAAAGATATAATTTTATGTTCACATTTGATGTCAGACAATTATACTTTGACTTAACTTCTAAAGGAATTGCAAGAGCTATCCAAACCATTCAAAACCGATTTTCCAAGTCCAGAGATCGAAAAACTAGATTGATTCAAATTGGAAAACAAAAAGTTAGACTTTCTAGATCCCCAAATATACTCGAAAGCGCGTACAAGGCCTTTACATCGGTTGAAACAAACAGAATAGTTGAGTTTGAATTCAAAGACGAAGTAGGTACAGGAACTGGTCCAACAACAGAACTCTATTCATTAGTATCTCGAGATTTACAACAACAAGGTCTCTCAATATTTAAGGATGACTTTGTTGGAGAACATGAGGAAAAAGAAAAATTCAGCAGATTGGTGGAAACCAAAACTGGGCTCTATCCAAATTTAAGAAGCTCAACAATGGTAAAATTGATGATAGAGATGCGAATCTATTTTACTTTTTGGGTGTGTTCCTAGGAAGGGCAATTTTGGATGAACGAGTCCTTGACATTCCAATGTCAGACGCTCTGCTTAAACTTTTGAAAGGAGAAACTCTTACATTTTATGACATTGAATCCATTGATCCAATGCTATTCCAGAATTTATCCAAATTACAAACAATGTCAAATAAGGTACACGAAATTAACAACTCGAAGGATCTCTCAAAGCAAGAAAAAGAAAACGCTCTAACTATGATCTATTTTGGTGATGATGGAAAAACTAAACTGGAGGATTTATGTTTGAGTTTTACTGTCATTGGCACAGATATTGAGCTTGTGGACAAGGGTTCAGAAAAAGAAGTGACACTGCATAATTTAGATGAATACTTGAGGTTGCTCACTAATTACATGATACATGATGGCGTTGTACAACAGGTGGAGCATATTAAGAAAGGTTTTAATGTAGTCATGGGGGAGAAAAGTATTGAAAAGTTAAAAGTTTTTAACATCAAAGAATTGAGCGACATATTTGTAGGCTCGGATGAGGAATGGACAGAGCAGTTATTGATAGAAGCAACAAAATGTGATCATGGCTACACTCACAATTCTAGAGTTGTGAAATATTTGTTTAAGGTATTGCTGCAAATGACTCCATCAGAAAAGCGAGACTTTTTAAGATTTATCACCGGCGCACCTCGTTTACCTTGTGGAGGCATTCTTAGCTTGAGACCCAAGCTAACCATTGTATTGAAGAAAGCTGAGGGCGGTAAATCTGCAGACATGTATTTGCCATCGGTCATGACATGTACCAATTATTTGAAGTTACCTGAATACTCTTCAGAATCCATTCTCAAGGAACAACTCTACAAAGCAATTCAAGAAGGGCAGAATGCTTTCCATTTGAGTTAAATAAAGTTAGAACACTGCGTGCTTAAAACGTACGAGCAATTTATTGCTTAAACAATGTTCTCTTGACCATGAATACGTTTTCTTCTCTCGATAGCTGCTATGAGAGTTCTTTTGCAACCCTTGTAAATTTCTGATAATGCCATAAATATTAAGGCAGTGAGCATCACGAAAATCCAATCAAAGGCAGGCATCATGATCTGATGAAATATGTTTGAATTCACCCATGGAATATAAACTGTGGAAATAGTCGTCACTGCTCCAAATAACACAAAGAAATGTAAAAGTCTGCTATTGTAAAAACCATCCAAAAAGAACGGTCTTCTGGAACTTCTACAATTATAAGCATGAAGCAAGAGTAAAATAGTGGAAATTACAAACGTCATGGCTTGTGCCTCTTGCAACTGCATGTTCATAACTTTGGTTGCTATTAGAAAATTAGCCAATGAAAGCAAACCCATCAATGATCCAAAAAACAAAATATCAATGACAGTCTCTGGTGCAAAAAGTTTGCCATTATACGAGGTGGTCATTAATCCTTTACATGGTTTCTCATTTCCCAACCCAAATGCAGGACCTGTTATTGTTCAATAATAAAACACCCTTAGGATTGAACATGTGACAAGCTATAGTACAACTTACCAGTTCCAGTAATCATATTAAGCCATAAAATTTGAATAGAATTCAATGGCGGTTTCAATCCACTCAACAAACTAACCACCAACAAAATGGTTTGTGAAACATTTCCTGCCAAAAGATGACAAACAAATTTTCGAATATTTTCAAACATGTGTCTTCCTTCTTTAACGGCCACGACAATGGTTGAGAAATTATCATCGGTCAACACAATATCTGCACAATCCTTAACGACATCACTTCCTGATTTTCCCATTGCAATTCCAACATCAGCAGCCTTAATGGATGGACAATCATTAATTCCATCTCCACACATTACAGTTCCTCTTTTTCTCTGGTGTAGAGCATGAATCATTCGTTCCTTACTTTCTGGTGAGCATCTCGAAATGATGATTGGTAATTCTTTCAAGTTACGTAGCTCTTCATCGGTCAACGCGTCAAAATCATGAGCATTCATGGCTATTTGATTGGATTGTGCAGATGCCATCATTTCAGGAGTAACCAAACCCACTTGTTTTGCAATTGCGATGGCTGTAGCTTTGTGATCTCCCGTGATCATTCTCACAGTAATTCCTGCTTGGTGACACACACTGATGGATTCTTTCACACCTTGTCTTGGAGGATCTTGAATGCCGACCAAACCAACAAAAATTAAATCTTTTTCTACTTGAGACCTTTCATAGTAATTGGTGAGGGAAATGTCTGTTGTGGAAGACTTTGGAATATTCAATAACGGCCTCTGTTCATCTTTGGGATTCTCCTCCTCTTCTTCAGAAGTGTTTTCAGAGGTTGCTGAAACTATGGAGTTTGATAGTAAATGGGGTAAATGTTCTCGTTTTCTAAATGCTAATGCAAGAACTCGAAGTCCTTTTTTTGCCAATAGTTCATTTTGTTTTCTCAAATGATCCAAATACTTTTGTGTGACAGGAGATATATGTTCCTTGCTATCAGACGGATCTTGATTCACCCCAACATGTTTCTCGCTGGTGTAATAGTGTGTAGAAAACTTAAGAATATGCTCTGGTGCTCCCTTAACAAAAATAAATTCATAGTCTTCCATCGTTTCATCACTTGCTTCGGTTTCCTTTTCTGCTGATTGTTCAATTTTGGAGTGTTTGGAATTTTTCGTATAAATAACGCTCATTCTTTTCAAATTACTGTCAAATGGATATTCCTTAAAGAGTGTAAACAAGTGAGTGGAATCATACTCTTGTAACTCTTCTTCGATTGCTTCATTGGAAGACTCTGAGCTTTCCAGATGTTGCTTTCCCAATCCATACTGTTGAGCAAGGGACATCAACGCTATTTCTGTTGGATCTCCAACATAGAGTATTTCTTCCTCGTTTCCATTACCCTTTTCTTCGCCCTTCAATGGTTTTAATTCATGGGGTGAAGCTTTTCCCAACTTGTTCGTATATTCTTTGAATCTTTGGAAAATATTTCCTCTTTCCTTTTGTTTTGAAGTGGTAACAGTTCCTTTCGACAGACTACAGCCATTGCACATGGATGAAATCATGAGCAAGGTTTTTAACAAGTCGTTTTCGTTGTTAACGTAATCAGTTGTTACAACTGTTAGCTGAGGTTGCGAGAGAGTATTTATCTGCTCTTGTTCTTCTTGGTCACTCGATGACCGTTTCTTTTCTCCTATTTCAACCAACACCAATGGGGATGCAGACGTCAGCTTTGGGGATTTCTTGACAGGAACAGCAGCAGATGCAGTCTCCATAGCTGTTGCAGGTTTGGTCACGTTGTTGCTTGTCGAAGAAGTTTGTGCAGCATGTAAGGTTTTAGTTGTTTCATTCATTTCGAAATCATCTCCCAAAATTCGAAAAACCATATCATTGGAGAGAACACATTCTTTTACAGCCATAACACCTTCTGATATCGTTCCTGTTTTATCGCTACAAATGTCTGTCACATTTCCAAGAGTTTCAATGGAATCCAATTTCCGAACAATGGCATGCTGCTTTGCCATTCTCATGACTCCTATGGTCATGGTTAGGGTGAGGACTGGACTCAAACCTTCAGGAATGATCGCAACAGCAGTACTACATTTCACAGAGTATATCATCAATGATAAACATCATTGTTAAAACCATCAAAAGAAACTTACCTCACTCCAACAGTCAATGCATCAGGAAACAGTGGTAATGATCGATGCAGATAAGCAGCCAATATAACCAATCCCGTGCAAATTACACCAGCTATATGAATCAGAGTTGAAAATACAGTATCAATAGAATTTGTAAACAAGAAATTACTTTCCACATACCAATAACCAAAACTAATCCCAAGTAAGTCATTCTTTTTTGTAATCTTGATCTTTGTCTTGTGTGCTTAGAAATAGATTCAGCAATGGCACCAATTTCTGTTTGCATTCCTATTGCAGCTACAACAGCTCGACCTTTTCCTCTCGTCACTGTAGTACCACTGAATACCATGTTAATTCGGTCGCCAACATCAACAACAACTGGCTGTTTCCTATGTTGTTTGTTTTTTCCATCTTCTTGCGAGACAACAAGGGATGGTCTTGCAGAGGCCGAGGTTATGTTTGCATCCAAAGACGTGCGACTTGGAGCGCCTGTATCATCGTTAACGCTCGTTCTAACATCAGTGGTCGTTTGTACTGTTTGTGTTTCTGTTGCAACACTACTTCTTCTTGAGGTTGGCCATTTCTTGGTAGGAATTTTTGCACTTTCCTTATTCTGTGCAAAGATAACATTTGCATTCTTTTTAACTGGTTCAGACTCTCCAGTTAAAATTGCTTCCATACATTCCAATTGGGCTGTATAGATGAGTCTACAATCAGCAGGAACATGATCACCTTCCTCCAACAAGATAACATCTCCCAATGTGAGTTGGTGAGATGGAATTTCACTGTGCGTTCCACCTCGAACTACCTTTGTAAAGGTGTGTTGCATGCGTTTTAGTTTTTGCATGGACTTTTCAGATCGATATTCTTGCAACACACCGATAACGATATTCATAACAATAATAAATGCAACAACACCACCATCCACCCATTCAGTAACTGCAAATGAAATCACCAAAGCAATTGAAAGAATTAAATTCATAAAAGTAAATGTATGAAACACCAACAGTTTCCACAAATTAATTCCACCTTGACTCTTCAATTCATTTCTTCCAAATATTTGGCATCTTTCCTGTGCCTGTACTGTAGAGAGCCCATCGGTTGCATGGGTACGAAAATTGGTAATCACCTCTGCTATGGACAGTGTATGGGGTGGAGTCAAGGTTTTCATGTCATGCAACGACAAGAGAAATTTGCGTTCATCATCGTTGGTAGTCAAGATGAAGCTTGTCTGTGGTTCCTGTTGATTGCTGATACTACTACTAGGTAAAGCATGAGATTGAGTTGTAGCATATGCAGGTTGAGAGGAGGCTGACTCTATCTTTGGATGACTACGTAAATCAATAGTAATAAATTCGGAATCATCCATGTTCTTGATGGGTTGAAAACCATTTGAATTTGTTGAATGGTTATGGTTCGGAGTGGTGCAACCAGTTGTTATTGCTAATCCTTCTTTGCCTGTTATGGACTCGGCCGTACTATCATCTTGCTGATGGGAAGGAGAAAAATTCATATTCAAAACAGAATAATGTGTTTTTAAAATTCTATAAATATATGATATCATGTTACTGTCAGTTGAATCATCAACACAATTGTTTGGTTCTTCCAAATTCTTTAATTGTCTAAATATGTAGAATTTCCAAATTCTTACGCATTGCAGTTAAGAGCAAATAACTCTTGCGAAACGCAGTCGGACCAGTCATCAGACAGTGACCTGGTTCAACAAGGGATGGTACTTGACCAATAATTCGATTTTTACATTTTTTGTGAAATAATCAAGTGTAATCTAGTTCTCCGAGAGAATGACGAACGCGTTCAATGACAGTCATTTATTTCCCCTTAAATCGAATGCCCATCTCATTGGCAACAAACAAGTAAATATCAGCCATTTCTTCAATGACCTTTTGCAATGATTTACCTGCTCCATGTCCTGCACTTGTTTCAATTCTTATCAAAAGTGGTACCTGATTAACAGGTCCTGCCACATGTTGAAGTTGAGCAGTATATTTGAACGAATGATGAGGAACGACTCTATCATCATGATTGGCTGTTGTTACGAGAACTGCTGGATATTTCTGTGGCTTAATGTTATGGAGTGGGGAGTATTCAATCAAATAATCAAAACCATTGGGATCAGAGCTGCATCCGTAATCACTACACCATGCTGCACCAATGGTCCAAGTGTGAAACTTGAGCATATCCAGAACACCTACTTGAGGAATTGCAACACCAAACAAATCAGGTCTTTGATTGATGCATGCTGCTACTAAAAGACCTCCATTACTGCCACCATTGAGACTAATATAAGGTGGTGATGTATAACCTTCTTTGATTATAAATTCGGCAGCAGCTATCATATCGTCAAATACATTTTGCTTTCGATCTAAAATACCTTGTTGATGCCACTTCTCTCCTCCCAGTTCGGCACCACCTCGCAAATTGGGAATTACAACCATTCCTCCAAAGTATTTGATCCAGAATAAACGCATAATGCTGAAAGAGGGTTGCAAATTGATACTAAATCCACCATATCCATACAGCCAACATGGATTTTTACCGTTCTTTTCAAAGCCTTCCTTGTTGTGAACAACAAACATTGGAATTCTTGTGCCGTCCTTGGAAGAATACCATTCTTGTTTGACTTCGATGGATTCTGGAGATGGAACTAAATCACTGGTCTTGGTTTGATAGAATTCAATAGACTTTTGAGTGTCAAAATCATATCTGTAAATGGTACCAGCGTGGTTAAATGATACAAACTTGTAGAACAATACTGAATCTTCTCGTCTTCCTGAAATTGATGAAATGGATCCAATCACAGGCAATTGAATGTCAGAAATATATTCACCAGTTTGGAGTGTGAAAAATTTCAAGTTGTCTTGAACGTTATGAACATAATTTGCCACTAAAATGTTGTTATTGACACAGGTGGCCATACTAAGTGGATCTTCAGTTTCTGGTAAAATTTCCTTCATCTCGGTGTAAGGTTTCGTAACGTCCATGACAACCACCTTTGAATTTGGAGCATTCAAATTTGTCTTAAAGTAGAAGGTATCTTCGTCATTGGTGATATAATCGTATTCAGCATCAAAATTGTCGATATACTTCACAACCTTGATACGTGATTGAGCATCTTCAGGATTCTCCTTTTCAAATGCAAGATCTCCACCCACTTGATCATTCTTATAAATCTTTGCATAGAACAATCTGTTCACTGGAGCTGTGCTTTCAGAAACATAAATCAACAAGTACTTTCCGTCATCAGTCACAGTGGCACCAAACATCCACTTTGGTTGAGTCTTTTCCTCATAGATGAGAATGTCTTCTTCCTGAGGAGTACCAAGTTTGTGATAATACAATTTACTGAACTCGTTGGCATCAACTTCACTGCCAAGAGTTTCAACTGCAGATTTTGGTTCAGGATATCGAGAATAAAAGAAACCACGAGAGTCATGAGTCCATGCAATGCCAGTAAATTTACAGAACTTGATCTGATCCTTCAATGGTTGTCTTGTTTTCACATCAATCACGTGAATAGTTTGCCAATCACTTCCTCTTTCACTCAATCCGTAAGCGTAATAGTCACCGTTCTTAGTGAAAGCACTTGATCGGATTGAAGATGTACCATCAGCTGAGAAGGTATTGGGATCAACAAATACTTCACTTTCAGCGCTATCCAATGATTTTCTCACCCACAATACGTCTTGATTTTGCAATCCATCATTCTTAAAGAAGTAATATCCAACGAGATCTCCTTTTCCTCTTTTGAATGGACATCCAACCTTCTCAAAATTCACCATATTAGTGATTTGTTCTCTAAGCTGTTCACGAGTTACACCAACTCTTTCTTCAATATGTTGTTCTTTCATATAGTTGGCAAAACACTCCACTTGTTGATTGACCCATTCCTTTGTCTTTTCTCCGTAAGGTTCTTCCAACCAACGATATGGATCTTCAATCTTTGCTTCACCTCTTTTTGCACTTTGATAAGTATCTACGGCCGAGGTGTCTCTAAAGGCTTGAGGATAATGAAAAGTTCTGGTTTGTTGTTGTGATGACATTTTTTTGATCATGGACGTGTGCTCCGAAGCAGATCGGAAACACAATCGGTTGTGCTGTGAGGAGGAATTATTGTCTAAGTTTAGAATGAAATTTCGATGAAATTTGAAAACAGAGTTGGCATGAAGTTGATGAGAGGTAGTATTGCTGCTTGCATGATGTATGAATGAGGAAAGAATGTTATGTGAAGCCATTAATTGTCGGCTCAACATTTTTAATTTTTAAATTGTTTTAAAAATTGAACAACACTCTGTGTGTGAATCTCTTCAACATCGCGCACGCAATGGTTGATCAACAGAAATTAAAAAGATGGGTAAAATTGTAGTGTGTTTATTGTATGGCCTTCCAGCAAGTGGCAAATCTTCTGTTGCAAAATTATTGGAAGAAAAATTAAAAAACTTGAATTTCATCGTGGAACGATTGGAATACGATCAAGTCTTGCGGAATCATCAAGAACAGAAAAATATCATGGATTTTTCTTCGGAATTATGGAAGGAATCAAGACAAGTGGTTGAAAAACAAACTATTGAACTTGTGGAAAATTATTTATCAAGTCAAGACGATAAATCAATGGTCATCATCTTGGATGATAATTTCTATTATAAAAGTATGAGACATGAATTTGTACAGATTTGCAGAAATTATACGCTTTCAAATGTTCAATTGCTGTTAAAGTGCCCAGTGGATTTGTGCATTGAGAGGGATAAGCAGAGAAGAACACCCGTTGGAGATGGTATTATCATGGAAATGAGCAAAAAGTTCGAATATTCAGAAACCGCATCCGATGAATTTATTTTCCATGTCGAGTATGACACTTCTGACACAAGCCAATTTAATAATATTTGTGACAGTGTCATCCAAGTTATACATCTCTCACTAGATCATCCTCTCCAAAATGTAATCAAGCTTCAAAGTGAAATGAGAGAAGAAAGTCAAAGACAAAACAGAGAATCATTCGGCAAATGTTTGGATGATGGAATACGTAAACAGATATCCTATCTGATTGAACACAATTTAATTGAGAAGACTAAAGCCAAACAGCTTTCCATCATCAAACGAGATGTTTTAAAAAAGGCAAAGAAAGAGAATGGACTACAATTCTATTTTGACATGTTTGATAATGAAGTTCAAAAGATGAATTAATCATGTGCCAACACGACTCAGACCAGGTAGAAGAACACATTCTCCGAGAGGCATCACATAATTTATTATTGCAGTAAGGCAGCCAGTATGCCTTTGACATCCTCCCGTAGAATTTTTTCCTCATCAGGTGGAGGAGGATAATCCTGGTCGTTATATTCACATCTCAGTTGGATTCTGTTAGACATGTTACGTAAAGAGATACCGCAAATATAATAGCCGTGTAGCAACATGACAAAATCAAAGGAAACATTCTTAATCTCAGAAAATTCAAGCTCGTTATTCACCTTTCCTGCATTTCCTATTCTATTGAACTCTTTGAGAGGATTTAAATCAAACATAGGATTGAACTTTGGAGAGTTCCATACCACTACGGGAATACCTTTGATATACTTCTCTACCTTATTTTGTTGAAATATCACAGCAAATTTAGCACACTGAAGAGATCCTTCCTTTCTTTGGTAGCTCTCAAGAAAAGATTTTAATACATCTATAGGTGCACATATTAGAGCCATGAAGACAAGCACTCTTAGACACTCTCTGTTCACCTGCTTCTCTGTTTTAGAGTCTATGACTCCTCTATAGGATCTACTGTACATAACTAGAAACGTAATGTCGCTCTTGTATTGAGCCACTTTCTTTTTTGTTGATGGGAAAATATTGGAGTAGGTTTCATTCCACAGTTTCATACTATTAACTAGAATTTCACCAAAAATATCACTAGCAAAATACTCAGGTAATATTTTGAACAGATCTCTACAAATTCCCTTCATGTAATAATTCCACATCTGGATTCCATAACTACACCTCTCATCATTATGGAATTTTCTGTGTGTATCCCAATCCATTAGATATCTCACATCTGGAGCGCAATACAGAGATATTATGCTCATATGATAGTCTACTATGAATTTTCTGCAAGATTTACATTTTTCTCTAAAAGAGTTAACAAGTTGTGAAAAATTACATGAACCTTCTTCTTGAATATCGCTTTCCATAGATGCAAGAAGACAAAGTCTATCATACGCGTATAGTAATGTTGAGTATGCAGCATCTGTCAACAGCTTTTGTTAATAATTGATTTTCAAAAAAGCAAAACACGTACACGTATTAGTTACTTTCAACGGGTTGAAATTGTTCTTGAATAGAAAGTGATCAAAATGCGAGAGCAAAATACTAAATCCATAGCCCGATTTCTTTACAACTGCAGTTTTTAGGTCTTCACCAACGTAAGTATCGATCGAGCTTGATGATTACTCTTCAACTTACCCTCAACATTGTACTTAATTAAGATTGTAATTATGTTGAAAACTTTGTCTATGATTGCCTTAAAATCTTGTAAAATTACATATTCTTGTTCGTCGTTAATTATTAAAATTTGAACTCTATTAATGCAAGACATACCATTATTGATGTCAGCAAATAATTCAAAGGACATGTTTCTAGAGAACAGATCTGAACAAAACTCTCCAATAACAAACAAAGTCTCTATGGAAAGATTACTGATGACACACCTCACAAAATTGTCGTACGAATAACTAACAATTTTTGCGTTGAAATAGAACTCTACAGTCTTTGGTACTGTTATTGACAATTTTTTAGATTTTTCCTTAAATATATTTGACTCGGATTTTTTTTTCTCATCTATCATTAGTGATATGCTCTCTTGAAACGCAAAAGCTATTTCGAGAATGTCGAAAAATCTACCTCTTAATTCTGAATGAATTTTCTGATAGAAATCATCTGCAACGATCAAGCACATTTCACTAAACTTGTTTAAAAATCTATTGATGTAGAGAGAAGTGATAAGGTCAATTATGTGAGCCACATCAATAATCTCGTTTAACATTTCAAAATCCTCCTGAATATGTTTGAATTTATGCTACTCTGAATGATATTGATTCAAACTTACAGTGACAACCTGAATCAGACCTTTGCTTAATTTTACAAACATATCCAAAGTCATAGCATTTCCTTCAAGGTTAAGGGATGGTATGTAGTCCATTATTTCTTTTTCCCTAATACCATAGTACTAATAGGGTTTAAGATTGTACCATGTTCAAGAACTTACAAAGTTAAAAACATCTTCCGAATCAAGTGTCAAAGCCAAATTTAAAAGAAGAATTTTTCGTTTGTCTATGTCCTTTTTGGGATGAGTATCAGAAATTCCCTTTATCAGGTGGAAATTATGCCACAAGTGAATGATGAAATTCCTTCCTTAGCTTGTGGCATAAAATCTAACTCAATATCATTTGAAGTTTTCAAGACATTGATAGTAGAAGGAACATGGTATCGTTCTTCTCTAAATATTTTAGAGCAAGTTGATTTAAAACTTAGATCACAAATGGATTGAAGCAGCGTCATGCTTGTGAAGTAGTCTGACTCCAAAAAGCATTGCATGACACTTTTGAGGCAACTCAATAACTCCTTTTCCGAATATTGCAGTCTACCTATTGTTTCTATTGATGTATACAATTTAAACAAATATTTGAAGGACTGAGCATTACCTACCTGTTGTCTGCTCTGGTAGTGAGATTGCGCTATCCTTTCTTCTCCGATCCATTTCTTCCATTTTTAATGTAATTTCCTCCAGCAACGCATCATAATTTGGTGTAGCGAAGGATGTAGGATCTCCCTCCATCAAGAGCAAATCTTCCACCACTCGACTGCTACCCTCGAAAGACATTTTTTGTGTCGACACAAAGTTAAGACCAAGAACGTTGTAGAAGGTATGGCGCCAACATTTTTTCAGTCAAAAGCAAAAAAATTTCTTAACCGATCAAAGCGAGAGGCTTTATGTGTGCTCGGACACATACAACAACAACAACAACGATACGCTAAGCATTCAAGTTTGTACAAGAGAAGAAATGATGATGAACTCGTATGGATGAAACAAGTCAAAAAGGTTTACGAATTTTGTTTACTGCTCACCAGTCTCGGAAGATGTTTGCTCTATGTGCCAATTTCATTTTCAGACGACGATTACGGCAGTAAATGTCCCGTGGATGTAGACAAGATATGCACGTTGATATGCTCCTTGAATCAATTAGGAAATTTTGCAACATCATCATTGTTGAAAATCCAAAAGTACAAGGTTGTGGTGGAACGCTGTGATGATGTTTTATTTGCGGTGTTTATGGATGCAAATTCAGCTGCAAAAGCGAATCGCTTAGTAAGTGCCTTATTATTGATTGCTCGATCCGAACATCAGCAAACCTTTGTTCAGCAAATGAAAAGAATTGTTGATGAATTTGTGTTCTTGTTTGAAAAACCAATTGCTGACATTAAGAGCATTGAGAACCAGCTTGTTGAACAAAACTCCAAAAACTTTGTTTTTAAAATTAAGGAAAAAGAAAAAGAGGAGTTCACACCAGTGAACAGATACCCAGTGTTATGTAGATTCAGTGACATTATTAAATCGAAATTGTTTGAGATAGAGCAGTTGGAAGAGTTGACATATGATCAAACGTTCAAACAAATCAATTCACTACAGAGAATCCTAATAGTAGATTCTTCTTTCACACCTTTAACAGAGTTTGCTCGAGAGAAGAAAAATATGAATTTTGCCACAACCCTTGAATGGAAATATATTCAAAAACTTTGCGCAAGGAGCCGTACGCTTTTTAGAGATGCTTCTGAGGAGTCACTCTTTTCTTACTTCTTAGTGAACAAGGCAGTTGTGATAACAGTGGAGGAGAGAAGAAATGATTATTTGTTTTACATCTTTACGATTGAAATAGGTGGCACGAACAATCTCCAAATTCAGTTCAACAATGACGGCACAGGAACTATATGGAATCTATCAGTGGTAGAACCCCAAGTAGCTACCTCAATTTCCTCGTTTATGCAGCAAGTGAGAAACAAGACTCAGATGAACCTTGAACAGAAAGAACAAATTGAACGAGAATGGACATCAAGATCACTAACAATTGCCTCAAAAAACGGAAGAAAGTTTTTCAAAAACAAGAATATTTCCACTGTGATAACCCCAGCCGACGACGATTTTACAAAATACACACCACGACCACCTCCATCCATAGATCCTAAATATCAACAACAACAACCTCCTCAAACATCTCCTAACGAACGGTTTGTTCGAAGCTACAAAATACAAGAACAGAAATGAAGTTATTATTATTACGTTATTTAAGGATCATGATTATTCCACTTTGACGCCATACTTTCCCAAACAAGCAACAACTGTTTGGAATTTGTCTTCTGGACAATTTTCTTTGAAAAATTCAATCTGTGCCTCTTCAGAAATCTTGGCTCCAGATTCAAGCAACAATTCTACCAAAGAATCATTACCTTCAGCAACAGCAAAGAGTAATGGAGTCAAGCCCATGGCATCCTTTTCGTTTATGGTTTGCAATGCACCATGATTTAACAACCATTTCACAGCATAGGTGGATCCTGATTTGGCAGCAATATGAATGGGATAACTTGTAAGATTTTCTTCGTCTTTGAATGGAGTATTCACAAAGTGTGAAAGAGTTTTTTCATATTTTTCCAACAAGTAGGAAACAATGTCATTGTCGGGTTCACTCAATAGAACCGAAATGATGTGCGCAAGAATATTGAGATTATCCAACGTTACAGTAGCTGGCTCCGTATCCAGAGTAATGCCATAATTCTCCAAAAGTTTCAGAGCTTTCAAGTTGCCCTTGCTCACAGCGAATAAAGCCAAATTCATTCCGTCTTTTGTAGTAAAATTCTTCAAGTTGAACTTTTCACATTGCTCATTATATTCAATGAGACGTTTGAGAATATTCTCATCGACACCAGAATCTGCTGCATAGAATATAATTGGTAAATTGAGATACTCTGAAGCCATGGAAGGAGCAGATCCTGTGGAAATCAAAGACTCAATTTCTTCCATTTGATTTTGAATAATCAACGATTGGAAATTTTCAACATCCTCTGACAGCAATTGTTGATCCGATTGCATACGATTAATGACATACTGCTTGGAGTGCAGCTCTGCAATCAATGCTCCTTCAAAAATATCAATCACCTTGGATAATTTCTTGATCGTACACTCAATAAAGGTTATACCAAACTGATCGGCAAGTTTCTTGGCCTCTTCCGATTTGGCAGCAGCATTTTCCATGTCGACCTTATTGAACACAATGAGAGATGGAATTTCTGAGACCTTTCTCTTCTTTAACCTTTCAATACGACTGATAATGGTTTCAAGTTTCTCAATAGAAGATGGTTGATCAGCTGCACACACCAAAATCACAGCATCAGCTCGTGTCGCCTTCTCAAATTGTCCTCCCTTTTCAAACTCATCACTTCCACAAGTATCTAGAATATTCAACACAAATGCCGAGTGTGAATCTGATTTGGGAACATATTTTCTAAAGGTTTGTTCTTCCGTTGTCGTTGTCGTCGTTGTCGTGGTGTGATCTCTCACTATTCCATTATTCGTATTATTATTATTATTCGTATTGGAAAGATTATTCAGTTCTCCATCATGTTGCTGCTGCTGCTGCTGTTGACAACCATACAAATAAAGTGAAATCAATGTGGACTTTCCAACTCCATTCTCTCCATAAATGGCAACATTAAATTCACTCAATTGTTGATCGAGAATGACTTGTTGGTCGAACTGAGACTATTCACAATTTTAGAAGCAAATGCTCTTCTTTCAGATTTGGTTTCTACCAACACAAATGTCTCGAGCATTTTTCTAAATACTAACAATTCAGGAGGTTGAATGTCTTGAGTGATGGAATTGGCAAAACTCGATGCCAAGAAATCACCATTCGATAGTAATGTGAAATGTTTTTCAACAAATTTCTTTTCATCCTCTCCACTGTCATGTTCATACGAAAAGACATGGGATGTTTGTTGTTGCACATGTTCCAATGTTACTGGTTGTAAAATTTTCACACGATGTGGTTTTTGATCCAATTGAGACATGTTCTCGATTTGTTGTGTCAAGCTATTGAAATTCTCTGTGGCCAATTCTTGAACATTCATTTCACCATTCGATTTCACATATTGAAAATCGAAATGCATTTGTCTTGGAACGGAAGAGAGTGAAGTGGCGAAATTGGATGAATATTTCACATGTTGTGGAGTATAGATTGTGAGAGAACCTTCTCTTTTTTGAGAAACTTGATAAGGAAATGGAACATGCAATAGAATAGAAGGGCCATACTCGGTCGACAATTCATACAAAAATGTAGAAGTACCTTCTTGTGGAAATTTGAAATTTCTCAAAAACTTTTCAAAGACTGAAAAATTCTTTTCACAACCTGTCTCGGTCAAGTAACTGAAAATATAAAAAGAGTGTTCAGACATGTTTGGTTGCAAAGCAGAAACAGTGACCACATGATGACGTGTCATGTGAATTCTACCATAGGACAAGTATTGAACCAAACTATGTTTGGCAATGAATTGCACTTGTTCTGAATTCGTGTCAAGCAATTCATTCCCTTCATGACTCGTAGTTGTAGTTGCAGTAGTAGTTGTAGTTGCAGAAGAAGTTGCAGAAGAAGTTGCAGTAGAAGTAGTAGTACTATCACCATTCGACTTGATTTGAAAATCATTTAACATTTCAATTTCACAATACTCTGAAATGGCATACGAAGTCATTAATTTTGAAAATGTCTCTCGATGAATTTCTTCATGTGAATGTTTATCGAGTGTGAAATCCACACGAATCTGATCCATCAAACATTCATCTTCATTCTCATCTTGTTGATTCAACCATGGTGAAATCTGAGTTGGTGAAATGATTTTCAAGGATGCACTCGAACTTGCCATATCTAATTTCCAAGTGTTGGGATAAAAGAATTCAAAATTTGGATGAAGAGATGTTGAAGTGTTAATCCATTGAGATAAATCGGATGGAGATGGATCATCGGTGGAGATCATGTTCAACTCTGGAGAGTACTCTGTTGAAAGATGATTCTTTTTTGTTGTTATTGAGGATGATGATGATGATAACATTTGAAGATGAGATTTAGGTTCAAGATGATGAAAATATGAGTGTTCCTTTTCTCTCTCAAAAGTGAATGAATATTGTTTGATGTGTTGTTGTTGAATAATTATTTAAAATATAATGTTCGATCGATGGTTGTAGATTCGTTCAATAATAATGGAAGGTGTTCGAGAATCACCACTTGTGATGAATGAGACTCTCGGATGATGAGAAAGGTGTCAAAAGAACGTGAGTTGTGATGGTATGGGCCTATGGATCGATGAAGACGAAGACGACAAGGAATATTGACGACCTTTGAGAGAGAGATTTTTGTTTTTTTTTTCTTGCACATCAATCAAAAGTCAAAGGCAAGTTGCCGAAAGGAAGTCAAGCCATACAAACTTGTTGAAAACAAAAGGAAGCTCATCTCCAAAGATGAAGGAGATTATTCACTCTTGCTTCGTTCATCAATTTGCATGGTTCATGACTGAGGTTTCTGAAAGAATTCGCAATGCATGACAATATATTCCTTCTTCGAGATTTTGAAAATGTTAAATTTACACAATTACAAAAACAAGAATGAAATCACTATAAAATTCTTTTGAAAAAGCTAAAGAATAATTTGTCCATAAAAGGTGCCAATAACATTCAATACACTAAAAAAATACAACAACGATATGAATACCACAACCTCTCGTAGAATCATCAGCAAACTCGTGGCCTTGAATCATCAAGCTTCTTCCGTAAGCCTCTTATTACGGAGAGGTATGGCTTTACAAGCAGGATTTAAGAATTATCATCCGTTAAGAAGAAGCAACGATTTTAAATTCAATAAGCTAATTTCTTTTGAAAACAATCAACATCAAATGAGAATGTATAGCCGTAAATCCCACATGAAAACAGCCTTGTTCTTGGAAACTTATCTTCATGAAGCTTTTATTGCTAGTATTGAAGATTTAATCACCAAGCTTGATACGAATAATGCTCATTCATTGGATTGGCATGAATTCCATGCTCAGTTTGAAGCTTTGAGAGCCACATTAAAAGCACAATCTAAGCTAGAAGATTTAGGATATGTACCAGCAATTCATGAATTTATTTCCGAAAATGCAGGTAAAGACAATGTGCAATTAAAGAATTTGCTTGACTTGAAGACTAGTCATATTCTTGAGCATCAGGTGATTAATCATATTGAGAATGATATCAAGCATCATCAACATCATCAAGGAGTGAATCATAATAAGATTATGGAGATGAAGAAGCATCTTTTCGAATTAAGAAACATTGTCGAAGAACATTTCCAAAAGAAAGAAGCAATTTTCAATCCTGTGAGCGAACAATACCTTTCAAAGGAAGAATTGAAAAGAATTCCAGAGCTTGCTTTCAGTAAGCTACTGGAGAGAGATGAACGTGCTCATGAACTCTTGCATTACTACTCTGTCACCAAAAATTCTTTGGACTTGACTGAAGCCATGATCCGTGAAATTTTGATTGCTCGTCTCAACGATTCCAAAGCTGCCGACGTATTGATTGAGCTCAAAAAGCACACACCTCAAGAAGTATGGCTACAAATGACTGCAAGAATTCCAGAGTTAAACGACCTTTAAATTGTCACAGCTATTGGGATTTTTCAAAGCATTATTGGGTTTTATCTATTTATTTTTACTAGTACATAAATTAATTATTTGGTCTAACAAATTCGAATATGATTATACTCTGTTATGAATGACAAGTACTTACAGTGATGCATAGGCATTTCCTTGTTTTTTCTTCTTTCGTCGGTTCATGATGAATACAATTACTAAAATGGCAACCAAGCCCACTAACCATGCTGCAAGTAAGGTACCAATGACAGCCCATTCCTTAACACCAAGTTCCAAGTGGCTATTTTCACAACCATTTGTATATGAATTGAAGCCTATATACCTTCGATGAATGAAAAAGTTGGGTTTCGTCCAATTTGAGATAAAATCTTGAACAAAATCACATAAATTATTAGTAACAAAATACATGTATCCATCATTTCCAATTCCAATAGTATCTGGCCAAACAAATTCGTTTTCAAATTCAATGGAGGATCGATTCAACAGAGAATTTCTCATAAATGCATTCAGTGTGTAATCTTTGAGCTTGGTTTTTCCAGTAATGACATCTGCTAGACCTCTTCATCCACTTCATAAATAGTGTTATTCTCAATGGCAGTCATATACAAGACTGAGTCTGATGACATGGCAAATCCATCACTGGCTGAAATCTTATCTCCAAAATTGATAATTCTATTATTCACTAAAGAAGTGTTTGCAGGATACATGATTAACAAATTGGCATCAATTCCATACAATGTTCTAGATGAGAGAGGAGTCCAATATAAACGATTAGAGTCACAACTGAGTGCAATTCCATCTACACCAGTTTTCATTGGTGATTTTTCAAGGCATTTCTTTCCATTGACGTCAAGCCATGCACTCTCATTGACTTGAACTTGTGGTAAACCATCGAACCATCTTTTCACTTTCATGGTATCAATATCAATGACTAAAATTCCAGGTTGTGGATGAATAGATGGATCATTTTGTGGATTATCAATTGGAATACCACTGTCACTAATATAGGCAACATTTTGTTCCGTATCTACCACGAGGTCATTTAGGAAGGAATTTGTTCGGGAAGCTTCCTCTGCTGTGAAATGATATTTGGCAATCAATTGATTCTTTACCAAATCCCAAATGACTAATTTGATGCTATCCTCAGCTGCTTTTTTTCCTGCAACTTTTCCTTGATCCAAAATCCACATTCTCTGTTGACCATCAATTTCAAATCCTAAAACACTTTGTAATCCAAATGTTGCATTATTCACATCGTTCCATTCCCAACTAGGAAATGGTTCTAAAAGTGGAGATTCATTGGGTGATGGCGATACTGAAATCTTTGCCAATGTTGCTGGAATTTTATCAGATTTCCATCTTGGCATTGAAACATACAAATTTCCTTGAGCATCAACTTTGACACCAGCCAACATGACATTCTTGTAAATTTGTTCATTGAAATATTCTTGTCGTGCCTGTTCCGATGTAAAATTAAAATTGATATAATTAAAGGAATGGAGTAATTGAACAGGAGACTGGGAATTATCTTGATCACGGGCATTGGTGTGTTGCATCAAGAGAGTACAAACAATCAGGAAAATCATCAGAAAGAGCCTGACTGTCGTTGAAGCTCCCTGTCGATGATGATGATGGAAAAACCTCTGTATCGGAGTGTGTAACATGGATGACATTCAAAAAACAAGGTCGGTGGTTATGTGTGAGTGTGAATCGAATTCGGGTGCGGATGATTTTTTGTTCTCGATTTTTTGAAGAAAATTGTGAAATTACAAGGGAGGGCATGGAGTCACGGAGAAGGACTCCATTCTTTCAAATGTCCTAAATAGTCAATAAAACACCAATGCAATGCATCACAATGAAAAAATCTATTCCATTGGAGTACTTTGGGTATAGAGTCTTCCAATTTCGCCTTCCGTAGTGACGTATAGAAAGTGATCCTGCTGTAGGGTGCTTTTGGAATCACCATCATGCAACGATAAATTAAGGTGTTGATCGAATTGTCCTCTAACAATATTCTTCACAGATCCACTAAAGGATTTACAGCATGATTGAACCAGTAATTCGTATTGGGTGCCTTTTTCTGCTTCAACCAAGCGGTGATTATCAACTGAAGCGTTCGATGGGTGCAAGCGTGTCTTTTCCAAGTCCAAATGAATACCCTTCACTTCCTTGTTCAACAAGTCAATGTAATAATAGAGATGATTGTTCTCAAATTGGTTCCAATGGGAACAAATGGTCTTATCTTCCTCTTTGATTTTATATTCACTGGCAAGTTTTCTTTGACCCCTTCGTTCTTGTTGAGTAAGGGAAAGTACTTTCAAATCACCGTCAACATAATCTGATATCACAATTTTGTGCTGTTGATTATGGGTGCGTGATGGAATGAATACACACGACAGTGGTAACATGTTCGTGTTGGTACGATCCATGAGTAACAACTCTTCCATTTTTCTGCAATCTGTTCCAAATCTTAATAATCGAATACCACTGTTCAAGCTACACAGGGTAAGATACACATCTGAGCCATCCATGACAATATCTACCGTATTCATAACAAAGTGCAAAGATCTAAATATTGGACTAGCTCTATTGAAATACTTGGAGTAAACAGGATAGGTGAGACTGCTTTCTTTGGCATAATCTAACAGCTCGTATCGATCCACAAACTTAAATTTCATCTTTTCTCCGTTCTTTTCTAGCTTGACCAAATGTATCATGTTGTTGTACAACAAACAAAACCGTCCATCATCATCCAAGGAGTGTATCTTTGCAAATGTTGATTCGTCATGGAATGGAACAGGATGTTCTCCAATTATTGTAGATTTCAATTTTGTCATGTTCGAAGATAAAAGGCAGATCCAAGCCACAGACAATGCCACTGCTCCAGTATCCTCTTCGACAGTGCAAGAATGTGAAAAAGTGGTTAGGCAAACAAGTAGAATGTACTCTTCACCATCAATGCGTGTTGCACATACATCTAATATGGAATGGCTGGTTGTACTAATGTCCTTTTCAGACACAACCCATTTCTCAGGCATGTATTTGCCAATTTCAATAACTTTGTCTTGATAAAATTGGCTTTCTGTGTCATCATCGAGCACACATTGAAATAGAAGAGCATTCAAACTTTCGTCTACTAAGGACCGTTCCAATCCCACAACAACATATTTGCTTGATCTTTCTAAATATATACTTTTTAAGGGCTCAATAATACTATTGGACTCTTGCATTTGTTTTTCCAGGTTCATGGACCTCCATCTTAGCTTTTTGTCTGCTGACACTTCACAAAATTGAATTGCTCCACCCTCAGGTTGTTCCATGAGTAAAGCAACACAATTACCAAATTGAGAAGTTACAACATTTGAAATGTCAATACTTCTTCCAGCATAGCGCTTTTGGTTGCATTCAGTAAAGAACACAGTTTTAAGGACTCTACGTCCATCAATTGCAATTTGTTCTCTGTCTTGAACAATCATCAAATCACGATTGCTCATACAATAAATAACATCTTCAGAATTTTCTGTTGTAACCCTTCTCAGCTTTACGGAGCTTTCTCCAACTTTAAAGCGGTGCTCTTCAAGCTGTGATAGAAATATTGGATCAACAATGCAGGAGCCATCAGAAAATCCTAACACAATACATGACATGATAGAATTCGAAATTGCCAAGCAAGATCTAATAGTTTCATGATATTTCTGTATGGATAGTGAGAGGAACGAATAACTAATAGATGACGTTCAACAAACCTTTTCCATAATGATGCTCCAAGAGTCTACATCAATAATATACACAGAATTCACAATCCAAAAAGCAACTATCAAGTAAGTCTTTCCTTCATGGTTGAAGCTTGAAATTGTGGAAATCTGGTTCTCTAGAGAATTGGTTGACACCTCAACCACTGAGAGCGGCTTTGATTTTATCTCAAATGTTGTGATTTCGTTTCTTCTTGAAACAAATATCTAGAGATTTGTTGAATAACATTGTTGAATAAAGCAAATGAATAGCAAACCTACCCGTCCATTTGGCTCAATTTCTGCAAATAAATACTTTTCTCCATCATTATGTCTTTTGAACAATACATGAACATTTTGGGTGTTAAACTGAATTTCACAGAGAGCAATCTCATCCTCCCAAATTGCAACAAAAAAGAGAGATACGGGATTTCTCTTAAATTCCTTTAAGGCAAGTAACTTTTTAGCTCCATTCATTGCATTAAACGAAATTGGGCTCATATCTTTTGTAGAGAAAAATGTAGTACAGTTATCATATGAGAAGCACAAAATCGAGTGATCTTTCAAAGGAAGACTGATATCGATGGTTAGTTTGCATGACTACTGGAAATTCGTAAACTTACACAATGATTTCAGGAGAGCCCTCAATAATGGATCCTTGAGTTATGGGCATAAATGGGATTAATCTACTTCCCATTTGGCAAACGCTAAACCTAGCGGCTCCCCTTACATATTGACAATATTGATTGTGAGAGCCAGAGAAGGAAGTACAAGCTAGCCTTGAGTCTCTTGATCCTTTAAAATTGTGAAAATGGCTATGGGTGATTGTTCCCAAGCATGGTAGCTGTTCTTCATCGATATTGCTTCCAATACTGTCGTAATAATTTCGCACGTGAGCTGTAATATCGTTGTGTTTCAATATTGATAGCTCTATCCATTTCGTTTGAGTATTTTCATAGGGTGAGCTAATGAATATTTTGTAATTGTTTTGGCCACAATGAAATGCAAGTAATTCTCCCACTTGCTGCTTGGGTATTACAGCCTTCTTGTTTGTGATCTTAGCCTTTTTCACATCTGCTGCAATGGAGTGCTCCAAAGTAAGAAAAAGGACCACAACGCTTCCGTCACTATAAAGACAACACAGAGTTTTTGAGAGTTCAAAAGTACAGGCCCCACATTTTTTTCTTTGTTCCTCTAATAATACAACATGACATGGACAAACTAAGCTATTGACATTTGCCATGTCGACTTGACAATCGGTCAATAATCCATTTCTACAGTAATATGAGAAGCCGTAGGAACTCATGATTAGCACTCCATACTTTTCTTGAGTTACCAAGATCGAAGGCCATGAAATATCTACTTACATTGTCTGAAAACAAGCATGTTGTAGTAGGATGAATGTTATAAACAGAGAAAGGCCCATTGGCAGCCTTTAGGAAAGCCTCAGCGCTAAACACTCTGGAAGACGCAGTTTTACCCAAAGAGCATGTCAGTTCTAACACAAATGTTCCTAGAAATGTATGAGGTACAGCCGGCAATGAATAGTTAGAGTCATCATGTTCTCCAACAAACTCTTGTAAAAGACCAACAATCTCTATTGTTTCTTCACTAAGGTAGCTTTTTAGAAAACTCAAGTCCACAATTTTAAACAAAGCTTTGGAACTAAATGACGACTGAGGTCGAATTTCAAAAATTTTGTTCTCTACCAAAGTAGGGAACGCATTGCTTGCTTCAAATTTAAAGTAATAAACGTATTGATTATATATCGACAAGATCACTTCAGAGTAGTTTTGTTTTTTCCTCGAACATGAAATTGGAAAAACAGTCCTCTTGTATTTTCAAAAATTCGAATTCAATTCATGAATCCATTATTGGAATTCACTTACAGTTGCTTCCTCAATTTTCTTTTCAAATTCTCTAGCATCTACTTTGTCAGAAATGTAACTAGCGAGAGAAAGACTTCCCTCATGCAAAATGGAAATCCCTTCTCTGTTCTCTATTTTTACAAGGTACCACATTAAATCATTGTCAATGACTAGCAAGTAATTGACTGCAATATTTTCGAGCTCAATGACTACAAGTTTCATAATTCTCTTAACGCCATCGAATGTAATCATGACATTTTCAAATGTATCTTCATCAGGTACAAATCGAAAAAAATGTAATTTGTTTCCCTAAATTACGAATTTCAAACATTGAATAAAGATCGGACAATGTCGGAAAACACACCTTAGACTCTACTGCATACACGAAATTGTTTTCAAAAAATCGACCACAACATGATGATGTAACAGATTGATCCTCCACCAATGGTTGAATTTCCATCCTCCTGATTTCAAACCAATGTTCTCTGTTGTATTCCGATATGAAATGTATGTACGCAAAAACCGATCCTGTCTTTGTATTTTTTTGTAAAGGTGTTGAACTCCACAAAGAAAAAATGCAAAGACTTCAACCATGCAAGCATTTGTATTCTAGTAGTAGTAGCAGAAGTATTTGGCTTCTTTTCTCGGCAGTGCAGACTACACAACAATTTTACTATTCGTGGCATCATCAGCATCAATACAATCATGCTGAGTATCATTGTCTTCTCGGAAAAGTGTCTGCAAAATTTAGGACGAGTTTTAATATCGGAAACATTCGACAAGGAAAATCTAGAGAAGAAAAACTAACAAATAACAAAGATGAAAATTCAATCACTCATGATTTATTTTCCGAAACTATTTATGCAATGGCAAGCGGATTTTCTTCAAGTTGTGCCGTTTCTGTAATTCGAGTGAGTGGTTCAAGAGCAATGGAAGTAGTTAAACGAATGACAAGACTAGACTCAAAACAATTGGAGACAAGAAGAGCCTATTATTGCTCTCTGTATGATCCAGTGTCCAAAAATTCTAGTAACATTGCTTTGAATGCTGTACCTATTGATAAGATTTTATTATTGTTTTTTAAAGGGCCAAATAGTTTTACAGGAGAAGATGTTATTGAAATACACTGTCATGGAAGTAAGGCTGTGATTTCGCATATCATGAAAGCTCTTGGTACGGAAGGAATTGGTTTTAGACCAGCTGATCCTGGTGAATTTACTAAAAGAGCATTTCTGAATAGAAAAATGGATTTGACAGAAGTGGAAGGGCTTAGTGATTTGATACATGCTCAAACAGAGCAACAACGAGTACAAGCGCTTAAACAACTGAATGGTGAGCTAAGTCATGTTGTGACAAATTGGAAAAGAGAAATGTTGAATTGTGTGGCCCACGTCACTGCATTTATCGATTTTGGAGATGACAACGGTCTTGAAGAATCAGTCATATATAGAGAACGAATATTACCCTCTGTCAAGAAATTGGCATCTGAGCTTAAATATTATTTAGATATTTCTAAAAACAGACTCGGCGAAAGACTGAGAGAGGGACGAGGAATACGTTGCGCCTTACTTGGAGCTCCCAATGCAGGCAAGTCTTCACTACTAAATGTATTAGCAGAACAAGACATTGCAATAGTGAGCGATCATGCTGGAACCACTCGGGATGTGGTTGAAGTTCAACTTGATTTAAAGGGTTGGCCTGTGACCATTGCAGATACAGCTGGGCTCAGAGAGCATACAGACATTTCATCAGACACAGAAGTAGGCAAGCATCAATTAATAGAAATTGAAGGTATGAAAAGAGCCATTAAAAAGGCACGAGAGGCAGATATTGTCATTATTGTTCTAGATTCTGAAAATTATGCAGTGACACCGCAAGAAATGTTTGAATTTTGCATGCGAAAACTTTCAGAGTATGATTTACCTGATTCCTCTGATTCCTCGCACACACCACGGACGTCAAACCATGCACAGAAAATATTTTTGGTTCAAAACAAGATTGACTCGAGGAATAGCTCAGCACAACACATGCTTCAAAAGATCTTGGACATTCCGTTATTCGCAATTTCTTGCAAAACCAAAGAGGGAGTGGATCAGTTCATTGATCATCTATGTAAAACAGTAGAAAACATTTTCACTGGAAAAGATGACCAATTCTTTTCAAAAGACATTGGCCACCAACAAGCAGAACATGCTCTCTTAATAACCAGAGAACGACACCGAGCTTCCTTTTCCAAAACGTTGGCATGTCTTGAGAGAGCTCTTCAAGAGAATGATCAAATAGAGATTGCTGCTGAACACATTCGTCAAGCACACAAAGCTCTTTGCGAGGTTACAGGAGATGTTGATTTTGAGGAAATTTTGGATGTTGTTTTTAAGGAGTTTTGTATTGGAAAATGAACGTTGAGAACCTCGATGCTAGTTCTCAATGTTGATCAGTCTTGACCTTTTTAATTTATCAATCAATATAATACACTTTCATGATATTATTATTGTACATTAATCTATTTTCTTTACATCAAATTAATCACCGAAACCTATGCCATCTCGTCGATAAAAAGTTTTAGTTTGGCCCTTTCGAGTTGCCAACAGATGGTCGTCGGAACGTTTTCCTTCCAAGAATCTCTTCTCAATGATCCATCCGATTTCTTGAGAGCTTGAAACAGGAAAGGTGTTCTTCTTCGTAGGAGACTCCTCTCTTCTTGATTTCAAATAACTTGCTCGTCCACCTCCTTCCTTCGAGACTCCTTCATACAATAACTTCCTTTGAGGTGACATGTCTCTCAATTTCTTGGTCTTCTCTTTCTCGGCATGGGCCTGAATTGATTTTAATAACATTTCCTTCTCTTCCGTAATCTTTTCAGGATGATACTTTTGTTGCCATTGTTTCCGAATAGATTCTTCTTTTTCAATGCTCTCTTGCCAGTGCTTGGAGAGAAAATTAGATCGGGCTGGTGCTGACCCTTTCTTTCCCTCAGTCATATTTTTTGTTGCAACCTAAACATCCAAAGCGAACAAACTTTCTCTGAAGGCTGTTTCATTGATTTATCTCTGTAAATATTATTTCATTAAGGACAGACAGGTCTTGAGAGGGAAGTGTCCAAGCAAATTGAGGGAGGTGTTGTGGATGAAGATGTACTCGGGCAACAATCTCGGCTTTGCACTCGGTAAATTATTTTAGATCTCTACAGGAACAAGTCCATCTTAATGGCATTGTTCCAATCTATTTATTTCCAGCTCCATGAAGCATTGTTGGTGGTTTGTTGTTGAGGAATACGTTGAGTGAAAAAGTCTGAATATTGAGGGGAGTACAAGCTTGGAGGAATTGGAGCAGACTCGTTGGCCATCGGTGTCGGATTGACAAATTTTGAATATCCCCAGTCAGCAGAGGTTTGAGATGCTTCACTTGTGTTGTTATTTTGGCTTGCAAATGTAATATTTACATTGGGAAGTAAGGCTCTAAAACTGTTCTGAAGATCAGCATTGTTGAAAACTTGAGGGTTTTGCTCTGGTTGGCTATTGTTTGTTTGTTTGGCACCTCCAAAGAATCTACTGCTCTGATGGCTTGATGGATTTGAGAGGTATGAAGGGACAGATTGCATGCTCCACATATCTGTGTTCATTGGGAAATGCTGTGCTTGTGGTGGTTGCATTTGTGGAGGTTGTGGAGTAAATTGTTGTTGTTGTTGTGTATCTTTTGTCTCTGCTGTTGTTTGATTAAAGAATCTCGAAGATGTGCGTTTTGTGTCTGCAAAGGAAGACATTGTCCAAGAATTATCAAAATATTGCTGGTAGTAAGGGTCATATCCTTGGAATGAAGCAAATAACTGTTGTACCTGTTGAGGATATCCAAAGTATTGTTGTTGTTGTTGTTGTTGTTGAGGCTGTGGTTGAGATATCTGGGTAAATGAGAAAGCTTGAGTAGGATCAGTAGAGAATGGGTTCTTAATGTTTGTTGATACATTCGCTGGAGAGCTTGATTCAACTAAAGACAATAATTTTGATCTTCCAATGCTAGAGGTCACTGCATCGGATGGAGGGTTAGGCTCAATTCCCAACATTTCCAAGGTAGGGTGTGTCTCAATAACAGAGTCATCCAATCCTTCTAGTTCAGATTTAGGCTGTATCTCTTCATTAATTTGTGTGCTCTCAATGATAGCTTGATTCTCTGTTGTGACCTCTTCCATACTATGGTCTGTGCTAGATCTGCCACTTGATGCTGCATCGGTGGTGACATTGTTTTGTGTATCTTGATTATTAGTGGTTGAGCTTGTGGCTGCTGTATCTGAACCTTCTGCTTCCTTAGCTTTGGTTGACTTGTTCTTGTTTTTGTTCTTATTCTTACTGCTCTTTTTGTTCTTATTTGTATTCTTTTTCTTACTCTTTGTTATATTCGTAGCTATATTACTTAACGAAGATAATGAAGCTGGAAGAGGGCTATTTGATGTCGTCGTAGAGGAAGAGGCTGTAGCAGTAACTGGTAAAACTGGTTGTTGACCCCAGCGAGCTGTCTTTGGAAGAATTGACTCTTTGCTATTGTCAATAACCTTTGTTGTAATGTTAGCATATTCAGTTTGAACCTCATGATCGTCGTCCACTTCCTCATCATCATCATCACCGCCGTAATAATAATCGTCAATAGTGTGATCATGGTAAGGATCATGTCTTCGACTGTTGCTTCCTGAAGCAGAGCCGTTTGCTCGTGATGATCTCGCTAATTGTACTCCTCCCCCAGCATTCACTATTGTCTCTTCAGCATATTCTTCATCTTCGTCATCTTGTATGTCATCGTCGTCCTCTGTTATTTGGTCATCGTCAATGCCATCATCATCGTCATAATGGCGAATTCCGCTATTACTTCTGCTATGAGAAGCTCCGATAGATGACTCCGATTCATCATTTGACTCATCATCCTCAGGTTCTCTATTAGAGTTAGGATACTTCCAGAAATGTTTTTCTATTGGCTGAGAATCATCATCTGGAGGGTAAAATTGAGACATCTTCTCTAAATTATGTGGAACTGGCAGGCCATTTCTTAATACAATTTCGTCCTTATTGAAAGTATCCTCGTCATTTCCATATTCATGCAGATACATACAGTCGGGATTGGTACAGGCAATACCTTTCAAAAAATATGCACAGTACTTTGTTGTTCCAAAAGATGCGCGAAGTTGTTTGCCATCAAGATAGGTCTTATCCACAGCTCTTATGGCTTTATATGCATCCTCCTTCCGAACATAGGTTATATAAGCACTAACTGTAGGAGTTCTATTCGGTGCTATGTGTGATGAATTGTGTAAATTACTCTTGTTGATGACTACTTTCTTAATTTTACCATATTTTGCGAAATTGTCTGTATGTTTTAACCAATCGTGTTTAGCAACGGAGAGTGTTAAACCAACAACATATACTAAATTACGCTGTATCACCCTGACGTTAGCTAGTTGTTTTCTGTTGATGTGTGGTTTTTTCTTTTTCTCCTTTTGTTTCTTCTCTTGTTGGATTAATTCTGGATCTGGTGGAGTAAATTCAATATTTGATTTTTCGTATTCTCTTCTACATGCTGGGCAACGTTTACTGGAGTTGTCTATCTTGTTCCAGCACCACGAACATATTTTAAATCCGCAGGGACAAGGTTGAAAATGTTTATCTGTGATATCCAAATCTTCACAGCAAATTGGACAAGTTGTGTCTTCATCGCTACTATAATCACTCATGATGATGTATTATTTTGTTGTTGATGTATATTTTAAAAATGAAATAGTTGTTGTTTGTGATGGTAATGTTGTATGAGAAAATTACTTGTTGTTGTTGATATCAACGGAAAAGCAAGGCTTCAGTGATGATGGAACAGTGATTTGTGGTTAGCGCGTGAGTAACAATACTGTGTGTGGTTAACGACAAAGTTGCCGCAAGAAATTTTTTTTTGGTGTAAAAAATCCCTCGTCCCGCTATTGGAGAACAAAAATTTATTTGCGGATTTTGTTTGTTGTTCAGAGCTGAAAGCAAAATGATATCAAGAAAGGCTTTTAGCTTTTTAAGAAATATCTCTTTGTTAAAACAAAAGACAATCTAGAAAATCTTGCTGTTAAATCAAAAGACAATATCGAATCCCGTTACTTCATGGCTGACGGCGAATTCTCAAATCAGTCTGCCGAGCTGTGTAAAAAACTTAGCTCACAAAACATATGTTTAAAATGTTTACGAGATAAGTCCTTGTCCAGCTTCTTCAGACAACTTGTCTCCACGAACAAGTAAGCGTTTTCATTCAAACAATCTTTTTGAAGGCCATCAGTCACGAGTGCAAATCCAAAAAGCCAAACATTTTTTATTGTAAACTACTGCTCAACCAATCATTATTTTTAGATATTGTATTCGTGCCAAGTTCTTTCAGCAAGGATGCAATTTAAAAACGCATTCGACACTCAAAATTGCACCAACGACAAGGATGAAAAATTTCTCAAACATCACCACCTACTCATTTTCGATATCACTCTCTCCTAAACTCGTTTTGTTCAAGTAGCTGACTTTTCATAACACCCAACATTGAATCTCAAATAACCGTAATCATTCAATCCATTACATCCTGTAATCAACATTATTTTCATTAATTTTCCAATTTCATTATTATCACAAAATGTACACTTCTGCTGAATCCGCAACTCCTGATTTCAAGTTCTTTGACGAGCATTCTCCATTTGAATTTGAAAGCCTCTTTGCTCCAACCGAAGGTCTCTTGATGAAGGAAGGAATTACTCCTTCTTTCGATGCTTCTTTGCAAACTCCAAAGAAGATGTTCCCTTCTGCGGTAGGACTCACCATCAACACTCAAGCCAACATGTTTGTTGGTCCTCAAGCTAAGCTTGTTTCTGCTGCTGTTTCTTCTTCCGTTGTGGAGAATGTTGAATCTGCCTTTGAGGCTTTGCTTGCTGATTCCTTCCTTCCTACTGAAGAGTTGTTGAACCAATTCTGTGCTCATGAAGACGCTGCTCAAAACCATCATGATGATAGCAGCACCTCTCAAGACTCTTTCGAAGAGGAGGACAGCAACGATGAAGAAGAGGACTTGAAATCAAGAAAGAAGATTGTTGCCAAAAGAAAGGATTCTAAAAAGAAGGAACACTCTTCTGTTGCTGCTGTTACTCAACATGCCACCAGTTCTGCTGATCGTGTGTGGTCTACTGTTTATGCTGATCCTTCTGTTGATTTGAGCTCTGTGATTGTCATGATCAAGACCAGAAGGGATAAACCATCCGAGTACCTCCCTGAAAAGATGTATTCTTCTCTAAAGTATGAGATTATTCAAAAGGCAAAGGGAGGTCTTTTGAAGAATGTACCTTTGCTCTTGTGCCGTGCTAATGTGGTCGATGCAACTACCTTTGAGGAAATTAAAAAGAAGAAGCCTGTATTGAAGGGTAGTATTGAATCTGCATTGACCAAAGAACCAACCAACAAGAATGCTGATGAGTTTGAGTGCAAGATGAAGGTCCAATTTGATTTCTCCTATCACCAAGATAAGAGATTGGTCGCTCTTGAATTGAAATATTACTTGAATGACAAATTGGACCAACCAATTTTGATTAAGAGATCTTGTCCTCTAAAAGTGTATGCACGCAAACCAAATAAGACCAAGAGAAAGAGAGAAGAGGACAAGGAAAAGAAGTTGAAAAAACTTAAGGAAAGTCAAGAGAAGGACTTTCAAGATTTTGCTGGTCAACTTGAGAAATGTTTTGAATTGGCCAACAAATTTGCTGGTGATGAGAAGAAGCGTGCAATGTTTACCATCATGCAAAAATTTGCACATTGCTTTGGATCTGATGCTACTGTGTTTGATGACGTGAACAATCACCAATCAAACACCTCTATCTTCACTGACAGTGCTTCTGAAGGTGAAGATTTCTTTTGAGGAACAATACGTGTTAACCACTACTTGTTCTTCAATCCCTTAACGGAGTTGTAGCTGGCACTCTGCCTCTCAATTCTGTCTTCCTTCTTGTAGAAGAAGGAAACCCCTTGACTCCAAACGAACCATTCTTTGACCTACTGTGTTGTTGTGTTTGTTATCTTGTGCTTTTTGATATCGTATTGCGAGGATTTCATCGTGATCTTTGCAACGTCGTTTTTTTCTAACTCGGTAAGTTAATAAGGTGGCGTATTTCTTTTAAAAAGGTACGTTGTAGATTCCCTGTATACAAGGTAAGTTTCTTTGAATTGGGCTGGCTTGTCCTTTCATGAGTTGTGCAAGGTAAGTTACTTGCAAACGTTTGTGCAACAATAAATTCCATTCTTTCAAACAACACTTTCTTGTTCTCATCTCTCATGATAGTCACAAAAGAAGAATCAGCAAGCGAAGGAACATACGAGTGACAAGCGTTGGAAATATTTACTAAAAGTCCATCCATTCTTTAAGGTAAGGGCAACCTTTGGGATTAATGTCACCGTTTTCTGTACATTGATCAAAAACAGGGCATGTGGAGCAAGGAATATCCACAAATGCATTTTCCGTAGACACGCTCGACAATGCAACTCGGTACAGTGGTTTGTCTCCAGTGTGACTCACGTCAATTACTTTTTCTATAAAACCATCATAAACTAGAGTATCAATTATTTGCTGCATGTCTTCCACTCCCAAATCAACGTGATCAATGATTGCCATAGATTTAATGTGTTCTAGCACTTCATGAACTCGCTTCGGTTTCTTTTCAAGGTAATTGATAGTTTCTGTTCGAAGCTTGTCAATGAGCTCTGAATGAAACTTTCCATCGACATACCAAATTCCTCCAGTTATCTCTCTACTAGGTTCAATATGAGCAGCAATATACACAATTTGAGTTCCTTTCTTTTGAGTAATATCTGAAATTTTTCTAATTAATTGTTTTGATTCAAGTGTTTTCAAAATCTTTTCTAAATCCTTTTCATTCTTCTTAGCTTTCTTTGCAATTGTCTTTTTCCAAATACCTTTGTTTCCAGCACTCTCCACTATTTGATAAATACCTATTTGTTCGTCGGTCAAGCCTTTAAATTTTACAGATTCTTCTTTTGAAACATAATGAAAGATCATATTCTTTCCATATTTAAAATGTCGAATTCGTCCTTTTTTATGCAGCTCATTTATACTTTCCATGAATACCAATTGATCGGGAAACTTTTCTTTTAAAATGACATCGGTCAGACCCTCCTCGCATTGCTTTAATTCTTCAAGAATTTGTTTCATGTAATTTGGTAGTAATTTTCGTTGTTCATCCGTCATTGGTTTCCGAACGGGTTGTGCTGAATCAATGAGTGTTGATGCTGATGGTGTCGACCCCGATGATGAAGCTTTTGCTGCTGATGGGACGGATGTTCTTTTCATTTTTTTTTTGAGTGAAATTGTGATTCAATTCTTTCAATCGTCGTTTTTGTTCATGCAGTTTTTTGAAAAAAGTTGAGTGCCTCAGAAAATTATTTATTATCATATTCATTCAAGGTAAAGAACGATTGCGTGCCTGATAAGTGTTGTGAAAAATGGGATTGAAGAGAATGGAAAATAATTTCAGCAATTTTGTCATATCCTTCAGGTGTGAAAAGAAGGTCATCACTCCAGTACTTTTGAATGTCTTGAGGTGTTGAACTCAAATAATAGAATGGAGTGGTGATATCTACATAAATTAATCTTTTTGAGTTTTTTCTATTCAACATTGAGTTAAATTCATTGACATGGTGTTGAATCATTTCATTGGTTTCAACTTTTTTGGAGAGAATGTTCATGTTGACATCTTTTTTTGATGATGGAATTGAACATATAGCAACCCAAGAAACACTTGGTTGTTGTAAACATTGTTCACTCATGTCCTTAATAGTATTGACAATTGTTTCACTTGTCAGATTCGTATCTAAATCATAGGTTCCTGTCATTATTATAACTCCTACATAGTCCTGTATCGGTAGTGCATATATCCTTCTGGTATGTTATCATATCCTTGTCTTGAATGTAAACATTGATCTTCGTAAATATTTTGTAACTGCAAAAATCGTAACAATCGTTGTGTAAGAGAAAAAGTTGTCTCTTCAACTCTTCCAAATTCATAGACTTTGCATTTTGGGAGAGTTTTAAATTTTTCATTAATCAACGTAGTTAATGCAACTGAGAAGGGATGAAATCGTATTTCAGAGTTAGTTCCCATATTGGATCGGTAACATCCTTTACAGATAGAATCACCGATGGCTAGTATCGGAAATATAACATCATGATCAAAGTTCACCTTGTTGGGATCTAATTCCGTACGCTGAGAAAAACTAAAATCTGTGTTACTACTATTGGAATTGGACAACGAATGGTGTGAATTTCCCATGATGACGATGATGAAGATTGCGAGTGAACGGAGGCAATTTTTTGTCACAGACCCAACTGCTTATTCGAACACGACAAGTTGTCGTGCATACAGGGAGAGCTCCTTATTTGACTTTTTTCTTAATTCTTAAGCCATGCGTAAGGTGAACAACCTTTACGTCCCTATCATTGGTTGCATTTTCCATCAAAAAATTGTTGTCTTTCAAGCCCAATTGTGAGAATCAATTGATCCCTCATCATGCTGATGCTGATGAAAAAACGGAAAAATTTATTTGAATTATTATTGCTTCCTCATCGCAACACTCTCCGAAGCTATGGCCTCTTCTTGCCTGGTCTTCGTTACCCAACAACCTCCTACCTTTGTTTGAAGCTTGTTAAAAACAAATACGCCAATTTGGTCAGTACTTCTTTCGGAGCAAAAGAAAACAAGCCTTGTTGGGTACTACTTGATTACTTGGCACCATCATCGGGCTTCATCACCACTAGTAACAACAACAACAAGAATAATATTCGGTATTTTACAAGCAAGATGGCTTCGAATGACCCTGTCGGAACTAGTACTGTAATAGTGCAACGAGTGAATGAAAACAACATTTCCGAAAAGGAGTACATCGGTTCTTTTTGGAAAACACAATTACCTCAACAATTAATGAAAGGCATTTGGGACACAGAGAAGGACTTTTCAAGAATACCGTATCATCTCATTGATAACATGTATCATTCAGAAAGTGGATTATACAGCGAAGGCTGCTGGCACAATTTCGTGATGGGACTCAATTTATGCCAAATGATTGAACAACAAGAACACGAGGAAGAGGTTACTAAATTTTGTAAGGAGCATGCATTGGAGGAAAAACTTGCTCGATTGTCTCAATCTGTTTTCGCTTTGAATTTTGATAGGGATCAACACTTGTTTTTTCAGAGACAACCCTCAGGAATTTGGCAATCAGCTGATGAAAGTGAAATGCAAGAGAGAAAGGAATTTTGGAAAACTAACAAGGATGAAAAGAAGCTCATCAGTAATGCAATGGGGTTGATGTTTTACAGTACAATTTCAAAACATGGAAAATTTTTGCCACAAGACTTGGATTTGAACAAATTTTGTGAGAGCATCATGAGTCACTTTTATGACAAGGCAAAACAGTTATGGAAAACAAAGATTAGTTCAGTAGAAGGATATGAGGTTGAGACACAACATTACCGACTCGTAGACCATGCAATGCTGTTCTTGGCATTCTCAACGTTTGTTTCGCATCCATCTGTGGAACCTAACCTTAAGGAGAGACTATTGCAAGCTATCGATCATATTTTAGAGATTATTCTTAAACGATTCAACGTTGAAAATTTCACAGAGCGTATTACTTATTTAGATGCTGATTTGACACGTCATTCCAAGAGATTTTTGTGGCAAGATTGTTGGCTAGTGCTAGCTCTAATCAAGTCAGGAAAATGCATTGAACAGCTTCCATCCATGGTGCAAGAGTTATACAATGAATATGTCGATATTGAGACTGGATTTTTATTCAGTGAAGCCATTGGAGCTGTCTCTGATCCAACCACTGTTAAAACAAAGACCGTGAACGACAAGGTGAGGAAATTTTCTCCAATCACAGGTCAAATGTACATAAGTTTCATCAACGACAATGCTCTCTTTTTACTAATACTGAAATGTAGAGAGACCTACTGTTTTGATAATGACAGCATTTTACAATTAGACTCTCTTTTCAAAAAGTTTGAGGAATCATTTCATAGATACATTGAGCAATCCAAGGTTAAAAAAGGCATCTCTGATATGGGTGCCCAAAGATTACTCATCTCAGATTATCTGATCAGAGAGGGTTTATGGGCAAATAGTGAGACTCTATTTTCATTACTTTCACCATGCTCCTTTTTCTCACATCATAAATAATATTGCAGTACTGTTCAAACGAGCTTCTTTGATATTGAACGACGTGACTATGACTCGTCCAGCCAATTTTCTGGGGAGGAATGTCCCTTGTAATTCTTTGAAACATCGACAAGGCTTCCAATACATTATTAAACTTCACTTTTCATAGTTCAACTCTTAAACGCGTGATCTCACTGGACACAAGTTCCAAGTGACCAAACTCAAAAAAAATTCACCACAAGGTTCTGCAGGTGTTTCCGTGTTGCCGCTTGAACTTTTGAAACGCAGTACATAATACTCATTCAGTACAACCTGTGTACGGCAACATACAGATATACTATCGAATTGGCTCGTAAGAAGAGGAATATACTTCGGATCGCGGATTCCTCTTATTTCAGAACGACAAGTCCAAATCGACATCTATTCGCCATCATCATTATAATTCTCTCAAATTATTGGCAAGATGGCTTCTAGGCATCGTGATTTCAAAATCAAAGCATGGCCCATTGTTTCTCACACTTCCAATGATCAGAGAGCCGAGACCGATGTCTTGTGGCCACTAATTCGATACGAGCGAAATGGAACAAAATCCAAGTTCAGCATTAGACCTTTTCTCTTCAAATTCGAAAGAGATTCCGCATCCCATGAATTTTCCATCATGTTTTTATTCTATAGCATCTTTTATAAGGTCGCATTTGATACGACGGTCACATTGTTGCTGCTTCCTCTGTTGACATTTCATCGCAAGAGCAAAGAATATCAATTAACAGTGATACTTTCAGGTTTATTATACTTTTTACATGAATCATTTGTTAAAAAGGCCAAAACACTAGCATTCTTACCACTCATGTATTTCTTGAAAGAGCAGCAGATAGGAACTCCTGATGCTGTCACATTTCAAACATTTCTATTTCCTTTCTTTTGGAGATTTAAAAGCAAAGTAACCAAAGTAATGCTCGTACTTCCGTTATACTTTTTCTTTGAAAATGATAAGTTCTATATCAATCAAATGTGGCCATTTCTTGGAACTCAAAGAAGACCTGGAAGATATGTTGAATATTCAATATTATACCCTCTTTTCAGAGTTAGAAAAGGTGCCAATACCTTTACATTGCATCTTCCTTGGCCTTTTTTGAAATTACAAATAGCTCCAGAAAAGATTTCATTCAGAATGTTACCAGTGTGTTGGATTAGAGTGTTGAGAAAAGGTGGATCAAGAGGTTTTGTTTTCTTTTTCTATTGGAAGCACGTCTCTGTAAACAATTACACAACATTTGAACCACCAAAATTCACATTTGGCATTTGGGGGCTGTTACACATCAAAATTGCAAACGGCACAGAAAACAAGGGTCATCACATATTTTGGATATTTATGCTGCTTTTTTATAGAAAGACGAGTAGCTATAGATATCTATTCTTGACTCCATTATTTATGCATCACTTGACTTACCAAGAAACTTACAAGGTGTTTACAAGAAAAATCTTCTTAATGCCCGTATTTTACTTTTCAGACAAAGTGGACTCGTTATCTCGCAAAGAAAGTTTCGTCACAGTCTTTTTACTATACTGGTACAATTGTTCAATCTATAAGGTATCACATCACATATTCTTGCCATTCTATTGGTACTTCCATGACAACTCCATCCAAAATATTCATGATAGAAGAGTATTCGTTTTTCCAACTCTTACCTATGGAAGATGGCTCAAAGCTAAACGAGAAGAAGATGTTATTCAACATGAGACAGTCTTAAATTGTTGCTACTTGTTGTATTGGCATAGGTGTACAAAAGACAAGCATTTTAGAGTGTGGCTGTTCTTAGTATTTTACTACTCTGACATTGTTGGTGTGAAAACATTCCTTCTCTCTCTTATTTTATATATTAGACGTGAAAAGGACAATAATCGTATATTTATATTATTCATTTATTCGAGTTTCGTACGAAAATACCGATACAGTTTGAAAACTTATCCATTGTTCATGTGGATTAAGTATGAGAAATTTCACAAAGTGAATGACCAGGAAGAACGCACAGATTATTGTCATGTATTCGTCTGTGGACTTTTTGGAAGATTTAGAGATGTAGTTGGTCGCTCTTCTTTCTTATGGATCGTACCATTGTACTTTTCATCGGTTAACGAAATGTATCAATCATCAGAGAGATTTGGATCCCTATTGTTACTTCCTCCATATTTCTATCATTCAACGGATCAAGGAAAGGTTGAAACAAGTTTTGTGCTCCCATTCTATATCTACAGATCTGATTGGAAATACATGTACATTTTCCCATTCTTCTTTGTAAGAATGGACAGAACTAAGAAATCCGTTCATTTACACTTTATATTTGATGTATCGATTGATTCAGAGAAGAATGAGTATCTATTCAAGTTCTTGTACATTCCCAAGACGAGATATAGTTTGGTTCAAGCAGATTGTTCATACGTAGGAAGAAAGGGAGCGTCTAGCTTGAAGAGAACACGATTTTTCATATTCCCACTCTTCTACTATCAAAACCGTGCATTAGAAACTCCAGATTTGGACGACAAGAATCGAAGGATTGAGGCACCATTAATAACTATTTCCTTAATATGGCTATTACATAGCATGTGTTTAGGCAAGATCATCATTGATAAGAGAGAATTGGTGAAATCCTTCTACCTAATGCCATTGTTTTATATTAGAATTGATCGAAATAATCAAGTCGTATCTGCACAGCGAAATGGTCAATATTTATCCTTTTCACTTTTATATTTGGTGGATGAAAAATTTGCCTTCTTCCGTTATAGTCGACTCATCACTCCCAATACTCACAACTCGTCGATATTTTTATTCCTTTTATTCTTTTCGAGTGTGAGAAATTGGTGGTCTGGCTCGAAAGATTCGTTAGTACTTCAAAACGATCACACTTTTGCGTTATTTTGGTTTTACAAGCCAGAATATTCATTGATTTATTTGAATCGACAATTTTCCACTGCAGCTTTCTATTACTTTTGTTTATATGTATTTCCTCTATTTTGGTATGATGTGAATCAACAATTTGCTCCAAACGAAGATTACACAGAAAAGAACTTGTCCATTTTATGGTTCATTTACAGGAGAGTTGCATTATTCAATCGATGGATCTCCTACAAGACAGAAGCAAATTCCAGCTCCAATATTCTTTCAAGCACTGCCACTACATTCTTGTTCCCAATTTATTACCGATCCATTACTGATGCACACAAAGTGTGGAAATTTTTGTGGCTGCCAGCCTATGACACCACTGGATTGTGTATTGTTAATTGGTTCGTCAAATATGATGCTTCTTCTACAACATTTGTTCCAGTTCAGAATAGAAAAGTTGCGTCAGAACGATATCACTTCCTTCCAATATTCTACAGAGAGCTTGAATATGACCTTTCTGCAGCTGCAAATATCACGTTAAATACCTCTACACTGACAGTGAGCACGAACGATACCTCTATGGTTATTACCGGTTCCCCATTGAAAAAGGCAATACGCAAGGTCAATTATTTCTGTTGGATTTTCGATCGAAGATTCTCATGGATCAGAGTTTGGAGTTACAAGACATCCAACATTCAACAATATGGATTTTACATATTCTTGCTCATTCTCATGTCATCCTCAGCTCGTCAAAATACCTTGAAGAGAGTATTTTGCTTGTTTTGGGCATTCACAAAATGGTTCTCTTTCTTCCATCATTGTGTCGAGTGTTCTGGCTCACCAGTTCTTTCACACAAACCTTCAGACTATACCTCAACTTCAACCAGAAATTTCACACTTGGACTTCACTTTTATAGAAAGGATGTATCCAATGATAACCTTCGCTTGAAAGAATTTTACTTGCTGTGGTTCTTCCACAAGTATGCCTCTATTGTAGCTTATTGGAATTACATTTATCCAAATGCAAGCGAAACTGGAACCTATTTCTTCCCTCTCTATATTTGGAAGAAGGAATGTTTCGCTTCAAAAAGAGTCAATTCTTGGTCATTGTGTTGGTTCTTCCACAAATATGCAGCCATATTCCACAGAAGTACTATTTCATCAGATAGAAAACCTGGAGGCACATCGGTCGGCTCAACGATGGATGATTTCAATCATCAAAAGTTCATTACCTTTTTCGTTCCATTATTTTTCTTTACCAACGACAATAATGAGACTAGAAATCTTGCCATCTTTTGGTTCTTTATTCAACGAATTAGATTCATTGGCGTTTGGAAATCTTCCAAGAACTTGGGCTTTTTTATTTATCCATGGGTATTCTATGAAACTGTGAACAGTGACATTAGTAATTATTCATCTCTTTCATTGATTTATTTGGTTCAAAAATATGCTGCTATATTCAGTTATTCATATTACAAGAACACGAATACTAACAATTACAGATCTACGCTGTATTTGGTCCCATATTTTTTCCGAACTTTCACAAAGGATGCCAACGATAGAAAAAACAACATTTACCTATTTTGGTTCTTCTACAAACGTATTGCAATGGCACATTACTGGAATGAAAAACAGTTAAGTTCTGGCTCCAATTCTGAATCTGGTTTCTATTCATTCCCACTCATTAGATATACCAATGAGAAGTGTGGCACCAATGAGACCAAATTTAATCTTTCCTTATTATATTTCTTCCATAGATTGTTAGCTCTCATTCACTACTCGAATCATATTTCCGGAACCACTTTAACACGAAAGGAATCCATGTTCTTTATTTTCCCTCTTTATATTCATTTGAATTTAGATGATGAAAATTTCAAACTCACTCACACCAAATGGAGTGTATTTTGGCTCTTTTATTACAAACTCGCGTTATTGAGATTTTGGAATATCATTACGTTTTTAAATGCTCCAACAACAACAACAACAAGCAGAGGAGAAGGAGGACAATCCAATACTCGTGTGAGAAATTGGAAAGAACCAATTCTTAATCAAGATTGTTCCTTCTTTATTTTCTGCTTGTATTATTTCACCAAGCAGATTGAAAACAAGTTAAAATCTGAGATGGGACATTATTTACTTTGGGCGCTGTATCATAAATTGTGTATCATCAAACTGTCCTTGGAAACAGAATCAAAACCTGCAGTCGAAGCAGATCTTGGTGAAGATTACAACAATTCATTCTATATATTCCCACTTGTGCTATGGAGATCATCAAAGAATAATTCCACTACAGAAAGATATGTTGCATTGATTTGGATATTCCACCGATTGATTTCACTGTTTTATTTCTGCAAATCGAATTTTGGCTCCACCACTTCATCCATTCTTGCTACAACCACAATTACTACAAATTCTTCGTTCAGTACCTCCAATCCAACTGGAAAGGATACCAAGATTACAACCTTCTTATTACTACTTTTCTTCTACTCGAGTGATACAAGGGTCAGTGAAAAGAAATGGTCTCTCTTGTGGCTCTTTGCAAGACAATTGAGTATGGTTCGATTTTCGAGATCACTCAAGGAAGGGCGCAAGTTATTGAAATTCTTGTTATTCCCATTCTTCAAGTATGAAAGATGGAGTGCTCATCACTCACGTTGGTGTCTCATTCCGTTTGTTCCTATCAAATTCTCGTGGGTGGCCAACTTTGTGGTCTATGAAAAACGAGTCAAGAAAGTTGGTGTCATTCTTGATGATGGAAAGGAAGATAAGAGGTCAAGAGATCAAAATAAGATTGTTCGAGTGTTGTATAAGGTAATTGTTTGGCAATTTGTGGATCAAGTCAAAACTCTCGAAATCAACCCATTCTTTGCAAGTGAGCATGATTACACAGATGGATACAAGAGTTGGGATATTTTAGGTGGATGTATTGGTAGAGTTAACAACTCACCAGAGCATGGTGATGCTTGTAGAGTATTTTGTTGTTGTTTTGTGTAACTTGAGGAGCTCAACAATTTCTCAACAACTCCGAGGGCCCTTTCAAACCTGCAGCCGCAGCAAACAGCCGTTCAGCCAGGATAGTCCTCGCTGCCGAAATTATTTTCAGATGCAATCAACAGAATCCTTTGGCATCCGGTTGAAACAGGATTTTTGCGGCTGAGATAGGATTTCGATCAGGTGATCAGTTTATTTTGCTTACTAAAAAACCGTTCTCCACAATGACGGTTCTTGGAAACGAAGTAAATTCCTCATAATATTGTGTAAAATCTTTAGAAACGTCTATCAATCTGCAATCTGCTTCATTCACAACAAAAGTTTTCATGAAAAATCTAAAAGTATTGAGCTCTCCCATTTTAGTATCTCTTCGGTATTCCCATTTGATAGAATATAAATAATCTTCTCCTTCCCATCCTGGCAAAGGTTTTTTGTTCTTCTTAGTCCTTTTTGTCCACTGTTTGATTTGCTTAATTTGGCAGATGAAGACATGATTGTTTTCATCTAATTGGAGAACATAATCACCAATACTTAAATATTCGGAATTGAGAGTCTGATTTGCTTCTGGTTTTTCAATTTGTTCTTGAGAAGTCAGTTGAGAATAGAGTGGCCATGAGAGGGAGTTTGATTGTTGTGAGATAGTGTTAGGTTTTCTCTTATCGAACCTTCTATATCTCGAAACATCACAAGAAGTTTTGTGACTAAATGTTACTTGACGTATCAATTGTTGTTTGTGATAGATAATTCCTCCAATGGTGATATGTGCATTGGATTGTTTGTTTTTGAAATTTTGCAGCATGTTGTGTGGTTGATGTGTTCTGTTCCATTGCTGCTCCAATTTATCGAATTCCACAATATCATTATTCGAATATTGTTTCAATTTGAATTCTTTTGTAAGTAAAACTTCAATACCAGGTATATTCAAATTAAACAATAGAGTATGAATGGTTGGAGCTTCATATTCAGCATCTGAAAGCATGGCAAAAGTGCGACATGCTCTTTCAAATTCACCAATAACAATATAATTAATATGTTCTGGTGATGGGAAGCAACAATAATACTCATATGGTAATCTTGTGGATTGATCTTTCTCTTTGTTGAATTGTAAGCCAACAATTAAGGCACTTAAAAAATTATTGAGAGCATTCAAGAAATTTTCAGCGTTCAGATTGGTGTTGGAGCCACAATGTTGTCGAGCCACTCCATAAAAATTCTCGATCATATATTCTTGCAGTTGAAAAGGCAAATACTCTGTTGTTGGGTGATGATTGAACTCTATACATTGTCAAACACAAACCGATCATTAATAACAACAATAATGGATAATGACAATTTATCTACCTTGAAGTCGAACTAAATTGACTCATCATCATCTTCGATGTCAGTATTGTTATGATTTGTTTCTTTTTCTTTGAGGAAGATGCGAGCGATTCCACAAAGCTCTTTTGTTATGAACATTTGTTTGACATCATCTTCAGTCACAATCTTGTTTTTACGTGAAATCTTTGGTTTGGATTATCATTTTCGGGTTGCATTCGGAAAGAAATCACTGCTTTGATGATGGATTTTGGAAGTGCAAATGACATGATCTCTTCATCATCAAATAAAAGTTAGAACAAGCAATGCTTCTGATAGCATTTTCTTCAAAAATACGTATTACTGAATTGATGTCTGATGGTGTGAATTTTATATCGGTAAGATAGTCATAGAGAAGATGAAGATCAGAATTCGTTTCGTGGGTGTAAGTTGATGTGGATTGGTTGTCTAGCTCCACATTTGAATTCATTTCGTTCAAGGATAACATGCCAAAGCTTGTTCGGAATTGTTGTTGTTGTTGCTGTTGTTTTGCATTTTTATTGTTAAAAATTTTATTCGTTGTAAAGCCAAAAACAACCGCCAAAATCCGTAATCATCCGGATTCTGGAGGATTCTGGATTTCCACAAAGTTTGGGAAGTCAGCAGGAGCTGGCAGCCGTCCTTTTCGGCTGTTTGCTGCGGCTGCGGGTTTGAAAGGGCCCTCACAACTCCATTAAATTTTATTAATTTCTCCGAATATGAGCACTCTCTTTCCCAATCTCTCTGAAAGTGTTTGTTGAACATATTGCTGATATTCTTTGGTTTGTCGTTTCAGCTTTTCCAAAGTAGGTTGTTGCTTTTTGATTGAGGAATTAAGAGAAATGCGCTGAGAATCCACTGATTCCAAATTGGATCTCACTTTGCTCATGATTTCAACCTTTTGTGTCAATGATTGCACTAAACGTTCCACAAATTTCTTGGAAGTCTTGATGAGAACAAGTTGTTTAAAGTGTGGATTGTTGAGTGTAGCAATAATGTTGGCAACTACTTTTTTAAATTGCGACAACTCATCCCTCGAGAGTGATTTGATCGCTTGAGGAGCATTTCTGAAAATGTCTGCTTCCAATGTAGAATTTCGAGAGGTTTCAACAAGTCTTTGTTGGATGAAGGCATAGAGTTGGAAAATGTTACTGGAAAATCGTGCTCGTATGTCCTCTGAATCAAGGAAAGATCTCATCTTCATTTCTGCTACTGCTTGATTGTTCTTTTCATTGTCACTATTAGATACTTGTGATATACTAGTAGTCGTGTCATCCATAGAAAATCCTTGGTCTGTACTAAAGTCTCCAAAGTCTATTTCCAGCTCTTTCTCTTGAACGACATCATCAAATTTGATTTCAACTTCTTTGTTTTCTTCAATGTTGGTGTCCCATTGAATTTCCAAGTTGGTATTATCTGTTGAAAAATCGCCAAAATCAATTTCTGGTTCTTTCTCAACGTCATTCTGCTTCTTGGATTCTTCTTCTTTTAAAAGCTTACCAATTAAGGTTTGAACTTTGTCTTCGTCATACTTTGGTAATTCTTCTTTGTTAAAAGACTTCCAATCATAAAGCGACAAACTTGGCATGGTTCCACTGTACTGAGCGTCCATATTGGACAAGATAAAATTCAAAAGTGGCTCAGAACAGTTTTGCTTGTTAATAAATAGGGTAAATTGTTCATAATAGTCTACAGCTTTCTTAAATACAGGATCACGGCATGAGTCAATAATTTTTTCGTATAGAGATGGTAATTCAAAAACTGCTTTCTTAATTTCTTCTTCCATGTCAATACCGACGCTACTTCCCAAAGAGGCAAATTCAATAACTCTGTCCACCTTTTCCTTGTTAATTGAAAGCTTTTCACAAGCCTCTGCAAATTCCCTTTTTGTCAACTCGAGTGATCTCTTCCAGTCTTCCTCTTTCTTATCAAGACTTTCTAATTGATTTCTTAATGTCAAAAGTGAGCTCGCTACTGCAGGTAATTCATACTTTACATTTTGGATCATGTAACCAGAAAGTTCAGCCAAATGAATGGATTTGCTTTCGTATGACTGTAATACATGTTTCCATAATTTAAGTCGTTTAGAGCCTCCGACCAAGCCAAACAAAAAGCCACTTCCTTCAGAGGCGTCTGCCTTTTCCAAAACCTGTACAATTTGTTTGGTCAAAAAGTAATCAATACGAGACACCTCATCTTGTTCTTGGGACTCTCTTGCTTCTTGTTTGATTTTTGCAATTAATTCAGCCACTGGTTGTTCCTTCTCCTTTTGTGTGTCCTTCAGCTCTTCATGTCTTGATATCAACTCATTCCAAGCATGTTTAATATATGCTCTAATTTGCTTCAAAGGTTTTACGTAATCGGAAGCAAGAAAGCTTCTATCTACCAGCCAATCTTTTAACTTTTCATAATTAATATCAATTGTTTCAATCGGAGTATATTGTTGTGGTTTTTGTTGAGTTTGTTGTTGTGTTTGATTGATTGTAAATTCCTCTTCTTCTTGATTATTTCTAATCCCAGGAGCCAATGTTGTTGGTTGCTTTTGATCCGATGATGAAGCCTCTTCTTCAAAACTGAACATTTTTTTGGTGTTTTAACCTTTCAGTCACACCAATACATACATTTGATAAACCTCTAACCTCATGAGGCTCACATGTAACCACCTTTGGGATGACCAAAAGAGCACCCTTCATTCTTGAGGATCACGTATTCATCATCATCCTCAGGTTTTTGTGAGCCCACAACAACAAGAAAAATGCTCTTATCGGATCAAGGCATGACTTCCAACAATCATCACACGGATTCGATCAATGAATCATCATCCAGTACGACTCAAGCCACTAGCTCCTCCTCTGCAGATTCTCTTCAATCTTCAAAAGGATACAATAGCAGCCGAGGTAATCAGCAACAATCATCATCATCGTTATCGGATGGTGGAGGTCATGTCAATTCATCATCCAATACCGATGAGGAAGGACATCATAGCTACGTGAAACGATCCTCTTCAAAATATGACTTTGTCAAAGTCCGAGTTGGATTAGAAAATCACTATTACATTCTTTCTCGGTTTATCGTGAGCAGAATTTTGACCGTTATTCAAGTCAAGTACAAAGACTCGATTAAAATTGCTTTGGAATTGAAAAAGACACTGGTGGATTTAAACTTGTTAAATATTCCTCAAGAAGAATTAGAAAAACAATTGTTTGATATTATGAGAAAATATGGGTATGGAGATCAAACGATCACACGATACAAACTCATGTCTTTGTTTCATCACAAACGTATACCTTTACTGATATTAGTGTTTGGAACAGGTTGTGTTGGTAAAAGCACACTCGCCACTCAGTTAGGAGAAAGATTGAACACTCCAAATGTTGTACAGACCGATGTAGTTTTAGATCTCATTAATTCATTTAATTTACATAGCAGCAAGAATGCCAAATCGTACGAAAAACAAATTCCTGTTTGGTTTTCAAAGTTTCCAGACAAGAAATCGTTTTTAACACAATACAAGGAACAATGTGTATTTATGAAAAAAGCGTTGCAAGGAGACATTGAAAAGTGCTTTGGTGACGGTAAATCATTAATCATTGAGGGCAGCCATATTGACCCAGAAATTTATAAGGACATGTTTGAAACTTACATTTCAAATGACAATCAATCTGATAAGAAGGAAGGCATTATCATACCATTTTTCATATCCGTCTCTAACAAGGAAGAACATGAACTGTTTTTTGAGCAATGGCTTTCCAAACGAGAGCATGATATTTATGACAGCCGTACTCACACATTAGGAACCAATTTTGATGAAAAACTGCAAACTCTCTCCGAAAACTTTCAATACATGCAAGAATATTACGAAGAAAGCACCACAAATATGCCTTATATCCACAAGGTGGTCATTAATCACAGAAGACTTGATGAAACACTTGATACTCTCCATAATTGTGTTTTGGATAGAATATTCTCTGTTGTTGAAAAAATCAAGGAATAAAGAAGACTTTTAGTTGATTGAATATTAACCCTCTAATCTTCGAATATCTTTTCTGCTTAGATAATTTGTAGTTTTCGCAAATCCTTGATTAGTTAGCGTTTCGTGTGACAATTTAACTTGATGTCCTTATTCAGTACTACAAGTCAATACCGTTTCCAAACAAGTGTTATTTCTGTCTAGCAATTATTATTGTCTCGTTACGTTCTTGGTTTTCAAATGTTAAGAATTGCTCCAAAATTGTTTTCAATACTCATCTAATTGTGCATCCCTAGACTGTGACATGTATGATCTTTCACAAACCAAGATTGACAATGCCTCTCATTGGAGAGACATATTGCTTTGTTGAAACTTGAATGTTTCCAAGAGAAGGCGTGCTATTCCCATTCACCAACTTGTACGATTGATAATGACTTCTCCTCAAACTAACTTTCCAATACATAATCAGAGAATAGATTAATGACAATATAAGTCCAATTCCAAGCCATTTCAAAATCCCTTTCACTGTTTTGGGCACATAAACAGTAATAGTTTTGAATTTCAATAAATTGTTATCCAAAGCTTTTCTGAACATGCTTGATGTTTCACTTGTTCCAACAGAAAATTCTAATTCATCCAGATGTTTCAAACAAACTTGTTCAAAAAGGAAAGCGTAGTAGGATTCATTAGGTCCGTCTAATTTCATCTGTTGATAGGTTACAAAAAATAATTTCTGTTGAAGCATAATTCTGGGATCACTTACATCTTCGTCTTTCATGTTGGCAATTAAATTCAGTAATTGATTCAAGGGTTCTGTTCTAAATTTCCGATCCAGCCATTGCTTTCTGTGTTTAAGGAGTGCAAACATGGAACGTATAACATCTCTTCCCCCATCATCACTGTGATCAATGTTTTACAAATTGCAAGTTCCGATTTTTAAATCTCATTAAAAAAATTCCCAAATCAATTCACCAACCTTTCATTTCCACTAGTCATTTCCATCACATGTTTTGCTGTTTTTCCTAGAGGTTTGTGTTGAACATTTCTTCTATTGCTCCGATGGAGAGCCTGTGAGCTACTCCGATAAGACATTTTTTTCGAAAGAAATAAAAAGTCACCACTTAACTTTTTCCTTGTGTTGTCACTTCTTTATGACCTTGCACGGTGTTTTGCAATAGTTAATAATTGTTGAACATAATTCAAATATTTTCTTCTTTAAAATTCGATACAAATAAACTCCCCAAATGGCAATAATTTTTCATGCATCTCAAAAAAACTCAAAAATGTCTCTTCGTTACCTTCAATTACCTTTCACACACCAAAAAAAATTATCCAAACATCAAGTCAAATAACCACACCCACTCGGGACGAATCTCACATGTCTTCCACTGCTGCTGCTGATTTCATCATTGACTTTGGAAGTTTCACCACAAAATATGGTCTTCCACTCGATGAAATTCCCTTCGAATTTCACACCATTGTTGGACAATATGAAATGCAAGGTTTCTCGGGAATGAGCAAGATATCATGTGGAACCAAAGTACTTCAGGAAAAGTCGATTGGAAACTTTAGATTAAAAACATTGAGCCCAATGGTGTCTCGTGGAACGTTTAATGGAGATTCTACTCTCAATATGGAAACTTTGTTTAATCAAACATTTCGTTCCTTGTACACTTTGGAAGATGCCAAATATTCTGAACAGAGTTTGAAAGAGAAACGGTTGAATGTGACATTGGCTGCTGTACAGTCGAGTCAATCTGTGAGAAATCTCACACAATTAATATTTGAAAAATATGGAATTCAAAGTTTGCAATATTTCACACCTACGGAAAATATTTCAAGCGTGACCAAGCCAACAACACTTGATAGTGCAGAGCATTACATTCTTGAAATGGGTCATGGTCTTACTCAGTTGGCAAAATTGAATTCAAATGGAGCTCCAATATGTCACATTCCACTCGGAGGAATGGATATTACCAAATATATCAAAGATCATTTAGTGAATGGTGTTGAAGAAAGTATTTTGAAATTAACAGAATTGAAAGAACAAAACTGTCAGTGTACACTTCCATCCTCCTCTAATTCCTTACCTGAACAAGAGAATGTCTATTCACAAGCTCCAGAAGTTCTCTTTTCCTCCAATCAACAATTTGTCTCCAAAATTTTAAATTACATTTCCACTCAACATCAGGAAAATCTTGACAATAACATTGTGATTCATTTGAGTGGAGGAACTTCATTATTGAAAGGTCTCAAAGAACGATTAGCATTTGAATTACAACAACATTCAGATAAGGCCACTTATAAATTTGCCTCACACATTCAAGTAGAATATAACAAGATGGGAAAAGATTCGAGTTTCTTTGGAGCATGTAAGAGAGTGAAGGAGAGTGATGCACATTCATCTCAACAATCTTGTTCGCTCTCTGAATTTAGAGAAAAGGGAATGGATCGAGTGTTGGCAGAAAATTACAAACATCTCTTTTCACACCAATAAGAGCGAGTTCTCGAGTCACGTTTCTTGAATCCATGTAAATAAAATGTGTTATCATCACCTTATGTGTCATGCATTTGTTCAAGTCTAACTGCAACTTTTGAAAACACCTACACTGCCAGTTCTCTGAGAGAATTGCCAAGTACTTTATTCCAAAAGAGACGTTTCTCTTTCATTTTGTTGACGTTTATGTTAAAAGGAGTCGTGTTAGTTCTTGGACTGTTTTGTTTGGAGGCTCAGACATATCCTTTTGGTACTTGAACTATTTTAACATGGCATGATTAAGGATTATCTAAAAGTTTTAATCTGCTTGATTACAATAAAATTTTTCACAATTATAATCATAAATGTTCTTGCTGTCAAAAATCAATTAATTAAAAAATGAGTGAAAGTAACAAAAGGAGTCAGAGGGCTTATGCCACTGCTTCAGTTGTCACACAACTGGCCATGGCACTTCTTTCATTGACAGCTGGTGTTTTTGCCATCGTTGTTTATTCTCTTCCTCAAAACTATGAAAAGAACATTGAATGTCCAATCGATCGGTATGTGAACTATTGGTATTTTGAATGACTGATCTCGGAATTTGTTAAATTCTCACCATTCATGAAACTCTCATCAAATGTGATCGATGCTCCTTCGTTGCTGTAAAAATTTAGTATTCAAATTTTCACGCTAGTATTTGGTGTCTCGGAGTTATGTTGCTTTGTTCTTGCTGTTCTCTCTCCCATGATTTACTTGATTGAAGTTCGTTTGAGAGAAGGATTCCACCCTGGACTTGTTTCTCAATGTTTGATTGTGTTGAGAGTTTTACTTGGATTCGTTTCTGCTGGATTTTTAATTAAGAATGCTCACTCGTATTTTACAAGCTTGTGTGTAAGTCATTGAATTTTTACAAACCGATTATTCCAATCACCAATTTTGAAACAACATGCTTGGCAATAATCATTCTTACTGTTTAACAATGGTTCATCCAAATTCACCACCATTCACGACGGACTTCAAAAAAGAACGTTGAATTGGCCACTAAAACAGCCTATACTGCCATGATGATTACTGGTCTGTGCATTATTAGTATCTTTATCTTGGTGGTAGTTGTTGTCTTTGCTTTGTTCCTCATCTATGGATGTTTCACCATGAAATCCGAGCCTAGCAAGAACAGTTCACCAAAAGCTTCCAAATATGATCAAGTACAGGACGAGGACTTTGTCGAGCAAGAACATCACCAACATGATGCTGCTGTTGTTGTTTCTAGTGAAGAAGAAAAACGTGAGAGCAATATCCGAATCAACAGAAATAATGAACAACAATAATTATTATTCCAATAGTCTATGCAGGATTTGTTCATGGAGGCTTTGGTTTTGCTTGCTGTCTTTTTAAATTTTTTTGTAAATTCATTAATAAAAAAATGCTGAAGAGTTTCTTGGCCACCAATTCTCTTCTGATGAAGAGAGTTTCATCATCATCAGCAACAACAACATTAGCAGCATCGTTCACCAATACTCATCATATTTCACCCTTTCTTTCAATGTGTTCTTCACTGACACAACAACAAGTGAGAGAAAGAAAAAAGCAAACAGTCAGAAGAAAGCTGCCATCCGACAAGGAAGTCTTTGATAAATTCCTTGAAGGTCCAAAAGAAAAGTACTTGCACCCTCCAAAAAAAGTCAAAGATACATCTAGGAATGCTCTCCGTCCCGCTACTTTCGAAATTCTCATCATTAAAGATAACAAACTCACATTTGCCGGAGAAGTGGTGAGAATGAAATCAAGCAAAGCATGGAGATATTTAGCATCAAACCCACCAAAGGCCGTCATGAACACGCCTGAAAATAGAGAAAAGTATAAACATTTACTCGCAAATCCAGAAGAGCTCGCTCAAAAACGAGAGACCTTTAATAGAAGATATATTTTACAACGTTGTGTCATCAAAATGTGGAGAAAGACTGAAGGAGGAAATATGAAATATTATTGGCCAATTACAAAACGTGATGTTGCCAACTATGTTTGGTGTGTTCATCATTTGGCTCTCAGAGACGAAGACATTACTTTCCCTGGAGAACAAAAGAACAATCCAAGCTCATATCATCCTATTAACAAGCCTGGCTATTATTGTTTACATGCTGATTTGCATGACGGAAAAGCTCCAGTACTTTTGAGATTGTACTTACCATTAAACGACAAGGCCAAGACACACCGTGGAAATTCTTTAATTGGATACAAGTAATTTTAATGGGACCACTCGACTTAATAAAAACAATTTGTTTCGCTCTCTTGTTTCTGGTATCCCTTAAAAAATGTCCAACTCAATGAATGGCCAGGAAAATTCATCAACAGAGGCTGCCGTGAGCCAATTACCACCATCTCACACCGAGACAATATCATCACCGACAAGCACACCCATCAAGATCATCAACTCACCCACAATAGAAGATGGTGATGATGATTTTGCTTTCTCTGTTGTGAGCCGTCACGGAAGTATCAGCGGCAACAACAAACTGGAGTCACCAATAAATTTTCCAAACACTTCACAAGATCAAGCCTTCCTAACAACAAGAAAGCCTGAAACGATACGAGAGGATGATGAAGAAGCTGCAGCATTCTCACAAATTATTTATAACGAAGAGGATAGTACCACAACTACTGTGGATCCATATGCAGTGAACGGAGCTATCAAACCTGAATTGAATGATGAAGAAAAGGATTTACAAACAGGTGCTTCGCGTTCCGAAGGATTATCCGAGTCATCATCAACAACAGATGTTGCAGAGGATGAGAACAACGACGATAGAAATAATTATAAAACCTCATCACCAAAAACTCCGTTTTCAAAGAATGAAATTATCAGCTTGGAGAACAGTAATAGCTCCTCTCCTGCTAGTATGGATTTTCCAATTTCATCAATTATAATCAATAATTCAAAATATTCAGACAACAATGCAAACATTACCATCATACGGGAAGAAAAACCAAAATATATGAAACATTCAGACGAAGATCAAACACAAGAAAGATGGAAACAACACCAAAAACACATTTTCATATTGAGTGATGCCGGTAAGCCAATATTTTCTCGGTACGGAGATGAAAATCAATTGAATACCATCATGAGTTTTTTCTTGGGAATTGTTTCAATTGTTTCGCGGGAGGGAGGAACGGTGAGAACTGTGAATTGTGGAAAATTAAGATTTATTTACGTCTTGAAAGGCTCTTTATTTTTAGTGTCAGCATGTAGAACATCAGAGTCCAATAAGGAGGTTGCTAAACAACTCGAAACAATTTATGAACAGCTTGTATTCATTCTCACATCAAAAAACATTCAAGACATTTTACAGAAACGTTCCAATTTCGACCTACGAAATTTATTGGGAGGAACAGACAAAATTATTTACTCTCTCATTAACAGAATGAGTAATTCTTTTGATTTTTCATTTGACACTACTCATGTATTGAGGTTACCGAAATCATTAAGAGCTCAGATTGGAGATATTATGATGAAGAATAGGGTGCAAGCCAAACTCATGTTCTCTCTCATGATTTGTGATAACATGCTTATTCACATGATCAGAAATAAGAAGTATAACATGAGAACCAAAGATTTATTATTATTAATGAACTTTGTAGGGTCAGCACACTCCTCCATGAAAAGTAGCGAAACATGGACTCCAATTTGTTTACCAGGTCTTTCCGAAACTCAATACGTGTATGGTTATATTTATTACTTTACAGAGAATTGGTGCTATGTCATGATATGTACGAGCACAGAGTCATTCTTCGATTGTCAAGAGTCTCAAACACACACTGTACAAGATTTATTACAGACCGAATGTTTTCCCACAGTAGTTAATGCATCCAAGTCACCCTACCCTACTCTTTCAGAAATATTTAACCAAAAATCACCTCTTTTGCAATCACCACCTTTAACCATCGACGATCTATCACTTCCTCAATCCTATGTCCGTCACTTCTCTTGTAGAATGAAGAGTACTAACCAATCATTTAGCCAAACCATTTCTTCCAAATTCATCCCACCTTACCACACCCAAAAAGAACGCAAAAGACTTTTGAGATTATACAAATTGACCAGAGAAAAGCTTGAAGAAATACCACAAAAGAGCATTGGCTCTCAAGTCAGAACTATGGTTGAGACCACATCTTATGAATCTATCATGGGAATGTGGGTTGGAAATCTTGAAATTTATGCAACATTTTCTCTACTGGCCACCAAAGCTGACATGCTCAATGCTTGTGAAGTCATCAAAACATGGGTGAAAAAAGAAGAGAATTCACTTTTTATCCCCAACATTCAGACCTTTTAATTTCTCCATATTGTATCAACAATTTTAAAACACACTTTTTCGAGCAATGCATTAAACCTGCCTATTCCAATCACTTTCCAAATTCTATTATTTCCATGTTACCGTTAACCAAAAAAATGACGAAAGCGACAACAACAGGTCATTCGGGCTCGCATCGACGAAAACACAAATTTCAAAGATCCGGCCTGCCGACAACTGGATTCGTAATAATAACTGTGTTGGCCGTGCTATTGGCCTCAGCCTACTATGCGGAAGCTGGTTCATCAGCATCATCCATGTTAAAAAGGAACAATAATTTTGTGAGAGTCATTGAAAAGTATAAATATTTGCAAAAGTCGTTACGGTTATCGGAAATGAAAAAGAAGGATGAGATGGTATTTTCAAGCGATTTTAACCAAAGGAAAACATCCATTTACGACAACATTTCAAATGTGTTTGATACGATCTATCAGAATATTTCATCGTATGAATATGGAATTGTAGTAGTGATTAATAAGAAGGGAGATGTATTATTCTCAAAATCATATGGAACCAAAGAACCTTTTGGATGGCCATCGAAAAACAGCAGCTATTTAGATGATATATTTGCAATTTCGGAGGTTTCTTCGTCGTTTACTGCCACCTCCATGCTACATTTAAGCGAGAAAGGAATTTTAGGTGGTAACTTTGATAATTTAGATGCAAACCAATATCTTCCGGATAGTTTAAAGTTCAAACCAGAAATTATTGGTAATTTTGGTTCAGTTCTGGGGCACCCTGTAATATCATCAAACGACACTGTCACAATCGGATCGTTATTAACACATACCACTGGTCTTGACAGTAGATTGGTTGGTTCGTGCTCTAGATCCAAAGTTCACGAATCAGAGGAGAACGCATCTGAGTTTTTGTTGCATTATTTGGAAAGCATGCGTGTTCCTCGAATCAGAAAATATGACTTTGTTTCTTCATTCTCTCATATCCCTTTCATTACTCAGCCGTACCACCTATGTTTTGTAAACTGGTGGATGAACTTGCAAAATTCAAAAAATTGAAAAAGGTCCCTCACGGTCCGACTGTGTCGAACTAGGGAAGTGTGAAAGATGATTTCCCACTTCCCAAATTTAATGTTTGTTGTCAACATAAAACAAACGCAGTTGGTACCTTGGTTTGGTGTTAGCCGCACCTACAGTAAAGCAACTACTTCCTTCCAGCTCCATTTCAATTCATTACGAATTCACCAAGCTTTTAAACTCGGGCTGAACCTGAAGACGCGCGTTAGCACTGAACTGCAGGAAGCGGATGAGAGCATGGTGTTGGAGACATGGTTGGCATTAACAAAAGTTTTTGGGTGTGACTTGTGTCAGATTATCGAAGCCAGTCTTTTAGACTCGGGGCTGAACCTGAAGAAGCGCGTTAGCACTTGACCGCAGGAAACCAATGAGAGCACTAGCTTGAGGGAATCTGACACACGTCACAGAATATATGCATCTCACTTTATATTCCACACGTATGGTATTGAAACCAACAATGTGAGTGGACATGTTTAGCGCATGCGCTGCATTTGAAAGTGGTGTTGGAACGAATTCCTTTTCTCTTACAAAATTCACATGGTTTGGGTTGTTGGGTCAACATTGGAAAATGTTGCAACGTTGAAATTTCCTTATACCGAGGTTGTCGATCACTAAGGCTGTAAATAATGGCAACCAAATGGCCTAATTGTTGAGGCTTTCGGTTATTGGGTCCCATATGGAAATATTGATATAATTTGTGAGAACCAACCACAAGTGTCTTCATCATTGCAAAAAACATGCATCGTTTCCAACTTCTATGTCTACTTCGAAAATGGTACAAATTCAATGCAGCGTCAAATGAATCAACACTTCCCATGTTCATGTTATAAAATCGTAAAATGTCACATCTTGGTGTTTTGTTAGACCCTTTGGCTTTGACACGTTCTAATTCTTCTCTTGGAATTGAAGTGGACCCAACAGACGCCATAAAATTACATTTACCAGAATCAAACACTGAGAGTGCTGCAAAAGCGTTATCATTTCTAACAATAAAGCTTTGATCTCCTTTCTGTTTGAGATCCGGTTGCAAATAATTGGAAAATATTTCGGAAGGCCGATTACTTTGGCAACTCAATACAAATTCAAAGTTATTTTGTTTCAATTGCTCTGCTAATGTCAAACTTCCGTAAAATTGATCAGTAATTATTGTGTACTTTCTTGTGTTGTAATCTGGAAGTTTCTTGGCCAAATCCATAACATAATCAACTACGGTAGTACTAAGGTTATGCTCATTATTTTTCCCTCTGTATAACCAAAACCAAACCGGCATCCCGAAACTGTCACATAGAATAAATAATTTTAAACCTGTGGCATGTGGTTTACCACGGACGTGTTGTCTTCCCTTAAACCGTCCTTTGAACAATATAATACATTCATCAACAACCCCAATATTACTTGGGATCCAACACTCATGAAGCAGGTTGCAAAACGTGTCTAATATCCAATCAATATCGTATGATATGCATTGATGAATTTCTCGAAAACGTTTCTTGGTCATTATGTTGCGAATTAATCCGTTCCCAAATAAATATTCCTCTTCCTTTGTCCAATAATGTGCCAACTCCGGCATTTTGATAAGCCCCATTGTAAAAGTAATCGCAAAATAATAGTTCAATTCCTGCAAGGTAACCTCAGGTTTTTTCAATTCAGCACATTTTAAATTAGTTTTTTCTAAAATATGCTTTTCCACCTCAGCCGTGTATAATTGTTTGAATAATTCAAAACTATTTCCGTTTGTAACTTTGTTTGACGGTTTGCCACATTCTTTGGTGATGTATGGATTACAGAATTCCGGTGCTTTTTTCCAGCCTTCAGGAATATAACCATGCTTGTCTTTGTTGTGGGAGAGGAGAGCTTTTTTGCTTGCAAATTTCTTATTACATTCTTCGCAAACAATACTTGATTTTTTCTTTTTTTTTGATTTCTCAATTAATCTACTTGATGTCATTGATTTCTTTCTTTTCTTAGTTTCCTTGGTTTCGGCTGATGAATTATTGTTTGTAGATTTTTTCAATTTTTTAATGCTCCGTAGATTCCCTTCAAACTCATTTTGAGATGCGTTTGGATTAAGTGATGCGTAGAAGTTCATTATAGTTTGGACTAATTGTTGTTTGTTTCCTGATGTCCTAACATGATATTGTTTACATAATTCTTTTAAATTCTTGTTTGTGAGTTGTTGTAGCTCATCTTGTGACATTTTGATGATTTGTTGTTCCGATGATTTTGTTTGTTGAGTTTCACCCGAAGGTAGTTGTTGTGATGATTGTGGTAAAGTACTAGGTTCATTTTGTTGTGATGATTGTTGTGATGAGCAAAATGTGGCGCGTCCGTGTTGTTGTGGCCTGTTTGACTTGCTCATTTTTTCGTTATTTTCCAACAACACCAACGGCAACATTGATTCATAAATCTACTCACTCACCACATGTGTGATGAGTAAGGATGAAGTCATCGTTTAGTGTGAGCCTGTTGCAAACGGCTGACTCAAAATCCTACAATTAATTTGGATGCGGCTTTCCGAACCGTGACTCACGAAATACAAAAATAGACGTGGGAACTTGGCATTTTATTTTTAAATTTGCTGCTTTTTGATTGGATGCAGGAAAGAGATATTGGATACTCAATGTTGGGTCTCATTTTGGAAAAGGCAACTGGAGAGAAATTTCATGAATACGTGACAAAGCATATTTTGCGACCTATGAACATGAGTCACACATACATGAGATATTCAACCAAACATGTTGGTGAAAAGAAACACTTTGTATTACCAATTGTACCAACCACTCATTTAGAGTCTCTACAAGCTACTGAAATGGTACATGACGTTATTCCTAATTACTGCTGGTATGCCCCAGGAATTTTTAACTCTGTGGGAATGTATTCGAGTCCAAGAGACATGGCCAAATGGGCTCTTTTACATTTGAATTATGGAGAAATATTTCCATCGGAGCTAGATCCTACAGTTCAACAACAGAGAATTTTCTCACAAGACACTGCCAAAATCATGTACTCTGAACATTTTCGCTCACATCCTAATTGTTCCATTACAACAGCGTATGGCTGGAACATTGAAAAGAAGCCTGATGTTAAATATTTGACAAGTAGCGGGGTTTTTATGGAGCCATTTTACACTCGCGTTGGAGTATTTCATGAACATGATTTGGGTATTGCAATTTTAGCAAGAGGTATTGATACCAAGTGGGAACTTGGGTTTGACATGTTTGTCGATAAGATTGTTGACACTGTTCCATGCAAAGATAGAAAATCGCCACTTGACAAGATTTACGTCGATAACGACTTGGGAATGTGTGTTTTTGCGCTGGAAATCAAGTCACTTCCTCAATTCTCTGAAGATTTTAATTATATCGCCAAGTACAGTGGTTGCTACGTCATGCATGAATATGAACATACAACTTGGCTAAAATTTAAGAAAGAATTCTTAAAGAAAATTTGTGTTTCTGTGGAAGATAATCACTTGTACATTTCAACAGGAAATAGTGACATTGAGTTTATTGCATTGGAAATGCCAGGTAGAACTTTGCAAAATGATCCTCTCTTTATTACAGGAATCAAGGACGGAGATTACGTCATTATTGCAGATGGTTTCTCAGACATCTCATTTGAATTTATTGAAGGACAAGACGAAGCAGCATACATGACTCTGAGTAGTGTACCATTTGAACGTGCAACACCAGTCAATTTTTATTCACTGCTTCTCATGTTAGGCTTTTCTTTCCTTATTTGTTTTTCCTTTTCGGTTTTACACTTGTCTTTTTGCATTTACACGTTTAAAGAGCATACTGCCATGCAAAAGAAGAGAAAGGCATCAATTTTAATTAATCGAGTGGCATCTTTACAGAGACCATTAGCACCTCATTCTACGAATAATTCACAACAATCCTTACAGGACGCAGACGTTATTGGAATTGATGAGGAAGGAAGAAAACTATTTTATTCTTATGAAGATGATGAAGAGGCCATGTCAACTAATTCATTGACAGGAACAGCTCAATCTACACGAATTTATAGATTCATTCAAGTCAAGACTGTGATTGACGGTATTGCCATCTTTTTAATGATCTGCACTTCACTCAATAATGTAATTGCATTAATAGGAATTGTCATGAACTATTCATTATTCAACCAGACAAAATTGTTCAGCCAAAACGAATATGGAATCCAATTCTTCCTGTTCGAATGTCAACTTGGAGTCTTGTTTGACGCTGCTTCCATATTGGCACTCATTGCAATGTTTGTTGTTCAATTAATTCATCCAAAAGGAAAGAGTCGAAGAGTGTGGCTATGGGTGGTGATGTACATTATTTCAACCTTTATTCATTTGATATGGCTTGCATTTTGTCTCTATTTTAACTGGTTTGGTACCGAGTATGCAACAGTTTGAACCTGACATGTCTGAATACTAAAATCATACCTCCATGTCAATATGTCAGAGAGCTCATACAAATGGAAATGGAATGCAGATTTTCTCATGAGTGGAGGCCAATGGGAAGAGATCTCCAGTTTATGCAAATTCACATGCATCAGTGGCATTATTGAGCCTTTTTTTACAAATTGGTTCAATCAGGCAAAATAATTTAGGTTTATTATTGTTGAGCAAGACTACCAATAATGGTAGCAATCGAACGGTATGCAAAGTCATATTGCTCTGCAGTTTGAATCATACCATATCTTTGTTTCTATAATACAGCAGATAGAAGCAAATACAAAATAAATAAGGCCTTTAAAATGTATCATTAAATTCACTTACTTTTAAAGACATGGCTCTTTCCATAATTTGTGTTGGATTCAAAGCATAGGTCTTGTAGAAATCTTTCAAAATTGAATCAACGAGACAAAAAGTGCCTGTTCTTCCAATACCTGCCGAGCAGTGCACAAAAATTGGTGACCCTTTCGGGCTGTTCACGTTATTTACATGTTGTACCACATGTTGAAAAGAGGTCAAATCTGGAACTCCAAAATCAGGCCATGCTGTAAAATGAATCAAATTCACTCGATGAACTTGATCGCCTTGAAATTGTACATTCAAAAATCTGTGAATAATATCTTCATTACCGACAAACTCTTCCTTATTATTTTGTATGAGAATGTCTCGTTGTTCTTTCTGATTCATATCTGTTTGTTTATGAATTTCTGTTGTGTCTGGCCAGTATTGAGCACATTTTGGCCTTGACTGCTCAATGACGTTGCTGAGCATGAGAATGACAGAAACGTTCTTTTCAATAATCATTCGCCAAAAATCATAAATTGTTTGTGGAAGAGGTCCTTGTCCAGCAATATACAAAATTTCATTTCCTATTTGAATATTATTTGCATTCACATAATACTCTGGATCATTTTCCAAAATTACTCTTGTACATTCATCTATTATAATTATTACAATACGTGTCACATTCCAAAGCAGGCAACAGAATGAAATTTACAACCTTGCAAAAAACACTATAACGTACTCGCCAATACATTTCCATATCTATTCTTATTTGGATGCTTTAACGCGCTAGTAAAATCAACAGGTTCAAGGCTCTTTTCAAAATTCCGTAATTCCGAAAACTCTCGATGCGAATAATGTTTTGCATGGCGGAGAACACTTTCTTTAATTTTCAATACAGTGGTTGGATCCATACTAATCACATGATGATGCTCAACATTTTCTTCTTCATTGGTTGTTGAAGTTTCTAATAATGTATTCGGAACAGAACCATCGGATGATGATGTTTTTGAAGAAACGCTGCTACCCATGTACTGCTGTTTGTGTTTCATGTATTTTTTTAAAAACGTTTTATATCGATTTACAATTTTGGAACGTGAAAGGAGACGAATGGATTGGTTTTGGGATGAACAATAATTATTTTAAAAAACACTGTGTGGTCGAATAGACAAAGAATTATTAGAGGTGAGGATAACTTAGGGTTGGAGGAGTATGTGCATTGGGCTATTGTTGAATATTTACATCTAAATTGGCAGCAGAAGCAGCAACAGTGCTCATCATTTCTTTGAGTTTGTTGGACTTCTTTTCTAATTTTGAGGTTTTAAGATTTAAATATTCCTTTTCACGTTCAAGTTGAGAAATAGTCTTTTCACGATTCGAAACTTCCTTCTTGAGAGTTAAATTTTCTTGTCGTTCTTGATCTCGTTGTTTTTGCAAGTCTAGAATTTGTGACGACTTCTTTTCGTTTTCTCTTCTTGCTTCGTCCAACTGCCGCCTAATTTCTGTCACATTGACTTCATACTTCTCCTTATCAGAAAATAGCATATTTACACTCTCAACGCTGTGATTCAAAGTTTCTGTCATGGCCTTAATTTGGTTTTCAAAAGATTCCCTAGCTCGTATTGTTGAATCTTTGACATCCTTTTCGTATCTATTTTCCAAAAGTTGAACTTCATCTCGGATATGAGTCAAATTCTCCACAATCTCTGCATATCGCTCTTCACATAAATTTTTCAACTTTTCATTTTCAAGTTGAAGCCTAGATTTTGTTTTTTCAAGTTTCTTGTAAGAATCTTCACTGATTGCCATTTGAGATCTGAGGTTGTTGAAATCTTCTCCCATTCTCTCTAGTTGAATGCGTTGTTGCTCTCTTTCCTTTGTGAAATTGAGCATGAGCGTTGAGAGATGGTTCATCGATCTCTCCACAATGTCAGAATGTTGTGAAAGAATGCCCGAAGTGATATCTGAAGGAATATTTACGTGCTCGGCCATTAATTTAACAAATCTCTTCAAATCCTCTACTTTCTTCAAATAATTATTCTTCTCGACGATTTCCGCTGATTTGTCTTGAATAACATCTCGAAGCTCAGATTGCAGACTATAAATCTTTTGATTCAGCTCAGTTTCTTTCAGTATCAATGCATTTGAAAGCTCTTGATTGTCTCTTTCGTATCGGTATCGTAATTCAGCGGCTTCCTTTTCATATTGTTGCTTCTTCTTCATGAGTTCATTGTCCTTGAGAGAGGAAACCTCATAGCTCTTTTGAAGGACATTATCTGTAAAGGTTTGGAATTGTTGTTTCCAAGCAGATAAGGAAAGAATGGTTTGTTGTTTGAGATTGTCAAGTTCTCTTCTCAAATTGCTGACTTCTGTTCTAAGTTTGAACTCTACGAGGTTTTCTTTTTGTTTCTTTTTCTTGATACTTTCTTCAAGGAATTTAATCTCTCTAGCATGTTTGTCTTTCAGGTCTTGTGTCGTCCTGGAAAGATGCAACTTAAATTCTTCAATGCTCTTTCCAAGCTCTTTGGACAGATCTTCAATATTATCAATTTTAGAGGAAGCCATCTTGAATTTCCTGAAGTCAGAAGATGGTAATGATAGTAAAATGTTGTCCAAACTGTAATTAATAGTGTCTGACATAATCTTGTGCTCCTTCTTCAAAATTTCCATCTCTTGTGCAAGTTGTTGTTTTTCATGTGTCAACTCTTCCGCTTTGTTGGTCTCCGAGACGAGTGCCTCCTTGAGTTTGGCGTTTTCTTGCTTCTTTTGTTGTGCAATGGTGTCCAAGTTTTCGGCATGTCTCTTCATTTCTTCTAATTGGCCGTTAATCATTTTGACCTCTTCTGCCATTCTTGAATAGTAGTGTTCAAGTTCTTTTCGTTCATGTGTTTGCTTGTCAATGTAGTCTCTCAAAGAATCAATGTTTCTGTTGGACTCATCTAGGTAACTACTCAACTGCATATTCTTCTTTTCGAGAGATTTGATTTCTTCTCTAGCGCTTCGAATCTCTTCTTCCTTTGCAAGATTTTCTTTCTTGAGCTTTTTAGTTGTTTTACGCTCCTCGATGAGTTCATCTTCCATAAGTTTTGCTCCTTGCTTGAAACTTGAAAGAGTGTTATTAAATTCTTTTTGCTTTCGTTGTTCAAGCTCTTTGAGTTTATAGTCAAGTTCATACTCAAACTTCTTTTCCATGTCTTTCTTGTCACTGGAAAATCTAGTTTCAAGTTCTTGTACTTTTTTGTCGTAATCTGACCTTGGAAGGTAGTCTTTCTGGAATACTTTGAGTTTGCTTTCGTACAATTCCAACATTTTATCCACTTGATCAGGTTGAAGTGTTTTCTAAACGAAATGTTACTCATCAATTCAACAAGTCAAATAAATACATACCATTCCATTGATCATTTGTTGTTGGTAAATTTGATCAAATTGTGATTTCTGTACCAAAGCCTCCTTTTGATGCAACTCTCGTTCCAGTGACAATATTTTGCTTTCAAAAGTGTCTCTAATTCTCTTTTCGCTTTCAACTAATCGCTCGTTGAGACGTTTTGAGAATTCTGCTTGCAATTCGTTATGAGCTTTTCGTTCTCGTTCCAAGCATTCGTCAGAGTCTGTTTTGAGACGTTTCAAATCTTGCTCCAACTTTTCTCTCTTTCGTTCAGTCTCCTCCAATCTCTCCTTATATTTGATGATTTTAGCTTGAACACGCATCACAATGTTATTTGCTTCTTTCGATTGTTCTGATTTCTCTTTCAACTGCTCCTCAACTTCTAACAATCGTTTTTTAAGCATTTTACTTGTCATTTTGCTTGCTTTGGATTCTTCATTATAAGATTCCTTGTACTTTTCCGTTTTATGCTCGAGTTTTTCAATAATTTCATCTCGTTCTTCTTTTTCCAGTACCAATTCTTCTATCTTTCTTCGTAACTCGTTCATCTCTAACTCTTTTTGTTGCATTTGTTCAAATAATTGTCGATTTTCCTCTTTTTCTCTGTGTTGTGGGAGTTAGAGACAATGTTGAATAGAGTTTTGTACTTACGTTGAGAGGGACTTTTTCTTCTTTTTCAATTCATTTTCCTTCAATGAAAGCTCCTTCTCTAAATTCAAAACCTTTTCATACAGGTCATTAACCTTAGATCCTTCCGTTTTTGTTTGGAGTGACACGAGGTCTTTTAGTTTTAGTTTGAGTTGATTTATCTTTTTCTCGTTCTCCGTCCTACTGGTTGACTCTTGCTTGAGTGCATTTTGGCACCTAGAATACTCTTCATTTGTTAATTTGAGCTCGGTCTCTACTTTTGACATTTCCTCAATCAATCGTTGAATAACAGTTTCTTGCTCTATATTTTTTCGGGTATGATTTCGGCCTCGAAATTCGTCCGAAATAAACTTACCTGACCTGAGAGCTTCCCTGATAATTTCGAGTATTCGTTCCTTCACATGCGGTGCCGTTGTTATATCTTTATCCATTTGCAATATGACCTTATCATTTTGAAGATCTTTTAAAATCTTTGTCAAGCCATCCGCGAGAAGCATGACTCTTTCTTCGTATTGTCTTCGAATACTTGCGATGGATGGGATCACCTCTGTTGTTGTCGGTGATGATGCCGTTGCACCACCTCCTCCTCCTGAAGATCCCATCTCACCTCCATCATGACTCGATCGTATGAAATGAACACGGTTGTCTCTTCTCTTGTTCATATTTTTTTCATAATGATTTTTGCAAGCGGGAGAAGATTGTATTTTTTGGCGCCAAATGGTCGGTTTGCGTAAAATCTCCAAGTCCACACCCCAACACTCGATGACAAGACTCGCTGATCATCAACCTTCATCAACCAAAAAACATACAGGAGAAGAAAAAGTTATTGGGTTGATGCTCACAACCAAACCTAAATGTGTACAAATTGAGACCCATTAATGGGCTACAAGCTGTCCTTAATGATTCGCGAAACTCTATCCTAGGCACAATTCATGGAGCTTCAAAGTTGAAAAGGAGAAGCTGAAATTTCAAGCATGTTTTCGCTTGAAGAAGCGAGTGTTAGTGTAAGAAAGAAAGAAAAGGGTGGTTTTGCTTGATAAAACACAATATTTGGCATTGCACTCAATTTTGGAAATGAGCATACACATAAAGTGCATTGTATCTCTTTTCATACAACGTCGTCTATTGAGAGAGAGATGCTGTCGTTTTGAATGTGTTCAAAGGGCCCTCTCCAAAACCCCATCATTGTCAGTTGATGGTGTTCTTCTTGTGATAAATATCACATTCTCAAAAAAACGTTGATGCATCACACCCTTGGTTTTCATCATGACAAAACACACAACAACAACAACAATAAACACTGCGCAGTCGATGACTCCAAGACGACCATTACATCGACCACATATTCGAACATGGCCACTCACAATTACTACCACAGCATTCGCTTGCATGTTCATTGTGTTCTCAATCCTTGAAATAACGAATTCATTGGTTCATTCTTTCGAGTTGTTAAAAGTGCAGCATCATCATCATCATTCGCCACAGCAACACCATTTCGAAAAATCATTCCATCATGATGATAATGACGAGCCACTACATTTGGTCATGAATCAAGACTTCACGCCATCCTTCCTTCGGAATTTAGATTCTATTGAAATACCAGAGAATATTCAACGAAAATTATCGCACCGAGATTTGAAGTCTCTGTTACAGGAAAATGATGTACCCATAGCATCCTCGTTATTTTCACAAGATCGACACTCGATTCGTTCATTGATCCATCACGAGAATGTGAACATTTTTTCTTTTGATTTTTTGAATTGTCAAACTCCTTTAAACAACGACTTGATCTTGAATGTACAGACACCAACATTGATGGTAAGAATGGTGAATAGTCAAAGCTGGATGAAGGAATTGAGTCAAGAAATTGGAGAAATACCGATGTCTCAACTGAAAATTCCAGCCACACATAACAGCGCTTCGTATAATGTGAGCTCAAATCAAGAGTATGGAGTTGATGTGAATTATGACAGTTCCATGAGTTTGATTCCTCAAATGGCAAAGCTATTCAAAATGTATGGAGTGAATCCAATGAGAATTAAGCAATTTGTTGCTCCATGGTTTAAAAATCAAGAATGTTCAATTTTACAACAATTGAAGCATGGAATTCGACATTTGGATCTTCGTTTATGCAAAGTCGAGAATAGTGAAACAAGAAATAACAAATTCTGGGCTTGCCATGGGCTATTGAGTGTCACTTTTTCCTCCATTTTCGAACAAGTGAAACAATTTCATCTTGAGAACCCATTTGAAGTCATCACTCTTGACATTAATCATATATATGGATTTACCTCTCAGAAGGATCATTTAGAATTTTTAAACATGACTAGTGAAATATTAGGAATCGATTCCGTGATTGATCCATCGAAATTCTCAACGAATTCTACTCTCAATTCTATTTGGAAAGAATCTTCGAGTTCAAGAATATTTCTATTTTACAATCATCAAGAAACGACTAGAAAATATGCATCTACATACAAACTCTTTCCAAGTTCCTCACTCTCAACACCTTGGGCCAATAAGCAACAAATGCCAGCTCTGTATTCTGAAATATTGACACAACTGAGAGCAAGATCCAACTTGCATCGAAGATTTGTTTCACAAATATTGCTGACCCCCAATTTATCCATGATGGTCGATGGCTTATTTGAGAAACCGAAATCTGTACGACAATTAGCTGAAATGAATTATGGAAGTATTCCTGAGTGGATTAAGGATAACGCCCCTGGTTCAAAATTGAATGTTGTAAATACAGATTATTACAATTTGAATGGAAGAAAGTTTATCACACAAATTATATCACAAAATTTTAGCTAGTTGTACATTATTATTAAACACTACTATTCGATCGCCTTAAATATCTAAATATGGTTTACAATTGTTTTTGGAAGGTTGAAAAGCTCACAACGGACCTGTCAAATTTTCAACCTTTCGAAAAATATCATGACCTTGCCTCGTACCGTAAGCAAACTCAAATTATTCATCATCATCTTTTGTCTGTCTCTCCTCATCATTGTTCTCTACATGAATCACTCTAATATAATTATTAACAAATCCGTCAAACAATTCACACAACTCCAATCAACATTTTCGACTCAAAAATTAGCATCATCATCACCAACAACCACCGCATCATCAACCATTCCACAATGTCATTCGGAACAAGAAAAAATAGATAAAATTATTGTCGTTTCACGATTCAATGAAGATGTCTCTTGGCTGGCCATTCACTTTCCACATATCAAACATGTTGTTTATGAAAAACAAGATTTGACAGCACCCTATCATGTTGAAAAGAATTATGGTCAAGAAGCATCTGCATTTCTTCGATATATTATTGACCATTATGACAAGCTTCCAAATTACATGGCATTCGTACATGCGCATCGTTCCTCCTGGCACATCAAAGATATTGTTCCCATTCTGAAACATTTGTATTGGGGTAAATACGAATATGTTTCACTAAATCCTGATAAATTTACCTATCACAGTGCAGGAAATCAAAATTATGATCGTGTGAAAAAGTATTGGTCACATTTATTCGAAGAATCATTTGGCAAAATGCCTCCAGTGATTTATAATTGGTGTTGTGCTTCATTTGTGGTGAGTCGAGAACGAGTATTGCGAAATTCAAAATCGTTCTATGAAAAGATTTATCATTGGATTATGAATTCTGGAGTGGATTCGTTTTGGACGAGTCGAGTTCTTGAACACACCTGGGGATTTATTTTCCATCATGGAAATTTGGAGAAGAACCCCATTTCATCTTTGTGCGATATTACAGATTGTTTGGCCTTTAATGGAACCTCTAACTAACGATTTGAAAGAAATACGAATGGAATTCTCTATGAGATGACGTGAGAGGTTTCGAATAAAAAACACTCGAAATTTTGCATTACGGAAAAGAAGAAGACAATAAATTTTGTAGAGTTGATAAATTCAAACACTAATGTTTCCTGTTGTTTATATTCAAAATAAATTGTGTTCGTTCATAAAACTTTGTCATTCACGCATTCGAATACTTTAAAAAATGCTCACCCGATCCGCAGCCACTTCTTCCAACTCGTTGACGAGTTCTTCCTCTTCATCATCCGCAGCAACATCAATGATGCAACAACCACGACGAAGGAGAAATTCCCGAAGGAAGAAGAACGAATTGAATAATCATACCCTATCGACGATACAACAAACGGAGGACGAGGAAGAAACAAACTACGGATCTGATGTATTTTTACATTTTGAAGATATTAATCAAGAATCGGAAGTGCAACAAAACTCAAGGAGAGGAAACAAAAGAAAGAGAAATCATCATAGGCATCAAAATAACAGAATTATATTAGAAGACCAAGACGACGAAGAAGAATTTCAAACTCCTTTTTCATCACAACAACCATCATCATCTCAAGAATTCGAACCAAGTAGACAAAATAGAAGAATTCAAAACGATCCAATGACACCACCAATAATGATAAATTCTAACATGATCAATGATTCAAGACGTGCACCTCCAACAAATGATGATGTGCACGTCATTGGAGACAACAACAGCGCCAATGCTCCTATCGTGATAGAGGATGAAGCAGATGTTTATAGACATCATGGAAATTCTGCAGACGATGCCATTGTGTTAGAAGATGCGGAAGAAGAGGAAGAACATCAACAACAACAACCTACTCAACCACAAAATACTTCAGGTGGTGTGCCCATGGATATTCCATTCCTATCTTCCATGCTTCCTCCTACATTACTTCTTTTTCAACACCACCCATTAATATCTCCCAGAATTAGCTTGTTAATTAGCTCAATAGCACGATTACGAGCATCCCACAATGACCGTCCTTCTACGCCTGCAAGGTCCAATAATTTGTCGAAAATCAAATATCAACCACCCGAATCAGGAGACAAAGAAGAATGTACCATATGCCTTTGTGAATTTGAAAAGAACAAGAAAGTGTACAAGACAGGATGTGGACACATGTTCCATGTCCGATGTTTAGACCAATGGTTTAGACAAAACACCAATCACACTTGCCCTAACTGTAGATCTCACCTTGTCAAATGAACACATCTGGAGTGCTTGAGTGCGGAACTGCAAGCACCAACCAGAAGTTTTGACTCAATAAACCATCATTCAAGATAGAATTCAGAAATTTGAGAAACCAATTTTAGATTGTAATTGAAGGCGCGAAAACAATTTCCTTAAAAAAAATACCAGTACTCCTGTTTTAAAATAAATATTAGGATCAGCAACGATGGTGAATATACTACAAAAACTTGGAATTCGGAAAAAGAAATTAAACCTTATAGTGTGTGGTTTGGAAAATTCGGGAAAGAGCTCGATCATCAGCCATCTCAAACCTTCTTCGGAAGTAAAGCAGGAAATTCTACCAACAGCAGGTAAATAGTTAAATACACTTTCAGATGTTGGTGACTTTTTTAGGTTACAAACTTGAGGAATTTTCGAGAAATGGAGTACGTTTTTCTTTCTGAGGTGTATCAATATATTTCTGTATTTATTTCAGTATTATTGCAGAGTTTTTGATTTAAGTGGTGCTGGAAAGTACAGACCCATGTGGAAGTATTTCTTTGAAAATCTTGAAGGCATTCTGTTCGTCATAGATGTCAGTGACACGAAAAGATTATGTGTGGCAATAGACGAGTTATTGGATCTTGTGTCCAACAAAGAACTTGCAGGGGTTCCTGTCTTAGTTTGTGCTAACAAAATTGATATCGACAAAAAGAAGGTTTCATTGGCACAAATTCATAGCATTCTCAGCTTAGAGGGAAGTAATCGGAATGGAAGATTGGTAAGTTTCAGCATCTGTGAGAGTAGGCTATTAATGTGACATAAAATCTAACGAATCGAAGAAGGAACAAGTGCCAAAGAAGGAACAGGAATCGAAGAAGCATTTGCTTGGCTTGTGAACAGTGCTGCAACTTTTGTAAGCAAAAAGAAGGAAGCTCAAAAGCAAATTCTTATTTCTAGTCTTCATCAAACCACAAATCCTCATCATGGCGTGGAATAATATTATTTCAATAAGTTATACTTGTTTATACATTAAATTATTACTCATAGCAGCAGTACTGACGCTATTGAACTCATTCACTAATGAGGTGTGAAAATAATATTATTAAATCAACTTCTTTTTGATAAAGTATGATCTGAGATAGTAGAGTTGTCCAAAAGCAAAGGCAGCCATAAATACAAAGAAAAATACTCCCAAATAAGTGATACGTTGATTGATGGTCTCAGTTGTACGTCTCATGGCACCTTCTCTTTCTCTGAAATAAACGTATTCAGCATAGATCGAATGAACAATGTCCTCCATCATTCTGAGATTGACTTCAATTGGCTTCAAATGTTCCTTTCTTGCCAATTGTTCATAATCGTACGTATCCGTTCCAGTGAGAACATCAAAAGTAATACGACGACGCAATCCTTCATGATAAGTAGCTTTAGAACTCAATCTATTGTAGAAACAGAATGAATACTCTCCTCCTTCCTTTGCAACAAGACTGAAATCGCCTTTTTTAATATTCTTTCTCTCCAAAACAACATTTCCTCTCGAATCGGTGACTCTAAAATCAACCTTTTGAGAATATCCTGCTCCGACTTGATATTCACCATACACATCAAAATTGGTAACAATTTCTTCACGAAAACAAACATAATCTCTTGCTTTTAAATCAAATTGAAAAGCAAAAATTGATGATGAAACCATCAGCAAGAGTACCGAAAGCGTGGCTGCTGCAGCAATCATCAAGGACGATGATGATCGGAAAGGCTTATTGTGTGTTTTCATTTTTTCGTTTTGATCGAAAACACGAACACAAAAAATTCATTCAGAGTCGACGATGAAAGAAGGAGCAGAGAGCAACAACAAGAACTTGTTGCTAGAAATGTGCATAGATGAAAATACTTTTGAACTGGCTCTCAAATTCGTGAAAGAAACCAAAACAACTCTAAGGCTTGAAATTTGTTCAGAGCTCGGAGCAGAGGGATTTACACCTCACGATGAAACTGTTCTCTTGTGCTTATCAGAGCCACTGTTCGAGCACACCAATTTAAATATAATGATTAGACCAAAATTACAAGCTTCTCATGATTTGGGAACTTGTGGAATGATCGATTCATTTTGTTATGATGATCAAGCATTGGAAATAATGAAGATGCAAATAAGAAGCATGAAAAAGTTACTAGCGCAAGAAAAAGACAAAGTGAAGAATAGAGAAATTGGGTTTGTTTTGGGATGCATTGAGAGAACGCAGAGTGGTACAATTGCAATTAATACTTTTGCTTTACAGGAAATAATTGATGTCATACAAGAGCCATGTGAATTGTGCCACCGATTTTCAGTTACGTTTCACAAAGCTTTTGATTTGTTGAGCAATCCGATAGAATCTGTTCAATTACTAGCTGCACTAGGAGTCGATCGAATTCTAACGAGTTTGAATTTTGGCTGTGAAGATTTGAAAGGAAAAGCCATGAATTCGATTCAACAGTTTAACAACAAAAATACAGAAATCTTGAAGCATTTTCTGCAAGCAGTTGGTAATATGCAAGATGCTTCAAAAGTGATCCTTTTAATTGGAGGTGATGTGAGAGAGAATAATCACTTGGAACTTGTTAAATTTTTCGAGAAATATCCTCAAATTCGATTTGAATTGCACTCCTCGACTCCATTCAAAATCAAATAAGTGGAAAATGAATTAACGAGTTGCATTCATGCAAACATTTATTGTTGGTGTGAATGTTCTTCTCGATTACTTTTCTTCAAGCAATACATTCGAAGAGCAAAAAGGCCCTTTTCCCAATTTTTTTGCTTCAATTGTCGTTAGAATCAATAACGATTGAAATCGATTACAAACCTTGACATTTTCAATTAAGGTAAATTTTGACTCAACTTTAGAGAATAAGTAGCAATAATGATCATTACTCCTAGTAAGAGAACCATCGTCCTCATCCACCACAAAACAGTCAGTAGCAATATTTTCCTTAAAACACAAAATTCCTCCATCGTAAAGTAAATCATAACATAGCTCAATAAGTTTAATAAAATCTCGATCTGTGAGAAAACAGCTGCACCATTGAATCCAAACACACTTAAATTGTGTTTAGAAAAGTCAAATACTTTGCAAATAACTTACATGATATTTTGGCTTCCTTGCGTCCTTGAAAACGGTATGCAAATTTTGAAGACCCACAGCAAATGTTTCTTTAACTTTTGCACACTCTTCTTTGGCTTTTATCAAAAACTCTTCATTGACATCTTCACAATCGATGTAGTCGAAATATTGTGACAATAAATTTTTTGTGACGCGACCATTTCCACTAATCAATTAAATTCGTCATCACATAATTATTCAAAATATTGTAATGTCATTTCAACATATCAAATGCGTCATACCTTCCACATTCCAAACAATATAAAAATGGTTTCTCCCCTTCTCTTGATGGTGTAACATCTTGCAACACTTTCTTTAGAAACGAAGAGCTTTCCTTCACGTCTCTCTCATGGACATGAGTAAATCCTCCCAGCATTCCATCAATGTCATTAGTAACTTTCTCTTTCCAATATTCTGTTGCTTTTTTATAGAAATCTGCTTCTGCAATATCCCAAAATTCTTTTAATGATGCAAATCGTCGTGTATAGCCCGAAGTAATTCCTCTCTCTTTCAGACCAGCATAATCCAGTACTATCGGAGTGGAAGGTGATGAAGCGACGACATCCACAGATGAATTTTGTGGTTTCACCTCCGAGGAAGATGATGCGTTACTTCTTGTTGGAGCCATTTTTTTGAATTGAGAATTTGAAAAACTACATAAAATTATTGTTAACCATTTTCAAATGTTTATTAAGATGAAATATTGCAATTTCATGACTGTACAATGTTTTAGTAGGTTGTTATTGTGTTCTCTTTTACATCACATGAACAAACAAGACATCATTGTCCTTAAATCGCAACATTTGATTGTTCGGATCTATATTCATCAACACTGTGCTTCCGTTCAGATAAAACTTCATCTTGATAGAGGCTACACTCTTCAGTCCATTCTGATTCCATAACTTCTTCTCACTTGCCATTCTCTCCGTAATCTTTTCCATGAGCATGGAGTAAGGTGCATGTCGGGGCATGAACACTTTTGAAATATTGAGTGTGTTTTGAATGTTGGAATAATCGGCAATTGATTTGATTTTAGAGTCATCATAGAAGAGTAAAAACATGACTGCAGGATTCTGTTGTTGTTGTTGTTCGGAACAAAAAGAAGTCTGTGGTTGATTGAGATAGGAAAGAGACGAGGCGTTTGAGGTAGTAAATGGATTATTGGTAGTCGTGTTGCTGCCAGTAGAATGAAACAAGGAAGATGGATTGAAGGTCATGGTTGGAGAAACAACATGTTGCTGAGTGGAGGTTGCTGTCTGGAATGGATATAAACAATGTTGAGAGGAAGGAGGTGATAAGGTTTTCATCACCTTTTTGCTTTCCATCGATGCAGAAGAATTCTCATTGTTCATGATCAAATCAACAAAGTACGAATGTGGTTGCATGTTGGGTGCTACTACCACTGGTTCAACAAATTCTGAAGCATGAGAAGCTGTTTGATCTTCGGAAAGTAATTGGAGGATGGAATCTGGATTGGTCGACGAGTTAGAAACGACTTGTTGTGGAGCCACCACTTGATTCATGGCTCGGAGTGAATGCTGTTGTTGCAAATATCGACTGGTGTGCTGATAGAGCTGTTGTTGTTGCTGAGCCAACTCGACTAAGAGCTTTTGAACACTTGCCGAGGATTGAGCCACAATGGGTTGACTTGCTGTTCCCGTTGTTGAGGTTGAGGAATGGAATGGAAGATATTGATTGTAGTGTGAGGGAGTGAGGTAGGAGGGATGACTGTTTCCAGTAACCATACCTGCTACGAGTTCTGAACCTTGTTGAGGGCGTGATTGTGTCGCTGATGTTGCAACATGTGGTTCCTGACTGGTCCACATCTCTTGTTGAGTAATGAAGAGAGAATCAATTTGATCATCACCTTCTCCGTAGAAGAGAGCATCATCTGCAGCGTGTTGATGATGCCGAGGATGTGAATGATGGTGGTTGGCCGAGGAGTCCTCGTTGTTGAGCATTGACCCAAATGGACCTTCCGTCGTCGATGCATGTACGGATTCCTTCTTGAACTTGTTGATGCTATTGTTCGAATCTTGCTGATGATCCATCTTTCTCTTTCGTGGATTGTTGTCTGGATCATACATATTGTTATTCGTTTTGTTATCGACGCTATCAGGACTTTGAATGCATGTCATATTGGTGTCGTTGGTGTTGGTACTTGATTTGGATTGAGAAGATGCTGATCTACCTCTTCGAGAAGCTCTTGATGTGGTGGATTTGGGTGTACGATTTGAATTCGATGATCTTCTACCACCACGTGAAGAGGGAGTTGAAGGCTCGTCTTCTAATTCTTGTGGTTGTTGTTGCTGATGATGACTTGAGGTGGTAGAAATCGTTGGAGGAGAGCTTACTTGATGGTTGTGGTTAGGAGAAGTGGTTGTTGTCGATTTTGGAGAAGCAGAAGTAGAAATAATCAGTTCTGAAGCAGCGTTGGGATGGTTCTTATTGTATCGGTGCTGTTGTTGTTTGGATCATGCATGATGAGAACGGACAGAAAAGAAGAAGATCATGATGTGCATTAAAGGATGATCATCATCGCCACCATGAGTTGTTGATCATCACACAGTTCACAGAGTCGTCGTTGTTGTGTGGATTGAATTCGATTTGGGAGAGAGATAGCCATGAAATAGGAATTGTTCAAAAAACCATAAAAGAAGAAGGTTTACGGAATTGGTTGCGAAAAATTATGCGACAGGTTTTTTCATAGAAGAATGAGAGAATGTGAATCCATGTGTGAATACATACCTGTTTGTTGTAGCAAGAATTGCAGCACACTCCTAGAGGTACATCGAATTTGAATGCAGCTACATACTGTTGTTCCAATTTTGTAATAAGGATGAAGAGTGGAAGTGGTGTTGTTATGTAATTGGATCGTTGAGAAGTTGTTGATTACAGTAAGGAAATTAATTGGTTCCAAATTCGCAGAATCATACATGGTAGGCATGAGAGGAATCGTGTATACAACACACATGTGTGCAATATATAATTCATCAATGTGTCACAATCGATCATTATACAATTATATATACCCATTAGGAAACAGTGAATTTGATTCGGTACAATTATTTTACGCAATTATGGAATAGAGAAGTGAAGGTATTCATGAGGAGGATTATTGAGATGTGAATGCCGACATGGTCCAAAATCGAGACATTGAATGATATAAACACACACAGACAACACCATGCACAGAGTCACGCCACGACACTCAAACGATAAATACTTACGGCACTCTTATTGCTCGCATTGATGTTATACTTTTTGCTGTAATGAAGATTGTATCGTTTACAACAAACACATTGATTGGAAAAGTCTTCGTTGGGAATATTCTTGTGTTTGGTCTTGTCTCCAATAACTGGAGTGGTTGGAGAATCAGCTGTGGTAACAGACATTTTACAAAAGATTGGATCAACACTACACTTGGAGGTTTGGAGAGACTACAACAAGCTGCTTTGATGAGCAATGCTGATTGACACTTGCACACAGGTACACTCAGTTGTTGGTTGTTGTCCAAATCTAGAGACTCTTTCGTGTGGTATTCGAGGTGTCTCTTTTTTTAAATTATCTTCCAGATATTCACCATTGTCGTGGAGGATTTAAAGAGCAGCAGCATCAATTAAATTTCATGTTAGTACGTTTTGGGAAGGGCTTACTCTTGCGGCTTCTCGGAGAGTAGTGGTTCGGAAGTGCTCTCATGGAGGATAATTCAAAGTCGCTTGTACAGACCGATGACACCAGACATTCAACGTTTCATTCACACAAGGCTTCAGGTGATGATTGCCAATCAACAGCTATAGCGAAACGATGAATCTTGTCAGCCGAAACAACAACAAAATATATTGGACTGAGCTCAAATGCTGCATGAAGGTCTTCTGTCAATAAGGAAAAATAAAATTCGCTTTGCGGTATTTTGCGCATCGTTCAGGAGATTTTTGCAAGCAGCAGTGAATGATGCGATGAAACTTGCCTAACAGGAATCTTGACAAAGCATCTTGCCTTTTTGAAATCTAGGGTAGGTCATTGCACCAGTTGAAAGGTTCAATTTTTCTTCTTGTAATCTCTATCTCTCTCACTTTCATCATTTATTACTAATATTGTCTTTGCGTTTTGTTGGTCATCACTGGCCAAATGATGGTCAGCACATCATGCTATAACTAAATACATCCACTGAGAATTGGTTTTCTCAATGATGACCATCCAACCATGCATGACACGATTGGTCATCAACATGATGATTTCTTCAACCAACTACAGCCAATGAATTTGGAAGGGGAAACAAATGGTGACAAAATGAATGCGTGGTATCTTCATCTAAATTTGATTCAACTCCATTTCTCCAGATTTGTATTTTGAAATGCTATAAGATGTGAAAACCAAGACATAGACACAAATGCACAATAGCTGATAACAGTAACAGTAGCCAAGAATACAAGTGCGGTTTATCACGAGCTAAGCTGTGTAATGGAAGGATCGATAGCTTTAAAAACAAAAAGTTGCACTTCCAGGAAAATGCAGCCACTTCCGAGTAAACGAGTATCGATTATTTCAATGACAGCAAGCTGGGTTGTCGTAAATAGAATGTTTTTGGAAAGGGTATTATCTAAAACCTTTACAGTTGTGTAGAGCCGAATCCTTACTGCTGTTGTTTTCGAGCTCTAATCTTCTCGAGACGTTTTTCAAACCAAGAAATTTGGTCGGGAAAGATATCAGCATGCTCTTTGAAAAAGTTCAACATGTTGTTGTATCGCTCCAACTCGTCAAAACCAATGCAGTACTGCAATTTGCGAAGGTCTACTGGGCAGAGCTCAATAGGTCTCGAATCTGATTCATCCATATGGTTCGAACCATTCATTGCACATTGATAGAAAATGCAATGCTAGCATTGATTCCAATAAGCACAGACGTTAGCTGAATGAGACGTCTTTCAAAAACACCACCTACCTTGATTCCAAACATGTGACCAATTTCATGAGAGGCAACTTTGCAACTTCTCCTCAAAAGAAGTTTTTCAATCTCAAACGAAGAAAGATTATGATCACCATAAAACGATGGATGGTATCTCGCAAAACTGAATACTCCAACCCTATTCTCAAGACTAGCAATTCCAAACACAAAGTTCCACGAATCGTCAGGGTATAGATCGACCATGGTCAGGCCTAACACACAATAAGCATCTTTGGGAATGATCTTTTTCAAATAATTTAAAATATCTCCGGTTTTGTACTGCAGCACAGAGTCATTCATTCTGGAGGTGAATTGAGGTTTGGAGCTTGTAGAAGTTGAGTTTAATACTTTAACCTCAACACCACTATAAAAAGCTTGTAAAAACTTGATCAAAACTGTAAGTGAAGGACATTTTGTTGGATTCTCTTCTGAGAATTGCTCAAGAGGGCAGATGTAAATCACATTCTGTTTTGATTTTCTTTACTCCGAATAAAAAGTCACCAATCAACAGGAGTTTTCGGCAACACCGAGTCAACCATAATTTCATTATTTCACCATTTGTTTTCAAATGTATACAATCCAAATGTTCAATAAATTGTGGGTGGGGATTGCAGTGCCACATAATTGAAAGATTCAAAAACATGAAAATCTGTTGTATGAACCTGCAATTTTGCATCCACACATACGCGAGTACCTACTTGATCCGATTGAAAGAAGTATTCTTGTACGCGTTAAAACTTTGTCCATATTCCTTGTGTTCGGCAAGCCATGAATTTCTCTTCGGCTTGGTCATTGGATCAAAATCATCGTCTGTATAAATTGCAGCCTTGTTGGGTTCCACTGTGTTGATCTCAAAAGCCTTCTCTCTCAAGGATTTTACGGGCGGAATGAATGAAGTCATTTTCTTGTGAGGTGCTGAGATCTCTTGTGTGAGTGAAGGAAGCAAGTAAGGACTTCATGTTACGGTTGAAATCGGTTTGCAAGTTCTTGGTTCAATTCAGAGATGACAATTATTAATATTCCTTCTGTGGTTCACACGGATGCCAATTAATTATTGGAATTCCACCATTCACAACACTCTACGTTAAATATTTCCAGGCAGACAAACAATGTCAGAGTGCTTTTGTGTCACTCTTAATTTCGGAAAGATTTTTAATAAGTTTACAAAAAAAATACCAGCACACCAGAGAGGATCTTTGAAGGATTAATAACATCGGCTGATATTTCTTCATTTTCTAAAATTTACCTGTGAAGTGAACACCAACACCTCAAACAAAATATCGGAAACGTTCATCAACATCATTTCTTATTCAATATTATTCAAAAAACAAAAACTCGGATGAGCAATAAGAGAAATTTTAAAATTGTGTTGCTTGGAGAAGGAAGAGTGGGTAAAACATCACTCACGCTCCGCTTTATTAAAGATGTTTTTGATGAGCATCAACAATCAACGATACAGGCCACATATCTTCAAAAAGATTTAAAAGTGGGAGACCAAAACGTTTGCCTATCTGTTTGGGATACTGCTGGACAAGAGGTGAGTTGTTAATAATATTATTCGGCGTATAAATGAACTGAACGAGGTTGTTATTCGAAATTCCAATTCATCTCCATGATATTTTGTTGGTCTACGATTACGATACTATTTCTGTGGATTTATTCTATTGTCTGATTCTATTGTCGGTTTATCGAACTTGCATTGATATCAACAATGTAATGCTTTGATTGTTCTCGAAATATAACGTCCGATTGATGAAACTACATCGTAACAATATTGAAAATTTTGAATTATGAACATGATTCTACACCAACAACAGAGGTTCCATGCTTTAGGACCAATCTACTATAGAAACGCCGACGGAGCACTTTTAGTTTACGATATTACAGACCAAGACACTTTTGAGAGAGCTAAAACCTGGGTGATGGAATTGAGAAAAGTTCTCGGAGATGATATTATCATCACTATTGCAGGAAATAAGTGTGATATGATTAAACAACGACAAGTTTCGGAAGAACAAGCTCTCGAATATGCTCGATCGGTAGGAGCAAATCATTTACTAACAAGTGCTAAAGCTAACAAGAATGTGGCAGAGTCATTCCTGGATCTTACGAAGCGTATTTTAGAAAAGAAAGCACAAGGTGGAAATGTTCCTCCCTCTTCAAATAGAATGTCAACACGAGGTGTTAGTGGACTGACCATTGAGGACACGTAAGTTTGAAAGAAATAATTGAGTATTAATTATGGAACGACTACTAACAATGATGAAAAATTTTTACATGATTCTAAACACAATAGCTCAAGGCCATCTTCTCATAGCAGAATCAACTCACGAGTGAGTGGACTCACAATTACAGACGATACTCCACAAAAGAAACAGCAAGATAATGGACCATGTTGTAAATAATGCAAAATTTACTAAATGGATTTTTTGTAACCTCATCTTCCTAAAGAACTGAAAATTCCACAATCCAATTGATCATCCACAATTTCGATTATCGAATTTCCAAGTCACTTGGAATGTATTTAAATGAGCTCATTAAATTGACTGTTCACATTTTTATTAATTCGACTTACTCAGACCACTAAGGATAGTGTGGTCTCAATATTTGATTGACTCTATTTCAGTATTATCGTGTAAGGGAAGTGTTGTTTATTTACTTCTTTTTCAACTTATTAAGCAGACCCGAGAAGAGTTTATGGGAGTGCTTCGACGACAAGGATCCAGACGATTCATCCATTTGAGGAGACAAATGTTTTCCTCCCAAACTGGGCGACCCATTACTCGACACCGAGTCGGAAAGAACATTTGGAGAGAATTCTCCTGTAGACGAATCCAACTGTTGTTTTCTGATGGCTTTCCTAGCTTGTTCTTTTTGTTCCATTCGAATACCTTTGATACAACCTCCCAAATTATTGGCCAATTCTTCATGAGGTGTTTCCTTAGTAAAGAATTGTTGATAAATATTGGTATTCACACTTTTCATGCCCTTATCTCGAACGTGATTGAATTTTTGTAACAGAAATTTCAAAGAATGTTGATACGAATTGTCACCATCGTAATCTTCAAAGCACACATTGAGACTAGTGTGAGAAACCTTTTCATGAAATAAATCCCATTTAGAAAGAAGTAGAATGATGGGTGTGGATCGAAACCATTTGCTATTACACATTCGACTGAAAAAGTTCAAACTTTGAATATGTGAAATTTTTTCAAATTGAATCCATAAAAAGAAATTGATTGAATCCATAAAAAGAAATTGTGTGAACACTCATTCACATGTTTGGAATGAAAAAAATACAAACCTTTCCTTCACTACATTATGTCTCTCCAATGATGTTGGTACAATATCATAATCTCCAATTGGACATACAAACATGACAATATCCACTCCTTGGAATAGAAAAAGCCATTTTCGTCCATCATTATTTTGTCCTTCCACACAATAAATAATATATCGTTCTCCACTAAAATTAAATTCAATTTCTTCAATTCCTTTCTTTTCTTCTTTCAAATGTTTTTGACAATATTCCACATCTTCATTGGTTGGTACATAATCATGTTGTGCAATTCGATCAATATGATCCATAAAATAATCCAAATTATATAAATCCTTGTAAAGTGTGAAACAATTAATTTCACCTGCATTGAATTGCTGTGGATACGATGGTTGTTGAGTCGTCGTGTGAACAGTGAGTGACAATGGTGGTTTCACTGCCACTGCTTTGACATCTTCTTCTTCATTATCCACATGTTGTTGTTGTTGTTGTTGTTGTTGTTGAGAAGAAGAAGAATTTAATACAGAACTTGTTCCGAGAGTTGTGACCAAATGTTGTTGTTGCTGTTGTTGTTGTGCAAGTTGTTGTTGTTGTGCTTGAAATTCTTTAAATTCAGAATGAATTTCTTTGGCTCCTCGTTGTTCCCAAAGTAATTTCATCATTTCTGCCACTTCTGGCACAAGGACATGTTCACCATAACAAAAATGTAGAGTTCTCAAATGACGAATGGCAAATTCAATTTCTTCTTTTCGATCCGAGTGACGAGGTACTATGGAAATGTCTAATTTTTCAGATGCGAGAATTAATTGTTTAATTCCATTGAGAGCATGGAAATGAATAATGTCACGAAATGTTTTGTTGAGATGGATGTCATGATGATCGGAAGATGAATCAAACAACATGTTGGATGAAGAGATTTGTTGTTGTTGAATGTATTCTTTGAGTTTTGAAATGATGGTTGATTTACCTGTGTGTGTATGTAATGACATTAAACAATGACAAGCGACCATTTCAAAATATTAATGATCATGACAATTGAAATTATTATCAATGATGACCATTCACACCATTCACAATTCACACTCTCTACTTACCAGCTCCATTCAATCCCAATAATAAAATCTTGACTGTTGGCGGTGATGCTTGTATATGAGGAGACTGAGAAGGATTCATATGAAGTGAATTTCCAACCACTCCATTCAACATACTTTCTGTTGTTGTAGATGAAGAAGATGGATTTAATGAAGAGGTACTCATGGTGGTCGATGCTGAATGTTTGGTAGATGTTGATTTTCGATTCCGAGGAATGTTCGTTTGAGTTTCGCATGACGATGGTTGGTTGTTGTTCATCTGGGAGGAGTGTTGAGAGATGTTGCCATTGGACGTGTCGAGTTGATGATGATGGTGTGGTTTGGAAGAAGTAGCAACAGTATTGCTACTACCCTCTTGAGAGGTGTTTTGGCCCATGAGAATGTTTTTTTTTTGATCTGGTTTATGTTGACAAGTGACGTCTTTTTCAAATGGTAGTTGGTGCATGGAATGAACCATGAGACCTTGAAATGTTAACTTTTCTATACAGAAGATGATGACAATCGTTGAAAAAGTTCAATGCCATCTTTGGATTCATCACGTGGATTGGCAAAAGACAGTTTTATTTCGTTACTTTTTGGCGGCAGATATTTACAAAAAAATGGCTAAAATCAAACCGATCAATGAACCGAATGTGGCTCCGAATACTGCTACCAGAGCATCATCTTCAAAGAATAATAGTCGACCAAAATCATCCTCAGCAACCACAAAACCCGAAACTAAGGCTGCAAAGAACGATGAGAAAGCCAATTTACAAGTTGAAAAATTGGAAAGTGGAGCATTGAATAGTAATCCATCTGCATCAGCTGTTTCAGCTGGAAATATTCCTCAGGCAGCGTCGCCGACAGCATTTAGTGATACAATGAGCGTCGTTTCGGGGATTAATGATGGAGATGAAACAGGAATAAAAGTCGTTGTAAGAATGAGACCAATGAATGATAGAGAAACAAAGTTAAAAGCCCAAACGTGTGTCAGTATGAACACCGAATCCAAAGAGGTCTTGATAAAACGAAAAGACAAGGACGATAAAAAGTTTTTCTTTGATGATGTATTTGATGACAAATCGACACAGCAAGATGTCTTTATGTCGACCGGAAAACGAGTGTTAGATCGATTTGTTTTAGGTTTTAATGTATGTTATTCTTGAAATTTGCCTCAATTGGATGATCGTGACTCTTTCAGGGTTGTATATTTGCATATGGACAAACAGGAAGTGGTAAGGTAAGTGTCACAGTTTTCAAAATTAGTCAGAGGGTTCTTGACTGTCACCACAATAGACATGGACAATGCAAGGATTAAAAGGAGAGGCAGAAAAGGAAGGAATTATGACTCGTTTTGTTCGAGAGCTATTCAACTATGTCACCACAGCCCAAGAAAAAACTGACATCACCATTAAGGCATCGTATCTTGAAATATATAATGAGAATATTCTGGATTTGTTAAATCCTCATAGCTCACGAGTTCAATATGATATTAGAGAAGACAAAGTTAAAGGCATCTATGTAAACAATCTTATTGAGAGGCCAATAACAAACGATGGAGAGCTGAATGATATTTTAGAAGAAGGAGCAGGTAGAAGAACGGTCGGTGAAACCAAAATGAATGAAGTGTCTTCTCGTTCTCACTCAGTGTTGACCATATCTATGGAACAAATCGATAAGGGTGATGATGACGGATTTTCATTAAGAACTAACAAAATTGCATTGGTTGATTTGGCTGGAAGTGAAAGAGCTGGAGCGACGGAGGCAACTGGTGACAGATTAAAAGAAGGTGCAAAGATTAACATGTCCCTGTCCATGCTCGGAAACGTCATTAATGCGTTAGTCAAGGTACGTATTACAGTCTTTCGGTTCAGTCCAGCTAATTCTGACTTGTTCTTGGAATAGAAATCAAACTTTGTCCCTTATAGAAATTCCAAACTAACGAGATTACTCAAAGATTCAATTGGAGGAAATTCTTACACTTTGCTTGTCACTTGTGTATCTCCTGCAGATGTCAACGCAGAGGAATCATTAAGCACCTTATATTTTGCTGATCGGGCCAAACAAATCAAAAACAAGCTCAAGATTTCAAGAGGAGATCCACGATTGGAAAAGATTGCAGAATTGTTAGAATTGGAAAAGAAATTAAGAGCTAGAATTTTGGAATTAGAGACAGAGCTTGCAAAATATACCAATGTTCCTCCACCACAACCAGAAATTGCAACAAAAGAAATCATTTCCATCGATATGGAAACCAACACTGAAATTGAAATGATGGAGAAACGAGCTTCTGCTCGCCTGATATCCAGATTTGCAGTGAAATCTATTCAAACAGATCCTTTGCCGGAACCGAAAAAAGGATGTTGTTTGATGATGTAACCATTATGTTGTCTTGTTTTTTAATTAAATTATTATTTCAAATTATAATTTTACCTGAAACGTCACCAATCATCTCACTCGAAATCCAATTACAAAAAAAATGATGATTAACACGCTTGTGAACCGAGCACACAGCTCGCTCATGCCTCTCTTGCGCAAGAGAGTATTGTTTTTTGTGGTGTTAACTCTAGGAATTTTAATGTTTATTCAAGTCATTCTTTTTAAAAGTTACTTGTCAAACAAAAATCATCAACACAGTGCCAAGTTGAATTTACCCAACTCGGAAATTTTGACACAAGCTGACAATTCGAACACAGGTACTCCTATGGCCCTTCAACATACTGACACTGCCTCTCCGATTGATGCAGAAGAAGAAGCTTCTCCAATAATTTCAAGAGATTCTCAATTGTCATCAAAACCCATTTCAGAGAGACATTTGGATAACAACATCGATCGAAGTGATTCCTCAGCAAATATCAGAAAGAGAGCTTCAAACAAAAAACAAGCGCAAAGAATACCATCAGCCAATTCGGGTTCCGAATCGACAAGATCGAGTATCACAATCGACTCAAATGAAAGTGTGAAGCCAAAGAAAGAACCAAAGAAGCCAACAACGATTCCCACTGTTCACTATCTCTTCATTTGTGATTCAAATATCAACAACAAATGTGCAAGTGATGAGGAGTGGGTTTCCAAAATTAAGAATCAAGTTCCAAATGACGTGAAAATGCAAAAGACAGATTCATCATTAGAAACCAATGCAGACATGAAGGTGAATTTTGTCTTATTTAGCAACAAAGATCAACCTCCATCTCAGCTCAAGGATGATGACCTTTCAAAACAATTGCAATTTGTGAAAATTAAGGAAAATAATATTCCAAAAACTGTGAATAATTATGTGCAAGAATTCGTCAAGGATGATTATGACATGATTATTTTCATTCATGGCAATGCAATTCCTATTGCGTTTAGTTACTATCAAACATGGGACATGTTAGATGAAATGGATCAAGTTGGAAGTATTACAGTGCTCTCGAAAACAGCCAAGACCAAAACTGTGGGTTGGAATATAAGAGCTCGATCCTGTGATGGAAAATCTAAAGCATTCTCTCTCGTTAAGCATTTGGCAGGATATGATGTTACCATGTTCTCTGATTACAGTTTAAATAAGAAGGGAAATCCAAAACATGCCAAATCAAGATTTGATGATGATATTGATATTTTCTTGCCTGATTTTACTGGACTTTCCATGTTGAAAAAGACCTTCACATCAGTTCAAGGATTCAATGAAAATCTTAAAAAGGACTATGCTCTTGATTTGATGTTAAAGGTATCCAAGAGTTCATTTAGCTCTCTATTTTCTCTGAACAATGTCATTCAAAGCTTTGATCCTTCTGGTGAAGATGAGGAAATTGTGTTCTCAGAGAATGAAGTACAAAGATGTGATAGCAGCAGCCCATCATCCGTTCGTCCTATTGAAAACTCTCTCAATTCTCTCTATTATGAAACAGTCATGAATATTTTCAATGATCGACTATTTTTGAGGAATGTTGAATTGATTTATACCATTACCTCACTCGATACTGCAACTGTACGAGAGGCTGTAACAAATTTGGCTGGTCTCGAAGGAAAAGTAATGATCACTTTGAAAGCTCAAGATGAAAATAAGGCAATTTCACTTCTATCCAAGCATGTGAACATTCCAACACCATTCAGAAGCGCAATCAATAGAATTGAGAGCATGGCATCCATTAATTCTCAATCGACTACTTCTAGTAGTTCCAATCAAAAGATATATTTCTATCATGGAAATCCACCTCAATTTTCATGTCCCACCGGTTCTTCGTTGTGCATTGGAAAAACTCAAGTCATTTCATCTGGAGAAACAAAAATTCCAACAGAATGGGTCAAATCCTGCAATTCAGCAGTGGATCAAGTTTGGGTTTCTTCCAAATTTGCTTTTGAAGCATTGAGGGGTGCTGGTGTTAAAAAGAAGAAACTTGTTTTTGTACCAACAGGTGTCGACACAAAGCTTCTTCGACCAAGATTCAAGTTGTCCAATTCGAAAGCAACCACTGACACTACGTTCAAATTCTTGACCATTTTAGATTGGAATAACAAAAAGAGGTAAGTGTATGAGAATGGGTTCAATGCATGGATTGACAATGTTATCATTTTCATTATTGCCCAACAACATCTGTTCAACCAACTGCAACACCTTGTAGTGCTCGAGATGTATTGTTAAAGGCATTCATTGATGCTTTCTCTGCCAACGATAAGGTCATTTTGACCATCAAACCAATGAGACCTCTTCAAGCACGTGTAAACTCACAACAACTCTTACAAGAGGCCTTTCGTTCATTGAATGTGACCAAGAAGGATGAAAATACGAGACCACGCATTGAACTTCTCTCTGTAGATGTTCCTACAGAAAAGATGCCTGAATTCTATCAACGATTTGATGGTTTAGTCATGGTAAGTATTGCTATATCGTTAGACAAAGATGTTCCCAACAGCAATTATTCTCTTTTCCAATAGCCTGGAGAGATTGAAAGTCAGGAACAATTATCGACACTGTTGGAGGCCATGGCTTCTGGTCTTATCACAAGTAAGTACTTGGTTCTCTATTATTCTCTTATTTGAATCTATCCATTCACACATGAAATAGTCGCATCGGAATCCATCGACACCTTAGACTTTATGAATGAGGCCAATAGTTTCCTCCTTCCGAGTGTTTCAACCACTCCCGATTCTGAAGCCAGTGCTTACTTGTCCGAAACACTTTCTTACATTCTCAATAATAGGAATCAACTCGAGACAGCAACCGTGAACAAAGCCCGTTTCGATATGTTGGATTTCTATGACCAGAGTACGGTCATACGAGAATGGTTGGAACGCATGGAACCTTCCATAGATGATGATCTTGGCTTTGAAGAGAGTTCAACTGATTCAACAACAACAACAACTGCATTATCATCATTCCGAGAGGATGATTTTGCCGACCAGACCACACTTCCTACCAATGACAACCATCAAGAACAAGTAACTGCCAAGAAAAAGAATAAGAAGAACAAGAATACAACACCTATTCAGGAAGAGAATCATCAGACAGACAACACCGAGAGCAACCACCCTAACAGTAACAACAACCATCATGTGATCACCACTCCTCATTAACCACAAGAAACCATTTTTTCAAAAAAACGTACAAAAAAGGCGGCAAAAAAAATGAAGCAAAACACTCGATATGCCTCTCCTCCCATGACCACAACCACCTCATCGTCGGTGGGAGGCATTTCTAGTCCTTCTCTACAACAGCAGCAACAAACAGCAATAACAACATCGGAAAGCATGCTATCGTCCTCCCCGCCTACTTTGCATGAAACTAACAGCTTTGCAGTTCAAGAAGAGGAAGACATGGTATACGGATATTTGAAAGGAACGAATGAGAGTCACTATGTATTGGATAAGAAAAAGATGATAATTGGAAAGAATGCGGACACTTGTGATATTGTGCTGCCGAACAGTAAGACGATTTCTGGAGAGCATGCAAAAATTGAATTCAGGAAGACATCTAATAAGTCTTATCAATGTATATTAACTGATCTTCAGTCACAAAATGGAACTCTTGTAAACGACAAGAGATTGTTTGTGGATGTCACAATGAAGCAATTAAATAGTGGCGATAAGCTCAGATTCGGATTTGATAATATTACTTATACAATAGAATTACTTTTTGACCCAGAGCCAAAGAATCGAGAATCTATGGATGAGAGGGGATTTATTGGTGTAAATTTAAACCCCGATTTTAAACCAGCAAAAAGCAAAATGCGTAAGAGCAAATCTTTCGACAAACTTCCAATGTCCAAAAAACCGGTTGCCAAAGTATCAAAGCAATTTAAAGAAAAATTGGAGTCGCAACAAAAAGAATTCAAAAGTTTACTCGAGCAACGCAGAACTCAAAAGAAAAGCAAAAACGACCCGTCTACACTAACATTCCAAACAGCCACTGGTTCAAAAACGGTACCACTCTCAGAACTTGAAAGTGACAATGAAGAAGATTTGGTGTTATCAGAGTCCCATGAAACTCCAAATGAAGATTTCAATGAACATGGTCAATCCATGACACAAAATATCAACAACACTCACAACACAAATAGACACAACTCAGAGAACTCTTTGGACAAAATCTCTGAACGACTTGTAAATATTGAAAAAACAATCATGCTGGATCAAAAGAAGGAAGAAAAAGATCTCTATCACATGAACGTACTTGTAAATACCGTACATTTACTGGCACATAAGCTGTTAAACCAAAATGCAGAGTCTCAACAAACAGCTGAGAAATTTATTGATCATGAAAAGTCAATGACTATGAAAGAGATAATGATCGAAAAGCTCACTGACATCAAAAAAACTTTAATGTCTTGCTTGACACAAAATGAAAGAAAAGCAGGAGAAACTGAAAAGAAAATTGTCGAACAAGAAGCTTTTAGATCACAAGGGTTAGAGCGATATGCGACAGAGTTGCAGAATGAGCTCGACAATGTGAGGTTTGAGCTGGAACGGAAAAATCTGCTTATCGAAGAACTGAAACGACAAACACAAGACCGCAAAAAAGACCAAGACACAATTAAAACGTTACGTGAGTGTCTCGATATGAAAGATAAGGACATGAAAGAAATACAAGCACAATTGACATCACACTCCCTCGTTGGATACACCAGCGAGGCAGCAAAATCCAGAATGCAAAATTTAATTTCAAATTTAATGAAAGATCTCGAGGAAAGTAAGAGAAAAAATCATGAATACCAAATTCGACTCGATAAGAGGTTATTTGAATGGCAACAACTGAAAGAAGAGAATAAGAAATTAAGTTTTAGAGCTTCCGAGCTACAAGAGACGATTCATAGGCAAATGAACGATTTACATGTGGTCTTGATGCACAAAGAACAAAAAATCAATGCATGGAAATCAAAAGTCGCTGAACTTGCATCAGATAATAATGAAATGAGATATAGAGCTTCCAGTTTCTTACTTTCATTAATAAGCGAAGGAGACAGAAAAGATACAGAACTCGTGTTAAAATATGAGGAAGTCAAACGAAGCTTAAGTTTCACACAAATGGAAAACAATGAATTGCGAATGGAAATTAATAATTTAAAAGATGTTCTCCAATATACAGACACTCACAGTACAAAACATACCATCGACATGTTGAAAGACAAAATTCATCAAATGGAAATTGAATGCTCTGTCGAGAGAGTGATTGAAATGCAGAACACCATTGAGACATTAAACTCGAAAGTATACGAAATGGAACGGCTACAAGCCCTCTATCAACATGAAATATCCAGAACGAGACAACAACAGAGACCGTTCAACGAAGATGCATGTGTTGCTTCATTGGAAAGGACGTTGCAGCTCTATGAAAAGAAAGTTGAATCACTAAGCAAGCAGTTGGACGAAAAACAAATGTTGCCGTCGCACGTGAGCAGTAACGATTTATTGTTTCAAGAGATGGTTCCCAAGAAGATCCAGAGGAAGCTCTCCACAGCCCAAGTACCTCTTACGGAGCAAGCAGTTGCAGATAAATTGAAGCAAGCAGATGACGTTCGTAATCTTTCCAAAGATAACGCCACACTAGAATCGAAAAAATCCTCACCGAGAGAGGAGCCAAAAGTCTCAGAACTAACAACTAATGACATCGCTGAGATGAAGAAAACACCTTCAGACACAGTTGAGAAGGACAAGATCGAGACAAACGAAAACAATTTAATTAAATAATTTATTTAGTGTATTACATTCTTCGTGCAGCTTGGAGATATTCTCTAATCATTCTAATTTGTGTTTGTTGAGCAGAGTTCAGTGTGAGAATCGTAGCTTCATTAAGATTCATTATTTGCTCTTTCTGTTCATTAGTCATTCCAGACAATATAGCTTGAATCTCGCTATTAGGTGGCATTGACGAAGATGGTTGTTGTGGTTGTGGTGGAGGTCTTCTTGGGTCAATATTCATCCTAGGATCAGTAGCCATTCCCATGCCGCCCATAGGAGGTTGCATTTGCATTTGAGGTGATGGCATCACCATTTGATTAGGTTGTTGCATTACCATTGGAACAAAAGGTTGATTGATCATTTCCAATATATACTGTATGTGTAAAATTACTACTGCTAACGTTGGATTTTGTGCTAAAATTTGTCGAGCTAAATCTGGATTTGTTTGAACTAATTCTTTCATTTCCAAAAGGCATTCATAGAGTTGTTGTTTTGGAATTTGTTTTAAAGCATCCATGACTGGATCTTGAGAAATATCTTGTAGTATATCATAGCTTCCCGATGAAGGTACGGTCATCATAGGTGTACTCATCATCATGGAAGGATTCATATCCACCATTTGATTACCTAGTCTAGGATCGTTTCTTGGTGGCATTCCCATACCTACATTAGTCATCATGGGACCTGATGTGATAGTGGAGCCTCCGCCAATATTTCCCGATGATGAAATCGGAGCCTCTCCTTCTCCTGGCATGTTAATCTTATTATTATCAGCAAAATCCACTCTCAATTTTCTTCCATTAAAGTCTCTTCCATCCAAATTCTTCATCGCAGCCATTGCACTTGTTTCATCACCAAATTCGCAAAAAGCATAGCCTTTTGGTTTGTTCGTTTCACGATCATAGACCATTCTAAAATTTACAACTGTTCCGGCCTCATTGAACAGTTGTTTCAACTTTTCCAGCGGAGCATCATAGGCAATATTACCAATGAACACACACCGCGAAGGATTTCTGTTGGTTTTGCTCATTTTTTTTGATGTTTTTTTTGATCTTCTTGAAATTGTTTCTTCATTTGATGATGATGCACCATTAAAATTATTTATTACAGGATATTGGATGAAGAAACTCAAATTACAATTGTTGAATAACAGAAAGTGAGAAAGCCATCACTGCACTATTCATTTGAGCTTGGTAAAATTTGGAATCGACCTCTTGAGAAGGTCCTTGCCATTGCACTGAAAATAAATTCAATTCATTCGTTCTTGCCACATTCCATAAACTTTCCACACAATTTTGTAACACGTTTTGAATTTTTAAATACATGGACAAGTTCTTGTCTTTCAATTGAGATTGTAAAAATGTTAAATATCGAAATCCAATTCCCTTAAATTGCATGCAATCGCTCACACAATTGATACCATCAAATAAAACGGGTCCTCCTACTTTGGAATCAATTACTTCTTGAGTAATCATAAAGTTGGCAATATTGGTGGCGATTTGTAAAAATGTTTCATTTCGAGTCATTTGGAATAAGTGAGTGGCTGCACCAATCATGAGACCTTCATTGTAAGTAAATCTCCATTGACACTCCTTAAAACCATTTTGAGCTGAGATGTGATCACAAACCGAGTTGTCACTCTTATTGACCATATGATCATACCAAAATGAAAACACTTGTGTGGAAAATTTCAAATAGTGCTCTTCTCGAGTTTCTTGATATAAAAGTGAGGACAACAGAGATGGACCAGCGTTAGATGCTGTTGCTTTTTGAGAATGTGCATAATCCCACCAAATTCCTCCTTTCATGGATCCACAACAAGTGTCATCCCAATTCACAACAATTTTCGAATACAAATACAAACATCGTTCCAAGTAGGTTTGATTTCGCGTGAGTTGATACGACCAAAATAATGTCAAGGCCATCCAATTCATATCATCAATGTAAGGTCGTTCCCATCCAATGTTATCTTGACCTGTATATAAATCGGAAATTAATTTGACATAGTGTGGAAATGAGAGATCATTGTTGGCATTTGTGAAATTTCGTGAGACTCTAAAAGCATTATCGACAATGGCGTTAAATCCCTGTGCGAAAGTCCAGTAACCAGTGAGTGGTGATTGCTGCTGTTGGTTGAAAGTATATTGATCCCGAAAATACTTCTGTTGTGGATCATAGAATTTTGAGAGAAAACTTTGGACTGCAAGGGATGCTCGTTCCACGAGTGCTTGTTGTTGTGGAAGTGACAAGGCTGTTTTAGAAAAATTGAAAAGTAGAAAGCACCATGCGAAGAGTAGTGCTGCCAAAGACAGTACACTCTTCGTTTTGAATGAATATAATTTGAATATTTTCATGAATTTTTTTGTTGTTTGAATGTTTGGATAAGGTGAATATTATTTAATGAGCTTGCATTGCATTCCTAGGTTGTTACATGTTAGAAATTCTTCAATTATTATTCTTGAATATATTTTTCTTTCAACGAGTCAATTTTAGAAGGTTCTAATCCTGAAAATTCGTAAAAGGCATTGAAAATAGATTTGACCATAAGAATTTCCTTATCTTCTAAAAACATAATGATCATATCAAATCTATTCACTTGCGAAATTTGCTCCATAATATCAAACGCTTGAAGGACAAAATCCTTGTCAAATGGTTTTCTAACAAAGTATTTCAACAAGCATTCAATAATTCCTGAGAAAATTTCAGGAGACAAGGAGTCACGAAGTATTGTTACAAATCTTCTAGGTGGGAATGCTTTTAGGTAATTGGCCAAATCTTCGCCTTTCAATTCGTTATAATATTTTTCAAACTCAAAGAATGATTTTGGTGCTGCTTGAGGAATTGAAGGTTTAAGATGAATGGTGACTGTCTCTGGGATGGAAGCTGTTGATGATTTAGGAGTAGTTGCGCTTACTGCTGGCTGAGATGAAGGTTTGGATTGTTGCATGTTGTTGTTGTCAACTGGTTTGTGGTTAGTTTCAATATTTTGCGATGGTTGTGAGACAGGTGCCTTCTTTTGCATATCCTTCATGTTCGTTGAAGCTCCACTTGTTATTAAATCCTCAATAACTTCCTCTTCAACTTTTGGTAGCTTCTTTTCTTCCACTGGTTTGGCTTGTTGCTCTTTGACAGGTTCTTGCTTCATTGGAGGAGGAACGCTTGCTTGTGACACTGTAGGCTTTTCAGAGGTAGCTTTTGATGTCTTGGGAACGACCACTTCCTCTTCTTCATCTTCTTGAATTGCTATCTTGGTTCCTTTGCCTTCCTCGCTCTTTTTCAGCAATTCGATAGCCTTTTGAAGTTCTCTCTCCGTTTCAGTATGATTTGGATTTAGTTTTCGTGCATATTCAAAGTCATCCTTAGATTCTTTGTATTTTTTTAATTCTCTTCTTGCCATGCCTCGTCTCATATAGCTCTTAACATAACTACTGTTAAGAGAAATAGATCTTGTAGCATCCAATTCAGATTCCTTAAAGTTTCCAAGTTTAAAATAAGCTTGACTTCTATTGCTATATACAACAGCATCTTGTTTAAATTGGAGACTCTTTGAATAAAATTCTACAGCCTTATGGAAATCTCCTTTTTTAAAATATTCATTACCAGTTTCTTTTAATTTTTCTGCTTCCTCATCGGGATCAATGGATTGTTCGGAAGTAGTCCCTCTCACAGGTGGATATTTCTATTGTAAATGAAATTGTTTAGAATCAAAGAATTCGATCAAGTAACACAATTGTCAATGAATGCATCATCCCAAATCAATATTCATGTGTGTTGTATGACAACGTGTCAATGATACATTGCAAGGAAAATCAATCACGTACCTTTTTCTGTGCTCCCTCTTGTAACTTTTTATCCTTCTCCGAAATATCTTTGGTCCACTTTTTCAAATCCGAAACAAAATCACTGTATTCTTGTGCATTGTTTCGGATTTGCTGTTGCATTTTGATAAGGTTTGCGTTGTGACTCATTTTTTTGGTGTTGTATGTCGTTTCCTTCAAATTGTATCGGAACGAATTCCGTAAGAGACTGACCCTCTTACGAATTTTCAAGCATTCAACGGGTTGAAGAAGAACCAGTTTCCGCTGTTGTTTGTTGATCGAACAACAAACACCTTTCACATTCACGGATGATGCTTCAATTCAAAATCGAAGTTCAACAAGTGAAGGAAGCTCGATTAAAAAAAGATCAAAAGGGTTCAGCTTCCGCACGCAAAAAAAATGTTGTCATCCAACCATACCAACAACAACAGCCAGGACCGAATGGTCGACGAAGATCACCAGGAAGTCGATGAAAAGCTCTACAGCAGACAATTATACGTGTTGGGAGTTGATGCCATGAAGAGAATGCAACAATCAAATGTCTTGATTTGTGGATTGGGAGGTCTAGGTGTCGAAGTAGCCAAGAATGTAATTCTTACAGGAGTGAAGAGTGTTACCCTCTATGATCCAAAGAATGTAACCTTTGATGATCTTTCTGCACAATTCTATGCCTCTGAGAAGGATATTGGTCAAAACAGGGCCGAAGTTTCTCTTCAACAACTCAAAGAGTTGAATCAATACGTTCCCGTTAAGATTCATAAAGGAGATTTGACCGAAGACTTTATTACTCAATTCGCCGTGGTTGTATTCACCGATACACACATTCCTCAACTGGTAGAAATGAATGAAATTTGTCATAAGCATAACGTACGATTTATTGCCTGCGAGAGTAGAGGCTTGATGGGATCCTTGTTCTGTGATTTCGGAACCAACTTTACAGTCTATGATCCCGATGGTGAGAACGTGGTTTCAAATATTGTTACCGACATTACAAATGGATATCCAGCAACAGTAACAGTCTATGATGATAAACCCACTCATGGTCTCTATGATGATGAGTACGTCCAATTTGAAGGAATTGAAGGTATGGACGAAATCAACAAAGTGTCAGAGCCCATCAAGATTAAAGTATCTGGAAAGCACACTTTCAAGATTGATTTGGATACTAGAAATTTCGGAGAATACAAGTCTGGCTCTGGTGGTTATGTGAAACAAGTCAAGGTTCCAACATCACACTCCTATCAACCACTCAAAGATCAACTTGCCAATCCAACTTGCATTGACTTTGATTTTGCTAAATTTTCACGACCACAACAAATTCATCTTGCCATGCTCGCCTTGAGCGAATATGAAAAGAGAAATCAGAGCCTTCCAAAGCCTTACAACAAGGCAGATGCTGAGAGATTACTTGAAATTGCTAAAGAAATCGCTCCAGACGCACTTAAGGAACACTTGGACGAAAAAATCGTCAAGCTTTTGGCTTACACTTGTAGAGGTAATTTGAATCCAATGGCCGCCTTTTTGGGTGGTATTGTAGCCCAAGAAACTCAAAAAGCTTGCAGTGGTAAATTCTCTCCTCTGAATCAATATTTCCATTTTGATGCCTTGGAGTGTTTACCTGAAGATGAAAGCTCGTATCCAACTGAGGAAGATTGCCAACCAACTTCTACAAGATACGACGGTCAAATCTCTGTCTTTGGTAAGGCATTCCAACACAAATTGGCCGATGTCAAGGAATTTGTTGTTGGTGCAGGTGCTCTTGGATGTGAATTCTTGAAAAATTATGCCATGATGGGTGTTGGTTGTGGACCAAACGGAAAAGTTTTTGTCACAGATATGGACAGCATTGAAGTTTCTAACTTGAACAGACAATTTTTGTTTAGAAGAAGACACGTGGGTCAACAAAAATCAACAACAGCTGCTGAAGCTGTGAAAGCAATGAATCCTGAATTTCATGTCATTGCTCTCCAAGACAAAGTAGCACCAGAAACTGAACAAACTTTCGATGACGATTTCTGGGAACAATTGTCCGGAGTTACCAATGCTTTGGACAATGTTCAAGCTAGATTGTATGTTGACACACGATGTGTATACTATGGCAAACCGCTTTTGGAATCAGGAACCCTTGGTACCAAAGGTAATACTCAAGTCGTGGTTCCAAAATTAACTGAATCTTATGGTACCACAAGAGATCCACCAGAAAAAGAAATTCCAATTTGTACTCTGAAGAACTTCCCTAATGCCATTGAACACACCATTCAATGGGCAAGAGATTCATTTGAAGGATTCTTCAACAAGGTGCCAAATGATGTCAATACTTACTTGTCCAAGACAGATTACATCAAGGAATTGGACAGTCTTGCATCGAAGAAGGCTGTGTTAGAGAGCGTTTACGAATCCCTCGTTAGTAACAAGCCCTTGTCCTTTGAAGACTGTATTTCATGGGCTAGACTCAAGTTTGAACAATTATTTAGAAACAACATTATGCAACTCTTGTACAATTTCCCACTCGACATGGTGACATCAACAGGAACTCCATTCTGGGGCGGAGCAAAGCGTCCTCCAGTTCCTTTGAGCTTTGATCCAAACGATCCACTTCATTTGGACTTTGTTGTATCTGCTGCAAACTTGAGAGCTTTTGTTTATGGCTTGAAGGGTGGTTCTAAAGACGAATATGACTTTAAGGCTATAGTTTCAAAGATAAAAGTCCCTCCTTTCCAACCAAAGAGCGGTGTTAAAATCCAAAGCGACGAAAAGGAAAATAAGGAACCAGAACAAGAGTTTTCAGATTCTGATGAACAGGAAATGCAACAACTGCAATCACAAATTCCAAAACCAAACGACATGGCAGGATTCCGTTTGAATGTTGCTGAGTTTGAGAAGGATGACGACACTAATTATCATATTGATTTCATCACTGCAGCAAGTAATTTACGTGCTAGAAATTACAAGATTCCTGAAGTGGATAGACACAAGACCAAGGGTATTGCAGGTAAAATTATTCCTGCCATGGTCACTACCACAGCACTTATTACGGGTCTTGTTGGATTTGAATTTTATAAGGTATGTTATGCTTTTTGAGTTTACAAGTTGTTTTGAACCTTTTATTATGCGCATTCATATCTTTCTTGAGGTACTCTGTTTGGGTCAATGCACCTTCCTTGAGGTGATGATTGGCTATTAGAACAGCTTTACAATTAAGTTTTACACATTGTAAAAGTTCACTCGAATAGCCTATATTCATATTCATTCATTCCTCAAGGAATGGTGCTTGACAATCCAACAGAGCGCATCAATGAAAGAATGAACCATTTATGCGCTTACATGTTTTGTTACATTTCATAACATACACAGTTAATGCAAGGCTTTAACAAAATTGCTGCTTTCAAGAATGCCTTTGTCAACATTGCTTTACCTTTTGTTACCTTCTCTGAACCTGGAGAACCACCAAAACAAAAGTATTTGGATGTCTCCTGGACTCTTTGGGATAGATTCGAAGTTGATGAAGGAAGAGACATCACATTGAAGGAATTTATGGACATCTTTAAGGAAAGATTTAAGCTCGAAATTACTATGATGTCAGCAGGAAAGTCCATGATTTACTCATTCTTTGGAAATAAGAAAGCCATTGAAGAAAAGATGAAGACTCCTCTCGGACAATTGGTCGAAACAGTTTCACAAACTCAATTCTTGCCAAAACAAAAGTATGTCAACTTTGAAATTTGTTGCCAAGATTTGGAAAATGGTGACGACCAAGAAGTTCCTTATGTTCGATACAAATTCAGAGGTTGGTAAATACTACATGATCATGTAATAAATACAGAATCATAGTTGAATTTAATGTACAAGATTATTATTGATCCACAATTCATTGAATGGTTATTCAAGATCTAATCACAACTCGTTGTTGTTGTGGTTGTGAAAAACACATGATAATGATTCAATCATTGATGAATGTTGTGTGATCTACCACAAATGTGCACGCAATGATCAAACAACAAATTCCCGGGAGAATCGTTTCATCACCTTTTTACAATTATTGTCTCGAGCACAATTTAGAAGCAAATTCACGATAATCAAAAGTTCCATCGGAATCAACATTGGCCTCTTTCATCAACTCCTCCCAATCCTCATCCGATAACCCTGCAGCTTGTTGTAATTGATCTTTAAATTCCTTTGCATCAACTCGGAATGAATTTTTCGAATCAAACACACGCATGGCTTCAATCACATCTTCCACTTTGCTGTCATCACGAATTAATTTGTTGACCACATTCATAAATCCTTGCAAATCAATTCCGTCTTTTCCTGTCAAATTGGTTTTCTTTGCTTCCGTGATGAGTGATTTTACGTTGTCTTTTGCTCCCATGGCTTTCAGGAGGCCTTCCATTTCCTTTTCGGAGACTAGACCATCTCCGTTGATGTCCAGTAGAGAGAAGGCTTCTTTGAGTTCTTTTTCGTCTTGTTGTGAAATGATGGCCATTGCTATGATTTGATGTTGTGTATGAAGTAAACGTTGTGATGACGGTTGTGAATAGGGATTTTTTTTTGAGTTTAAAAGTGACATCTGGCATCTGCTTTCATTCCGTAAACAGTGTTTGAACCAGGGTCTTGTTGTTTCGTTTGTCCTCTTGATACACAATCTCTAAAATTCAATGAACATAATCCTTGTCATCATGCTTTGTGATTCTCGATTTTTTGAAATCATCAACAACTATCACATCATCATTAAAAATGAATCCAAGTAGCATCAAGAAACCTCCTTCTCTTTCCATCGTTGCAGCAAAGAATGCATCATCATCGGGAAGGAACACAACAGGAGGATCAGGCTCGGGAGGGACTCCTCCTTCATCAACACCATCTGTATCCACACCTACTGTAATAGCCTCCTCACCACAGCAACAATTGCCAACGACTTCTCTCGTGATGGCTGTGAGAGGCTTATCCTTGTTATGGAGTAATTTTGAAGGTGATTGGATCTCAAAGCCACACAATCAAGATACAGAAGGTAGTTTATTGGTATATTTGGAACGATTAATTGAAAAATCAATGAACAGCGGAGGCGTATTGAAACGATGGAAAGAGTACCAGCAAAATATGGATGAAGATGAAAATGAATTTGAGAATACGGAAGAATATGTTAGCATGTTGGAAAAGCGTGTCAAGACTACATTTTCCGAGATTGTACATCATAAACGAAAGTGGCTGGAAGAACGAAAGTTTTTCGAAAATTTAAATATTTGTGAAACATTTGATGTGATCACCATGTCAAATCTTGACCCACATTTTCGATACAAGAATAGAATTAGATTTAGTAGTGACGAGTCATCGAGCGGAGTGGTGTTTGATCCATACACATGCTTTCTAGTGAGCTTGGAGAATAAGACCACATTGAGAAACGAAATTGATTTTTGCAAAAAGGAGGGTAAAAGAGTGGGTGACGAAAGAGTTTACAAAATAACTTCTCAATTAATTAGCACTGTACATTATATGCATTTATTTGGCGTTTTTCATTCATTGCTTTGTCCTGAGCTGATTTGTATTGCTGACAATGTAAGTTAGATTTCGCAACAGAATAATGTAACCTCGCCCACTTGCTATTTAAATAGGGCGATATACGGTTAAAAGACCCATTTTATTATCACATGATTGCATGGATCAATGGAAATATACCTTCTACAAGCTTATTTTTAAAAGACACACGAGATTTTGAGATCCTAGTTCCGTATTTGGCTCCTGAGCTCTTTGCATTGGCATGCTATGAGGACAATTTCTTTAAAAGCGTAAATAATAAGTGTGATGTTTGGTCAATTGGAGTGATATTGATAGAATTTATTCTTGGTAATAGAATGCCTTTCACGACCAAAGTCGACACAAAATCGCAATCAAAAGAAGAATGGAAAAGCTCAGCAACAGAGGTTTATGTAAATATTCACAATTTTGTAGAGTTTTGCAAATGCAAAAATGAGGAAGAAAATTCAAACGAACAAAACACCGAATCACCATTTGAAGATGACCCGTTATACAAGAACGCTTGGAAAAGAATTCAGCGATTTGATAAGACGTTTAGAGACTTACTCTTTTCTTGCTTAGCTTTTTTACCAAGTGAACGTCCAGATCTAGACTGGCTTATTGAACAACCATTTTTTGAAATTATTTCCAAAGAAAAACTTGCACACCTCTCCTGTAGAATTACCAAATTCCCACATTTCAAAAGCTTCGATGACAAGATTCCCAATTTTCCACATCATAACAAGGAAGTTACCATTACCACACCTCTCACAAACCCACTTCAAGAAAAACAAAACATTTTCAAAAAGAGATATCAAGAATGGAAAACATTGTATGAATCCAAAATAACGCTATTCGATTTTTTCTATAGAAGGATTTTTGATTTAAACATTACTCCCTTCATATTTAGAAGTAATAAGAGAAGTCCAGGAACAAGATATTTTTCAAATGGTATTTCACAATTTATCTTTGATAGTTACGTATTGATTCCATTTTCATGCCTTGACGATGCTGTGAGCACCATCAAATCCTACAATAACAATGCCCTTGGAATTTCTACCACAAAATCATCACAACAACAGATTTCAAATGAAAGTCCAACTCCTTCTGAAGATACACTCTGCCCCTCATTGATTCATGTGTCAGGAGATATTGGAAAAAAGAGAAGTCTATACAATAACAAGGACACAAACATCACATGGACCAAGTTTTCTGCACTCATTGGAGAAAAAGATATGGACTTTGCATATCAACAGCAACGAGTTCACACCTTCAGAAAGCTCTTGCTCAATTATCCATTTTCTAGGGATGAAATTATTAAGGAGGCAAAAATAGATATTCCCTCAATTTTAAGGTATGTTCTTTGCTTCATATCATAATTCAGCCAATTAATTGAAAATATCAAGAGGTGAGATTTGGGCAGCCATTTTGGGAACAGAGGACGATCTAGAAGCTGATTCACTCTACTTTAAAATTTCTCATGATCTTCAGAAACAACCTCTCTCTAATGTGACTAAACGACAAATAGCAGTCGATGTTCCACGGTGTCATCAATACAATCCTCTTCTGCATTCAAAGATTGGACAAGAAAAATTAAGAAACATCCTTGAAGCATGGGTATTCTATCACAAAAACTCAAATTTGGTGTACTGGCAAGGTCTCGACTCTCTGTGTGCTCCGTTCCTTTGTTTACACTTTGATTTTGAAGCAAAAGCATTTTGTTGTCTCAATGCCATGGTTAACAAATATTGCCATCAATTTTTCACGTCTCACACCAATTCCACAGCCATGGAAGAACGTTTGGCCATATTCAAAAAATTGCACATGTATCATGATCCAGAGCTTGCAGGTCACTTGCATCATATTTCCTTCTCACCAGAGCTGTACGCTATTAGTTGGTTCTTGACTTTGTTTGCACACTCTTTACCCATTGAGAAAATCTACAAGTTGTGGGATGCCATTATTTTAGGATCAGCGGACTTACCAATATTTATTGCAGTTGCAATTTTAAAGCAAATGAGAACACGCATCTTGCAAGCTGATTTTCACAATGCCATGTATATTTTCCAGAATATTCAAGGAGTGGATATTATGCAAGTGTTAGAAGATTGTAAACGCATTGAGGAAAAGACACCTCGTGGCTTAACATGCCCCAAGTGCTTGCAACAATCACCATCTTCTCCATACTACATTTCTATTGAAGGATATAACAAAGATTGTTTATATCCAAGAATTACCATGCAAGATTTCGAAAAATCAACACTTCCTTCCATTTCATTCATCATTGACATTAGACCAAAAGTTGATTTTGATAATCATCATGAACCATCAGCATTTCACATTACAAGGTTCAAGCCTGATGATGAGGATGAAAGTAATGAAACTAGACAAGCATCCTCACCTTTAACAGCAACTCGATCTCAAGATGCTTGGTCTTCGCTCGAGCAAGAGACCAATGAATACGATCCACCAGAAGTGTATTTGGGCTACTTGAATCAACTCGCAGCAGAGTTGCATTTCAAGAAAGGACTCCCCATTGTGGTCATTGCCAATAATAAGGACATTACTCAACGTGACAAAATATTCCAATTAGAGAATAAGCTCATGTTAGAATCTATTCCATATGTCTCTGTAATTCTAGATTACGATCGAGATGAGAATGATCCTCCTCTACAATGATAAAATTTGGACCTTAGTACAAACCATTTAGTTTTTCTGAAATAAAAAATGATGAAACACGTTACTGGCTTCTTGACGGGAAGAAGTGCTTCGGGATCAATGATTAGAACGAATGAGAGAGTCATTTCATTGTTCTTCCAAAGTGGTCGTTCATTTAACGAAAAATTATTATTATTTAGAAATCATTGTTCCCTTGCGGAATATTCAAAGAGTACCATCAAGAAGAAAAAGACTCTTGAACCAAAAGAAAACAAAAATCATTTTGAAAAGAAATCAATTTCCGATGAAAGTTTAATGATTCGTAATGAAATAGCTACTTTGAATCGTAGTGATGAGGATTTTAATGTTGCTTTCAATCAACTAGATATTAGCAGTACGGAACATCATGATATTAGTACTTCGGAAGACTCTACTGGAACACTTCAAACCCCACCTGGACTCTATGTGGTTGCAACTCCCATTGGAAATATGCATGATCTCTCAGGTAAGAATTCACTAAATACTTAGTGCATACATTCTTAATTGATGATAGAGAGAGCCAAACACGTTTTAAAATCTTCACAAATTATTGCCTGTGAGGATACACGAACAACGAGAAAACTTCTTCATTTTCATTCTCTAGAATCGAATCCTCCTCAACATTTAATAAGCTTTGTAGAAAACAAGAATGCTACTGAAATTTATAGCCAATCGAGGAAGCATTTGAATGTTATATTGAATAAGTTAACCTCTTCAAGTCAAGTGGTCTCACTTGTGAGCGAATGTGGGTCTCCTTGTATCAGTGATCCAGGATGGATGTTAGTGAAGAGTTGGTAAGCGTCAATATTAATACTGAAATTGCCATATTGATCTATTTCACACCTACTTTTTTCAAATCATGAATTGTTTTCATGAAATATTGTTAGCCACGAGTACGGCGTACCAGTGTATTCAGTACCTGGACCTTCCTCCATTGTTACAGCTCTCATGATTAGTGGCTTCAATAGCAATAGATTCATCTTTGAAGGTTTTTTACCAATGATTCCCAAAAAAAGAAGGAAATTATTGCAAGAAATGAACCAAATTCAAGGTAATCGTTGTTTAGTATTCTTTGAAAACCCAAACCGAATCAAACAAACTCTTCAAGATTGTTTGGAAATATTTGGACCTCAACGACAGATTGCTTTATGTTTCGAATTGACGAAATTATTTGAGCGAGTTCAAAGAGGAAAGCTGTCAACAATTGCGAGGGCAATGATGAACGAAGATATTAAGGGAGAATGTACCATTATTATTGCACAAGATGAAGAAGAAAAGAAGACTTTGGAAGATTAGATTTCAATGGAAATGAAGAATAGCTTGCGCATCGGAACACATTTAATGATTGTAAATCTATACACTTGTCGGAATTAGTATATTGAGGACGATTGGATTTGTGAATTCCGACAAATCGGAATTCAGGACATGAAATAATTTCCTTTTAAAAGTAGTTTCCAATCCGAGAAGCACTTCAAATCGGAATTTATTATTATCATCTCGGGATTTGAAACATTTAAATAGCGACCACCATGGCTCGACTTTGATTTCCAAGACAAAACAAAATCCCAATATTGCAATACAACAACTCGTATACCTTACACAGCACCTTACTACTACACAAATGGTTCGTCACAGCAACAAGAATACACAACTCTCCAAGCCACAACGCAGTGGATTCGGTTGGCTCGATACATTCTTTGATGACCCATGGTTCCGTGCATTTGATAGATTCGATGATCGTCTTGAACAGGTCTGGAAGCCAACCACAGATGTTAGCGAGACTGATAAGGAATTGAAGGTCTTGTGCAACTTACCTGGAATTACAAAGGAAAATGTCAAGATTGATCTAGATGACGAGAATAGATTGTTGACAGTTTCTGGACACGTGGACAAGGAAAAGAAGGAAGAAAATGAGACCTATCACTGTGTCGAGAGATCTTATGGTGACTTTTCAAGAACTATCTATTTGCCACCCAATACTGACATGAATAATATTAAGGCCAATCTTGAAAATGGTGTCTTGAGAGTCACTATTCCAAAGACTATTCCAGAAAAGAAGACAAGATCCATCAATGTTGAGTAATGGAATTTAGTCACTGCAATAGAGTGGTGTGAAAATTGTCAGTTGAACAGAACACGACAATAAAGTTGTGAAGAATTCAACTGAAAAGATTCTTTTGAAATTGTTGAGCTTGTGTATTGATGGTCCGTGAGAACAACGTTACCCTGAAAATTACGTTTTTACAATTCAAATGTTTCTTTGTGTACATGGAATCTTGTTTGGAAATCACTCAATTCTCGAGCAGTATTTAAGACATCCACAATCAAATGATGTGTTCCACAAACAAACACTCCAATATTTCTCTCCTTGGACGAGTCTTGTTGTTTGAGGGATTCTAATAACTTTTTCACATCCATCTTGCCCATCACTGCATGATTACATGAAGCAGAAGTCTTTTGCTCACTCATTTCTGTTTGTTGTGAAGTTATGAAAAATTGCTTCTTGATTGACGCATTTACGTCGTCTCTCAATAGTGGGAATAAATCAATCATGGCAGGTTGTCTCAATGACCACCAAACATGTACTGTTTGAATTTTGTGATCTTCTCTCTGAATAATTCCTTCCAATACTGAATTCACAAAAGTGACTCCAATTCCACCTCCAATCAAAACCACAGTTTCATAGCTACGAAGAGGTATCGATAAATTTCCATAAACACCCTCTACTCGAACACTCACATTCTCGGCACGTTCATTGCCACTTTCAATTTTCTTTGCCAATTCTGCCAATCGTTTCGAATATCCCTTTCCATGATTTCGAACATGACAAGTGAATTCATAGACAGAATTTTCTTGTAATTTCTTACAACTACTCATCGTGAATGGATGATAACCGAATGGATTCACTCTAGGAATGTATACAAACACAAAACCACCTGCATTCATATTTGCGCCAATATTCAAAAATGTCATGAATCGTTTTTGGAAGGTCAAAACAGTGACTTTTGCTTGTTCATCGTATTTCATGCTCACTAATTTAGTTGGCACACCAAAACCAAAGATCCATCGAAAACTCAAATCGAACAAGAATAGTAAAATACTACATGCCATATATGGAAGTGTCATAACCCATCCTCTTCCGTGAGCAATAACGAGAGCTACCACACACAGTGCAAGAATAATATGTGAATAGTAAAATAATTCCCAAACTTTTCTTCGAATAGGTTCAAATGTCATTAATCCTAAAATTCCCAACAAACACCAAGCAATAAATCCCAATAATGGATAACTCATCGAACTCATGGACCACAAATAAGCAGCATTTCCTAACACTGCATTTTCTACCAACATGGCAATAAAATGACACGTCACAAAAAAGAAGGTCGATCTTCCAATCCATTTGTGATACTTGACAGCTCGTTCAAATGAAATTCCAAAAAGTGCCAACAAGACTGAATATCGGCTCACTGGAAATAGAATTAAACTGAAATTCCAAACATTTACATATGCAAATGCTCGTCCAACTGGAAAACTTGTCGCATTGACACCTCCATAAATAGCCCAAACGCTTAATATTAACCAATACGTCACAACGAGAAGAACTTCACCAATGGTTAACTCGAGTAATGGGTTTAGCACACTTCCAATGTATCGATTCTTAATGAGAGGACAAAATCTTCGATACAACAACAAGTCCGTGAAGGCATTTGGTTTTGCCATAATTGGTAAAAATGTGAAAACTAATCCAATGCTCAACACTGTGAAAAACACAGCACCTGTCACAATTAAATGGAAATTGACATAATTTGGTGTCGAATTAATATTCGGAGTATTTGGATTTCCTGAGGTCGTATTCGTTCCCACATATTGCAATAAATTAGTTGTAAACGTTCCTCTCGTATTTCCGTCATGAGCAGAAGAGAAGGAATTTGAAGTTGTGGAAAATGCATAACTAAATTTCATCGTTTCATTTCGAATGATTTTATCTCGTGCCGTGTCTCCAGTATTGATCTTTCTAGAAAATTTCACATGTAAATCTCCATTACTCACTCCACCATCTTTATCGAGTAAATTATCAATTGTATCTTGAATAGGAGCACTTCCAATACCTGTCATGAACATGTCAGCAATTTCAATCTTATTATTCACAAATCGAGCCATAACAGTGTCAGCATTGGTCATTCCAGTAGTGCCAGGATCAATTCCTAAACCTGCCCATCCATTCGCTGCACCCTTGACAATGATTGCAAAATCAACAATGGACGAATCACTCGAATTGACTTTGAAATAGAGTGAAAAACCATCCACAGTACTAATTGAATTAATTTTGGGATAATTGGAAGGATTCACAAGAGAAGCTGCTTGACACACTCCAAGTGTGATGATGGTCTTCATGTCATGATGACTATTCGAATCGTCGGAATGGAACCATGTGCTGAATGAAATCATCATGAACCATACGATTACTATTGTGATGACATGTTGAACGAGTCGATGATGAAGACATCGAGAGGATGAATGTGATTTTTGTGATCCCATCATCACTTGTGTGCGTTTGATCGATCTCTCAAGAGATTGAAACAATTGTGAATTTGTGAAGTTAAAACGATGTGAAATGAGGCAACAAGAATTGGCGATAGAAGGTTGCCTGTATGCGTAAGATTGTGCCTGCTGCTGGCGTTTGTTGTTGTTACTACAAGGACGAGTGAGTGATAGGTTCTGTTGTTTTTTTTGTGAAACTTGACGATCAGAAAGAATCCTCGCGAAGGAATTTTTAATGATTGGTGAAAAGGAAAGACTTTTGACTTTTCGGTCAAAAAAGAACAAGCAACCAAAGGAATCAGCTGTGGAAACCAACTGCACGAGTTTGAGAAAAAACAGAAGGTAAAGCAATATGTTTGAAGTGTAATGCTCTTAATCCGATGCATGAGGATGCACTAATTTCATTTTCCAGTCTACTTTTAAGTCCAACAGAAAGATTGAGAGTTCATTGAAATTGTTCTTCTCCCCTTTGAGAAAGTTTTGAAAGTAGAGAAAAAAGAAAAGGACAAAAAAGAAAAATGACCAGAAATATCAACATGTTGGATTGGAGGAATCTAATGTAGAGACATGAGGAGTTGTGTGGAAAGAACAGTTGTAGTCGATGTATTACCAGAGCTGTTGAAACGACTAAAATAGATCGAACGTTTTAAAAAGAGATTCTATTTGTCTCAAAGAATGTCAACGAACTACGAATTTAAGGGTTGTGTTTATATTCATGGTGAACGTGTTCTTAATAACCACTTTGCTGGACAAAAGGAAGAATTTACAACGAAGAAAGTCATTACGAAAGCTGTTCCTCGTCCTTCAAGTCAGACATTCCTCTGCTGCTTTTTAAAAACTTTTTCAAATCCCAATTTGAATGTCAACTTTGAAAAAAATTGAAAGCACACAACATTGCATCATCCCACATGTTGACAAACAACAGCACATCATCCAACGAAGAGCCATCGGCATCTTCCATTCAAGCCTTTACTCGTCTTCATACGAAACTAGAGAATTATTATAATTTACCCAAGGGACAAGGATTAGAAATGATTCCGTATATGGATCGTCTGAATCCATTGTTAGTCTCGGATAAGAGAATTTCAAGGCTTGAGTGTCTGCAGATGGTGAATAGAGATTTTCATCGTGTACTCTCCGTAGATGATCATGATTTTTGGATGTACATGTTGAACGATGTTTCTCTGAAGAGATGTATTGAATCAATTTTCAGATTGTTTCCGAGACCTTTTGATATTGGATTTAATTCTCTGATACATGATACGACAATAACACCAAAAAGTGAGCAACGAGAAGAGGCTAAAATTTACAGACGTCTATTCATGATTTATTACAAATTATTTATGAATTTCTATTTGAGTGCTAGAGCAAATAGTAATGAATTACGCTCCCCTCAGCAATTACGAGATCAAGTAGATCCCGAAGAGTGGTTGGATATCGGATCGGTCATTTCTCAGAAATCACTGTTTGATATTCCTAAACTCTTTGACCTTTCAGCATTATATGCCTATTCGAATACCATGCTCACCACTGAGTTACTCACCAAAATATTTCTCTCTCAGCCTTCTTTGATGCATGACTTGAATGATCATGTGTTAAATACCATATGTATTAATTGGAGAGACCTTTTTGATAATATTTACAAGATGCAACCTATCAATGGTGCTACCAAGCCACAAAATTCATCATCTTCCGAGTCCAATCAAATCAGAAAAATTATTTATTATCTTTACGATGGAACTTTCACAATCAGATCTTTATTAGACGTTTTTCCATTAGCATCCTATGCGTTTATGTTAGACAATAGAGAAAAGAAGACACCAATGTCATATCAATTTTCTTTCCTCATTCTTGAGTGTCATGACAAGGTGATTCCTCAATTGCAGAGCATGATTGGAGAAGATACAGATTATTCATTTCTCTGCAAGCAAATCAAGCTTAACCTTCTTTCAATTACACACGTTCTATTCCGAGAATATTACATGAGAAATATTGAAGATCTCGTGACTGGAGCCACTCATACCAATAGATCAACTTCAAGTCATATGGATGCCCTTCACTCTAGATATATTGAAAATTTATTGACACGAGAACAAATTCCACAAGCTAAGCTCGAACTTCTTTGCAAGTATACTTTGGATAAGCAAATGACCCGTCAAACAACTGCCATTGTTCTAGAACTTCTCGACACTCTTCAATCCTATCAAAAGTTTATCATCACGGATCAACCTAAACTCAATTATCTCATGTTCCAATATGACAAGTTGTATGGACTTTCCAAATGGATGGAACAAGTGATTGCCAATAATTCCTCTCTTACAAGTGTTTCCTCAGTTCAAAACCTTGTCAAGAATATTTGCAGCAAACTCTCTGAGGCAGAGAATGAAGCAGCACTACAAGGTAGTGAAGAAAAGCCAACAAGTGACGCTCAACAACAACTCAAATCTCTCTTCCCAGACTATGGATTAGGATTCCTTCAATTGTGTTTGGAACATTTCAAGAATGATCTCGCCGTCACCACGAACTCACTCATGGACAATCAATTACCATTGCAATTGAGACGTTTGGACACGAAATTGACATTGAGCGCCTTAAAAAGTTCCACCATTCAAGCTCAGAGCTCCTCTGAGTTCAATAAGCCTCCATCTTCTCTCATTTCCGCAGCCAGTGCTAGTAGTGGACGTCATTCTGAACCTCCATCGCCAGTGGTTTCTCCATCGGTTTGGATGGACACTGATTTCTTCTCGAATGCATCAGCCACCTCTCAAGTGGTTCGAATTGGTAAAAAGAAAGATCATGGCACGAGGACCAACTTTAATGACATTGATGACTCTATTAAGCAACGTATTCTATTGGAGTATGCCTATGATGACGAGTATGATGATAGTTATGACAGTATTGCACCCGTCACTGGTGAAGGAGAACATGAAGATGAAAATTTCAACAAGTTGAAAACTTCCTTTAAGCAGCAACACGAATCAGCATCAGAACAACATGCTCGCCACAAACACAAGCATGAAGGTACAAGCGAAGAGAGCCAATACCCTCAATTTAATCCAAACAGAGCAGCAGCCACATCTTTACCAGACAACAATACTGCCCAAGCCACTTCCCACAAGCCAAGAAATCAGGAAGCACGTTCCAAACAACAGCAGCAACAGCCTTCTCAGAAAGACAAACCAGCCAATACGAACCAGCAACAAAAGGCATCCGAAGCGACACCACCACAAAGGGGTGGTTCAGCCAATCGGGGAGGTAAGAGTTCAAGAGGTTTCCATCATCAAGGAGCTGCTTCATCGAGACCACCTTCTCAAGGTAAGCCACCTCAAGGAAGCTCCAACCAAGAGTCTACTACCACTGTTGTTGGTGCGTCAAGCCAAATCGATAATACTACCACATCATCACTGCCGTCTGATTCTTCTTCGGAAGATCATCAACAACAACCTTCCGAACGTTACAAGCAATACAAACAAGAAAACAAATCTCGTATTGCCAATCATGATAGGAAAAAGAAAGGTGCAAAGAAGAGAATGAATTTGTAAGCAAATAATATTCTACGGCATCTTTAATACAAAATCCCTAATTCTTGTGTAGATTGGTGTACAAGTAGCATTGTGTTGGGTGATGATGATGGAGGTACATGATGGTGATGATGAAAATGATGAATAAAATCATTTAATTTAGAGACCTTTCTTCTTAGCAGCAATAATTTGCTTGCACATAGCTTGACAATCTCTATCAAAGAGACCACAATCAAGGCATTCTCCCCAAGCATGAGTCTTGGCTCTCAGTTTAGCAAATGCTGGCTTTCCGTCAAAAACATAGACGGTTCTGATTTCATCATGTTCAACTTTATAAACCCAGAGAGGAGCGAGTACACAGGCAATGGCTCCCAAAGCGAAGGCTTGCCATTTAGCTCCCTTGTATGTCTTCCATGCTCCCTTGTAGTCATAGACTGGATTTGTGTGAAGGGATCTCTGGGTGTTTTGAGTAAATTGAATAACGTTAGTCTTCTTGGCGAATGTGCTTGCTCTGCTCAACATTTTTTTATTGTGGCTGGCTAAAAAAATTACAGTACTAATATAGACAAAATTAAAAGTCAACCTCGAAAGCTTTACAATTCATTGCTTGGCGCCATCATGTGGTGATAGTGTGTTGGCTTTTGACGAAATTGAAACACCATGAAGATAATACTTTTAAAAATTGCTTTTGCTTCACCGTGTTTCATTTCTCATTTTCTCAGAATTGAATGTTATCAAATACGTGATGGCCATGTTCATCCCGAGGAATTTCAATGATATCAACAATACAATCTACTGACAACTTGCCATAGAGATGAGGAAAGTAATTATTTCTTGATTGGACCCAATCAAAGGAAATTCTTTCTCCGAGTTGCGAATTTAGCTTTTGCTCCAAGGTTTTCAAGTCAATTTTGAGCAGGATCAAGTCGGAAACATTGCTGAGATATAATCGACAAGTCTTTTCAACTTCCTCCTTCATGGACATGTGCAAAAAACCATCACGAGTATCTCCTTGGAAATATTCATTGTCGTTTTGGGCAACGTCGTCATCGAATGCCTTCAAGCTGACCAAGTGATACACGAAAGATGGTGAAGGCACTGGTGGCAACGATTGTTCGGACATGAGTGTTTTGTTGAAAGATTTTTATTCACTGGATGTGGTGAAAATGATGACTTGCTTCTAAAAGAATCACAGCATGCAGATCACTGAGCTCAGTTTATTATTGCCAAGACAATCTGAAAGCTTGAAAATACTATTTGAAATATAATTTAGAGCTATATGTGTATTTTGAATCACAACACATCAGCCCTAGCAGCATCAAATTAATTGTAGCGAGTGTGATGGAGGTATTCAGTGCGAGTGGTCCCACAAACAGATTGCTATAGCTCTTGTCATGCAAATTCAGCTTGGAAAAGTAAAAACTCCATCCACCCACTGCCTGAAAAATTCCTCTTGCCACACTCGACACAATTCCATAATCTCTGTTATACCCAGTTTCATGTTTGATTTTCTGAGACAAAAAGCATAGTATTGGAGACAGTAAGGTTGAGTTTAGCAACAAGCAGAGAGATCCCCAACGTGAATTATCCATTCCAAAGTGTTGACCTTGAAGTGTGAATGGAAGCTGGAACAGACCATGAGCAAATCCAACAAGAAGAGAGTTTTTGAAAAATTCAAAAGTGCTCATTGAAGTATTTCTTCTGTTTGATTTGCATCTCTCAATTTCCACAAGTCTATTCCATAGAAAATCTCGCCATCCTCGCTCTTCACCTAACAGATACAAGGCATGGATGGTAGCACCTGCAGCAATACCAGTGGGATATGAATATAAGAGCATGTAGAAATAATCTCTATTCTGTAGCTGTTGAATGAGAGAGGATGTTTCCTGTATGAAATTGGAATGTGTTGAGTGATCTTGCATTTCATTGAGTTGATGCTTGTACCCTTCAATCATTAATTCAGATGTTGCACTAAAACTTAATTGAGGAATTAACCTATTCGATATGAGCACAGGCCACAATGGAATGAATGCTGTCGAGAGCAATGGTAATGAGTAGGATGGTTGTGTGAAAATGGTCTTGATAAATGTGGTGAGCTTTTTCCATTGAGAGGTCGATGCATGTTTTGCATTGTTCAGAAGAGGCAATATAGTACTTTCATCATCACTATACAGTGCCGTGTGATATTGCTTCTGACCTAGTGCATCTATAATTTGTGAGATGATTGCTGGCGAGAAGGCAGACAAAATCATGAAAATAATTTTTGAAAATGATGACGGGGATTCCAAAGAGCTGATCCAAGCTACCAATCCCGAGCTCACGATGCCATTCCAGCTTAAAAATCGAATGACGTCCCTTTTCATCAATATTTCAGTCTCTCGTAATCGATTTCGTTCCGAGCTGATCATGTCACTTTCCGATCGAAGTTGTAGTACAGAAGTTATGATCGGAAAATAAATTTCACTAACAATGGCTGCAAGTGTCGATAATCCGAGCATGGATTTAACAAGAATGGAGTTTGAAATTAAATTTGCATCACTATCCAAAAATTCAAAAACTCGTGTTGTTATGAAGGAAAAACCTGTGCTCAGCAAGTGAGGTTTCTGGCAAGCTTCCTTCGAAAAAGAAGTTGGCATTTTTGTTTTTTGACTCAACTTAAACTTGTGAAACTGGTCAATTTACTTTATAAACCTCAATTTCCGAAACTTTAAAGTTTTTTGATCCTGCCAAGTAGGATCTCACCTCAGCATCTTCATGTTGAAAGTTTGACAGTGATTGAGGTATGGTGTAGCTATATCCCAAATTGCAATAACTCTTCTTATTTTCGTTACACTTGTCAGCAATAGAAAAGTCACAACCTCCTCCAAAGCATGTCAAATTGTTAGGCATTGCATAGATTGCTTCTCCAGTAGAGGAATCTGAATTTGGCAAAATCTCAAACATGCATTTCGAATCATGATATTTGAAAATAAAAGATTCAGAATCCCGTTTGTAATTGCCATTGACAGGATTCCAAGTTTGTGTGGTGTAACCTCCAAATATTTGTGGATCGTGACCACTTGTTTTGATTATTGTAAGAGTAGGTGTATGTGAATCACATTTTGCATGAAACGATTGAGCTGTAAATCCGTCTTGACTTCCTCGATACAACAGAAAGCATTTGGTAAGGCCTTTCTCTTTCAGTACTGGAAGAGAGGATGGTATCAAGAAGGCCGTTGTGGAATTCATTGCAGTACTTGAATAGAAATTTAAGATTTTCATTCCTTCCGTGCTCCATGTCACAACCGTCGAGAATACACTCTTGGAAAATAGCATTTTGTAAATTTGCAGCGTTCAAGTTACTGTTTTTCAAATTACACTTCTGAAATCGACATCCGGCCAAATTACAACCTTGTAGATTACAAGCACGAAAATTGGTGTTCACGAAAGATCCTGATGCTATTCTTTAAAACTGTTGCTCTCATATTCTTGTCGTCCAAGTTCACTCCTGTCAAATTACATGCGTTGAAAATGGTTGTATTGTTTATCAGACAGTCACTGAAAACGCACGATGAGAAATTCACCTGGGTAAATTCAGTATTTCGTAAATCACATCGAATTAAACTCGATTTGGATAGTTCCCTACAGAGTTTTGGTAAAAATGTTTCAACATATTTATATTCTGACATCTTTTTATGCTCATTGATTCCACAAAACCTCATGGAAATTATCGGGAATGGATTTGTCCCATTTGGTCATGCAACATGTGGATTTGAGTCATTGTGAAATTGTCTCTTCAACAAATGCTTCATGAAGAGGGCAATATTTCTGCTCATGGTCGAATATTTCACCTCGATTCACAGCAGTTTTTCATGTCAAGTTCGTGTTGGTTCTTCACTGAATATTATTGCTTGATTTAACCGCGGTTGAGATATTCACGGGTAAAATTCAGGTCATGATCATCGGTACCCACCCACTCACGTCGGGATGATGTTCTACTGTTCTCTCTTGGTTGTATGATTTAAGGCTTTAAAAAAGTAAATCATAATATTGTCATTGGTAACCCATGATGCTGGCAATGGATGAACTTGCAACTACAACCAATGAAAATTATTTGGCTAATTGTATAAACTTGGACATTTTTTATTTGAATTTCAAAATAGAAAAAAATGGACCATTTTATTGAAGAGTTGCCCTCTCCTTCTCCTCAGCCGCATGGCAAAACGAAACGTTCAAAGATATCTTCATCACCATTACCACTTCGGACGCACAGAGAACCATCAACGACCTCATCGCGTACCTGGGGATTTTTAGATCCTTTGATTTCTCTTGTATTACCATCATCCGATTCGAATCGGAATAAAAAGCCAACGTCCATTGCTTTTGATGAGGAATCAAATGATGAGATGGACGAGCTGTTACATGAGGATGCTCATGGTCGTGGCGGTGATTCAGCATTTTCGGATGACATTGAACTTAGAGAACACTCTCAAGAGGATATGTCTCCCTCTACTTCCCAACGGATTAACATTTTCAATCATCATGTGTTGTATTCAATCTATGGATTTAATATTGATCCTACCTTCATGTCAAATTACGTGACTCACTCGGAATGGGAGAAAATTCCTCAAGATGTATTTTTAATTATATTTTCGTTTCTTCCTTATGAATCGTTAATTGTATCAGTTTCTCAAGTCTGCAAAGAATGGTTTTATTTGTCACAAAAGAATATTCTATGGGAGAAGTTTTTTGTGTTCACATTATTCCCTTCGAAACATTCAAGATTTATTTTCTCTTCTTTTCAGGACTCAAAATCTATCCCACAAGTTGAAAAGAGTGAAAACTTGCTCGAATCCATTCAAAATAGATTTTTCATTCCCCTCTTTGATCCAAATCCAAATAATAACATCTCAGAGGACCATGAAGGTGATATCGAAGAAGAAAAGAGGATGCACATCAAAAACAGTATCGAAAAGGAGATTGTCGAAGATCTTGAAGACAAATTTATGGAAAATAATTTTAGTGTCAAATCACTCGTTGGACCTAATTACGATAATGAGCTTCCAAACAATCAGAGCCATAGCGACTTTTATAATCTATTACACGCTTCTTACATTTGCTCCTTTTACAAGTTGTGCTTTCAAAAACTTAATAATTTTGTCTCCACTGCTACAAAACAATTGGAGTCACATCAGCAGAAAAAGCAAAATTTAGAAACCTTGTACGATATGTGCCACAATACCCAATACTACTTTACATTTTACTTTGGTGTTCCACTGTGTGCCATTTCCACTACTCTATGTCTTGCTCTTCAACTATTTAAAATGAATATTCCAGAATTGAATGTTGACAAGGACAACCCAAACGCAATTGATGGATGGTGGATGATTGTATTTGCATTTCTGTACATGCCATTATTTTGTGGTATTATAATATTGTTCCAACAATTTATCAAGACTTTTCTGAGATTCAAGTTGAAATCAAGGCAAACCGTTCAGGGAATATTTCTTGTCGTCATTGCCTTAATTTTCATGTTGGGACTTACAGGATTCTTTTTCATGGTAAATTTGTCATGTGTTTTCCCACTTCCACCCAAGTATCTCGCTCCAGACGCTCCCGACACTGAATTTATTCGATTTTATGGATTTAGAAAAATTGTGAATAACTATAGTTTTATCATGTCTCCATTCTTAATTGCATTCGTTCTAATTACGGTATGTATTTCTTCTAGTATCTCAACAATTAATACAATTTATCAACAATACAGTTTGTATCATGGTTGTCTCAAACCATTACCATCTATGCGGCATTTAATGCCAACAGAAGACTCTTAATTATTAGAAATGTTATTAACAGTGCCATTCATTTGTTTTTCTTGATACTTGTTGCAGGCTCGTTTGCTCTGTTGCATTTTAGTCAAAAAGCAGATTCATCACCTGAAACTGAAGAAGAATTGACACAAACTATATCCTACATCTTGATTGGAATGCATGTACTAATTGCGATTATGCACCTTGCGACTTGTATCATGTTTGGATTTATCTTAAAGAGATTCTGTACCTTCTTCACTCCTGCACCAAAACAACCTAAAATGAAAAAGCTTGCTGTTGGATTGATGATTTGTGTTGTCATAATTTTGCTATGTAGCTTGGCAGTAGAAGTAGTTCTGGGTATTAACTACAAGTGGATATCTGCGCCTTTGCTCCCAGCCCCAACAATAATGGCCATATCGTTTTATATTATCGCAGCCATGTATAAGCTTTGGATCTCTTAAATTGGTTTGAAATTAGCAGGACTTTTCAACAATTGCAAGACTCTTATTTATTGGAGCACGCTCAATGAATACAATGAATTGGGCTAATGAGAATTTTGAATTTTAGAGTGAAAATAAGATAAATGGTCACATGAAGAAATAAACTTAAACACTCTCAAGACAAACAGAACAACAAAATTATCAAGACCCAAACGGACAAGAATGCCCTTTTTACAACTCCAATCTTTTGATATAATCGTTAGAGAAAACATCGTTAGGGTCTAAGGCTTGTCTCAAATTCTTAAAATCTTGCCATTTTGGGTACATGTTGGCAAAGTCCAATTTGAAATCTAATTTAGCCCAGTGTGGTCTGCCTCCCAATTGCAACATAATTCTGTTGTATTCTTCAAAATATTTCTGATAAGGAATTGTAAAGTCATATGGTCTGTACATGATAATGCCAATATAACATGTGTCTCTTCCGTAGCAAGGGCTTAACCAAACATCATCCGCTTTCACAAATCGTACCTCTACTGGGAAGTGAACATTGAGTTTAGATTCTTGTATCATGTTACGAATTCGTATTAAAGCTTCTTTGGTGTTTTCAATAGGAATGGCCCATTCGTTCACAAATTGTTTAAAGAGGCAATCAAAGTTGAATACTTTAAAGCTCACATCTGTCACTTCAGTTTTGCTGCTGAATAGTAAGGAAAACCAAGTGTTGTTAATCCATGGAACAAGTGAAGGGAAAAATTTTGAAATAAATAAGGCAAACTCCAATGAATAAAATCCCAATAACCGATCCACCAAAAAATTCTTGATCTTTCCAAAGAAACCAATCTTATCAGAGTCTCCAACAAATGACTTGCTTGATTGAATGGGAATTCTTGTGGCACTATTGGTTATGCACTTGTCATTCTTTGTATGAGGAAACCACCAAAATCGCCAATGGTCACTGCTTCCAATTAAATTTTCTAAGTTGGATAAAACTGTGTCAAGATCGGATGGTTCTTGAATGGCTTTGAGAGAGAAAGCAGGAACACACTGAATGGTCATGGTAGAAATAATTCCCAAGCAACCCAATGAACAAACAAATGCATTAAAATTGTCATCACCCTTTTTCAAAGTGATCACTTCACCAGTAGGCAGCACAACATCTAATTCAATGACAATGGTAGAAATGCATCCAAAATTAATTCCGGTGCCGTGAGTTGCAGTAGAAATAATTCCAGAGATTGTTTGAAATGAAATTGATCCCAAAACTGGAAGAGCCATATTGTAGTTGTGATAAAGCTCCGTATTGAGTTGTTCAATAGTGACTCCCGCTTGAACTTTTGCAGTCAATTTCTGAGTGTCTACATTCAAAATTTTTGAATACTTGTCAAGAAAAATCATGTGATCTTTCGTGAGTGAAATATCACAAGGTGAATGACCAGATCCGACGACTTTAATTTTCTCTTTTCTAAATGCAGCTACTTTAACAATTCTTTGAATTTCTTCCTCTGACTCTGGATGATGAACAAACTGTGGTTTAATTTTGTAAATATTCGCCCAATTTCTGAACACAAAACTCTTATTGATTGGATAACCAGTCTGTTTAAAAAGCCAAAATTAATGAATATTGGGCATATCATTCATGAAACACGACTACGAACCTTTTGGAGTTGTTTTGTCATTTCGGAGTTTGTGGAGGAGTCTCTATGGTGAGCGTTAGTATCTGTATAGAGCGAGGCTTGTGCGGACATTTTTTTTAACTTTTTTCAAAAAATGGGTTAACGCTCACCATAGAGACTCCTCCACATCTCATTCTTTTTTCAAGCATTGTATCAACATTATTAATTTTATGCAGCCCTTTTCTGTTGCTCGTATGACTATTGTGTAATTCTTATGCATACGAATTTTGCGGGAGATTCGCGTGTTCGTTTTAATCTTTCGTGATACGTTGTCGGGGTTGCAATGCCCAATACCGATTATTATCTTGATCATTGTTTCGTTCTTGTAGCCAGACTAGAAGGCACGATCCGATTTTCAAGTTCTCAGACCCAGTTTCAACAACATGTTTCAAGAACGCTTTGATCAACACGATTTAAAAAACCATCAAGCACAATCACACATCTCAATGACAGAAATTGAACAGGATCCACCAACCGCTGCAAAACAATCTCTCAGCCATCTCAATAACTCTTTACGCGAACCTTCTGCTTCCAAATGTGCTGAAGATATCAACAAGGCCTACAGTTCCGAGCCTTGGTGGTATGACTTGAGAGGTTTTTGTATTTTAACGTTTGCTTATCGAAGCACTTTGTGGCATCAAATGCGATTCTTTGGTTCGCACATGGGTCCGTATCATTTAGAAGTTGCATGTGGTACAGGTACTCTTCTGCAATTGATTCTAAAATGGAGATTGCAAAAAGGATTGCCTTCTCTGCAACATGTCGTAGGAATTGATTATGCTGAAAACATGTTGGAAGGAGCGAAATATCGATTTCGTCCGCGCACAAATAGTACTCCATGGTTGGACGATACCAAGTTTGAGTTTTTACGGGTAGATGCAGCTCATATGCCGTTCCCAGATGCGCACTTTGACAGTGTGAATATTGCTAACTCCATGCACTGTTTACCGGATTTCGAGGGATCTCTGAAAGAGATGATTCGAGTTTTGAAGCCTTACAACAACCATGATCATAATGTCAACAACCAAACGTCGACCACAGTGGGAACGCTAACTGGAAATGTTTTACTTGTTCCAACTGGAATATGGCCATTCAAACAAATTGCAGAGAAAATTAACAAGTGGGGCATTCAAAAAGGAATACTTGTTGCTGTCTACACAAAAGAGTTTGTTTTAGACAAGCTGAGGGAGCAAGGTTTGGAAATTGTGCATTTCGAAGTCCATGGAAATTGTTTGGATTTTGTGGCAAGAAAAATTAGTCAATGATTGAATCATAACAATTACATTTGTAGGAGGTCTGTTGCGCAGTGAAGTGATCACTATAGTCTTGGAATGTACAACAAGTGTTTGATATTTATTTCGTTTGTTGCAGTTCTAATGCTTTCTTTTCTGCTTCTCTCTCTTTCTTTCCCTTCTCCAAAATTCTCTTCACATACCATATTTTAATTCGTTGGAGGGGACTTGCATTTCCCCATCTCAAATACCCTTGTTTAAATTGTAAAGTCAAACTATCGAACTGGAAATAATACGGAACTCCTTTCACTTCTCGTCTCTTGGTGATGTAAATCAAGACTTCATTTGATAACATGCCATGCAACATGGAACATGTTGAACCTAAGGAAGGAGCTTCATGTTTCGAAAAGTCAATACTTTTTGGTTTCATGTACTTCAAGTGTGTACCACTTGGAGCTGTGGAGACAACATGTCGCACGATTAATTCTTCGTCGTTCATGTCTTCGGTGAAGCCACAAAATTCATCGAAGGAAGGACCTGTGGGTAAAAAGATTTCCCAAGCGCATGACCAACCTGTGGAATGTTGTTGACGAGTTGCATTCGTTTTCATTAATGATAATCGTATCGTGTGAATATACGAAAATGATCATACTCAAAAGAATCACATTTTACCAAGACTTACCTAAGGGACCAGCAGTGAATACAGGAATACCTTTCTTATAGGCACGTTGATACAATAATCGTCGAGTTCGGGGAGAAAATAAATCAATGGCATCCATTACAACATGGACACCTTCTAAAAATTCATCAATGGTCTTTTCGTCAATACCATGGTCAAACGCTTTTACATGAGCATGAGGATTAATGGATAACACCACTTCTCCAGTAGCAACGGCCTGACAACAGATGACATGCATATAAATCATTTCATTGACGTTATATTGTAACAACAATGGACATTGATCATCATATTGTGTTTTTCAAACAAGAACCAAAATACACTTACCTTATTTCTTCCCAAGGTATGAACGGTTGCAGGAACTTGACGATTAAAATTCACAAGCTCATACGAATCAGGATCAGCCAAATGAAATGAACCAATACCACATCGTGCCAAACTTGAAGCGTAACCAGCTCCAGCTCCTCCACAACCTGCAACGGCGACTCGAGTCGATTCAATCTTACGCTGTTCTTCAATGGAGACGAGTCCAATATTTCTGCAAAAGGCTTCTGAGGTGGTGTAGTTTTGGAAAGATGATGAAGTGGAGCTGGGTAGACTCACTATCTTGTAAGAGGATGAGACCAGTTCTTGCGTGTGCATTGTTTGGAGGTGGTACAAAGATTGTTTTTTTAATTGATCACTTCCTCAGTTTCGAGATGGTTTCGATTTATTCACATGAATCACGTCTCTAAGGTTCAGTATGATCATTTTATGAAACTATGTATTGAGCTCTCAAATCAATCAGCTTTCATCATTAAGGAGGTTACCAAGTTACAGTTCCGATTTGGTGGTGTGATCACACTCGAAAGGTTGGATGAGATTGTTGTTACAATAACGACATGGGCACTGTTAACGCCCACATTAGTTGAAAACAACGTGTTGTATTGAATTGACAAGTTATTAAGCAAGTTCAAAGACAGACGTTGTTCAGTTCTTGCTTAAGCATTTTGCCAGTATGAATATTGTTAACTCAGTGCATTGTTTACCGAATTTCGAAGTCGATGATGTTTGGAAATTGTGCATTTCTAAGAACAAGGAATTTGATTGGATGTTGAGGCAAGAATGAAAAATCGAGTGGACTGTTGTAAAGTGATCCAATCCACATATGTTTATTTAAAACAACAGGAATTTACAACAAGGATTGGATGTTTATTTCGTTTGTTGCAATTCCAAAGCTTTCTTTTCTGCTTCTCTCTCTTTCTTTCCCTTCTCCAACAGTCGCTTCACATACCATATTTTAATTCGTTGGATGGGATTGGCATTTCCCCATCTCAAATACCCTTGTTTAAATTGTAAAGTCAAACTATCGAACTGGAAATAATACGGAACTCCTTTCACTTCTCGTCTCTTGGTGATGTAAATCAAGACTTCATTGGATAACATGCCATGCAACATGGTACAGGTCGAACCCAACGAAGGAGCTGCATGATTCGAAAAGTCAATACTTTTTGGTTTCATATATTTCAGATGAGTACCTCCTGGAGCTGTGGAGACAATGTGTCGAATGATTAATTCTTCATCGTTCATGTCATCGGTGAAACCACAAAATTCATCGAAGGAAGGACCTGTGGGTAAAAAGATTTCCCAAGCGCATGACCAACCTGTGGAATGATATTGATAGTTTGTATTTGATCGTCGAGAGAATGTATGAAAATGATCATTCTCAAAGAATCGCTAGAGACCTACCTATTGGACCAGCAGTGAATACAGGAATACCTTTCTTGTAGGCATGTTGATATAATAATCTTCGAGTTCGGGGCGCAAACAAATCAATGGCATCCATTACAACATGGACACCTTCTAAAAAGTCATCAATGGACTTTTCGTCAATACCTTGATCAAACGCTTTCACATGAGCATGGGGATTAATGGATAAAACCACTTCTCCAGTTGCAATCGCCTTGTTACAGATTACATGTGTAATCATTTCATTGAGGTTATATGGTACAACAGCCATGGAAATTGATCATGATATTGAGCATGTGAGATTGGTTTCAAAAACAAACAGAACCGAATGCACTTACCTTATTTCTTCCTACGGTGTGAATGGTCGCCGTTTGTTGTCGGTTGAAATTCACAAGCTCATAGGTATCATGATCAGCCAAATGAAAAGAGCCAATACCACATCGTGCGAGAGTCGATGCGTAACCTGCTCCAGCTCCTCCACAACCTGCAACGGCCACTCGAGTCGATTCAATCTTACGTTGTTCTTCAATGGAGACGAGTCCAATATTTCTGCAAAAGGCTTCTGAGGTGGTGTAATTTTGGAAAGATGATGAAGTGGAGCTGGGTAGACTCACTATCTTATAAAAGGATGGGACCTGTTCTTGCGTGTGCATTGTTTGGATGTTGAACAAAGATTGTTAGTTTTTTTTGTTGATCAAACCTTCTCTTATAAATCTTCATTGTGATCAATTTCGAATGTCCGATTTTGAGTTTAAAAACCTTTGCTGTCATGAAATAGAGGGAAAATATCACTGTTCCGATTTGGAGAGGGGGTGAGATATGTAAATGTCACACTTGAATGATTTGTAATCAGTTCCATTCCGTCGTCATGCTCACAACTCTGATGCTGCGTTTGCTAACACAAATTTCAAAACAAGACGGAATTCTCTTTGAATTTCCGAAAGGTAGACATTCAATCTACGGAAAACGGAGATTATTTGTACGGCGAAATGCACCTGCCATACGGATCCTGTTAATTTTGAACAATGATCATTTATTCGTTGTCGATCTCACTCGTAAAAATTTAAAGGCAAAGTATAACACAAAACATAATTGGAATTGTATAGCTGTGAAGAAGATGTCACCTTTGGAAGAGATTCCATCGTTGTTTCGTTTACCATGAATCGTCAATATCTTTTTCAGAAATTCGATTTACAGTTGTCGAATAACGAATTCATTAAAACGAAAATCCCTGCAGCCGTTTGAAAAATGAGAGCCGCTGGATCCTGTGCCACTGCGTGGGCTCTGGCTGCGGATTTGTCAGGGCCCTCGCTACTAGTAGTCCATTTACATTTCCTTCCAAAGAAAGATGTGCTTTTCATGCTCAACATTTCTGACATCAGGAATCACAAGATTTATATTCTGAAAAAAGAACACAAATCCAACATGGATGAGCAACAACATTCAAGCACGTTTCGCTTACAAGGAACAATTAAAAGGCAAACAAATAAGGGAATTAATTATTGCTCACCTACCGGTGTGTATTGAGGAGAGTAATGGACGGATATTTGTATGTACTGTTGTCAGTGAAAAGCAGAACTATGGTAAAGTTATGGTGTTGTCACAGGACGGAAAAACATTGTTGAGAGAAGAATATATTGAAAAATTGAGAAATATATGCTTGAACCGTGTTATATACGAATGAGTTGATTGCTTGTTGTCGCAGAACGATTGAAGTTTTCAAATAGATGAATTTGTCATTTAATAAATTTTTTAAGAACGTACCAACGTACTTAAAGCGAAACTCTTACCAATTGACAGATGTCATTTCACAAACAAATCAGAAATTGTTGAAAAATCAAAAAATTGCAGGAGGTGAAAAATCAAAAATTGCAGGAGGTGAAAAATCAAAAATTGCAGGAGGTGAAAAATCAAAAAATTGCAGGAGGTGGGATTTGAACCCACGAAGCTTGCGCAGTAGAACTTGAGTCTACCCCCTTTGACCGCTCGGGAACCCCTGCTTTACATTCATTTGTTTTCTAGATGATATGAAATAAAGGAGTTCTGCAAATTTTTTGATTTTTCACCTCCTGTAATGAATTTCATTTTAGAGAACTGCAACTTGTCATTCCATTCTGAAAGTGAGAGGTCATCATGGAAAAAATGTCGTCATCCCTCACCACACTTCCCTTTGAGGTCGTTGTCGCAATTTTCTCTTTCATTCCCCAATCCGATCGTAAAAAGTGGATATTCCGAACTGCTAGATTGGTTTGTTCCGAATGGAATAATTGTATTCTATCATCATTAAACATTCTGATACAGGTGCCTCCACGACAATCCATCAAGAAGAGCAATGGAAATAGATATCAGCCCATTCTAAACGGCTTTCGAGAGCGAGATTATTTTCAGAACATTTCATCATTGAAATTTGGAAAATTCTTTGATGTATCGTTACTGTACAAATGTACGGTTACTACAATTCAGAAGAGTTCACAATATGAAAACACAATGTCTTGTATCAATCCATTTGAGAAATTTTCAAATTTACATAACTTGTGTTTGCATGATGCTGGATTGAGTGGTCATGAATTGATCATGATCTGCAAGCATTCTGAAAATTTGAGAACGTTGAAAAGTTTAACCTTGTCACGCAACAAGTTGACATTTAAGGAAGTACAATTAATTGTTGGTTGTCAGTATTTTAACTTGACAAGTTTGAATTTGTCTGACAATGATATTAACAATGACGGTTGTGTGGAAATTGTTTGTGGCAAGAGTATGGAGAAGTTGACACATTTAGATTTGAGCAAAAATCCAATCAATGATATTAATATATTTGCACACAATTTGAAACAATTAAGACACCTCAATGTTTCGGATTGTCCACTCGAGAAGGATGCACATGTATTTGCCACGAGTGAGAATTTGAAAAATTTGAAAGAATTTTTATCGAAAAGACACAGAATGGACAAGGGTTGTATAGATATTGCAAGTTCTCCAGTGATCGAGTTTGTATCCTTGAGTTTTGAAGATTGTTTCAATCTAGGTTGTGATCATGTTTTGAAATTGGCATGTAATGAGAGAATGAAAAACCTGACAAGCTTGAATTTGGCTCAAAATGAAATTGGTGATACTGGACTCGTTGCTCTTGCACAAAGTGAATTCATGTCCAATTTGAAATTTTTAAACTTGAATACTAATGTTGTGACGTTTGAGGGTATTCAAGCATTGGCAACCTCTCGTTTCATGTCCAATTTAGAGTATTTGCATTTAGGAAATGACTCACATTTGGACTCGATACGAGAATATTCGTACAATAAGGTCAGCAAGGAGAGTCTTTTAGTACTTGTCAATAGTCCATACATGTCCCAATTGAGAACACTCATACTATGTCGCAATACAATCAACGATCATCAATGTGAAATTATTGCATCTGGAAAATATATGAAAAATTTGACCTATTTGGACATTTCCGATGACAAGAGCAGATATTACAAAGGATTGAAAAAACGAAGCTACAAGAGGTTAATGAATAGTACTGTATTCAAATTGAAGCACCTAGAAATGACCTTTCAGGATCCATAACGATTGAGCAGCATTTCATGTCCAGGTTTGTTTTCGTGACTTTGTGCCGCTGTGTTCTAAATCCTTTGTGTTAAGTTGTCCTTTTCACGAGAACAACACGTATTTATCAAAACCAATATCATCACTCCTTTCATTGCTGCAAAACCCAAACAAAATATTCTCCACAAAGCAAATGGATAAAGATGATCCATTTAGAATTTTCATGACATCATGTCAAGGTTGTAAATTGTCGTTGAAAGGTTGACCGTAAAAAAATAGAAGCTGACAGCGGTTATTTGAAAGATCATGTAGTGTTGATTTGCGATGGTTAATGATGATCTTTTTGGTGGACACCATTATTAACCGATAATTCGCGTCCGAGTTTACAGATCTGAGACGAATAGATCTGCTGCTTTTTACTTTTGGGGAATTTGTAGAAAATTAAATACTCACCACGATTTGTCTCTTTCCATGTTTGAATCATCCATGGTGGTACGAGGATGTGATGATGGTTAAAAGATTTTAATATGAATTTTATCAAGACGTATCAAGAACAAAGAAAATAATCTCCCACTCATGGTTCTCTTCAGTTCATCAAACACAGCTGCTAGTCATAATTCCTCTGTGGGGAAATTCAAGGCTTATTTCGTCATCATGTGGTGGCTTGTTTGTGTGGGCATGATGGTTTGTGCTGCTCCAACAAAGATTGCTCTCTTTGGTGGATCTTCACTTGCTGGAGACAATTATAATGCCACTTTGGCAAACATGGAACCAGTCAGTGTCTCTTTCACTTCACAAGGTGATTTAATCATTGCTGATTCCTTCAATCAAAGAATTAGAAAAGTTTTTGCAAGTAATGGAACCATTTCAACATTGGCGTTTGATTTGAAAGACTTGAGATGCGTTCATGTTCGACAGGCCACAGGTGAAATTTTCTTTACGCATGAACACTATGTTAAAAAACTGACCACAGATAACAAGATTGAACTTGTGGCAGGAGCATATTTTGAAGGAGAAAGCTCATCTGGAACTCCAGCTAGAGCTTCTCTTCTTTCAAGACCTGATCAAGTTTGGGTTCACATCAATGGTGAGATTTATATTGCAGATACTGGAAATCATCGTATCAAAAAGATTGCACTCGATGGAAACCTTTACTATGTTGCTGGTATCAACAACAATTCTGTCTACTCTGGTCCTCAAGGTGATGGTTTTTCAGCAATTCATGCAGTCATGTTGGCTCCAACTGGAGTTTCAGTTTCACCAAGTACAGGCATCATTTACATTGCAGATACAGGTAATGGTATTATTCGAAGAATTGGATTAGATGGTATTATTACCACTGTAGCCAACAGAACTCAACTGTTGACTGGACCCTATGTTGCAAAACAATCAAATCCAGTCAATGCTATTCCCACTCATCTACATGCTCAGGATGACAATAACATTTATTTCACAGACATTGCATACGCTCAATTGAAAAAGATGAACTCGAAAGGACAAGTTACCTTGATTGCAGGTACAGGTGAGATCGGCTATAGAATTGAATCCGATCAGAATGGAATACAGGCAGTCCATGCAAAACTTTACAAACCTGTTGGAATCTCACTCCACGCAGGAAATATTTATGTTGCAGATGTCAATGATTTTGTCGTGAGAAGAGTAGCAGCTGCCGATGGCACTTTACAAATTGTTGCAGGAAACCGAGAACGAAACTTTTTTGGAGAACAAATTCCTTCGACAGATGTTGTTTTTGGTGTGGGACCTTCTCGTAAATTGAGACTATTCATTGGTACCAATGGATTCATGTATGTTGGAGATTCCGAACTGCAAAGGATTAGAACCATTTCCATGTCCACCAAAATCGTGAATACGATTGCTGGAGTTGGGCCTACACGAACAGGTTTGTATTCCAACAATGTCCAAGCTTTGAAGGCTGGTATTTCAGAACCGCTTGGAATGGTGTTGAATTCACAAGGTGAATTAATTGTAGCCATGAATGGAGCACTAGAAGTGAAGAAATTGGGACTCAATGGTAATTTGACCTCTTTAGCAGGTGGAGGCCAAGACGACATGTACTATTACAAAAACTGTCAGGCATCCAATGCGATATTCTTTCAAGTCTATGATATTGCCTATATTCCAAATGGTGATTTAATCATTCTGGATTATTATGGAGCAATTAGAAGATTGAACGGCAGCGGTTGGGTAGATTATCTTGTTGGAAGAAGTCCAGATGAAACTTACACTCCAATTCTGTCAGATGCTGAATATATGGTTTCAAACGGAAACGAAATCTATATTGCAGATACAGGCAATCATGTCGTTCGAACATTCAATGTCACATCTCAAACCTTTACAACATTGGCAGGAACTCTCAATTCTCAAGGATTTGGAGGTGATGGAAGTTTGGCATCAAAAGCATTACTCAATCGCCCTACAAGTTTGGCAATGTCGTTCATAACCCGTGAGTTGTACATTCTCGATTCTGGAAATTTTAGAATTAGAAAAGTGAACTTGACAAGTGGAATTATTTCGACTGTGGTCGGAAATGGTAGTCCTGGAGTCTCCAAGATTGGTGCTTTTCCAAATAGTACTTGGATCAATTCTGAAGAAATGACCATTGCCATTCATCCCACCACTGGAGTGTTGTACTATTCTGAAGGTCAATTTATCAAATACTTGAGTGATAACATTGTTTGTTTTGGAATTGAAGCTACTAGTCCCATTGTTTGTAATGGTCATGGAAATTGTCTGCAAGATGACGTTTGCTCTTGTCATTTGAATTGGGAAGGTTCAACATGTTCAATTCCCCAATGTAATAGAACCTCACCAACATCACCTAATGTATGCAATGGAAGAGGAGTTTGTATAGGGCTCGACACGTGTAAGTGCAATGATTCATGGCAAGGTCAGTTTTGCCAAAATCCAATAACACCTCCTCCTCCTCCACCTGTGAATTCACCTCACACTTGCAATGGAACACTGTACAATTCAACACATGTGTGTAATGGCAATGGAAATTGCACTTACAAGGATAAGTGTCAATGTAACGAAGGCTATTCAGGTTTGTTTTGTGAAAGATACAATAAGGGTTACGATAGAGTGACAATTTGCATGGTAGGCGATTTGACATGTGAAGTGTTTGTTGGAATTGTGATTGGATCCGTCTCGTGTGTATTAATTTCAGTCGTTGCCATCGTATGTACAATCATGCTTATTATTTGCTCAATTAGAAGAAAAAGAGGAAGACATGTTTTTAAGAAACGAAAACACCCTGCCTTGCCAAATATTGAGCTTGAAAGTTCAAGATCACAATTAAATGTTTGAGGTTATGACAATCATTTACATACAGTAGATGAGCCAATAAATTGATCTGTAAAACTAAATAACGTAGCGATACAGTAAAAGACTCACAATAAAAAATTTTTTACATCTAACGGGGTTCGAACCCGCGACCCCCGGATTCGAAGTCCGGTGCTCTAATCCTCTGAGCTATAGATGCTTACATTATTTTAAGAGAAACGGCTGACTCTGCGCAATGTAATGACGAAAGGCAAAAAATTATTATTGTTATCCAAAATCAACACAAAAATTTCCACAACGTAGCAGCAATTCACTACACTTTATTTCAAAATAGTCTTCCACTGAATTGCGACAAAAGGCCTCCCGATGTAGAAGGAGGTGTTGGCCGTGTTTGTTGTTGTTGTTGCTGTTGAACACAACAACCATGACGAGGTGGTACATGGACCATCAATGAGGGTGGAGGAGGCGGAATGAATGCACGACTATTGGCAGCACCACTCTTCTCATACTCTTTGAATGCCTTCTCTGCTCTCAATAACAAGTCTCCTAAATAGAGTACACATCGATTCTCATCATGTAAGGCCCATTTCATGATCATTTCACAACATGGTCCCCATTTCAAGTATGGACAACATACAGTCTCAATAAATGCTACTAGTTGGTCCAACGAGAAGCTTGTAGAAATGACCTGATACAGAACTCGTTCTTGCATGGTCTCTGCTTTTATATTTTCGTGGAAGCCAGTCAAAGGGTTCGTGCTACTACTGAAGGTAGAGCAATGAAAGCATGATGCTCTCAATTGTTCCTGTAAGAGTTGTCGATGAATCACATCATGCATGAGTTTGTGTACGGATGAGATCATTTTGGAAATTTCAATCGGGTCTTCATCGTGGTCATGTCCTTGAGCCTGTGTACCACTCTGGGACGCAGTTTGCGAGTTCCAACCATTCAAAGCGTTACCAGTATTCTCAGAACTAACACTTGCCATTTCTGGATGAATCAAATTGCAATGAAATTCCACTTGCTTCTTGATGGTTCTATTAATCCATTTCAAATAGCTCTCTTCTTGAAAGCATCTCTTCCACAGTAATAATGCAAAGTATAAATGTTCTACACTCTGCTCTTGCAACTCGACATGTTGTTCAATCCATCGAGCAGCAACGTCATACGCTCCCATTCTCAACAATAAATCAAATACTTGAAAAGCATATTCTTGTGTGAGTTCTAAAAGAGCAACATCTTGCCCATACAATATGGAAAGAGCACTCAGAAAACAATCTTCCTGAATGGAGAAAGTCGGTAATGACATGATCGATGAATTGGATAATGGTTGTTTACCTTCTCTTACATGATCTGAACCAGGTGATATATGATCATGTGTATTGCTATTTGATCGAAGAAAGTGCTCATAACTGTGTTCAGTATCATCATCATCTTGAGATCTTCCGACAAAATCATACACGGAAAAAGCGTCATGCAAATGAATAAAATTCAAATTCGAGGAAGAGTGACGTTGTAAAATGTACTTTTTCAATCGAAAGGCTTGAATCAGGACCACTTTGTGTGCTGGATAAGCAAATCCGTCCTTGTCATTGTTCCAAAGTGGTCCATCATGGTTGTTCAAATGATTGTACGAGGAAGGCAAGATTCCAATCATGACATCGGACAACTGAGACTGAATGAATTGTGAATGTACATGAAAATCAATAGGGTTCTTTCCGTTCCGTTTGGGCATGCTTTTGTGTGAAGGAAGTGGTGGCGGTGGTGGAGGTGGAATAAAACCAAAAGGAGGCGGTGGTGGAGGAGTAGTGAGAACATTTTTTTGTTTGGAAAGATCTTGCTGGGGTGGAACATGGAACTTACATGAATTGATCACTGCAGATTTCAGAGAACTGTCTGAAATCTCTGGTAACATCTGTAAACCATGGGTTGACTCACACAAAATTTCGTCTAAGGTTCAGATGCAATTAGAACGCTTGTTAAGCCAAGGTTTCATTCCGAAAAAAATGTCCTTCAATTACATTGCGTACGCACACAAGCCAACAACCACAAGCTGCTCGGCTTCTGGCAATTTTACATCTGCCAATGATATTAATCTCATCATGTGGTATGTTTATGGTATTACGATCATTCTAATTCATTTTCATTCGTTTTGAATATTCATCCAAACCTTTCCGATGATCATCAGCAAAAATCAATTTATTCAAGTCAATAAATTGGGTGAGGAAGGTGTTGTTTCTGTTGTGGAATTTGAAGTACCTGGAAGAGTAGATACAATGACCTTGTTCAGACCAACAGTATGTATTGTCAAGGAAATTACAAACGCTTGGATTAACACGAATTTAATGATGACGCATGGGCATTTTGTACTTGCCATAATCATGACGAAATCGGAATTTTCATCCTACATTGAATTTGTATGCTAACAATAATTTTGTTTTACACATGATGCACACAATACCACCACCCTAAAAACAGGGAGAAAAACAAGATTTACTCTTCGTTACCATTGACGACACCTTCTTCACATTGGGTTATATTGATGGAAGAATTGAAACATTAGCAAGTGGATCTATTGATGACCCTGTCGGAAGACGGACAGAAAGTGGCTCCATTACAATCATTGACCCTCTGTGTCGTACTGTTGCACTTTCACTATATGAAGGCTTACTCAAAATTATTCCTTTCGAAAATAACAAGCATCAATTTAAAGAAGCATTCAACGTGAGAATTGAAGAATTGAATATTATCGACATTATGTTTTTTGAATCTCTAGGATCCAAACAAAAATCATGCAGATTGCCAACATTTGCCTTACTCTATCAAGATAATCAAGGATCAAGACACATCAAATCTTATGAAATTAGAATTCATGAAAAGGAAATTGAAGAAACATCTTTCAAGCAACAAAATATTGATCATGGATCCAATATTCTAATTCCCGTTCCTGTACCTATTGGAGGAATGATTTGCGTTGGTGAATCTCAAGTTTCATATTTTGACGAAAATTACCATAGATCTGTATCTCCATCCTCAAATACTCGATTAGCCATTCGTTCATATGGAAAATTGGATAATACAAGATGGTTCCTTGGAGACCAATCCGGACAATTGTACTTGTTAAGCCTTCAAGTCTCAGATCAGAGCCAGGTTATTGGATTAACTTTGAAAGAATTAGGTATTACCTCAATCTCATCATCCATTTCATATCTCGATAACGGCCATGTTTTCATTGGCTCTCATTATGGTGACTCTCAAGTGATCAGAATTGTAGATGAAGTGAAAGAGGAAACAAATGCCTATTTTGAAGTGTTTCAAACCTATCCAAATATTGGACCCATTGTAGATTTTACGTTTGTTGACACGGAAAAACAAGGCCAAGGTCAAATTGTGACATGTTCCGGAGGCTTCAAAGATGGTACTCTTCGTATCATTAAGAATGGAATTGGAATTGAAGAATTAACAACAATATCAGATTTGACTGGTCTGAGCCGAATCTGGTCCTTAAAATCAGAAAATACCCTGAACCAAAAATACTTGGTCATTTCATTCACTCAACAAACAATGGTCTTTGCTGTGGAAAGCGAAGAATTAGGCCCCATCACCATTCCAGGATTTGACTCTGAATCCATGACAGTGGCATGCAACACAGTGACAGGCAATAACTTCCTGCAAGTGACAGACAAGGCTGCTCGTCTTGTAAATTATCAAACATTGGAACTGGTCGATGAATGGAAATGTCCCAGAGGTACCACTATCAGTCTTGCTGCATCAAATCCAACACAATTAGTGGTATCTTTGGGAGAAGGACGTCTTGTTTACATTGAAATTACGGAGAATGGTTTTAATCAGGTGAACCAGACCAAGCTTGAATATGAAGTTTCTTGTATTGATATTACTCCAGAAGAAGGAAAGATTTCGTCACCATCGTGTGCTGTTGGAATGTGGACTGAAATTTCTGTTCGTATCTTGAAATTACCCTCGTTCGAATTACTGGCTTGTCAAGAATTGGGAGGTGAAATTCTTCCTCGTTCAATTCTCATGGCAACGTTTGAAGGCATTTCATATTTATTATGTGGTTTGGGAGATGGTCATTTGTTTTCATTCAAAATGGCTGATAGAGGTATGGGAATCCTCACTGATAGAAAACGAATCAATATTGGTAGTAAGCCAGTCATGCTAAGGCCATTCTTGTCGAAGGACAATCAATTGAATGTTTTTGCTACCTCTGAGAAGCCCACAATCATATACAGTAGGAATCAAAAATTGGTCTATTCCAATGTGAACTTGGGAGAAGTGACTGATATGTGCCCATTCAATCACGAAAGCTTCCCAGATCACCTTGCAATTGCCAATGAAAATTCAATTCTAATTGGACAAATTGATGAAATTCAAAAACTTCACATCAAAACGGTTCAGTTACATGCACAACCAATGAAAATATGTCATCAACCATCCTCAAAGTCATACGGGCTTCTCATTACTCAATTCGAAGAGCCTGAATCTAGTGCAGTATTTTATTTGGATGAACATACCTTTCAGAAAAAGTCCGAGTTCAGACTGGACAACAATGAATTGGGACAATCAATTATTTCATGTACATTTGCTGATGATGACAATGAATATTTCGTTGTGGGCACAACTATTAATGAAGCCGATGAAGAGGAACCATCCAAAGGAAGAATCATTGTTTTACAAGCTCAAGATGACAAACTAGTGGTTAGAGCTGAGAAAGACGTAAAAGGTGCTGTCATGTGCTTGCACTCTTTCAACGGTAAATTATTGGCAGGTGTTACTGGACGCTTAATACTATTCAAATGGTCTGATCAAGCCGATGATGATAGTAAGGATCTGGTTCAAGAATGCTCCTGTAGCGGCGGAATTTACATTTTAGATATTGACAGCCATGGAGATTTTATTTTGGTTGGAGACATGATGAAGTCTGTGCAGTTGTTTAGATACGAAAAGCCAGAAGATCAAAATGTATCTGGAAGTATTAGCCTCATTTGTAAGGATTACCATTATTCATGGCTCAGTACTGCTGCAATGTTCAATGAGAGAGAGTTTGTAGCGACTGATAATCGTGGTAACATTTTCACACTGCAAAAGAATGAGGAGGCTTCTGAAGAAGAACGAAAACAATTACCTCGTGTTGGAAAATTCTATCTTGCAGATCATATTAACAAGTTCCAACATGGTTTTATTGGAATGAGAATGAGCTCCGAGTTGTCATTGCCAGGCCTTAACAATCCATTGCCATCGTCAGCTGAACCATTGTCTCAGGCAAATCCTCCAATTAAGACAATTCTCTTTGGAACGATCAGCGGTGGTATTGGTGTACTGGCTCAGCTTCCACAAGATACCTATTTATTTATTCACAAGCTTCAACAAGCAATGGCAAACGTTGTGATTGGCTTAGCCAACATTTCGCGTGATACCTATCGTGCATTTAGATCTGAAAGAACAAGAGAACCCTCAACCAACTTTATTGATGGTGATTTTATTGAGTCCTTCTTGGAGTTCGACCAAGAAACTCAACAAAAGGTTGTCGATGAGCTTCGAGACAAGTTTGATGAAAAGTACATTAACCTGGAAGAACTGCTCAAGAACGTGGAAGATTTGTCCCACTTGATCCACTAAATCTTAAGTTAATAAAAAGTTCTCTTGTGAAACTTGCATTCAACAGGATTTCAAGCTCTACACACAACGTTAAATTTATGAATTTTATATATTTATTATTTGAAAAATTGGTCGTTTAGAAGAGACCACCGAAAGCATCAGCGTCATCCTCGGATTCGGATTCCTTCTTCTTTTCTTCCTTCTTTTCCTCTGCAGCAGCAGTTGTAGCACTTGATTCAACTGCACCAGCTGGACCAGCAGAAGCAGCAGATCCTCCAATGTTGGCCAAAATATCAGAAACTGGCTTCTTTTGGAAGAACTTAGCAAAGACTGAAGGCCAGAATGGTTCCATTTCAACGTTAGCAGCGTTGACTAAGTCCTTGATCTTGTCAGCAGTGATAGGAATACCTTCATCGTGCAAGATAAAAGCAGCATAAGTGCAAGCCAATTCTCCGATTTTATCCTTGGTGTAAGAGGATGGAAGAGCCATGATGAAGTGATAGAGTAAGTTGTGGCGTATTTTTTTTCAAAGACTTTTTTAAAAAAATCTGGTCAACCATAGCCAGCACTTTACAACGAAAAAGAAAAAACAAAAGTTTCAAGACAGACTCGTATGCCGTTCTTGATCAAGTTGAATTTTGAAATCAAATTCAATATTGATGAAGACGTAAACTAGTTGGTTGAACTGTTCATTCACAGTGTGTACCACGCTATACAACGACTCGAGTACAATTCATAATTGTTGTTTCATTCCGAAGTTAAGAAGTGCACTTCTTTCAACGATCAAATTCAATCATCATGATCACGTGTTAATGAAATAGGAAATCAATCCTCATGATACATAGAGCCTTAAAGAATCAATCAATGAACGAAGATCTTCTTAACATTGAATTGGAATGAATCCACATCAATGGCAAATTCCTAATTCGATAATTGATAAATTATCTTTTGGTTTTAGTTTGTACGGACTTGCTTTTATTTGCCAGTACGAATGCCCTTGCTTGAACATTGATCTTTGGGCAATTAACACCATTCAGCCGGCTCTGCCCCATCTCAATTACGTTGATTCACCAATAAGTCTGCAGGCTCAAGACACAATGAGTTTGAACTTTTCTAAATATGTGTATAGATCATTGCTTTACTGATTGTGGAAACCTTCTTGATTCGAAATTTCCCCATATACGCAATGTTTAAAATCAAAAAAGTACATGTTATTATTATTATTCCACTGGGACTGACGTATGTTGTTACACACTCTCACCTTTGTACAATTCATCCAAAAGTGTAGGAAACAATTGAAAAAAGAAAGATTGAATTGGAAATTGTGTAAAACAATTGAACGTACTCGAGACTCCTATTTATCCAAGTTGGCTTAATTGTGCATTCCCTACCTCTCGCCTTCACGTCCACGCCCACGACCACCAACAATTTGCTACCTACATTGACTGCAATTCATTTATTCCATTCTTGCATTATTATTACTAAACCCTAAGAACATGGTTAATTACGACTTCATTGATATGACTCTAGCTGCTAAAAGAAAGGTCCAATGCAGAACCCAGAATCAACACTATGATGCAGCAGAAGATTCAACATCATCACTCAAATACTTGTACCCTCAACACATCTCTAAGAATAGAAAGATACAAAAGTCCATGAAGAATAATAAGAAGTTCCTCAGTAATTATTTCGTCTTTGACAAGACAGAGTGGGGAAAATTGTCATGGGAAATTCATGATGGACATCATTCATCTTCTGTTCCACCAGATGAGAGAAGTAGCGAGAGTCAAACCTTTGCAAGGCAGTAAGAGTTATTTAACTTTGGGAAGCAACATCTTTTATCCGTCCGATACAGGATCCTGCCTCCCTCTAAGCGTTCTTCATCCAAGATGGTGCTCAAATTTTCCCAACATGTAAATACCTTATTTTTGGTTCCTCTCAACATCCACTTTTTCGTCATCCCTTCTTGCATAATAAGTAAAGATTGATAATTCTGAAGCACATAGACCTTCAGCATAATCTCGAACAATGTTCAGCAATGAGAGGCTTCGAAGCCTCAACATTCATATTCGACTTCAAAAACGTTTCCAAGAAGTATGTTCTCTAACGATGTTGCTCGATGAACAGTGTGTTAATAAAAATGTCCCCGGGAAGCCATACGACTCGAACTTCTCGCATTCTCAAGCTCCTATCCTCTCATTTCTCGCCCTCGAAGATATCCATCAAAAACCTATCCCGGCCCTATGAAAATGATGGAGCTCACAATAAGATTGTGAGAGAAGCACATGGTGAGTCTCACCTCCGAGTCATGATTGTTTCAACCATGTTTGAGGGCGTTGGTCATTTGGCTCGACATCGTATGATTAACCATGTTCTGGATGAGGAATTTAAAAACGGTTTGCATGCTCTCACTATTACAGCAAAAAGTGTCAGAGAATACGAGCAAGCAAAAGAGAGAATGAAAATCATAAGAAAGGAGAATAACTGTATTGAAACAAAGGATGAAGCACAAACAGATAAGATGCCACCTCGGGATGAGATGGAGGAGTTATTTGATGATGTAAAATAATGTGGGCGCTCAGCTTACAAAATTGGAAATTGGAACGTTCATGAAATTGCAGCGGGTAGTTTCTTTGAAGCATTTGCTGCAGAAACACTCAACAAAGATTGTGTATTTATTTCTTGGAAACCAAATAATTCTTGATTTTTTCATATTCGATTGGATGTACAGAAGCTTCATCCCAAGGACCAGTCAACACTCTGTTTCACCAATTCAAGAGTTTTTGGAACGATCAATAAACTATAAAAAGAATTAAGGCGAAGAGTACTTACTGTTTGTAGTGAGTTTGAGAGAAGATGAATAAATAAGGCATTAGGAAAACCATGATAATGTTAACTGAAAGGAAGGCAAAGAGGAGGAAAACTGAGCTCACAAAATAATAGAGCACAGTTACTGTTGTACATGTCATGAGTAGGTAAATGGTGACATACAGGAACGTTTTGTCATTCTTTTCACAGCATGTATTGAAAAATAATTATTCGTGAATAAATATTGCCAAGATTTAACGTGTGTCACACAATGTTAACGTTATAAAATGATAACAAATTCCTACCTTTCTTAATTGATGCCTCACGAATGGAAATAACAGAAACAATTCAATTGCCACAAGTAAAATGACAAATGCATCCAAAGAATGTCTCAGTCGTGAAGCAAACAGAGCAGAAATGAAAATCACACAATTCAAAGATAAATAGCAGTTGAATTTTTCAGTCTTTCCATTCACAAAATAATAATCATGTGTAAATAAATGAATGATAAATAATAGACAAACTAGGGCAATAATTGTGTCTTGGGAGTAGAGTAATGTCAATGTTCTAAGTATGGGAGAAGCTCCTAACAAAATCAATACGACAATGATCCAATTAAATACAGTTGAACTAAATGATGAAATGTTCATAGATTGCTGTATATCATGAGAGGACTCGTTTAAATTATTCGTATTCGATTTGGAGGATTTTTTCAACGTTCTATGCAAATATAAAAACGGTAAAATAAATACAAAATTAACAAGTATAATGATGGCCATAATTTCAAAACTTTGAAATTTCCCCGAAGGTTCCCATTCGTAAATTAAAAAGAAAATAAGGCAAAATAGGCAGCAACAAGTAAATTGCATGGCCAATGCGAGGCATTCTTTGGATGTGTCCCAATAATTATAAATTTCCAAATCTTGATTAATTTTCAATTCAGATAAAAAGTTTTGATGACTATGTAAAATAGTTTTTGTTCTTTGATCAACAGCTTTGGACTCTTGATCGTGCTGTAGCAAAATATTGTTTTGGTTATTTAAATTTATATTTTCAATAAGTGTCTTGTAGAGAAGTCTTTGAGAGCAAACATTTGTAGAATGAACGGGTGATGTAGATGCCACAGTCGGATCATGTTCCGAAGTGCCAGGATGATAGCGTTGCGTGATCGTTTTCAAGTCAGTGTTGGTGTGTTGAGATTGTTTTCGTCGTTTCATTTTTTTTTAATGCCCACAAGAACAATTTGTTCATAATAATGTCAATTTTGTGAATAACATTTATAATTGATAAATAAACTTCTTTTTCTTCTTCTTTCTACTCTTACTCTTAGTGTCCACTCGTTTAATGGCACCTTCTTTGATTGCTCTCTTCACTTCAAATTCTTTCATGACATCTTCATATCGTCCTTCCTTAAAGTGACGTAGAGTTGGAGCATATTTGAGATCTTCAGATGTGAGTGTTTTCGTTTGTTCTACTTTTTGCTTGAGACGATTATAGCTCTCTGAAAATGCAGCCACCATTTTCTCATCGTGTGGATCTTTCTTGTTTCGTCCTTGTCTTTTCTTTTCCAAAATTTCAAGGGCCTTCCTCTTGGAAATTTCTTCGACTTTTTGCTTTTCTTGCTCTAATTGGTTCATGTATCTGTCTTGCCACACACCTGGAATTTTTCGTTCTTCAATTCGTTGTGAAATAAATTGTTCAACTGTTTTGATAAAGTGTTCTTCGTTGAGCTCGACTAGGCGTCCTCCCACCTTAGTGATAATTGGAACTTTTGCAATGAAAGAAAAGGCCATTCCTTCTTGACCTGCTCGTCCAGTTCTGCCAACACGATGAACATAATCTTCAGGCTTTGCTGGCACGTCATAATTGATGACAAATGGAAGGTCAGGAACGTCAATTCCTCTTGCAAGAACATCAGTGGCAACTAAAATTTGGCATTCACTATTGTCAGGAAGAGAGAAGGATTTGATTGCCTTCGTTCTGAAGGCTAGACTCTTTTCCTTGTGAATTCCAATAGCTTTGTACCCTCGGTTAGTGAGATTTTCAGCCATTCGTTCGACCTTGTCTCGAGTTCTACAGAAAATCAGGACTTTCTTGTTCTTGAGAGAACCTTTACGCCCAAGAAGATAAAGAAGTAATTTAAATTTCAATTCCTTCTTGCTCACGAAATATTTGATGTGTTTGATTGTCTCAGGAATTTTAAACTCTTGATTTAAATTAATCATTTTGTGTGTTGGAGCAAATCTTTAATGTGTTTCATTCAAACATGCATGTTATAGAATTGCGATTATTAGGAAGTGTGAATGGTGTGAGTTTAAGGTTTTAAAATTAATCAATTCATTCTAGTACTTACCTGCACACTAAATCTTCTACATCTCTTGTAAGAGTAGCAGAAAACATGAATACTTGCATGGGTTCCTTGGTTTCGTTAGGTTTTGGAAGATGCTCATAAATTCGTTTTAGTTCAGGTAAAAATCCCATGTTCAACATTCGGTCACACTCATCCAAAATTAGATATCGTACAGTCTTCAATTTACATCCGTCATTGGTCTTGAGCAATTCTACTAGTCTTCCTGGAGTGGCTACAAGAATGTCCAGACCTTGTTGAATAGTTTTGAGTTGAGAAATTTTAGAAGCTCCTCCAAATATGATCCCAAGCTTGATATCAAACTCATCGTCAATTTTACCTTCATCACGCAAAATCTCCAGTGTATACTTTTTAAAGTTGTTTAAATGTTGATATACTTGCTCAGACAATTCCTTGGTCGGACACAGTACCAGAGTACCAATCTCTCTTTCTTCAAGACTCGTATGTGAGCGTCGTATTTTCTCATGAATAATTTTCTGCAGTATTGGAAAGCCGTAAGCTGCAGTTTTTCCTGTTCCAGTCTCTGCACTGGCTACAATATTGCTCTTGGTGAGAGCTTGTGGGATAACGTGCTCCTGAATTTCGGTTGGAGCAGAGAATTGCAAAAAGTGGGTGGCAGCTTTAGCGATGGCTCCCATCAAATTGAGTTTTAAAAACTTGGAATAGGCTTCAGGATTTGATAAATATTTATCATTTTGTTGTTGTGGCTCCGAATGATTGATTCCTTGGCTATTTCTCTTCTTTTGGTCATGTCTAATTAATTCAGTCTCCAAAAATCGTTCGGCATTACTTTTTCTCGTGACAGAATTCATCATGATTGAAAAATTACGAGTATTACCATCCAGATGCTGGGTAACATTGTTGGATACCGTTGAAAAGTGTTCATGATTTATCAAAATGATTGGAGTACTTGGTTTCCCAATCACGCTTGTTGATGATGATCCGAGAAGTTTTATTACCGACGACGATTGAAATAATCCTTTCAATCTGGCAGTGAGCATTTTTTTTGTTTGAAGTCAAGAAATTGCTTGAGCATTTAAAATACTGCTCACGTCCAATCAAGAAACGTCATAAATTGAAACGAATGCAGTGAGCATTATTTTGTTATTCATATATTGAAATACGTTTAGAAAAAGCTGGCACAACGTAAAGCTGTCCCTTGTAGTAGTCCATTGAGACACCGATCGGCTTGTTGTTGTGAAAAAATTGCTCGAATGATTTTCGTTGAAATTCGTTTGCACGGTTGACAAAGTCGCCGTTTTTAGGCAATGAAAAGATGTGAATGCGTGCAGCTTGTTCATCACAAACAAAGAGTTGATTGTTCCATTCATCAAAAAACAATCCTCTTACGCCAAAAAATTCATCAAGCTGAAAAGTCCTAAGAGTATCAAATTCAATGGATCGATTATTTGCTTGTCGTTGTTTAAATACTACCAAATTTCGATTCCAAAAATTGGAAATAATCAAATAATTACTATTGTCAACAGCATGAATCGTTTGTATTCCCCAGGGTCCATCACAATCTTGAGAAAAAGTTGTTAACACTTTTCCAGCTTTTGAAACAACTACAACTCCCTCCCTAAAACATGTAATATAAATTGTGCCATCAAACTTATTTACAGTCATGGCACATACAAGTGAAATATGTGGAGCTATTAATGTCCATAAGATTTTCTTATGTGTTAAATCGTATTTAACCAAAAAATCAGCACCTGCAATCAGTGAGTTTTCATTATGATCCAAAGCTAAAGCTCTCAGAATTGTGTTTTGAGAAATCTGAATATCGTACATAAAGTGTTTTGTTTGATAATCATATACGTGTATAAAAGGTGTCACTCCAACCACATAAATCTTTTCATTCTTTGCATCAACAATTAAATCATTCATTTGAGTTTTTACATGGTCATCTCCAGCTAACATCTCTCCGCATAATTTAAATTTCAAACTAAATGGAATATATTTCCGTCTCAATTTTTGAAACAAGCACTCCGAAAGCATGGGAATGAATGAAAAATCTTCCAATATTAATAAGGTGTGATGATCGTGGTAATTGCTCATTTTTTTTAAAGTTTCTTATTCACAAAAACTATTTGTAAACAAAATTTCATGGTTACATCTTCTGCTCGTTTGTTAAAGGCCTCACAGCAAGTCAAGCCAACATAGCGGGTTGCTGTGGATGGATTTGGTGACAACTCCTATCGCTTGGCTGTCAAAAGAAACTTTTCTGTGTCAAGATTTTTCTCCATAAGACAGCTCAACAGCAACTTTCTTTTTTTCGAGGACATGAATGAGCAAAAGGCCTTTAATTAAGGAAAAGGGAAATCACTTTCCCGGGCGGCATTTTGGAAAGCAAAAAATGTCTTCAAGAAAGGTGCTGCAAAAAAATATTCGTATCATTCCTTCCTGGTCGTCTTCGCCATTGGTTTTTTCATCATCCGGTTTATCATCTATACTCTTCGGAAGACTTCATAGAAAATTAAATAATTATTGTTGTTGTTGTTCGACAAGAGGAGTTCCATATCTCGGAAGTATTCGGACCTATCATTGTAGTTTCAGTGCTCACACAATGATTTCTCAAGAAGAAAATTCTGAAAATGTTGAACCATTAGAAAAAATTTATAATACAAGTTATAAGAATTGTATTGATTTTTTAACTGAGGACGCTCAACTAAATATTGATTTAGGACAATTAGATAAACGTGAAGCTGTGAAAGTATTCCCAGAAACCTCTCTACAAAGGTATTTTGTGTACAGCAATTTATATGAAAAATTAATATTGGATGCTGCCAATAGGTGTAGATATTGCTGGATGATTAAGACACAATGCCTTTGCGGCAAATTAAAACCATTCTCATTTGTCCCGAAGTGGGTCAAGAATGTTGAATGCTCTGCAGACGTATCTAGTAGTGACTCATTACTGAAAAAGGTTGAGATTAATCTACATTTACATTTTTTAATGCACAAGAAGGTAAGAAGTTCAAGGTGAAATAAGCACTTACAATGCATTTTCTTAAAGGAATTTCACAAATCTACAAATAGCGTGAAAATTTTATTGCATACCGATGCAACTCAAACAGCTCATTTATACATTGATCAACATGAGATGCATGAGGCTGTCATTAAGAATCTTATAGACGTGGCATCACAACCAGGAAGCAATCAATTTGTTTATATTCTCTTTCCATCAGCAGATTCTCAAACTGTGGCCCAAAGTCTTCCTGAAGATATGAGTTCATTTTTTGACCAAGCTAGAAACAAGCCCACTGGAGTTAATGACTTTCATTTCCATGTATTTGTTCTGGATGGTAGGTTTCAGAGTTTTTACAACTGATTATATAACATTGAAAATTCGTGTGTATTTTGATGCTGGATAAAAAGGCACATGGAATGAGGCAAGAATGTTGAACCGGCGAGAGTCGTTTAAGGGTTGTAAAAGAATCAAAGTGGATGTACCAACAGACTATAACTATGTTTTCAAGCTAGTTCGCACAGGAAAAGTTGAAGGACGAATTAGCACACTAGAGGCAGTAACTTTATTATTGAGAGATTTTAACAGAGTTTGCAATTCTGAACTATCGGTGAATGAGATGACCTTGAAAGAGAGCGAGGAAAGCCCTGATTTTGAGAGCTCAATTCAATCCGTCTACGACAACTTGAATACAATGATTGACATTTCGGACGTGAAATTTAGAAGACATGGTTTGGTAAAAAATCTTAATCAAGCCATTGAATGAGCACATTGGCAATTTTTGGTTGGCAAAGAAGCTGTTTCAATTATTTAGAAGGCAATTATATTTTGTTGTGGATGACCATTCTTGGAAAGGAGATGTTTGGTTTGTTGGACAAATTCATCCGTGCCGCATATAAAAAACAAGCACGAATTATGATCGGCTTGACTGTCGTTTGTATGTTTGTTCAGGTAATCTTCATCCATTCTTCCAGCCTCATAGTGTACATTCTCTGTAGAAAAGGTGTTTAAATAGTCTTGGGGTTCTCGACTAACTTTGTGGAATATCTCAAAAGTGAACTCTTGTGTTGTTACTTCTTTAGAAACGGTCGTTAGATTTTGTTCAAGAATGATGTCTTGCATTGTTTTGTTTCCATATAGAAGAGTCATATGCCGCAATTTCATTGGAGTTTTTTCCTCAATCTCTTTGGCCACATGTTTAATAATTTGATACATGGGCGTAATACCACTTCCTATACATATCATAAAAATTTGGTAGCAATTCAAAATTCGTTCAGAGAGGTCGTCCAACCCAAAAGGACCTCTCGCTGAAATGGTGTCACCTATCTTAATTTTGCTTAATTTTTGTGACATTTTTCCATGGTTATAGAGTTTAATGGTCAATTCAAAAAATCCTCGATTTTCTACACTGGTTGGAGTATACTTTCGTACTAGTAAATTATTTTCGCTGTCCTTATCTGAGAAAGCAACTTGTATATGCTGCCCTGGTTTGAGTGGAAGAAATTCCGAAAGAGACGGTAATTTCATGGTAAATACTTTTGTATCGCTTGTGATATTTTGAACAAGCATTACCTTGTAATCCATAAACATGGATTTTGACATGACAGATTTTGGGGTAGAGCTACTTGTAATATTCTGAGCTAATTGAGGTTCTTTAAATGTTTGAACTCGAGGTTGTTTGTTATATGGATTCACTTCGACAGGTTTTGATGAAGAGGATGTCGACGGCGAATAAAATGGTGACAACAAAGAATTTTTGATTTGATTATTATTGTTGGTCAAATGACTTCTTCGTTGCATGGATCCCAACAATTGATTCTTTTCCGGTAATAATTCTCCAATTAAATATTTTTTCAGAATGTTTCTCGCTTTTGGGCTATGAAACATGGCTTCAAAATCCGAAGTGCAATCTTTTCCGGCATTCTTCATCATGAGATTGACACCTCCGGGATGCTCATTCAAATAGGTCGTAACATCATAGACAAGTCCATGACAAATCATCCAACAATCATTTTCCGAAGAGTGAGCTGATACTTGTTCTCTACTGTAGTAGGAAGGACTGGCTGATGAAGGAGGAAGCATTGAGGACATTTTTTTTGGGGTTTCGAATTATTTTGACGTACAATAGAAAATAAATCAAAACTCCTTGTCAGTCAATCCACAAGACCCAATACACTGCAGTCAATGATTATTTACAACAAAAGGCTTTAATGAGTTTTTTTGGAAAAAAGCTCTTTGATTTCTTTGAAGAACGAAATCACAACGAATTAATTGGTGCTCACACTTGGTTGTCCAGTACAGACGTAAATCATCCATCCAACACCATACTTGTCGTTGCAGGTGCCGAATCCAGGTGAAAAATGTGTCTTTCCAAATGCCATGGTAACTTTTCCATCTTTTGCGAGAGCATTGAACAATTGTTCTCCTTGTTCAACACTTTTTGCTGTGATGGAAACTGCAAATCCAGTGTGAGCTTCAAAATTATTTGGTTCATCACTGCCATGCAATACATTGCCAGAATCTAATTTCAAACAGCTATGCATCACCTTTCCTTGCATGGATGGGCAATACTTCTCTGTTTCTTGGTCAGCCTTTAAAATTTCAAGTTTGCCACCAAGGATAGAGTGATAATAATTCATAGCCTCTTCACATTTGCCATTGAAGAAAAGATATGGGTGCAATTCAAGTTGAGTCATTTTGTTTGTTGGTGTGCCTTGAAGGATCCTTGCGATCTCACAATTTATGCAGTAAATTTGTTCTTGTGGCCACTCGAACTGTTGTGATTTCACATTGTAATCAACAGATAATGCTCGCGCACAACTATCCGTTATTTTTTGAAAAAATTACTATCAGCTGACATTTTGTAAAAGTTGTGGAAATCTAATTAAAATGTGATTTGATTCCGGCGAAGTACATCGAACGGAGTGTTGTCTTCGTGAATGAATAACTTGGAAAATATAGGAAATGCCTTTTGAAACCATTGAGAGGATATGTTTGGTGTGAACGACGATGTTGTTTGTGTTCTTGCTTGATGATGTTTCTCTTCTTCGAGATGAGCTCCAAGTTTCGCACACATGAGATATTGCAATCCAAGAATTGGATAAAACTCTGGATAATATTGTTCCAAGAGTGGAAGTGATTCTACAGCATAGTGATATGCTTTTTCAAACTCGCCCAATTCCACATAGTTGTGAGCAAGTGCATTCAGAGCAATGCCCAAATAAATGTCATGAAATAGTTTTGGAGAGGATTTCTTTTTTGAGACAACTCGCGAATAACAATTGATGGCTTCTTGGAGTTCTTTTGATCATGCAGACATTGTTTTCGTATTTTCCAACCTTAGTTAATACTTACGATTTTTCTGTTTAAAATCATTAGCCATTTCAAGCATGCTCTCCACATGAGTATTTCTCTCTTCAGAATTGACTGTAGATGTGCATCGTGGACATTGGCAAGTGAAATGATATTGTTTGTCTAATTTATGTTGTCTATTTGGTGTCACATCTAGTAGGTCAACATAATTAATGGTTAGAGGCTCTCCAGCCTTAATGTTGGAGTTAATAACTCGTACATAAATGTTCTTTTTAGAGTCGAAGAGAACCGTACAATTTGGAACACAGCTGTGGTTAAACAAGGATGTGTGAACATATAATCCTGAGCCAATCACATTCATTTCGTCATTACAAATAGAAAACGTGTTTCTTTGAATCTAAGAAATGTCAAGATGATTTAAAAAGTGGCAATCAGATTTACCTTACCTTTTGAAACAATAAATAGAGATAATCGACGTCAGTTTTTCGATGTCCAATCAAAGAGATGGACAGATCCAATTCTTTCACGTAATCACAAAATAAAATAGCCAATTGTTTCAAATCCTCAATATCCTTCATGCTCTGCTTAGGTGATAAATTCTCGATTTTTTCCACGTCCTCAACGGTCTTACAACTCAAAAAACATTTCAACATTAATCTCATAGAATTGGTTACTTGGGGATGTTTCTGTAAGGCTTTACACTCCACCAAGTGTTGATCTGCATTCTGTGAAGCAAACACACAATCATTTGTGAATAGTAAAAAGCAAAATGCAGTTTCAGATTCGTAAAAAGCATTGAAAATGAATTGAAGCATTTCACATCGTTCCAGTTATTGCAAAATCCTTCAATTTTTCATGAATATACTGATCATCATCACTTACATAACATTCCATCGAGCAATAGTGAGAATATTTACAAGCTTTGCATCTCGACAATTTCATTCCTTCTGATTTTTCTCTAAAACAATAATTACAAATTCTGCTTCGTTGCTCCTCCGATACACAAAAACAATTTGGTTGCTCCTTTAATAATAACGTTCCAATTCTCGGACTCGTTCCACCTTTTCGATTATCTGATGCTCTGTAAATGATTTGAGTACTGTCTGATGATGATGGTTCATCATGTCCATCATAGCAATAAAACCTTCCGAATTCTTCATTTTCGGAAATTGTTAGGAAAGAGAGAAATAACGAAGAGCAAGCCTTATTCATTTTTTCATCTCCAAATTACGTATATTCGAGTTCAACACCTACTCAATATGTTATTTGTTAAATTATTATTCATAGGCGAATAGGATATTACACGATTGAGATTTTGGCGGCCACTCAACCACAGAGTTGAATCCCCTGGCAGCCAGCCAACCACTGCCGATGAACTTTACAACTTTCATCCACATTGTTTATTGGTTCCAAATACCGCAATTCTTCTCCGCACTCTCTTTTTCAAACAACATGTCGATGATGGTTTGACACAATTTCCCGATTTCATCACCAAGAAAAAAGCAAACAACAACCTCTTTCGTCTCTCTCATTCTCCCTCGACACTCACACATGAATGCTCGTTTTCGTTTCACACATGATTCCATGAACCGAACTTTCGGAGGAAAGAGAAACCATCATCATGTCCATTCGTCATTGTGGTCATTCCTGATAGTTATAATGATGATGATTCTGCTGGCGACAAGCGTTGATAACTCCCATCAGGAAACATTCGGTAAGTGTTTTGTTGTCTTCCGTATATATGGACATACTATTGAAAACATTTTCACATTGACATTTGACTACTTTCATTATTATACACAGACCTCTCTCTTTCCAATAGAATTTTCTTCTTTTACGGAACTCAAGATCGTTTCATCAATACTAAAGGAACCTATGCGGTCAATTCAAATTGTACCTGTCAAGCTTCATCATTTGCTGTGAATGAGCTTCGGACTGATGCTTCTAGTTATCAATATTGTTATTTTGATAGTTCGAACTCGGTGACTGTCTTGATGACTGGTCCTGGATTTTGCAACTTCTCAATGGCATTTGACAATGATGATTACTTTTTATACATTTCCGATTTTTACTTGACACCGAATGGAAAAGTCATTCCCGATGGAAATGGTTTTCATGAATATGGATTGAATTTTACGAGTGGAGATGTTCCTGTTTCGTATTCTTTGTTTTCCATGTTGTTTGAGAGATCAGGAATTAAATCATTAAGGTCTTCTCTGATACCATCAATTAATGCAGCATTTACAAAGAGTGGTTCAAATTCGCTTTTTACTGCCATGTTGAGTTTTGCACAAATTCAATCCATGCTGGATGTGGCGACATTTGACACTTATCAAAGATATAAGAGATTGGATTTTGATGTTGTGATGGACTCGTTGATTTATCCAGTGAGTGATGGTGTTCTTTATTATTCACCATTGAATGCCTCCAAGATTGTTCTTTCACCAAGTATCATTCGATTTGGAGAGTTGACCTTTATTGAGCTTGGAACTTTGAATTCACAACCGCTCTTTACACCAAGTAATTCACTCATGATTACAATTTGTGGCTCCAATTTCACATCCATGAGTGGAGCTGTCACGATGGTCACCGAAAGTTTAGTACGGGCTCAAATTATTTGTACAAATCCAAGTTTCAGAAATGGAATGACCACTCTCAGTTATTCACAAAGTGGTGATGTCCAGATGGTGTCCATTTGAACATTGCAATTTTTGAATTTGATACCAATGTGAATATTGCGTACACTGGATCGAGAAGTTCTTGTTCTCTCTTTGGACAAAATAATTTACGAATTTCATTTCCTTCAAGCTCATACTTTTCACAGTCGATTGCACCTTTGGTGAGATTTAGTATGGTAGAACAAAGTTATCAATCCAGTACTTCGTATGATTGTACTTGGTTCCAAAGTCAAGTTTGGAGTGTCCTTGTCCAGCTCTGTGGGAATTGATGTTCACACCACCACAAGAATTTAACTTCTTTTTGAGACCACAAAATTATGCAAACAATGTGCAAGATCAAATGTCCATTCGATCGAACAAAATTATTGGAAGTCCTAAATTACTCTTTGGAGATTATGTGCAACCAGAAATTGTGGCTCCAACTGCTGTGTATTCTTTCAATATTACTCAACCATCCGTGTACAATTCACCAAGTGGTGGCACTATTTCAGTAACGAATATTGATGAAGTTTATATCAATTCAGGACTTGTGAATTATACGTTTTATTTAGTGAATTCGGTGGCAGATTTGAAACCTGAAAATCAAATTTCATGCACCCTTGCAACCATCAACTCAAAGAATGGATTTAATTGTGATTATAGTAGTTTTGCGAATCGACCAAATGCTCTTTTGAATGTATGTGGATGTTCACCCTATACCACAGACACTCGTTCCGTTTCCTCTGGAAATTGTGAATCAAATTGTAATTTGAAAATCATGTTTGCCATTTCCAAGCAATCCATGACTTCACCAGCAACCTATCTCACAAAGAATGCGCTTTCAATCCTTCCTCCGTTGAAAATTCAATCCATCATTCCAGATTCAGTCCTCCTAGGAAATATGAACAGTGTTAATTTTACAATTGTGACAAGTTTGGACAGCTTTGCCATACCATCACAGTTCCAAACCATTGATTACAAGTTTGTTGAAGTGGATGGAATCACTGGTGTTGAGTTATCGAGACAATATCAAGGAACGGCATCTTTTTTGAATTCTAAACAACTTTCATTGTCACCTGTATTTGCAAATAGTATTTCCTCATCAGGATTTTATATTTTAAAGCTTTCAGTGGATGGACCATTAGGAACTTTCAGTACTGATCATGGTATTCGAAGATTGAGTGTCATGGACGCAACAAGTGTGACAGTTACAAAATTTGAGGAATATACTTTGGTGAATTCGACTGCAGTTTCTGCAGGTTATGCTGACGATACCATTTCTCCTGCTGCCAAACCATTTCGAATTCTCGGTTCGAATTTTCCCAAATCAGAAACCATCAAAATTAAGCTCACCTTAATCAGTAAGCCAACTAATTCAAAAACAAGAAAAGTCATGGAAAAACTTTCTAGAAACAATTACAAGTCACATGTGAGAAATGCTCGCACTTCCTATCAAAAGAGAATGATTCAAGAACAATACGCACAAAACAATGGAAGTATCTCATTCCTCGCTGATTGCACAAGTTTCACATCCACAGAAATTCGATGCCTCTCTCCCAATATTTTATCGTCTGGTGTTTCACTTCCATTGAGTTTTGGAGTTACCATATCATTTGACGGTTCTTTCACAAGTGCTGTCTATGTACCCAAGAAGAATGGTCAAGATTATACAGTGACCGTTCGTGAATCTGAAATTCCAGTCATTGTTCAAGCCATTCCAACAAAGGGACCAATTAATCCAACCGATGATTCCAAAGGACCTGGTTTTTTAACCGTCACTCTGAAAGGTATTACCACAGACGTCACGAAATGCACAATCGAATACACAAAAGTCAAAGGAACAAATGTGTATGTGAATTATACAGTACCTGCAGGAACACTTCTCACGAATGAGGAATTCAAATGTGTCATCAATACTGCTGCCTTAAATGAAACGATTTATCAGTACAATTTGGGAGTGTATCCAAGTCAACGAATCAAATTCCCTGCCAAAGACAGTTTCAAGATTTTCCTTCACACTTCCACTAATTTACCAAGTGATGGATTTCCATTTGAATTTTATGAACATCCAGTCATTCAATCAGTCTCTCCACTCGAAGTCGATGCTAAGGGTGAAAATTACATGATCATTTCTGCAGATCCAAATTATGCTTCGTTCGATTCTGAATCTCGAATTTATTTCAAACTCGGAGATTTTACTTCAGAATTTGATTGTCAATTCAATCATGCGTATGAAATCAATTGTACCACTCCATCTCATCCAGATGGTCCAGCAACGGTTGCCATCTCGTATAACAATTATCAATTTGCATACTCGACTGTGAGTGTCAATGTGAAAGCTTGTGCTGCTGGTTACTCTGCACCTGATTATATCAATACATGTGAAGCATGTCCATTGGGAACTTACAAACCTTTGGAAGGATTCTTTGCTTGCATTCAATGTGAAATTGGAAGTTACAACAATCAAACTGCTCAATCTAAATGTGTGAACTGTGGTGCCTTTAAAACTACTGTGTCTGTGGGATCCAGTTCCATCTTGAATTGCGATTGCGATAAGGGTTATTATAGAAGAAATGGCTCTTCACCTGTGAGTGCCGACTGTTGGGCATGTCCAGTCGGTGCTACTTGTCCTGGAGGCTCTGCTTTGCCTGTTCCAATTCCAGGTTATTGGTGGGATGCTGACAATTCTGAATCTCAAAACGGAAAAATTGTTCTACTCAAATGTGACGAACCAATGCAATGATTCGATGCCCAGGACAAAATTTAACACTCGAAGGACGATGTGGAACTGGATATACTGGAATCAAGTGTGTTTCTTGTGTTCCTGGATTGTATTTCAAGAGTGGAGATGTATGTCAACAATGTAATGAGGATATTCAATTGCGTTTCTTGATTGTCGTGGCAGTGATTTTGGTGTTGGCTGTATTGTTTTTCAAATTTGCACAGTTGAAGGTTTCTCACTTGTCCAGTATTAGTATTGCTGTGAGCTATTTCCAAATTATTGCAGTTTTCACAGTTTACAATTTTGAATGGCCTCAAAGTTTACAACAAGCCTTTGACACTCTCAAATTCTTTAACTTGAATTTGAATATTTTTGTTCCAGAATGTGTAGCAAGTAAGTAGTGTCACTGTTATCATGATTAACCAATTCATTGACCATCTCATTGACCATCTCATTAACTTTTTAATAACAAATTTGACAACAGTCATCACTTATGGCTTAAAATGGGGATTGACATTGGCTCTTCCTGTATTTTTCGGAGCTCTTTTATTAGTCGCTTTCGGATTGGAATGTTTAAGAAGTGCCATTCTCTCCAAACTTCCTCTCATTGCACAAATTCGAAAACATCCAAAAATTGCGGCATGGTACGACATGACTCACCACAACTTTATCATTCGAGTACTAAAAGGAATGAGAAGAGATCTCATTCGATTATTCCTCGTTCCTCGATCGAAACGTGAATTGGTGAATTTTGGAGACATGTTCATTCACACCTTTATTGTCATTATTAGTTTCAGTTATGTCTTTGTTGTGACCAAAGCTGCTGAAATTTTCGATTGTCGTGAAACAACTGTGAATGGTGTGAAAAAGTGGTTTGTGAGTGCAGATCCCACTCTCTATTGTTTTGAAGATACTTGGTGGGTCTATTTCACATTTGCATTATTGACCTTTATTTTCTTTGGATTGGGAACCATTGTATTATTTGCTTACATTTTATGGAAGAAGAATGATGAAAGTAAGAGATACAAATTCTATGCACGATTTCGTTTTCTATTCATACGTTTCAGAAATGGCAGATTATTTTGGGAAATTATTATAATTTTGAGAAAATTGAGTATTTCAGCTGCCATCATCTTCTTTTCCACATGGCCCATCCTTGTCGTTCTCTTTACCATGTTTGTCATTTTCATGAGTTTTATTTTACAAACTCATCATGTCCCTTATCGAAGAGTCTTCCACAATGTGATGGAATATTTAGTGTTATTATCGACCGAATTTCTACTCTTCTCAGGCCTCTTATTTTACGTGAATAACTTTCCCAATGAAGAGACTGCCTCAGCACTCGGTTATTTGTGTATCATTGTAGTGATTGTAAGCTCGGTGGCCATTGTCGTGTTGGTTGCGTTGGACTTTTTATCTCAATATCTATCGGATCGAAGAAAGAAGAAACAAATGGAAGAACAACGAAAGAATCAGAAAGCAGCTCTCACTGTGGGTGGTAATACCGCAACAACAACAACAGCAGCAACTACAGGTGCCTTCTTGGTAGAATCTAATATAGATATTGAATTGAAAGATGAAAATAACAAGAATACATTGGAACAAGTCTCATCCAACCATCTTCACAGGCCATGGATTCGAGTGTCTCAATTACGGTTCAGCAAGATCCTGCAGCCGCAACCACCAACCATGGTTCCCAAGAACAACGTTTACCATTGAAACTTCGATTGAAGAATCAATGCTTGCGTCTGTGGAAACTCTTCACTGAATACTTGAAGAAGATTGAGGGTGAGTCCTTAGATGCCGATCTCGAAGAATACGATCAAGATCGTTTATGGGATGTTGAATTACTCGATCGAGGTCTCCCTCTCGTCATGAAGAAACCACAACGATATCATCCATCAAAAGAAGAAGAAGAACAAGATGACACCAATTCCTCCAATGCAGTAGGAGCAGGAGCCACTGGTACAGTCCATGAAAGTTTGTCCCTCAATGAAATCAAGTTATCGAATGATGGTCAAGATCCTACTACACACAAATATCCAACAACAACATCCATGCAAGGACCAAAGGGAGTCGATCCAAAAACACTCTCACGACTCGTGTTGGCCCGATCGAGTTCGGATGTTTCCTCCTCACACACTGCCTCGAGTAGTGTGAATAATAGTCAAACGAATTTATTGAGACATGATTCGAGTACGAGCTCATTGAATGAAAATGCCAATCATTCGAATACAGAGTAACACTCTCAAAGTTGTCCATTAAATATTCAAGAGAGAGTTAAAACGAGCTCTTTTCAACATGATTTTTCATTCGATTTTTCATGCAATTTCAATTCGAGATTTAGTTAAAAAATGAAAAAAGCGCCCCCGCCAAATTTTTACAACCTGTTTTTCATTTATTAAAAAAATTAATGATGAACGCTGACAATAAACCTCAAGTCACTCATGAACATCATCATTTCTACCATGGAGGGAAGAAGGTGGCTTCTACAAGTGTAAGATTATCGGAAGAGGGAAGCATTGAAGATGTTCGTGTCATTGATCATCACGGACCCAAATTGGTGTCGTTTTGGAATAGCGGAAAAAGCAGTTCTTCTTCTTCGTCATTGGAGAATGGAGGAGACTCCAATAAGCAATATACAACACCTCCCATGTACAGTGAACGATTAACAAAGCTCAAATCAAAATTGTCAGCAGTTTCTTCTTCGTTGGACGGAAAGAACGGCCCTCTCACAAAGGAAGAAGACAAACTCAAGAAAAAGATCAAACAACAAAAAAAGGAGATTGAACTCTTGACCCGTGAAGTCAGAGACTTGCAGTCGACCGCTTCGAAAACCATTTCTTCCTCGTCATCGTCACCAGTATCTATTCAATTACCCTCTGCTTCTCCTTTCAAAGAGAGTAAGTATACAAAGGCAATGGCCATTTGTTGGTATTAATTTCAATACTTTTCGAAATTATTTTAATAATGGAAACTCCAGCAATAGCTCGGATGACTCAATCTCTGATGATTATCTGGCATACACAATTAAAAGATATCTAAATGTTCTGAAACAAGGTTCATATGGAAGTACCTATTCCGAACAAAAGAGCTTTCTCGACACTCTCACCTACATTGAAGGAAAGGTCGATCGATTAATATCTGAAAAGAATAGCCAAATCGAAAAACACATTTCCGACAAAATAGACGCCGAAAGAAAGAGTAAAATTCTGGAAAGTGAACGAGACTTTAATCGAAGAGAGCTCGCTCAAAGAGAAAAAGAATTGGAAATTTGTGCTAAAGAAAAGGAACGACTAGGAAAATCATTGAAAACGGCAGAAGATGACGTGATGCGACTCCAAAAAACTCTGGAACAATTTTCAAAATCTAGAGAAGAAGACACAGAGCTCACACAAAAGATGGTCGATAAACTACTGGAAAAGGAGCGAGGTAGAATTCGAAAAAAGATGTCTGAAGAGTATCAAAAAGAAATTGATGAGTTGAAGAACAAAATTTTGGATCTAGGCGAACAAATACATTGTTTAAAAGAAACACAAGAACTGCGAGACAGAGAAATTTTAGAATCGAGAGAAGAATCGAACATGTTACGATTGAAATGTTCAAAGCTTAGTGCGCTCTCAGAAAAGATTCAACAAATTAGCAAAAGTCAAAAGAGCTATCTTGATGAATTGGACAAACTTGTTGGCTCATGTAAAGACAAGATACCTTCATTGGAAGATTTGTCAAAAGGAGCTCAACTCTATTCCAGATTAAGCAAAGGCTATGAAGATCTTGAACTTGCTTCCACTGTGGACGATGCTGTATTTGGTTCTTTCAACTCAGATTTCGAAAAGCTCAAACAATTACTTAAATCTTCCATAGAAAGAGAAAGAAAACTGGAAGACAATTTAACTTATACAATGAACTTGAACCAAGTCATGAATCGAGAGCTTGAAAGCTGTAAAAAGAGTTTGACTGAAATGGAAGAGTCTATTTCAGCAAGCGCTTACTTGGAGAAGAGCAGTCTTTACCAAAAGAAAATACAAGCAGTATCCAACATTACCACATCATTCAAGGTCAAGTCCATTATTGAAATTTGTGAAGAATTTGCAAAGGCCAATTCAAATCTTCGTGAAAAGGTGAAAACTACTCAAGCCAATAATGAACTTCTTTCTCAAGAACTTTCCCAGCTTCATAAATCCAAGTTAGAGACTGTGTCTTCACAGAAACAATATTACAAGGAGAAGGAACATCTGGTTCAAGAACTAGAAGAACTCAAACAAAAGAAAGAGAGCTTGTTAAAAAGGCACAAGCCGATTCAGAAAACTTCTCCAAGCTCATTCAAGAAAAACAATCGGTCATTGAAAAGTACAAGGAAATTATTGAAAATAAGGGAGTGAATATTTCCTCACTCGAAGAGACTTGTAAAGAAAAAAGTGATCAACTCAAAAACACCAAGAAGGAGCTGGAGCAAAAGGTTGAAGAGATTGAAAAGATTTTGAAAGAGAAAAAAGATTTGGAGCAACTCTATAACAAAACTTTGCATGAATTGGAAGAATCCAAGGAAGAACATGCCAGTAATGAAATGTTGATTGCACAAATCAAGAATCAAAATGAGAGGTTGACAGCTCTTAACAATGACTATTCAACCAAGGCTGAAGAACTCGAAATGCAACTAGATGCCGAAAAGGAGAAAGTTGCAAAACTTGAGTCACAGCTGAAAGATCTTCAACTCGTTGTTTCCAGTAAGGAAACAGAAATTGAAAGAAATAAGACGAATTTGGTATCTCTTGAAAAATCCAAGCAATTATTGGAAAAGAGCTCGAGCAGTTGAAAAATATATCTCAAGATACTGAATATAAAGTGAAGGACAGCGAAAGATCAATTACAGATAAGCAACGACAGATCTCTGACCTTCATTCACAAATTGAAGAGCAAGATCAGGAAATTATGAACCTAAAATCAAACTTAAAGGATCAAAAGAAAATCCTCTTTGAAAAGGAACAACTCTTAGAAGAAATTAAAATTTCGTATCAAGAAGCCAAGCGATCTATTGAAAAGAAAGAAACAGAAATTATGAACTTGCGTCTCGAAATTGAGCAACTCAAGAGTGGACAAGAGTCACTCAAATCCAAATGTTCTCAATATGGAAAATCCAACTCTGAACTGGACGAACTTGTTGAGGACTTGAGAAAGAAGATCAAACAAACTGAAGATAAATGGGAAGCCAAGGTATCAGAAACTAAGGAAAATCATCACAAACAATTGTTAGAAATCAAGTCAAGATATGAAATGGACAAGACAAGCCATATTTCAGAACTTGAAGGAAAGCTTGAACAAAAAGAAATGGAAATTGAAGACTTGCAAACACAAATTTCACGCATGAACAAACAGAAAGATGAAAAGATTGTTGACAGAGATCTTGAAAATGATCGTCTTTTAAAGCAACTTGAAGAAGTTAAAGAAAAACTGAGGACCAAAGAGCGTGACCTCTCGGACATTACAAAGAATTACAAGAAGATTGAAAAGGAATATTTAATGATCATGCAAGATTTACAAGAAAGCCGAGAAAGTATTACACAAAGTATTCAAGAAAAAGAAAGAGAATTGCAAGAGAAGAGTAGATCGAAATTGTCAGAGTTAAATTCGAGCTATGCATCGTTGCAAAACAAACTTAATCTTACTCAAAATGAACTTGACTCAATAACCATGGACTTTGAACAAAAAACTCAAGAGTATGAGCAAACCATTCTCGATCTTCAAGGAAAGTTGGCCAAAGAGCGAAAAGAGAGGAGTATGCTGGCCAGCAACAAGTCCATCATTGATCAAAAGGATAAACAAATTGAAGAATTACAAAACGAGAAGATGCAACTGGCTAAAGGTTTGAAATTCTTAAACGATAACGTTTATGTTTTACGGGATGAGTTGAGACGATTGAAGAAACAAGTTCTCTTGTATCAAACTAGTATGAAAAAGGAAGTTGAACGGGGAGTCACACAAATGGAAGATCAAATTGAGCTCTTTGTCGCTAAAAAAGAAGAAGAACATCAAACACAAATTGATTATTTCAACAGATCTCTCGAAATTTACAAGGAACGCACAGCCAAGTTAGAGAATGAGAAGAAACGTAGCTTGCAAAACATGTCAGCACATCTCGATTTGGTACAACATCTTGGTAGATCTGTGGAACAGGAAGAAGATAGTTCTATTTTATCAGGCATTCCAATTACGGATGACGATGACGAAATTTAATTTTTCAATGTTCTTGAATTTTGTTCTTGGAGAATAACATTCCTGACAATTGGTTCAATTTCTAATAATTTCCGTACTTCCCAAACGCTCTTATTTTCTCCTGCAGCCTTACTTGCAGCAAGTAAAAGAGCAACTGGAACAACCTTACTCACAGTCATGGCTTTTGAAATGTGATGAGAAACCAAATTACTGTCTGGAGTTGTATCATTATAAATTGCTCTTAACACACATTCTTCAGCTACTTGTTCGCTCACTTTCATGATCGTACTCACAATATTGATGGCTCTGTAATAGAGTTTGTTATTGCTAACCTTAAGGTTGATCATTCGATTACCAAATGTCATTCCTTTTTGAACGTGAGACGCTGTTGTGATTGCATTGAGCATTAATTTCAAACAAAGCTCTGCATAGCCATATAAATAGGGAACGGGAGTCAACTTTGGAAGTGGCACTACCACTGTGTGAGTCTTCTTTGTATTATTATTGTCGTGTGATTGATTGAGCAACAATTCTGAAATTTTTGGTAGTACTGAAGCGTGTTCATAGTCTGCAGTTGATTGTGCTGTCACGACTAGCCAACAGGTGGATGCCAATTTCGTGTTTTTCACTTCATGATAAAGTTCAATCATTTCATTCAAAACTTCTTCGCTCAATGTGTTGTCAATGACTAAAAAGAAAACGGAATCATTGGAATTGACTTGTGGTAAAACTTCTCTCTAAAATAGGAAAAGGAAATGGAAAAGCTTTCTCCCTTGTTCTCCATAGTTACGTTCGAATCTGTCTTTTCAGATTGGAAAATTTCGTTCCATCCGTTCTTCACAAACCCTCTCACATCCATTGGATGAGCTCCATACGTTGGAACGCATTCAGAAGCATCAATAAATCCTAAAATTCCTGCATTTCCACAACCAACATAATAAATATGTCCAATTTCCTTCTCGTTTCTTGGTACGGCAGTGTTGTCTCGTGTGGCAGCAGAATGTTTTAAGCTTTGAGAAGCCATGTCAATGGCATTGGAAATGGGTTTTTCGAAAAGTTTGGGATTGATTATTTCTGATCCAAGAGAAAATGCCGAATCGTAGGTACATCTAGTTGTCATTTCAAAACCTTGCAGAGTATGGATAATCAGCTCTCTCACGTTGTGTGTTAGTGAGATGCCATTTGTGTAACAATTATCATTATTATTTAGGATGGATAAAATTGCTGCTGAAAATGCAACGTCAAGTAATAATTTTGTAGCACTTCCTCCTTTCATTCGTGTGGATCCAGTAATGCCCTCAGGTCCTACAATAGGATTAAGAATAAGAAATTCATCCTCTCTCGACTGATTCTGCTGAACGGTATCAATCACATTCTTGAATGAAACTTTGTTTCCCTCCAACCTTCAATGGGTAATTCTCTTGCAAACTCTACTGGATTAAATCCAAATAAAACAGAGTCAATATTTAGAGATTTATCTTCACTCAAGTGCATAATTTGTCCTGCCACATAGGCTGCAGAAAATCCACAGGTAATTCCAATAAACAATCCCTTTTCAGTATTATTTTGTGAAATAAGTGACAATAAATCATTCTTTCCAACCTCTGGCTTGTCTTCAGCAGCTTCTTGAGGGCTCACTAACGCGTTAACTCCTCCAGCAATTATATATTGAAAGCAATCTTTTCCATCATCAGCTTTGCCAAATAATTTTCGGATGCAATAATTATAATTCCGAGCACAAAAGTAGGCTATTCTTCCACTTGTACCACATCCACTCATAAAAACATTGGATACAGGAGCACTAGATTCATCGGAACGCCAATCTTCAATACATTGTTTCATTCGGAGGGCAATTTTGCACAAACTCTGAATCGTAGATTCATCAAAACTCGAAGGAAATGTTTCATATCCACAAAACATTTGAGCATCACATGTCCGTAACAGCCGGACCATTCCATCAATACTGGCAATATCAATATCTTGAGTAAGAGAATTTGAACGTTCAGTAATTCTTTGCGACATTTTTTGGATTTATGAATTGAAAGAAGGCTTTCATTGTAATCAATCATTTGGAAATCATAAATCCTCAATGAAATTCAACTCGTATAAAATCATTCATGATTCATGAAAAGTCTTTCCTCTATTTGATAACGAGTGTTAAGTGAAGAATGTTCCATTCCACCGAACAACTCGACATTAGAAAGAGCTGGTGCAAATTTTCAAAACAACTTTTTTTTCAGGAGTCAATAATAAAGCAGTTGGGTCATCCCAAATTTGTCATCGTAACCAACACACAAAAAAATCTTCAAAAACACCAACAGCCTTGCATCACGTCGAAGAAACAAGTTTGAGATCTTGCGGAACACACAGAGTAAACCTCTCATCTGTGGAAGCCTCTTTTTGTGTGTGTTTTGAAGCTTACACACTTCAATTTCCAATCCACACCACTTCCTCAATTTTGATTCTGGTTGTTCGGTATTGAGAGAGATTGTTTTTGATTTCGGAGGAAACACAACAACAGAAATTATCTTGTACAATACCATTGAAACTATTGACTACATCTGTACATCATATTGGGAAAATGAACTCCCCTTCTGTTTTATTGGTATGTGTTGGTATGATTCGTTACAATGATTGAACAATCATCTTGATTTCTAGAAAAAACAAATGAAGGAAAAAGTGGAGAATATGAGCGTAGCCATTGGATCATCCCCTCGACGGAATAGTAGCATCAGCAGCAATAACAACACTCCGTATGGCTCACCAAGTTCTACCAAATCATGGTTTGAAATGGTGGAGGGCGATGATGATAGCGAGCTCTATTCTGACGAGCATTTCCAGAGAATCACAACACCTGACATCCTTCAGCCTCTTTCATCACCCATGTCCGTAAATGGTATTTCACCTCCCATGAGCGATGATGAGGAAGACGAAGCGGCTATTCATCATGAACTGTCTAGCCCGGAAGATGAGACATCGGGTCCTCACATGCTCAGAAGTCGATGGACCATATTTTACGATCAAGGGTTCAAGTCGGGTACAAATCCCGAAGACTACGAACATTCAATTAATCAAATCGGATCATTTGATAGTATTGAAGATTTTTGGAGATATTGGAATAATATTAATCTGCCATACTACAAAATGCCTTCCTATCTCAATTTGAGATTATTTAAAGAAGGTATTAAACCTTTATACGAAGATCCAAAGGTGAGTTGCGTCTATTATTTTTTGTGCAACAGTTACATGATCACCACACATTTGTAAATTGTAAAAATCAATGATTCAAACATAATATTATTCCGAAATTGATGGAATTTATTTGCGCAACATGATTCTTACAGAATATTGATGGAGGACGGTGGGTCATACAAACTCATAAAAAAGATTCACGCCAAGCCACATGGAATGAAATTGTTCTAGCTGTCATTGGCGAGAAGCATTTTGCTGACAAGTATGAAGTGAATGGTATTGTATTGAGCAGCAGAAAAACATATGACGCCATTCAGATCTGGAATGGCTGCATGCTCGATAGAAAACACATTCAATACATCATGAAGAAAATCAGGAGCATTTTGCAAAGTATTAACACTGACGACACCACTACGATAGAATATCAGGCCAACAGAGGAGTTAAAAGATACAACGAAAAGGAGACCATTCGGAAATCAGTTTTACAAGCTCTTAGAAATCAAGTTGGATTTACTTCATTCTCTCCCCCTTCATCTCCTTCTTTAAATTCTCCTTCTTTCCCTCCAATGATGATTTCTTCTTCCACCAAACACCTTTCTCCCCTCTCTAATCCAGCGAATATGCATACAGCTGCCGACTTTTTACCTCCCCTCTCACTTGAAGAATTGGAGTCAGAGTTGTTAAAACCATCGGATTCCAAGGACGCTATCAATCCTCAATCAACAGCTTCAACATTCTCCACAACAACCAATAATGATGTACAGAAATCGAATGGCCTTACATGCAATAGCACTTCTCTTCCATCCATGCGTAACGATAAGGGAACATCTCAAACCACTCCAAACACATTGTACAGTGCTGGTCATTCTATTGGACGTGCAAGCGGCGGATTTGTTGTAGGACGAGGATTCCATCTAAATTCTAGATCTTCGAGAGTACACAATAACAACTCTCAGAAATCTTCTGCTGTCGTTGTGGAAAAGGACGTTACCGATGATCAACCAAGTCACATTGAACAAAAGAATTTTATTAAGCAATCACAACACACTGTAGATAAGCTCAAAGAAACTAATCAGGAAGAAAATTACTGCTCCACTTCTTCCCATAGTGACGAAGAAGAAAGTGACGGCGATACAGATGTTTCGACAACATCATCGACCAACAATGCTCAACAAGATAGTGAAGAAGAGTATTCTACTACCGAGGAAATGCAAACAACATCATTCTCTGTAGCCAAAGAGAGCGTCAGGCATAACAATGGTGAAGTGTTAAAATTAATTTCACTGTTTGTAATGGCAGTCATTTGGCAAATTATCAATACGACGAAGTAATCTCGTTGTGCCAATTTAACTTTCCCCATTACAAAACATGATTGTAGAATATCACACTTTTAATTGTAATTAAATGGTCAGCACCAATTCAACATTGAATAAAAACATTGAAACTCCGAGACTCGAGTGTCAGCAAAAAACATTTTCCTTCAACAAAAAAATGTCTGCCACTCATCGCCTCATCTCTGTATCCAAGTACAAGGTCTTTCTCTTCGATATTGAAGGTACTACCACACCCATCGTATTTGTTGCAAATACTCTCTTCCCATTCATTAGAAATACTCTCTCAAATTATCTCTCACAAACATGGACGGAAGAACAAACCAGAAATGATGTTCGAGCTCTCCGAGAACAAGCCGAAAAGGATATCCATGATGAAAATTTCAAAGATGCTCCACAAATTGATTCCGAATCACAACCATCTGTGATTGCCAATGTCTTTTACAACATGGATAAAGATAGAAAGATGACTGCTCTCAAACAATTACAAGGACACATGTGGAAGAGTGGATACGAAAATGGAGAATTATTGGGACAAGTCTATGATGATGCCTTTAACTTTTTTGAGAGAATTCGTAAACAAAATTCTTGTAAAATTTATATTTATTCCAGTGGTAGTGTACAGGCACAAAAGTTGTTATTCCAATATTCCACTCATGGAAATTTATTACCTTTCATTTCCGATCATTTTGATACTTCTAATATTGGAAATAAGCTGGAAAAAGAGAGTTATGAAAAGATTATTGAGAAAATTGGAGTGAATAAGAGTGAAATTTTGTTTTTAACGGATAATATTGGAGAGGCTGAAGCTGCACGAGAGGCAGGTGTAGATGCCGTTCTATCTGTGAGACCTGGCACAAAACCATTACCTGAAATCATACATTTGAGGCAGTGACATCTTTTGATAGTCTTGAATTTTGTTAACAAGCAGATTCATGAGTACAGATCATCTGTGTGCACACAAAATGAATGGCTACCAATTTGTTGAGACAAATACACAAGTGTTTTAATTTTAAATACATTTTGAAATTTGTCAAAACTTTTCTCAAGTAATGGTCCTTGAGGAAAGTAGTGATCGTGTGGAAATGAGATGATCGTTCTACTACTTCTTTTCACGTAAGGAAGGTGAATTTGGTGGAAGTCTCAATGTCTTGTTCAACATTTCAGCATTTAATGCAATATTGAGTGGAATGGGATAAATGACAGTATTCACTACTGATTGAGGAATCCATCCATTCACCAAACACTGACTCGAATCGGTGACATGGATATCTTTTCCTCCCTCCAATGGATCATAGCGTTGACAGACATAGATATTGGTGCCTCGCACTGCTCCTTTGGTTGGAATGAATGTGGAACGAGGTTCATAGAGACCATCGACGCTTGTGGAAAGGAAAAAGGAGAAATCTTCTTGCTGCTGATATTTCATTACATATAAAAAGTCACGATCAGAAACGAGTGGAGCTGAAGGTTGTTGTTGTAATCATATATTCGAATGACCATATTGAAAGGAAATGTCCCCAATTGGGTTAAAGGTTGTGAAAATTAAAAACTCACCTCCAGAAGAGACCAAGTAGTAAAGGACTTGCCAATGACCCTCTTTGTCGGTCCATTCATCTAATAATTCGATACGTTTCATATTGGGATCCAACTTTTGCCAAATTTCCAAATTCGTGGACAAGTAAGATTTTGCAAATTCATCAGCACTCACATTTTCACAGATGGAATCTCCTCGAACGACCAATGCACTTTCTCCTTGCTGTTTGCATGCATATACATCGACATTTTTCTTGGTATGATGATAATGAAAGGTGGAATCTTTTAGAGAATGCTGGCTGGTCATTCGAAGGGCTAAATCTTTGGCCGAGTGCCATTTGAGTTTAATTTGAGAGATTTCTTGTGGTGTAGGAGTCATAATACAAGATAATACAAGAGAAAACAAAAGTGAAAGTTGAGTGTTTTTTTGAGATTGTTTTTTTCTAGATCTGCAAAGTTGAAGCATCTATTACATCGATTTGATCATCTGGTATATGTTCCATGTGAGAATTAGTATCATGCTTGATTTGGGAAATTTTCGCGGGATCACCAAAAAAAATTCAATATCGTCACGCAACAGAGTACGCACATCGCCACAAACCCTTACGTAACGGTTTTGATGTCCATCATCCGCTTTATAAGAATCAAAATTCAATTCACCTTAATCATATTTTCCAAAGCATTAATAAACTTAGAGCTGTACATGCAGTTTAAAAAAAGTTTCCCACGCATTCCGTTCTTGCGAAAGAACATTACAGGAATGGATTGGATTAAAGTGGTCTTTCCAAGATATTTGTCGAAATCACTTTTTTAAAAATTTAACATGAGAATCTCCACTTCACAATTAATTACAATGTGTTTTTTCAAATAATAAAATGTCTGCAACTTCAGGTCCCACTCTTGATCAAGTTCTCGAAAAACTTCGACAATATTTGGAAGGAAGAAGCAGTACAACAACAACAACTTCGACACCACACGAAAACGAAGAGGACGAGTGTCCATTCACTTCTGAAGAACGAGATCTCTTCATTCAACACTATTCCAAGTCGTTTTTGGAGAAATGTCCTGCCTTCTCTTCTCACCAATGTCCCTTTGTCAAGATACAGAATTATTCTCAGCTTGAACAAATTATGCATAAAATTCCAAGACACAAGTTGACAGAGTGTCCTGTGATGCATCTTCCTCATCCGAATGCGCATGGTCCTCTTGTGGATCACGTGCAAAAAGAGCTCGAAAGTCAAAGTGTAAAGAAGCAATAGAAAGAATCAATAAATATGAGGAGACGTGATGCAACTGATCATCAATTATATAGACTTGTGAATATATTGGTGATTATATTAAAACAATTCAAAAACAAAATTTGAAGCTTAACGCTTCAACAAGTGACAACTACTCAATGTGGTCCTCAATCTAGTTTTCCTTAATCTTTTGCTTCTTTTCTTGCTTGGCAAGCCATTCACGATAACTCTTATCGGTTCCACACATCCAATCCCACCAAGTAAAAGTGCTGGCATAATTTCCCGAGTATGTCTTGTGATGATGATCATGATGAATAGCTCCACAGTAGAATGGAATGATATTACTGACACACCATGGGAAATGGAATCCGGTATGACAATCAATGGCTTCAATTTGACGAACTGTCATCCATACCCACCATCCGAAAATATGAGGAACACCAATCAAGAGAGGTCCAATGAAAGAACCAACACCCAAAAGAACAAATTCAACAACGCTTGCATAGGATGAACAATATCCGATAGGTGTTTGATATTCATGATGCACACGATGAATATACTTGTAACCAAAATCAGTGTGCAAGAAACGATGAATCCAGTAGAACCAAGTATCTTCAATCACAAGGAAAATCAATGAGCGACCAATCATATCAGTCCATGATGGAAGAGCCAAATCATAGCTTACACCAATCCCTTTAAGAACTGGATGGCCAACCATCAGCATGGGATAAATGAGCAAATGGTTCACAATCAATTGAAAGATACAACCCCAATCGGTTTGTCGTTCTTCCTCTTTATCAGGTTGTAATTTATACTTGTACAGGAATGAAGGTTTGAATTTCTTGATGAGATACCATGGCAAGGACAAGACAAAGTACAGCACGAAAATATAAACGATGGACACGAGGGTTGTAATTTCATATTCTGAGAAATTGGATCGAATCCAATAGTAGAGTTGGTGGTCCCAATTCATCGTATTCAAATTCACGGAACCCACCCAGTCCGGTTGTGTTGTTGTTGTCATGTTGTTGTTGGAGGATGTAAGCGAAGAAGACATTTTTTCAGTCTGCGCAAGCGTTCAAAGAGAGTTTGGAACGCTCTGCATCTTTGGCAAAAAGTTCTCACTCCGAAGTAAAAACGAACAGCGACCTTACTTAATCATTAGTTTTTCTAAAACACAGGTTAACTCGAGGTATTGAGAAGTGGCAGTTGATTTCAAAAGAGTCGTTCTTTCGTGGATGGTTCTTCCAATCGCGTATGAGCTCAACCTGAATGAAGAAGAGGCTTGAATCATCACACACATAAAAATGAAAGGAGAGGATATGTCCTCGTGGTCGTCAATGGCTGCTAGTGGATGGCAGCAGTGGCAACCTGTTCCAGGTCATCTCACGGAATTACATAATGACGAGCAACCAACACCAAAACATTCCAGTTATCGGGAATTTTGCAACCCAATACTATCATCGGACACTATTTCAACAACTTTGAATTTTGAAAATTATAATTATTTGAAATGTAAATCATCATCATTACTTGGAGTTGAATTAAAAGAAGACTTCGCTCCGGTTTTTCAAAAATCCAAAAAACTGCTCTCCTACGCTCTCATCTATTTATTATTAGTATTATCATTGCTACTCATCCCAAAATTGTTATGGCATCATCAGGCCATCGTTTTACCTGTGGAGGCCACAACAACAGGAAATTTCCATATGGAATACTCAAAGCGCATCCAAGAGGAATTACTTTCCGAGTTGAACACCAATAACATCATTCACAGTGAAACAGATGTTCCAAATTCTCTTAAATTATCATTTGCTGGATCTTTCAGATATGCTCTCAGAAATGATCAACCAGTTTTGATCGATGTTAATGATTTGAATAGTGAAGAGCTCATTTTCGTAGCCTTTATTTCGAGGTCGAACCATTTGAAAGTTGGTTGTGAAGCCATTTTAGATGCGGCCAAATCAGATAGTTTATTGTACACGATCACAGTTGGCACTTATAACATTTTGAAGGGCAAAATAACGTGGCACTCAAAAGAAAGTATTGTAAACGAATTGCTAGGAGATCCAAGTTTTGTGCAAGTTGGAAACAAAATATTTGTCACCTATCCACAAGATTCAAGCGGTCTACAGTATGTCATGTTCTCATCCATAACAATTGGAGATAGCGTATTCTATACGAATACAAGTTACAGCCTTTCTTTCACTCAAACATACCGAAACATTATCAAACACGCTGGAGGAAATAATTTTCTACTTTTCAGAGATAGTTCCACATTCGATGCCATACGCCAAATTAGTAAGGATTTTGTCAGCAGCAAAAAAAAGTTGGCACCACTGGCCACAGTATTCAATTTTGATAGCGATCCAGCTCGAAAGGACTCACCCTTCATAACCAATTACTTGTTTGACATAATAGTGGAATGTGAATATTTCGAACAATGTCCAACCATTGATAACGTCCTATACGAAGACGGAATATTGTTTTTCAATGTATTTGGTGGAAAATCAAAAATCTATATCTCTAACAATAGTAGTGATTTTCTCACACTGGAAAATTCAAACTTTGGAGCATTTTACATGTTTGAACTAAATGTTGATAGAAGAAAACTTACTCTCGTCGACTGTGTTTTCACAACACCCTTTTCATACATTCCTAGAAACATTTCTTCATTCAATGAAACATTTTTATCATATGCGCCCATGCTAGGAATTAAGACTATATCCAAAACACCAACAATGATCTATGGCTTTGGATATTACGGCGGAGTTTTAAATCATAACTCTACAATGATATTTTCTCAGAAAGATCCTTCATCAACAGGAATTTTTTTCATTTACAACTTGCAGAAAAAGCAATTTGATTACTTGGGAAATACTTCACATTATCCCTACGAATTTCGAAATCCAACAGCAATATCACATAGCGGAATTTTTTATTATCTCGATAGAACGGCTTCAAGAGTGACATTATTGGATATGAACACCATGAATGCTCAGACATTTGTGCTGAGAAACACGTTAATATCAAGGAGGATTTATGTTGAGCTAAGGCTAACTCCATTCAGTAATGAGTTGATGCTTATATCTTCCTTTAAAAATCGTGATAGCACTACGATCATGGATGGCCATCCATTGAACCTTATTGATAGGTTTGAAAAGGGACAATATGCTACTTATAGAGATGGCTACTTTATCACTGTATTCGAGTTTACCAAAACCAAAGAGTTAAATTTAAATTCCTTCATGATTTGTGCTCGACCCATTTGCGGAGAACAGTATGTCACCAACGAAACATATTTATGCGGAGGTGCAGGAACATGTCTATTTGATATGACAACAAACACATCCGTTTCGTGTGCTTGTCCAACAGACGTTGAGCACTTTTTAACAAATGTCGGAGAGTTTTGTCAAGACAATAACTTCTATGCCTTTTTAATTCCAATTGTTGCTGTGGTAGCAATATTATCTCTGCTGCTTGGAATTTCTGTAACATTTTGTATTATCAAATCCACATATACAATCAATAGGAAACTTTCTCTACTCAAATCAAAAGAACGAAAAGAAATTGAATTGCAAAAACGATTATTGGATTTTCAATTTATTCATTCTGATGCAGTGACCTTTAAAGATGTGAGTTATATCATCCACATGGAAGACTTAAAATTCCTTACAAGAGTTGCTGAAGGGGGTGGAGGCGTGGTGTTCAAGGGAGAATGGAGAGGCGTTGAAGTAGCAATCAAGAAGGTTAAATACAGTAGTGACGACACTTCCTTTGAGAAGGAAGCGAGCTTATTAAGCAGAATTCGCCATCCAAATATCGTTGCATTCTTTGGTGTGAGTGTGACTGAGAGAGAAAAGTTCTTGGTCACTGAATGGATGCCAAGTGGCTCCTTGGATAATTTAATTTCAAATACGGCGAAAGGAAAAATTATTTTGAAATTCAAACAAAAGATTTCAATACTTCTTGACATTTGTAAGGGAATGTGTTATTTGCACGCTTCTTCAATTATTCACAGAGATTTGGTAAGTATTAAGAAAGTCCATCGAATTAATAATTAACATATTAATGTGTTGGTTTTAACAATTTTAAGAAACCTGCCAACGTATTGATTGGTTCAAATGGAGAATGCAAGGTTTGTGATTTTGGTCTCTCTACATATCTCATGCTGCATGAGGACGATGAGAATATGGGTAATGTTGGAACATTGTTGTGGTCGAGCCCAGAAGTGTTGCAAGGCCTACCTTGTGATGAAAAGGTAGACATTTATAGTTTTGCAATCATCATGTATGAAGTATTGTTCGAAACTGTGCCATACACAATTTCTGAGAAAGTTGATCCAAGTTATTTTGTTTCTGAAACAACAGACATGGTAGTAGAGGGTCATGGTATTGTCACACCGTCCAATCAACAAGATTTAACACTCTTTAGCACTCTGCTCAATCACGGTAATGCTGCTGAATTGGGAAGATACATTGTGCACGGTGTAAGACCACTTGTTCCATTTAACACTAGAGAACAATGTAAAAGATGGGTCAGTATTTATCATAATCCAGAAAAAGAAGATATCAAGTTGGAAACTTTGTCATCAGTAGTTTTCCTCTTTGTTCTCCTCATGAAGAAGTGTTGGTCTGAACCAGAGGCTAGACCAAACTTTGATTATATTTTGAACACTTTGTCAACCATCAAGAAGACAATTAAAAAGAATTAGCAATTGAAAACCGTGTAGATAAGCTTTTCGTGGAGAAAAACCTGGCTGTGAAATTTTCTTCCAGGCTTTCGACTGTTTTTTCACAGCAAACGTCGCCCTGTATCGCTATCGGGGTTGCTTGACAGTCTACCCCAAGTGTTTGTCGATGCTCCTGTCTGTTCTTTGATGGGACATACCGAGTCATTGATTTATTCATGGTTTGTTGGATCCTTTATCAAAAAAAAGGCAATTTCGCCATCGAGATTTTTGGGCCTTATTGCTTTTTCTTCTTTTTTGGCAACGTAGGGTTGTCACTACCATTTAGCAAATTACTCTCATCCTTCTTCTTTGCCTTGTAATAAATATTATAACACTTATTACAGACAAGTCCGCATCTATCAACTCTTTTTCCAGTTGCAGCTTCCAAGTACCTGGCATAGTCTTTGAAAGTTTTTGTTGTGACTTCATGACGATTCGATGGATCCACAGTGCATGCACAACCAACACACGCACGAGAAGATCGTTCTTCCACTATTGCTCGATCTGATTCATTATGTGCTGGAATTTCAACAAAGTCGTACGTAGATGTGCCTGCTTTCTGTATAGGACGAAGCTCTTTCATCACTTCCTTTGAGAGGGCAGCTTTTGCTTCACCTTTTTTACATCTATAACTTGTACCAGCTCTAATAAAGAATGTACAATAATAATTCAAACCATACCAAGTAGTTTTTTCATTCTCAGGTTTGAAAATATAATGAACGGCATCGTTGACGGATATTCTTTCCAATCTTCCTTCTCTTGAAATTTTCAAATGTGTTCTATAGTAGTGTCCTGATCGAGTATAATAGAATGCCAAATTATAAAACGATTCGTCGAGATGACACTTGAGAAAGAAATGTAAATTGGTCGTTTTGATCTTGCTAGTCTCTACCATAATCTCTAAAGTAGTGAATCGAATAAATTCTGAAACCCCAACAAGTTCAAAATTCGAACTGGTGATATGATCCTTCTTAATATTTTCAATATTTCTAGTATTTCTAATACAAATAATAAATAATTCAAGGTCTTGCCGTATAAATAAATCATAGATACAATCTGTGACAGAGATACCATATATTGGGCCATCATTATCATCATCTTCCCTGAATAAAAGTCCACAATAGCATTGTGAAGGTTCTATTTCTGCCTTAAATACTAGAGGCTTGGCTGTATGAACATCCCACGAAGATGCTACTAAATGTTTAGCTCCCAATAATAATGTACTACCTCCTGATTCAATACAATGAAGAGTAAATGGATATCCATTCATTCGAATATATTCTGGTTTAAAATAACGTTCGCGTGCTCTTTGAAAATTCAACAACTCTTCTGGTGTTACGAGTTGCTTTATAATATTGTTGAAATAGGCATTACTAATAATGGCTCCACAAAATACAACGTCACTCACACTAAATTCAATAATTACATCAAAGATTGGATATATAATCTTTTTAAAAGTATCAATAATGGCATGTTCAATAGGTGCTAACACAGTATGAGGTGAAACATCAGAATTGAATATTGCATGCATTGTTGTTTCTGGAGGTATGTTATTTCTTCTCATGACATCATATAACATATAAACGCCACCAACATCTCCAGATGCATATTTGATAACATCATTATGAGAAAGAACAGTAACATCTGTTGTTAAATGACCTACATCAACAAGTAGTGTTGTTGTTGTTGTTTGGTTGTGGGGCGTTTGTGTTGTTCCATTCATCGATGAGTGTACAATTGGCAAGAGAACAGTATCATCCGTAAGAGTTTGATAGAGAGAATCAGCACAATACTTTAACAGAACAAACTCTTCAACAATATATACTTTCTCAATTGGAATTGGATGGCATAACGTATGATCTAATGCACGTTTCACACAATTTCTAAATACTTTTTGAATATTCTTGTTGGTTCCTGTAGGTACTGTGAACATGGCACTTGTATATTGTTTTGAAATTTTACGACTGCTCGCATCGCGTGCTTGTACGAGGAGTGAAATTAAACCTTTCACTAATTCGAACATGACTTGACTCACTCGAAGTGTGATTTCTACACTTTCATTCTTCCATGTAAAGTCAATGAGTTCTTGAATAGAAAATAATTTCTTAATACTATGTAATTTGATCATACTGTTGTTAGAGGGAATAGAAGTTTGGTGAGATGATGATATTTGTTGTTCTTCCTCATGTAATCCAATAATGAATGTCTTATCTGTGAGTGAATAATATATAGAAGTTGGTAATAGATCATACTTTTTAGCCTTGTTCGATGAAGATGGTGAAGCAAATGTTAGAGAATTCATCTTGACACATTGTTGGGTAATGTCCAAAGAACAACATTTGGAAAAACTACTACCGATATCCATACATAACATTGATCCAAGATTTTCGCGAGATGAGAATTGTGAATTCAACGGAGGTACATTTGTAATGTCTTCTAGATCACAATAGTCCCGTTCAACCGTTTCCTGTCGAATACACTCTGTATATTCTTCAGTGTTGGCCAAGTCTTGGTGTGTTGATGAAGGCAATGAAGACAATGTTGAGACAACCTGTTCCTGTGAAGACGGCGACGACGCAATAGAGATTGGTTGAGAGCCTGAACCCATACATGTGATTTCATCATCGCTTTCATCCGAACCAGAATCGGAATCAAAATATTTTTGCTTCGGCTTGCCAGTGTTGTGCTTGCGACTCTTTCGCTTCTTTGTTGGCTCACCTTGTTGTTGTTCGCTGGGTGGGTTGGACAGAGTTAACCTCATTTTTTTGTGTTTGGATTCGTTGGCGATAGAACGGTGCGTTGTTCCATTCTACATCGCCCTTTCAAATTACAACCAAGCCAAACTCAAAGCAACACCGTTGGCGAAACTCGAACAACACGCCTCTCAAAAAAAATCAACATGTCGTCGCGTTGTTTGGTGGAACAGGTGGTCTTGTCAATAGATTGATTGGCGAGCAACTCGTCCCAACAACAAGAGGAAGCCAAGCTCATCGCGTCCTTGTTTCGGTTGAGTTTGGTAAAAACTTTAGAATGTGTTTAGAATTCTTGTCAAACGATGAAAAGGAGACCGTCAAGAAAGCTTTTCCTCATCTGTTTTTACTCGTTGATCAACAAGAAGTATCTTGCAATGATCTTCGGCAACAGCTTGAAAAGGACGCTTCGCAGGTGGCCTCTGTGGTTCAAGGTTGTTCGTTTTTGCGAAAGCTTTTCGATAACGATCAACAGTATTATCGTGTTGTGAAGCAAGTCTCGTTTGTTCTTCCTAAAGCAACCCTCTTACAAGAACTCAGAATCAGATTGATTGACTCTCCTGGTTTTGGTCCGCGCTTTGTGAGCAATATAAATTCTCTTGAAGAACTTTTGAAAGAAAGACAACACTCTCAACAGCAGTTTCTTGATCAGTTTTCGACAAGACTTTCCGTTGGATCCAAACAAGACGAGGAAGTGATTGGTCCCGGCTTAACGAGGATGGACATTTCTGGTAGCTTCATTCATGAAGTAAATGATCAAAAGCAGTGGCAAACAGTTATTCAAAGCCTGGAGCGTTGTGTGAACAACGAGAGAGAACGAATGTGTAAAGAAATGGAATTTGAAGTTTGGGGCACGATTTGCGGTGCCGCATCTTTTCTCCTTAGCCAGGTGGAAATTCTGAGTAACCCTCAAAAGAAGAATTATAAGGATATCAAGTCGGTACTCAAAAAATTGCTGCTACACTACATGGAGAGTCCACTCCCAGAACCAAGGATTCAGCAGAATCATGAACTGTACATTCCCAACCGTGTTCCAAAAGATTGGCAGGATGCCGTGCAAATGAAAATAGTTCAGGAAGGAGATTTTGTTGTAACCAACAACATTGAGAGAAAGACACTGTCCAAGCTTGTCTTGAAAGAGCTGCCACCTCCTTTACCAATTACGTCGGAACATGATTATGAAATTACCATCACTTTTAAACGCAATTCTTCCAGTAATAACATGCAGGACAATGATGACGTTCAAGCAACCATTTCAACACTTCCATCCATTCCAAATGTATTCAAAAAGTTGCTATCTGTTGAGGAGTTGAAAATGAATACTGCAAGAGTCGCTCCAATATTCTACATTGTTCCATTGGACGACCATTTAAACGACCATGTACTGCGTTCGTGCTCTGTATTGCAACACTTTGCATCAAACACTGATAACCACAATGGCGATAGGGACAGCACTACTACCTGCAACCGAGATGGTTACTATTTCTTTCTTATTTGCCCAAATAAGATATGGACAACATTCAAATCAAAATATATCCAACATTTAAAGACATTGTTTGTTCCAATTCTAATTGATACAAACGATACTTCCTCAACTATGACACATGGAATCCTGTTATCTGCAACTATTCTGTGTGCTGTCAAATTACAGCTCTCAGTGATCCATATTATTGAAAGAAACATACCCAAAATCTATGAAATCGACAACACCAAGGAGTACAAACCTTGTGCTTTGGGTAGAGCTCTAAATTTTCAGGAATTGATATTATCGCAAGCAATTAGCATTGATTTTGATAACTTGGAAAATATTTACAGGGACATTAGACACAGAGCAGCAGTCAAGTTATGTTTGCCTGTCCAAAGAGTATTTGGTGAATTCTTTGAACAGGAATGCAAAAAGACTGTTGAGTTTGTTCAGGATGTCAGAATTCAATTGCAAGAAATAGATGAGGCTTGTAAAATGAATTTTAAGAAAGAATTTATGGATACCATTTCCAGTAGCAATATTGGAAAAGTGGGAATGTGGAATGGACTTACTTCCATTTGGGGCAACCAGAAAAGTATCAGCTGCGCTGAAAACTTCGCTGTTGCTTTACAACATAGCCCAATATCTACCTACTACATTCCGGCATTCACCAAGACAGATGGAATTATTCTACCAGTCAGCGACGAAGTGATTTTTAATCAAAGTGATGGACATGATCACGAGAATAAGACCATCCAAGCCATTTACAGAGGCCAGGACACGGAAATGACCTCTCTCAAAGCTGCCATGTTGCAACATGGAGTTGGAAGTCTCTTGCAAAAAGCGTTCATCTACAAAAACAAGGAAGATGATGTTGTTGAAAACGTGGACGAGAGAGCGGAAGAAGTAGAGGAAGCCAATGAAACTGGTGACGAATCATTAATTCCTTCTTCACCAAAGAAAAGAAAACAAGCTCCTTCTGTATCCTCGCAGAGAAGAAAGAAATAATTTGTTGATTCAACCTTGGCAGTAATTGCGTATTTGTATGATAATTAGTAAAACAACATTTAATCAGTTTATCAATCGTTTCTCTTATCCCAAACTTTGGTGACCAAGATATTTTTTGGCAGAGATTTTCGTCTGCAAACCGTTGGCGATACCGTTTTTTACTTCTGTTATGCTTTGGTACAAACATCAGTGATTTCATCCACACCTTCAAGGACAAACTCTGAGAACAACACCACCAGGATTCGGGGCATAAATTACAACAACAAACAATAAAAATGAATTATCATCGCTCGCGAAAAGGTGTAATTGGAAGCCCTTGATCATCACAATCGACCAATTCTGTGTTCGACAAAAAAATACTTGCGATCTCGTTCGCGATATGAGAAAAATGCCTTGATGCACAACAACGTAGCAGTTAAAAGAATTGTTACAAAACAACACCAATAAATCGGCAATCAATTGTTCATTGGGTTTTATAGAATGGATGTTCCATGATCTGTCGAACAGTCCATCGTTTGTCAGGATCTGGCTCCAGTAATTTTTGAATGATGTCTTTGCATTCGTCACTCATTTGATCCTCTTCTTCTAAAGGAACAGTCATGGCGTTCATCAATTTGGCTTGAGCATTTCGGTAAGGTAAAAACCCGGTGCACATTTTGTACAAGCAAACTCCTAACATATAGATATCAATCTCTGGACCAAAATATGGCTTTTTCATGAGCATTTCAGGAGAACAGTAATTGCTATTTCCAACAAAAAGTATGTGAGACTTTTCTTTCATGGTGAAAAAGTCAGAGCATCCAAAATCACATACCCGAACATTTCCATTCTTGTCTAGGCAAACATTCGAAAGTTGAAAATCTCGATGACAAATATGGTGAACATTGTGCATGTGATAAAGAGCGTCTACCATTTGTTTGAAATATTTTCGAGCCAATTCTTCTGGATACTGTTGATGCTCATCATAGGGTGTTTCTATGGCCCCTTTTTCAATGTATTCCAATATGAGATAGATTGTTTCTTCTGTTTCAATAACGTCATAGAGTGCACAAATGTGTGGATGACGACCAAGAGCTTTCATAATTTGAATTTCTCTTCGTACCCAATCCATAATTCCAATGGCGTTGACTTTCTGCTTGGAGAGCTCCTTGACGGCCACAAGTTCGCCTGTCTCTCTGTCTTGAGCTAATGACACACGACCATACGTACCCACACCCAGCAGGTCTTGAATCACATATCTGGATCCAACCATACGCTTTCCAATATTAACTTTTGGAGAAATAATGGAGGACTTTCGGTATCTTGTTAGAGCTGTCTCAAGTTTTCTAACTTGCTCTTGAAGAAAATTGTTTGTGGTAAACCGTTCAATACTTTCATAATATTTTTGTAAATAAACGACTACATTTTCAGTATATTCGTCCATGAGATGGTCATCAACAATATAATTGTCATAATTTACAATGCATTGTACCTTGACAGGCTCATTCGGATGGTATGCAAGAATAACACCCTCAATACCGTCACGCACACAACGAATGTGTTCTCGTCTACACACATGAAGACCTTCAAAATTCAAAACCAGTCTTCGGAGTTGCTTATTATATCGGATTCTGCTAAAGACTGTCTCCAGTGTTGGTTCTGAAGACATGTCCATAATCTTATTGTTCATAATAAAATCATGATAGGAAGGCGATTTCGTACAGGTCTGAGAAATACATGATGGAAGTGAAATTACAGTATGATGACGAGGAGAAAGTTGAGGTTGACCAGTATTTGAGAAAATGTTGTGACAACTCTTGTTAGGTGACACCGGAGGTAGTTCGGAAATAGCATTAAGCGGTAGGGATAGTTGAGATGTTGGAATGGGGATTTGAGGAGTGGTAGTAGTGGTGGTTTGTACAGAAGTGGCGGTAGTTGTCATGTTGTTGGAAAGAGAAGTGTTAGGGACTTTGGTAAAGGAAAACGATTCGGAAAGATAGAAAGGAGTAATTTGGGAAGTAGACTTGACTCGTTTAATCTTGGTGATATCACCATAATGATGATGATGAGGATGTAGATTATTGATGGCAGAGTTAGCTGTCGCTGTTGAAGATGAAGTTGTCGCTGCGGATGAATTGGCAAGAAGAGCAAATAAGGTCGGATCATCTTGACAAAGAGTTTGAAGATGTTGTCGAGAGAGGGGTCGCTTGAGAGTGCCCAAATTACTCATATTCGAGTAGATGGCTGTTGTGGATTCCTTTTGCATTGGATTCAGTGAGACAAAGATCAATTTGATGATGATTTGTTTTGCTCAAGACAATATTGAATCGGGCAAAAAGTTCTGTGCAAAGAACAACAAGCTTTCCAATCCAACCAAAATGAAAGGAAGAGGAATATGAACTCGTTGTATTCTGAAAATCCTCTGAGAGATCTCGGGATATTATCTTTCTCAAAGGATGAACCAGTGTATGATGTGCCAACGGTATCGAGATGATTTTTTTTTGTGGTTATTTGGAAGCGACTTGATGGACTAATTTGGAGAAAATTGCGAGTTGGAGTCAAAGAATGGTCGTGTGGTTGGTTACAGGCATTCTTGGATCAGTTCTTTATCAAGACAATACAGGATGAATGGCTCAAATTGAGTGTATTCGCTGGAAACAGTCATCAAACAGGATTTTAAAAATTACAATGAATTACTTTGTTAACCTAAACATCTAAGAAAGAGATGATGTTTTTGCAAAAGAAAGAATAGATCGCGAACAACTCAGTACATATCTTTACACAATTAAACGACACGCGGCCTGTTGGAGTTAAACGCGCTGTCACTCTTAATTTCGCAAAGATATTATTTCAAAGATTTTTAATAAAAAAATGTCATTACAAGAATACTTTTCCGAGATGGAACAATTAAGAGACACGTATTTTTCAGATCCGAGCGGCGTCATTCATTTGGATCATGCAGCAAGTACAAGTATGTGTGTTTTTAATTCCGTTCTTGCCATCTAACAAATCGAACAAATTACTTTCCGTCATTGGTTCATTGAATATAATTTTAATAATAATTACTTTTACAAATATTGGATCAATTATTTTCTCATGATCACACCATAGTGTACAGCACAAAATGTTTAAAGAATGTTTTTGAAAAATTATTTCATCATACCAATCTTCTTTCAAATCCTCACAGCGATGGATCTTTTTCTGCGAATGTGACCAATCAATTTATTGCAGAGAGTCGTCAATTTGTACTCAAGGAAATATTTAACACCTCACTCAAAGAATATGATCTAGTGTTTACATTGAATGCATCACATTCTTTGAAAATTATTTCGGAATGTTTTCCAATGGGAGTCAATTCATGTGTGTCCTATCTCAAATTTTCTCACAATTCTTTAATTGGAGCACTTCGATCTTGTGTATCAAATAATGAAGAGTTTCAAAACGAAAATGAATCCATTCATTCCGATCGAGTCGTTGTAGGAAACAACTTGGAAGAGATTCGAAAACGAGCGAAAGCATGGAGTGAAAGTGATCATCATCTGGTTGGATTTGCCGCAGAATGCAATAGCACAGGAACGAAATTTGATGATTTTGACATTTTTCCTTACCTTAACAAACATCATCCAAATATTTACACAATTTTAGATGTGTCAAAACACTCAAGCACCAACGTGTCCATTGATTTATCCAAGTACAAACCAGATTTTGTGGCGTTCAGTTTTTACAAATGGTTTGGATATCCCACTGGTCTAGGCGCTTTACTAATTCGCAAAATGAGAGTTTCCAATATTGATTTCAGACCAAGAAATGGATACTTTTCTGGAGGTGTAGTTCAAGTGAATACTGCCACGGCTCCGTTTTTCACCAAGTATAGAACTGATTCGTTTCATTCCATGCTTGAAAACGGTACATTACCTTTTCTGACCATTTGTGAAATGCTTTTCTATTTGAAAGAAATTCAACAAATGTACTCGCAATGTTGCAACAAGAATTCCAATTCAGAACAAAATGATACAAATTCACACTCTGAAAAATTATTTGTTCCGATACCATTTCGTGAAATTTTTCAAATCATTGAAAAGCATTGTAACCACGTTCAAGAGTATTGTGCGAACCAATTGAAAAATCTTTGTCACTATAATGGCAAAATAGTTGTTCACATTTACAATGAAAATAACATTGGAAAGACAAGCATCATTAATATGAACGTGTTTAACAGTCGAGGACAAATGGTTGGATACTCTCAAGTTCAAGAAATATGTTCTCTCAATTTATTCAACATCAGAACTGGATGCTTTTGTGTTCCAGGAGCGTGTCAACAACTGTTTGACATTTCAAGTGAAGAAATGATTGACAACTTTAAGAGAGGTGGTAAGATCTGCTGGGACAGCTCTATGGACGTTATTCCAGGAAGTAACAAACCAACTGGAAGTGTGAGACTCTCATTTGGTTATTGTTCTATACGATCCGATGTAGACAAATTCATTTCCTTGTTGAGGACACATTTCGTTGAGACGGCACAAAACTCGACAAGCATTGTTAAACCCAAGTACAATGTCATGGATGACAGAATCAAGGTGACTCATTTCTATATTTATCCTATTAAGGGATGTGGTGCCATGAAACTATTTCAAGAACATAGAAGCGACCATCATAATAATGTGTCATCGTGGAATTTACATAACGATACTGGAGCTTACTTGGATAGAGAATGGGCAATTCTTGATGAAAAGAATGGAGTACTAGGCTTGAAAAAGTGTCCTCGACTTGCGTTAATCGAACCATTCGTTGATTTGGAGAAGAGACTTCTCACGATCTCTCTGGTGCCTAGAGACATAGACGTGCAACAAGATCACACTAGTATTTCATTATCATTGGATGAGTTTCCTTCCACAACCTTAAATGATGCAACTATTTGTGGTCGTCACTATGAAACTTGTGTTTACTCTGACGATGTGAATGAAAAATTGTCGCGCTTCCTTGGTCAATCGGTTCGTCTCATCCGAAGAAAGAAGCATGATATTTTAGAAAGCAACAACTCCAATGACAAATGCCAATCTTCATTTTCCAATGAAGGAAATAAGGGATTGTTTTTGATTTTAAACGAAGCTTCCTTAATGGATTTAAATAACCGATTGAAAAATTCTCAGAACACGGTCAACCATGTAAATGACGAGACTTCCAATGACGGTATTGAATGGTTAATTGAAAGAATGAGACCAAATATTGTCATTCGAGGACTGGAAGCCTATGAAGAAGATCACATCAAGTCTCTATACATTCATGACATTCCATTTCAAATTAATTTTCCATGTCCCAGATGTACTACCATTTGTATGAATCCTAAAACACTCAAGCAAGAGCAAGAGCCTTTAAAAACTCTCTATACCTACCGAAAGCAAGAACATAGTGCCATGTTTGGTGTGTTAGCAAATCATTATATCGTTCAAGGAAATGATGAGAAACCAGTCGAAATGAAATTTCAATGAAAAAAATAATTTTCGAAATTGGAAATCTAAAACAAGAATGAAATATTTCGATATTTAAAACTTTAGAAATTGATCTAGAATGTAATGAAAGAAAATCATTATCACAATTTTGTAATGTATGTGGACTGAGGTATGACCACTTCTCCTAGTTTGTCATGCTGCAGAGTTTCACAGCTTTCAAAGCATGGGTAGAATTTGTCTTTCAATTCTGGAGACACTAGATTAACATAGCAATCATTGGAAATGTGAACTTGATTCACTTTTCCTGTGGCTTCGATGAGTTGAGTGACGGCCACTCCAGTTCCAAAGAGATCATACGTTCGTTTGACCTTTCCCACCACTGCTGCAATGATGTCATTACTTGTGTGAATACCAATTCTGACCTTGAGGTTAAAGTCGTGTTTTTGAACAAATTCCTGAACACTATGGATCATTTGAAGACCACATTTCACACAATTTTCTGCATGATATCGATCTGCTTGAGGAATTCCACTCGCTAAAAAGTAGGCATCACCAATAGTTTTGATTTTCTCGGTCTTGTTGGTATAGCAAATGTCGTCAAAGTATCCAAACATTTCATGCAGAATTTTCACGACTTCATCTGGTTTTTTACCTCTGGCCATTTCTGTGAAACCAACCTATTTTTGAAATAATTCAATGCAATGGCAATAATCATGAACAATGGATATTGATACCATAACTACTTACAATGTCAGCAAACAATAGAGTACATATATCAAGAGAATCGATCACTTTCTGGCCCATACTCAATCGTTGTGCAATATTCTTTGGATAGATTTTATCAGCAATATTGGCCAAATGCTCTTCCTTTGTGATCATGGTTTTTGCATCTCTGAAAAAGGCAACAAATTGAGGCTGTGTCGAACCTGATGTGAAAATTTCAGAAAGCTTAATCTCCAATTTCAGAGACTCTCCTGATTTTGATTCTCCCTTAACAAACCTCACATTATCAACCATTCTCTTTTCCTTAGTTTTTAGATACCTCTCCATGAAGTAATCATGTTTTTTTCGATGTTTGGGATTACACAACATTTTTACATTCTTTCCCAACACTTCCTGCTTGGAATAACCAAAAACTGTGGAAGCAGCTGCATTGAATATTTGTATAATTCCCTTTTCATTACTTGAAACTATGGGCATGATTGAATTTTCCGTAATTGTTTCACTGAGAGCTAAATTGGCCATTTCCTTCTCTTCATCCTGAGATAATTTAATTTTCTGCATGTACGCACAGAAATGTATTTCACCATACTTTTTCACAGTAATGATTTTCGTTCGGCAATTGAAGACCTTTTTCGTGAGTGTAGATTTGGCACGAAACATTCGTTCAATGGAGAGATCTTGTTTTCGTGTTAATTTTTCAGTTCGACTCAATTCTGAATAAGGCGTAATGAGAAGTTCTTCCTCTTGTTGATTCATCATCAAACTAGCTTCTGTTAATTCTTCAGATCCTAAAAATTGTAATACTGCGTCTTGAATTTGAATGACAGTTTCTTCGACAAATAATTGACTCACATGTTCACCCAACACTGCAAAGGTTCGCATTCCAAATTCATTCTCTGCCTCAGGATTCAAGTATTCAATGGTACAATTCCGATCAAAGATAATCACTGGAAATCCACACGTCATCATTTGATCCACAACATCATTGAGTTGAAGGAATTCACTTTCATTCACTTCTTTTTGAGCTTGTTTTTTCAATTTCTTGAACATGGATTTACCAAATTCACTCATCATACTTAATCGATCCGATGAAGAACTAAACACTGAAGATGCTTCTGACATGGTGTCAGACATGAGATCGACTACATTTAATTTTGAACGACTCGTCATGGAGGACATGAGACGAGAACTTATTCCTCTCTTGAAAGGAACTGATGTCCCAACAGGAGATTTAACGTCGTCTGTTGTTGTTGTTGTTGTATTGGATGATTTTGTTTCTTTCGAGAGGGCCATTAACGTACTCCCTCCTGATAAGACTTTGAGTGGTGCCAAATCCGTGTTATTGTTGGAATTGGCATTTAACGATTTTCTGACACCCATAGCAAATGGATTTCCTGACTCTCCTTTGTGATGAATAGCGAGTTTGGTGGTCGATTTGAATCTTCTTCCATTGGATAAATGACTATCTAATCGTTGAAATAAATCATCTGCAGTGAGCAGTGACATTTGTTGTAGATGAAACTTGGACAAGTTAGATGAGAGAATGATGTTGGAATAGAATCATAGAAGCAACGAATTATCTCGTTTCTTTGTTTTTTTGATTTTGTACGGTTGTTAGAGAGACAACATGATAACCGGAGCTGAAAGGGAGATCGTGTTAGTGATGTCTTTTGACAGAGATGGTTGACAATGTTTCAAAAAATTGTTTCATAACCTCTTTGTGACCAATACTTTAAGCTTCAAATATTGAAGTTGCTGATCCAGATGCAATTTCAACATTCAAGTTTTTCTTTTTGAACCTAATGCTGTTGTTTAATGGCAAAAAATGTCTCAACTTGAACAACGAAGCTCTTCATTATCCTCTTCGCATGTCCATTCGTTTTCTTTGATTGATGAAGAAAAGAATCATCAAGCCTTCTCTTCTTCATCTATTGTGGAATCATTGGAGTGTTATGAAGGAAGATTGATGTTAGAGCTTGTCAATGGATACGATCAGCAGAATTTTGGTTCACAACGAAACAATGAAAATTGGAAGTACATCTTGCATCCGTTTACCTTGTACTTGAAGTATTCGGATTATTCCAATTATTGTCCCGAGATGAATATAGATTTATTGAATACATGTATTGAATTTGGAAGATGTTTTCAAGTTCACGGAAATGAGTGGACGAATTATTTAGATTTACAATTGGCTTGTTACATTCATCCATGCGATTCAAATACCGATGATGATAATTTTGAGCGATTTTATTTTGATCCACAAAAAGACATTCCTGAAAATTGTTTTGTGTCATTGTCAGATATTATTTCTCAAAATGATGATGATGATGATGACGATCACTTTACTATTAGGCAATATATTGAAAAACAACAAGAGCAAGCAACTGGAAAGAAGTTGAGTATTTATTTATCATGCAACTATCGCATCAAGTTAAATAAGAACATTATTAAGGAAAAGAATTTTCAAGTGATCATGCTGAGCTCGCTCAACTCTCCTCTTTTAGACGTTTCTTTAAGCGAAAACATTGAAATATACAATGAAAACAATTTCATAGAACGATTTGGACGAGTAGCCATCGTATTACCGAAAAGAGCTGACTTGTTCTATGACGTGTATTGTAGTAATGATGCAACAACATTTGACTTGTTAAATGCAAACACGGAGTGGAGACAGGCTGATTCTCTCAAATCAGATCAACATTGGATATTCATATCTCCACAGTTGGAACGATCTCGTGATTACTTGTTCAAAGTAATTTGTGTTCAAAAGGAGAACACTTGGATTCAGTATCCAGTTTTGAAATGCTCACAACAATCGCGAATTATTGAAGAAAAAGTCATGAGAGTAGCAATTTCTGACTATAACGAGGATATTCAAAACGCATCTGCACTCGCTCAATGCCACTTGAAGCTCATCGAGTTTCACAACTTGAACCCTAGCCTTTTCAAGTCTTTGAAAGTGAACAGCAATCCATTGTTTCACATTGACGTCTCTCTCACTTCCATAGGATCTTCTAATCTTGATGACATATCTAATACTAGTACTAGTAATTATTTATTCATTACGGAACGAATTGCACGAGTCGATCAACACGACGTCTCGAAATGGAAAGAAATACCTCCTCTCACCTCTCTCGAAAACACTGAAGACATGAAAAATCTAGAAATTAATCCCAAATTGGACTATATGGTACGCTTCTATTGTGCCTCTCAGTTCGATCGGCATCGAGTGTTGCGATCTCCCAATAGTTCCTCAAAAGCCATTCCCTCCTCGTTGGTCATGTGGAAAGAATTAGCTGCATGTGGTGAATTATCAAAAACCTATGACACAACCATTCGAGTCATGACTCGTACACCTGTGTTCTTTGTATTTTTGACTGGATTTTCCTCTCGGTTTCCTAACGAACAATACTATCATTACAAAGTCGAAGCGAAGAGAAAGGACTTGCCCAATGAACAATGGTTTTCCCTTAATTGTGAACTAGTTCCTTCCAAAGTTTGCAAAGACATTTTATTAATTCGAAACGTGCCTCTCACATATGTCTGTAAAATCTCACCTCGTAGCAATGAGCTCATGGCCTATGGAAAAACGTACACAATTCGAATTTCATGTGTAAATCCCATTTCTGGAAATCAAGCAATTGTTAAGGAATTTTCAAAAACTATTTCAAACTTTAACTATTGTCCACATCAGGCTACTGAAATATTGGAGAGAAATGGAGGCATGCTGGCATTTCATCATCCCATTGTAACCATGTACTTGTTTTTAAATGGTGACATGTTATGTTACAAGAGTGTGACTTTGAACACTATTGAGGAGAGAATCTTGGAAGGTCGATTTAAACTAACGAATTTAATTTCTCGCTCTGAATATGAGAAAATTTTCAATTCCTCCTCCTTTTCAACCACATCAGTGACAGAATCCACAAAAACAACCATCGCTCACATTGAAACCGTTTTCATGCATCGTCCAAAGAATGCTCCTCACTTACCAAAACAAATCTATGAATATACCTTTAAGATTGTATTTAATCATTGGACGAAATGTTATGAATTATTGGATAGTTCTGAACTTTTTGTGAACGCACAGGATGTCATGATGACCGATGAGGACAACACAGAAAAGAATATACTTTATTTACAGCATTACCAATTAGATCCAGCCCTTGCACAGAGAAATATGTGTGGATTAAATGCGTTATGGGAACATCCGCATCGAGCCATTCAATGGTTTCCAATATTGGAAATTCACAGAGTGTTACAATTTCATGATGTGGAATTTACATTTCAATAAAACGAATAAAATGAATCTAAACCACAACGCAATGAAGCGAATGAAAACTAATAATGCTATGAATTCTCAATTTTTAAATATTTATTTAAATATTTAAATAATAAATTTAAATAAATGATTAAGAATTCAAGAAAAAAATGCAACAACAAGTAATGGATCCGATTGTTTGGGTCGACATGGAGGTGTGTGATCGCGAACGATGTGTGATCAATTCTTAAACTTTAAATTCATGACTATTATACTCCCATGTTCAAAATTTATATGAATATTTAAACAATCATTTCCGAAAATTAGATGACTGGATTGGATATTGAAAATGATCATATTTTGGAAATTGCAGTGATTATCACCGGTTCGTTTCTTAGCAATAGGACATGAGTTTTAATATCCAATTTTCCATGTTTCCAAACTTGGTATATTCAGATGGTCAATTGAATACCATTGCTGAGATGGATTCTCTCGTGATTCACCAAGAGGATTCAATTCTCAATTCCATGAATGATTGGTGTAAGGAACATCATGGACAAAGTGGCTTAACACAACGTGTGAGAGAATCTCAACTATCGGTTCAGCAAGTGGAACAACAAGTTCTTGAATTTGTAAAGAAATATGTGGACAAACCAAGATGGGCACCATTGGGTGGAAATAGTGTGTATATGGATCGATTATTTATGAAGTAAGTGAGAGTCAGAAATGTGTGTGTGGAACTATTGTTTTGAGAAATAATTTGTGAAATTTTACAACTATGATCGTGTGTGTAATGTATCGTTCGAACGCACGTTGTGAATAGAAAGGAAATGAAAAGTCTTGATGAATATCTACATTATAGAATTATTGATGTTTCTACTGTCAAGGAATTGGCAAGGAGATGGGTACCTCAAGTATTTGACAAGGTTGTTAAAAAACAAGCTCATCGAGCTTTGGATGATATTAAGGAATCCATTGATGAATTGAAACTTTATAGAAAGCATTTGTTTAATCTTGAATAAAAGTGTCACAATATTGCTATTCTCAAAAAAATTAGTACTCAACTTTTAAAGGAAATTAATGGTATTTATTTACAACAGCTTTTGCAAGTGTTGACCAGGTACAGTTAAAAAGAAACAATTAAAAATACTTTATCCGTTTATCGCTGCTACTATTAGAGTCTGATGAATGAGCTCGTTTCTTTGGATTCAAACAAGCACAATGAACAAAAGATCCTGAATTGGGATCAAGGCATGCATTCTTTATCATCCATTCTCCTGAAGAGTCATCTAAAATTCTCTCAAAGGCCTCCCCACAAATGGCACAGTCATCTTGGTCGAGTGGAGCCAACACTGTGGAATGGATTGTATTTTCTTCTTCGTCACTGCTGCTGTACTCTCTACTTGGAGATTTTGAAAACCCTTCTCCAAATATTGAGCTCGCATCCAAGCATGTAATGGAAACTCTTTCCACATTCGTATTATTACTACTACTGGATGCCCACTCATCATCACTTTGATCAAACCATGATCTTGAAAACGCCTGATGAGAGGTGGTGTGGTGTGAACTTTTGACTTTATGTAAGGCAGAATTTGAGAGGTCGTGTTGAGTCGATAATTGTTTGTTGGGAAATCCTAAACCACAAATCTTGCATACGTGACGTGCTTTCTTTGTGTTATTGGGAGGTACAAGTACAACTTGTTCACTAATTTGTTTTCTACTGCTTCTACTGAGGAGAGTTCTTGTTGTTTCTGAGTTGGTTGTGGTGTGGTAGTTGATTTATTAAGCAACTGAACAAGCCAATTCAAATCAGATCCAGAGGAGCTTGTTGCTGCAGATACGGATGCTGGGGGAACTGCATTCATGTGAGATTGAGAGAGGGGAGTGTTACCATGAATATTCGAATAAGGTGATTGAAAGGGGGATTGGGTGTGAGGAGTGGATTCATGTTACCCATCTGATTGTGATGTTCACAACAAGTATATGGAGAATGTTGGTAGGAAGATTGCAACGGTGTATTCATTGTCCATTGAAAATCATAATTTTGCATGAATCCAATCATGGGAGTTTGGTAATGGGGTACGTTCGTAAAAGCAGTCCGTATTGGTTCGTGTGAAATTCCAGTAGATGTGGTAACAATGGAGGTATGAGGTTTTGATTTCGTTGTAGTACGAAATGTTTTTTTGTTCCGAGATGTGTTTGATTTCAATGAGGATACACGTTTGTGGTTGTTTCCATCAGTACTTTGAACACTGCCCTGTTCTTTATGACTACAAACCTTTTGATGAGCTGCATTTGAAAAATCAATGCTTGTTTGTTTGACAAATTTCTTAGGGTTCACGTAAATAGACGCATTGGCGTGTTTTTGTACGAGTGTTGCATAGTCTTGTACTTGATTGGGTCCATAAGTGGGTAATCGCATAATCTTCTCTTCGATGGTATGGACTAATTGATTGCCAAAAATTGGTTCCCAAGTCTTGAGTAACTTTAAATATCTGGTCTGTGTTTCAATTTTGGTTTGTGCTTTAAATGAATAGTAAAACACATCCACTAAATTGTTTGCAAATTCTGTTATGTATGCTCCTCCAACGTTCTTTGCGATAGAATCCAATAAATATAAGCTCGGAAGCTTTTCATCGTCATTGGCTGTTTTTATTCTTGTACATATTGCCTTTGCAATGTGTTTAGCGTTATGGATTTCCTCTCTTGCAATATTCGTTAAATTTTGTATATCATACAAGGAATTAATTTTTAAATCACGTTGCAAAGCCAATGAATATTCTTTCACGCTCTCGGGAATGGTTTCTTCTGGAAAATGAATGTTCTTTTGCTCCATCATTATGGTAGCAGCAGCCTTGGAAGGCTTTCTCAAGCTTGATGAAGGCTTTTTCATCATCACGGAATCCACGGGCAATTTCTTCATGGTAGCAGACGAGATGATTGAACCTGTAGTTGTGTTTGGTCGATTCATTTTTTTTAATTTGGTAAAACTAAAAATATTTACTGAATATTCTTTTATTGTTGCTTTTCTTAGTTCACTTAGATGAAGAAGAAGTTTGCGAATTCTCTCAAAAACCATTTCCGTTCCGATAATTGATTCACTGATTTTTCTTTCCTATGATTTGAAAGAACATCCTTGGGTCCCATCATGATTGGAACATCAAACTTTTGAAATCCTTTTTTAAAAATATGATCTCTGCTCAGGACTATTCCTCAGGTGATGATGATGAGGACGATCTTCAGTATCAACAAGATCATCAATTTTTAGGTATTGCTTCCGGGACAAAAGATCTATCACCACCACCCTCCTCTGTAGCCAGTACTTCTACGGCAACAACGAGTAGTTCCGATCCTGCTACTGGAGATTCCTCCCTAAGGTTTCATGGAATTTCATCATCATCGCAACAACAATCATTGCATACAACGACTCCGAATCAAGATCAACAGAAACGTGGAGTTGTATATATTCTATTGCTGCCCTATCTGTGTTTTATAGAGGGTTTTTCAAATATGGTTCGATGGATGACTGGAGGAGGAAAGCGAACAAGCTCTTCAACCGAATCAACTGGTTTCAATAATGAAGATCTCTCATTGCAATCGGAGGGATATTCACAAGTTTGAAAGAATTCTCTCAAAAAACTAACCCAACAACATCAATTTTTAATTTATTATTGGAAGGTTTCACTCTTTATTTCAAAGGATTCCACACGCAACCTTTCATCATTCAAGCAACCAATTCATTCACAACAACACACATCAAGATAAACACTTCTTGTGACACTCTTAATTATTGTAATTACTACTTGTTCCAAATGGCAAGGGCGAATGAGGTTGTTAGAAGGAGCGAATTGACAAAACCAAACGCCATTTCAGGCAACCCGTCTGTCACTTGAAACACAAGAAAAAAATGCCAATCACTCCCAAACATTTTGGTGTTGACAAGAGCTTCTCTACTCCCTCAAGCAAGAAGTCACATTTAAAGGTAACAATCATAGAGGCAAAGAATTTGATCAACACTGATCAAGGTAAAAATGGTAGGTCACTAACGTGGTTTTGAATGAACTCATTGTCATGATCATCATTGCTGTTCCTTGCTCGAAAACGTGTGAAATATTCCCGACGGAAATGAGTCTAGACTTTTCTGACCCATATTGCATAGTTTGGTTGGGTGGCAAACACAAAAACAAGTACAGAACAAGCACGATCAAGGATAATCTCAATCCTGTTTGGAATGAGTCTTTTCAAATTCCTCTCGATCATGATCCTGAACAATATGTCTTGATTTGTCAACTCTATGATAAGGACATTTTCACCAGTGATGATTCACTTGGTTTTACAGCAGTCTCGCTTTCATGTCTCAATTTGAAAGAAAAGGAAGACTTTTACATGTGGTTACCTTTACAAGGTGTTGAAAAAGGTACTCTTCGTATCAAATTAACACCTCTTGACTTTTCTATTCGTGATGGTTTTGTTACGGAACATGATGATCAAATTCCTCAAATAGATTTAACCAACTTTTTAAAGGAATACAAGAACGAAAGAGGAAGGGGCTTCAAATCACGTGGAAGAAGTTTGCAATCCATTCTTTCTGGAAATATTTCTGAGAAGGAGTCACATCGATTGGATCAATTATTTGGAGTTACCTATTTGGAAGATGTTTACAATGAATTGAGAACTGGTGACATTATTTTGCACTCTGGAAAAGGAACATTTTCAAAGGCCATTCAATTGGGTTTCTCATCGACATGGTCACACTTGTCTTTGATTGTGAAAAATCCACCAAGAGATTTATTGAAATTGTATAATGTTCCATTGCCTGACGATTCCACTTCGACCATTCAGACCTCCTATTCAAGTATCTATGTTGTAGAATCTGAAACTGACACGGTGGACAACAAAGAAGGAGGTGGAATTCAATTTGTTGAATTGAGACAATGGTTATTAGATTATTTGAAGAGAGATCCAACCGACTTGTGTGTTTTAAGAAGATTAACAGTTCCAGGATCCAACAATGACGGCAGTCTTCAAGACTCGTTCAGTAATTTAACTCCATACTTGTACGATGCTCACACCAAAAAATATGAAACCTCCAAATCCGAACTCTTGAAATGTGTCATTAAGAGAAACACAGCTCGTAATGATTCCAATGTATTTTGTTCAGAGTTTGTTGCTGAATGTTTCATAAGAATGGGTCTTCTTCCATCCAATACCATTACATGCAATTATGGTCCAAAAGATTTCTCAACAGAAACCAATTTGGTCAATACAGTCTTGTTGAAAGGAGCTCAATTTTCACAGGAACGAAGAATTCGAGTTCGAGAATGGGATGAAGAACATGGTTGGAAATTGAGTGACAATGAAGAGAGTGATGTCATTCCAGGTGCCATTCAAGTCACTGAAGAAGATGAAAAACAAACCATTCATCCATAAGATGTTGTTTATATCATTGAAAGGAGTTGGTTGTGAACGAATTTTAATACACAAGCCATCACCATGTTTTGTAACAATTGAAAAATCAATGTTCGTTCCCACGCAAATACCCGAAACGTTTCATCTTCATGAAATAATCAAAGTGGGCAAATGAGACATTTTGGGCAGCTCTTTAGCCAGTGACACTTGTCATGGATCTGCAAAAGCTGCCAGTTGGATCCCAACCTCTATTACAAGTAGCGCTCCAATCTTCACAAATAAGCAGCAGGATTTTTCACACACGTTTGTTTTGAAACAAAAAAAAACAATCATTTAAAAACAATGTCTAACCCTTTAGAACACTCACAACATGCTCATGCGAACATGGAAGAATCACTCTTGACCTCTCTTCAAAAGCTGTCCAATGCCTCCAAGGATCGTAATGATATCCATCAAACGCCACTTGTCGAAAACATGCATTCACAATGTGATCCACAATTCTTTCGATTGACCATTGAAGAAGATCGAAAACGACTGTGCCAACTCCTCTCTTCCCAATCCATTCAATTTGTACATGATACCATCCATTCTCAATTACAAGAACTCGTACAAATTGAAAATCCCTCCCATACACTCACTCCACAAGAACTCTCTCATTACATCACTCTCAAACTCCAATCCTGTCCTAATTTAGAATCGTATGGCGTTTGGGTGTATTATCCATGGAAAAAGACATTGTGTCACATTCTCGATTCTGAAGAATTTTTCCAAGTGAGAACCATTCGAAACGCCTTTAAAATCTCACCTCAAGAACAATTAACATTGAGAGAGAAGAAAATAGGAGTGGTTGGACTTTCTGTTGGAAATGCAGTGGCAACAACACTGGCCATGGAGAGAGTATGTGGAGAGGTGAGATTGGCTGATTTTGATCGTTTGGAATTAACGAATATGAATCGAGTGAGAAGTTCATTGACTGAAATTGGTGTTCCAAAGGTAAGGAATTATATTTGTTTCAGTACTGAAAAGGAAATTCATGTCAACGTTATCAAAGGTTATCATTGCAAAAAGAGCAATTGTAGAGATGGATCCCTTCATGAAAGTAGTGATTTATCCAGAAGGAATTACCATGGAAAATATTCATGAATTTATTGGAAGTGGTCATGACCAACTGAATCTTGTTGTGGACGAATGTGACAGTTTTGACATTAAACTCTTACTTCGAAAGGAATGTAAAAAGTTGAAAATTCCAATAGTCATGGAGTGCAGCGATCGAGGTTGTTTAGATGTTGAACGATACGACACAGATCCAAATTATCCCATCTTGCATGGAAAGATTAGTCAAGAGTTATTATCGGCTTTATCGAATGATTTGACTCCAGAACAAAAAGTGAAACTCATGGCTCAATTTTTAGAACCTTCCAAAGCCTCAGACAAAGCTCTCGAGTCATATTTAGAGATTGGAAAGAGTATTACATCGTGGCCACAACTTGCCAGTGAAGTTACATTGGGAGGTGCTGTTGTTACCAGTGCTGCAAGAATGATCTTTTTGAATCAGGGAATCAGGTCACAACGAAAATATGTGGATGTAAATTCAGTAATCAATCCACCACCGTTCAGTTTGTTGAGGAAATACAGAAGGGCTAAATTGTTGGGTAAATGTATTAAGAAGGCATTCAGTAAGAAGTAAGGCAGCAAAGAAACATGAAAATTGGTACTGCCACTTGTTGGTATGACTCTCTCTCTTGAGGTATTCAATTTCTGTATACCCTTAATGTTTTAGCATTCAGTCCGTTAATCTCAACCCAACCACCTACTTATATATTCAATTTTTTATTTTTTATTGTTTTGTTTGTATCATGTATGCCACAAGAAAGGCATCACCTCCAATATTATTTGGTAGCGGAGTCTTGATTCTTAACTAAATCGAGCTCTGGAAGATGTTTGTGAATGGTCTGTTTCAAGTTGACATATGCTTCATCCAAATCATTGTTCACAATAGAGTCATCAAAGAGGTGGGTGTCGTCCTTCTCGTATTGTTCCAATTCCTTTCGGGCATTCTTTAATCTTAATTGAATGCTTTCTTCTGTTTCTGTGCCTCTTCCTCTCAATCGTTGTTCCAAAATATCCATGGTTGGTGGTTTAACAAAGAGAACAAGGGGATTTAATTCCTTGTTTGATCTCACTTGTCTTGCTCCTTGGATATCAATATCCAAAACACAACACTTTCCTTGATTTTGCACTTCTCTCACTGCTTGAAAACTTGTTCCGTACAAATTGCCATGAACATTGGCGTGTTCAATGAAAAGACCATCATCAACCTCCTTTTGCATAACATCTTTTGGTGTAAAGTAATAATGAACACCGTGTTGTTCTCCTGGTCTTGGTGCTCGGGTTGTGTGCGAGACTGAAAACCCAAAAATGGTTGGATATTCGGCAAACAATTTCTGGATGAGTGTTCCTTTTCCAACTCCGCTAGGACCACAAATGACAATAGGTCTAAATTTCTGGACTGGTAATGTTGTACTGGTGGACATGGTTGAGCAAATTCCTCCCATATGAATTTTCTGATGATGATGATCTTTTTAAAATCTCGGGGACAGCAATGTTTTTGAGATGAAACTCTTGTATAAAAATTCAACAATGATGATTCAAATTCAAAAAGGAATTTGGCTCTCGGATGATGAGAATGAGGCTCGGGTGTTTTCTATGTGGCACACTCAACACGGGCAACCGCCTTCAGAATTTTTTTTTATTGCCAAATTTATTGTCTTTGGGTTCATGCATCAATTTCGATGTGTGGTTTGAGAGATGAAGAATGTCGCCTTTATTTAAATCAACAATTTGAACAAAACAAACAAATCGAACAAAGTGCTGATCTTGCAAGCAAACACTCAAAGAGTGAAAGCCAGGGGAAAGGACCCAACGCACACAAGGTGGGGAAGACCCAACACACAAGGTGCTCAAAAACTAATTCTATGAGTAGTAAGGAATCGAAGAAGAATATTTCTGGCTCCATTGATATCTCTGTCAAAAATTGAGCCACATGATGGACAACGAAACACTTCCGATGATCCAACCGTATAAACATGTCCACAACATGAGCAAGTTTTGGATGTATACGCTTCGTTGACAATATAAATGTGTGTCCACGGATGCTCTCTAGCTTTGTGAAGCAATCTTTGCTTGAATCTGTAATGTGACCAAGTCAACATTTTTCTTGCTGTCTTGCTATTAATTCTCCTGTGGAGTTTCTTTACCATTTTCTGAGTCTCAAACGAAGGAAGTAAGATCACTTGGTAGTTTCGACACAGCCACAAACACAGTTTCTTGTGTAAATCATCCACAATATTTCTAATCTTTTGTTGAATTCTTCTTCCTGCTCTCTTGTACTTGTATCTTTTGCAATGTCTGACTTCTGGTTGAGACCACTTCGATTGTAACTTGTCATACGCGCAACACAATCTACCAATTCTTTCGGCACCTCCTGAGCCCCATTTGGTTGAATAACCATTCAAATCAAAGGTGGTCTGAAATGTTCTTACTCCTGGATCCAATGCTACAACTTGTCCTGAATGTTGAGGGGCTTGGTTCTCACCCCTAATATCCAGTACTTGTGGAATACATAAATAATAATGGTTCAACTTGTTCTTAATAATGATGGAATCATACTGAAGCTCCTCAGGCAAAGGTTCGGCGCTCTTGATGTTCCTTATAAAAGAATACATTCCACTCTTTTTCTTCCAGTGCTTGCAACGCAGAACGAAATGATCTTTTCTGTCTTTCTTTCGCCTGAAACGGATCATGAACTTGTCAATCGTTCCAGCCTTCTTCTTTTCAAAATTAGTGTTGAACGCAGTTAACAATTCAATAGCGGCAGCATCTCTTACGTCATAAGGAGTATTTACAACCCACTGATTTTCTGTCTGATAATTATCGTTGTTCACCACAAACGTTCTGAAATTCTTCTTATTTTTCTTGACACCTTTGGATTTGTTGGTGAATTCTAAACACTTGTTGTAGATCCAACGAGCAGTTCCCATCCACTGATTCAATGTTGTCCTTTCTTGTTCATTGGGGTAGAGACGAATTTTCATTGATTTGTCCGCTTGAAATTTTTGGGGAGTCTTCTGACCCTTCTTTGCCTTCTTGAGCTGAGGTGGCTTTTTAGAGTTATCAAAAGCCACATTCTCTGTTATAGAGTGATGAACATTGAGTGGAACATCAAATACTGGCTGGGATTCAATCACAGTGAATTGAGAAAAGTTGAACCATCCGTCAGTGCATCCCTTGTTGTTGTACTGATTAAACTCATGAAAGGAATCTCTTGAACATGCCCATGAATGGAATGATGCCGTGTGCAAGAGATGGATTAGTAGGAGGATGAGTAGGTTCATCCTCTCTACTTCTCTTCATTCGTTGAGATTAAGGTTGTTGTTGAGTTTTTTTTTTTGATAACCTCAACAAGAGTTGAAACTCTATCAGTATTGAATGACTCATTGAATTGAAACTCTATCAATTTGAATAACTTGATTCATTCTTTTCGTCCGAACTGATCATGGAAAAGTGAGCGCCTTGATAAAATTCCTTATCCACCTCCAAAACAACACTTTTGATTCAAAGAATGAATAAATGGTTCGTCAAGAACTGACTGTTGATGGTTATATTGACTTGTTGAGTTTGTAATAAATTGTGGCTTTTGCTCTTTTATTTTAGTGCTGAGTAATTTAAAACCGATTATAAAAACAAAACCTCCAAAACAAACAAGGTTTTTTATAAACCTTGCGTCATCAGGACTGTGTTTTACTGATGGTTTTTGAAAGAAATTGCTGTAATTGTTCTTTTGGCTTCAACGGTTTTCAAAACAACGATATTAAGGAGAGAAACAACGGAATTACTGACAAATATTAATTGGACGAAATGTCGTCCAGAAGATTCCAAATTCAAGAGCTCCAAAGGACAGTATTCCACAACACTGGTGTAACCATCTGAAGTGGGTTCATCTTTTTACATCCAAGAAAGAGTTGGAGTGCATTTAAAAAACTAATTCAACGTGAAAGAGTGAGTAGGGGAAAAGAGAAAGGCAATGAATTTGGTGTTTTTAATGGTTTTCCAAAAGTTTGCAGAATAACTTTGTTATCCCAAAAACAGAAACTGAAAACAACACAAAAAAATGCTTCCTTCATCCAATCAAACCTCTTTAACGAACAATACATCATCATCATCAGCATCCTCTGGTTCCGAATCAGCTGCCATCAGTTATTCATCCTATGAAACCTCACCGACCAATTTTAATCCACTCATTGCTCGTAATATTGTCAATTTTTTGAAAATTGTGAGTAAATTAAAACACACATTGCGGACGGGATGGGTCGATTGCAAAGTTCAACATCCGGAATCTATTGCTTCACACATGTATCGGATGGGAATTATTTCCATGCTCACTAGAAATCAACCCAATATTGATACTGATAAATGCATCAAGATGAGTCTTGTACATGATTTGTCGGAGGCCATTGCAGGTGATATTACTCCTCATGCAGGAGTTTCAAAGGAGGAGAAATATCGATTGGAGAGAGAAGCTATTGAGAGGATGAGAAGTACTTTGTTGGAAGGTGTCAATGGTACAGATAAAGAGAGTGAGGAATATATTCAAACTGTGAATGAAATGTTGAACTTGTGGCAAGAATATGAAGATGGTACCACACCGGAGGCAATTATTATGAAAGATATTGATCGATTTGATATGGTGCTGCAAGCCTTGGAATATGAGACTGAGCAGAATTTACATCTTAAAACATTTTATGAAAGTACCAAGGGTAGCTTTCAAACAGACATGTTCAAAACCCTTATGAAAGAGGTGTATGCCCAAAAAGATAAACTCGAAGATCAACGAAGAAACAAGTAGAATTATTGAGGGCAAATTCAAGGAATCTTGTAATTAATGATATCATTGTAAATTTAATAATTATTTTTCATTAGGAAAATGATATTTAAATTATTTGCACGTTGTAACCAATGTTAACACTGTACATCAATGGAATTTTATTAAGGCCAACGCCATTATTGGAACACATTGTGCTTTCGATTGTACAACTTTCCACTCATTAAGCCACCAAATATTGACAAGTTATATTTTCGAGACATCATTTGACAAATTTCCACAGCTCGTACGGAGTGACCTTTCTTGTCAACAAGAGGCGAGTAGATGGCCATACCACACACATTGGGAACAATGATCATGAGACATCCACTCACTCCTGATTTTGCTGGCAGTCCCACAGTGAAAGCCCAAGTGCCACTGTAATCATACATTCCACAACTGTACAACAAACTGAGACAATCTCTCACTGTGTGAATATCATTGATACATCTTTCACCGGTTATGGGACAAATTCCACTATTGGCCAATGTACTTGCAATGATGCTCAGCTCTCTCGTTGTACAGCTGATTGAATTTGTTTGTACATAAAAATCTAACACGTCATTAATGTCACACCCATCATCTTGAGTAATTCCTTTAACACCATTGCTTCTCATGAAATAAACAAGAGCCCTATTTCTGTCATTATGCTCTATTTTAGAATATAACATTCGTGTTCATTGATTGTGAATATCATCCATTTGATACCATCATGACGTTGTTTACACCATATTTTGTTTAGATACTTGTCAAGACAGTAACATTTCAAAACCAACCTTTCTCGCTCAAATATGTACACTGAGAATATGATATCTGAGAACTATCCTCATTACTATCCAAAGTTGTAGGACATCCAGCCATTTTCTGAATAAATTGGTAAATATTCGTAAATCTCTTACTGCTACTATTTTTTGGTTGAATTTGACTGGCACACACTAAACCTCCCGTGCTCACAAACGGATTGTGAGGTTTCTTTTCTTCGTTTAGGGAAAAGGCATTGAATTTCAATCCAGATGGCTCACGACCAATAAATTGATGAAGATCAGCACCTTGTTCTCGTGCTAGACAATATAGAATGGGCAAAACACTACAGTTGATCATGTTAATGTCGCTCAATCTTGAACTCGTGTTATTCAAACACCTACCAATGTTGAAGTGTGAAAACCTTCTTGGTTCCATTACCAAAATGAGCAACTTGGCCATCGACACTGCATAAAGATAATCCAAAAAGACTTGGATCTGCATTTGCTAATTCTGGAATGTAATCTGGTAAAATTCCCTTATCGTTTTGATGAACGAGAGCAAACATTTTTGATAAATCTTTGCAGAAATCTAATTTTTAAATTATATTTTTAAAATCATAAACTTCGCATAAAAGATCCACAATTCCAATAAATTTACCTTGAAAATTCGGAATGGCTAATTGTCCAGTAAATGATTTTTGCAAAATATTTGGTTTATCTGACGTCATCCATTGAGTAAACTCCACAAACGTCATTCTTCCACCGTGGCATATGATCGGACATCTCGAAAATCCAAACTTGGACAAGTATCGTTTCAAATCCTCTTGAGTTATAAATCCATCTTTATCCAAATCAATTTCTTCGAATTTTGTTTTTAATTCTTGCTTTTTCCGATTCACAATATCTTCTAACGTTTCAAATCTTTGAGATGGCTGTAACATGCTTAATAAATTGGAGGATGATAATGAGGCACGTAACGTTCCGGACTCTCCAACAATTGTATTACTATTACTTTGCTGTGATGATGATGATGCTTGTGATGATGATCCGAGCTCATTATTTTCTTGTGGAATCATTTTTTTGGAATTTGATTTTTTCATTTGTCATTTCGCTCGAGTACAAGAACTTTGAAAATAGTGATATTGGTGTTACAACCTTAGACTTTCAATCTTTAATATGATGATAATCAGTCGACTCTCTCAATTTTAAAATAGCCTGTACTGTTCAAGTGAAGGTGTTTCCTTTTCTTTGAAAAAATCTAAAATAAAGGAAGTTGGAACGGCCGGTATCTCCAAACGTTTGATTTTCCTTGTCATTTCACTGTCACCTTCCTTAGCATTGTCGTTGACTATAGCAAGATTCACATCAGAGTTCAGAGATGAAACTACTGTGCCATCCCCAGCCTTAATAATGTCAGCTAGCACACTTGCAGGTGGATTAGACGAAGTGACATGAATATATACAACAAGATCATGAAAAGGTCCATATTTGTGTTTTTCCCTGTAAAGTCTCCATTTTCTTGGAATTCCAAGCCACATACCCTTCGGCGTAATCTCGTTAGAATTCCATTCATACTGTTCCTCATCTAAAAAGTCGCTGCTTTTCAATGAATGATCTCTAGTAGTATAATTTTCCAAAATGTATCGTCGAAAATAAGGTTAGAGTACAATTTCATATTTTGAAAATACGTACAGGTAACTTGTTTTTAGCACCCAACAACCTTTTGCACATGCACGCATGTATTTGAGAGTTCGTTTGATTTCAGAGGCTATAAGATGAGTTATTGACTCATGATGTGTCTTCTCTTGTTCGTCATTCACCACCGTGCCGCCAAGCTGTTGAATAATCATTTCGTATCGACTCTCTAGGCTATTTGAAATTGAAAGTTGAAATACTTTTGGAGTTCTTGACTGTTTTGTCTTTTTTCGTGATCCTTCTGATGATGTTGATGGGCTTTGGAGAGCTGTAATATGCTTTCTCTTTTTAGAATCTCCTCCTATCAAATAGGGTCCAATATCCACCATTTTCCACTCAGAAATACTATCAAAAATAAACTCCTTTTTCAACGTTGGGATTCCCCAATCATTGGCTTTTTTAACCTTCTTCGAATTCTCAGTATTTGAAGAAGAATTTACAATCAAGTAATGGTTGTCCTTTGACAAGTCACCAGTATACAAAGCTCCTGTTTGTTTGATAAGATAGGTCATGTCATTTCTCTCGATATCTTTGAAACCAGTTACAGTGATTTTTAGACCCTCAAACTCCGGTATTTGCATGTTAGACTTTAGAGGTGTGTAAATTGCTTTTTCGTTTGTGTCTATCAGCTTGCTTTCTCGCAAGCAGTCATCAATCCATTGTGCTGTAGTTACATGTTGCGCTAGGAAGCCATTTTCAAAGGAATATGCATATCTTGTAATGAGGTAATCAATTTTAGAGTTTGCATGTACAGCCTTATTGTGAATAACTTTTCCACCGGCCATGCATATAGCTCTCTGAATGTTGGATATAAATGTTGGAGGATAATTAATTACAATGAATGAATGGTTTGAAAATACGTTTTTCGATTTGAAGTTGCTCGTGAGAGAATACGTTGGTGGATATTTTCCAATGAGATGATCCTTTTCATCGATATACGATCTCTTTGTAAAACATTCTTTTAACCAATCTATGGATAATAGTAAAATGTTTGGGTTTTCAAATCGAGACCATTCCGTTTCTGTATCTTCCAGTGAAGAAATGACGTGCGTATATGTGCTTGAAAACTCCTTATTAAATTCTGGAATAAATTTTCCACCCAAATACTCAACCATAAAAGCTATGGAAGGCATTACAGCGGCAACCTTATTCGTACATGTAAATACAAAGTCACAAAATACGAATGGATAGCATAGTAAATATTTGTCTTCTGCTCCATAGTCATCATTATTATAAATAAATTGAGGACTCACAATGCATCTATCTGGCTTCTCGGCTTGATGTTCCAGTAAATATTTCTCCATGTGTTCGGAATCATCATTGCGATTTAATAACTTCAAATACTCATCCTTAGCAAACTTCATATCCACTGAAATTATATGTGTTACTTCTTCAGCATTTTCTTCAAGAGAAAGGCTACCTCCTCGAGTTTTAATAATTTTTCTTAATTTTTCTCTTTCACTTTCGGGAATGGATGGTGAGAGATAAAAACATAGGGATTTAAAGTTTTGAATGACTCCTTGCTGTGAGTGTGATGATGATGATGATGTAGGTGTGCTGGAGCGTTGAGAAGTCGACCATGATGTTTTTTCATTACGATTTGAATCGGATTTTGATGTTGCTGTGCTCGATCCTCTCTTGGACATTTTTTTAAATTGGTGATTGAGAACATTTCCATAAATTTGTTGCCCTTGACCAACAATGCTCTCATCATTGATTTACTGCAAGACCTGGGGAATATTTAGTCGTTGTAATGAAGATTGGAAGGATTAAGCAACAGCATGATGTCAAGATGATTGCAAAAGCATTACAAAAAAATGTCTTCAGTGAAGCTCATAGTTGGTGTCGAAGGAGGGTAAGTGATTGAGAATTCCTTCTTCTCCATATGACACAGACCAAAATTCCAATCCATCATTTTCATCTTGTATGGACATTCAATAATATCAACCATAATCGCATCATTGTGGATCATGCCAATGATTATCTCCGATTTCCTTCTCCACAATCTGATCAACATTATTGGACCATCATTATTCGGAATTTTCGGAAAACTTTTAAATCATATTACATCATGTATCATCAAAATGACACAGAGGAACATCTTTCAAAGTTGCCATTGGAACCAATGTCCATGATGCCATGAATCATGTCGTGGTTGTTGAAACCAAGTCTGTGGAAGAAACCATGCAACCAATCAAAGAATTCCTTGAGAGAAAATCTAAAGAGCTTGGTGGAGAAATTGCTCGGATTGGTATCGCAAATTTTGGTCCAATTGATGTCAAGGCTGGTTGTATTTTACCTTCCACTCCAAAAGTTTCATGGCGAGGTTTCAATATTGTCGATTACTTCAAAAAAGCATTTCCCAATGTTGAGAGCATTCATTTTGACACTGATGTGAATGGACCTGCCATGGCAGAATATCAGCAAATGATTAGTGGAAATACTGCATATGTGAAATCATTGGCCTATGTTACCATAGGTACTGGAATTGGAGTTGGCCTAGTTGTGAATGGATCTACTGTGAGGTATGTTGTGAATGAATTTGGAACACGTGACAACAGGGACAAATGTAGCACGTGAATTTTTCTTCTTCGAATGTATATATTCCAATGTATACTTCTCTCATTGTGATTATTATTGCATGAATGCACACAATTCTAAGTGGATTAATGCATCCAGAAGGTGGACATATTTATACTCCAGTTCACCCCACAGACATGCAAAACGGTTTTCAAGGTTTTTGCACATTTCACAAACAATGTTTGGAAGGAATGGTATGTTGAAATTGGGGTATTTTGATTCGGCATTTCAAACATGGATCAATTTTTTGGATGAATATTGGGCCATGCATCCCACCCTACTACTGCGACACCAATCATTCATGGTTTGTCCAAATGAATAGGCAGCATCACCTGCAATTGTAATGAGAAAGAACATTTCGATTCATGACGTGAAAGATCTTTCTGATGACGATGAAGTTTGGGATATTGAAGCTCATTATTTGGCTCATTTGTGTACTTCATTAATTCTCATTTCTTCATGCCAAGTTATTGTACTAGGAGGTGGAATTATGAATAGAAAGATACTCTTCGACAAGATACGCGAGAAAACTGTCCAATTACTGAATGGATATCATGTGATGGTCAACAATGAAAGTATTAGAGGCATCATCAAGCCTTCACTATTCGGAGAACATGCTGGCATTAAAGGTGCCTTGTACTTGGCTACCCAATAATTGGTGGTGTGTGAAAAGTCGCCAATTTCCGTTACAAATTTCAAATTTTTTTAAATTAAAATCAAATGATCTTTTTCGGCTATTTTGGGTGTTGTTCTCATCATCATCATACACAACTTTTGAAGAAATTTTGAATTTTATGAATACATTATTGATGAATTTTACAATACATGTATTTACACTCTAGTTTTGTTTTAATAATTTAATCGCTTTCCTCTTCTTCACTGCTCTCTTCCTCTTCGGATTCTTCCTTCTTCTTCTTCTTGGATGAAGATGCTGATCCAGACTTCTTGTGAGTTTCATCATACTTGGCCTTGACAGCTTCATATTCCTTCTTTAACTTGGCTGCCTTGTCATTGTATGGCTTCTTTTCTTCATCACTCATTGCTTGCCAGAGAGCACCAACTTTCTTGGCAACCTCAGTGACCTTCAAAGTGGAATCTTCTTCGAGGAGTTGCTTTCTCTTATCTTGAGAGAAGAGCATATAGGAAGAGAGTGGTCGCTTTGGAGCGTCCTTGTCCTTCTTGGTTCTCTTTCTCTTCTTCTTTCCACTATCTTCATCGGATTCTTCTTCACTCTCCTCTTCTGATTCTGGCTTATTCTTCTTGTACTCATCCATGACCTTCTTGTGTTTCTCCATCTCAACCTTGTATCGGTCAGTGTATGGTTTCTTCTGTTCGTCGCTGAGTTGACCCCACATTTCTCCCAAAATCTTGCTTACTTCGCTGGCACTTTTGCCTTCACCAGCCTTCTTCTTGGCTTCATCTCTGTGGTCATCACAGAACAAGAAGTATGCAGTCTTTGGCTTCTTTGGTGCATTAGCGTCCTTCTTGGTCTTTTTACCTCCCTTCTTTCCTGCCATGGTGTATGTGTGTGTGCTGTTTGTTGGTTGTGTTTGATCGCTGCTGTTGCGGTTGTGTGCTGTTTGTTTGCGTGGTGTTTTTTGTATTACGTGCTGTTGGTGCTGGGAAGCTTCGAGCGAATATTCTCGCTGCTGAGTTAAAAAAAACCGTTACCGCTGCACAACATCCATCATCACCAAGCTTTTTGAAGGCCGAAGATCGAGTTTTGGTTGGAAATTCGCTGCACGGGCCAATCAACGAGCAAAGGTCTCTGGCGCCAAGAATGCGCTCACAACGGTGGTGGCTCCAAATACCGCAGCAAGACTTTCGAGCGTGGGCCTGCAGAGAGATTCGAGCCACTGCACCTCGCAACCACTCGAACGTCAAGAGAAGAGCAAAATGACGGTTATTCGCAACCCAAAGGCCTTTTGTGAGGACTTGTTGTGTATGGTCACGAAGAGAGAACTTATTGTGCTGATCTTTCATGTAACGAGAGAGGGCACATGAATGGTTGGGATGTTGTTGGGATGTGATCAGAGGATCAAGTGTTGCCACTGCTTGTGGACAACTGGAGAGTTTCGTCAAGTCAACCGTACACACCAGTCTTGTGGTTGACTATTGGTTCTTTCTTTGTGAATTCAAATTAATGAATTCCTCTTTCAAGAATGTCATTTGGAATTCGAATTGACATCTCATTGCTCGAATGGAGTTTGCTTGATTTGTCTCGTTGAAAACTTCACGAAACAAATCATTTATTTCTTCATCATGAAAGAGACGTATTAAGAAACAACAAATTCATGACTATTTGTACAACATTCTGAAACTAAATAACACGTCTCCTACTAGACTTTGAGCACAAACCAAATAGTGATACATTATATGTGGAAAATCCAAGTGTGAAATGGGATCAACACTTGCTCTCTAATGATCCATGTTCAAGGGAAGACAGAGTCTTCAAGAATAGCAGTAGAAAAATCGTACCGCCATTGTCATCCTTACTTTTAGCAATTTCACGAAAATGGTTGGTTTCCTTTTGAAAAATTCCAAAAACAGGCATTTTGATTTTCACATTTTAAAAAAGAATTGGCAACACCAATCTCTGTGAATATATAGACTGATTCACACAACCAACAACGTAACCGAAGAGTAACATCTCCTTTATTACTAACCGAAAATTTCAATTCATTGATTGAGAGCATTTTCAACGATTGCCCAAAGCGCTAGTAATTCACACCAATAATGACCATGAGAAAGCAACGTTTCACCACCACTCTTCTCCTTCTATCACTTCTTTGTATCCTTTCCTTTTGGTCATGGTGGTTGAATTATCACATTATTCTTGCCAATAGTAATGACTTGAACTATGAGAATCGTGATTTCATGAATGTTCCATTGAATGATGCTCCCTCAAAGACGTCTTTTTCAACCAATGACCGTGACGCATCCACTCCATTCACACCCTCAAACATTGACCGTTCACAAGAAGAATCTAATGATGAATTACATAATGTGAAATTCCAAGAATCACAACAGTCTGTAGATTCCTCTTCAAATGTACTCGACACTGATTCTACGACTGTCACAAACTCGATGGATTCTGAAACAGTTATAACTTCTTCCAAAACCCATTTACTCTGGCTTGAAGATGCACTATTGAATCAGAATCGACCTTGTGTGGCACAAGCAGTCAAGACTGAACTCGTCCGAAACGCCATCCAGCATTTGAAAGCTCTCAATAATTTCTCCACACAAGACGAAGAGGTGATTCTTCATCTATTGAATCAATACCTCACTCAGAAATGTATGTCTGTTCCTAACTTTTTCACACTCATGAATACTCAATTGAGAGAGAATGATTTGTACAAGATCTCATCATCCGTTGACTCTATTCATAGTAAGAGAAAACTTCGAATCAAACAAATCAAACAATCCATTCTGTACTCACTCTTAGAACGACATTCTCAGAGTTTATTATTTGGAAATTCCACACTCTTTACCAAATTGATCAGTGAGGCCAATGGATTGAAAGATCTTCAACAACCATTAGGTCCTTCTCTGAAATCCACTCTTCTCAATGTTCTCTCTCGAGTATTGAATCGTGGTGGTCAACATCATCAAGATACCATTCATAGTGGAAGTGCAAATATCATTCATGCACCTGTCAAACTCATTCAAGCTCTCGTGTCATCTGAAAAGGATTCACATCATCGAGATGGTAATAGTCGTGGACTTCCCACCTCATGTAAATACATTCTATTTGAACAACAAGTGTTTAATGAGGCCATTCAGTTTTTCTCGAAACGAATTTCACAGAGAGGACGAGAAGTTTCATTGCAATTTTACAATTCAGAAGTGAATCCTACAGATGTGGCATTGCTATGCTCTGGAAAGGGTGGTCGTGTAGGAAATGTCGATCTCTATGAAGAGTTGAGAAGATGGTTTTCTGGAAGACGACATTTGATCGATGAAATGATTGTGTGGCAACAATCATTTCAAACAACGTCGTTCCCAACAGCAACAACCACAATTCCCATCGTCACTGAGCAACAACCATCGACTGTAGAGTCTTCAACGTTACAGCAAAAAACTGAAGAAGCAACACCTACCATTGGTAGTGAAATTCCAAGTGAAAAAATTGAAGAACCTTCACAATTTACAACACGGCAGGATCATGTTGAAGTGAAACCTTCATTCTTGGAGGAGAGTAATGTTTCACAACAGCAAGAAATTCCCATCTATGAAACTCGAAAGCCATCCATTTCTACTGTTATTGGAAAAGAAGGAGCTCCTTCAGTGGTTCAACCGCCAGTTCAAGAAGAACAACCATATATTACAACTGTCACACAACCTTCAACTGCTTTTGAAGCAAAAGATCAAGAATCTGAATATTATGCCACGATTAGACCATTTCACAAAGAAGAACCTATTTTGACTCATCCTCGAATGTCACCAATCATTTCACAATTTACTCGAACATCCTCACCCATGGTCTCACAATTTCCACTCTTTCACTCCATCTTGGATGTATTCACCATTCCCTTGTCATTGAAAAGAGCTAATTCTATTATCACATTTTATTATTTGAAATTGGTAGAAAAAGTTTATCACATGATGTGTCTGAATTGCGCTCCCTATCAAACCCTTAGTGTTCTACATTTGGAAAGTCCTGGATTAGAATTCTTGGCTCATTTTGTGACCATCTTCTCCAGTTTGGTATTTCTAATCCTGTTTGTGGATCATTTGAATATTATTTCATTCACTCTCTTTTGCTTCTCCTTCTTGGCATTGAATGTGAGAAATTTGTTATCATTTAATAGTTTAGTGGATGTCCATGGAGTGGAATTCCCTTCTGGTGTGACGAGTTTGAAGGCAACCACGTCAATTCCAACACATGCAATTTCTCCATCTCTATTGAGAGCTCAATTTAACACTCCATTTTCCTTATTCTCACTATATAGCTCTGTTGCAGACAAAACTTTGTTTGGAATGATGCATTTCTTGTACCTTCCTTTATTGTCACTGGCATTTGACAAGAAAGATTCGTCCTTAATATTTAAAGCTTGCATTCTAGTTGCTGCAAGTGCAACCTTGATGGAGCAAGTAGACATTGTGTTTTACACGTTTTTCAAACATATGGCTTTGGTATTGCTGTTGGCAGGAGTGGCACGACATTTAGTCACAACCATTGGATACACTCTCTTTTATGAATTGTATTCATTGATTTCCTATGATTTGATTTTGGATAAGGCCATCTTCCAAATTCCTGAACCATTCACAGAGGAAGATCGAAAAGAATTGTCACAAGTCGCTCATCCAAAATCGAAAGTAGTCATTTCCATCGATGCTCGTGATGAAAATCCATTGATTATTGAGGCACAAGCAGTAGCAGAGAGTGGAACTGCTTCGACCATCCTACATAGTGAGATTGACACGAATGAATTCGAGAATCTACCATATGAACAGAAAGCTGAAAGGCGATATGCTGAGGAGCAAATCGAAATTTTAGAACAAGATTTAAAACATAATTTGGGAATTGATGAGGAAGATCAAGAATCACGACCATCCATTGAAATGGCCAATGTATTGGCCTAAGGTTGCTCACTTGTTTACCTAAGGTTGTAGTTCATTTGGGAAGGTAAACGTCCTACTTGGTTGAATTGTACACTCGCTAGGTTCAACATTAAGCTGTAAATATTGTATAAAATCGGTTCAAACACAATTTAATAATTGTACAATAGTTACAAAAGACCAAGGTTATCAATTGATGTGAACAAAATTAACATTGAATAGTGTAGTTTGTATCAACCAATGTTCCACGTCTCTCTTGTTCGTGTTCGATCGATTCGAAAAGTGCCTTAAAGTTACCAGCTCCGAATCCGCTATTGTTTTGTCTTTGAATAATTTCATAGAACAAGGTTGGTCTATCTTCGACTGGCTTGGTGAAAATTTGCAACAAATATCCCTTATCATCAAAATCAACCAAAATCTTCAACTTTTGCAAAACATCAATATCTTCCTTGACAGTAATTGGTGCATGAGCCAATCTCTTTCTCAAATTGTCATAGTACGAATCTGGTGTTGGTAAGAAGCTAACACCACGAGCTCTCATTTGAGTCACTGTATGAATAATATCGTTGGTTCTCAGTGCAATGTGTTGAGCACCTGCTCCTCCATAAAAGTTCACAAACTCTTCAATTTGTGACATTTTCTTTCCCTTTGCAGGTTCGTTGATTGGCATTTTGATGTTTTCCTCTTTATCGGTCATGACAATACTCTTCAAAGCACTGTAGTCTGTGTGAATCACAGAATCGTCGACACTCCAGAATCGATGGAATCCCAATTTTTGTTCATACCATTCACAAATATTAACCATTTCATTCCATCCTTGATTTCCGACAATGTGATCCACATTCAACAATCCAACTTCAGGAGTAAAGCTTTGGAATGGATCATCACCATCTTGTTCAATGACCTTAAATCCAGGTAAGAACTTTCCCTTGAATTCGGATCTTTCAACAAAGGTGTGAATGGTATCTCCATAGGTTTTCACACTTGCAATTTTGACACTTCCCAATTCTGAATCTGTCAAGGTTTGTGGTTCTCTTACACTAATAGCTCCATTCTCAACAGCTGCCTTATAAATGGCTTCAGCATTATCTACAGTAAATGCAATATCACGAACACCATCTCCGTGTTCAGCATGGTGAGCACTCATCTCTCTTGCCAATGCACTCTTTGAGGCAGGTAAGAGAGGAGAAGAGAAGGCGAGAATGGCATTGTTTTGGCGGACGACATGAGTGACAATCTCCTTACTTCCAGTTTCTAAACCACGATAGGCATATGGTCGGAATCCAAATCTGTGTGTGTGATAATGGGTGTGTGTGCACAGAATTTATATTAGGTCAGGACAACATGAGATTCAATTTGTTTCGGAAATTAGTTGTAGTGATGATATTGTCCGAAGAGAGAGTATAAATAAACACACGAGGAGGAAGATTCAAAGAGGATGTTGTTGTAAATTCGGGTTCATCATCATGGACAACCGGATCATAGAGTAAAAACAAGGTTAGTCTTTATCAATGGATGATCATCATCTTGTAGTACATACCTTGAAATGTAATAATCACGAGCTTGGAGGGCATTACCAACCCAAAACTCAACATAATCAAAAGCAAGGAATCTACCAGCAGGTACTTGAGCGGACTATCATCATCATGGATGATTTCGTTAAACAAATACATAACGGATGGTCATTGTAAAGAATGAGAATGATCATGAAAAATATGAGATGAGGAGAATCTACAGAGAGATGTACCTACCATCATGATGCGAGAATGCAAGAGTTTTTAATCGTGGCGTAATTGGACCAAGTGAATGATTTTTTTTGTGGTTGGTTTTGGCAAAAACAGTGGAGTTTTCGGATTTGGATAAAATTGAAGGTGGGCTTGAGTTTACAACGGGGTTGCCTGAACTTCCGTTTGATCGGAGGGATTCAAGGAATGTGATGAGGCTTCAAAAGTGTAAGGTTTCTAGTGGCGCTTTTGTTTTGAATTTCGCCTCAACCAACAATTTCAAATAATTAGCAACACAAACCTTCACAAGAACATGTGTAGAGTACTTGTAAGGTTTCTTATTTAAAAATGTCTTTAACACGTTCCATGATCTACGTGGATAGGATGTCTCGATTAATCTGGGTTGTTGTGTTGATTGCACTGTGCTTGTACAACTTCATTTCGTTACACTGTACCGACCAAGAACTGACCTATGTGTGGACTTTTAACGAAGCACTCATTATATAAGAGGAAATACATACGCCGAATCCAATGAGAATTAATGCTCCAGTCCGAAGGCCTTAATACTCTCAAAAAAATGTCCTTTAACTTCGCCCGTAATTTTCGCAACGAAGTAGCTAGAATGGCTCCAAAAGCCATAATATCTTTCGAAAAAGACAGTGACTATAAAAACAGTGTTGCTCCATCCGATAATTATAAAGATTATGAAGAAATTAATGAGGAACTAATAGATAGAGCGTTGAACGAAAGAGCTAAGTCGGGTGGTTCGTAGTGTAACACGAGCCGTGGTGCAAGGTTGATTGAATACAGGAGTCTAAAACTACATCGTGCCGAGTGCAATACCACCTTAACAAATGAAGGGTGTACAAACAGCGGGTGTGGGCTAACAAGAATTTTGTTGTTAAAACACACATACCATCATTGTCTTTTTGACATACACTAAATACGTTCTTGCTCTTGTCTTTATGGCCGTCTCCATATGTAAATCCAAGTAAAAAGCGAAGACCTAATGTCTTGGATACAAAACATCAATAATGAGGATAATGTTTCTTGGTCCCCACCAGAGTGTTGGTTTTCGTAGTTGCAGCGGCAGCAGTTGAGACCAGCATTGGAATGTGTGATATAAAAGTCTTGGTGAAATAGAAAAACAACAAAAAACTTACGCGGTCTGCAGGACTCGAACCTGCGCGGGTCACCCCATTTGATTTCTAATCAAACGCCTTAAACCACTCGGCCAAGACCGCTTATGACTTACAAACAGGTGACGATAAGAATTGGTGTATCGTCACCCAATTGATTGTCTTTTTGACTCACACTAAATACATTCTCTCTCTTTTTTATGGAGGTCGCAATATCAACGAACCAAAGAGTGGTGTTCAAATCATCCAACAATTACATCTTTTTACAAAGGCTGTTCCTTCCTACATTATGAATCTATTGAAATTTGATGGAAATAAATGCAGAGTATGAGATGGACTAGTTGTCTACACCGACTGTTGAAAACTTCTTTTTTTTTTCTTGGTAATCGAACGCCTTAACCACTCGGCCAAGACTGCTTCATATCTTATTGTACTTTATTTGTTGTACTGCCAAGTAGGCTCGCAAAAACTAATCAATTAAGCGTGGTTCGTCAAATCTTGAGACAATCCAATGAAATAGTTGTTTCAAACTTTGAACCTTTCACAGGAAGAGGTTAATTCTATGCAACAGTTTCTGCACAACGTTATAATTTTTCCACAACCAATAGCTCACACCATCAATCGAATGGAGTGTTGGTTCCACTTGCCCTTCCCTCAGTGGTTATTGTACTGTTTAACAAAGATTTCATGATCTTTTCCTTAAGGGTTGATAGACAGACAGAAACAGTCCTACTTAAAGCTGTGAATTGTGAAATAGTTTGCCATTCACTTTGAAGGCAAAAAGTAACAGGGGGCTGGGGCCTGCAAGATTTGCATCCTGATCCAAGTAGCCATAAGCAGCTCTGGGTTCAGGTGATTAAGCACAGGTGTTTTTTTCATTCCATTAAATTATTTGAAACACTCAAAATAATTATCATTATTTGATTTCTAATGGTCTACAATATCAAGCTGCAGGTTTGTCCATTTTAGATAGATGAACCTTCCTGTTGAAACTTGTTCTGGTTGCATTGTGAAAAAAACAAAGTTAAGCTTTTTAGTGGATATATAATTTATTTAAAGTGCTCTTATTGTGTTGGATACTTGTTCCAAAGATCTAATTCAAAGAATAAATTATATAACATTGAAATAAAATTATTTGTTGAAAATCAATTTCATCATCACAATTTTCACGTTAAATCATCAAAACATTTAAAAAAACGCAATACCATCCACTTCCGAGCACTTACACTTGGAAAAGTAAATCATTGCAACAATACTTGTTACAGCTCCCAACACGGTCGTGATGGTCTTTTCCGATTGTGCTAAAAATCTTTCTTTTTTAATTTCCTTTCTTCTTTGTTTGGATGATATTTGGCAAAGTTCTTCATCCGTCTCGGAATCGTAGGCTTGATCCGACCATTGCTCAATTTGTTGATCGAACCAGGATGTTGTTGAAGACATTTTTTTCAATTTTTATATTTCTGATTGATTGAGATGAACCACAAATAAAAGGTTAGACAATCTTTGAGCGTATTCTTTCGAATTTGACAGCCATGAATATGAAGAGTAATACTCTTGAATACATTCAAGTCCTCACAGTAACTCTGGTTTCAAACATGTTATTTAAGGAATGATAACCTCTCAGAACACAGAGTGCAATCTAAGAGATTCTTAAGATGGCATAAAAAAGTACAAATTTGATGAAACAAGCAATTCTTGGTTTCCATTAGAGTCTAATAACTCGGCAGTCGATCGGTGAAGAAACATTTGCAAAATGGATGACGATATCATTGTTGACCACTCTGCTTTTTTACAAAAACAGTAGTACTGCAGCTTTTTCACGGATGATCCATTTCTTGCATCTTCTTCCTCTGCATGAACAACACAATCAACACCTTCCCAACGTGAACAATTCCATTCAAAAAAAAATGCAAAAACCCTCTCTTCGGAAACGTTCCAAACGGATTTCCTATGCTGAAGATGAAGATGATAACAGTTTTGGAGAGGAAGAGATAGTGGAAGAACATTTTGATGATGATGATGTTGAGGAGGAAGAGATAAAGAGGAGGCCAACAAGGTCTTCCAGCCGAAAACAGACCACATCAACCGAGAAGTCAACTCCTCGGAAGAAGAGACAGCAACAAGAAGATGAAGACCATGATGATGATTATGTTGAAATGGATGACATTTCGGAAAACAATGATGAAACTCCAAGAATGAGTTCAACAAGGAAGAATAGTAGAAATGCTCATCGGACTAGTAACGGCAGCAAGGCAAAATCGTCGCCAAGCACGGGCGGTAAGCGCATGACTACTAATAATAATACCAAAACGTCGGCAGCTACTAGTCATACCAAAACATCAACAACTAGTCCTAGCACTCATAAAACCACCTCACCAACAAGAAATGCTACTCGTAGCAACAAACAAGTAGCATCCTCCAGCCCTTCGTCAAACGCATCAAGCAAGCATACCGCCGAAGGCACACACCAAATTAAGAATCAGGATTCCACTTGTGAGGAACAACAAGATGAAGACAACAATAACGACGAAAATGCAATCCTGTTCATTTCATCATCATCCTCTTCCGAGGACTCTGAGGACGAATATATCAATCCAAGTGGAAGTGACGATGAGGGTTTAGAAGAATTAAGCCATTGGGTTGACATTGACGAATCCGAAGATTTGGTTGTGACAATGAGTGATGACGAGGATGAGCAAGATGACTCTGCTGAAGAAGACGATGATGAAAGCAGTGATGACCAAGATGATGAAGACTATCGCGAATCGAAACGAAAAAAGCCACAAAAATCGCGAAAATCGACATCTACTTTAACAAAACGCAACAATGTGACGAAACGGAGAAGAGAAAAAAGCATTTCGCCCCTGCCTGTTTCCAGGAATTCAAAAACTGGATCAAACACCAATCAACGACGAAAGAAGAGCCCTGCGACCAAATTACCAAGTCCTGCATCTCGAGGAGGTCGTTCGAGAAAATCTCCAGCCACTCGGCAGGAGTCACCTTCAACGAGCTTGGACACCAAGAATGGAGTACCAAATTTATATCAAATTTATAACGTCTCTGAAGTTCAAGAACAATTACAAGAATACAATAGGTCAAGAATTGCAGAAATGAACCACGAGAGTGATCACGAAGAACATACTCTTCAAAATAAGCAGCTTGGAAAATCGCAATTCACTAACTTGTCCATTCAACATCCTGTCCAGAAAAATTCCACTCTTCCACCTAATGTGACTGTTCATACCAACATTTCTAACGATACGATCAAAAACCCATCTCCCAACAGAGATACCTGTAGCAATCAACAAGTGTCTCTGGTTACACCATATTCCAAATCTAAATGTGAATTTTTCAAACTTCCACAAACAACCTCCCTAGCAAATGAAGAGAACGACCTGCACATGAATGAGAATATCAAGTAAGTATTTTGACATGGACATGAATTTTTGTTACCTTCATTTGTGTATTCCAAAAATGTAATTGTCCACAAATTACACCTCAATTATATTCTCATCACTAATACACAGTATGGCACCCTCTATTGGAGTGAAATTAGCCAATTTCGATGGCTTTCAAAGTTTGATTGAAAAGAAATTACTTCTCAAAAATGCTTCATTGGATGAAGAAAATGATGAAAACCAAGAGGATGACCAACCTTACGACCCTAGCTTTATTTCCGAGCATGTTTCTAATGCAGTTGCTGTTGGTGCCTCGTCACACTACACAATCAAGCCCTTCAAAGATGGCCATTATATCAATTGTGATTTACGATATTTTACCCTTTCTTCTCTAGGAAAATTTGACGTCATTCTCATCGACCCACCTTGGAGAGTGGTTCAGAGCCGTCCTCAAGAAGCCATGATGTTCAGCAACACAAATTTTAAACTCAACTACAACACTCTCTCGTATCAAGAAATTATGGACATTAATGTTGGATCATTATGTGATCAGGGTTTTTGCTTCTTGTGGGTCCTCAACTCTTCATTGCAATTTGGACTTAATTTATTGAATCATTGGGGCTTTACATATATTGACAAAATTGTGTGGGTGAAGAAGACCAAAAATGATCAAATATTTGCTGGAACTGGCTACTACTTTTTACACTCGACCGAGTTATTATTGGTTGGTGTTAAACATGGTTCTACAAAGAAGAATGGCCAAAAACTGCAGTACATTTCCAAAGTCTCCAATGATATTTTATTTAGTAAGGTTGGCATTCAATCTCAAAAACCAAAAGAAGTTTATGAAATTATTGAAAATATGGTACCAGGAGCTAGAAAAATTGAATTATTTGGTCGAAATCACAACATTCGACGTGGTTGGTTGAGTGTTGGCAATCGTCTTGGTGAAGCATTTGAAAAGGAAATGACCAGCTATTCTTGCACCAAGTGTGATAAAAACCTATTTTCCCCAGACATGATGGGAACCTCTAAGAATATTCCTAGATATAAGAGCCATGTGGACCCAACTGTAAATTTATGTTCACAATGTGCTGATAAGTATGAAAAACAATATGGACCTTATTTTGTAATTGAAAATACTTGTACAGAACCAATATTCCACGATTGGTATGCATGTGACAATTGTGAAATGTATCCAATATGTGGATCTAGATTCTCGTGTAAAGAATGTGATAAGGATTTTGATGTGTGTGAGGAATGCTTTGATGCCACCATGACTAGCACACCTGAGGAAGGAGGTCATCAACATGCTGCATCTGCATTTACCTGTATTGAATTTCCAGACCCTGGTTGTGGTTATGCTGTTCATGTGGATAAGCGTTGCACTTCTTGTTTGGCATGTCCCATTGTTGGTGAACGATTTATGTGTACAGAATGTAAGGACGTGAATTTGTGTAGAAAATGTTTCTTTTTACAAAAGGAACCTAAAGGACACAAATGTACTCATGAAATTTCACTCATTCCAGAACCAAGACATGTTCATTCGAAACTTAAATGTGCAGCATGTGCTACTGTGGGTCTGGAGGGACCTATTCACAAATGCAAAACATGCATGTCATTCATACTGTGTAACAAGTGTTATATTTTACATGAGAAGAATTATGAAAGCCTGCACTTGGACAAGTATACGACACACAAGCCATTCCATTCATTTATGCGTATGAAGTGAAAGTTGTATTTAATTTATTTCAACAGTAGACAACTGTTTTAAAAAAGCTAAATTGTAAATTATGAAGTTCAGAACTTGGCTAAAAATATGTGATGCTGTTTTTGCGAAAGTGACAAAACAATAATAATTTATTCATAATGCAAACTATTAAAAAACGTTGTTTTGTTTTGACAAAATTAACACATTTAGAAATTCAGCCAAAACAATAATAATTTATTCATAATGCAAACTATTAAAAAACGGTTTGTGGAAATACACTCCAAAAGATCTTGCAATTCTATGAAAATAAAATGTTTCAAAACATCCCCATAGAGGTCATTCAATTTGACATTTGCTCCTATCTCGATACACGTTCCATTGTCTCACTCTCCCAATGCCACTCCCATCTCTACGACGAGATCAGTAACTCGGATGTGGTTTGGCAAACTCTCCTCTTTCAACAATTTAAGAACATTGAGTGTCCACTTTGGCTAAAAGATCTACACCCTTATACATCCTCTGATCGGCAACATTCTTCAATGAATACTTTATCCAAATCAATACTTTCCTCTGCAGTGAAATGCTTTGAACAATTGGCCACAACCATCTACAGAAAAAAGAAAGTACAACAGGATTGGACAGATCATTCCGTTTGGGATAACATGGACGATTGGGAGGATCTTGAAATTAATCGAACCATTCTCGACTATGAACTTCGAGGAATTCTCTATGCATACAAAAACCAATTCATCTTTCATTGCTTTCGATTGTTTTCCTTTGACAGCACATTTGAGAGAGCAACTTCATGTTTGGGCTTTACCCTCTCAAATCACCTTCTCAAACCTTGTCACACTCAACTCACTCATGGATGGGAAACTTGTGTCTGTAAAAAGGAATTGCGCAGAGGTTACAGATACTTTTGGTGTGTTCATTTAACACTCTATGAAGATGATCCTTCAGCGCACGATTGGAAAGTGTTAATTGGTGTTGATAACATGCCAAATGGTCCACGATCATCAACGTCTCCTCATTCAACATGTTTTGGTCAACAGTTTCCTTCGATTGGGTTTGGATACAATGTTGGATCAGATTGTGAACATCCTTGCTTTCAACGTGGCACAAGACCTTTGAACAAGAATGCTAACAAGCAGGGTGATTTGATTGGAGTAGAATTCTATTTTCCAAAAAGTGGAAATGATCTACGAGATCGACCCGAGCTCACATGTTACATTCAGAATGGTAAACAAGTGAGACACATGTATGGAAATAATAGACCCAACATTGCAGAGACGTATCGACCAGTGATTTCTCTAATTTCCAGGCAATATGCTGTTTCTGTCTTTCCATGGGATGGAGATGTCGAAAAATTAATGTCCATTTCTATGAATTAATTTCATCAAACTAGTGTATTGTCGTTGATATTTCTCAAAATTACTGAAATGGTTCAAGATCATATCCAAGTAAACCCTTCTCTCTTAATTTTCGTTCATGTTCTTTTCTTGCATGAAATTCTAACTCTTGTTCTCGGGTGTGAGCCGTGTTACTTCCGGGTTCCATGATGAGTTGATTCATTTCTAACATTCTTCGATGTTTGGTCATTTCTTTACTGTAAAATCGTTCTTCTCTCTTGATGATGTCCTGTTTTTTCTTTGGATCCAGTTTTCCACCACTATTCAAACCAGAATGATATCTTTGATATTTCCATTGATCGTTTTTCGTTGTGTTCGAAGCTTCTTGTTGTTCCATCATTAATTGATTCAATGTTTGATTGAGTTTATCCTGTGATTCTTTTTTAAGATCTGGAGAAGTGAGAATGGAATTGATTTTGATGAGACTGCATGTTAATTCTATGGCTTGATGGAGAGATTGAATTTTCACTCTCATAGAATCCCAAATTCCCAATTGAACTGGTTCTACAAATTCAACTGGATATTTCAAACAATTTAAGGTATGCAATTGTGTTGTTGTAAAGGTGTTCTTAGTGGTGGACAATGATTGTTGAGTCAATAATTTCCATTGTCTCATGACAAGATTCACATTGAATCCGCTCTTTTCACAAAGAGTAGCAGGAATGGATGATTCCAGAGCATTTGCGAACATTTCATAAATACATTGTTCTGTGGGAGTTAACTTGGTGTTCGTACTGCAGCACATTTCACGAATTCGATAACCTAGCATCATCTCCAAGCATCCTCCACCAGGGGCAATCAGACAATCTTCGTAAGAATTTCTTAGAATTTTCAGAGCGCCCTTAATAATACGAATGTATCTGTGCTGAATAATGACATTGGCAGCATGGACAATAATTGTACCAATCCTACTCTCGGTCTTTCCTTGAATATACACTGTCGATTCTGTTTGTCGGTGATCTTCATGAATTTTAATTGTCGAAACAGAGCCTAAATATTCTTCCTTAATTTCCTGTTCACATGAATAGACCTTGGTACTGGATGTGAGTTCACATAATTTATCGCAAATATCCTGTCGTACGTGTCTCAAAGCAATAATTCCACTCTTACAGAATCTGTCCAAACTAATATCATCAATGGCATCATTTGAAACAACGACGCCAACGCCGCTCTTAATGATGTGATTAATTTGCTGATCAATCTTTGCTCTTTCATTCCTCAATAATTGCAGTCGCTCCTCTGCTGTACGAAACTCATTCTTCTTTTTCTCCTTGATCAATTCCAGTGGAATATCGCTAAGTACAATAATTTTGCAATTTTCATGTTGACGGAGCATGTAGGGATGTTGCAAACCATGTTCAAATGCCAAACCCTTAAAGTATTCAGCTTTACCACTGAGTGATGTGAGGGCAATGACATGAATATTGTGAAAATTGGGGTTTTGCTGCAAATTTTTCATTTCGTGAATTGTCAAATTTTCATAAAGTGTGGAGGATGCTTCCGTACAAACATCCATGAATAGTTGTGTCTCCTTGTCATTCAATTTTGTTGAGAGAAATGTTTTCAATAGCTCTCTAGCCTTTTCTGAATGCAGTCGAATTTTCAGTGAAAGAATGTCCTTGTTGTTCTTGATGCTCGATAAATCAATTTGCTCATTCTTCTCATTCACCAGTAAATTAAATCCAAATTTTTTCATTTCATTCACACAAAACTTTTCAATTTTCATCAACACTTCGCCAATCACCAATGGCTCTACAGAATTCATGACTAATTCATGTACTCCTCGAGTCAGCTCCAATAAAATTTTCAAAAAGCTAATAGTTCCATCTCCACATCCTACATGTAATTGCTTCAATGCTTTCATGATCATCACTCCAACGGGATGTCTCACAGATAAATGTTGCAGAATAAACGATCCTTCCGATGATACATATTTTGCTTGTTTGTGAGCAGAAGAAGACAAGTCTACAATAATTTTCGCACGAGCGTTGGCATTCGGACCAAAACAGTCTGAAACTTGATCAAATAATTGTTGTACAATACTTTCAACAATTCTAATAAAAGACGGAGATGCCAACTGATGATGATCCACAACTACATCTTGCTGATGAGGAGAGAAGGTATTCATAGAGATTAATTTGCTTAATATTTTTTTTGTAATTTTAAATCATGTTGAAGTTGGCCTTTTGCGATCTTGGAGGATATTGTAGATATTCATGATGCCTTCAAATCCATAAATCTATTGGAAACATGTAAAGCACAATATACCAGCAAAAGAAATCGTTAAATCACGAAGAATAACATCCAGATGACGAAACTACTTGTTCAACCAGAAAAAATAACTCGAATTTAATTTTCGCTGTTTGGCGTTTACGGATTACACTCAACTGCAGTCCCGAACATTGGTTTCCTATTGGTAACCGGTCTTCATCAAAACAGCGCATCTTTGTGAATACGTAGAGATATTTATTGTCGCAATTATTAATTCCATTCCGATCATTATTGAAAAACCAACAGCAGCAACATGGAAAGATTACTTGAATTGCAACTCGTTTCTAAAGTTTGCAAAGAACTAGAAACAAATATTGGATCGGGAGAAAAGGCTCTTGCTGAATTTGTAATTTATTTGGCAAGAGAAGAATCCAAGAACGTTGATGATTTTTACAACAAATTAATTGACAATGATGCGGAATTACCAAGAGATTTTGTAGAAAGATTGTATGCAATGATACATAGAATGTCCAATTCTAAATTAGCTTCATCATCTGGTAATTCTAGCAGTGCAGATGGCAAATTCACGAGTGCTGGTCAATTCTCGGTGAGCTCACTCGTTAAATCGGAAGAGAAAGTATCTGGAGATGGCTTATCGGATAACAAACAAAAAGAGGCTGTTACAGTCTCATCGGACCAAATTAACGATCGATTACATTCATTTGATAAGAGCATTAAAGAAGAAATGGAAAATAATTTAAGAAGGAAATTGGAATTGACGAAAAAATTCCCAAGTTTATGTTTACCTGACAAATCAACAGTATATAGCTCGGCGAATGAAAAAACACCCAGTGACAAGAAGGATACATTTGACAGGAAAGATACCAGTCAGCTCGACAGATATGACTCCAAAAGTCAATTCAGCGACAAATCTTTAGATTCTCGCAGTAGTCGTTTTTCTAATGACGACAGAAATAGAAACGCTCCAGGGTCGTCGTCTTCAGCTGACGGCTCATCATCTAGACGCAATGCTAAGAGAGAATATACAGATACCATAGAAGTCAATCAGATTTATAAGGCTCGAGTTTCTGGTATCAAAAATTATGGTTTCTTTGCTAGACTTGAGGAGACGATTGATGGTGTGATTGTACGTGGAAATAAGGATGGTCTATGCCACATTAGTGAAATCAGTAATGAAAAAAAAGTAACCAAAGTTGACGACGTGGTCTCCCGAAATGACATTGTTTTCGTTAAGGTCATTGTTGCTACCGAGTCCAGAGTATCCCTCTCGATGAAAGAAGTAGACCAACAAACAGGAAAGGACCTATTTCCAAGGAGAGCCCTCGCAAAGAATATGGGAGTACCAAGTCGTGAAGAAGAATCCAAGCTCTTAACTCATCACTCTGGCATTTCTCCAGCATTCTTAGATACCAGCAAAGACGCGAGAAGACCAGTGAAAAAGCAGAACCCCTACGATATGTGGGAAGAAAAACAACTGAGAGCTTCTGGAATGGCAAGCGAAGGTGGTGTAATTAATGAAGAAACAGGAGAAATCAATTATGACGAAGTGGAAGAGGATGTTGAAATTGAATTGAGTGAGAAGGAACCCAAGTTTTTGAGTGGACAAACCATGAAGGGAGGAATGGCCTACTCACCCGTACGTCTCACTCAAGTCAGAGACGGTACTTTGGCCAGAATTGCCGAAAAACAATTGGAATTTGCACAAGAACGTCGAGAAATTAAGGAAGAGCAAAAAGCAAAACTGCAAGGAGACATGGCAGATCTTGAAGCAGACGATCCCCTTTCAGAATACTATAGACGTATCAATGAAGCCACTGACTTTTCAGGAATGAAAGGATTTGCTGGTCAGGGAGCTCCAGATTGGAGAAAAACAGCCATCAGTGGTGTTGCTCAACGAACCTCTGCATCAACCATCAAGCAACAACGAGAGAGTTTACCAGTTTACTCGCTACGAAATGAGCTCATTACCTCTATTAGAGACAATCAAATACTCATTGTTATTGGAGAAACAGGTTCAGGAAAAACAACACAAATTACACAATACATTGCAGAGGCTGGAATTAATGGTAACAAGATGATTGCATGTACTCAACCTCGTCGAGTGGCTGCAATTTCCGTTGCAAGACGTGTTGCCGAAGAATTTGGTTGTAAATTGGGCCAAGAAGTGGGTTATACCATCCGTTTCGAAGATTGTACCTCACCAGATACTGTTCTCAAATACATGACCGATGGTATGTTATTGAGAGAGGCGCTTCTGGATCCTCTTTTAGAAAAGTACTCGGTCATCATGTTGGACGAAGCTCACGAACGTAACTTACATACTGACGTTCTCTTTGCACTTCTCAAAAAACTCACTCAAAAACGAAAGGACCTCAAATTAATTGTGACCAGTGCCACTTTGGATGCAGAAAAATTCTCCACTTACTTTTACACTTGTCCCATCTTTACCATTCCTGGACGAACCTATCCTGTTGAAATTTTGTACACTAAGGAGCCTGAAGAAGATTATTTGGATGCCACTCTCATCACTGTCATGCAAATTCACTTGACCGAACCAGCAGGTGACATTCTCGTATTTTTGACAGGTCAAGAAGAAATTGATACAGCGTGTCAAATTCTATACGAACGAATGAAAGCACTTGGTAGTGATGTTCCAGAATTGGTCATTTTACCCATCTATGCTGCCCTTCCTTCCGAAATGCAAACCAAAATTTTCGAACCTGCTCCTGTGGGTGGCAGAAAAGTGGTCATTGCTACCAACATTGCTGAGACATCCATTACGATTGATGGTATTTTCTATGTGGTTGATCCTGGATTTGTGAAACAAAATATTTACAATCCAAAGACAGGTATGGATCAATTGACTGTTGTGCCAATTTCACAAGCTGCTGCTCGTCAAAGAGCTGGTCGAGCTGGTCGTACAGGTCCTGGAAAGTGTTATCGTCTCTATACCGAAGAGGCCTATAAGAGTGAAATGTTACCAAACACAGTTCCTGAAATTCAGAGAACCAACTTGGCCAATACTGTTCTCACACTCAAGGCCATGGGTATCAATGACTTGTTAAATTTCGATTTTATGGATCCACCTCCACCACAATCACTCATTGCTGCCATGGAACAATTGTTCAGTTTGGGAGCTCTCGATGATGATGGTCTTTTGACCAAAATGGGAAGAAAAATGGCAGAATTTCCACTCGAACCACAAATGGCCAAAACTCTTATTGCCTCAGTAGACCTTAAATGTTCAGATGAGGTATTGACCATTGTGTCCATGCTTTCTGTACAGGGTATCTTTTATAGACCTCGAGATAAGCAACAACAAGCTGATCAGAAAAAGTCACGCTTCTTCCAGCCTGAAGGTGACCATTTGACATTACTTTCCGTGTATCAAGCTTGGGAGCGAAGTAATTACAGTATACCATGGTGTTTTGAAAACTTTATTCAAGCAAGATCTATGAAACGAGCACAAGATATTCGAAAACAGCTGTTAACGATTATGGATCGATACAAATTGAATGTCATTTCGTGTGGAAAGAATTATACCAAAGTTAGAAAGGCAATTACTAGTGGCTTTTTTGCTCACGCTTCAAAGAAAGATCCACAAGAGGGTTACAGAACTTTGGTAGAGAATCAACCTGTGTATATACATCCTGGAAGTGCTATTTTCCACAGAAATCCAGAATGGGTAATTTATCACACGCTCTTATTGACATCTAAAGAGTATATGCGTGATGTGATTACGATTGAACCCAAATGGTTGATTGAGTTGGCTCCTAATTTTTATAAGGTTCATGATCCAGCACATTTATCAAAAAGAAAACGTCAAGAAAAGATTGAACCTCTTTTCAACAAGTACGGTGACGATCCATTACAGTTATTAAAACGAACAAAGAGGTAAACAAATGTTGTAAAAGAATAAATCATGAACTTGTGCTAACAACAGGAGTCACCTCAAACAAACAAAAAATGGACACATTGCTGAGCGTGACTTTGCTGGTACCTCTTTCCACTCTTTGTTTGTGCATGTTCATGGATGCCATGTCGTTTCACACGACGGTCACATCACGTTTGCAAAGAATTCAAAATATTTTCAAACTACTCACAGAATTAAATTATCGGAAGAGAACACTCACGTTCAAGGATCGGAATATTTGTAAGCTTCATTGTACTGAATACTAATTTAACACAAATATTCACTATTTTTATGAATATATTTTATCATTTCATTTTGTTGGATTTTGCTCAAAATCAAAACACCAATATTTGTGTTAATCATGATGAAACAATTTTAAATTTTGCGAAAAGATGCCATTGATGAAGAAACTAGAAAAGCAGTTTTACTTTGTAGAAATATTTTACAATTTCTACAGTATGAACCAGCTTCGAATGTAAAATGTACTCAGATTACATTTGATGAAAAATCAACACTAGATCAACCTAGGGCCATTACATTATTTCATTGACCAAACAAACTCTCAAACTCATCCTCTAAAATATTCTCAGATTCAGAGACCATGTTAAATGATGCGAAAAACGAGTCGGAATTGGCGGTGCCACTGGTTCCATTCACAGTTGGAATTTCATCAAATATTTCAGCAATAGTGCTGTTTTCAATTGTAGAAGCATCAAATCCAGGACATTGAATTGCAGAAATTCCCAATTCATCAATACAATCAATTTCCTGTGAGACACTTCTCTTGATATTGAAAGGTGTTCCATTATAGATAATTCTCTCAACCTCTGTCTTTTTATCCTTAAGTGCCACAATAAATACAAGTGGTCGATCATGATTAATGTCTCTAAACGAGATGGCATATTCTACATGGAGGGACATTAATGAAGCTTGAATATTGAAATTACAACAATTGACAACATTGGTGTCAATCCATTGCTCTCCTGCAAATGTCAACTCTTGTTGAGTGTGGAAATCAAGAATTTTGAAACAAATATCATGATTCTCAGACAATTGTGTTGGAACGTCTACGTAGAGCAAGAATTGTTCATTGGGTGACAACTCTTTAGGGAATGCAAAATTTGGAAATTTGGACAAGTCCACAGTAATGCTCTGATGAAATACTGTCACAATAATCCATTGTTTGAGTTGATCGAATAGTGTTGGTGGATGTGCTGCCTTTTCTTTCATGACATTTTGTAATGGAATGGATGAGGACTTGGAACGTTTTCGTGAGCTTTCTGCTTGTGGTTGGCCAACTTCAGAGGTAGCATTTTCATCATCGTCATCATCTTCCATTTCATTCTCATCGTCGTTTTTCTTTCTCTTTTTGATGGTAGACGTTGAGGTGCTGTCAGATGAGGCTGCTTCATGGTTGTTGGACAAGTCTAACACATCACTACTCTCTTCCAAGTCATGATTAGCAGTTTCACATGATGAATGAATGTCAATGTACATGGTGACAAGTTTTTCCTTCTTGCATTTCAGTAAAGCATTGTAGTAAATGTCGCCCTTTGCCTTATTTTTCTTCTTGTTGGCCAAAATTTCAAAAATTGCAATAATGTTCGAGTTCGCTGAATCTGTGGAGGGAGAAGCATGTTGTGGCAGACCATTCCTGTGACCATTTCCCATAAACTTGGTCGTTGCAGAAAGATCCTTTCCTCGTATCTTCATCTCCACATGTGGTTGCGTGTTCTTTTTTTTAGGTGAAGCTTTTTTCTTGGAAGCCTTCGAAAGCGACTCGTTGTCATCCTTTGTTTCTTCCTCGAGTTGAAATTCCAAGTCTGAAAGACTATAATATTTACTTGGCAGTACCAATAACAAGTAATAGTAGCAATCCGTTCCAATTTTACATGTCGATTTTTCTGACAATTTGGAAAGTTGCGATCCAACATTGGGAGACTGAGTATGAATGCTCTGTGGATTGGCCAATCGATGCCAAGGTTGTTCCGAGGTCAAATGATTGCCCTTCTTTCTTGGTGGGAAACCTTTCTTGATAAATACATGAATACTATTCGCCGTTTGTTCCATCTCAGTCATGGAGCTCAAACTTCCTGGACTTTCAACCATGGATGGTTGTTGTTGAGATGGTACTTGGAGATGATTGGGAGTAGTTGTATTCAACCGCGCCTGCTGCTTGTTTGGAGAAATCAAGACCGTAGTAGGATCCGAGTTGCTACCAACACCACCACCCACCACAGAAGCACCTCCTCCTGCTCCTGTTCCTCGAATATGATTCGGAGTAAGATTCCCATTGGCCATCAAGAGTTGTTGCAACAAGGCTGCAGCTGCATTCGGGTCATTATTTTTTGCCGCCATCAAACACGCTTGTTGTAAATGAGAAGGCGCGCTCCATTCTGTGCATGGCATTGGAGTCGAACCACCAGAAAGGGTAGTAGTGTTCGGATTGGGTGAAGTTGTATGTGAGGATGGAGGTTGAGAAGTAGGACCATTCATTACACTATTATGATTACCACTATTATTGGCCATCATTAGGATGGAGAGTGCTTGTTGAGTCTGTGGCTGCTGCTGTTGTTGCTGTGAAGAAGATGAACAAACAGCCATGACTTGAGCCAATTGTTGTTGAAATTGAGAAACATCCAATAGTGGTGGTGGCGGTGTCGCTTGAGAACAAAGTGTTGGCGAGGAATGATGATGATTGGACGACATGGAGAATCCTCCTTGTTGTAATGGTGATGCATGTTGAAGAAGGTTCGAGGATGATGAATTGTTGTTATTGGTTCCACTACCAGTATTCGAAGAAGAGGACGGTGGTTCATTCATCATGAGTCGCATCATTTGCATGACGAGATTTGAGTCAACCATCATGGAACTTTGATTATTGAGGACTGATGATGCAGACGAATGATTCAATATCAAAGAATTGTTGATTGTACTATTGTTACTAGTATGGTCAGCTCCTGGAGTGGCGTTGTTGTTGTTGTTGTTGTCCATGAGAAGCATGGTGAGCGATTGATGATTGTTGTTGGTATTCATAGTTGAGAATAGGCAAAGTTGTGTTTGAGGAATGATTCTTGTTGATGAATTCTACTACTTCACAATTTTGTGTAATATAGTATCGTTTCTGCCTGCTACTACTGTGGATGCGACGACACTTGTGTGGGTACAATTAATACTACACGCAGCAAGGATGGAAATACAACACGAATCAATAATTTGATTTCAATTTGTGCTTGGGAAAATCAATGAAATACACGATGGCAAACTGTGATGAATACAAGGAAGTCTTTGACGACACAACAAGTGATTCAATGATTGTTGTGTTGCTAGTAAGTGATAAAATTCTTCTTCCGATTAATTGCAGGCGCCAAATACCTCCTTGGTGTGGTAGGTGACAAGTGACTTTTTTTTGGTATTTTTCCACCATACAACTTCAGTGCCTTAGTCTGTAGATCGTTTGGAGGGCATTTGTATGAACATAGGGTTCGCTGAGTTGCTGAATATGCCACTTAATTTCCTCAAATGGAAGAATTGCAATGAGGTGTTAAAGTCAAAATTGGTTTTTGAAGTCGGTTTAAATGTGTGGCATGGAATGACCTGTTGTAGTGATCAACAACATTATTTTGGAAATGTGTTGAACTCTGGTCTCGTAGTGAATACATGTATTGAAAAAGCTTGTTTATAAAAGACGTTATGGTATTTTACAACTCACCTTTAGGGTACACGTGTAGCATAATGTGACAAGTGGTTGTATTTCTTGACCATGAAGGTCAGTCAACAAGGCGCCTAAAGAATCTGGCATGAGAATCCTCCCGATGATGTTCCATTGGTAGGTAAAGAGGTGCTTCGACGAGCTCGTTTGTTTTGTGATGGTGGCGTTTGCATGGGAGAAAACGCAGCTGAGGTACCTGCAGGTGAAGTTGTTTGCATGCTTAGATTTGCGGCATTGGGTGTAGTTGGATAATTTTCATCGTCACCACCATCGCTCGAGGTGATAGATTTTCTCTTCTTGAGAGTTTCTTGCTCCTTTTCGCTAAGTTGTGATAATGTTGGAAGAATGTGACCTTCTTTTGCTTGATAGTAGCTCATTACGGACACACCCTTCTCGAATACGAGAGTTTTTAGTCCTTGATTGTGACAATTCATAACGTCCATCACATCCCTGTTGCAGTAATCTCCTGATGCCTTGTTTGTTAACTTCACCCAGCAATATCTAGCATTTATCCAAAATATCTTAATCATACCATACTTGTAAAAAGCTTCTTTGATATGTTCATTAGTTACTTCTTGCGACAGACCTGTTAACAAAAACACGTCAGATCTGTCTTCGAGTGGGTTGGGTTTCAAAAGTTTGAAATTGTGATCACAGTTCATGACATTGATAATGTTGACCATTTCCTTAATATGGGATAAATCGGCAACTCCGTGGAAAATTTTGTTTCGATTGGTACCAATGATTTGACTAATTTTCATGAATACAAAACCTGTCATAAAGGCGTCAAATGCTGCAACATGGTCAAAGTCTTTAATTCCTTCATAAAATTCGTCAAAGTTCTCAAATCTGGGTCCCCCAGCATCGGTTCTGTGCAACGTGTAGTCGAAGACTGTTCGTAGAGAAGTGTCTCTAACTAATGCTGATGAGATTTGTGGGTAGGTTTCACAGATATATTTGGTGTCAATTACACTATATTTACAAATATAAAACAACGAAAAAATAAAGCATGTGTGAAATGTCATTTCAACCATGAAAACAAGTACACTTACTTTTCAAAATTTTCTCTCACAATTGCCTTAAATTCTTCCGACGATGCAGGAAGGGGCTTGATGAATTTATGAACGACATGCATCATGTCCAACATCGCATTGTGTCCAATTAGAATTAAATGTTTGTGTTTTGTAAGCTCTCGAATGACTCTAGAAAATCCAAGTTCTTGACTCACTGCCTCTTCAATTTCTCTATTAATTCTTTCTTCTGTTGTTTCGCTGCCGACTCTTGTGACACGGATAAATGATAGTCTTTTGTTGCCTGTGTTGATGGTATTTAGTACAAGTTTGCCTTCATATCTGTTTGTTAAAGGTACCATTAATAACATTATTGATGTTATATAGATATATTTCTGCAAAGAATTAAAACTTACAAAGATCCCAATTCCTCAAATAAGAATTTTCGTTCAAACCCATTACAAGGATCAAGGTCGATCTCTGCATCGGTAGAGTTAGCTACCCAATCGGCGACTCTTTCTTTACAATTTTCCAAAAACTCTCGTTGTTCAGGTGTCAAACGGCTACTGTCAATTTTTTCGCCTCTATCGTTAGGTCTTCTTCTCGTTCCAGACCCTGTTGCTTTGCTTTTAACAATTCTTGTAATGTTTTCTCTTGTGGTTGTCTCTTCGATCTCATTCATGTAGGTAATACCATGAGCGATAACCTTATTAAGATCCATCTTGTTCTGAACTAAAAATTGAAGGCAAGTATTTTGACAAGAGAAGACACTAGAGCTTCGAGAGGGAGCTTTGAAAAGATAAAAGTTATATGGCCTTGCTGTGACTTTAGGAGATGCAGCAGTTGGAGAAGTCTTTTTGGCCAGTGAACTTTTCAACATTTGTCGTAAGCGTTCCGTTTCGTCTTGAATATTAGAAAATTCATCCTCAGGTTTTTCAACAAACCATAGGCAAAGACCAAATTGAACCACTTCGAATTGAGATGCACTATCTCTTAACTTTAAATATCTGTCTTCAATTGTATCGATGGGCATGATTTTGTGTTCCTCGCTACGAATTGATGGAAGTTTGCAGAATAACATTTTAAAAACGAGAAGAAAGTTATATGAACTTACTCTAATTCCAAGCCAGTCATTTCAAGATCGAAGCTAATAAACGATGTCTTGGGCAGCAATTCTTTGATTTCAGCTAATTTTTCTTCAAAATTAATTTTTGTAACATCAATAATGGAAGGAGATTTCTTTGTGAGGGCTGTAGTTACAGGTTTAATACATTGAGCCGATTCCGAAGTGATGGCTAGCGCCTTATCTTCATCATCATTAGTTCCTACTATATCAGCATTTGAATCAGAGGATGATACTGTAATTGTATTTTCCACTCCTGATGATGATGGAGTTGAATTATCTTCTTCCGCGGAAACAGCAGGAGTTGGTGTTGAAGTTTCCAATTCATCGGTTTTATCAATTTCGTTATTGCCAGAATTTAAGTCTTGCTTTGATGATGCAAAGGGATGTTCGACCAATCCGTCATATGATGATGAGCCTTGCTGTTCTTGTTGTTCCGTGCTCTCATCCATCATTTTATTATCGTCTTCGTTTAATGGCATTTTTTCAATCAACAACGAATGCGACTTCATTTCGACAAAAAGAATAATCATTTAACATCTCTAATCATACAGTGATTTGGTGGTTTCATAGATATCATCTTGATGAAATTATTCATTGTCAAGAAAAAATTGGTTTTTCAAAAGTTCAATGTGTTTGTTGATTTTTTGAGTGCAGGAGTTCAAAAAAAATTCAAACGCTAATCATCACCTCTGCCATCACTTCAAATCACTTCTAAATTTTCATCCCCACAATATAACTCAACAACATGGTCAACACCAAGAGGCTCCTAAAGGAGATTGAAACAAAAAAGAAGATCACCGATGTGAAATTCTTTAAAGACGATGATAAGAGTAGCAAATCTCGGGATACAAACACATTCAACAGCAGTAACATGAATATAGCCTCTAAAAACTATGGTGTTCTTGTCTATGATTTGGAAGGTAAAAAATCTCTCTCGGAGATTGTTCAAAACTCCAAACTCAAAGCAAAATACAATAGTGAGGCCAAAAATTATTTCAATTTAATTGATGACTTGGAATTTCCGACAGCATGTAACAATATTTGTTTAGCTGCAGATGAGAATCACTTGTGGGCTTCTGGTATTTATAAACCACAAGTGAGATGTTTTACTTTGGATGATTTAACCATGAAATTTAAGAGACATGTGGATTATGAAATTCTTAAATTGTGTCCACTTACTTCAGATTACAAAAAGATGGCAACTTTGTGTGTAGATCGATATATTGAAATTCATGCTCAATGGGGAAGCTATTATCGATTTAGAATTCCAAAATATGGGCGAGACATTACATATCATGATTATAGTGCAGAGCTGGTCATGGTAGGATCAAGTAATGAAATTTATCGATTCAATCTTGAACAAGGAATGTTTAGGAAACCAACTCTTAGCTACTCGAATGCAGAAGCTATTAACACTGTGAAAATTAATCCTGTTCATCAACTTTTTGGTCTTGGATGTGATAATGGATTTGTGGAATGCATGGATCCTCGCTCTAAGAAAATTATTGGATGTATTGATGCCCATGACTCTATTAACACCATGCTTGGATCTGCTTCTTCGTGGGATTCTTCTTCGCGAGCTGTGACAGCATTCGAATTTGATAGTGATGGAATTGGTTTTGCTGTTGGTACACACTCTGGAAAGGTTGGACTCTTTGATTTGCGAAAGAAAGGTGCTGTTTTTGTAAAGGACCACCATACTGATTTACCAATCGTTAAAATTGCATATCACGACACTTCAAAGAATATTTTCTCAGCAGACACTCAAGTGGTGAAAATTTGGGACAAATCCAATGGAAACAATTATACCAATTTGGAACTCACAGCCAAGATTAACGATTTTTGTATCATTCCACACAGTGGTATGGTATTAGTGGGAGGAGAACGTTCCAAGATCAAACCTTTCTATATTCCAAGTTTAGGTCCTGCTCCAAAATGGTGTGCATTTGTCGACCAAATTACAGAAGAACTCGAAGATTTCAAGAAGAATACTGTCTATCAAGATTTCAAATTCCTTACATTGGAAGAAGTTCAAGAGTATGTTTTTATTTCTTTAACGTTATTCACAGATTTAACCTCATGCCAATTTATTTGTTGCATTTCACACTGCATCATTATGAACTTGAAACAGTCTTGGCTTGGAAGATTTATTTGGAACAGATCTATTACGGCCCTACATGCATGGTTTCTTCATTAAGATGTCTCTGTACCGAAGAGCTCTCGAGTATAGTGACCAAAAATCAGATCAAATTTCTGCTTCAGAAATTCTCACTCCCGGTCAAGTGGATAGCATGTCTGAAGAGAGACTCAAAGAAGAACGTGTGAAGGCTCTTGTCGACTTTATTACGCAAGAAGATGGCGAACAAGAAACCTCACAACAACAAACAAAGAAACCACAAATTGCTGCTGTCGACGATGACCGATTTAAAGAAATGCTTGACAATCCTGATTTTGCTGTAGAAGTCTCGGAAAAGAAGAAGAAATTCGAGGAGAGAAAAGCCAAAAGAAGAGAAGTATTTGACACCTCGAGTCATAGACGAGACAAAAAGGCAGAACGAGAGCAAGAAGACTCTATTGGAATTTATGGTATTGAGTCTGCTCAATCCCTCAATTACAATGATCATGCTGACTTTTTAGATTTTGGAACTAAGAACAAGAATGAACGAAACATGTCATTCCATTCACGATTAAACCGTAAAGGAGAGAATGAAGAGGCCAATGACAAAGATGATGGAGGTAATAAGAGAAAGAGACGAGGAGGTAGTGGCGATAAAAGATCCAAGCACGTTAAAAAGTACTAATTAGTAGAACCAATAAAAAAGTAGAATTGAAAGTTTTAACTGTTTTACCTAATATCCAAATATGTTCGCCACTTCTTCGTAATCCACACTTCTCTATGATTGTTTGCAGCGTCAAGTTCCATCACAACGTTATTTGTTGTTGTCAACAGAACCCTTATCAAAATTGATGATAACACGATCGTGACAAGTTGACCATCAACGGGCAATCAAAAATCTTCAAAGATCCACTCAAACGATCGCTCTCTCATCAAGTCACTTGCTCTTTTTTCGAGCCGTTGTTTCTAATTTTGAAAGACATGACGTTTTTTACAAATTGATTTTTTCAAACAAATACTTCAAATATTCAAAAAAAAGTCGCTAACTTGTTCTTCGCTCATCTCACAAGAATCGCAAGGAGTTTTCTGTTGCCATTGTTATTATTAGTCATCACCGACGAGTACTCACGCAAAACTCCTATTGCCGTGAATTGTTGTGTTCTTTAAGAATCATCCGTGAAGCAAACAACAACTTGTTCAGATTGATTTTTCAAATTATTATAACCAAATCCGAGCACTCAGCAATACATTCCATGAATCTGTAGTAAAAGGCTCTTTGAAAAACGGAAAATAGACCATCAGCATCCAATAGTAATTTCCTAAATTTTATATACGTACACTACAAACAACAACGTATCAGTTTTTCTTAACGCACTTTGTACTCCTCTTTCCAACCGGTGCTTTCATTTTCGTGGTGTTTGTAGGAAATAGTCCATATATTTTCATTCTTTTCAACTGCGAGTATTAATACTTTGAAGACTCTCTCTTCCATCTTGTAGAAAGCACTAACAATAATCACTATGGTTTTATCCTTCTCCGGCAGCAGCAGCAACGGGATACCCATACCGTCATCCTCTACAACTTCACCCACCTCTCCAAGAGGAATACCTTCCAACACCATCACTTCCTCACCCAACAACAATAACTCTAGCCCAATTCCCATTCCCAACTCGAGTAATTCTCTCTTCACTAAACGAAAAACATCTAATGCCAAATATAAGCCATCCAATCTTAGTATTTCATCAGTGCGGGACGGCAAGGTTTCAAGAACACCCAAACAATTTGAAATTCCGCAAGAATTCTACATGTATTCATCATCAGTGCCGAATCCAACCACTTCACGACCTTCTTCAGTTTCTTCATCATCCATGATGTATGGCATGTCAGCAGATGAGTCATCATCATCCCATCAACAACCTCCTCAACATCATCACCATTCTAGTAAATCTCTCTCGTTTGCTAACATGAACCGTCATCAGCAAGATTTACCATTCTCTCCTCCTTCCACCTCATCAGCCATGATGATCAACACATCAACCATTTCAAGAGGACAACACGGAATGCATTCGGTTTCCTCCTCCTTTTCAAACTCGTCATCTTTATATGCCACTCCTCACTCTGCTTCGTCGTCTGGTTTTCATCATCCTCATCAACACCACCATCACTCATTTTCTCAACAACATTTTCCACCCAGTTCGTTGGGACATAATCACTACACTTCAGGCTATTTCAATCCTCACAGTTATGGTGATAGCAGTAGTGTTTGTTATTCACTGAGCAGTAGTGTGGATTCTACATGTTCGTTTGCAAGTCAATGTTGCAGTCCCAACGGAGGGTCGTTCATTCCCTATGACAAATTAAACAGAAAATTTAGAAAAATTAAACCATTGGGAGAGGGTTCATCGAGCACAGTTTCGCTGGTACAACAAGAGAGCACTGGTCTGCACTTTGCTGAGAAGATTATTGAACATTATGAAGAACGAGAATCCATTGTAAAGAATGAAGTTAAATTTCTGTCCATTTGCAAACCATGTCCAAACGTTGTGACGCTTTATGACTGCTTTCAGAAAGGCAATTCTATACACTTAATTTTAGAATACATGGAAGGAAATTCGATAGATATCATTGCTAAAAAATACAGTAAACTGTCAAGAAAGCAACGACAAGCAATTGAGGAAGATTTGGACGCACCCTTACCAGCACATCTCTCACCAATGACCTATGAAGATTGCGGTGACTCAGAATTAATTACTTATGACGACGATTTGGATGACTTGAATGGAAACGATATCATGGAAGATGAAATGTTTCCCATGACAGATGTGAATAGTAAGGCAGATAAACAATCAAAGAGACATTCTTCCACTCGCAGAAGGCTATTCGCAGAAGATACTACAGATAGCGCTAAAAACAGTGCTAGTGACCGCAGCCGAGGCATTCCTGAAGAGATTCTGGGATTAATGGTTGTTCAAGTTATAAGAGCACTTTGCTTCTTGGATGAACATAACGTGATTCACTCCGACATTAAGCCCAGTAACATTCTTCTAAACAAGAGAGGCGAGGTAAAATTGACAGATTTTGGACTTTCAACCTACGCAGACGTTGCACACAATAGACTAGGATCATTTGCCTACATGAGTCCAGAGAAGTTACAACACGGAAAGCATAGTCACAAATCTGACGTATATTCGTTGGGCGTTTCCATATTGGAATTATCGAAATGCAAATTCCCATTTTCCGAAAGTGGTTTTCACATGCACGAGATTCAAACCCTTGATGTGGAAAAATTTGTTGGAGATTCACATTCATATGATTTTAAAGATTTTGTGAAGAAGTGTATTCAAATTGATCCTTCTTCCAGACTTTGTGCTTCTGAATTATTGCAACACGAATGGATGCAACCTTTCAAGAATTTAGATAATGACATTGTTTGTTCCAAGATTGCAAATTGGTACAATAAATTGTTTGCTTGAAAGGTTTTCCTTAAACTATTCGTTGGTACTTTAATTGAGCTCGTCATGGTTGTTTGAAATTTTAATTATTTTACAATGAATTGGATGGTTAAATTATTGAGGTATGACAACTCAGCAGTTGATTAATAATCATCCTCCCTAACCCATTTGACTAACTTTTTTTCCTGAGCCGAATAATACTTGATGAGTCTAATCTTTTTGCAATGATTGACAATTTGATTTTCGAGTTGAGTGGTGTTCATGGGTTGCCTTATATCAAAAACGTCGAGTTCTCTCAAAGAATTTGAGCGAATGATCATGTTACTGTCAAAAGCTCCATTCGATAAGTTCAATCTTTTCAAATGTTTGAAACTTTCAATGTCCTTCGTGAGCAATTTACACATCGAAGGTCCCATCATGGATTTGTTTCCAGAAAGATCCAAAGTTCTCAAATTCGGAAAAAGAAAATGCCACGAGCAATAATGAAATAAATCATTATCGGCCAAGCTTAATTCACGCAACGAAGAATAATACGGGGCAGTCAATTTTCCATTCTTGTGCATTTCCACAAACATGGATCTCAATTGAAAATACAATTCCTGAATGGTCTCTTGACTCAACTGACAATCAATCAGTTTGAATGACTTTAAATGATTGTTAAATGTGAAAAATGGCAACACCACAAAATGAATGTAATAATTCGCTTGATTCGAGCAATTTGAAAAAGTCACTGATTGTATGTATGGAATGTAGAAATAATTTCGAACTTGATAAAATTGAATTGAAAATCGATGTTTCGATCGAGTCGAGTCCTGTGGAGTGGTCACATCTGAACCATCTTGTTGTTCATTGTCTTCTAAAATGGATATTTCATTCGTGTTGTTGATAGGTTCTTCAATTTTCTTTCGAATTTGAATGGCAATTTGTGAAGAACCAAGAGATTTCGATCTTCTTCGTTGTTGTTGTTGTTGATTACCATTATTATTCATCATTCCAAGCATATTCATTGATTGTTGTTGTTGTTGTTGTTGATATTCATTACTAATTCTTTTCACACTTTTCACAACATGTCTTAAATGTTTTGGTAAATGTGAATGCAATGAAAGAGCATTGGATTGCTGTCTGGAATTCCATACATTTGATTCTTCTGTAAAATCTCCCAATAGTAGTGTTGACGTCTGATTCGCATGATTGCCAAGTAAATGTTCAAATGAATTTGGACTTGCTGTGAGCATGCTTAAAAAATCATCGTCATAGGAAATTCTCAATCTTCGACAAGAAGAGCGAGGTGACAACATGGCATTCATGAGAATTGAGGAAGAAGGTTGTTGTTGTTGTTGAAAGGATGATGAAGAATGTGTGAAAGATTGTGAATGTTCTTGTACTCGAAAAGAACTTGTTGAGCTCAATAATTGTGAATTGGATGATGGATGAATAGGATTGGATGAGTTGGCATGTGACGTCGTGAAAATGCTACGATTCGTATTGGTTGTGTTCTGAGAGTAATGATGGTCATGTCCTGTTCGATCATGACTCGGCGAATTCCAATCTTGTTGAGTATTCGTATTATTATGAGTATTCGTATTAATATTAGTATTGCTATTATTCAAAAATATGGAATTATAACTCGCACTCGAATAATCTCTATAAAACGAATTATATAGAGCCAACATTTGATCAAATCCAATAAATTTCAAATGAGCATAAAAATCAAAAAGAAACAATCTCTGATTTCTTTCCTTTTCAAAAACTCCAAATAATTTTGACATGACATTATGTAATGAAAATGGAATGGATTTTGTGAGAGAGGCAGAAGAAGGTGAAATGGAACGTTTGTGAAGAGAGGCAGAAGAGGAGGATTTTTTTACAGGATGGAGAGTGGAAGAGGTATCATTGGAAGAAGATATGGTCGAATGGTTGGTAGCATTGGTGCTGGATGAGAAGACGGTGAAGGGTGAGGTAGTGTCACTTGTCAATTCTTTTAAGTTAGACATGCTACTTGCTGTTTCTTCATAGAGTAACATTTTTTCATATAGATCACTGTAATGTGCTGTTTCAATTAATTTCTTCGAATAGAAAATAATTTCTGGGAATTTAATAAATGTTAAAATGTATAAAATAACATCAAATGGTAATTTCTTAAAATCATCAAAATCTATATATTCGGAATATAATTTGTTGTAGACTGTAATCATGTTTTTTGTCGGAGCAACAAACATTCCATGATCGTAGTAATAGATGTGTTGCATTTTTTTAATTGTCGACGTGAGGCAGTTCTAATTTGGAAGGCAACAGCTGAAGAATGCCAAATGTCAAAAATGTCATTCTCAAAAGAGAACCTTTGAAGTCATGAGAACCAAGAGAACCAATTGAAAGTTAACCTTCAGAATTGTGGGCATCATCTTTTTGATTGCAATTAATATCTTGTTTGAGGTCTCATTCTTCGTCATCTTCCTTCACGTTTCTAATTCGAATTCAATTCAACAAATATAAATATTAATAATCATAAACAAAAATCTCATCATCACGCAAGCGAAACAACAACAGGTGATGGCTTTGAAAAATGATGCAAGCCACACGTAAGAATTTTGAATCCGAAGAGTTATTGGATGATGAGCTTTCATCATCTTCCCACACAACCTCTTCCGAAATTCATTTCAATGAACCAAATTTGGATTCATCCTCGAATAGGATAATTACATCATCATTATTGGTGAATCATCATCACAGTGATGATACTAACAATTTCAATAATAACATTGAAAATTCAAAGCATGGAGAGATCAATCAAATCATCAATGCTAATATTAATTTAAATCATTCCGTTTCATTCCGAATGGATCTACCATCCCACCATAACAGTAGTTCAAACCAAGAAGGAATTCAATTTGATGAAACGTCCAACACCAACAACACATTGAAACAACAAGCGTTGAAACAACAGGAAGCTTACGGAAAAGTAACTTCTGGTTCTTCGGATGAACCTACCAACAATAAGAAGAATCAACCATCATCATCACTTCAACAACAACAACCTATTTATTGGATTCCCATGCATAAACCCTCGTTATTGGAAGAACCCAATCAACAACTCCAAAATATTATTAGCCCCTCTCTAGAAGATGATTCCTTCTTGATGATAGACGTCAACGAGAGAGGAGATTTATATACGAGCCAGACCTTTCTCGATTCGAATGGAGTGAGGCACGATGAAGAAATTCGTAAACATCGGTTATATCCGAGTATGATTCCGAGTGGAGAGGGATTTGCTGGATCTCTCCCAAAGTACTCGGTCTGTTTGGATTTGGATCAAGTGGCTAAAGAGATGGGAAGTGATATTCAGGTGGATGTGAGCTCGTTTGTGAATGCTCCAAATTCGACAGCGACCACTCCAAATGTCATGGATTCAAGTAATAATATCAAGGATCAGAATCATGAGGTCAATGCAATGACCATGTATCCCTTGTTAATTTCAGCAGTAGATTCCGATTCCTTGTTTGGAAACGCCATTGGTAGTCAATTAGTGAAACGGAGTGGGGGCGATGCTAGCAGCAGCGGTAGTAATTTAGGACAAGCTCTGGCAGCATCAGCGTCCACAACAACAACAACCATTATGGCCACTTCAGTTGATTTAATTCCATTATTACAGCCACAAATTGAATTAGGATATTTAAACAATTTATTATTGAATGAATCGGCGGTATTGGACAGGATGGGAAAAAGACAAATTGAATTTCATCATGATTTTTATGTTTTGTGTTATGAATATTATAATTCGTTTTGCAAGGTGAAGAAACTGAAAGACTCACTCGCTCAATTAGTATCGGAACAGAAAGGATTACAGAAGTCTCTATTTACATTCTCTACTAAAACTTTTCAGTCACCAACCTGTCAATGTGGTGATGGCTATCAATTGGTGGGATCTGTGACGGCTCTCAATGCTACGCCAAACAAACATGTGATTGAAGCTTTACACAAAAATTTTGCACAAATCCGAAGATTGTACCATGACAATGTTGTGGAGGCAAATTTATTGAACAAGTATGCGAACATTCGAATTAGTCATTATTTAGATGAACTTATTTCCAGCTCTAATTTATTTAATGTGCAAACACCCATTGTGCTGACATTGCAACACAATACGCGATCAGAACATGACAACGAAGTTGCTGAAAGATTGAAAACCTGCATTCAGATCTTGTTCTTTTTTGAGCAGGTTACACACGGTATGGCATCCATTGTGACGCCTTTAGGATGCACAGAATTGGAGTCCTCACTCGACGAGACGATGAAAGAACTCAAGTCGTTTAGGAACGATATACGGAATTGGATTTCATGGTGTGTCACACAACTCATCAAAATTGCCACCATTGAAGACAATCGATTTATTATTTTTGAGATTGTGAAATGTAGACATGTGGGTTCTTGGGCTGCATTTATGCTCCAATTTCCAATCATTGATTCCGACAGCAGCGTTGATCAATTTCTTGCCTTTTTCTCACTCTTCCTAACCCCTACGTATATCAAAGAAAATGAACTCATTCTTACTGAGGATGATTATTTAAGCCTGTGGCAACAGCTACGATTATTTGAAAGTATGGATTATATATTATCAGGATGCACACAACAATTTTTCAAGGAAAAACAATCTTCCTATTTCACATCCCTCTCGCGAGCATTCTCCTTCATTGATACTGTTCTCTATATTCTATACCAGGCCTTAATTAATTTTAGCAAGTCACCTTCTCATTCCTCCTTTACTCGAATGCTCTCACAAAACATGGCGCGGCTTGTCCAGATGGCTTCTAATTCTATAAGTCAATTAGAAGGAGTGAGCACTGAAGACATTGAGTATTTATTTAACAGTTTTTATGTGAAGGTATGTGACAAGTGTATTTTACAAACATATTATGGACACCCTAAATTCACGTTACGATTCTTGATCGAATTTTACTTCATGTATAGTGTTTTAAGGGACTTCTTTCTTCAACTTCAAACTTGTGGTCCTTCCTTTCCGAATTACCATATGAAATAATTTCTGAAGCCTGTGCATGTTCCATATTTTGGATCATGTTTAGAGACGAGAAAACTGTAGATATGAACATTTCGTATGACGTTTTGCGCGATCTTGATTTGTGGACGCACAAGTTGAATGAAAACAAAACATTGAGAAACAACTTTATCACAATGTTCCAACAGAAAGAATGTGGATACTTGTTCCCAGTGTTGTCTCGTTTGGGTTGTTCTCATTCATTTGGTCTTGCTTCAATAATTGTTCATGAGTTATTCCTGATAGGATGTAAGTTATCCATTGTTGTATCATAACTGTGTACCAAGATTGTGAAATTTGTTTAAATTACGCCGCAATGACTAGTTATTAATGATACATCACGAGATACGTACTTTAGAGATGCTACAAAGAATATTGTTCTTATTTGTGAAGCTCATCCACGATTAGTGTCTCTTGTATTGGCACTTGTCACAAAATATTTAAAATTTGTAGATCGGTATTCCCTAACTATCTTCAAGCAGTTGCCATTAAAGAGCTGGAAGATCACCAAAGACAAGGATTTGTCTCTCATTGAAGAGCTTATTCTCAAACCAATGACCAGCACAGAACATGAATTGGCTCGATTTATTATTGAAAATCTTCCTTGGAGTGACGATATCAAAAATGTACTTCTACCTTTAGAGGTACAACAAAGATTGATGCTTCTCGTTGCAAAAGCTGTTTCCTTTCATCGAAAGGACTCACAATACTCGTTTATTAGAAAAGATCCTTGGAATGAACTTGAGGAATGGGGCTACTCTATTTTACAACGAGTGAAACTCTATGATGAGATTCAAACACCTCTTGTGACCATTCATCCAACTGACCATCCAACTCTAAGTGGTCTCTTACACAGCGTCGAGTCATCCAAGAAGAATATTGATGGAGTCAGCGCATATACCATACTGTCTCTAAGTGATGTTGGAACTTCTGTACAACGATTTAATGAAATTGCTAAGGGTTGGCTCGAATTAATGATCAACACCAAACCAAACAGAAGAGCTCTCAGAATCATGCTTGAATTGAGCGTGAGATTCTGTGATAGCGCAAAGAATTCCACTACCGATGTCTCGTCCCCTAACTATCTCACATTTCAACCACACCTCGATAATATTCTCAATTTAGATACGAACAAATCATTTCTTGGAAGATTGGTTAACTCAGAAAGGGCTATTGGAGAGTATACATGCATTGTATCCACAGGAATTTGTAACTTCATTGAAAAGCTTTTTGAGGCGCACAAACTTTCAACTCTGAAAAGTTTTGTAGCTTTTTGGGTGAATGAATTTATCAAAGTGAGCTCCTGGACTACCAATACTTGTTGCATGTACATTCTTAATTCCATTTGCAAGACTGTGCTACAACTGAACCTCGTTGGTCAAACAGGTCTTCCTAGTTACTTGTCTCAACTTGACGCCATGGAAAATTTTGGACTCTTCCCCACTGGTCTCTTTGGATCTGCAACTACAATTGTTCATGCTCCTTTCTTTTCCAAAGACATACGACCACAAACACAATATCCTCATCTTTCATTGTTTTATTTACTGGGAATTGCATCTCAGGAATTTCACAAAAGACAGCAAATTGCCAATTTAACCCTCTCCAGCAATTTTCAAGCTGCCTCCAAAACATTTGATCCTGTACGGTTCTCAATTTATAGAATATTGTGCTATTGCATTGGTTTATCCGATATCATAGTGGATCCTAACACGCCCTTGCCGAACGCGCAAGAAATTCATGCCTGCCTTCCTATCTATTGGCAACTCTTCTTTTATTTATATTTCGAAAAACAACTCACATCTGCAAACATGGTCAGATTCTTTGGCTATCAGTTCTTAGATATTCCGAACAAGGAAAAGATAATGTCACAAATTATAGAAAAGTTAGAGAACCTCAAAGCCTTTTATGGAAGAAATACTTCTATTTCCAATAACGCTGCTACTTCCATTGAGCTTTATCATGCCATGGTGATTTGGATGAACTCTACTAAGGACTCTTTTTACACTTTGATTAACATGATCATGAATCAAAATACAGATACAATGGGCAGCACAATACAGCCATATTTTCTACCAAGCAAATTAGTGAGCGTTATGAATGAAGATGTATCGAAAGATTGCTCCTTGCTGTGGTATGATTGTGTCGATAGCTCTGTACTTCGTATCATCCAGGGATCACAAGTTTCACAATATCTTTCTCTGATTTATCCAAATTTGAATCCTTCACAAAAGTTACTCACGAGGAAGAGTACTCGTTCGTTGATTTTCAACAATAGCAAAGTGGACCTCGCATACCTGACAAAGAAAGAGAAAGAAACGATGAAACTAATTCCATTGTTGCAGTCCTTCTATGTGAACTATTTGAAGAAAGGTTTTGTAGTGAATATTGCTGATATTGATCCAAGTATCATTCGAAACTATACAAGCAAATATTCGACCAATAAGGAAACTCATATTAATGCTGATACCGAATTTGTAACACTCTTTCCTCGAATGTATGACAATGTTCGAAAACAAAAGGTTTTGGAATTGAGATGTTATAAGGGCATATTTTGTAAATGGCCTGGAAAAGTTCTATTCTTTTATGATGAATCAGAGGAGAACAAGGCCATCACACAGCGAGTTGCAAACAATAGAGCCCATCTGTACAAAATCTTAGAATCTGATTACGTTGAGCCATATTTGTGTGACTTGCTCCTTCGATTAGACATCACTCTGAGAAATGTTGAAAGCCAACAATTAGGAAGCTCCATCTTTTACCATCTTTTGCATTACTATCAAGCGATTTGCAACATGTTTCCACCTTTTCAAAATAGTTTGGAGAGAATTCTAAAGAGCTATGCTGAAAAGTATATTCGAGACCAACCCCATGAAATGATGGCTCTTATGAGCACCATAATGATAGACCCAGCTCGAACTGCTCTTCTTTCCTCGTTTTTCAATCCAATGCTTTCTCCTGAATTGTGGTCAAGTTATTTGAAAAATCTCTACATTGAGAAGCGAAAAATGTTGTCAGGTAACATGATGTTACTTTATTCAACATTTAATGTGGACGAATGGTTAAAGAATGATTGTAGTTTAGAGTCAAGACAAGCAGTGATCGATCATTGTATTGAAGCTCTTATCATGTATAGGCATGACATGACTGCTAAGGGAGTATTGTCACGCACGGGTGAGCAGGAGATTTTCAACTTTTATCTTCATCTCATTCCTAAATGTGTGAACCATCAGTTTTCTGAGTTCTACATTTACTCTGTTCGAAAATTACTGCAATTCATTGCTGATTTGCCAAGCGAAATGATTAGCACCTTCAATCAGATGGTTTTCCTTGAGGCCTCCAATGATGATGTTCTTAGAGAGCACATTGATATCACTCGAGAGTACTTATGGAAATCAAGAAAAGTTGGTAACCCTGTGTATTCTGTAGTGCCAGCTCCAAATGTGAAAGAACTTGTGGTCATGATTGAACGTATTATTTGCTCATGCAATTCTGCATCTCCTCTTGTGGTTGAAAGTCAACAAATATTCGAAATTATTTGTAAGGTTTTTGAACCTTTAATTTTCCCAGTGCCCACAAATTCCATTTCACAATCCACTTCGTCTCTTGGCTCAGGGCATTTCATTTCTCCATGGATGGACAAGGATCATGCCACTGCATCATTCGTGGTTGCATCATTTGTGAAATGTATCAAATTTGTGCTGCAATTCAACAAGGACATTTTAAATCATGTGTGGAATTTGTATTCCAAGTTTATATTTCCAAACATGGAAACAAGTTGTGTCAATATTTATAATCAAGAGCTTACACAAATTGATTGGTCAACGTGGAGTGTCATTAATTTTGATCAGATCGCTCAACTCAGAGAAATATTGGACGAGCCTGTGAAAAGATCTCTCAGCTCCAACGCTTCAACACACAGACTGTTTATCAAATCAATCATCACTTCCATACCATGGATGATCATTGTCGACAGAATTGTAAAGTGTGGCATTGGAAAGGATTTGACAAGTAGATTTTATTCAGACATGCTTTGTTTATTTGCTTCAGCTCTTCTCAAAATGACTTCTTCACAACAAATCGATGATACGCTTCTCAATCTTGCAGATACCACTCTAACCATGAATATTGAATGGAATAGAATGAATGTTGAACATTTCCAAATGGCCTTGAAACAATACAGTAAGAATTTTATGGATATTAAGGAGTATGCTTACAAGTTGTCAAACAAACATCTTGAGATTGCATTCAGATTTTTGGAACAAGCATGTATCAGCAATCATTCTGGTCATATGGACGCCTCTATCATACATAATACTCATGCCAGTCATGTTGTTGACCATGTCACCTACGAATCTTCCTCACATTATCCATTGTATGAGGAATCCATTGAAAATCCAAATACTACAGCTGCCAGCACAAAACCTCTCATTCTCTACTACATTGATTTTGTCATTAGTACAATTAGCTATGTGTTGACGACACGCACACAACAATCCACATCAAATGCATCTATTATTGAGACCTACTTTTTGGGAGACATTACAAAACCATTTGTTTGGATCATGAATGAGATTGTCTCTCAAAATGACTTTAATACCATTATTGAACAACTACTTCAATTGTTAACATTTTGCAATCATCCATACCCTGAATTTGACAACATTTTCCAATTCCTCATTTCCAAGCTCTTTGAACATCCGCAACAAGTTGCACTTCCGCTTTTCATTGCAGCCCAGTCCGTCAAGAATTATTCCAAATGCGTCTTGTTGATGGAATTTGCCATGAGAGCTTACTTGGGAACAAAACCAATGTCTCCATGGAATGAACTTATTTCAAACTTGTGGTTACCTCCCAATGAAACTCTCATTCGTCAATTTTCATCAGCGTGCATTGAAAAGGGTTGTTCTTTAACTTTCTTTGTTCACAATTTGAAGCGATTAATGGTTGAGAGAGGATCCATGATGATTAATTTCGAAAAACTGGTTGGAGAATATATTTTAAATTCGAATATATTTTGTAAGGATCAAATAGATCTCATACAAGTCATCAATGGAGGCAATTACAGTGATGCATCCCATTTGAAATCAGAACTCTATCTCATTCCTGTGTGGTCACTCTACATTAATTTATTGATGGAAAATAGACCTTCTCATTTGGTACTTGTTGGAGACAATACTTCTTCCGTCATGATGATGTATCCTCAATTGCAACAACAGCAGTACATTAATGCATTTTCACAGAGTAAGAGTGTCTTGTCCACACTTTGTTACTTGGATTCACTAATTGATAGAAGCGCTTTTATTGCTCCTCCACAACAGTTTTATGCTGGGTTTGAAGGAATTCTTGCATTCACAAATTTACTCCTCACCATTAGTGAAGATCGAAGCACGGAAAGTGCTCTTTCAAAAGTTGTCTCCTTCTTCTCGAAAAAGAATACTCTGGAAGCGTACCATGAAGATTTCAAAACATTTGCAAGAGCTTTGGGAGTGTTTTTATTGCGTCACACTGCAAAATTCCATCCTGATGATCAGAAAGCAACCAAAGAATATCAAAAACTGAAAAATGTGTTGGACAAGAAATTAACAAAAACGAATTTGGATGCAAAGGAGAAGCGATGTCTTGAAATTTTAAATCGATATCTATCAAGTGAAAATTATGGAGAGATGAACTTTTTAATGGGGTTACAATCGTTGATGTTCGAATTGTTGAATGTCATGTTTGACACAAAGCAAATTACTGTGTTTCCTTATTTTTGATCCATCTCGTGATTCCTGCTGATATTGTTTCCTCAAAGGTTGATCTTTGTGACACATGCGGATGTACATGGACTGAACCAGCTCTACCGCGATAGTTTTCTGATTCACCAGCTTTTCAATATTCATGTTGGAATTCTTGTCCAATGATGATTGTAGAGTTATCCATCGACATAAACATACTCATATTCCAGCACGAGTGAAAATTGAACTTTTGACATGCTGAACAAATGATCATTCTTGGCCATGAAATCTTCATTACTTGTAACAGACCAACTTGTTGTTATATGTTTCAAATGTTAACAATACTCCATTCGAAAATGCAAAGTGATTATAGTACTGAGAACCATTCATGGCTTTTTGTGAAATAATATTGAACTCTCTGGAAGCAAAGTACAGCGTATCAAGGCCACAAAAAAGATATCCATTTGAAATTGGTTCGTGCATGATTGGTCCCATCAGATACACTTGTAATTGGATGGCTTTCACATACTGTAAATTTCGTGTGAAAAATTTGAGAAGGGGAACGTCATTCCTTCCATAACAAAAAACAACCAAGTGATCATCCCTGTCCAAAGATAATTGCGAAAACCATTTCACGGAGGTTTTAAATGGTTTTCTACAACCAGTTCCCATCTTTTCTAAAACTTGACCAGTTTCATTACATATCACATAAATTTGTGATGCTGTTGTTTCTCCTACATAAATGATTCCTCGACTATCCATAACTGGAGTAAGAAACTTTTTACAAATATGAGAATGCTTGTTCAATACTGTTTCCCATTTCAATGATCCATCACTGACGCTCATTTTCATCAATTTCATTCGATATTGACCTTCATACATTAAAACAAGACAGTAAGAGTGATCGGTTGAGCATAACACGGCACTGTCAACAGTCCTAAGACAATTACAATGGCTGAGTGGATATTTCAATGTTTTGATTATTTTGAAAGGATGATGATTCATATCATAAATTTGAATTCTATCATCCGACAAGTTTATAAAATATTCATTCCGATCATCGACAAGAATGGCTTTAGATTGTTGTCTTGCATTTTCTATCGTTTCAAACGTATGAGAATCAATTTGAGTGAATTCTCCAGAAAATCCTTTGGAATTCTTCCCAAACGGTTTTTCATCTTCAGGATCGTTCACAATCTCTACTGTGGCCATTTTTTTTCGCGATAGATTTCTTTACAAAATTAAAAAGTCACACGCGTTAAAAATAATGAACAACAACAACACTTACTCGGAGATCACACCATACTCCATCAATGATAACAATGATTGAACTCTATACATTGTCAAACACAAACCGATCATTAATAACAACAATAATGGATAATGACAATTTATCTACCTTGAAGTCGAACTATAAATTGACTCATCATCATCTTCGATGTCAGTATTGTTATGATTTGTTTCTTTTTCTTTGAGGAAGATGCGAGCGATTCCACAAAGCTCTCTTGTTATGAACATTTGTTTGACATCATCTTCAGTCATAATCTTGTTTTTACGTGAAATCTTTGGTTTGGATTATCATTTTCGGGTTGCATTCGGAAAGAAATCACTGCTTTGATGATGGATTTTGGAAGTGCAAATGACATGATCTCTTCATCATCAAATAAAAGTTAGAACAAACAATGCTTCTGATAGCATTTTCTTCAAAAATACGAATTACTGAATTGATGTCTGATGGTGTGAATTTTATATCGGTAAGAAGATAGTCATAGAGAAGATGAAGATCAGAATTCGTTTCGTGGGTGTAAGTTGATGTGGATTGGTTGTCTAGCTCCACATTTGAATTCATTTCGTTCAAGGATAACATGCCAAGGCTTGTCCGGAATTGTTGTTGTTGCTTTGCATTTTTATTTTTAACAATTTTTCTCGTTTTAAAGCCAAAAACATCCGGATTCTGGAGGATTCTGGATTTCCACAAAGTTTGGGAAGTCAGCAGGAGCTGGCAGCCGTCCTTTTCGGCTGTTTGCTGCGGCTGCAGGTTTGAAAGGGCCCTCATTCAACCAAATGGGGCTCAGGAGGTGCCGAAAGAATTGGAAGATTGTGTTGCGCGTATGACAAGTTGCAATCGAAGTGGTTTTAACCAGCATACAATGAAGCATTGTCGACACAATACAACAACAAGCAAATTACGAACAATGAACACCGTGATACACAAGCTTTGAAGGTTCCAAGGTCAAGCTTTACTCCATTCTTAGAGACATTTTTTGGATCCTTTATATTCAATCAGTTGCAAAATTATGCAGGCCCTCTTCCGAACCAATGATGCCCTTTTGAGAGATTCAATACGAACCAATGATGCCATTTCCTAGGACTCATCAGACTCTTCATCAGAAGAAGTATCACTGTATTCATCACCCACCCGCTCGTAATCGTGATCCGTTCCATACTTCTGCCCCTCACGGCTTGTTATTGAGTAGTCCCTTATTTTCAAGTTTCATCGGTTGTTGTTGTTGTTGCTGCCATTTATTAGTCCCTTATTATCATGTTTCATCCAAATATTGTTGTTCTCACGAGTTGCAAATGTTCTGCATGTACTATTTGTATTTTGCCAAAAATCGTTATGCAATTCCGGGCGGATCTGCCTAAAGCTTTACAAGGCATACACCTCTCGGTTGGAATTGAGGCAAGAGTTGTTGTGCAATAAAGTACATAAACAAAAGCACTCAAATGATGCATCAAGAAACGTTGACCCTCGCCAACTCGCCAACAAACTCGCTGGAGTATTTTGGCTCGGGTTAAACCACTGTGTGTCACTCTTAATTTCGTAAAGATTGGGTGTCTTAATTTTGTAAAGAAATAAAGCTCGATGTGGAACTCGGAACTGTTCTCTTCTTCTGTTAAAAAAGAAAATTTGATCATGAAATAATAATGTAAAATAATATTGGTGTGGTGGGCACAATTTTATTGTTCTTCCTGATGATTACTTTCCATCGCTGGTGGTTGATAATTTTCATCTTGAGCAAGTAATAATTCATCATCCGATTCCGATTCACTTTCTTCATCGTCTTGCAATACTTGAATTTCACTTTCTTGTTGGAATACATATTCACCCGTATTCTTTCTCTCACTCTTGAGTCTCTTCAAACGTCTCTTACCCTTTCGAATGTAAACTCGAGTCAGTGTTTTCATTCGTTCAACTGCTTGAGGATCTCTGAAAAGTAAACCAATGAAACATAATACGAGGAAGATGATGGAAATGCAAATTAAAATGACAGGAGAAAGGAAGTAAGCTCTATAGGAGAATCCGAAATTATCCAATGCTGTTTGAACACTTTGATTACTCTCTTGATATTTTCGAATTTCAACCGTGTACATTAATTCAACACCCCATCGGACAGGTGACAAGCAAATCAAGATCAATGAATACCATTCCTTGGTCATTAAACGAACGGTTGGTTGAACACCTCCAAGAAGTGCTGACAATAAAATGTAAATCACACCAACAAATTCAGCATGAGTTCTTTGAACAAACACTGAAATGAAATATCCCAAAGTGCTGAACACAATTTCATATAAAAGGAAGAGACCATAATAAGTGTAAAATTCAGCTTCAGGATTCACCAAAATATACCAAAAGGTGACAAAGACCAATGGATAAATCAAGAGTGATGGAATTTCACCTGTCAATTTTCCTAAAAAGTAACTCATCTTGTTAATACCATTCTCTGCTTCACGTCGATACAAATCCTTATCAGCTCCAAAACATTTCAATGACGATTGCATGGCTGCAATAGCAATGGCAGATACTGTAATGATACTCATTGGAGCAATTCGATCAACTCTTGGCAATGAACATTGATTACTAATAAAGGTAGGACATAATTTTTGAAGAGTGTCACTCATTGGTCCTTGGAAATCCATATTGAAATAAAAGGCACCAATAATTGTAGCCAAAATGAAATGGAAAAAGAAATCAAAGAACACTCCCTTGTAGTGACGAGTTAATTGAAGCAATGCACGAAGTGAGAACAATAAATATTGACCCAAGAATCCAATGGGTTTTCGTTGACGTTCACGAGCAACTTCACTATTGACAAGAACTTGTTGTGGATCAATGACTTGAGCACCGACTTCTTCTTCATCATGTTGTTGTTGCTGTTGTTGATCCTCTTGTGAACGATCGACATCCTTTCCTGCTCTTGATTTGGCCCATTTCTTTGAATTTTCTTCCTTCTTCAAATCCCACAAGTGCAACAAACGTTCAGGTTCAAAGTTTGGATCACCAGGTCGTTCAACATTACCCAAACAAACATCAATAAAGAAATCAGGAGGATTGGCATAGTTTGGACATTTGAATCCAATTTCTTCAAAGAATCGAAGAGCATCTTTGGTTGGACCATTATAAACGACACTTCCAGTTTTGCCCAAAATGACACAATCGTCAAAGAGTTGGAAAATGTCATTTCTTGGACGATGCATGGTCACAACGACAGTAGTACCAGAGTCAGCAGCTGTTTTGAGTGCCTTACAAAGGAATTTCTTTCTTTCGAGAGAAATTTCATCAAATGGATTTTCAATAAAGAGACACACTGGATCAGAGACCATTTCAACTGCCAAATTGACAAAAACTCTCAAATCTTCATCGAGACCATGTTTCTTTGTAGAACCAATTGAATCATACATAAAGTTTTCAATTCCCAAAACTTTACAAGTCCTTTCCACACGTCTTCCAACTTGACTATACGTGTAGTGAGATGGCAAACGAGCATGACCTGAGAATCTCAATAATTCATGAACCTTCAACTCCTTAGCCATGTTCAATTGTTTTGGAGCCAATGAAATGACATTTCTAAATTCATGAGGATCCTTCAATTGTTCATTGACCATAATTTTACCATGAACGAAACCAAAATGATGACGACCAGCGAGTGTGTAAAGTAATGCAAGTGATGCCTCATCATTCACACCAATGATACAAGTCGTACGTCCGTGATAGATGCGACCATTGGCTCCTTCGAAAATGACTTCTTCACTCTTCTTTCTCACATACGATAAATCCTCAAAAGCATAATCAATGGTAAAATTCTTCTTTGTGAAGGGTGGTTCATTCACAATTCCTCCACTCGAATCGTACATGTATGGTTCAGTTCCTTGAATAAAGTTTGCAATATTCAATCCAACCATGGCCAATGCATTTTGTCCTTGAATTTCCTTTTCTTGTTTGATTTTCTTTTGTTTCATCTTCTTCTTCTTGTAAGAGGCAGTAATGCATCGAGCAACAATGAACACCACCAACACGAGAATCACGACCAAGAACATTAAGAGAATACCCAAATAGAAACTTTGTTGTTTCACAGAACCTTGAGCACAATAAGCAAACCATTGACAACGTTTTGGATAGGTCGAACCAGCAGCACAATAGAAACCAGATGGACACAAAATCATGGAACTCGTGGTTGGACAATAATTACCAGCTGTACAAGCTACAGGTTCTTTGGTACCTTCTGGACAATAATAACCATCTTCACACAATACTTTTTGAGTGAGAGATGGACAATAGTAGCCAGGAGGACACAAGTGTTCACCTTCTCCATAAGTTCCGAGAGGACAATATTGTGTCTTGTTTCCAACTTGTTGCAAACATGGAGTTGGTGTCACAGTATAAGTATTACTACAATAATTGAGAGCAGGACAAGCATTGACAATAAAGGCTCCATTCTTGTCTGAACCTTGAGTACCCAATGGACAGTATTGACCACTTCGACATGCAAAGAGACTGCTTCTAGCTTCTCGTGTGAAATAACCTGGAGGAACATAGAGTGACATCATGGGATTGACACAAACTTTACCATCGGGACATCTCGTTTCATCAATACTTCCTTCAACTTCACAAGTCTTGCTATAATCTGAAGAAATGGAACATTTCACAGGTGCAGCCAATTGCTCAGCATTACATTTGAATCCAATTGGACAAATTCTTCTTCGTCCATCTTTAGTATCTGGACAGTAATAACCCTTTTCACATTTATAGGTAATAGTAGGACGAATTACGTGATTTCCAGGAGAAACTGAGACTATAGGAGCACTCGTAGTAATTGACTGTGTCACCATATCTCCTGAATCGCCATATCTTGGACAATTGAATCCACCATTACACATGGAATAGTATCCAATGAAATCAAAAGCATTATACTTGGTTGGATACTTTTTACAAATTTCTGTAAATGAGCTCAATGCAGAAGGAGGACTTGATGAGGCCAATAATTTGCAAATATCATCCAATCGAGTTCTTCCGTCAATATCAAAGGCCTTTCTTCCCAAAATTGCAAAAACGTGTTGAGCATTACTTGAGACAGCTAAATCAGTGACCTTTGCGTCACTGTACAACACGGATGCAAGAGTATTCACAAATGGAACAGTTATAAAAGTATTCGTATTGGCTGAATTTTGACAGGCCTTCTCTTGGAAGAGATAAACTTCAATACTTTCTCTCATGGCAACAAAGATCACATGATAGAAGGAAGTAGCAGCGTTTTGATCTGCTGTTTTCATGTCTGAACTTCTGAACATTCCAACTGCAATTCGAGATGGAAGTGCTGTGGTTCCACTCAAAGCTTTCATGACGGTTCTTGGACGTTTGATGCAATTACCAGATGATCTATATTGTGGTTCGTTGGATCCATCCCAAACAGTTGGACAGGCATTGGATGTTGTAATACCCAATGCATCGACATCAGTAGTTGTTTCAACATCAATGGAAGCAGCTTCTGGAAGTAAGAATGAAACAATGCCACCATTTGGAGTTCCACTTGAAGAAGCAAACGTAACCACCATCCAAATCATTTGTGACGTTTTCGAATGATCACCATAACATTCAGCAAAACCAGCCACACTATAAATATTTTCACCAGTGACACCATGAGTGTAGACCAGAGTCTTCTTGGAAGCGAGATCAAGTTCTTCAGCAAGTTCCTGATCGTAGAGTTGAATCAAATTAATTTGAGAAGGAGAGGCAATGAAAAGGAGAGGTCGAGAAGCTTTCACAGAATGACAATCTACACTTGTTGTTGTTTCTGTCTTGGTAAAAGTTCCATGTGTGAAACCGTGAATCTTCTTTTCAGTCGTCTTTTCAGAGAAGGTCCATTTTCTCACACTTGTTTTACCAGCTTTCAAAAGTAAAAGTCCACTTGTACTAGCTTTACCATCGGTGGCAGAGATTGGACCAAAAGACATGACCATCATGGTCATTGTGGTTGATGCATCTTTATAAGTAATGGCTTGGAAATCTTGAACCACATCTGAATTGCTCATTAAACTCGACGATCTCAAAGCAATAGATTTTTGATTATCCACAAGAGTCAAGGTACCGTCTCCACTCATACTCAATGAAAAACTATTCAATTTCTGATCAGCTGTGACCACATAAATCAAAGCTTCACTCTTGGAGTTTTTAGCAACAGCCATCAAGGTTGGTCTTTCAATCATCTTTTGAATGGCACTGGTACGAATGGTGGCACTTCCAACGACCTTTTCAGTATCCATGGACAAGGCAAACACATATTGATTGGTCAAGACGATCAAGACTTCACTCAAAGAGTTGGTTCCCATTTCCACAGGTTTCACACCAGTCACGTGATAACAACGAGTGTTCTCTGGTGAAGTTGCAGATTCGTCAACAATTTGTGAAACTGAACCATTGGTAGGATTGAATACCTCTCTCAATACTTTCATATTGTTATCTCCAGAAACATCTTTCATACAAATATAATTGTCATTGGTCAATGAAATTAATTGTTGTTTGTCAGTACCAATGAGTTTCGAGAGACATTTGGATCGATCATCGGCACAATTGAAAATGTCAGAATCTCGGAACGTAATGGGTTGAGAGGATTTGAAATTTTGTTGTGAACACCAAGAAGCAGTAGAAGTCAAAGAAGAACTTGATGAACACAATGAAAAGGATTCTTGTGTTTGTTGTGATAATACTTTTTGACACCAAGCGGGTTGTTGTTGATAGGACAAGTGAGGAGAGAAGAAAAGAAGGGTTGCCAATAACAACACAAAGAAGAGTGGGATCACACTCTTGTGTCGACGTCGTTGTGGTAATTGAGAAGTGTTGTTCATCATGACGCGTAATCGAACTTGTGTGTTCAGTAACAATAATTTGTTGTTGTTCTGTGTGTGTATATTGATTCACAGAGTTCGAGAATGTCAAGTACACACACAACAAATGGAATTTGTAATCGTGTTGTTGTCTATCGGCGATCAGTGAAACTCGATGATGTAACAGAGAGCGCTTGGTGAAAGGGGTTCGGTCAAAACGTCGCGCACAACAAGAATTTTTTTGTTGGTTGAAATGACAGCAACAGACGTCGATCAAATGTCAATAGTGATATGTATTGTGAAATTTGATACAATTAAAGAGATGATCGTAATTTGTTGTTTGTAAATGAATTTTACAACCCCTTGTGTTGGAAACGAACCCCAGTTCCAAGTTGTTGTCAATGATTCAAACCAATGGGATGTTTGAATGCTTCAAAGAATACAATGAATGACGACTCTCTTGTCATCCCCTCTATTCAATTCTAGAATTACTGTATTAAAATGAGTTGTAACTCAAAATTGCACCAATCGCTTCATGAAGGGAAAGAACAAGAAAAAATGTTCAATGACTCCTCATCACCCTCTTCCAATCTTCATCAAGGCAACCACATAAAGACAACTTGTTGTGGTTACCATGATAATGAGGGTGCTACATCTTCTTCATCCTTGCATGGAGTTGAGGGAGACGAATCATTCAATCATCATCGGAATGTACTACTTTCATCGGATCAACAAGAAGCAAGCCTTGATTCAGAGGTTTTTTTACAACAGAATCATTCTGCATCATCTGGTAATCATAATGATGATGATGATGATAGTATGATAAGAAGGGTTTTGAAATTATTGAATTTAACTCCAGAGAGATTTCCGAGCGAAAGGCTTGCTTTGGTTGAATTGAAACATGTGTTTGATATGAATGAGGAACCTTTTGTCATTTTGAACAAGTACCTTCTTGATGACAATATATTTCTTCCCAATAATAACGACGATACTAATAGCAGTAATCAAGTTGAAAATGGTTTGAACAGTCATAGGAATGGAAAGCATGAAAAGATCATTTCAAAGCAAAATTCTGAATATTTACAACAAATTGGAAGAACATTGAGTTATATTTTGAGTCGTGTTTTTAAGGAAAAGAAGTGTTATCATCGAAGAGATTTACCAACAATATGGATTGAAGCTAGGAAATTGTTTTTTGATTATTGCAATGAAATTGATCCATCTTTGGACGACTCGACTGTTCCTGTTGAAAATACGCAAGCATGCAATAACCACAGCAACCACACGAAAACATCGGAATTTATGGATGGATCCCTACCTTGTCATGAGGCTTTGAAATTATCGTCACAATCGCTACTGGATTATTTGCGAGTTGTCAATTTGGAAAATTGCTGGAAATTATATTGTGAGGAATTGTGGTGTCGACTCTACCAATTTACTGACTATGCAAAATTTAGTGAGGTTCCACCTCTAAACACAGCACAAGGCGTCAACCAAGAAACCAAAACACAAAGTGCAAAGTCTTTAGAAGAAATTATGCAATTCATTGAAAATGACTCTAGTGAGACGAACAAGAGCGTTGAAAAGATGAGCAAAAAAGAGATGAAGCGACTGAGAAACAAAATGCTCAAGGATGCTAAAAAACAAAACAAAGCAAGTTCTAGTGATAATAACGCAGAGAATTCTGATGACAAATCTGGTATTTTGCAACAAGATTGGCTCACAAAAAAGAATGGATTCTTCATGCCAAAACAATGTCTCGACAATGTGAGATATTTCGTGTGGGGATATCATCACGCTTTTGAAAGTGATTGGTACATGAAGGACATACTCGATTTACACTTCTCTCAAGGCAGTAATCCATTTTCAAGATACAACAATATTGTTCTACTCGATTTGGATAATGTGGGACAGTCCATCTTCTTGTTGAGAGAAAGAAACTTTGATTATGGCAAAGATTGTCTCATGATTGGAATTGCTGGGCCTAAATATTCCACGTCGCTACGAGTCTCTGAAGAAGTTCTTCGTGAGAGAGAGTCCAGCTTGCATTTTGTTAAAATTAGAATGCTCGAAGAGAATGGTTGTATTGGAATGAACGCTTTTGAAAAGTACTTGTTCGATTTCTATGATAGAGGTTACTTCAAAAAGTATAAGGACGCAGCAGATTACTTGCTAGGTTGCTTGGCAGGAGCGTTGCATCGTGTGACAGACATACGGACAAGAATTTTTATTGTTAGCAAAGATGATGGATTGAGGCACATTCAAAAAAGTTTAATTATTAGAGGCAGACATTCCTATTTGGTGACCTCTCAAGAATCTTTAATGTACACTCTTGATAATTATTTATTTTCAAACTCTGCACAATGGGATCGGTTGAGTCGCGAGATTGAACCAACCTTGACAAAATTTCATTCATATTCTCTCGATGATCTTGCATCGACAATTTCAGAACAAACCTCTAGTCACATTAACAAGAACGAATCGATCGATATTGACGAGTTGAGTGAGTCCAAAGTGAGTGATGAAGAAAAATTGCGGGTCTACAGTAGCACTACTGGAGTTTCGTTCGATCGAGAAGTTCATGAAAAGATTTTGGGCGATTATATTCTGGAATATTACGAAAAACAAAGTGCTGGCACTCCAATTCGGTTAGATTCGATTCGAATTAAGGGAAGACGGTAAGTCGTCAGTATAATGATATTGTAATATTTACAGTATGACCATCTATTTATTTTGATCATAACTTTGATACATGACCTGTGCGACCTGTTTCAATTTTCTGAAACCTTTATTAAAGGTTTTCATATCAAGGATGGCAAGGCATTGGTAAAGTTTTATTCCTTCCTCATGTCGATATTACCATGTTAACAGAAATTGATGTTAGAGGTTGTAGAATTGAAGATGACGGAGCCATTCAACTTTTCGAAGCAGTTAAAAAGTGTCACTGCTTAACATTGATCGATGTTGGAGCATGTTTTTTGACAGACAAGTGTGCTCGTGCCATTGCCAGTTATTTATCGAGCGAGAATTGCTCTCTTCAAACATTGGATCTTCGATGGAACTCTATTGGAGCCAAAGGAGCGAAAACCATCATGGACTCTCTTGAATTCAACACCTCACTCACTGCTATTTCTTTTCGATTGAATCCTATGCAACACGTTGGTGCAAAGTATGTCATACGAAAAGCACTCGAGTATGCTGCAGGTGAGAGATTTGGTATCACTGTCGATGTCAGACAGACCTGTAAGAATGATGACTTGGGTTTTATTTTCCATGACATGTACGAAAATGCTGTCATTGACAATGGTAAAAGAGGACCATTTGCTGCGCCAGTTGTTTTAGATTTGTGTGGCAATGAAATTTATCCAAATGGCAGCGTTCATTTGGCAAATTTTTTGAAAAAGAGTTCTCTCAATAGCGCGCAACTTCATTTCGAAATTACACAACTCATTCTTGACTACAACAATTTAGGAGATCATGGAACTGAAATACTAGCAAAGGTATGTTAATTTACATCTAGGAAGTGAAAAATTTCCAAATCTCAAAATGATATCTTGTCACATTTTTCCCAAATTTTTACTAATTATGATTTGACGCTGCTTGTACATGTCATGACTAATGACAATAGGGACTGATGCACTCCAAGTCAATTCTTGTATTGACTCTAGGAAGAAATTACATCAATGAGAAGGGTGGAATTTGCCTCGCTGAATTCCTAAAAACCAATCATTCACTCACTTACTTGGATTTACAAAAAAACAAGATTGGAGAATTGGGAGGATTTGCCATCGCGAATGCACTTCGACAAAATCAAGTATTAACACATCTCAATTTGAAATCCAATTACATTGGAGATTGGGGAGTTTTGGCATTTGCAAACATGTTCTCTCCATTGAATTACATTTATCAGAGACAGGTCAGCAACATCGATGACACACTCACATCTTCTCAACAACAAGACTACAATTCAACTCTCATTCAATTAGATTTAACAAATAATAGAATGACCAACACGAGTGCCAAATATTTAGCTGAATCTTTGAAAGCGAACTCTTCTCTCTGTAGAGTCAATTTCAGCAACAATCCAGACATGCTCTCAGATTCAATCATTAATCTAGTGAAAGGTTTTTATTCACAACCCACGAGTGAATATCAAGATTTAAATTGTGGTTCATGGTGGCTCGAACTAGCCGATTGTTCTCTCAAAGATAAGGCCATGCAATGTTTGGAGAGGTTTTTACAAAAACCACTTTCACATTTATTCATTAGCGGAAATGTTATGGGTGACGTTGATTATTCACACGAAGTTCGTTCCATCATTCAACAATTTTATCCATACAATGACATTTTTTCTGATAATAATTCCATCATTTTCATGAATAACATGTTTCATCATTTAGCAGAGTCATTGATTTGTGTGGATTTGAGATCATCCTCAATTGGAGATGACGATTTACCATTATTATTTAATGATCAATCCATTCTGCTCGATCGATTGCATTCAAAAAGAAAAGCCTCAAATATTTACTACTTGAATCTTGCAGGAAATAATATTACTCAAAAAGGAGGAGCACTTCTTAAACGAATGCTCCAATACAACACCTCAATCACGTGCTTAATTTTGAATTATAACTCACTGGGCGATGTTGGACTACGAGACATGATCGAAGGCATCGCTGATGGCCAAAACCACACCCTGACAAGTCTTTCCATCCGCAAGAATGACATTACCGATGTTGGAGCATTGTTGATTTCAGAGTACATGAAAAAGCAGAAGGAAAATGCAATGATTGGCTCGTTTGATTTAGAAAGCAATCTCATTACGGATGTGGGCGCCGAGTATTTGAGTGCTGGCATTTCTGATCCTGACTATTCTGCCATTTACTTTTTAAGTGTTGAAAGAAATGCATTGACAGGAACTGGAAACAGGATTCTTCTGCAAAGTGCCTCTCGAAAATTGACCTCAGATACAAATTCAGGCATTTTCCAAACCATTCACTTGAGTGTGTAGGGTCAATGAACCTAGGACCAATAAAGACGTGTTTCCTCACTATTTCAATCCAAAAATGTTTTTATTATGATGTAAAAGACTCTTCCAATCGCCCTGATGACGCAAAATATTACAGACAACGGGACAGTAATAATTTACTGTTGTTAAAATATTCAAACGGAAAATGCATTGAATCATGATGATGCAAGTAAATAGTGTCGATGCAAAATTGTAGTAGTGGTGGTTCATAAATGATGATGGATGGTGTTGTATAAAAAGCAAAGTTTCAAATTGCCACAGCATGATGATGATGGTAATAAATGCCAATTCACATGATGATTTAAAAATTAGAAATTGATTAATTGTCATCACGATGAAGAAAATATTACTTACAGGCCAGATACCCAATTCATTGTAGGAGAGAGTAATCTTGTCAATAGCACTGACATAGGCAGCAGTACGGAGATTGACATTCTTCTCACGAGAAGTCTTGATGATTGTTTGCCAAGCTTCATGGACAGTTCCTTCCAAACCAGAGTAAACAAAGTCTCTCTCGGATGAACCATGAGTGAGTGCTTGATATTCGGATTCCTTCAATTCACGACCAGTCAACAATTGCAAATGACGAACCATGTCCTTCTTGCCCTTCTCTTCAGCCTTCTTTGTCAAACGACCGAATTGAACGTGACCCAAGTTCTTCAACCATTCAAAGTATGAAACAGTAACACCACCAGCATTACAGAACAAGTCTGGAATGATAATGACACCTTGCTTTTCCAAAATTTCGGAAGCACCTGGAGTAGTTGGACCGTTGGCACCTTCAGCAATAATCTTGGCTTGAATCTTGTGAGCATTCTTCAATGAAATTTGACCTTCCAAAGCAGCAGGAATCAAAATATCACAATCACATTCCAAGATTTGTGTAGCATTTTCAATGACAGTCTTGCAACGAGGATAACCCAAGATGGTCTTCTTAGCTTGGACATAGGTCTTGACATCAGTCACGTCCAAACCATTAGGATCATAGACTGCACCATCTCTTTCACCAATACCAACAATGATGGCTCCATTCTCTTCAAAGAATTTGGCAGCATGATAACCAACGTTACCCAAACCTTGAACAACAACTCTCTTTCCTTCAATACCAGTCTTCAAACCAACACTCTTCATCAAATCAGCATCGGAGCAAGCCTCACGAACCGAGTAAAAGACACCCAAACCAGTAGCCTCTGCTCTACCTCTGATACCGTTTTGTGAAACAGGCTTACCAGTAACAACACCAAAAGCATTGATATCATTTGGATGGAAGGTTTGATAAGTGTGAGCAATCCATGACATTTCTCTTGGACCAGTACCATAGTCTGGAGCAGGAACATCGATAGCAGGACCAATCACACCACGTTGAATCAATTCAGCAGCGAAACGACGAGTAACTCTCTCAATTTCCTCAACAGTGTGAGCAGAAGGATCAATACAGATACCTCCCTTTGCACCACCGAATGGAACATCAACACAAGCACACTTGAAAGTCATCAAGGAAGCCAAAGCCATCACTTCATTTCTGTTGACCATCTTATCGTAACGGATACCACCCTTGGTTGGGAGTCTGTGGTGAGAGTGTTGAGCTCTGTATGCACGGATAGTTTCCACGACCTTTCTACCGTTCTTATCAATTCTCTCATGAGGGATGATGAATTCATAGACGCTATCCACCTCCTTGATGAATTGCAAAAGACCAGGTTCATGGAGAGTTGAGTTAGCAGCCTTATCAAAGTACAACTCTACTTGTTCCAAGAATTTTGGTTCATTGGAATCATCACTGGCAGATGAACGGATAGCACTTGTGGAGAAACATCTCTTGGCTACGGCCGATGATGATCTATTGTTGAGTTGCAACAGCTTGGAAGCAGCGTTCTTGAGCATTTTATGATGAAAGAGAGCAGTGTCGAGGGATCTAGTTGGTAATTTTTTAAAAATCGTCTAAAAAATTTTTTTGATTTTTCAAATGATGAAACCGTTTTTGTAGAGTGGAACAACTGCAACGGGCCATGGAGAGAGCATCATAGGAACAGAGAGATACGAGAAAAATATTACAACCAATATTTAGGTAGAGAATGAAGCAAAGATGACAATGTAGCATGGAGTGTTAACTCTACATTGACTGGGATCATTTAAAGAAACGTCGCGAATAAGTACAATTTTGGTCCTGACGCACCGAAAAGAGCGTGATGCAAAGTTCGTTGGCGTTGTAAACTTTAGACCAAGGGATTTTGAAGGATCATGAAAATCCAATCAATTTGGTTCAATTTTTATGTACACACCCACCAATTCCCACCCCACTTAACTGTACTTCCCTCTCTTTGTGATTCGTTGAGTTAGTTCTTTAAGAGAAAATGACTCGAGTTCAAATTTTCAAAGCTGACAAATAACAACATGAAAATAACATAGTATAAAAACACATTTCAATCATAGTTTTTTCAAGCCTCAAAATACTTTGAAACCTTCATTACATTCCTCTTTCAACTGGCAAACTTTATGCAAAAAATTTCGAAACCAGAGTTTTCTCGAACTCACACCATTCCCTTCATCCACTTTTGAATAAACATCAAAAAAAAAATAGCTAACTTTCGATCCAACCGTTTCATCTAACATGCTGTCTTTGTCCAATCATTCATCAAGAAATGTTTTCAACATGGAAATTAAAGAAGAAGAAGAAATTACATCTCGTTCGTTATTAGAGTCTTTTAGTTGTAAGAAATCGGATGCTTTTCAAAGTAGACAAATCATTCAACGAGATTCCTCTTTAAGAGAAGTCAACTCTCGGAAAAGTGCTTCATCCTCTTCTTCATCCACAACTACCTTTCAAGCCTCTAAATCCGATTCAAATAATCATTTACAATTTTCCAAAAATGGAATTCAAAAGAAAAAATCAAAGAGAAACGCATTCACTGCCACACGTAATTCTGTAGCTTGTTTAAGCATTTCTTCAAATAGAATTACACATACATTGAACCATGAAAAGAGACTAATGGATAGAATTAAGAATTTGCAAATGCCAAGATTGAATTATGTCACCAAACAAAAAGGTTGTAGCGTGGAGAGGCCTGTACAACAAGAGAAATCACAAACGAATTCCAATCTAAATTTTTCAAGCACCCATATATCAACCAAATCAAAGATAGGTTCTGTACGTTCAATAATAGATGTAAATGCACAAAGTCAACACATTGAGGAGGAAATGGACAACTTTTTAGAAGAGGCAAACCAAGAAAACTCTGAAGAGCAAAACAACGAGCATGCTTGCAATGTCGAGGAACGGAACAATGAGCACGATACATTCATGGATACACATCAAGATGAGGAAGAGTTGGAGCAAGAGACGAGTGAAACATCACCAAGTGAGCATGATGGTTATGAAATTTCAGAAGATGAAGATGACGATCATCAAATTCTCAACAATCACTCACTCTCATCAGATGAAAGTGATGATGCTTCGAATAAGAAAATTTATGAAAACAAAAAACAAGTACTTGTAAAACGAGAAGGGCATAATGACATGACTTTATGGGTACGAATGGATATGTCATTCCATAATTTTAAACGTAAATTGTGTAAACGCTTGGGTTTGAAACCTTCTCGTCAAATATTAGAAATATTTGGAGAGCCTCAATTTGAACACAGAAGGTTTATCACTGTGGAGGATTTGTGTCAACTGTTTAACGTTGGCGACACTCAACAATTAGAATGCCAACTTTGTCCTATTGAAATTGAGGTAGTAGATGATTAACATGAAAACATGCTTCCTCATAGATGAAGATTTACCAAGTTCAGGTAATTGAAAACCAAAATTTATTGCAATAAATTATTCAATTTACTTTATAATTAGATCCTCTTTGGAGATCAAAGCAATTGTTGATAGAATCAATATCAGATTCCATCATTTTGATGATCATCTTCTCTTATCGATAAATCTTAAAGTTAGGGCTAGCCGTTTTTACAGGAGAGCTTGTTATGTTTGCATCCACTGTAATGATTGGAATTGAAAAACTCGAAGTACTGCTTTCACGATTGTGCATGTTGAAAGCAGCAGCTTTCAGCATTTCTTGTCTCTTTTTGAGAGATCGTTTGAATTGAGTTTGAATGTGGTGATATTGGAGTGTCTCAGTGGCCAGATCTAAAGCAACCTTGTCGTCGTCATCTTTAACGGTAACATCAGCTCCAAATTCAATGAGAATTCTCACACATTCGGGATAGCCTCGCAATGAAGCCTGGTGTGTTTACAGTAAACCATATTTAAACCAATAGTTAGTGATTCCATTTCATGAACATGTTCAAGTAGGGGAAAATATAAATAATATTATTAATTAATATAATAACAACTCCTCAAATAAACTTACATAATGTAGTGCTGTTTTTCCAGTACTATCTTTCAAATTAATATTTGCTCCATATTGCAAAAGAACTTGCAAGACAGAGACTTGTCCTTTCGATGTAGCAAAATGTAAACTCGACCAATGATGTGATGCCTCACATTGCTCGTTCACAAATCTTTCCTGTTCTGATGGTGTCAAATTTGTGTTTGCCAAAATATAGAAAACTGTTTCATCATGACCATTTTCAGCAGCCACCATTAAGCAATTCATTCCTGTGACAGGATCTTTCTCAAACATATTGGCTCCATATTTAAGTAAAAGTGACACTATATCTGTCAGGCCTAATGAGGATGCCAGTATCATGGGTGGGCTCATTGGACTCACGGCTGACAAGGATCCTGAATTTTGATGAAGCATGGGAGAAGCGCTGGTACTCGAGTTTTCACTCGCACTCGATCCGTTGCTCAATGTTCTGGCGTGTGACAGTCTTGGTAGATGTAAATTGTGTAAAAATCCATGTTGGTGATGATGAGAGGAGTGAGAATTGGTATTTTCATTTTGTGACAAGCTATTGGAGAGGAGAGGAGATTGAAGTTGGAGAGCTCCTTGCTGTAGTAATAATTCGCATACTTGGAATTGATTTTTCTGAATGGCCAAATGAAGAGGAGTAAAGCTAGAGGAAGGAAGAGTTGCATGCATTGAGGCTCCATTATTGAGAAGAAGAATGCACATTTCTGTGTTACCATTTTCAGCAGCTGCATGCAGACATGTTTTTCCAGTTCTGGTAGGTTCATTAGGATTTGCATTCAATTCGAGTAAGAGCTTGGCTACTGGTAAGTGATTGTTTTCGACCGCTCTGTGAAAGGAGGTAAACATAAAATATCACCGAGAAATAAGAATGAATTGGAGTATGGAATCCAGATCATTAAAATGATTATGGTTGGAGTGGGAATGCTACAAATACATGTAGAAACACATACCTATAGAGCGCTGTACATCCAAATTCATCTTTTTCGTTAATGGAAATGGTAGTTACTTCTACCACTAGATTTTGAACAGTTTCAATATCGCTGTTTGTGTCGATTCCATTCATATATATATTGATATCGGAATTTTGATGACGTGACCATCAAATTAATACATAAAAATTGGAAATTCATTTCATCAAATGTCAAATCGTGATAACAGTATTAGTATTCTGTAATCATCATTACAAATCAACATACCCGTTAGATGCTGCTTTTGAAAGCTTGTTAGCTTCAAAGGAAAAGTTCTTGGGTTCTGAATAATCCAATAATCGTTCCTACTTTGAAAGTATTCGGAAAGTGATCAGTTGTAGAGGGAGAGGCCAATATTTAATAACAGAAGCATCATCATCAAAAACAATGATCATGTATGAATATATATATTGGTTAATTCAATCCGATCTATCCATTAGCAGATACTAACTTTTGATGGAAAGATATAAATTTTCAAACATTGAACACACTGTCCCATATGTTGCTATCGTTAGAGAAATGATGATGATAATAAGATGATGGTTGAATAATCGATGATGAGTAGAGAAATTTCAAAGAATGATCTCTACGCGATGCCACGTGGTTGTTGTTCTGTACAATCACGACGTTGTGATAATGATAAACCGTAATCAAAATATTCGGAGTTTTGTGATGGCGCACGTATTTGTGATTGGATGGCTTGGTCTTTTGTTAAACTGAGTTATTGTTGTTGGTGTTGTTGTTGTATTGGAGAGTTCATTCGGATGATTCTCGTGTGTTGGTGCGTGAGCTCACAAGTGGGATCTGAAGAGTCAAATTTTTTAATTCGAATTCAAAAAAAGTCATCGTCAATTAAGGTAGTAGAGTTGTCGTTGTCAATTAGAAGGAGAGTCAACTTGCCAAGCCTCTTCGTCGTCATCATTGCGGTCTTGATCTTCATTGTCCTCTGGCAGCTCTTCGTGGTGTGGAAGAAGACCTAGCTCTCGAATGTGTAAACGCTTGGCCCATCCTATACCGAGTGACTCCTCGAGCTTGGCTAATTCTTGCTTCTCCTCTTGGGAAATTGTTCTTACATCAACCTGGAAATCTTTCAAGGTTCCCCATGAGTCACCAATTTGACACTTTACACCGAGAGGTACTCTCAGCTTGCAGGTGGTCTCCATGATACTCTTCACACACCATGTGAATATTTTCAGACTTTCCTCCTTAACCTCAAAGAGCAACTCGTCATGTATTTGAACAAGCATGTAGGCTCTCATTTCCTTTCGATTGAAATGTCTCATAAAATTATAAATACCAAGCATGACAATTTTCATAATGTCGGAGGCTGAGCCTTGACTGACAGTGTTGAGAGCAGCCCTTCTCGCCGCAGCTCTACAGGAAGAATCTGTCGAGGCAATATCATGCATAAATCTCTTTCTATGAAAGAGTGTGGTGACCCAATGCTTTTCAACGAGAGTAGCTTCCACCTTATCTTTAAACATTTTGAGGTGGTGATACTTTTCAAAAAATTGTTGCTTGTATCGTTCTGCAGCTTCTATTTTGTCTTCACCTGGTCTCAGTAATTGATCTTCATTTTCGCTGTTAAACATTTTCTCAGAGAGAGTTGCAGCTCCCATGCAATAAGATATTCCATAGATAATTTGTTTCACCAAGCTTCGATAAGTCTGAGGAATGACCTCTCCTTCTGGTATGTTCCAAAAATTTCGTGCAATCTCTTCGAAAATATCTCTTGATTCGTTCTTCAAGATTTCAGTAAGAGCTGGATCTTTTGAAAAGTGAGCCAGAATTCTCAATTCTATATTTTTGTAATCCACCGAGAGCATGGTAAAACCTTTTCTAGGAATAAAACCACTGCGAATGCTAACTACAATATTCTCATTTAAATCTCCACCAACTCCAAAACGTGGATTCTTGATGGTAATATCCTTTGGAATGTTTTGAAGATTGGGATTTTTAACACTCAATCTTCCAGTTGCAGATGTTGTTTGCATTTGAGATGCAAATATACGATATTCTGATCTGTTGGCACAGAATTTGATATCATTGGGCATGTTTTGAATGTGGTGTGTTTTGATATTCAACAAATATCGGTACTCGCTAATGAGTGACATAATATGGGCCTTATCAGGGTACAGCTTTTTCAACTTTTCCAAAATTTCCTTGTTTGTTTTTCTCTCAGTCCCTCGCATCTTGAGTTTATCAAATAAAAGAAAGGCAACATCATCATTGTTGCAAGTTTTGATGCCTCTTCCATCGAGAACTTGAAGACTATTAAGCTCACTGTCAATCTCTTGTAGCCGTGCGTCAATAATTGAATTGTTTCGTTTGATCCAGTCATAGTCAAACCGAATTCCATTCTTCTCCATTGTGCTGAGAACTTTTACAAAGCTCATCTCAAACTCAAACATGCCAGACAGGTTGTAGCTGTGGATACGCACTGCTAATAGCGCAATAATGGGCCAACACTGAGCGGCTGTCTTGACAATGACATGGTCGTTGTTGCTCGGTGAAAACAAAAATTGTTTGGAAGGAAAGCACTTGACATAAATTTCCTCTAAAGAATTCTCATTTTCCGAGTCATCAGGGTATTGAACCCACTCTGCAATCATCACGTCCAAAATAGGATCTCTCACTATAAAGTTCCAACACTGTAGTAACTTTGTTTGTTGCTTCTTGAGGGAATATGTAATTTTCTTACGAGAGCCATCCGAAAATATTTTCTTGATAAGATCCTTTCTCTTTTCACTTTTAGAGAGATGGATAAAGTAAGATTTGGATGGAGCGTTTGGATTAATTGTCTCACAGCTATTGTTCATCAAGACAGTTTCATGTTCCGTGTTGAAACATATTGCCAACGCTTTGACAAAATATTGGTCCCTGTTCTTAATAAAAGAAGTGGGATTGTCTTTTTTCTTTTGAAGTCCAAACTCGAAGCAAAATGAAAATGCAAAGCAGGTATTCCAATCATTTTCAAACTCCAACAATTTGCTGTCATCATCTGACTTAATTTCAATAATAGCATCTTCTTTTTTCTTTTTCGGCTCAGCTTTAAGGCGAGACTTTTTCTTTCGTTTGCCCATATTTTGATCTGGATCTTCTTCACGTCCATCAATCCAATCACGTGGTAGAACATTTTGCTTGACAATTTCCTTTGCTCCTTCAACAATATCAAAGGCTCTGGACTGCTCTCCATTTTTACAATGTTTTGAAATGATGCTCTCAATGATGTAGGGATCCTCTTCTGCAACCTGGCGTATGCACTTGTATCCTTCTTTGAATAATAGCCTTGCAGTAGAGGAGCCAACAAAGGGAAGTTGAACAAGCGGTACAAGATCTTGAGGCACTCCACACAATAGCATTTCCTTAATTCTTCGAAAAGAGTCGAAAAAAATGGGGGAAATCGAAATGTTGGATGAAAAAGTCGAGAGCACGGATGCTTTTGCGGCTGCATCTCGCTGAATAGACTGAACGATTCCTCTGTGATCCACACTATTATAGTATGTTGTGGAAATCCAATCGATTTTGCATTCTCGTGTAATGTCAAATAAAATAAATGTTCTTCTCAGAGCATAGATATAATTTTTCAATTTCAATAGTGGGGTCTTATCAACCATATAATACGCAATGGCTTCTTTAAATTGAGAAAATCCAATATCTTGCTTTTCAATAAATTGTCGGAATTGTTTACGTGAGTGACCTATTTCCATGATTCTCTCCGCATCATCTCTCAACCTGTCTTCGTTGTTGTATCCTTCGGGGACAAAAGAAGCAAGTAAGAAAAGAATACCCAAATCGTCTGCTAGATAAAACCCTTGTTCACATTGTTTCATAGCCGCATAATATTCTAGAGCTTCCTGTAAGCCAATATTCGACACTTGTGTTGATTTTCCAAGATCGGTACAAACAAAGGATTGTGTTTTTTCAACCCATTCAATAAATCCTTTTTCATGAAGAAACAATCGTGCATTCTTGGACAATTGCTGAATCTCGTGGGGTGTTTTACATTTTGAAAGAAAAGTACAACTTAGGAATCGTTCAATATCATCTGCAGTCTTAATAGTGCCAGTAGAAATATTTTCTAAAAGAGCCCTTGAAATTTGCTTCTCATTGAGGCATGAAATCATTGAGGCAAAGTTCGATGATAGTAACTTGTTTCCTTGTTCTAGAGAAGGTACGAAAAGATATGATTCGCCAGTGACGTCAATTCCAGCTCTACCAGCTCGTCCGGATGCTTGTTTGTATGTGGCCATATCCAACACATCTGTTCCCATGCTTAGAGATGTGATAATGACACGCCTAGCTGGTAAATTTACTCCCTAATGAATGTGTTCGTTTGAGTTTACGAGAAGAAATTATCATTGAAATTATGTGTCACTACTTACTGTTGCTAAGGTGGTTGTACATAGCAGTACTTTGATCATTCCATTCCTGAACGAAGATTCCACAAGTTTCTTCTCTTCCATCGTGAGCGAAGAATAATGAAAGCCAACACCATGCTCGAGGCAAATTTTCAAGTCAGGATCCAATCCAGACGATGAAAAGCGTAACCTATTGATTGCTTCTTGCCTCTGTTGCTGTAAGTGCTCGGTTATGGTTTCTTGAAAGTATTGCGTTGCAATAAATTTGGCGTATGATTTACATTTGGCTTTAGAACTACAAAATATAAGGGTTGAGAAATTGGTGTCAAGTAGGGAAAGTATGAAAATGTTGAATCTGTCTGGTATGACTCGCATATTGGCATTGATCGTTGGTTTAGGTAATTCGCGCACAAACGAAGTGTCTCCATTCATTCCACGGCCTACTTCATGCGAGGTAGTTTTTCCCCTTGTCTTGTTATACACATTAAAAACTTTTCCATTGTGAACGAGATATTCGGAGAGTGGTACAGGCCGATAATCAGTGACGAAGAGGTGTGCATTCAAAAAATTAGCCAACTTTTCCACATTGTGTAACGTGGCTGACATGCCAATGATTTGAATTTTGGGCTTTAGGTAAACAATTTTTGTGAGGATGAGCTCGAGTATGTAACCTCTATTAGGATCAGTGATGTTGTGAAGCTCGTCAATAATGATGGCACCAATTTCATCTATTTTTCCAGAAGAAATAAGACCATTAAGAATACTGTTAGCTCGTTCAAAAGTGCAAACCATGACTCGTTCATCGTCGTCATTGAATGAGGCAATTTCAGAAATTCGGACTGCCTCAGAGTGATAAGGATTTGCTTTCCATCCAACATCCTTAAATTTGCTATTCAAATCCAAAACTTTTTCCTCAATAATGGCTTTAAATGGCAAAATGAAGATTACCTTTGATTTGTCTTGTGTCAATCGTCGTACCATGACAATTTCACTCACTAGTGTTTTACCACCACTGGTTGGAGAGGAATAGATGAGATTTTGACCTTCCAAAACTCCTGTATCATGTAATAAACTCACCTGCCAAGGATAAAGTGTGGTGTGTTTGTAATTGTCTGCAATCTGCTCAGGAATGTAATAGTAGAGCGAAAACTTGTCTGAAGCTGTGAAAGAGGTGTTGTGGGGAGCATTCTCTATGGCTTGTTGTAATTGCTGATTTTCAGATTGCGTCTCGTCTTGCCACATGATTTCCTCCAAATCAGCCACGTCAATTGGTTCTTCTGAGGCTTGTGTGAGGGTGTATGAGGGAGGAGGAGGAGGCTGAGGTATGTTTGTTGAAGTGCTAAAAGTAGCGTTCCATTGAGGCTTAGAGATTGTCTCTCCATCATTCATTAACATGTCTGTATGGGCCGAGGTCTCCTCCGCATACAGAAGAGCTTCCTCAAAATCGTCATCAAGCTCCAAGACAAATTCTTCTTCTTCTTCATTGGAGGCACCATTGGATGTACTGACCGTCATGACGGTGTCAGAATGAAATGTTGTCGACCCACCAGTGGCATTCTCCACAATGATTGGTTGTTCATTTTCAAATTCGCCAAGATCCAACTCCACATCGGAAAGTTCATCCACAAACCATAAATCATCCAATTCTTGAGATTCTGTCGCCTGTGTTGTTGATACTACTACATTTTCATGTTTTTGAAAAACACGAGAACCATCATTGTCATCTTCTACAATCTCGCCCCCACTCTCCGATGATGTTTGGCTGAGTGGATGGTGTAAATTTCGCGAATATATATTGGCTTGTTGTTGAATTTTGAAATTAGGTGCTGTATGAATGGAACAAGAATTCGTTGTCGAGGATGAAACCCAAGATCGAGTTGAATTTCCACTCAGACTGCTTATTGGCGTCGTGATGGCAGAAGCTGGTGAAGAAGAAGAGAAGGATGAAAACGAACTCGTAGAGCGAGCAGAAAGAGGCGTTTGTGGTATTTCCCTTCGGAATGGTGAAGAGGTGGTTGTTTTTGGAATGGTACTAGAATCATGAGAAGTGGTCTGATTGGTGGTCTTTTTGAAGTGATGGTGTTGTTGTTGCAAATTTCCAGAAGAAGGTTTCATGTTGTTGATGATGTTGAGGTTCCGAGTTAGGTTTTCATCATGATGAATTTTTTTCTTGCTGGAATTGGAATTTTCATTGTGGGAGGAGAGTTTGGCTTGTGGCAACTTCCTCTTAATTTAAATGGTGGTGTATTTTGCAATAGGTTTATGTAACAACTTGTTCATTGAACCTTACGTTAATTGTTCATTTAAATTTATTAATCAAATTAAATTGTAACAAAAAATGCAAAAACATAACGAAATGATGCTGCAAGAGGAGGATGAACACTCTTCGGAAGAAAGGATGGATGATCTTGAAATCGAAGAAGAAAATTTTGATGAACACTCTCCTAACAGCAATAACATGAATTTTGGACAAGAAGCTTTTGATGAGGAAGAACACAATGATGATCAATACCATAATAATGATGCGGAAGAACACAATGATGATGATCGATTTATGGATGAGGCAGAAATGAATAGACTCATCAGAGAATATCATAAAAACAAAAAACATCCACTCGAGCATCAGCAGCCTCAAGATGAAAATGAATTATCGGAATTTAATGTCATACACGCCACCAATACTCAAAATTTAATAGAACAAATTACCAGAAATAAGATTTTCAATTCCGTATATTACAAGGAGGAATGTTTTGGTCTCAATGCCGCCACTTTAATTGATAAAGCCATAGCATTGGACTCGATTGGAGGTACCTATGGCGGACATCGAAAGCCGAGTAATTTTCTCTGTCTTCTCATGAAAATGCTTCAAATTGAAGTTGATATGGAGTCAGCCATTTCGTACATTCAAAATGAAGAATTCAAGTACTTGACTGCTTTGGCAGCTCTGTATATTCGGCTTGTCGGATCAGCACTAGACATTTACCAAAATTTGGAACCCTTATATGCCGATTTTAGAAAATTGAAATTGAGAAATATTGACGGTTCTTGTAAAATCATTCACATGGACGAATATGTGGAAATATTATTGAATGAGGATTCTTTTTGTGACATAAAATTGCCCTTCCTTGTGAAGAGGACTGTTTTGGAAAGGAGAGGCAAATTAGATCCATATGTATCATCATTGGAGTTGAATGAAGATCTGAAAGCATTGCTTGAACAAAAACTGGGGGTGACTTCTGCAAAGAATGAAAGTATTCCACAACAACATGAAGGAGTGACCACAAGGATACCTGAATCCTCAACAGCAACCACAACGAAGGAAAAGAAATCAGGAGGCTTCAAACTCAAACTGAAAAAGCCTCCAAAAGACGGAAAAACCAGTGACGAAACGAGCTCTTCTCGTCAGCAAGGCAACAATGATCAGGTGCAGGAGGTTCTTTCTGTTGAGGCTACAAATGAATTACGAAAATCATTGGGAATGCCGCTGTTAAAATAGAGCAAAAATATTTGGCTACGATGTTACGAGCTCAGGACAATTCACTTTTATTGTAGCAGGCAAAGTGACGTTTCACGAATCGGCAACATCAACTCTACAAATTGGGCAAACTGTTGATTGAGACTCCAGCCAAGAATCGATGCAATCCTTGTGAAAGATGTGACCGCATTTTGGAATCCATTTCAATTCTTCACCCTCCTCAAAATCACACATACATGTGACACACATGTCACCTTGGCACACTTGTGGCATTTCCTCTTCCACAAACGTTGTTGAAACCAATTTCTCCTCAAATGATAAAATACATGTTGGTAAGCTCAATAATGCTGAACTGCAAACAGTCTTCTTTTTCACACCATTGTCTAATTGCAACAATAGTTCATAATCCTTCTCGGTTAATTCTCGAGTCGTGAGGGCGAGTAATACACTCATGTCCATACCACATTCTCGAGCCATATTCGACATTTCATGATGTTCCACTGAAAGAGCCATGGCTAATTGTAATTGTTCTTCTTCCTCACTTCTTGGTGGTGCAAAGTGAGCATGACGATATAGATTCGGAGCGCTCGAAGTGTTGTTGTTGTTGCGGTTCGCATATGAAATGGTAGGAGGTACATAAACTTTTGAGCCTCGCATTTCCATCTTGTCGTTTTCCTCCTCCAATCTCTTTTTATATTCTCTGTGGTGAATTCTTCGCTTTGGATTTATTCTCTGCTTCTTGTATTTGCTTTTCACTCGTTTCATGTCGTGATTTCTATGAGTGTTTTGACCTCCAAATATTTGACCATGATTGAGAATGGAAAATTCTAGTGAGTCGTCAACATTCAAATAATCATACTTGGATTCTAGTGTTGTTAGAATGGATTCATTATAGAAATCTTCCTCTTCATCTTCGGAAGAATGAACAAGATCACTGTCTGAAGTGAATGAAAACATATCCACTTCTTCTTCATCACTTCCGATTTCCCCATCCTCAAGCCATAATAAATCCTCATAGCATGATTCTAAATATTCATTCTCCTCGTCCGAATCTATAATAACAATGGTTTGAACATCATCCTCAAAGACTTTGTCTTGATCCTCGATCATGGTGGGCGCAGTTTTTGATTTTTTTTCAAATTGAATTTTAAAAATAGATGATGAAAATCAACATTGTTTTCCTTCTTGAAGTTGAACATTGAATTACCAATTTGAACTTGTACACTTTACAACTTTATTGCTCACCTCATCTGTGCCCACACTACTGCTGCATCAATTGACGAATGTCCAGCTTTTGAAGAGCAGCTCGACACAAATCTCTCACAATGGTATCCGCATCTTCATGATGGTTCATTGGGTTCGTTTGTTGTTGTTGGAGGTATCTTCTCAAAAGGAATAAACTTCCATTCAGATCAGAACAAAACATGTCATGCATGCCAAATACTTTTCGTTGAACATATTCACAGGCAAAGAGAGTGAATGGAAGTGCAGATTGTTTAAAGCTTATTAATACAAGCTCTGCAATAAATTGAGCTTCACATTCTTCATAGAGTTTCAAATGTTGTCCATGTAGAATGTTGAATAATAGAGTGTCCATGTGAATCAGTGTGGAGGTATAGCCATTCATGATGCATGTACAAATAATATCACTCATTGCATCAGAGTCTAGTAGAGTTGGTTTCGACTCAGCAATGTGTTGGATACGATCGAGTGCTAGTACATTTGTGGATTTGTGTTTGACTTGAAGTGCAAATTTGCATGCGAGTAGATCTTGATTCTTCTCAATCATGTAATTCACAAATTCATTGCCTTTCTGCTCAGAGAGCAATTCCATCTGTTCGAGTGCAATCTCTAACAAAATACTTTCCTTCTTGACATGCGTGATTTCTACGAGAGCTGTCAAAACTTTGAGGAGAAGAGTTTCTAAAAATTCTTGATGTTGCTTTCCCTTAAACCAAATTCTCAAGATAAAGCTCAGAGATCGAAATTGTGCATCAGTGGAGGACATGTTGACCAATTCTTCGAATTGTGTTGCAAATTCTTCACTAGGCGGTCTACATGAATGGAGTAATGTTTTGTGAGATGGGAAATTCTCTGCAACAGTATCACGAGTTTGATAGATGGCAAGGAGTGTCGTCTGATCATCCTCATGCTTATGACCAATGTTGGATTCATTGGCATTTGTGATTTCATTAGAGCTTGGCGAAGAAGTTATCGTTTCGTCATGACTAGCCACTCCTCCAGGAAGAGAAGATGAGATGATCACTGGCGAAGACGTGCCAGGAGCCTTTTTCTTAAAATCTCTCAAAATACGAACCAATGCGATTCGAGTTCGAACAGGTAAATCGTCTTGATCTTTGGCGATGGTATCCACATAATTCACTAGGGTGTTAAATAAATCTTGAGATTGCTGACTGTCTGAAGCAGCAGATTTGAGAATTATTTTCATATAGATACATCCCATTTTGGCATTCAAAGGTGGCCAATGAATATCAATTTCACCACTTTCATTGCTCTCCAAGTGTTGTTGTAAAAGTTTTTCTTCTTCTGCCTCATCCTCTGAGTCACTCTCCTTTCTAATTTCTTCAGAGTGTTCCACGAGACATTGCACAATAGCTTTGACAGTTTTCAAATAACATTGAGTAGTATCTAAATGGAAGAAGAGTGGAAGTGAGGTCAGGTCGCTCTGATCAGTTATATTAAAGGCATTCTTATATTCTTCTTGCAAATCCTGAAGAATATTGGTGATGCATGATGGATTTTTGGTGTGTACCATTGTCTCTGACAAGACATGCATTAAATCAATGTGATCTCTCAAATACTTGTCCCATTCTTCCAACAAGTATTCCAATTCTTGACGTTGGAAAATTCTCTTGGCAGATGACATTTTGAATATTGAGCTCTTGACCTCGTTTGCGAGAGAGGAGTCTTCTGAAATGCTCGTGTTCAACATGCTACGCATAAACGATAATCGAACAGCCAAAGGCATTTTGAAAGCATTGTCGAAAGAAACCTTGCTGATAAGAGTCTTGATATCATCCTGTGTCAAGAAAGAAATGAAAGGTAGTACAAGTTCTGCTCTTTCTTTTGGATCAATCTTTGCATTACTCAATGTCGTAGTAACAACATGTGAATAAATTTGAGAAGTTTCAACTGGCTTAATAGGTTTCAATAGATCTAAAATAGTATTCACAGATTTGTGATTGAGGATTGGTTTGAGAAGCTCTATAATTTGGCGAGTATCAGTTGATTCCGAAGTCAATGAGAAAAAGTCGACAACTAAATTTTCCGTTGAAAGAAAATCCACAAGGGCCTTTTGAGGTGTGTACTCGGAGAGATCCATATTCACTAACAGCTCCGTAAGAAAACTAATTTTGGGTAAATTGTACCCGGAAGTCACACGAGAATTAGGAGTCAATTTGTTTTTCACTATTAGAACAACCTCATCTTTCACACTTGTTGAAGAAATTTCCCTAATGAAAGACTTCTCTGAATCGAGAATGTTCTCCTTATTCAAGACGCAATCCAAGAAATTCAAATACAGCTTACTCGTATCCATACTCAATTTTTGAGCAATATTTAGAGCCGCCTTGAATTGATCCATATGTTGAGTTTTGGACAAGTCAAATAAGACATTCTCTCTATACTTTTCATCGGTAATAAATTGTAAACAGCTCAATGTTGAGGTGCTGAATATTGACAATTCGCTGAAATGATTACATAAATAGAGTAGACCATTATAGAATTTCAAAAAATGATTCAATTTTGATGTACACTCATTGGATTCAATTTCATTGTCCTCCAATGATTTTTCAATATCGTTCAAACTCATTTCATCATAATACTCTGTCAGACTTTCAGGATTTTCTAAAAGTAGCAGTCGTAATGCAAAGTACAGTGTAAATAATTCTATCAGCTTCTCTACTGCTGAAATTGGTGTATTTTGCGGTTGTGATGAGAGTATCGAGTCAAATAGCTTTTTGACACTGTCAATGCTTTCTAATGGAATTTTCAAGAGGATGGTAACAAAGGACATGATGTATCCATTGGTGAGTGATAATATTGCAAAATCAAGCAGGCTCTGTGTATTCAATTTCTCTGTTTCAGAGGTTAGAGTTAATTGGATTTCCATCAATTTGGACCTGAAAATCGTGTCGAGTTCTGTGGTTGTTGGTGAAATTCCAAAATGTGACACGAATGAATTTTCCCTGCATGAATAGTACAGAGGTGTTGTTCCGCTCACTGAGATGTTACTGAATAAATGCTCATTTTCTTTTGCAAGCTTTGAAAACATATCATGTGCGATGAGGATTGAATTGCTAAGAGAAATATCTTTTGTGGCTTCTGTTGCAGGAATACTCTTCGAGAGGAATTGGTGTGATTCAACAAGTTCATAAATAGAGAGCATTTCTGAAAGTTCTGATGATGGACAATTTCTCACAGCATATGCTGCCTATAGTTACATAGGACGGTTCAGTAATTGTGAAAATGATCATTTTTCCAAAACAAATGAGATGTGCTACTTACAAATTCCAGACGCTCCTCACTAGAAATTTTACATTTCGTGTCGATGCAAAGTTTAGCACAATGTTTGTATATACCGTTGTGATTTTGTTTCATGAGGGCCCGCACAACTTCTAAATTACCAGACTCCGCTTTTTGAAGTGAATCTTCGATGGCAAGCATCTTGACGTTCTTACGGTCATTTTCATTACCACCAAGAAGTCTACAAATTTTGTAAAATGTTTCCAATGTAGCTTCATCTGTTCCAGTGTGATTGTTCTCTATCAAATATTTGACAATGTCCATAATTGAGGACTTTCTCAAAAACAAGGCGGGTTGATGGTTAGAGAATTCTTTTCCAATTATTCTAAATGCTTCTAGTATGTTAATTTCCTTTGTCCACCGTTCTTCGTTGCTTGAAGTAACAAATTTTTCAGAAAGTAAACTTCGATGTAGAGAAATACATTTATCTGCAATCATGATTGATGAATCAGTAGGTTCAGTAGAGCTATTGATTAATTCTGCTGTTGCTTGATAAATAATTTCATCGGCATCGGTATAGGGTAAAATCATGTCACGTGTAACATACTCATAGGCAAGATGAGCATCTATTTTGAAAGTGCAATGAATTGATAGAGCTGAGATTTTACAAGTACTTACGTCCTGATAAGCAGCAATTTTTAAGGAATTGAGAATAAACTTCTTGCTGTGTTAAATGATGCATCACAGTGCCGTGAAGTGTCTTCAAATCTGAATACAAGCTTTGGAATGATTTGTCAGATGTAGCACCACTTTTAATACATTTCTGTGCCAACTCTCCGACAATTGTTTTTCCAACAACTTCAAATTCAGTACTCAAAGAAAGAGGTATAGAAATGGAGCTAATGGATAGTGTCAAATAATATTTGATGTTCTCACCAATACTACTTACTATTTTGACAAGACGGTAAGAGCAATAGTGTTATCTCGAATAGTATTAATATGTTGCTCAAGTTCTTGATGAATGTTTCCTGTTGGAAGAGAGTTAATAATTCTAATAATATTCTCCGTATTTTCCTGATAATTTTTACACGAGTAAATACATTCAACGGCTAGCATTGCAAGGACGTCATTATCGCTAAATAAATGTATCGCATTTGGTCCACTACAGTATTCAAATATTTTCGCACATTGATAGAGGAGATGAGGAGCAAGCTCTTGGAGCATGTATTTGTACAGTAGGGAGTCCTTGCCTGTTTTCTCTTCTTCTTCGCAATGGCTAATAAAGTTTAGTCCTTTGTTTAAAATTTGGGAAACAATATCTGTGCTCGTCTTATTAATGAGTAACTTGAACTTGTCGAAATTTGTTAAATTAGACTCGTATTCTTTCACGGAGAGTAACTGTTTGTTGAGGTTGAACAAGTTTCCTCGGTTGTAAATCATGAGGGACATAAAATTGAGTTCATTCAGTTTGTCCTCTAACCGCTTTACATTTCGCTTGATGCCAATTTCTAACAAGGATTCTGCATAACTAACCATACCTGACACGACATCAATTGCTTCTGCCCTTGAGAGATACCACTCAGTAATTTCTTGAGAGGAGGGATAATCTACTTGAGGTTTCTCCATTAACTTTTCGCTATAGTCTTGCTCCTTCCTTCTCATGAAAAGAGTGCTCCATTTAGTCATACAATTTCCAGTTTTTTCAACACCAGGTAATAAATCTTTATACTCATTGGGAGGAACTGATTCTGGTATACATGAAATAATATCAATAACGTCGTGAGGATTTAAATTCCTACTGACGCGATACGATTCATTGAAAGGCAAGCAATAAGAAATGATTGCTTTGAGTGATGAAAAATCTTTCATGGATGCTCGTTCTTTGGCATATGAAACAATATTGCAATCCCTAAAGTAGTGATATTGGTCACCTTTGTAAACTGTTACGAGTGTAACTATTTCATTGTTCTCAAAGTATAATTTGGATTTTGAAACATACCTTGTTGTGGGGACAAATCTAAGAACAAATCCAATCTGTCCAAATAGAGCAGTAATTTTCTTCGTGCTTCTAAAATTTCTTTTGCTTTTTCAGAGCAATTTTTTAATACGGATGACCTATGTGATAAATCTGTGCAATTAGTTTCTTCACTCAGTAGGGTATTTGAAATTGCAAGACCACACTCGAGGAGGTGTCTCATGACTTCTTCGTTACTTGCAATTCTGCACACACATTCATTGAGGATGTACATTTTGTCTGAAATCAGTTGTAGTTTTGCGATAGATTCTACTGAAATAACATGTCTCCTCCACATTTTCTTATAAACTTCATCCATGTCAAGGCTGAATGTTTTGGCTAAAGAAAGCGCCTCCTCAAGACTGATGTGTGTGAAAATAAAAATAAAGGTGTGAGTTTGCATGATATGGATCGAATTCATGACATAAGCATGAGATCAAATTCTTACAATAAAGAAACTTACTCTCCTTGGTGAAGTTTTTCAGAAAATTCCTTCTCTGGAGTTTTTTGATAAAATCTGTAAACTCTGTAAGCAAGTGAGAGAGTGGAAGGAATCATATTTTCTTCCTTCAACTCATCAGAAGGAGGTGCAACCTTTGGGAACAAAAATGAAAATAATGTACTAAATGCGCTCAATAAAGAGCTTTCTGAGGAGTTTTGAAGTTTCTCAGTAAGGCGTTGTTGCTCTTGCAACAAGAGTAATTGCTGATCAATTTTCAATTGTCTTGTATCATGTAAAACGAAGAGTATATCAATAAATTATTGATTGGAACTAATAAAAAAAATATTAAACCTACGTAATGTTTGGATCGTACTCCAACAGAAAGAATTTGCCATTATGAGCAGTTGAAATGAACGGTATGCCTTCGATGTCCTCAGTAACGTCACCATCACCTAGAATATTCTTTTTAGATGAAATTTCAATGACATACATCTCATTATTGTCATTACATAAAATTACAGAGCTTGGAGACCACCAATTAAATTCCAAAATATTTTCCAAGCTTGAGGAGGCAACTACTTGTGAATCATCAATGAAAGGGAAGGGAACACGATAGATGAAAAATTTCTTGGAGCTTGACAAAAATGCACAATATGATCCATCTGGAGAGAAGATCATTTTCTGTTTTGGAGAGAATAAGTCGTTCTGGTTTTTGAAATACTCAAGAGATATCTTTCGTCTTGTTGATTTTTTCTTCTCAGATGTTGGAATGGAAATAAATTTTGATCCATCTTCAGGATATTCCAAAAATACACATTCTTGTTGCGAGTTAGCAAGAACAATAGCGAGCATCTTTTCTCCATTTTCTGCTTCGTGAACATCAAACGCTTCAATTTGATTGGAGTACACATCAATTCTGTACAAATTAATTGTTGATACATCTCTTATCATGGGTATTTGATAAAGAGAAGAATCGTATTGAAATAAAATGTCGAATCTGTTGCTTATCAGAATACCAAATTTTGCAATTATATCAATGCAAGCTTTCAAAATAGAACTATTACATACCTTTCTGTACCTGCAATATTTAGCAATTTCACATTCGAAATGGCGGTTCTGAATAATGGGGATTTATCAAAGTGTAAGAATTTGCTCAGGTCTACTGATGCTAATTGTGATTTCAGATCAGAAGAATAAATTCGAATTTTTCCATCATCACAATTTGTCACAGAAACAAAATTGCTGGTAACACTCAGAATTTTTCTTGAGTCCATCCACTCCAAAGATTTCACACTTGTAATCGGCACTAAATCCTCGTTGTGTAGTTTGAGAGTGCTATCTTTGAGTGTGTACAGTCCTGTCGTCGTGTATTCAATGGACCAGTTCTGTTGATATTTTTCAATGATGGCTTGTCTGTAATTTACATTAGACTCATCATTTGTAAGCTTGTCTGACGACTTGATGTATGCTATTAGCATCAAATGCGATTCGAAGTCCAAATGTTCTTGGTAAAGTGCCAAACACTGCTAAACGTCCACGTACCATCATAAATTGTTGATATGAATTTTGCCAATTTCGAAAAGATAGGGCCTTTGCTTGAATCGTCATTCCGATCATCATTGGTAAGCAAAAAGTCTGTTAAAAATAATTTCTTTTTCATTTGTACGGATTGATCCTCCACTTCTTCAAACTCGTAGAGAGCAATCGTTTCACCATCGGAGTGGTTTGATGTGTTTTCCTTGTTCATGATGGAAGGGCTTGGATGAGCATGCATTTTTTTTGTGAGCGCTTACATCTTTGCAACGTCACTTGCGTAAGAGGAGGTGTTTTATTTAAATGCTGGTTTCATTTCAAAAGTATGAAAGCAGGTCGCCCGTTGTTTTCAAGAACAACAGTGGGTCATTGTTGAACCAATACGTAACTACAAGATCTTTAACACATGCCGCTTGTTCATGATCATGACTTAAAATGTTGGAAATTCCAATCAGAGATTTCCACATGTAACCCAATGCGTCTTGATTACCAATTACTTTGATGGCTTTGGAAAAATTCTTTTCTAATTCTCTACCAAAGAGCTGATGATGGACAGTCACTTGTTGCAAATAACTCACAGCTTCGTCATTCTGACCTTGTCTGATATTTTCACCCAGAATTATATAGGGAAGCATTAATTGATAATGGAATTGCCCATTTTTCTCAATCTTCAAATCTCCTTTCCGCTTTTGAAGATACATGTACACATACTAAACGATTTTGAAATCAATGTCTCACAATTTCATCGACATACCTTTTTTATCAAAATGTCTCTAAGGGTGGTTTCATATAGGAAGAACGAAAAAGAAATGTTACATAGTTGTAACAACGGTTCTAAACTTTGAGAGGAACAAATGAGAAGGCGTTGAAGATCTTCTTCTGACGCTTCGTTGATGGTTTCTTTTAAATCTCTATCATAAATTTTGAATAACTTGAAGATCAGTTGTTCAACTGCTTCATATAATTTCAGGTTATGGCATGCCATTGCATTTCCAATTTGCCGAACATAACTGAAGTGTAACACTCCAATGAAGGCGTATATGGTGTTAAAAGTTTCTTTTCCTTGTAAAACGAAATCCTTATAAAGATAGTTCACAAAAGTTATCGTATCTCTAACAGCCTTTTGTTTGAACGTTGTTGGAATAGTGTACACGAAATTATCGTCATAGCAAGAAAATCCATTGGATGGTACTTTCTCCAAAATTTTGAAAAGCTGAATTTGAGTTGAACCAGTCCATATGCTCAAGATGTTTCTAGGAAGGTTTCTTGATTTCAAAAACTTTTTTAGCAAGTAAAGGTCGTTTGGATTCAAACTTTGAATGTCATCACAAACCACGAAAGTGAAACGGGATTCGTCTTCAGAAAGGTATGACTGAAAGAGTTTTTCCACCTGACATGTGAACTTGACATCTTTTTCCGTCAGCTCAAAATTTTGTGTCACTTTTTGAGCTATGAAGAGAGAAAACGAAATGTCTTTTGGTTTGTCGAGCATGTCAATATAAATCACATTAAACTTATTGTACAAATTTTTAGTACGTATTAATTCTAAAGAAAGGAAATAGGGAAGGATTGTTGCTGCCAGAATCGTTTTTCCTGTTCCGGCATATCCATGAACCGAGAGATGAGGCTTGCATTTTGTAAAACTTCCAACGTTCAAATTACGAATAACGTTCTTCACACATTCCTCTATTTCTGGAAAGTTATTGGTAATGTGAACTTGATTGGAATACTCCCAAATGATAGAGTCCTCCGATGTATTTTTGATGTTAATGTTTGCTTCATCCAATAAATTAACGAAAATAACTGATCGAAATAAACAACTCATACCTAATGATCCATTAAGCTTAATCAAATCCCAATCCAGAAATTTTGCACCAACGACAGGTTTAAATCTTTGATTAAAATAGGTTTCAACGGAACCTTCCTCACTTGAGGCTGGTTCTTCTTGACGGAAAGCATTTGAGATCATTTTTCATTAACTGTAATTCTATTACAGCTTCAAAAATGTGGTTGGGTGAAGCACCAAAGATAATTAATGTCTAGGTGAAATGTTCTTCCCGTGTTCATTCAAACAAGATTGTGAATCAAAGAAACCGTGAAGTTAAAGAATACTTGAGGATTAGTCAACTCATGCAAAAAAATGTTTCAAGACCTGCCCTTCGAGATTGTTATTGAAATTTTGCAATTCATTCCCACCTACCCATATTTATATTTTGACATGCCTCGTATATGCAAACAATTCTATTTACTTTTCAAATATGGATTAGAAGATTTCGATACGTCTGATGATGAGAATAGTGTTTCGGAGAGACTTTTGAAGTTGCCGTTGATGGAATTGAAACATTTTTTGAATAAGAAAAATAATAGGTCATGCATGAGTGTAGGTACAATTAATGTTAAACATAAAAAGGGTTTTTACCAACCTGTGAAACACGTGGATCAACCCGACAGAAATTTCATAGTCTTTTGAAATTTGATCATGTTAACTTGGTGTTTTTCATTCCAAAACGATATCGAGTTCTGGGTATGAGCTTGTTTCGTCCAGAGTCAAGTACTGAGAAGGAGCAAGAAGAGTTTTTTCAAGCTGTTCATACTTTGTTTTACAAAATAACAATGGATTGGAAATTGCAAGTTTCCGAGCTCATCTTGGTCAATCTTGCACACTATTCGACAAGACTACAATGCTGTCTTGAAAATTTTCATGTATTTGAAACTGTTCAACGTGTGGTGTATGTGATGTGTAATAATGGAAAGTATCTTTTCAGGGATGCAAAAGAAGTAATTGACATTTCAGGAGACTTTTGGTTTACTACAGCATGTCAAGGAGACTTTTTTTCGCAGCAAGATCGAACGACAGAGATTACAAAAGAAATGCCACATCTATTAATGATCTCATTCGATTTAAAAACACACTGGCCTTATTGAGAATATTTCAATTAGAGCCTTATTTTGAAGCGAATCGATTGATCATCTATCGACAAATGTTAGGACTTGTGATTGCTAAAACGAAACACAACGAGAAGTTTGAAAGTGAAGTGTTAGAGTATATTCCTGCATTTTCCAAACGATATTTACAAAACAACGACAATGGTGTGAGTTGTGACGAAAATGGTCCTGAGGAAGTACTGAAATTACTTGAAAATGATTTTTATGAAGATGCTACGGCATGGAAAGAAAGTCATATTTCCCGCTGTTCCAAAGACATTCCTACATGGCTCACAGAAACAGTCATGAATTACATTAAAGCACATGAGACAAAAGAAGCATCCAAAATAACAAAGAAGAAGAAAAGAAAGTAATTAAATGTTTTTCAATACTTCAAGAGAGGAGTTTTCGAAGTAAAGTCACAACAATATCTTTCAACAAATTTCACATTTTTTCCCGATACGTTCAATGAGTAGGAATGAGTAAATCATAATGCTGCTTTTGTTCATCATAGGCCAAACAAATGTCACTAGTTACTGCAACACCATCTTCTGGGTTGACTTCAATTTCAGCCTTAATAATCTTCTTTCCGCTACTACTACTACCCTCCACCAAGAAAATTTTAAATTGCGTTCCAGGTCTCACTCGTGACATGGCCACAATATTACAAAAATCTCCGTAGGATCCTTCTTTTTCTAAAGCTTTCAAGTAATCGGAGACGGTTTCACCTTCATTCAAGAAAATTGCCAATTTAAATTCCAATCCATCAACTTTTGTTTCTAAATTGTTTTTAATCCAATTCACAATTTCTTTTCTCACTTGAAGATGATTTGACGATGATTTGTTTGATGATGATGAATTTTGATTTAGTCCAGTGGCGATAGAATGAAACAAACAATTGCCATCGGAAGGAGATGAAATTATTTTAAAGTGATCTTGTAAGTATTTTCCTCTGTATTCCGATTGTGCAGTCATACATGATGAAAACGATCTTGAAAATTGATGACGGAATGTAGGGATTATTTTTGTATTCCTGTTGTTCAATTTAACAAGCAGCAACGAGCGAGTTTTGTTGATCATTTTTTTGCGTGTGTTCTGTTGAATGAAATATTTTCTTGTTTTGATTGGCTATGTGAAACCGTTTAAGCAATAAAGGGATTCAAAACTGTGATTCCATTATCCTTTTCACAATTTATTAACATCTCTAAATAAGACCAAGAACCTACTAGTTGTTGTTGGAATCACAACTGCATGCTTTGAGTGACGAGGCAGCAAAAAAAATTTTCTGTTACGCAATGAATGCGTGTGCTACTAAAAAGAGAAAAATCTCGCCAAACGTTGCGGACGCAACTAATTCATCATCAAAAAGTATCAACTATAGTGCTGAAGCAGATATTTCCTCTCCAACAAACTCCAACATCAAGCAAATACCGTTTATTGATGATATTATTTTTGAAATTCTTCGTTTCCTTGTATCATTATTCATCGTCCGAGTTTGTATGAAAATTTCAAAACAATGGAGACGAGTATCGTTTCGAATTCCGCTCTCATTATCATTAGAGTCAAAACTCTCCAAACAAGTTCGTGAGCCAATCAAACTTTTAGCTGATTGTGAATGCCTGAAGAATTTACATTATTTGGGTATTAATTTTTCCAGAGTTGGTAACCAAGATGTCAAATATATTGCCCATAGTGAATATTTGAAGACCTTGACTTCGTTGAGCCTGTATGGCAATCAAATCGGCAATGAAGGCGCCAAATGTATTGCTAATAGTGAGCGTTTGAAAAATTTGACTTCTTTGAATATGAATGGCAACCAAGTTGATAATGAAGGCATTAATTATATCGCTAATAGTGAATTTTTGAAGAATTTAATATATTTAGATCTGTCCTACAACAAAATTGGCCATGAAGGTGTCAAATGTATTGCCAATAGTGAGTGCTTGAAGAATTTGACTTCTTTAGATTTGAGGGGCAATAGTATTGACATAGAAGGAGTTAAATATATTGCCAATGGTGAATTGTTGAAGAATTTGACTTCGTTAGATCTGAGTTTCAATTTAATTGACAATGAAGGCGTCAAATATATTGCAAAAAGTGAATGTTTGAAAAATTTGACTTCGTTAGATCTGAGTGGCAACCAAATTGGCAACGAAGGAGTCATACATATTTCCAATAGTGAATGGTTGAAGAATTTGACTTGTCTAAATCTGGAATTCAATCAAATCGGCAATGAAGGTGTCAAATATATTGCCAATAGTGAGTGTTTGAAGAATTTGACTTCATTGAACCTTCAAGGCAATCAAATTGACAATGTTCGAAACATTCTGCGAAATTTAAACGATTGGAAATAGGTGAACCAAATACAAGTGGTTTTTAATTGTTGTGGAATGCTTTGCTTGTAATCTAAAGATCATGGACACTCTGAAACCTTATTTCTGTAGACTTCCAACTTGCCATCCAAAAATAGCCCATGGATCTAACATTTGAAAAACTGTAAACACAGTAATTGCGTCTACACAGGTGGGTACCTCGTTCCTTCATGTTTCCTATTGGCCTGGTCCAATCTCAACTACATGAACAAAACAAGGATCATGGCTCACGTGGGACTGTCCTGCCGAACGTGAAGGGGCGTTTTTCTTGGAACCCAATACGAACTCTTTCTGCAGCTTCGTCGTTAAAAAGCTTTTCATGCTGCATGAACTTTTCAACAACAAAAAAAAACCACACACAGCCTCACCCGTTTTTGATTCAGTAGCCAACAACGAGCTCGATACCCACCTCTCTCTCTTGCGATTATCCATTTCATGTTACCACAAAATAACAACAACAAGAATAACAACAATTCATCATCCTTCTTTTCCAATCCAAATTTGATGTCGTCCCCATCCGACGCTGAAGCCAACAATGACGTTAACTTTTATCAACCCATCACCATTCATGAAATTATTGAAAATTTGAAAAAGGAACGTGCCGTGGATGCCTCTCTGTATAAGAAGGAGAATACGGCTGATATCATCAGTGATCGTTTGCAATCGGGAACCACCATTGAAGCATTGCTTGTAAAACCTAATGTTGAGGGTTCCAACGACGCTCTCATTACTCAAATTTTGGTAAGTGTGATTGTGAGAGTGTTTGGTTTGAACGATGCCAATGACTCTCATGTTTTGAAATATTCCAAATATGGTCATTATATTTTGATGAAATTTTGGTTGAATTTTTGTGATATCATTCACACAGGATGTGGTCAATGACCAACAAGGTCTGCCCGTGATTCGCTCCATTCTAGGTACCACTGTGGTAGAGCCAGGAAAGATCCGAGTGGTCGTTGTGAACGGTGCCATTCGATTGGTCGGTCCAGGTATGTTTCATCACAAAACGAGTTTATTTGCTCGAACAATATTTTACACTGTGTCCTGATACCAATGCCAACATCATTGGTGAAAATGCATGATCGGAAATTTACTTCTTATTTGTTGGAATTTTTGGATCGCTTGTGTGTTTCTTCTTCATTGACCTTTTTTTTGAACAAAATTTACAATATACACCAGGTCGTTACATGAATGTCAATCCTCGTGCTCATTGGAGCTCCACCTACAGCATGGATTCCGACAGAATCGAACACGAAACTTTGTCGATTATCAGAGTTCCAAAAGGATATTATGGTCTCGCCACAAACAATGGTCAACCCTTAATACTCGGAGAAGGTGTCCATGTTAGAAATTCTAGGTTGTTCAACTTTGTTGAATTGAAAGAAATCAATCAAGAGCATATCAAGCATGGTACCATTGATATCATGAGAATTCCACAAGTAAGTGTTGATTGACGTTTAACATTTATGAATTTTTCACATCATGAAATAATATTGTGTGTTAAATTATTCTAAATCTTCCTGAAAATGTTAGGGAAAATATGGTATGGTCCTTGAAAATGGAATTCCCAAGCTTTTAACAGCAGGCTATTACGTGTCTGATTCTGTCTTGTTCAAATATTGTGGAACTGTGAATATTAATGAGCCTCACATCAAGCACTCAACTATTCAAATCATTAGAATTCCAAAATCTTCAATTGGTTTGATTGTTATTGCTACCAAGCCATTGCTTCTTCATGAAGGTGAGTACTTGAATGAGTTTCTTCAAATTTCTAATTTGTGACATTTTTCCGAAATGCAAATCATTTCTATTTTACATTAGGAATTTACACTTTCAATGATCAAAACATTGCCTTCTTGGGAATGAAGGATGCTAATGAACAAGTAATTATTCACAAGCCAATCACCAGATTTAGAGTTAAGAATGGTGAGATTGGTTTATGTTGGTGGCAATCAAAGCCTCTCTTTGTTCAAGACCCTGGAATGTATGTATTGTCAGTTATTTTCATTGTTTCCATTAATCAACCACATGTTTCCATAATGACTTTACCACTACACGATTTGTATATGAACATCTTGATGTCAACACCTAACAGTTATGAAGTGGACAGCATTGATTTCATTTTCGAACAATGTGTGCCAATTTCTTCTAAACTTGTCGCTCTAGGAAGCTCTATGAGAATTGTGGTCTATGATGGTGAAATTGGTATTACTTACTTGAAAGGAAAATTGGACGTGTTGCAGCCAAACACTTACATCTTCCACGATAGTGTTTTACGTACTTTTGAAGGATATTTAAGCACAAAACTTAATACCATTCCTTTGATTGAGGACGGTTCTAAGGAGACCTTCCTTCGTTGTGACACTAAGGATCTTGTAGAATTGGGAATTAAGGCATCTTGTTCTTATCGTATTTGTGATCCTAAATTGACACTTACAACCATTGGTAAGGAACCACAAATTATCAGGTATGTAGTATTTTGTTGCAGTTTCAATCAAGATCATTCATTGATAACCCAATCTTAATATTATTGTTTCGTCGGTGTGAACCATTCAAACAGATTAATCAAGGATCAATCCATTGCCACCGTGCAAGCCATTGTGAGAAGTACCGCTTTGAACCAAGTGGCACAAAGTAAAACAGTGAACGCAGCAAGTCACTCTGCCATTGGTGACGATAAGGATGCCCCACTTCAACAACCAACTGCTCCAGTATTCTTTGAGAAGATTCATGATGAATTCCTCTCCAAGCTCCATGATGAATTTAAAAAGAGTTATGGTATTGAAATTACCAATGTTAGAATTGAAGATATTCAAATTATGAATCAAGAACTTGCTAATAACATTTCCAAGCAAGCCATCATCACTGCTGAAACTGAGACTAAATTGGCAAACTTGGGAGGACAACGAGAAATTGACTTGGCTGCTCAAGAACGTTCGAATGCCATCTCGTCAATTAAGGCAACTGCTGAAGCCTTCAAACTTCGTACTGAAACAGAAGCTAAGAATAATGCAGCTATTTTAGAGGCTGAAACTAAAGCTATGGGTAAGTTGAGTATAATATGTGAGTGCGTGAATGATATATTTCTCATTACTATTTCTGATTCATTATTGTTAATGCATTACCATATTATTTCATGTAACATGAAATTACATTTGTTACATTGGGCTTTCCTAATCAACCACAGAAATTAAGACACTTGCCAAAGCTCGTGCTGAAGCAATGACCATTGAGGCAGAAGCCGAAGCTAGAGCCATTGAAATTAAGGCCCTCGCTGAAAAGAAGAGAGCTGAATACCTCTCAAGTACAGAATTCGGTAAACAAGATGCATTGTTAACCAAACACCACGACATGGTCGTTCAAGCCATGAAAGGTATTCAACAAATTGTGTACCTTCCATCGGATGCGAATATGGGATGCTTACCATTGCAAATGTTTGGTCTCAAAGGAGGTGTTCCAACTTTTGATTCCCTCACTAAGGAACAACCAAGCGTTTCCACTATGAAGAAATAAGACAAATAAAAATTGTGTAAATAAATAAGATAAATCTGATCTGTTAAAAATTGCTTTTCAAACATATTTTTCAAAACCCACAATTTTGATGATTTTGTTAAATTATAATCATTGCAACCCTTTCCTCATTTCTGCACTGTCAATACCTTCTCGCTGATCACTGGAGAACTCTCGCGAGGGAGAAACAGGGTTGTCGTCCATGTTCATACATGGAGAATGCTCCGCTTGAAGGTTGTACCTTGTTAATCATACCCCACCGCTTGTTCTCGCACCAAAGCAGCTTCAACGAGATGGCATCAAGGAGAAGGTTATTTTTGATGATTTTGATGGCAGGACCTGTTTTTCGGTTACTGGACTGGTATAGGTTTAGGTTATGGAATGCTTTAAAGTGTTGATGAACAACCGTGTTGTTTTTGATTATTATCGGTTCAACAATCGTTTTAATACGCAATGATTATTATTCAAAATAGAAACAACCATGATGATGAATGGACTTGAACATCCGGGTGGCCAGGTGTTGAGCGCATTTCGCATGATTGTTCCCCAACTCAATATTTAGCAAAAATTCGAACACTCAAAAAAATATCCTTAATAATAATAAATATTTTCTATCGTTCGGGTAGGATGGTGATGATAATGAACAACAGCAAGCCTTCCGAACCAATGATGCCCTTTTGAGAGATTCAATATGAACCAATGATGTCATTTCCTAGGACTCATCAGACTCTTCATCAGAAGAAGTATCACTATATTCATCACCCACCCGCTCGTAATCGTGATCCGTTCCATACTTCGGCCCCTCACGGCTCGTTGTTGAGTAGTCCCTTAGGGTTATTTTCAAGTTTCATCGGTTGTTGTTGCTGCCATTTATTAGTCCCGAGGGGTGGAAGAAATCGCCCATCCAAGCACACAGCTAACAATTTGATTGCATCCGGCTAGTAATTTCCAGAGCGTTTTGGAAAATTGGATTTCTTGGGCGGACTGGACTCGCTGCAGCGGCTGAATGCTAATAAAAAAATTTTTATTTTAAAAAAATGAAAAGCATTCACCAACAACAACTGCCACTAACATGCGATAGTAAATTTGCTGCACGTTTCTCGCAAACAAGGCAACACAATTAATGCACCAAGAAGCATCGGCATTTCATTACCTCACACTAAAACCTAAAGAGTCGAAGAACTATTCATATCAATAATTTTCGAAATGTGATTAATTTTTGGATTTGAAACTCAGGTGACGTCGATGATGTCAAAGATTGGACCAAGTTTTGACTGCTATGAAGAGTGGAGAGAAATACGCTTCCAATTTGGTTACTACTCACCTTGGTTTGGATGAGGATTGGGAGAAAACAAATTCGGTGGTGGCCCGTCTAATTCCAAAATCAACGTACACCTCGAATAATACACGTGAGTGGATAAATGACACCAAGGAAAAGTTAAATACGTGGCTCCATCGTTTTACACCATGATCTACAATTTGAAAATTGCAGGATTGTTGAATTCAGATTGTGAAACTCTTCAAAGATTTTGCCTACTGATACTGAGAATTATGTACTTGTTCAACCAATCGATTGTCCAATATTGAAAATAGGAGACATTTTCATGATTACATTCAATTGGAGGACAACAGTGATCTCTCAGTGTAGGTTGTTTGCAAGAAAGAAGACACCAGAATATTGATACCGAAGTGACAACTAATTCTTAGATTTATTGTTCAAACATTCCGTGTTGAACGCAACAACATTGTGGTCTACATTGCCGCAAGTCACTTGTTATGAATAAAGTTGGCCAGAACTTGAGTGTGTTTCAAGCAAATATAAATCTATCAATTACTGGAATAAAAAAATTTTGGGATTGTTTGGTGGCTATTGTTGCTGGAGTTGCTGCAATTAAGCAGTATTTTAGCAATCATCCCCATCCGGGCTATTAGCTGTGTGCTAGGATGGGCGATTTCTTCCCCCCCTCTTAGTCCCTTAATATCATGTTTCATCCAAATATTGTTGTTCTCACGAGTTGCAAATGTTCTGCATGTACTATTTGTATTTTGCCAAAAATCGTTATGCAATTCCGGGCGGATCTGCCTAAAGCTTTACTAGGCATACACCCTCTCGGTTGGAATAGAGGCAAGAGTTGTTGTGCAATAAAGTACATAAACAAAAGCACTCAAATGATGCATCAAGAAACGTTGACCCTCGCCAACTCGCCAACAAACTCGCTGGAGTATTTTGGCTCGGGTTAAACCACTGTGTGTCACTCTTAATTTCGTAAAGAGATGTTTTGCGTGTTGTTGTAAAATTTCCAAAGCCAAACTCAGTGAACAAGGAACTTGAACAGGAAAAAAACAAGTAAAAAAAATGGAACTTGTGTTTTTTGCCTTCTTGGCTTTTGCTGCCATCATTGCTTTGTTTCATGCTGGCGAGTGGCTGACGCAATATATGTATAACCGATCCATGTGCTCCATCAATTGTAGGTTTTGTTCTTGTGGTATCGGGATTCGGAGATGATGACGATTTACAAACATTGAAAAAACCCACGTTAATATGAATGTAATTGTAATGAACAAAATAATTATGATTCACCATTCTGTAATTGTTACATATTAATGAATATGAATGAATGGTTGATGATTTTATGAAAATTATTCAAAACCCTTCGGAAAGCACTTGCCATTGAAAAACACTACATGATTGCCATGTCCTGTGCTATACTCGAATACATCATTGAATCCATCTTCTTTCCCTCTCTTAAAACCTACTCATGGATTTGTTATTTAGGAATTATTCTTGCCTTGATCGGTGATGGAATCCGTAAATGTGCCATGATTACTGCAGGAATGGCATTCACTCATCTCATCCAAGAGAGAAGACGAGAGGGACATAATCTCATCACTCATGGAATTTATTCTTACGTTCGTCATCCTGGATATTTGGGATGGTTCATTTGGGCTCCTGCCACTCAATTGATTTTAATGAACCCATTTTGTGTGTGTGCATTTACGTTTGTGGCATGGCAATTCTTTTATGATCGAATTCCTTTTGAGGAGGAAACATTGGTGGGGATGTTTGGAAAACAGTATGAAGATTATAGGAAAAGAGTTCCTTCGTATATTCCATTTGTTGATGCCTTAACAGTCAGCAAAAAGTAGGAAAAGAGATTTGACAGATGTAAAAGAAAAATTTATTCGAATTATTTGAATTATATATTTATTATTACTTGTTTGAATTCCAAGTATTTTTTATGTTTTAAAATTGCAACATAATGTCACACATGAATAGGAATAAATTATTACGACTTTTAAACCAAAATTGAAAACTGATCCTTCTCTACAACAAAACTTTTCCAAACTCTCTCGTTATTGATAATCATTTTCGTGTCTCGACAGTGAAGTTTTCTCATCGGAGCCAATATACGAATAAGCAGTCCCCACTCGGGTATCCGAAGCAATCGAGCTTTCGTCTTCATCTTCAGTGTTGACCTTTTTGAATTTTCCACTCTTTCGTGTGATGTAATCCTGATATTTTTGGAAGGTGCTATCTTTCACACATGGGCAATAAATTTGTTTGAATTCCACGTTACTGGTCATTTGATAAATAATTCCAGAAACGAGTACACACATGGTCAAATCGAGAGTATTAAAGTTAATCGATCGGTAGAACAATCCAAAGACCACTCGATGAGCTCCATATTCAACAATAATGAAAATCATTTCAAGGAATGTGACTGCAAATGCCACAATAAGGAACATGACAAACTTGGTAAATTTGATCTGGAAAAAGGACAAATTGTTTGCCACCTTTAAGGTAAAGAATAATTTTGCACCAAACACAACAAAGAAAATGGTAAAGATCACAGCTGAGGCAGCAGTCAGAGAAAAGAATACCAAATTGAATATTTTGGAAACACTCTTATCGGCCGCATAAACAAATGGAAGAATGGACATGCCCAGTAAAATCACATAAACAATGACCAATAAAGCTTTGAGACCGGGATGAATGACGAGAGCATCTGTGGTCGTTCTCATGGAGCCTAACAATAAATTGACCCACATGACCAATGTTGTGACAAGAGCTGCAATGAGCCAAAGTAAACTCAATGATCTGAAAAATCCATATCCTAATGTGTGACGTCATGAGTGCAAGAAATTGTTGGAAATGTCAGGATTGTCAATACGAGACGCAGAAAGTACATCAACACTTACCCAATGCAATTCTTGCATCATAAACATGATTCAAAGGAATCCCCAAAATGTTCTCAAGAGTTAAAAATACAAAGTATGAGAATACAAAGAAAATTATCAACCAATTCAAAGTAAACACTTCTTCATATAAAGCTCTCTGAAGAGTTTTAAAGTGATGCTTGATACTGGTACGAATTTTCTTATAATTTCTATAACACAACGGAATGACATTGAAAATGATCGTCGCAATTGCAAGCATTCCAGAAATGATAAACGTAATGACTGGATACGCTTGGAATGTGAATGGAATAAAGTTTGTAGAAAAGTAGTCACACTTGTATCCGAACAGATCATTTCCACAATAACAAATCCAAGGAGTTAAAGTCTTTCCTTCTAACAAGGACTCTCCATGAATGAGTGGTTGCTCAAAGGAGCCTTCTGGGACTGGCTGATTATAATTACAAAAATCATCACGAACATATTGGAAACAACGACTCGTGTTGACAGATTGAAGTTGGGTGTGAAAATCAACAAAATCCTCTCGCTGACAATATTGACAATAATTCATCATCCATGCAAATTCTCCAAGTGCACTCTGTCGATCCCGAATATTTGAAATACCATAAGTCCGATTCAAATAGGACAGGGAAGAGTTACTCAATTTCGGATAATTATTACAATATAAATTCAGACAGGAATCAATCGAGTACTTTTTAAACAATTGAGAGACACTATTGGCATCACACACTTCATAAAGTTTTGTATCAAAAAACGTGTAATAAAGAGTAAACTGAACTGATCTTTCGTATCTGAAGGCAATGGTGCTCTCATTATAGGTTTGAATGGAAGAACATGAAACAACTTGTTCTGAATTCTCTATTTTGACATGTTTACACCCTTTCCATAACGTTCCTGTATTGGGAAGGTCCTGAGCCATGATGATTGTGGAGGACATGAAGAGAAGAAGAGCTGTTAATAATAACAGTATGGTCGTGTATTGTTGGGCTATTGTTGGTATTACGGAACTGTTCCGTTTCATCATCATGGAAATATTGTACCGCAATGATGAAGATGATGGTAACTGCCTTCCCGATGAAGATGCCAATGATAACATTGAAGAGGATAATACTTGTGAGAGATGAAAATGTTGTAGTAAATATTTCTTGCAGGACAGTCTAGCACGGAGAATGGTGATGAGAAGTTGTGTACTAGGAAGGGATTACAATGAGGAGCTTGCTGGGTCGTTCGGGTTTTGAGTGTTCAAGTATGGACTTGTCTTTGGACACCCAAGAACTTGATTTTTTTTTGAAAGGAACACTTTGGTACGGACCATTCTTCAGGATTGTTTGTTCAAACCAAATAAAAATAGTGGAGACATCATGATCTCACTCTTGAAAAACAACATCAACTTTCTCTCAATATGAAATAATTGATTAATTCAATTTGATCTTGGAGAATGTTTTTTTTTAATTTTTTTTCCACTCTTTCAAAGAAAAAAGTTCAAAATCAATTACAAATCTATCTCGATGCATCCTTTTCGCGATACTGCAAAACAACCAGGTGTAGCAAGCAAGAGATTGCATTGGAACCACTTCAACTGCATCATCTTGCACAAACTTCTAAACTGAGCCGCGCTTTGAAAGCTCATTGTCCATCATGTACCACTAATTTCGTGTGTTGTCCTTTTTGTGATAACTTGTTCGCAACCAACACCAATTACCTGAACCATTTATATACACATCATACGGAAAAAAGTTCACAACTATTTAAGTGTTGTTTATTATGCACTTCTTCAGCGGAAGAGTTTCATGAGCACGTTATGGATAACCATTGTGCATCCGTCCTGGTACATGAAAAGAAGAGTAATCAAAGAAAATGAAACATGATGTTGAATGATGACGATTATGTGTACAAATAATCACAATACGTTTTGTTCCGATCAAAGTTGTTGTTTTATTTTACAAAAGCAAGTTAGGTCAAAATCACACCCTCTGGACAGCACATTGACTGGTGAAATGAAAGAATCGACTTCCTTCCACTGTCATTCTCGTGCTGCTGTGTTGTTGCTTCACGACATGAGATTCTTCTGGACAGTCTTGCTTTTGCGAAGACTTGCAACACGAATAATGATTCACGGTCAAAGACATTTCAGTTATTTTTTTTCACAAAATTTTGAGCGTTCTTTTCTTTTTATAGTTTTTCTTGGAGTCTGTACAAATTTTCTTGAATCTTCTTTGAGAATTCCCAACCCAAAATCAAATGCTAATATTAAAATACACTCTCAATCAAGTCTTGATGGACTTAAACTCTTTTTTCACATGTTGCTTCATTGGAATGCTCACTCTCTTCTTTTTCATATTTTCTTGCAATAGTCACATTCAACACAACAATCGCCATTTGCATGAATCCTAACACAACAACCAATGGCCATAACACTTCTTGAAAATGAACAATATCCATAAAGGCACGTCGATACAAGGTTACCAATAAAATCGAAGCAACAACATTCAGAATTAGTTCAAGCATGAGCAACACGGACACAATGTTCAAAAAAGTAGAATGCTTTTTGAAACTGACAATTCCTGAAGCAATACAAAGAACGACTTTCAAACTCATTAAAACTCCAAAAACGAAATTCCATGCAATGGACGTGATGACAACGCACAAGCATATGAGGAGTACAAGTACGCGTTGTATGGTTTTATATTTTATATTGGATTTCATGGACTGGATCAAGGATTGAAACCATGACATTTTGCTTTCGGCAGAAGTACCAGATGACATTTGAATGATGCTGGGAGTTGGAAAAGTGTCACTATGCGAGGTCATTGGAACTGTTGTATTGTTCAATGTTGGGCAATCTTCATCGATCTGTGGTGAATAATGTCCATGAGATGAGAGAGTAGGATATATTTGGAAGTTTGAATGTTGTTGCTGTTCGAAAGGAATCATGGACGTTGGTTGGTGTAGCGTTTCTTGTTGCGACATTTTTTTGTTTGGGAAATTCTAACCTGGTTCTGAGATTCTTATGAGACATGAAAATGAACAGGACAGTTGTTTTTTGATCGTTGCAACATGCGTCTGACCTTGAAAGGCAGGAACTTAAAGTCAAGAAACTCGAGGCTCCTTCTGTCAGCAATTCAGAGCCCACAGTTTGCGAAAAGTCAATCGTCTCAGCCATTAATAAATAATTTATTTTAAAAGCTTGTGTGAAGTGCCAATCTTGCATTTGATTGCATTTCTCCACCAGGTTCCATTATTATCGCAAAGTTATAATGAATCACCATGATGAAAGTGGGGTCTGAATTGCTACCAGCCACTTATTTTGTTTTGTTGTTGGCTTCTTGGTTTCTCTTCTCTGAAACAATTAATTGCACATCCTTATCATTTAACAAATCCAAATAAACATACTGTATGGATTTGATATCTTGTTTGAGCGCTTCCATCACTATTTCCTTATCTTTACAAAAACTGAAAAGAGCATACTGCAGCGCTAGTCCATGACATTTCACTGCTTTTAGAACAAATTCTCGATCATGCTGAAGTCGATATGACGCGAAAAATAGTGCATGCTCATTAACTTGAACTAGCTCATTCATCAATTCATCATTATCCGAAAGACTCAACAATGAAAATACCATCGCTGATGGATCTTGCTTGACAGCTGTCGTTACAATTTCTATATCTTTTCTAAGTGTCATTGGGACGTGTCTCAAAGCCATGCCTTTAGATTTAACTGCTTCTAAAACAATCTCTCGATCATGTAGCAAACATTGATCAGTTACATTGGCCAACGCAAGTCCATTTTGTTTCACAGCAGTTAAAACGACATCTCTATCACGGTTGAAATGGTTTGTTGGAAGAGCATCACCACTTTGTTTGACAGCTTCCATGACAATCTCACGATCTTGCTTGTATTGGAAACTGAGGTATTGGAGAGCAGTACCTCTCTTTTTCACAGCAAGCAATGCAAACTCTCTGTCGTTCTTGAGTGAATCTGAGGCATACGAAAAAGCAGATTCCTCTTTTTCTATGAGTTGTAGCATGAAGTCTCTGTCTTCTCTCAAATTGAAATGTTGGTCAAACATAACAATTACAGGAACGTTCTTCGCTGCTTCCATCACGATTTCCTTGTCCTTCCAAAACAGCTCTATATTCAAACTACAAAGAATATTTCCATTCTTTTTCACAGCTGCCAAGACGATATCCCTATCTTGTTCTGTGATATTGCATCGAGTAATGAAATATGAGTTTTCACAATGTTCGAGAGCTTGTAAAATTAATTTCTTATCACTAAGCACTTCGGGACAAGTGACATAATTCATGCCTTCACCCTGGTTTTGAATGGCATGAGTAATAATTTCGACATCATTTCTCAATCTCACACTTGCTCCTGATAAGGCAGTTCCTTCATTTTTAACAGCTAGCAGTACAATTTCGCGATCATCTCTAAATGATGCCTCCGAAAATTGCAAAGCCCATCCACAATGTTTGACAATATTCATCACAAATTCTCGGTCCTTTCTGAGCTCATCAGAAGCATAACATAAAGCTTCTGGATGTAAGGAAATAATGGTCGTCATTATTTCCTTGTCATTGAAAACGTTAATTCCCGAAGCAAGCATGGATTTAGGATCTCTATTAATGGCATGAAGTAAAATTTCCTTGTCATTTCTAAATTCTTCATTTACAGCCATAAATGTCAACACGCTTCCTGTCCTAATAGCTTTTAAAACAATTTCGCGGTCCTTAAGCATTTCTTGCCCGACATAATATATGGCACTAGAATTCTTTTCAACTGCCGCCAATGCTATCTCTTTGTCGTTCTTTAGAGAGGCATCAAGGTATCGAATTGCTAAACCATTCACCTTAACTAGTTCCAGTGCGAACGATTTATCTTTCCTAATCTCTTCACAGCAGTGAGCGATAATCTTGACATCCTGAGAAGCAGCTTGTAAAATGACTTCCCTGTCTTGTCTCAACTCTGGAGACGTGTAATAAAAGGATTCAGCATGTGATTTGATGGCAGTAAGTAAAATATTTCTATCATAACGAAGTGATTTTCTCAAATGACCAAATTCGTATGGGTTAGTTTTCACAATTTCCAATGCTACATCTGGGTCATTTAACAAATCTAGATCCAAATTGTCAGAATGGCCAATCTGTTTGGCTGCATACAGTAGTAATGGTTTGTCAATTTTTCCATTGACAAACGTCAGTGCTCTTCCATTTTGGGCTAATGCCTCGCGAACGATATCGGGATCACTTCGTAAATGTACGGCTGCAAATTCTAAGGCTTCTCCATTTTGTTTCACAGCTGCCAACACAATGTCTCTATCGGCTTGCAGTGATGAATGGGCAAACTCTAACGCCAACCCTGACTTTTTTACAGCTAGCATCACAATTTCCTTATCTTTCTTAAACTCATCTTTGAGATATTTGAGCGGAGTGTAGCCATAATCTGTTCCATATTTCAATGCTCTCAACACTAGGTCACGCTTCCCTTTGAGTCTGTCACTGGCAAATCTAAGAGCATCTCCGTTTTGTCTCACTGCCATTTCCACAATTTCGTCATCATCTTGGAGTTCATACGAGGCACATTCCAACGATACTGCATCGTTCTTAATAGCTGCCAATATAATTTGTTTATCGTTTCTCAGAGAGAGCGGCAAACGGGAAAGCATGGATCCATGTTTCAAAGCAAGTAATGTCAACTCTTTGTCTTGTCTCAACAAATAAGGTAGTTGTTGATAATTGTAAGCGTCGCTCTCAATGGCTTTTTTGACAACATCTCGATCCTGCCTCATAGAAGGGCTCAAGTTGTTGAGGTAAACGCTTGAAAATAAATAATTATCGAAAAGCCCCATGACAAGCTTCTTGTTGTTACTAAATTGCTCATCCACAAATTCAATACATGCTGGCGAAAATCTGAGAACTTTCATCACAAACTGATTGTCTTTCTTCAACCTATTGCTTGCATATCTCATTGCTTCAGCACTGTCAAACACGGCTCGTTCAACTACCTCCTTGTCATCTCTCAATGCTTCTCCCAAGTACCTCAATAGGGAGCCATTGATCGTGACTGCCAAAAGGGCCATTTCCCTATCTTTCTTCAGAGTAGTACTCGCATATCGGAACAAGTGCGCATCTAATAACAGTACTTTCTTGAGCAATTCTTTGTCCTTTCGAAACTCTTCATCGATATACGGATAAATTGAGGAATTTCCTTCGTTAATAACTTGAGTGATAAATTCTTTATCACTTCTCAGCGATAAATCTGCATAACGAATATAATAGCCGTCAACACAAATGGCTATCTTAACAATTTCCTTGTCTTGTTTGAATACTTGATCTACTTTCTGTAACAAGGAACAATCCTGGCGGACAGCATCGACAAGAATCTCACGGTCTTTTTTCAATTCATCGGAAACGTGTTCAATGGCATATCCATTTCTTTTCACACAAGCCATAGCGATTTCCTGTATGTTGTCATGTATCGTTTCACATATTCGTGAAAAAGAAGTAAAATCGAAACTGTACAACTTACCTTATCATTGTTCCACTCAGTAGCATACGCAATGATTGGAGAGCCTGTTCTTGCTGCTGCATCAAGAATAAATTCTCGATCTGAAGCCTGTTCTGGTAGCAAGTACTTGTAGTTATTGGATGCATGATTTTGAAGTGCTATCATGGCCAACTTTTTATCCTTCCTAAACTGGGAAGGAATGAATGAGAGAGAAACGCCTGACCTCAATGCACTCTTAATTACCTCTATATCATTTCGAAGTTCCTCATTCAGAGATGTGTAAAAATGCAATCCTCTTCTCCTCATCCCATATAACAAGACAATTTCCTTGTCTTGCTTAAACTCCAATGGAAGGTCTTTATAAGAAAGACCCGCTCGGACAGCTGCCATAACCAATTCTCTATCGTTTTTCAGTATAGTTGGAACATGACGCAATGCACCTCCATCAGATTCCAGGGCACGCATGATAAACTCCTTGTCACCTCTAAATGGTTTGCACAATTGTTCAAACTGGTACGAATATGCTTTCATCAGTTCCAACATCATTCTACGATTGTGTTGAAATTTATCATCAAAATCTGAGACTGACAAAGAGTAACCTTGATTAGAATGAATGGCTATCCATGCTAGCTCTTCATCTTGCTTCAAACTATCGTCGATGTATTTGTAATTGCTGCAAAACAAGCCAATAGCCTGCATGGCTAAGTCTCTGTTTTTTTTCAATACAGGGCCAACATATTGATAACATTCCGGTTGTGAAAAGATTGCCACTTCACAAAGTTCATAATTTTCTCTACAATCAGCGCTGGCATATTGAAGTGCAGTTCCATTCGATTTTACAGCTGTCATGACCACTTCAATATCGTGTTGAAGTTCATTAGAAGCATATTGCAAGCAATCGCCTGAGATTCTTACAGCTTCGAGCACTACTTCTCGATTTGCTCTCAACTCAGCGCTGGCATGCATGAAACCATTCGAGTAGGCACCATGCAAAACAGTAAAAAGAATTTCCTTATCTGCCCTCAGCTCATCCGAAAGAAACTCGTATAAATATCCATGGTCTTGCAAAATGTCTAGTACAAGGCTCTTATTTGATCTATATTCGAGACCAACATATCTGAGGGCAGAAGGTTGATTGTTCAGAGCTGCCATCACACAATCATGGTCATTTTTCAATGCATCATTTGCATAGCGAATATTTTCACCTCCCAAAACATGGATAGCCAGTAAAATAACTTCCTTGTCATTCAGTAAATCGCTATTGAGTTGCGATAATTGACAATGACCAAGCCGAATTCCCTCCATAACAAATTCCTTATCATTTCGCAAATCATCTCCCAACATATTAAACGACCACGAGTTGTTTTGAATGCATATGGTGGCAATTTCCCTATCGTTACGAAACTCTGATGCAACATCGTTCAAATTACAACCAAACTTAACTGCCTCTAGAACCGTGTCTCTGTCTCTTGTAATGGCATCTCCTGCTTCAGATAAGCTGTTAATTGTTGGACCAGTATTTGTTGTCGCAACATTAATTCCACAATAATACATCATTGAGTCATGTATAGCCAAATCCACAATCGACAATTTTGGTCATTCATTGGGATTCATGATTAACACGTATCATGTTACATGCATGGACGTTCATGCGTTTCAACAACCTACCAATGTGGTGCAGTTTGGATTGCTTTCAAAAACACCTCTCTATCATTCCTAATTTCGTCAGAAAACACTCTAAATGCAGCTCCATCCACACTCACCGCAGCAAGAGCCACCTCTTTATCGTTGATCAAATCGTCTCCGAGAGAATCATAGGAATAGCCTGGACATTCTCTAATCACTCGCAACATAAATTTCTTATCATTTCGTAAACTTTCATCTGCGTATTGAATGGCTTCAGAGCCCGAGCAACAAGCCAAATAAACCAATTCACGATCTTTTGCAAGTTCTGTATTTTCAACCAAGGATAACCGTGATCCATCGTAGCGAATGGCCATCGTGATGATTTCCCGATCCTGTAATAATTGTTCAGAACAACTCGCAATGCATTCAGCATTGGCAGAGAAGGCTTGAAGGACAATTTCTTTATCGGCTCTCAAGTCCTCTGCTGCGTTCTGAAACAAGTTCAATACTTCATCGGAATTTGAATCTGTAAATTGTTGAAGCAGTTCATATTTTCTTTCATAAAAGTCAACGGTTTGAGTGGCTTTGGATTGCATGGATTCTCGGAGCAAACCGTAGAGAGAATTATCCAATAAACTGGTGTTCATTGGAAGAATCAAGATGGGTCCATCATGGTCATTGTTGTGGCTGTTGATGGTGGATGAAAGCATGGACCTGATGAGAATTTTTTTTAATGTTGTGTGTGTGAAATCATGAGATTGAAGTTTGTGGAAGTTGTAACGAATGTCAGATTGCCAATCAAAAAACAAAGCTGTGATCAAAATTTATTCAATTATTGGTGCGTGATCATACGTTGATGGTTGTTCTAAAATTTTGTAAACAATAAGCAAGACATCCACTGGTTTTGTTTCAGTGGTTTTCCTCAAATGATATGTCATTGGTGGACATGAGTGCTGACACCACTGCCTTATTCAAATTCTCAGATGAAATGGGCTTATTCAAGGAAAAATCGATCGAGTCCATAAATTCATGTTTCTCCAGTAAGGCATCTGCTGTTAGTATAATAATTTTAGTATCATTTCCATGATTCATTCCTCGAATGATATGAGCTGCTTCTAATCCATTCATTTCAGGCATGTGATAATCAGTAATGACTAGATGATAAAATTTTTGTTGAAAGGCATTGATTAATTCCAATCCGTTGGAGGAAGTGGTAATGTTTTTAAAACCACCCTTCTCAAGGAGACGTTTAAGGACAGATAAATTGATAGGATTGTCCTCCGCAAGTAAAATATTGTATTGAGAGACGTCCATGAGGTCATTTCCTGGGTTTGAGGAAAGAGGAGTGATTTCAGTAGGAGAGTTATTGTTCATGGTTGGAGATGAGATTCTTGTGGTGTTGTTGTTGTTGTTTTGATGGAAAGTGGCTATAGTAGGAGAAGGAGGTGTGGATGTTGGTGAGCTAGCATTGGTTGTTGGCTTGATTTTAAATAATTCCTTATGTAACAAGTGACTTCTTTGAATTTCCTTGTTGGAATGATGCTCATCAGTGGTGGCGGAGAGAATTTGAGTGGGAAAGTTTTGATTCTTTAGCAAGTCTTCGATATATTTGAGAGAATTCTTCTTTTTCTTGTCTGGAATTCGAAAAGGAATGGTCACGATAAATGTTGTTCCAGTATTGGGTGGAATGGCATTTGACTCAAATGTTAACTCGCCATTAAAATTAGTGGCGACAATTTTACGAGCAATAGTTAGGCCAAGTCCTGTGGATGTTGCTGCAATCATTCCAGAATTGATGTTGCTGTTATTGTTGTGACTGTTCAGTCCATCTTCTAAAAATTGTGAAAAGTAAGGTTTGAAAAGATTATGTTGAATATCTTTGGGAATTCCTTTTCCATGGTCAATCACTTTAAAAACGACGGTTTCGATCAAATTTGCACTTTCATTTGACCATTGCGCTTGCTTGGCATTTCGAGAACTCTCAGATAATGAATCGCCATGGTCATCTCTTGTTTCAACTTTTAACATGACCGTTGAATTTGGTGATGAGGCCTTCACAGCATTCGTAAGCAAGTTAATGAGAATTTGTTGCAATCGTACGGATTCTCCATAGACCAACGTTGGTAATGATGAACTCGTGCTCATTTGAATGGAAACTGAAAAATTTTGAGCATAGGTCGAAACAATGGATACGACATGTTCCAAACATTCCTCGAGAGAAAAAATGGTATTAGAAGCAGCAGCTGTCAACATGGAATGATGTTGCTCCGAGTTCGATGATTGTGTTGGAGCTGATGAATGTTGTTGATCATGCTGGTGACGTGATGAAGAGTCGCCGGATAAATGTAAAGCAAATACTTCGAAACTTCCTTTTTCCAATTTTGAATATTGTAAAATGTCTTCAATGAGTGTAAGTAAAATGGAGGAGCAACACCCTATGGTTTTTAAATAGTTGAGTTGATCTTGAGAGAGTGGAGTGTCGAGTAGGAGTTCAATGCATCCAGAAATACTCATCTAGACATTTTCAATTATGTTAACAGAAATGGTACAACCATTCGATCATTCCATTCAATAAAAAATTCCCAAATTCAAGAACAAAATTTTCAATTTGAATAAAACGGGAGTGAAATTTGTGATTATTCCATTAAATAGGCCAATTGCGCACACTCAAACTTACCAAAGGCGATCTAAATTCATGTGAAATCGAGCTCACCAATGCATTCTTCGACTTGTTCGCCTCTCTCAATCTACTCGTCATAATATTCATCACATTCAACTTTTCGATCAATTTAAACGACGTTGTGTTAAATACCAAATTAAATATTGTCAACATGGCCAACACTCCAAATGCTTCAGAATATCTTGCGTACTGAATGGCCAATATCACACTTGTTCCTACCGATAATACATTCAGTGGTAAAATACTCCACAATGCAGTGCTTAATCCATCCTCACCCGTTGCAATAGAATTATGCAAAATGAAACTTGACAAATTGTGAATGGTACTTGCTAAAAATCCAATACACATCCAAGCCATGGTAGGATCTCGATTGGCGAAATGCAATCGAAGGAAATGAAGAACAATGTTGATGAGAATGACCAATTTGTAGGCATATATTCGTTGTGGAAGTTTTTCATGTGTTTGTTGGCGAGTGGAAATATCTGACGAGTTCTGAACATTAGTTGTGGTCTCTTGTGTTTCAGTACTGATATTCGTTGGATTCGCAGTGTTTGTATTACTATTTCCATTCTTGTGTGTTGGATGATTGGAAGTTGCATCATCTTTCGAATAGGTTTGAAATTCTGTGAGTGGTTGTGGAAAATGAAGAGTCGCTCCACTCTTTAAAACCAACATTTGTATCAATTTGTCCACGACTGTCGATTGTAGTGCGTCTCTAAATATGGGTAAATTAATGGCCATCAAAGATAAACAAATAAATGCCATTGAAAAGTGATAATCTGTTGCGTATATACACAAATACAAGTAAACAACGATGAAGAGGAAGGGAACGAAGAAACGTTGATGAATCTTTTCGTACAGGTAGAGGATGTAGGTGGTTGAATAGGATGGAGAGTCGGAGGGATTTGAAGAGGAGACGGAGGCTTTGCTGTCATATGTCTGACTTGATGTTTGATGGTTATTGGTGGACTCTTCATGTGGCTGCTGTTTCCATTCCGAAGACGATGAAGATGTGTCTTGTTGTTGATGGCTACTGGAATGATTATTCTGCTCCGAGATGGCTTCAGTCAAATGTTTTTCAAAATCCATTTCTTCTCTCTCATTGTTTTCAAACGAGCTTTTGGTATCTTTCTCGTTGCTTTGATATTCATCATCCAAAGTTGCTAAACGAGATTGGTCACTGAGAAGAATATTCTCTGTGGTAGCAGCAACAACTGAAGAAGAATCATGATTCAAATCGTGACTTTTCATTTTTTTGATTTTGACAATGCAAAAATTGGTTTGCCGCTCAAAGATTCGAAGGGTTGGTCAGACCATGTTTGGACATTGAGCCGAGTGATTGGTTTTGGTAACTACAAAAGATCACGCCAACTTGATAAAAACGAAAGAGATGCCTTGAAATCTGAAAAATTAATATAAAAGAAGAAGCAACACTTGATTGTCCGTCGAATAATTCATTCGTTGTTGAATGTTTTGGTTGAAAAAGCAAATGATTTAAGGGACGAACCCAATTTATTAAAAAAAATCACGGGTGGCCAACTCCTTCAGTAAAAATGACCAAGATGCGAGACAAGATTCTTCGCGAGCGGACAAGGTATTTCACCTCATTTTTCAACCCCGACGATTTTCGAAAATTGTTATCAGAGATAGTTAAACACAACAAACAAGCCTTCAATAAATCTGATTTCTTGAGAGTAGATTCTCTATGCGTTCTAGTTATACATACTCTTTGTTGGTGAAGTAATATGAAGTAAAAAGTGAGAACGAGCCTTTGAAAAAAGTGTGCATTCGTCAGAGTTAATTTAAACACAATTCTCATCATTATCGATTACAACTTTTGCAAAATACTAATTGTTCATACATGTTTAGATTTAGATTTACCGAGAAAACTTGTCGATTTGAATGAGCTTTGGTTGAATTTTACACACTCAGTTTGCATCAAAACAGCACAGGAGCAAGGCAGAAATTTTTGAGTTCTTCAAAAAGAAAAATGGGCAGGCCTAATCGCTGTTGCTGCTGTTCACTCAATGCAAAATTAAGTACTCCACAAAATATCACAATTTTCGGAGTGGATTACAAGAAGCCTCTACTTTGCAACACACACCACAAATATATTACTGAATATATTAAAAACAATTCAATAGATACATCATCACCTATTACTCTCGCAATTCAACGGCAACCAAAGGGAATCAAAGACATCATTTCAATTGTACCTAAAAACTTTGGCCAATGTAAACACTCCGACGACAAGCGGTGTAGCAACTGTAAAAAGGGTAACATGTTATGTAATGGTATTCATTTCGAGAAAGTGAGCCATTTATTAACAGTATCGGGAATCATATCACACAATGGCCACAGCTTCGGAAGTGTGAACTTCAATCATCATGGCGAATTTTGTTTTTTTAGTGTAGATTGCAATAATTGCAATCTCAACAAATATGGAGTTTGTGAAAAATGTTATGAATGCTATGAAACAAAATTACGCCATTATCAGCGAACAATTGAAAACCAAAATACCAAAACAGCTCACCTCGCTGCAAGAACACAAGAATACAAAAATGTCATCAAATCATTGAAGGCAAAAATCTCTCGACGAGATACTACAATTAAGAATTTCGAAGAATTAATTGAAGAAAAAGATCAAAAACATTATTTGATAGAACTTCTCTCGATTGCGCTAGAGGAAGGAAAATTACATGAAACCCAGTTCTTTTATCAATTATTAGAAAATACTTTGCAAAATTTGGTTTCGTCGAAAAATGTTAACGGTTTTCGATACAAAGAGTGTATCATTCATTGGTGTTTATTACTTCGATTTTATGGTGGTTCTCGTTTGTGGAATATTTTGAAAGGAAATTCTCTCGGTGAAACTATAACATCTGAAAACGCATTAGATAAGCTTAATCTATTACTTCCATCTATTTCAACAATTAAGAGCTATCTTCCAGACTTGTCTTTTGGTAACCTTGTCGACAGTGATTTGAAAGATATTGTTAAAGCCATGGCATTGAATAATATTAGTAATAAGATCATAATTTCATATGATGAAATAGAGATTAGAGGAGGATTATGTGTGATGAAAAGTACTGGAAAAGTAATTGGATTCACAAATTGCAATGAAAAGTCTTTTGAAGATATATATAACGCAAAAAGAGAAATTACACCAGACGATGTTGCTAGTCATGTGTGCCAGTTTTTTGCAACAACTCTTGACGGTGAGATGTCTTTTCCTATTTGTTTTGGTGGTCACAAATCAAACCATTATGAATTTATTACAAAGAAAATGACAGAAATTAGAGATCAATTCAAACGAACTTCTTATGGAGATTATGTTTTAGAGGTGGTTGGAGGTTGTAGTGATGGATTAGCTGGTAATTATCAATATGCAACCTCTCATACTAATGAAAATTATGTTCACCTTTTTGATTGGTCTCATTTGCTCAAACGGTTGAGAAATCGTTTATTGAAAGGGGATGATTTGATTATTGAAAAGGAGAGTTTTTCTATGAATACATTATTGAAGGTTAGAAATGAACCCCAACTGCGAGACTGGGTATCGGAAAATATAATTTACCCAGTCGACATTATGAAAATGGAACCTGTTTTTGCATTGATAGATTCTAATGTTATTAGTGGAATTGAACAAAGCAAGCAAATAGGATGTTGTGCATTAGCAAAATATTTAACGTTAATGCAACAAATACATCAAATTTTTGACGATGAACGATGTTCAAACTGGAATGAGAAAAAACAATTAATTGAATCTGTATTGATAACACTTAAGGAATGGAAAGATGCGAATCCTAACATCATTAGTGACGAATTGTATTCTCATATTGTGATGACTATGACTTCACTTCGTTCTCTTTTTGAAAAATATGGAAACCATATTCAAATTAAGGCTTGTGGAATTTCGACGTTAATTGTTGAACATTTTTTTTCCTTAATTCGAGGAAAAATACGATACCCTAATTTTCGAGATTATTGTGGGATCTATCGAGCCGTATGGATTGCTTTGAAGACGAAATTGGCAAAAAATTCTCCAATTAATGTCAATCAACAATCAACCACAAAGTGTTATGGAAATTGTAACGTACGCTTAGACTATTCTGAATTACATCGAAAACACTATGTAAAGAAACACATTCTTCAAGAAGACGATGAGGATACTTTGTTAGAGAAAGATCAAACTATTTCTGAAGAGATGTATGAATATGTGCTCGATGTCACTCAAGATTTTCTTCCACAGAAAAATGTAATGCTGATACGAGAGTATTTATGTAAACAAGCACCAGTCGCGGATGATGGAACTATTATGAACAATATTTTTCTCAGCTGCCCTGAATGTAATCAAATAATGATCCGACAACGATCACTCATTAAGCACTTACAATGTCACAATTATTCACCTCAGCAATGCAAAGATACACTATACAACACAATTATTACTTCACTCAAATCTCGCCAATTTGGCCAACATGTTGAGGGTATTGTTGAGGAAATAGCAACCAAATTGGTAACCAATACCTTTAAGCAAATTCGAATTCGAACAGAACCTGAATTACCAAAAGAATCAGTTATTACATTTAATTCAGAAAAAGGATTATTTGTTCCATCTAACGAGAAGCAATCACAAGCAGAAAATATTTCAACATCAAATATCGCCACCATTGACTCTATTTCAGAAGATTCAACTCAAAACAAATATGTATTTTTTGATTTTGAAACGACTGGATTATGGAAGAATGATGATCCACCAAAAATTACGGAATATTGTTTTGTGGACGTTTTGGCTGGAGCTGTTTTGTATGGCTTAGTTAATCCTGGAAAAGTGATTTCTAACCAAGCACAATCAATTACAGGACTTAACTTGAATATCTTAAGATCAAAATTGCCTATTGAAGGGCATGTGAATGATATTATCCAATTTTTAAACAATAACTCTCAAGGAAAAACCTACTTAATAGCTCATAATGGAGACCGTTTGGATTTTAAAGTTTTTGCCAAAGAATTTTTCGGAAAGTTTTCTGAATTTAATCATGACAATATTGTCTTTGTTGATTCTCTCCGATTAATGAAATCAGAATCGACTTTACACAATTGTCTTCCTCGGAAAATGACAAAGAAAGGGAAATCTAAACCAGTTTTTGCTGAGGATGTATTAATTGAACACTTTAATTTAGGAGATGTCAACAATTCACATTGTGCATTTTATGATGCTATTGGATTGCTTAATATTTTGATCAAGTTTTATGGTAATCTTGACGATGCATTAAAAGCTATCGAGTACTTCAATACCAACCAACTTAAAAGGAAAAGAGAGAAAATTAATGACAGTAATGATAATGAACACAAAGCAAAGAAGAAAGTTGGATGTAGATGTAAAAAAGGAAATTGTTTGAATTGTAATTGTGCCAAGCTTGGAAGAATATGTGATGCAACTTGTGGGTGTAATTCAGAAATTTGCAAACGGAGACAGTGCCAAGTTTGTTCCAACTACACGGAACTAATATTATGTTCCTGTTGTTCTGATATTGTTTGTGAACGATGCTCTTACAATGGAGAATGTCAACGATGTTCTATATTCATAGTTTATCATAAGATCTGCCATCCAAACATGCCAACATTGCTGTGCAATTCATGCCACAAGCCCTGTTTATCACTAACTCCATGCAAGGATTGTGGCTTGAAAGTATGTAATGACTGTTTGAGAGAGAGATGGTGTCGATCATGTTATTGTGATGAGGGGGAATGGTTGTCTTCAACTCAGTCACAATTCCAGTCCTCCATGGACGTGACAAATTTTTAAGAAGTAGCTACCATGGCTCTTGTAATGCCAATTCAACATATTGAGGCACCAATAGTGATGTGGTGTTTCCTTTATGTGTCAGAAACAATCAATTGTATTGGTAGGTTTTGATGGATTGAAACCATCATAAAATCATCCTATGATCGTTGTGTTATTAAAATTCCCAGCGAAAAGTTTCTCGTAGCTTGAGGTGTTCACGAAAAAATACGCTCGAGTTGTCCACCCGTGAAAAAAATGGGATCATCTTTATCAAAAAAGCAAAAACAAGAGATTGGGTCAAACTATGCGGGATATACGAGTTTAGAGTTGTATTCCAACTCCAAGTCCATGAATGTTTCTCCAAAGAAATTTATGGTATCGTCATCGGAAACGAGTGCTTTGGCGAGTCATCATCATCATGGAGCGACGACGGGATTTCATGTTGAGCGAATGTAGGTGTTGATGATCAATGATTGAATTTTGCAAATCAATTTGGATTTCCAATAACAATGCCAAAACTAATTGAATCATTATAATTGTTTCATAATATTATTTCGGAACTTGTATCAACAATACAACAACAGATGCGTAACTGGATTGATAGGAAGCGGAAAAACATTTCTTATTAACAAAATTATGGAATATCTCACCATTCCTAATTTTTCAGATTTCAAACAACACATGCAACATGAAAAGAAAAAGTTGGAATTTATTGAAATTGAAAAAGACATTATTGCCAAGACAAGAACAATTGGTGGAACACAAATTAAGGGTTTAATTTATGTAATTCACCGCAAAGAGTACTTGACCTTACATCACAGTCTAAACGAGTTACTACGTATAGTACAACATAATGGTATGTTACTATCTTTGCAAGACTCGAAATTGACTACTAGCTCTGTAATTTTTTTTTTTCAGCCTCTCTTCATTCCATTCCGATCGTTGTGGTGGGTCTTCACATTCTAGGTGTTGCTCCCTTACTTGCAGACAATTACAAATGTAAGACCATAATGGAGGAAGATTTTGATGCTGCCACTCAACATTTATTTTCATTATTGCATCAACATTTCAACAATCGGTGTTTCTATTTAGATTTTATTGTATCTGAGGACGTGGAGCATGACAGGCAAATGATATCAAGCAATATTGAATACATTTTGATGAGCTTGACAAGTTCACCTCATTCAACAACTCTGTCCAATGAATCCATGACTAAAAAGTATGAAGATTTTAGGCAGCAACATGATGGTGATTTTCAGAATTATGTGCAGAGCATTAGCGAAAAATCCACTCCAAACACGCTACCAGCAAGCCCTTCGAATGTATTTGTTTAAACACGTGACTGCTTAAAGTCAACTATCTGTGTGACGGATTTCAAATTGAAATGTTTGATACTACATCTCTTTCAATAATTAGAGCGAAAATATACGGAATTTAAGGTACATTGCTCTTTCATCTGATGTTGAATATGAGAGAGGCTAGTAAGTAGCTACGTATACGTATTGTTATTCTTGAGGAGAGAGTTCAATGAACGACTTCCCGTGATAGAAGTAGAGACTGTGATGTGTGTTTGATTATTGTTCCGTGCTGCATGGTTTCCAACTCGTGCTGGACTGCTTGCAATAAAAACTCCACTACTCTTTCGATTGACTTTGCCAGAACTCTCTCGCACAATTTCTGCCATGATTCTTGACGTTTCCTTCATTTCTATTTCTTGATTTGGGAAATACATTTCTTGTATCTTTTTGCAATTTGCAATGTATTGATATGCAAGTGTGTAATTCTTCATGGCAGAATATACGAGTGCCAAGTTTTGATAGGACTTGACTGTTTCCATGTGCTGTGATCCAAAAAGTCGCTCTCGTATGGATTTTGCCTGTGTGTAGAACTTGAGAGCTTCATTAATTTTTAAATTTTGAATGAAGGAGCGAGATTCTTCTGGAGAAAGCATACCAATACTGCTTCTCCTCATGGTACAACTTGATCGATTCAATGGCTTTCCAGAGTTTTTAGACAATGCCTTAATCATTTCAACGTCATTGGTGTTGTTTTGAAATGAGGAAAAATACAAGTGACCAATATTGGTATAAATGACAGCATTCCATTCATGTTCAAAGCCATAAACCTTCTCAAAGATAAGCCGTGCTTTTTGATAATACTCAAACGCCTCATCGTTTCTTCCTTGTTGTCGAAAAATATTTCCAATATTGTTAAAGATGGTCGCTAAGGACGGATGTTGTGAAAGCTCTTGCTGAGCATTGACCATTTTAAAGAGCAATTCAAGAGCAGCATTCCAATTTCCCATGCTCATATATACGGATGCCATATTTTCGTACACTAAGAGCGTGTCTGGATGTTTCTCTCCAAAGTGTTCCAAAAATATTTCCTTCACAGTCCGATAATAGCCAAGCGCCAATTCATATTCTCCAGCTTGTTGTTTGATATTTCCCATGGAGAGATAGCAAAATCCTGTGTCGACGTTATTCAGTCCCAAATCATGTTCTCGTATGGAAGTGGCATGAGAAATGTAATCCTCGGCTTGTTTCAAATTTCCAGAACATAAATGTAAATTTCCAATCATGACAAAACATGAAATGGTCGAGTTGTGACGTTCGCCCAGAACTTTCTCTCGAATATTGAGCGCCTTCTCGTACAATAGTAAACTTTCCTCGTATTGTTTCAAACCTTTGAGACAAGTAGCCATGTTGACAAGTGACGTTGCAAAATCAGGATGATCTATCATTCCACAATTTTCAATGATTTCCTTTCCTTGTTTGTACTGATTTAAGGCCGATAAATATTCTCCCTTATATAAATATACATTTCCAATATTGTTATATACAGTTGCAGTTTCAATATGTGACGAACCAAAGAGTGCTTCTCGTAATTTTTTTGCTCGATTGAGACTTTCCATTGCATGGTCAAACGATCCAACCATTGTGTACACCACTCCAAGCTGGTTATAGGCCGAGGCTACTTCATTCGAATTACTTGGAAAATATTTGAGTTTCAGCATCAAGTGTTTTCGATACATTTCAATGGCCAACTTGTATTTCCCCTGTAATTTCATTAAATATCCCAAATCGTTAAAAATTTGAATGCAATACAGAGCTAGTGTTCGATTTTCAGATTTTGAATTGAACTTGCGATCAAGAATTCGTTTGGCTTCTAATAGGTTAAATTTTGCTTCTTTAAATTTGGCTAAATGAGTGTAGCATTCACCAAGTAAAATAAATACATAAATTAAATGTTCGCTATCGGTCCCGAAAGTTTTCAAAATTAATTGCTTGCATTCTTGAGCAGTCTCTGCGGATTGCTGTAAAAGCCCTTCATGTAGTAATTGGCAGGCATGCTCTTTCAATTGATTAATGTCTTGCAAAGTAGAGCTTTCTTTCGTGTTCTTTGAGAAAAGTTTTGTAGTTGTGTTGTTGGGTCGTTGTGACTTGAATTGAGAGGTGGGAGTCTTGCTGTTCAACTTCTCATCATACGGCTTCTCTGCAATTGAAGTTACAGATTCTTCAACATGTCGAGAAGTTACAATGCTTGGTGATGTCACATATTGTTGGGAGGTCAGTTTCACTGGTTGATGTTGTTGTCCTTTCACAGCAACCTGTGGGGTTACGGCTGCTTCTTCATGATTTGGGATTGGAAACGAAGGGGAGCATGGTTGATCGAAATCATGATCTGAATCGCCATCATGCTTATTCTTTTCAAAATTTTCCAAGAAGGGAGAATCTCCGCCAGGAGTTTGTTCTCTATTAATGAGGGGCTTATATTTTTCAATGTCACCCGAATGTTTTCTGAACGGAGTTGGAGTTTGTAGGTTGACCACATTCTTTGGAAATGGTGTGAAGGGTTGAGGTGAAAATAAGCATGTTGGTTCTGAGTCGACACCTCTTTTAGATCCAGATTTAGGAAGGGAATGTTTGGATTGCGAGGAAATTGGAGAATCATTCGATGTGGGGCTGTTCGACGTCGCTTCAAAAGAATGATTCTGAGAGTCGCCTCGCTTACTGTCGTGGTCTTCAAAAAAAGTGTGAAAAACATGAACTCCTCGTTGAATTTGTTTGATTCGTTCGTGCCATGCATCCTCAAGAGAAAGATTATTTTCTTTTCTGTCACTATTTGTTACCTGTTGAGCGGCAAACAGAGGTGACATGATGTTGTTGGGATCGTTTTGATGATGAAGTTGTCTGCCCTTATTCATGACAGGACTGAAAAAGCTTTTCGGTGATAAATTATTAAAATTATTTTCATGTCGTTCCAATCTCGTATTGGCAATTTCATTTGGTTCGAACACTGAATAATCACATCGACGTGTTGCTTGAGGAGAAACTTGAATGTTATTACTGCTTTTTGGTAATTTCAGAGTCGAGTTTGATTTTTCAGCTGATCGAAATAATCTTTCAGTGTTCGAAAGTTCATCTGTTTTTGTGGTCGATGCTAATCCCGAATTTGTTTCCGTGTTTGTTATCGAGTGATTATTTGATGATTCGTAGGTATGGAGCGAGGAATTTTTGTTGATCGGACTTGCTGTTGTTCGACCACCTATCGCTAAAGATCGTTGTTGTGGTTTCCTTCGTGAAGGAGTCAGTGCTCGACTCGGCGACAGAAAGTTTGCATTTAAAGTGTAATTCATGCTGGTTGTTCAAAAATTCATTGTTTTTTTTTAAAAATAAAACGAAACGAACGGTAAATTTTGGCGGTCAAATATCCAACTGGTATTGTAAAGGCATGAAAATTGTGTTTGACAAGTTAACTTGCATCTAGCGTTTTGTTATTTGGTTTTAATTGTTAAATGCCAGATGAAATTACAAAAGAAAATAATAATAATTTAATTAGAAAAAAATGGTCAAACATGCTGTAGGTTTATCACATTCAGTTGACCATCATGGTCAAACAACCAATTTAAAATTTAATAATTCAACAACAAATAGAAATCCCATCCGATCATGAAATGTTCTCGGGATGGTGATATCCGATCTCTCAACGTACTGCTATTGCACTCGGGAAATAGTAGCAATAGTGCTTCTCCGTCTTCTACAACCAACATTCCGAATACAGCAACGATCATGACAGGTACAACCTTTACATTAAATTCACCTCGAAATGCTGCAGATACAATCATCATGCCAACTTCCACTTCAACGCCTTCATTGATGATGTATAATCATCATTCCTATCATCTCGGAGGAGGATCATTGAGTGCTGGGAATACACTTGTTTCTGCACATTCGAATAGTGCCAATGCTGTTCAACAATTGCAGAATTTACATTCATTGGTGAATTATGTGGATGAAGAGGATGTATGTTTTATTGTTGCTGCTCCTAACAAGGATCAATAATTGTGTTGCGAAATTGTGAATTTGAATAATAATATTTTGATGATGAATAATAATTTTTGATTAATTTTCAAAAGGATACCTATGTATGTAATCATGGATTTTGAGGACCTAGCATTATTTGAATATGTAATAATTATTATTATCAAAATTTTGTAATTATTATTTGGACGGTAACTTTAGGAATTATATGTGAGTATTCAACCATATTATTTCAATAATTGTGACATTGTAAAAAGACTCCATTAATGATGGCATGTCGACATGGAAATTTTCAAATTGCTCAAACGCTATTAGAACATGGAGCGAGCGTAGAAATGGAGTCAGCAGTAAGTAAAATATTTATGCATGTAATGAAGAGAATTGCCACACACAAAATTTTGAAAATCTTTTCAACATTCCAGTATGATGGCTATCCACTCCACATTGCCGTGTTAGGAAAAAATTTGAATATTGTCATGTTGTTAGTGGAACAATATCATGCCAATATTCAACAACCTTCAAGATATGTAAGTGTACATGAACAAAGCTATGAATGGATTCAATGATCGTTCCACTGATTATTTTAGTATAATGAAACACCACTTTTTGTTTCAGTAGCCAACAATAATTTACCCATAGCAAACTACTTGATTGAGAAAGGAGCAAATGCTGATTATTGTAATTATGTAAGTATTCGTCATACTTTGAGTCACAAAGAAATATATTTCGAAAAGAATGGACTTGTAAGTTGTTTCATGAAATATATGTCCAGTGAACCAACTTGAATAGTGTTGCCTACATTTAGCGTGTTCCAGTAATAACGAAGCAATGGTAAAACTCTTGTTGGAGCAAGCAAAGGCCAAAGTGAACATCATGTCATCACAAAATGACGTCAAGGAAAGAAGCTCTCCCTTGATGATTGCTTGTCGAAATGGTAATACGCGAATTGTTAATTTATTATTGGAGCACTACGCAAAAGTGGATATTTATGATCATGTACGTATTCATGTATTGAATAATTTGGTGTCTCATTCCACCTATTCCACATGTTTATTTACTTGTCTTAATACAGAAAGGACAAACTCCTCTTCACATTGCAGCAAAGCTTGGACATTTCGATATTGTGAAAAGTCTACTTCGTCATTGTGCCGATAAAAACAAGAAAGATTCAGAAGGGAAAACAGCGGCCAATGTCTCAAAAACTAGAGATATTGAGGAATACATACGACACTTTTCCAAAAAGAATACCCAAATTTATGCCAAACTGAAAAAGGCGTATGAATATTATGAAAAATTACTTTTCAGCAATGACAATGACGTGTTATTGAAATCGAACGAATTATTTAAACCTCTCAATAGAGAGCAAGTGAACTACAATTTACTCATTGATTGTATCAATTTTAAAAGAATGGAATTGAAGGAAGAATGTGGTCCAACCGAATTAGAATCACGCTTTCAGGAATATATTTATAATTTAGGTTACAACTCTTTCAAGTTGGGACTAAAACCAATTCTCAAACTTCTCATTCAACACTTTAAACTGGTACCTATTGAGCTGCATAAGAGAAATCCGAATCAAGTGGATATTACTTCTAACTTGTATGATTACTGTGTGAATGTCATGAATAATATTAACAAGAAACAATTATTTGTCAAGTACAAGAATAATAGAATACGTATGGAAATTACCACCAATACGAAACCAAAAGATTTAATGGACTCGCTGCGTGAAAACTTTTTCAGTAATACCAATCGTTTGTTTTCTAAACAAGAATTATTACTTGTCTATGAATGTCAAGGTAGAAATATTACAGTGAACAAACCTGAAGAAATGGAAGACATGTTGAGATACTTTTTTGACAAGAGAAATGGTCATATTGATCAGTTTGAAGTAGAACTCATTTACAATGAAACAGAATGGATACCTGTTCATGAATTAGGAAGAGGAACCTATGGAGTAAGTAATACAAGACGCTGCGTCAGGTTACATGAATGTACTAACTCTGTTGTTGACAAATAGGTCGTTTACATGGCGTAAGTAGTAAACACATGGTGATGTGGTAGTAGTGTAAAGCATGTGAACATAACCTACTGTTGTGGCCACAAGTCTTGATCAAACACCACCCTATCAGCGAGTTGCTGTCAAAGAATTCGACATTAAGAATGGCGATAATACGAAAATTCCAAAATGGAAAATCGAACAAGAGGTCAAATTAATGAGCAAAATTGACCATCCACACATTATCAAATATATATCGACCAAATCGACCAGTAACAAGTTTTATATCAAGATGCAATACATGTCTGGTGGAAGTTTGAAATCCATGTAAGTGATTTGTGTATTCATCTCTTGTGTCTTCTAACTATTGTTTATTTGCATACAATATATAATACAATGATAATACATCTTGAACATTTCAATGTCGTATGGAATTTTTTGACATTAGGATACACAAAATAAGTGTTGCAGAAAAGTTGAAATATCCAAAATTATCAAACTATCTCATCCAGAAATATGCTTCTCAAATTCTAAGTGCTCTTGTGTATTTACATGAAGGAAGCGAGGCTCGAAGACCCATCGTGCATCGAGACATTAAGAGTTCCAATATTTTACTGAAAGATGTCAATACAGCTGTATTGTGTGATTTTGGTGAAAGTTTGCTTTTGAGGGATGACATTTCGAATAATATGAAATTGACGAAACCAGAAATTGAAGAGCGTATTGGAGGAACTCTTCTCTTCATGTAAGTGAAATTCCATCATTCATTCCATGTTATTTAATTCACCATGTATCTATTTTTTACAAACTGGAATTGATTTTAAAATTCCAATCCAAACACCAGGGCTCCAGAAATGTTCAGAAAAAGTGTTCTCAAGAATGCCATCTATTCAGACATTTGGAGTTTTGGATGCACACTCTGTGAATGGATCAGTGGTAAGAATCCATGGGAAGAAACTGGTCTCCTCAAAATTAAGGAACGAGAAGGTCAAATTCGTTACATGCTGCAACATGCCGATGAATTGGAAAATTACATTCCATCGTGTTATTATGATGAATTGAAGCAACTCATTCGAAAATGTTTGAGATATCATCCAACGTCGAGACCAACAGCTCGTCAACTCCTAGACGAACCCTTCTTTAAGATTAAGTTCGATGAGGACAAGTATGTGATATTGGTATGTTATTGGAATGATGGTTTTTTGCGAATTCATTTCAACATGGAAAATATTTTTATAATCATGATCATCACACAATGACTTGTGTTTTTACATTCTCGATCGCACATACACGACAGGAACGAAACTTTATCATGAATGAAATTCACAAAGAATTGAATCAAGCGATTAAGCGTGTGGAAGAAACCAAACAAGAACAAACAGTCTATGAACGAACCATTGATTTACAAGAAATGGGACATCAACACGATTTGAGCGCCTCAACCTCCTTCTCCTTCCTTACTTCAGAACATATGGATTCATTGTCTGGATCTCCAGGATCTGGCATTGATTTACAAGATGAAGAATTCTATCGACAAAGTATTGCCAATTCGAATGGTATGAGTTTCTCATCCATCTCTTCTTCACAATCTTTCATGAATCCAGCAGGAAATGGTATAGCGTATCAGCGATCAATGACACCATCATCGAGTGTCGGTAGTAGTGCACATAATTTTGGAGGTGGAATCCATACCAAGAATCCATCGCCCAACACGATGCCACGAGTGAGCTTTTCAGAGAGTTTTCGAGGGAGTTTTGCAAGTACTGGATCGAATGCCACGAGTGATGTCATTCAACACGATGGAAGTGATATTTTGACAAGTCCTGGCAGTGAGAATTGATTCATTCCATTCTAACAACCCTTCCATGCAAGTGAAGTAGTGGCGCCATTCAAAACTATTTAAAAAAAAAATGTTCAAACAACATCAAAAACAGTCCGCGTTGAAACCCATGTCCAACACGTTGAAGGCTTCAAACAAGAGGCTTTCGGAAGATGAAGAGGTAGGTTCCGAGATGCATCATGAAACGACAAAACGACCATGTTATTGTTGTAGCTTGAAGATTTACCTCCATTGCTGGAGCAAGAAGATGATGAACAAGATGATGATTCACCTCCTCCACTTCTAGATGACGACGAGTGTGATTTGCCTCCACTTCTAGATGATGACGAAGAGGATGACTCCGATTCTCCTCCACCACTTCTGGATGATGACGATGAAGAAACATTGCATGTAAAACCTGTAAATTCAATTAATCAAAAGGCTTTGAGCTCACTCACGAAACAGAAAACTCCACAAATGGTGCACACTTCGCCACATGTTCCAAAAGTGTCAACCTCACAAACAAGAGACCATGACGATTTACCTGCTCTCTTAACCGACGATGAGGAAACAACAGATGAAGAAGACAATACTGAGGACTTGCCACCTCTGGAAGAAGACGATATAGAGGACGAAGAAGAAGAAGAAGAAGATTACTTTTTAGACGAGGACAGTGATCAAGAAATGACCTCAAGTAGTGACTCGGACGATGAGCGATTTTTCATGCGTGAAACACCAGAACGACGCAAGCCTGTCTTTGACATGCCTTTCAAACCTCAACCATTCTCCACAATTCCCAATTTCCAAGCGGACCCGGCCACAGAAGAAAAAAGGCGAAAAGAATGGGAGGAATACAACCAAAAAAAGAGGGAAGAGAAATTAAGACGAGAAAATCTTAAAAAGAAAAAACAAGAACTCCAAGAAAAGCAAACAAAAGCTGCCACCGCTGACAATGTACCACCACCATTGCCAACAAACAAGCCTACCTCAGAAGCAGTTAATGAGGCTCCAATCGAATTAGGTAGCTGCTTAAACTGTACACTTGGAAACAAAACTATAACGAATAAGGATGAATATTACGTTTGCACATGCTCCAACAAGTGCAAGCTGCAATTCCACAAAAATTGTTGGCTCAAATTTTACCGAGCCAATCGTGCGAGTGACAAATCTGTCGCATGCCCAACTGAAGCATGTGGTGGTTACATTGAAGATTTATTTTTGTACGATAGAGAAGAACAAAAAACGAGAACCAAATGCCCTGCTCCTAGCATCTCCTCGTCAACACGACAGCCACCAAAGAAGAAGAGCGAATTATTCAAGGCAACCACTGCAAGTGAAGAAAGTAGCAGTCAAACTTCCAAGAAGAAAAAGAAAGATAAGAGCGAAAAATTCTCAGTTCAACAGCAAGCAGAACTCATCGATGATACCACGGCTAATGCTACTGCCACAGATACTTGCACAGCTGAGACTGAGCCTTCCAATACTACCACGTCAACAAGTGCCACCGCTTCAACTACTTCCACCACTACGACCACAGATACTAGCACAAGTGAAACATTTGATGAGAGTCAAATTAAAGTCTCGGTTATTGGAGGCAAGTTAGCGAAAGCTGTAGAGAAGAAGAAACTTATGGATAGAGCTTTGGAAGAAACGGAAAAACGTAAGAAAAAACACTTGTACAAGAGAACTGACTTTTCCATCAAAGCTGGTAATGACGTAGGCATTATAGTTGAAATTGAGCCCATGCGAAAAGTACTGACTGAATACGGTTACAAGAAATGCAACAAGGAAGAGTTTCAATTGGGAGATTTGATACAATTCCAAATTGAGGAAGGAAATGACTATGTGCGAAATATAGAATTGATCGAACAACTTGAGACGGTACCTGAAAACTTCTCTGATCTTCATGAACAACTTAAAGAAAATCTCAAAATCATTAAGGAAAGATTTGGTGTGGGCATTGTTTTCAAATTTCGGTCTTCCAAAAAGAAAAAGTCCACCACAACCTCCACAAGCAAACAACAGAAAAAGTCCACCAATAAGGCTACCTCTGATCTTCAGCAACAAGATGGTTCTGTCGACTACTCTGTGGCCTCATCATCGTCAGGCAATGCTATGAATACTCAGACGACGGCGATATCGCCAAAGACTTCTGAAGACTCCTCAAGGCAAGGTAGAAACGTTGCAATCTCAAACCAAGAAGGCAGACAAATATTTACCATGGAAAATGTCTCTGAATTTTCTTCACCCTCCTCTGCAGGCTCTCCGTGGTGCCTTGGAATAATTTCAGAGAAGAAGGAAACGTTTGGTAAGGTTCAAGTTTCGCTTTTTGCATCATCAGTTCCATTAGCTTTGCAGCAGCAAGAGACCTACTTTTTCCACAAGATGAATGTGAATAAGCGATCAGTAGATGCTCAATGTGGTGATTTTGTTATATTCACGATTAATGAACAGAATAAGGCCGTCACCAATATTCATGTCATATCCAATGACTTGTATGAACATTATCTCACATCAAATTAATAGGAAGTTGGTTACCAAGAAGACCTGAGCCTAGTCCTAAGGTGGTAACAGCAACAGACAACAAGAAACCCTATTTAACCCTTAATATGTACTTGAGAGGATCTATGAGACTACAGTTGATGCCAGTTCATTCAGGATGTGTCACTCAGAAATAAACGGATAGTACACTGCACTTCTTTGAAACCAAAATGTTCGGAACGGATATCGAGACTGCACCATTTTTCCAAATCAAAAAATTTCCACATCATCACATCTTGTCCATATTCGCAGTATTTTTTGATTCCCATCGCCAAACCTTCATCATCATCAACCCTCTCTTTTTTAGAATTAATTAATTACAAAAACCCTCCTTTCTCATTAACAACCATGCAAGAGAGAAGAGCTGCCCATATGGCTCATTCCCACTATCCACCACATCCATCCTCGCAGGGTAATCCTCCTCCAGGTATGATGCAAGGTCCTCCACCACAAATGTCCCATGGTCCTCCACCACCAGGTGGATCTTCTCATGGTCCTCCACCAAGTATGATCAATCCTCCACCATCTGTGGTTCATGGTCATGGTCCTCCACCACCCCCAACGGCTCTACTTGGACCCACCGTGATGATGGATATGATGGAACAAATCAAGAGTAGTTACGTAGCAATGGAACAAGAATACAACATGTGTAAGATGCACCGGGATGAACTGGAGAGAAAGTTGGACGCTCAAATTTCTGAATTCCAACTGATGCACTCTGCCATCATTGAGTTGGAAAATGCTTTTACTAACGCTAAACAACAGTAAGTATTTTGCGAGAGTGAACATATTTGGTTGTGTATTCATAACCACGTTTTTATTCATTAATTTTTGATTCATATTGTTGTTTTAATGTATGCTTGTTGTTGTTGTTTGGTATGATAATTGTTGTTTAATAATTTACAACAATAACAACAACCACTTCACTCTCCATAATCATGATGATACAAATGATTGTCATCTTGCCGAATCTTTCATCATCTTAATCCTCTCTCATAATTAATACTTCCAAAATTGTTCCCATTGACTTCTCTTGCACCATGGAAATTATTATTTCCAACTCATTGTGTGAAACCCTTGATCATGTAACTACAGCTATGAAGATCGAATTCAACAAATGCAATCAACCATTGAACAACTCAGACAACAGCTCTCACAACAAATGTCAGGACAACAAGAGGGTGGTATTCCACCAGTGATGCCTCCCATGTCATCATTGCATCAACAGCCACCTCCAATGGGTCCTGGAATGGGATCAAACAGAGGTGATCTTCTTCCGGGAGCAGGTAATGCGCTTCCTCCACCATCGTCTCTTGGTAATAATCCTCCACAATTACCACCTCTTCACAGCAATCCAATGACTAATCAACCAAACGCACATAATGGCTCACCATCACAACCATCACTTCCTCCAATGGTTGCCAACAACCCTCCACAAATGTTGGGACAACAGCCTCCACCACCTATGGGGCTCGGAGGAGGAGCAAACAATCCACCATTGCCACCCTATGATGGTAAGCAATCGGTAGGCTCTCGCGAAAGAACAAGTCCTTTTCCTCCAAGCAACGGACCACCATCGCTAGGTAATCCTCCTTCTTCGACACCAACTGGAATGATCCCATCTTCTGATTTGATGAATTTGCACAACACACCACCAGGAAATGGATCATCTCTTCCGTCCATGTCAAAGAACGGAATGAACATTCAAGGTCCACCAAATTCTTCTCAACCTAACACAAACGTAAGTGACTCCTTTCCACATTTTACGGAGAGACCAAATTCAGTAAATAACATGATGCATCATAATACTCAGCCATCTCAAACGAATGGAATTCCAACTGAAGCAAGACAAATACCTGTAATTACGCCACAACAACAACCACAACAAACAACTGTTAATTTATTTGATGCAAGAAATGAGAATGTTGTAAAGAAAGAAGGAAATGATTGGGTTGTAGTATTTAATCCTCAAGTAGCAGCAACAACAAATTTAAACATGAGCCTGTATCATAATTTGGATCAAGAAAGTGTTGTTTGTTGTGTCAAGTTTAGTTCCTGTGGAAGATATTTGGCCACTGGAAGCAACAAGCAGGCTATTGTATTTGATGTCGACTCTGGAAAGAAGTTTGGAACCTTCTCAACACTCGGACCAATCACAAACCCAACCAGACATGCAGAAGAAGATGAAAATGAAGATGGTAAAAAATCATCAAACCCAGAGGAGTCTGATCAAGCCAATGTCATGGACGGAGCTGGCAAGGATGACTCTTACATTAGAAGCGTTTGCTTCTCACCTGACAACAAGTATCTCGTTGCTGGCGCTGATAAAACTGTAAAGATTTGGGATGTGGACACAAAACAAATTTATAGATCTCTCGAAGGTCACGAATTGGATATTTATTCACTCGATTTTTCACCTGACAGCAGACTTTTAGTTTCTGGAAGCGGTGACGGAAAGGCCAAGATTTGGGACATGGAAACTGGTGAATGTAGACACACTTGTGGAAATGAGGAAATTGGTCCACGAGAAGGTGTCACTAGCGTTGCTATTTCTCCAGATGGTAGAACAGTTGCAACAGGCTCATTGGATTGTGTTGTTCGTTTGTGGGACATGACCACTGGTGAATTGCTAGAATCATTGAACGGTCATGACGACTCGGTGTACAGCGTTGCATTTGCTCCTGACGGTAAAAGCCTTGCTTCTGGTTCATTGGATAGAACCCTCAAGATTTGGGATGTGAAATCAGCCCAATGCACTGCCTCCTTATCCGGACATAGAGATTTTGTTTTGAGCGTTGCCTATTCACCAGACGGTAGATGGTTGGTGAGTGGTTCTAAGGATAGAAGTGTTCAATTCTGGGATCCAAGAAGCAACATTTTACATTTGATGTTGCAAGGACACAAGAATTCTGTCATTAGCGTTTCTTTGAATCCTAAGCGACCTCTTTTTGCTACAGGTAGCGGAGATTATCGTGCAAGAGTTTGGAAGTATCAAGACTAATTTTGAAGCTTTGTGCCGATTTTGTTGATGAATTAATTGCATATCATGATTATTACTAAACAAATTTATTTATGTTATATTTCTTCACCTTATTGACAGGTACGTCAGCATTTTGCATTCTGAGTAGTCACTGTATTTTAAATCTAGATTGCAGTTGAGGCTTATTAAGGGTGATCTTTTTTCTAGGTTTACAAAGAAAATGCCTCCACTCTTTGATCAAGGCTTTGCTCCAAAAGACACCTCTTTTCTCAACAGTAGTCACAACAGTAACATCAACCAACGTTCGAAAAGAATAGTTGGAAATAATCACAAGTTCAATAAGAAGCAGCCTCTTCCAACGGCTCGCCCAAGCTATTTGTATTTACAAATGAATCATCCAGTGTTATTTTCCCGAGCGATTGAACTCCTTAGTCAATTCACCGATTTAGTCTATCTACAGATGAATCCTCAACGCTTGCTCATTCAGGCAGTAGATAGCACCAAAGTTGTACTCTACGAATTGACGATGCGAGAGGGAAAAGCGTTTTCGTATTTGGATCCTGCTCTTGCCTTCTCCAACTCGAAAAAGACGAACTCTGCAATGTTGAAAAGCCCCTTTCTTCCTCCACTATTTCAAGGGGTTCCAGAAGTTCAAATAGGAGTGAATTTGAAAATCCTCGCCCATAGTCTGAAAGGCTTGAAAGCTGAAGATGAGTTGTTCATGTTGTTCAATACCGATGATGAAGTCACCAATCGGATCGATCAAGACGTTAATTCAAACCAGAACAATAAGGTGATCCAAGATCCGGAAATAAGGCTCACAGTCAAAAAGAAAAATCCCAATCGAGTGTTTACATTCACTGTTTCTCAATTCATTATCAATGATCATGAATTGGAAACGTTTGAGATTGAACAATTTGATGAACAGGTACAAGTTGAGGTTCTCATGTCTACGAATTGCTTTTCTCAAATCATGCATGATCTGAGTCAAGTGAAGGGAGAACGGCTTGAAGTTCAAGTGTGTCATGATCTAATGAAGAGAAGTGATGCGTGTCATGACCTAAGAAATACTCTCAACGATTCCTTAAGGTTATTCTTTAGGACCGCAAAAGAATGTGTCGAAGCCAGTATTGAAGTTCAAAACTCTTTCATGGGTCACGAAGAAGACATGATCATTAGCTTCACAGAGCCTTATTTGAAACAATTAATAAGCCAACAATGTGTGGATACGAATTCCAACAATGACGAGTATGAGGGACTCACAAGCGCGACAACCATTTCCAATGAGTATTCTTTTCGAATTCTTTCCATTCTCTCCAAAGCAAGCAAAATATCGGACCAAATGCTCTTGCAAATATGTACGAATGGACCATTGGGTGTTTTGTACGGATTGGATGAAGGAGTGGGTTCCTTTCAATTTTTTGTGGCTCCTTATTTGAATTCTAATGGATTTTCGTCAGATTCTGACAATGAGTTATGACTTGTGTCACTGGTGTCGATAGATGGACCTCTGTAATTGTTATGTCCTTATTGTTGTTTGTAAATATTCCATTCGAAAGTAGGGTTCTTCTTTTATTCTTGAATCATCCTTAAATCTGTCTAACATTATATTTTTTCAAAATGTAGTTTGTGTAGTTATAGAAATTGTATCTATTTTGTAAATCATATTGTTGTATGATTACAACAAATTAAATTGAATTACACTCATCCTCGACTCCATATCAGCGATCATCATCATCATTTATCATGAGTGCTTGTTATTGATAACAATTATTTTACCGGTCATCATCATTGTTGAATACCCCGACTGGTATTTATTACAATGACAAATCTTGTTGCAAACTTACCTAATAATTGTCTGATTTGTTGTTGTGTGAGATGAGGAGATATTGAATTTTTCAATATTATTGTGGACGATGAATGATTGTTTCCCGAACTTGTTGCACTGTTCATCATGTTATTATTACTATTGCAAGTTGTTGAAAAATTTAGAAATGATCCCGAGCATGAAAAAGAGGTCGTGGATGATTTCAAATTCAATAACGAGGACGATGAGAGTGAATGACTGCTGCGGTGCCGACAGAGAGAACCCAAAAATCGGCTGGTTTGCATTTTTTTTGAAAGTTAAACTGTTGTTCAACTTTTCCTACTTTTCCGACAGTGCTTGAGGTTTGTAAATGTTTATCATTATTTCTAAATACTGGCAATTGATTAACAATTGTTTTGCATTTCGTGTCTTAGAATCAATGGTTAAAGCTTTTCTCGTTCAATTGGGTAAAAAAATGGCAAATCAAACTTTTGATGAAATATTTCTTGAACTCTACTTGGCTAATCTCAAAGAGAAACACAACCATGATTTCTCAAGAATAACAACAACACCATCATCATTCTCCGGATTGGGGTTTTCGGAAGAAGTACTACCGAAACTCAATGCTATTCAAGATATTCTTGGTATTTCAATCTCCAACAATGATCCCCTATTCAACCATAAGATCACTCCTTTACGTTGCCATTTGCTAGAATTTGCTTTTGCAAAAGATGAATCAGCAATGATGGCAGTTTGCGGGAAGCTTGTAAAAATGTTGAAACTTCGAGAAGAGCTCCGGGTTGGTGTTCTTTTTTCTTGCTTGCTGCCATTGCTTTTCCCTGAGTGTACATTACCAACGTTTTTTTCTGAAGCCTCAGAGCTGCAACAAACACAAAGTTATGTCGGGCATTTATTGAACTTGGTTTCTCTATTTCCAAACAGCAGTACCAACTCGTAAGTTGTCCCTGAATTTCTATATTTGTAACGTAGAGTACTTTATTTCAGAGATGTTATCATTTCTCAATTTACAACGGTATCCAAATTTTTTGACGATCAACCAGAGTTTTATTCTCTGTTTGAATCATCAATTCGTCCTGATCGAACGGTTGCATTTGATTGGACAGTCAACAACACCACTTGCAAGATTATTAAATACATTAGCGAGAATGCTACAAATGATGGTTGTTCAATACATAAGGATTTTTTGAAGGTTGTTACCTTAATGAGACATGCACATTCAAAGAAAATGGACTTTTGTTTCATAGATCAGGAAGAGGATTTTCACAAACGTATTCGAACCTATGGCTTGTTGGTGAGCAAAGACAGGATTATTGTCTTGTCATTGAGATGTGAAGGAAAAAAGAGAAAGTATTTACTTGCCAAAATCGGTTCATTTTGTACTACTCCTGGAAGGGAGAAGAGTTCAAAAGCATCTCTTTGTGAGTTCATACTTGCAACAGCAGCTGAATCTGTGAAAGAAAAAGAACAAGTGGAAGAGTATCTGCTTCGAAGAAAGACAAGAACAAATGAATCCTCAACTCCACTAAAAAAACAAAGAAATTCTTTAGAAATTAGTGACATCTTAACTATACAGCTGAAGGGGAAAAATTATCTATCACTTAAGATCACAGACATTATTGATGACTGCCCTAAAAAACCAGTGTATGAGGCCATTATTTCGAATACTGATAACGCTCCAAAGCTTGTGGTCAAATTGAACAGAAACAACGACAAGGTTCATCATCCAGAAGGTTCTATATTTTTGGAATATATTAATGCCTCTGTTATTGGAAAACCAAAACTCCGTTTACCTTGTGCTGAAGTTGCTCTGAAAGGTATTCCATTAAACAAGTTTAAAACAGAACAACGTTCGATGAAAGCAAAGTTAATTGAAGGATTGCTTAAAGAGTTAATGGAGATCCACAATCAGGATATGATTCATAATGATGTTAAACCACAAAATATTGTGGTCATCCATGAATGTACTCCAAAACTAATTGATTGGGAATTGTGTGAGATTTTTACAAGCTACGACACAGAAAACGAGCAATGTATTGGACTTCATGGCTTGCCTTTGGAGTCTGAATATGGTACAGATAACTACAATGCTCCAGAGAAATTCTTAGACAAGTTAATTTCACCAAAGAGTGATATTTTTTCAATGGGACTTGTATTCATTGAAATGGTGTTGGGAAATGAATTGAATGACATGGAGAGGAAACTGTGTATTACACATTCAAAGAAATTTTGGAATTCAAAACTCAAGAATTCATGCAATCTCATCCGAGACAACTTGTTTGAGACATTGCAACTCATGATAAATGCAGAAAAGAAGGAACGACCCTCAGCTGCAAATTGTTTGGAATTGCTTGGGTTTCACAGCGATGAACAAGAGATCGTTGATCATTTCAAGCCATTTGAGAGGTATTATACAAGGTCCAATGGGCCAAAATTTTGCAAGATTCAACCACGTAGACTGTTTGAAACATCTCCGCAAAACGAAAGTACCAACAAAAGATTGAACCATGTTTTAGGTGATGGTATTGAGGAAGAACCAGCTTCTAAGAAAATCAAATAGAACACATGAAACATGTCATAGAGCAATGAATTTATATGAAACCAATCGCATAATAATTTCAGCCTTCAGACGGACAATAGTGGACATTGTTCATCCCATTTAATTATTATTTCTCTTTATTCGAGCGGACATGATGGAAATTAGGAAAGCCTTAGTCCAAACTTCCTTACGGTAAATATTGCTCGAATCATCTTCATATAAATAAAGTGGTTCCATGACATGTAAAAAACTGTCACTTTGATTTAAAGAAAAGAACCCTTTACAGAGGTGCGAGTCCATAAATGTCAAGAGTTTAACAGCCTTTTGTTAAATTGTTAGATTTGTTGTTATTTCTGAATAAATTGTTACTTTGTAATAATCCATAATTCACACATTTTGGGATACTCAATAATGAAAATGAAGAGGATTTGCCAATGCACTCATAAATCTCAGAAATTGGTTTGCAACTTCCTCTCGTGGCAATATAAAATCATCCTTCTGTACAGTCACCCATGAATCTGTATTGGTTTTGTCGTCTGTATCTGTCACATTTAATGGTTTTCGACACATGGGACACGTTTCATTCTTTTGATTCCACGCTTGCAGACATGGCTCACAAAATTGTGAATTACAACATCCAGTGGCAATCGAGGTTGGTGCGTCCATACAAATACAACACAAATCTTCTTCAGATGCTTCCTCTTCTTCGTCATGATTGGTTTCAACAGGACATTTCTTTTCAAAAAGATCATGCATGGCTTGTTCGTCATGTTGATGCGGAGATGTCGAAATTTTTGGTGTTTCTGTGGAAGAGGAGGATCGTTCTTCGAGGAACTTTTGACTTTGCCTTTCCTGTTGATTATTATTAAATAATTGATGTACATGACATTCTGTTTTGGCCCTCTCCAGTATCATATAAAAAGTTTTCAAATCTAAAATCTTCCATTGTCGACAAATTTGTTCATTCTTTGTGAGATGTGAAGGCAACACAAAACCCACGTGTTGAGTTCGATCTATATTCTGAATGGATGATTGCAAGAGTAGCTTTCGATGCTCCTCTATAGAACTCTTATGACCATGACAATCAAAATACACTCGATATAAATTAATTTTCAAATATTTGGAAGGAATATATTTCATCTCTTCCTCTCGGACATGTTCAAAAAAGTCTCGATTCATCAACTCGAAATACAAATAAAACTTGGAATGATATAAAAAGTGAATACTCAAATAATTGAGTAAATTGACATCACACAGAAAGGATCCGATATTTTCTGGAATTTTTGATCCGAGTCCCGAATGATGATGATCCTGAGTGGTTGTTGTTGTTGTTGATGTTACAGGAATTTGAGAAGAGGAATTTCCTCTGGATCGTGATGTCGTCTTGCTGGTAGTTGTTGTTGTGGTTCCTCCGTGATGATCATTTTCTAACGAATTTTGTAAAACGTCCGAAATTGAATTTCCCATAGTAGTAGATGAGCGTGGTTGTTGAGTGAGGTTAAATACAAATCAATCGACGACCTTTTTGAAATAATAATTCAAATGAAACACGAGAGAGAGGAAGATATTGTTGTTTTTTGATGAAATGTTGTTCCGATTCAGAATTTTTTTTTAGAATTTTACTTCTAAAATCCATTTGGAAGGTTTCTGTTCGAATCCAATAAACCAATTGTGGAGATCATCTTCTTCAATGCCATCTGTTAATGTTTGAAGGTCTTGGATTTGTTACTTTCAAACCAATGGAGAAGAGAATGAGGGTTGGGTCGAAGGGTGGTATCTTGGTTGTTATAAATGATGCACGTTGAAAAGTGACAGTTTTGAAAAGTTGTTGTTTTAGTCACATCTAGTTGTGGACTATTGTTCTCTTGATTGAATGTCATGAAATGTTCACAAAGCCATTCAGAAGGAACGGATTCAAAAGTTTGTTTGACCTTATCATAATCTCTTGAATGTTGTGCTGGATGATTTGACATTTGTAAGGCAATACTTTCTCGACATTTCAATTCATCACGTTCGACTTGAATACAACAGAAACTAGTTTGTAAAATGAAATTCAGTTCATGTTGAAAAGTTATTTTCTCGAAATTATGTTCTTCTTCTTGTCGTTTCAAATGATCATTTTGTTCATCGAGTGACGACTCGAGAAGGAGTTGCCAGTGGTTGTTTTCATGTAGTTGTTGTTGATGATTGTAAGAATGATGATCGTACAAGGACCGTGATGACATTTTGTTGGTCAAGTTGATCACGTTTGGATAGGAGTGTTTGGCGATTGTTCTTAATGCTAATAATAAAGTAAATTCGATCACGTTTAAAACAACTTGTAATATTTTACAATGTTTTTACATTTGGATGAATCATTTGGTTCTACTTTAAATCCTCCCCTGTTTTGTTGAGCTTATTACGAGCCATCAAAATGGCATTCAAGCTAATACCTCCTCCTCCAATAGCAACTCCTCCTTTTGGTTTGGTTGAAGTGTTGTTTTTGTTTGTTTCCTCTTCTTGAATCAAGGAACTTGTTGAACTTTTTGCCATTCGATTTCCAATGGAAGAAATGACAGAAGAGGCAGAAGTATTCTCTTCTGTAGTTGTTGATGTTGTTGACGTTTCTGTTATTTCATCCTTTTTGTGTGGTTGTGATTTTTGAATGGATAATGCTCCAATGGCTCCCAATTTCTTTTCCAATTTTGAAATTTCCTCCAACTTGTCAAATTCATTTTGATTTGGCAATTCAATATCGTGCTGATCAGTAGTAGCTTCAATGACATGATTCAATAACGAGGAAATATTCGTACGAGTTTTCTCTCGACGAGGTTTTGCAATTTTTGCCTTTTTCACAACCATGGTTCCCTGTGAATGTGTTTCATCACCATTTTCAGACTTTTCCACAGAACTTGTGGAATCTGAAACGATCGAAGAATTTGAATCTTTCAATGTTCTTAATTGTAATTTCTGTTTCAATCGTTCTCCAATCATTCCAACAATGGCAACTCCACTGCTGACACCTCCACGAGGAGAAGTTAATTCTTCTGTGTTCACATTTGTTGTTGTCTTGGACACATCTGTCTGACCACTCGTTGACGAGGAATTGGTTGAAGATTCTGCTTGGCCTTGTTTTAACATTTTAGCTAAAGAACTAGTTCTAAATCTCATGGAAGGAACTCGTTGAGTGGTGGTTGTTGAAGAAGTGGTTGGATGAATGATTTCTTGTTTTTCTTGTTGTGACGTTTCAGAAGTAACACTGACCTTACTGGATTTCTTTTCAGAAGAATCCAAAGTGTTGCTCATTGATTGTTCCTTGTCGTTTGTGGTGGATGAAGAAGGTTTTTTAAGAATACTCACAGGTTTCACTTCCTTGACAGGTGACGTTTGTGGTTGAGAATTCATGGAGGTAGAGCTTGTAACAATTGCTTTTTGAGGTGTTGGATGATTAGAAATTTTCAATTTTTCAACTTGTTGAATTAATTCTAATTCTTGACTTTCGAGATCGGAATTGGAATATGGGAAAATAAATGCGAGTATGGCGAATTGAGAAAGAAGGTGTTTTTCAAAGAGAGGTGTCAAAATGAGTGAAATTCGATTCACAATGAAGCGTATTTGTGTTAGACATTGAATGCCAATGGTCATTCCAATCAAACACCAAATTCCATTTTTGGAAGTTGCCATCGATAAGCTCCAGCTCAATAACATGATCATGTACAATCCTACTGTTTGAATCAATGCCATTTCCTCTCTCATATAAAATAATTGTTTTGCCAATAATTTCAACTCTGGATTTGCTAATTGCCAAATTGGAATTAAATATTTTGAATCATGATTTTCTAAAATCTCTGTATTTGCATAGAATACATAAAAACTACACAACTTGATCAGTGTGTGTGAAATGATGAGAATCAGTGGCAGTGATAGCAATGTTATGGAAAGAAATGAAAAATGTGAACTCGCATTCACAATAAAAGTTACAAAATAAAGAGTGTCAATGATGACATTTGAAATGAATGAATAGAATGAAGTGGTGGTTGCGAATGACGATACATTGTTACTTCCAACAGTAGTGACCAAAGCTGGAGGTCTAAATTGAAAGAGTATGACAACTGTATCGGATTTCCGAATATGGAATTATTGTTATCCGAAATTCGTTTCATCATGATGATGATTTCATACAACAATATTTCAGTATAATCATGATCGGTTCATAAATATTTTCAGCATTAACAGTGAATCATGTGAATCTATCCACATGAAGATATATTAAAAATTTCACATACCCATCGTGACACTCATCAAAAAGGCCAATAACATGGACACTTGAAACGCTAACGAAAAGATTACACTTTCCAACAACAACATGGCAATATACGGAGACAATAATGTAAAAATTGTTTCATCCATCACATAGGAGTGTTGATTCTTTCGCATCACGTCACAATATTGCACCACATAGGAATAATATTTGTAATAACTTGATACAATGTGGAGGGAGAAGAGGGAAAGAGAAAGAATCATGTTGAGTTGTTGTTATTGGGAGGTTTGTGGGATTGGCAGGTGTGAATCATGAAAGATTTTTTTCTTGTGATTCTTTAGATGAAAAGTGATGTGCCTTTTCATGTGTGACAAGCTCGCTACAATTATGTCTTGCTCACATAAACTGGCGTCACAGACACATTGTTAAACCTCAAATTGAATGTAAAAGTAATTTAATGGATGCTTTACAGACCAAAGTTTACATTTCACTTGCTCATAGCTGCCTGGAATGATGTGTAAGTGCCTGCGACCGCTGTGAGTGATTTGATTGAAGCGACAGTGCTTGTGACTGTCGTGACAGTACAGAATGGTGAGAAATGGCCGTCGAATGATCACTCTTTGCCACACTTTTTCTGGACACAGTGCTATGAACCTCTGACTTGTCAAGCTTTGGTAAATGCTCCCCCTGTGAATTGTCACAAATATCAGATTGGCGTTTCAACTCTTGAATATCCTTAACAGAGAGCGCCACGCTAATATTGTCATCATTTTTCTTGAGGTCAGAAATGAGGTTGGAATATCGTCCGTACATGCTCTCAAATTGCTCCCTCTCTTGCTCTGACAATTTGTTCAGTAGAAATTCTTGTTTTTGTTGAATTTCATCCAGAATTTTAAGAATGTTTCTTCGTGCCTCTTCTTCATGCTTCAAAGAATGCTCCAGTTGACGAATTCGATCGCTCTCTGCATCACTTCCAATCGAGAAGGACAATTCGGAAGGAGCCTTAGATTTCCTACTCCTCTGCGAATATTTGGAGCGTGAGGAGAATATAGATTTGGTATCGAATTTGTCGTCGTTAGTGGCCTCTTTTGTAGGAAGCTCGAGTGATGCATCAGGATTTAAATCGGAAAATGCTTGACTGATGGCATCACTTTGTTCACGCGTTGGATTCAAAGGAGGAAGACTCTTTGACTTGGAGCCGGTACTGCTATGTTTGGATCGTACGGACACCTTGTCATCTTCATTGTTAATTGAGTGCTTGGAAAAATCATGTTCAAAATTGTCCTTTTTCGACAGCTCTGCAGCCAATTCCTCGATTTGTTTTCGCTTATTGAGCTTTTTGAGAGGATAAAATGCATCCTTCCTAGGTGGCGGAGGTAATTTTCGTAGACCATTATTGAATTGAGAGTCCTTGTAACTGTGAACGACGATAGGTTGGTGGAGTGAGTTTCGTTGATCCAGAATTCCTGTAAATTTCTTGAGTTGAACTTTTCGATTAAGGGCCGTCATGTAATTGGCCAAATCCTGTATGGGTGGGTAGATCCTAGCTTTGCCAAACACTGGAGATTGCCGTGCTGGTTGAGGTGTCTCTATGAGATTATTATATACAATTCTGTTGTCATAATTTTCGGGGTTGTTGATTGATACTTCGGTCAAAAAGGTTCCATCACCACCTGTTCTCTCGTTGCCAACATTTGTTCGTTTTGAAGAGTTATAACTACGAGCAATTGAGGTTCCATTGAGCTGATTCGGGCTACCGTTGTTCAATGATTGATGTGCTCTTCCCAGATTTGAAACCACAATGGAATTATTATTGAAGGTAGCTGTTGGCTGGGATATCATGAAGGGACTTTGTCCCAAATCTACATTCATTTGCTCAGCCATCGGATCGTTGAGGGTTGTCTAAATTATAGTTACGAGTAAGGATGTTGTTGAGGGTTTGTACAAAAGAATGATTGGTGGTAATTATAACGGCTACTGTTGTTGAGTCCTTAAATACCAATGGATTTCTTAATAGCAATAATCTAGGAACAATTCAAACTCATTCGGATAAGTATTTCAATCACACTTTCTCTCTATTATTTGATGATGATAAATTCGGGAACAGAACACGACAGAGTGAGCGGGAATATGTGTTGTTGCTTTTTTTCTCTTGGCGTCAAATTTACGGCCGTTAAAATTTCAAACGTTTCTGACTGGCATTGAAAGGCCACGCGTATGGCGTGGAGAGAAACGATGATGCAACAACAGGTCTTATTCTTTGACCAAGTCAACAGAAAATTAAATATTCAGATTGAATAGTGCCAACAATACATTCCTCCTTCCAAAAGCTTTGCGATTTCCTTGCTCATTATCCAAATATTTGTTTCAAAAGATGATGATGAACAGATGAAAATCATTGGATGGTCATACATTCCAGCGATCATGATTCTGCCATCAATAGTCATTGTTTTTAATTGATATACTCGAGTGGTGTCCTTGTATCTATGGCTTGATCACTGATGACATTTCGCATCATCCGAAAAAAAAATACAAACACCACCATCATCATCCACATTCTCACATCATCATGTCCTCACTGGGCACGAATTCACTCCTGATGTATGCATCGCGTGCAGCGGCATCATCAGGCTCTCAACAAAATTCAGTCATGTTGGGAGCGGCTGGATCGGGAGGAGGAGCAGTCTTGGTTCCGGTCAGTGAAATATCATCATCAACGACGGCTAGTGCAGCAACCAATAATCAAGTGCTACACTATGGAGATGTTCTTTCATTGGTGTATGAGGATGAAAAATCTCACATTTCTGTTCGTGGATTGAATCCCATTCGATGTGGATGTGTCAATTTTCAAGAGAGTTATAAAGCACCTCTCAAAGAATCATTGTTTATGGTCATGAAAGGTGGTTCTTATTCAGCATTGAAACGATACAATGAATTTATGGAAATGAAAACAGTCACAACAACTGGCATACATGAAATTATTGCCTCCTCGAGGAGATCTTCAGCTAGGTTCGGGAGAAATGTGGCTGCCATGGTCAACACCAATGCAGAAAAGAGTTTGGAATCGAAAAGACTCAAAACCAAGATGCAACGTGAGGAGCAACAAAACAAAATTGAAGCTCAAAGGGTATGTGGTTGTATTTGTGAATTAATTTTAGTGGGTATAATGTGAACTTTTGTGGAATAATATCATGCATGTGAATTTTTATATTCCCATTACATCATCATCAAATAATGTGGCGTGTCACAATTGTGTGTGGCTAAATGTCACTTGTCATTTTTATTCAAAATAATTTTTAAATCATTTTCACTGAAATCATATCCATTCTCCACAACATTGATTTGCCCTATACTTACTAAATATTATATAATTACCAATACTTCTGCAAAATTAGGAACTTGGAAAAGTTGTCACTTATGGTGCTAGAATACAGCTCTTGCATTTGGAAACTCAGGAATATTTGACAGTACTTCGAACAAATGCAGAGCTTGAAAAAGCTTGCATTGGACTTTCATTGGCTAGCAGTGGAAGTAGAACCTTCTTTCAAATTTTACCACATTTCAAATTTAGAGCGGTAAGTTTTTGATTATTCTCGATTCACAATCACTCACACCGATGGTCACACGAAAAATGGCAAATACCTTTCGTTGAACCATTTACACGAAATTTTAATCGTTTTCGCCACCTCGTGCATTTAAACAATGTTTTTATTTTTAAATATTTTTCAAATCAAATTATTAACTTAGGAGAATGAACCTGTTCGTCTCTCTGATAAGATCATTCTATTTAATGAAAAGTCAAAGCATACACTCCACTGTTCACAACTCGTGTACAACAAGCCAGTAGTGAACAGAGATAATAGAAATGAAGTGAATGCAACTGCGTCCAATTCTTCCAATGTATGGAGAATTAATCTTTTTTCTCCATACTCTGCCCATCTCTCCAAAACATTGTTAAAGATTGGTGACGTTATTAGACTCTTCCACAAAGATGCAGAAGGATACATTTTTCAACATCATGAACACATCAAATTATTTACAGATAAGAGTGCTCTTTCTTCCATTTGCTCTCTTTTTGAAATTGAAAATTCAGACCGATTCCGTGGTGGTTTTGCTAGATATAGCGTACCATTCAGGCTCAAACACTTACCAACAGGATGTTATTTAACAGTTCAAAAAACTGATGTCATAGATCAAAAGAGCAGTGACACTCTAAACGCATCCGACAATGGTTCCGTTACGTCACGGGGTGTTGGTGGCTGGCTAAAAATTAAGAAAGGACTTAAACAAGTGTTGAGACCTTCATTGACAAAGGAGCCAACCGATGACACACTTTTTACATTCCATTCGCCGGAAGTTGGAGCTTCTGATGCTGTCGGATACGGTCAACCGATTGAAAGACGTAACTTGGTAAGAATTAGGCATGTGAAAACAGATACATGGCTTCATGCTTCCGAAAGATCAACAAAGGACATTATTACTTCACGAAGTGGAAGTATGTTTAGGAGTGATTCTAAATCTTCTTCTCGAAGAGCTTCCATGTCTCCAACACTGGCCATGTTGAAAGATTCTTCCTTTTTTGTGGATCTTTCATTCGAATACAGAAAAAAAGAAACAGATGTCTTTTCTGTCAGCATGTCTTCAGAGAAAGAATTGAAAGATTTTTATGTTGTGAATCAAGTTTTTAGAATAATTGGAAATTTTAGAAAGATGCTCAAAAAATCATCGACACAACAACCTCAAAGAAGTGACATTGAATCCGTTTTAGAAATGTTGCGGTTTGTGATTCGTTTTTGTACGGAAAGTGGAGAGCAAGATGTCATGAAAAGAGAAGGTATTCCATATCCTGACAGGCAGTCTGCATTCAGAGATATTGGTCTGATTGATATCATCATGAATATTATTCAAGAGTCGATGAATATTTTTGGAAAAGAGGACAAATGGGATCAATTGTATCAGTACAGTTTCCGTTCCATTAGACAAATTACTCTCTTGCATGTTTCCAACAGTTTATACGTATTTGAAAAGTATTTCCATGAATTGCAGAACCATATTTTAGGAGAATCTTCGAGTGTTGTTTTACATCCAGCTAAAGACTTTTCAACAACCATTGGTCACACGAACACACAACTTCTCATTGGAATGATCAAGGACAATATGGAACTGTTGAATAGTATTACTCAAAAACAAATTGAAGGGTTCTTTAAGTTACTTGTGGAAAGTGATCAAAGAAACCCACTCTATTTGGACTTGTTGAACATTTTGTGTAAATGTGAAGAGAGACCCATTCAAAAGAACCAAAATGATTTGGTGTCACTTTTGAAAAATGCTCTCGAAAAGAATCCAAATCTCTTCATTATTCCGAGCATTGAGAAGGATGACCCTGTTGTGAAAATACCATCTACAGGAGAAAGCAAATCATTGAAGAGTTTTAGCGAGACGGAACATTTTATTTTCATGCTCACTTCCATTCGTTTCTTTGCTTCGTTGTGCTCAGGAAAAAACAGTCTTGCAATTCCCTTTATTCAACAATTGTTTCCCTACGAGTTAGTTTTGAAATGTATCCAAGACACTAAAGCACCTCTCTCGATTCGGTCTGCCTTTGCAAATCTCATGGAATATTTGTATGTGGACGCCATTGGAATTGAGGAACAACCTGCCATCAAACTCACTAGAAAATGGCTTGCCACAGGAGCTCATATCAAATCAACGTCATTCGAGGAATACAGAGCTCGTCACAAGAAACTCAAAGACTTTATTCATGGACACTTTTTCGTAGCCGGTAATCGAAAACTTTCACCTCAATCCGATCAGTCTTTCAATTATCAACTGATCAAGATTTGTTACAAGCTATTCCTGTATCGTGCTTATAATCCATATGGAGACGATTTGGAACAGAAGAAACTCGAGAGTTATCAGGACCAAGAAGAAATTTCTGGCATTGTAAACTCATTACTCAAAATGTTGAACTCGAACAATGTTGGAGAAGAACACTTTATTGAATCTGAGAGTAATAGAACCATCATCAAAATCAAGAACAAAATCAGTGACATTATCCTCTATGTTTTAGATATGAGAATTGACGTGCGTATTTCATTGTATCTGGATGTGTACAGCGCCAAAGAAAAAGATGTCGATAATACTTCTAATTTGGACACTATTCTCTCCCGAGTCGAAGAAAAAAGCAAAAAGATTCCATTCTTCCAATTTGATTCGGAAGAGCATAACTTTATTCCAGCCATGCTTTCATTGTTACAGTATAAAAACAATGAAACTCCAATTAAGGCTCTCAAAATGTTATTGAGATCACACATGCAAGAGATTGAGTTGAAGAATAACCTGGAACGTCTAGTATTACTCACCTCTCCAAAACTTGTTCAATCCTATGAAACCATTTTCAATTATTATAACAAGCTCAATAACTTGGTAAACAATGCAACATTCTCAGGAAGCAAACACGACTCCAAAGAATACAAAGAATTTAAGAGTACAGTGAACGGAATTGTATCTGATGCCAAAAAGTATGGACCGTCTGCTCAGAGTATTTTGAGAAATTTGCAAATTCACGAACTCATGATTACCTGCCTCACAAAAACCTATCCTGAGAATATCAAATTCAATATTTTCCAAAAGGCAGTGTTGGTATTGACAGAATTTGTGAGGGGCAATCCAGAGAATCAAGTCGAGCTCTTCCCTCATATGCAATTCTTTATCAATATATTTTCTGACAAATTGGACACGAGTGAATTACTTTGCGAAATAGTTCGAGACAATCGTGATCTTTTGATGAATATTGATGAAAAACTGATTCACAAATATATTGACAAGGTTGGAGATCTTGGAAAATTGTCGTGGCATTTGAACTTTTTACGAGTACTTACTCGAATTGGTACATCGAATATTCAGAGAAATCAGGACATTATTGCCATTTATTTGAGTACTGAACGAAAAGATATCATTGTTTTATTCAACGATGATGCTGGAATTGAAGAACGTAAGCAACGTATTGAAAACAAGGAATACAAGATATCTGGCTCTCTCCTCAACTATCACATCAACATGCTCTATCTGTTGTGTGATTGTACTTTGGGAACTGTGAAAGAGGCTGAAGTGAAAATTCAATCCATTCTCTCCTTTGAAGATTGTCTCTCACTGTTAATATCTGAGAACTTGATTCCATTGGTGAGAGATCCACTCATGTCGCTCATGAACGAACTCTACATCAACACAGAGAAGAAATCAAATGATGTTCTTACCAATGCATCTATTTGGCGACTCTTTAAGCGTATTTCACAAGAAATCAAATATTATGTGAGTTGTAAAGGTAGAAACACGTGCAAGTTAGAAAGAGACATTACCTATCAACTTCCACCTCTAAAGAACGACCTCCCTCAAGACGATGACGATATTGAAACCGAATTTTACGTGAGCGAAAAGTACATTTATTCCATCGTAGTACCTCTATTGAAAAATTATTTTGCCAACTACTTTTCGAAAGAATCTGCATCCAAAGACTCTGCAGAAAATATTAGTGAAATTATCAGTGACATTATTACACAATTAATTGAACTCTACACGTTCACAGCAAATCCTAAATACAGAGAAGATATCAGTGATTGTATTTTGGAAATTCGTTCAAGAGCTGCATTACCCATTTCTATTGAGACGAAATTTAAAGAGCTCAAGAAAAATAGAGCCATTACAGTGCTATCACCCAACTCTGTTCTCAATCCAGCCCTGACCATCAATGCTGGAAATGAAGATGCTAAACGTTTCAAGGCATTCATTGAAACATTACATTTCCAAAGTAGTGAGGCCATTTTCTCAAAACTTGCCAAGTCGTTCGTGGAACAATATGGAGGTCACTTTAAATGTCTCATTGAGGTTCTGCAAAGAATCATGACCATTGGTATCTCCAAAGATTTGGTTGAAACCTTTGTGGGTGCAGTTGAAACCATCAAGTATGCCATCAAAGGTCAGAAACCCGAGTTCGTTGTTGATACTGGTATTCCAGAGCTCGTTTTACAATTACTCACTGCCGAGTATGACATTGTTTCACATGCCCTTAAACTCTCTCATGAAATGTTAAATTCCGTGGAGACTCGTAAAGTTGTGAACACCATTGTCAGTAGTGGAAGCTATGAATCATTCTTTGTGGCCATTAGAAACCGACTACGTCAATCGACCTACGAAGTCAAGGAACATTTCTCCCTCAGAAAACGAAGTACCACTTCTTCCATGTTTAGCAGCCGCAAAGACAACAGTCAGGCAAAAGATGTGTTACTTTTCTTGAAACTACTTTGCGAAGGTCACTTTTTACCCAATCAACAAATGTTATATAATCAACCTTTCAACTCGGTTCCTGTGAACTTGGTTTCCGAATGTGTCGACTATGTCATTAGCTTGTTCAAGTATTTGAGTAATGACAGTGTTGATAACTTTATTCAGGCATTTGACACTCTCAATGAAATGATCCAGGGACCGTGTATTGAAACTTCGATTGAATTGGCCTCCTCGACAAGATTCTTGGCTGTGATTAATGAAATTTTAGCGAGAAAGGTTCTTGATCCTGAAGATGGAGACATTATGGAAGTTCCTGATGACAATATCATTCAGATTGATGACGTCGATTATCATTTGGATGTATTGGATCATGAACTTGAATTATTAGAGAAAATTATCATTCTTCTTACCAGTATGCTTGAAGGTGGAAACAAAATCTCAAAGAATTATATTAAGAAAACCATTGATTTCAAAGCATTGTGCAAACTCATGGTAATATTTAGAAAAGGAAACGTGGCCTTTAAAACCAAATTGACCAGAATTTTAACCATTGAAAAGAAGCCAGAACTGCTCAAAGAAGCTCTCAGAAAAGCTCACAATATTGGTATTTCCATTTTCATTTTGCTCAAATATTTAGATTTTGATTTTTCAATCATCTCCTCAGAATATTTGGATTCGAATGAGAAGAGTGTGGATCAAGTCGATGAAACTGGTAAAGTTTGGCTCAAATACTACAACACAAAGGTTGGAACGATTGAAGTTGTTCGTGACAATGTGTTGGAAAAGGTGCATTTCAAGGTTTTGAAACGTTGTAGGCATTTACAAGAAACCACCAAAGACGAATTTGTTGAGGCGTGTGATAGAAGCTCACCTCAAACAAAAGTGAAATCCCTCTTCGATTGGACCTACCAAATCGCTCGTGTGGAAATGGCTCACTTGAAGAATCTCATGGACAATCCAAATAGTTTCAATGCACGTGGTTGGAAGCTCACTGAAAAGTACTGGTATCATATTCGACTTGGTGTCTTCTTACTGGCCGTTGTGATTAACATTTTAGTTCTTGCAACGTACACAAAACAATTTGATGTCATTTCTGGACCTGTCATTGTACCAGGAGTGCCATTGACTACTCAGAGCCCACTCTATCGAAACAATTATAATTATTTAGCTATTGGAATCATTGTTGAAACGTTAGGGCTCATTTTGCTAGGGTTGAATATTGGTCTTTCTGCCATCTATTTGTATTTCTTCCTCACTTTGAATATTAAGAAGAAATTTAAGCTGAAAAAGGATGAAAATTGGAACGATATTACCAAAACGAACCGTTTCATTTATAACTTTTTACTGTATGCTTTACAAGACCCATATATTTGGAGAATTATTTTATTCTTCTGGGTGATTGTGATTGGAATATTTGTGACGCCTCTTGCATATATTGTCTTGACGTTTGAAATTATAGCTCTTTCACCCGATGGATTGCTTGACATTATTCTTGCTATCGGTCAAAACTATGAAAAGTTACTATACACTGCCGTATTGACACTCTTCTCGGTATTGTTACACACCTTCTTGATGTTTAGCTTCAAATATGACCAATTCAAGTTCAACAATACCATTGTGTGTACAGAAACTTTGACATGTTTCATGTCCATTCTCAACTATGGATTGAGAGGTGGTGGTTTTTGGGAAGATATTACTGATGCTGTAAGTGTGTTGTTCTTCTTTTATTTTATTCTCAAATTTTAATTTACCAATTGCCATCAACAGTATCCTCTTGATGTACCTCGTATCTTTATTGACTTGTACTTTTCACTACTGATTATCATTTTGTTAGTGAACGTTGTCTTTGGTATTGTGCTTGACAGTTTTAGCGAAAGAAGAGAAGAAAAAGCAGAATTGGAACAAGAAAAGACTGGATGTTGCTTTATTTGTTCACACAAAAAGTCACGATTTGACGTTCGAGCCAATGAAGGCATTAGTTTCGAAGGTCACATCAAACACGAACACAACATGTGGAATTATGTCTTTTATTTAATTTATTTAGAAAATAAGGATCCCAGCGAATATACTGGTATTGAACAATACGTGGCAGAGTTGGCCAACAAACAATACATTACCTTCTTTCCAACGCTTCGTTCCATGACTTTGGAAAGAGCAGAATCAGATGAAACGGTGGAACAAAAAGAAAATGCCACTCTCAAAGATCAAGCATTCAAGATTGAAAGTTTACAACATGCCTTACAACATCACAAACGATTTAGTTCGTACATGAGTAAGGATGATGAAATTGTGAATTCCTTAATGGACTCGAAAAACAGTCGAAGTGCGTCCAACGGTGTCCCTGGTTCTCATCATCGAGCACATATGGATGACTATTCGAATTTGGATTATTTGTGAGTCTGTTCCAGTATATATTGTATTAAATTCATATGAATATTATTGTCTAAATTATTTTACATCATATTTTACAAAATTAAAAAGTCACACGCGTTAAAAATAATGAACAACAACAACAACTTACTCGGAGAGCACACCATACTCCATCAATGATAACAATGATTTTTTGGTGTTTTAAAGTGCTCCGATCACATACTCATCTCTCACACGAGAGACGGAATTATCATCTTGACAGAATGATAATCACATAGTTATTATTATATAGATCTATGGCCCGAATGATGTATCATTTTAGTTGTCTCTTCAACTTACCAATGTAATAAATGATGGTAATTCTTGATCAAAATATTTCTTGCTCCATTACCGTCACGAGGGATGTGGAAGTGACAATGATTGCAATGAAACCATTTGCTTCCATAAAGGTCTTCCTTGATCACTGAACATTTTCCACACGTTTTCGATGTATATTGTTCTGTGACAACATGTACCTTGCATCCACGCATTTCTGCCTTTTGCAAGAGTTTCATTCGAAAATCATAGTGTCTAAATCGCAACATTTGGCGAACAGTTTTTCTAGTAATTTTTCTTCCAACCCGTTCGGAAGTGTTGGTGGTGGTTTCACTTGTGGTGGTGTCCCTTGATTCCCATCCTTCGAATGGTGAAGACGATGCAACAAGAGGTTCTGTTCGCACATCCATATTCTCCGTTTGGCCATTAGTATAACCTTCTTGTCCTTGACACGTGGTATCTTCTTTTCCTTGACGCTTCCTTTGTTTTTGTTTTCTAGCAATCATGGCCTTGACATTAAATTCAGGTATTATAATTTCAGAATAGTGGAAAGTTAAATAGTCAATAATTTTGTTATGCATATCATTCACCTTATTTCTAATTTTGCTTTCCAGCCTTCTAATCTTCTTTTTTAAGGCTTTTCTTAAACCCTTATAAAATTTTCGTTCCTGCCGAGAATTGTATTTTAGAAATTTGTTCTTGGCAATTTCCGACCTAAGCTGATCTTGCTTTAGAGAAAGGGAAAAGAGTATGGTGTTTTCTCCTTGAGCGGCAAATTCCAACGCGTCTCCATTACTATCATAACCATACATGAAGCATCGAACACCTGGATCCAATGCAATGTATTCCTTTCTGAGTTCATCTTGAGAAGGTTGTGGGCAGTTCTTGAGAAATATCGTGTCATATTCAATTCCACTGTTCGAATTGGACTCGTAAAAGCTTTTATCAAACCGTTGGTATTCTTGTCGAGTTAAAGCTTTGTGATAACGGACTGGAAGGCAAACAAAATATCTACCTCTTTCTCGTACAAAGGTTGTCTCGTGTGAAAATTTTTTGTTGTCTTGTTGTTTGGGTAGGCGATGGGCAGACGGATCATGGAAAAATTAGAATTCAGAAAAGTTCCAATCACATGAATCAATCACATTCATGTAAGGGATTCAAATCACATGTAAGTAAAATCGAAATACATATATATACATACCAATCTCTTCCTTTAACCACTTTCGTGCTCTTGCAGGATAATAAAATTTCAAAAGATGATCCGTAGATTTCTTGGAAGGACATGCACTTTCATTCCCTTTAAAAAAGGTAGGTTTTAACAACACTCCTTCCTGTGATAATGAAATGTTTGTCACCTTGAACGACTGATATGGATGTTGATTGCTTCGTCCTTTCATTTCGAATTCACGAGGTTGTCGAGTAAAATGTTTGGGATTAAATCTTTCGTTCATTTCCTCATCAGTAATCATCTCCTTCTTTCCTTTTTGAACATCTTTAAAAAATTGGTTTTTGGCCTTTCGAGCAGCCTCTTTGGATTCCTTTTCTGCTGCTTGTTTGTTTTTATATCTAGTAATTTTCTCAGCCTTGACAAAGTCTTTCACAGCGTTCAATTTAATATCTGCTGGACAATGTTTCAACTCTTGATCCCATAGCCACCTAGTTTGTTTGAATCTCAGGTTGGTTTGGGGATTCTTCAAAATTTTAAAGTAATCGTCTTCTGTGGTGGTAAGGAGTGTTTTTCCCTTGTTTTGCTCTAACATGAAATAGAGGAGACATGCTTCGTTATAAGCATGGTTAGAATTGAAGAAAAATCTTTCAAAGACCTTCTTTTGTTCTGAGGTGAGTTTCAATCTCACTTTCTTTGTTCTCACAAAATAATTGTCTTCGTTTGAGATTGAGAAGGAGGTGTAAATTTGTTTTAGCAATTTCTCGATAGTGTCATCAGCTTTTTCCTTTGATTCCGCAGTAGTGGAGGAATTGACTCCATTCTCAGCAGTCATAGATGAACTCACTTCATTCTCAGCAGTAGTGGATGAATTGACTCCATTCTCAGCAGTCATAGATGAATTCACTTCATTCTCTGCAGTAGTGGATGAATTCACTTCGTTCACAGCAGTCACAGATGAACTCACTTCATTCTCAGCAGTCGTGGATGAACTCACTTCGTTCTCTTGAAGCATTGTTAAAGACTCCTCCAACGCAGATACTTCCTTGAATTCCTGAACAAGCTTCTTCTTTTCTGACCCAAACTTGCGTCCGTTGAACGAGCAGACTGTCCTTTTAACCTTGGAATTTCCACACTTACATGGCGTCTTTTTCCAAGTTTCTGATTTACTCCACACTTTTTCTACCAATTCCTTCTTGCTCGGAGGTGGTTTTGTGGATGGACATCGTTGGCGAACGGAGAGGGTAAACCAACTTTGGGTCGGTATTTTCGTACCATTCTTGGCAAAACATGACACGGGACAAGTCTTGTTCAAACGATCAACCGTATCATCATGCCAAAACGGTTTTCTTAACTCCCTTGAATCAGTCGAAGCAGTGGTTTTAGGAACCATCCTTCTCTTATTCAATCTCTTCTTCGTTGGTTGCTGTTTGTGATAGAGTTGCCTTTTTCTTAACCGTCGAACCTTATTTTTCAGCGACTGAAATGTTCGGTGTGTAAAGTAATCTCGGTAAATTTGTTCCAAATTCATTCCCTTCCGCAAGGATGTCACAATTAAATCCTCTTCCGACTGTGAATAAGGTTCTCCTGGAGTCGTTGATACATTGGACTTGTTCGATGATGGTTGTGCTTGTCTTAACGGTAAGGGTTTGGATGGACTTAATTGACCAAGTTTCATAATCATTTTCTGGTAATGGTCAGAATTGGTCCATGTTTCTGGAAAAGTTATCGATACAGTAGAGGTAAAGGTGTTACTATTAGTGAATTCTGAAAAGGTTAAATCATCGACACTCCATTGAATGATAAAATTTGTTGCATATGAAGCATCATACGCTCCTTCCAATCTGGCACGATTAATCTTTCTTTTCAATTTCTTATACTTTTTCTTCAACCAGTTGATGGATCTATCAAAAAAGAATGTACCAATCTTGCTCCATTCCATATTGAATTGTTTTAAAAATAACAACATATAATGTTCTTGGGTTGCGTATGCTTTTCCTTGATCGAGAGAGAGAGGTTCAATACTAATTCCACGCTCCAAATAAGCAGTCCTTAATAAGTCTCCAAATTTATCAACAGTAGATACGTCTTTCAATACTTCCAATCTCTGCCAATGAGAAGCAACCTTCTTCTTTTTCTTTGCTCTTTCTTCCTCACACTTATAATGATCACTCAAAGTGTGATCACATGGCGAAAATTTAATTTGCGCCATTGGTATGTATGGAGGGATAAAAAAACCACCAAAACCACCAACGCCTTTCAATTTACGCCATTTATCAATACGTTCCATCATGGAACGTTTTTGATAAGGATGCTTGTATATCATTTGTGGTTGCTCTTTTATCGCCAAGACCCTCTTTGAATTTTGAAAGGTTTTTTCAATTTCTCTGGTAGGATTGGGTGATTTGAGGGGGTTGATAGACTTGTCAACATGTTCCAACTTGGGTGATTCTTGGTCCTTTGTTGATGTTTGCTCTGAAATTCTTGGAGGAAATGGTGGAATGATTGGATATAATTGAGGAGAGAAGGGATTTAAAGGAATCCATGGTGGAGGAAATCCAGGTTGAAAAGAGAGATTTGGGGAGAAAATGGCGGGATTTGGAGGGAAAATTGGTTGAGAGGATGGATTTTGTTGAGTGAAAAGATTGGGATTTGGTGGGAATATAGGTTGAAGGAATGGATGATGGGAGGAGGTGAAACGAGGGTTGTTTGAATTATTCTCCTCACGACTCTGGTTGTTCATGATGAATTATTTTTTTTAAAATATCCTTAATAATAATAAATATTTTCTATCGTTTGGGTTGGTTGGTGATGATAATGAACAACAGCAAGCCTTCCGAACGAGGGCCCTTTCAAACCTTCAGCCACAGCAAACAGCCATTCAGCCAGGATAGTCCTCGCTGCCGAAATTATTTTCAGATACCATCAACAGAATCCTTTGGCATTGAAACAGGATTTTTGCGGCTGAGGTAGGATTTTGATTAGGTGATCAGTTTATTTTGCTTACTAAAAAACCGTTCTCCACAATGACGGTTCTTAAAATATTGTGTAAAATCTTTAGAAACGTCCATCCAGGCAAAGGTTTTTGTTCTTCTTATTCCTTTTTGTCCACTGTTTGATTTGCTTAATTTGGCCAAATTGATGTAGACATGATTGTTTTCATCTAATTGGAGAACATAATCACCAATGCTTAAATATTCGGAATTGAGAGTCTGATTTGCTTCTGGTTTTTCAATTTGTTGTTTGTGATAGGTAATTCCTCCAATGGTGATATGTGCGTTGGATTGTTTGTTTTTGAAATTTTGCAGCATGTTGTGTGGTTGATGTGTTCTGTCCCATTGCTGCTCCAATTTATCGAATTCCATAATGTCATTATTCGAATATTGTTTCAATTTGAATTCTTTTGTAAGTAAAACTTCAATACCAGGTATATTCAAATTAAACAATAGAGTATGAATGGTTGGAGCTTCATATTCAGTATCTGAAAGCATGGCATAAGTGCGACATGCTCTTTCAAATTCACCAATAACAATATAATTAATATGTTCTGGTGATGGGAAGCAACAATAATACTCATATAGTAATCTTGTGGATTGATCTTTCTCTTTGTTGAATTGTAAGCCAACAATTAAGGCACTTAACAAATTATTGAGAGCATTCAAGAAATTTTCAGCGTTCAGATTGGTGTTGGAGCCACAATATTGTCGAGCCACTCCATAAAAATTCTCGATCATATATTCTTTGCAGTTGAAAAGGCAAAAACACTCTGTTGTTGGGTGATGATTGAACTCTATACATTGTCAAACACAAACCGATCATTAATAACAACAATAATGGATAATGACAATTTATCTACCTTGAAGTCGAACTATAAATTGACTCATCATCATCTTCGATGTCAGTATTGTTATGATTTGTTTCTTTTTCTTTGAGGAAGATGCGAGCGATTCCACAAAGCTCTCTTGTTATGAACATTTGTTTGACATCATCTTCAGTCATAATCTTGTTTTTACGTGAAATCTTTGGTTTGGATTATCATTTTCGGGTTGCATTCGGAAAGAAATCACTGCTTTGATGATGGATTTTGGAAGTGCAAATGACATGATCTCTTCATCATCAAATAAAAGTTAGAACAAACAATGCTTCTGATAGCATTTTCTTCAAAAATACGAATTACTGAATTGATGTCTGATGGTGTGAATTTTATATCGGTAAGATAGTCATAGAGAAGATGAAGATCAGAATTCGTTTCGTGGGTGTAAGTTGATGTGGATTGGTTGTCTAGCTCCACATTTGAATTCATTTCGTTCAAGGATAACATGCCAAGGCTTGTCCGGAATTGTTGTTGTTGCTTTGCATTTTTATTTTTAACAATTTTTCTCGTTTTAAAGCCAAAAACATCCGGATTCTGGATTTCCACAAAGTTTGGGAAGTCAGCAGGAGCTGGCAGCCGTCCTTTTCGGCTGTTTGCTGCGGCTGCAGGTTTGAAAGGGCCCTCTTCCGAACCAATGATGCCCTTTTGAGAGATTCAATACGAACCAATGATGCCATTTCCTAGGACTCATCAGACTCTTCATCAGAAGAAGTATCACTGTATTCATCACCCACCCGCTCGTAATCGTGATCCGTTCCATACTTCTGCCCCTCACGGCTTGTTATTGAGTAGTCCCTTATTTTCAAGTTTCATCGGTTGTTGTTGTTGTTGCTGCCATTTATTAGTCCCTTATTATCATGCTTCATCCAAATATTGTTGTTCTAGCGAGTTGCAAATGTTCTGCATGTTCTATTTGTATTTTCCCAAAAATCGTTATGCAATTCCGGGCGGACCTGCCTAAAGCTTTACAAGGCATACACCCTCTCGGTTGGAATTGAGGCAAGAGTTGTTGTGCAATAAAGTACATAAACAAAAGCACTCAAATGATGCATCAAGAAACGTTGACGTCTTCCACATTACCACTGTCGGTACTGTCACTGCAACAAGTAGTTGATGGCTTTTAGTGCAAGGTCATAGTGTGGTTCAACGCAACTCCCCTTTTGTGTTAGACCCTCGCCAACTCGCCAACAAACTCGCTGGAGTGTTTTGGCTCGGTTATACCACTGTGTGTCACTCTTAATTTCGTAAAGACATTATATGGATTACAATTTTTCCGAGAGAAAAAAATATTTCATCATCATCAACCGACACGCACACTGAACCATATCAAAGAAAATGGTGAGAGCCTATTATTTGGAACAAGCTGATAAATCAGTATCTTTGGAAGAATTGGAATCAACCATCGGAGTCATGTATACCTACATTGATCATCACGATTATGAAGGCCGTATTCAAGAAATTTGTAAGGAACGTGGATACGGACATCGTTCCATGGTCTATTTGTTTAAAGAAAAGATGCCAAATATTGATGAAATGTTACCAAAATTCTTTGAAGAACATGTTCATGAATTTGAAGAAATTAGATATATTGTTGATGGAAGTGGAATTTTCGATGTCCGAGATAAACAAGATGAATGGATCAGAATTCATGTGGAGGCTGGTGATTTGTTGGTTCTTCCTGCAGGAATTTATCATAGATTTACGTTGGATGAGAAGAAGTATGCAATTGCCATGCGTTTGTTTTTGGAGACTATGGCTGAGCCTGTATGGACTCCATTCAATCGTAATTTGGGAACTATTGAAGAGATGCCATGTAGAAAGACCTATGTGGACAAGTTCAATTTGTCTGTGAAGGCAATTTAAATGTGAGAGTGTGTAGTTTAGTTGAAATGGATTTACAATAAAGTGTCCTGAACAGTGAGCTCACACATTTAAAATTTTCAAATCTTTGCAAACATGGGTATCTAAAGTGTCACCTGTTCAGCTGTAATTTCATATTGACTCTTAATCACCACAGTAAAATTACCACTCATCTTGTAAGGTGTTCCCATAATCAACAAGTAGGAAACGGGTTTATCACGACGAGTGGCCAATTCACAATCAAACGATGAACGGATCGTGAAAAATTCATTTCCGTTCGGTGGGAACAATGCACATTCTTCTTTGGTGAGAGGTTGTGGCACCGATTGTTTCATCCATTTCTTGAATTTGGCCAATGAAATCACATACGGGAAGAAGGGAATTTTTGCATTTTCAGACTCGACATAGAAATTCACTGGATTTTTCAAGAATTCTCCACTCGAGTTATCTTCTGTATCACTGGGTGAAGAGGAAGGTAAACATTGTAATAAAAACTTTGGATTCGTACTAAATGTTGATGTTTGCCAGTGCGCTCCACACGAATCATTTCCATTCCATTCACTCTTAATGACTTTTTTAAAGAAATTTGCTGAGGAGCCATTAGTATTGGAAGTGCCAGCACCACCACTACTCTCCAACGATTCAAAAGTCACATATTTGTAATCCGAACACACTTGAACTGCAAACGATCCCTCTGTTTGAGGATACCATCGACACGCCACAATCGTATAATCATGCAAACCCTCTGCCTTTTCCAATTCATATTTTTTCACATTGGGGCGAGGTAAATAAATTTCAATGGCATCGCGTGACAGTTTTTTCAATGAAGTTTCTCCAATAAAATCCAATTTTTGAGAAGGAAAATCCATCATTCCAAATTTTCCAGTTTTCACTGCTTTTCGATTTCTATAAATATAGAGTCCAATAGGATTAGGTTTTGATGCAGCGGCTGCGTGACGTTTTCGCATTGGAGTCGTTCCAGAAGTTTCCTGAGAAGAATTTAAAGGCAATTCTTCTTCCAATAATCGAATACTGAGAATGACTCGAACCATGGATTCTTTGGATGATAACAAGGACGAGGAGGACGCGGTCGATGGTTCTTTGGACAATTTTCGATCAGTGACAGGTGTTTGTGGGGAGTGTTCTTCTCCACAATAATTATTTCCACTTCCTCCCTCGTCATTGGGTAATTCCAAAGAAAGTCGAAATTGAGGATTTTGGAAAAATGTATCCTTAAAATAAGCTTGTCCTCCAGCATTTTGATATAATTTGTGATTCCACTCACATGCTCCTCCCTTCTTGTCGTAGAAAATATATTCATGTCGATTGGAACAACAAGTTTTCAGTGTGGAATTTGTAGCGGCATCTGTGGAATCCATCGAATTCGAAATTGGTAATGCTGAAATTTCCTTCATAAATCCATCGGTTCCTGTCACTTCTTTCGTAATGGGTACTCGACATACATAAATATAATTAAATTGTTGAACATAATCTTCAATTCCCATCCAAAAAGCACCATCGTCTCTTTTCACTAAATTCAAACGTCGTTTCAATGTATCGGTCCATCCTTCCCATTCGTCACTAAATTTTCCAAGCCATTCAGTTTTACCCCAAGTATTTCTTAATTTAATTAAGCGATAGGGAATTCCTTCAGGAGAATCTTCTTTTGAAATGAAACGAACATCGAGAATGGAATAGGCATGTTTTGGAACAATGCCATGCTCGTTGGGAATGAGAGTATTTTCAAAATCAAAATCAGAATCACTGGCGGTGGAAGTGGCCATGAGGTGACGACATTTTTTCCATTCGAGCATGGAATTGAAGAGTTCAGTGGTGTCTTTTTTGCCTTCCGAGTAGGGAGTGAGATCGATGGCGTCACTCCAACCTCCTGTCAAGTGTTCGAACGCTTCACGAATGGAATGAGCACCTTCGATCGCTTCGTAGGAACCATGAAGTTTGGCATAGGCCTATATTTGAGATGGAAGAAGTGACACATGGATTTCAGTGAGAGTTTACCATTGTGTGTGTGAAATTATTGAGATATTAAAGATAAGCATTAATTCAATGAGAGCATTAGGTGTGAAATTATTGAGATTACAACTCACCTTTTCTAATAATATCACCCACAATTCTTCAATATCGATTGATCTTGCAAACAAGGGTGCAAAATTACTTCGTGTCTTACTTTCAATCTTGTTTGAAACAATCATGGGTACATAATCATCGATCATGATTTCTCTCCACATGCCATTATAAAACAATCGAATTTGATAAATTCCATATTCATTGTAAGCAGATGGAATAAAGAGTGCTTTGATGAGTTTGGGATGCAATGCTGCAACTGCAATGGCTCCTAAAAAGTAACAATCTCCAACTCGTCCTTGACGAATATCTGCTGGCTCAATACCTGCCAAGAATAATTCTGGCTTTAAGCTTCCTTTACAAAAATCTTTGGGTCTCATCCAGTCTGATGATTATATAAATAATAATACCAAAAATGTGAAAATATTTGAATTTCCAAATTGGGTAATTAATGTTAAAAAAATTCACAAGTTCAGAACAATCACAAAGTATTTTCATACATACGAACTGCAGAAGGTTCAATTCCTCGATTTCTTAAAAAATCTTCGTTCGAACAAATCGAAGTAATCGTTCCAGGAAAATCCTTATCGACATATAAAGATTTTGTTTCAATGCATTTCTTCATGAGAAATCCAAAAGTATTTTGTGGAATGTACATTAAACTGCATTCGACACTTCCTTGAGTATCGAGTCCTATGGATAGTTCAGTTTGAATATATGGAGTTAGTAATGACAATTTGAAAGCACATCCTCCCAATAAGCTGTGAAATAAATGTCAAACGTCAATTTTGTAACAAACATGTGAATAGAGATTTAACATGATTCAAAACGAACATCTACTCCAATATACCTACTCATTCTTTGAAAGCCGATCATAATCATAAACTTCAAATTCAACAAAAGTATCAGCAAGCTCAATGACATCAAAAAAGAAAAATGAATTCCAACGTGGATCTATCCATGATTCAGTAATCATCAAATTCAATTCGAAATGATGCTTAAATCTACTTACCAAGTGTCTTTTTGATGACTTCTGTTTTTTGAAATTGTTCAACCGATTCACTCAATCTCGAATTTTTCACACGAATCGAACAAAATGGATCTGTTCAAATTTGATACCAACCATTCATTGTCATTCAATATATCAATATATATGAATTTTCACAATCATTTTACCATATATATATGAATTTTCATAATCGTTTCACTCACCTGACAATCCATTCACATCCGCACTTTTCAAATTTGTTGCTCCAATTAATTGCATCAATAAATATCCTTCATTTTCAATCTTCCTAACACTTTTCTTTTTTGCCTCACTATTCACAGCAGAATTGGAATCATTCAAATTTGCCAAATTACTCAATGTGGTTGCAACGGAATGATCATGAGAAGGATCCGAAGCAGAATCGAATGAAGAAGAAGAATCTCCTGCCTTCTTGTTGTTATTGGACTTCTTTTTGAAGGAGTCTTTGAGTTTGGAGAGCATATAGAGCGAGTGAGAAGGGATGATGTTGTTGTGTGCGGAAGGAAAAGTTTTGAATTTTTTTGTTGATGATTGGTGACACTTGTCATTTTTGAGACGACACGATCATGATTCTCAATTATGAGAGAGATGGTTATTGTGTGAGAATTAAGTGATTATTTATTCACATCACCACTTGGAACAATGGTAGTATTGTTACTTGTGATACGGTTGGTTGTGTTGCCACCGTTGACATTTAATGTCGAAACAGTGTTGGCAGAAATCAATGAATCATCGGATGTGGGAGATTGACGTTGAGGCGATGAAGCACGTTCTTGTTGTAATAAGAGTGACGTCTTGTTCATGCTATCCTTATATTTAGAAGAATTAGGTTTCAAATTGAGAGCCATGGTGTGATTCTCCAAAGCTTTCTCATAATTTCCTAGTTTTCTATAGCAAACAGCTCGAGCATGGAATAAGGCAGCATCTGTTTTCTTGAGCTCAATGGCTCGATCGAGATCAGCAAGAGCCGATGTGTAATTTTTGAGCTTTCTATAATCATTGGCTCTCAAAAAATAAGTTTCAGCTCTATGATTGACACTTGCATTCTTGTCTTGCTCCTCGTAGAGAATGCATTGCGAGTAATCTTTTTCAGATTTTTCATACTGTTGGATTAAAAAGTAGCATGAGGCACGTTGTTTGTACTTTTTTGCAAGAGAGCTCGCATTTTGTTCTGATCCTTCTTCCCATGCGATTGAACGAGAGTAGTCATTAATGGCCAATTGATAATCTCCATTGTGTTGATGTGAAATGGCCCTATTGAAGAAGTACAGTCCTCGATTTTTAGCGTCGAATGGAGCAGTTTGTATGGCCTTGTCATAAACTATCACAGCTTCTTTGTGTTGTTTCAATCTTGAAAAGCAGACACCCATATTATTGTAGCATGAAGCTTCTGAGGTTGGAGAATTAGCATAAATTATAGACTGTTCAAATTGTTTCAATGCTGATCGGTAAAGTCCTTTCTCCAATAGCACAAGACCATACTGTTGGAATGGTGTGAAAATAATAAATGATTGTGTTGTTCGATCGTGTTCATTGAGAAGTGAAAATTCATGTTTCAAGTCAGCAATGCAATATGGTTATGATCATGTTCATTGTGTAACAACAACAACAACAATAAACGTTCATGTCAACCACAAATGCACACCAAAATGCACCACTTACCAATTCTCTCGCCACAAAAGATGATGGATATTTCCACAAAATATTTTCCAAAACTCGAATACAATCGTTATATTCACGTTCTTGTTTCAAGCTTTTTGCAATTTGTATCCACTTTTTCAATTCTTCCGAATTAAGATCGACATTGCTCTTGATTTCACCCTCTTCTTCATTACTAGTTGTTGATTTTTTCGGAAGAATGCCACTGATCCATGCTGGAATTCCTTCTGGCAATACAGATGGATCTTTCCTGAATAATTTGTTTAAATCTTCAAAATTCATTCTCTGATTAAACTTTTCGTACAATTTCCAATATTCAAAAGAAACAACACCCAACACGATCAATAAGAATAAAATTATCATGTTTGATCGTCTACGTTTTCGTCTCTCCGAATGGATATCTTGAATCAAATGTTGTACTACGATGGGAGAAAGTTGAGAGCCTGCATCGGAAGTTGTTTTTAAATGATTGGCGGTTGATGATGAAGAATCGGGATAATACCTGTGCTGATAATTTGTTGAACCATGCTGTGGGTGATAATAAGAATGTGATTGTGGTGCTTGTTGTTGATGATGATCTTGATGGGTTTGATGGGATGAAAAATTTAAATGGAAGAGCCTTTGATGATCCGATGTATCCATTTGCCTAGCATTGTTACTATCATCATTGATAGAATGAATCTTCCTCATGAGCAAAGAGGACAATGATGATGGATGTTTGCGAGAGATTATCAATGTAGACATCAACCTGTGACTTTTGTTTGTTGACATTTTTTTTAATTTTGTAATTAAACAATTTACCTTTTCCATTGTGTTTTAGTCATGATACCACTTTCAAGTTGTCTCGTTTTGATATTAAAAACATTTGTTGATCTGTAAATGATACAAGATGAATCTTTCTGTCAAATGCAAAAAATGGTCAAAGAGTAAGGTTGTGGAATCATGTTGATGGAATTTGTGTGAACAAAACAACAACATGATGTCAATGATGAAAATTCGTCCCCCACTCTCAAAATTTACCACTGTAAATGATTAAGAAAATAGATCCAACAAGTCAAATTCTGGTTCAGACTCAAAAAGATTTTGGTCATCCTCACTCTCCGAGTCATCATCATTAGCGGGCGGTGTCACTTTTCGAATCATGTAACGCATTTCACACTGGGTTTCGGTGTCCAGTGCTACCAAATCGAATATTCCCTTCTTAATATCAGCAATGATTGTGAGCTCGTTCACAAGCGAACATTCCATTGAAAGAGCTGTTATTTGATTGGCGCTCTCCACACAATTCTCAAACCAATCACGTTCCAAAATTTCAGTATTGACAACAAATGCATCATTCTTACTAAACAAATACAAAGGTTCTACTTGGTCATGAACTACTTTCAATTTTAACATGTTTAACATTCTGATTTTTTGAATGGTACAAACTTCTCGAGCTTTAAGGAGTTTTTCCTTCCGCTCGAATTCAATCTGTCCCATTCTGATCTTTGGATAAATATTGTTGATGTGAAAAACATTCATGAAACGAGGATCCAATCCGGTAGACCCTTGAAAATAGACATCCTCTTTCATAACAGTCCCAACTCGAGCTGCTTTCACGCTCAAATGTTTGGACATTACTTTTTTCAACGCAGAAAAATCCTCACAATTGGTAAATAATAATGCAATTTCTCCAACAAGTAATTCTTTAAATTGTTTAAGAGCTGAAATAAGTTGTTCTTGATCTTTCTGATGTGATGTTGATGATGAATGTATTTGAAATGATGAATTATTAGTATCGATAACATGATCTCTATTTTCATTCTTTACCATAATCCGTTGGATGAATTCATCAATTGCCAATCGAGTGAGAGAATGTTTTCCAACATAAAATTCTGAATATAATTCGCAATGATCGGAGAAGGCACTTTTTAATTGTTGAATTTCAGTTTGTTCCACTCCCGAAATTTTCAATATCAATATATAATTGAATCGTTCCAATAATTCTGTCAATTGTTGGGTTGCTTTTGATTTTAAAATCTTTCGATCCGAGGCATAGAATGGAGAGGATTTATCTAATTTAAATTTTCGCAAGCCAGTGAGGGGAAACTCGAATCGAGGCATTTTCTTTGACTTGAAATTGCATTCTGAAAAGGATGATGAGCCAATGATCAAAATCAAGATTGAATGAGATCCCATCAGGATTAATGAAGCTCAAATGTTTTCCCAAGCTTTTGAAACTGTAAATATTCAGGCAGTTATAATAATTTTGTTCGAGAGCATGCTCGAACTTTCTCATTCTTTTTGATATTCACCAATTTCATCGAGAATCATTGATTTTTGGAAGTCCTGCGCATCTTTCGGAAACCTTTTTCTGGATAAAACGAGCTCGTCTCTCACTCAAACTAATAACTAAAAAACCAATCAACAACAACAACAACAACCAACAACAATCTCTCCCTTTCACACATGACAGAATTACAACAACCACCAACAGCATCATCAACCACTGCAACAAACACCACCACTATCAACGAGGACATTATCCGAACTGGATCTTGTCGATGTGGTCATTTACGTTTCGCAGTGAAAGGCAACTCGTATGAATATTGTTCCTTGTGTCATTGTCGATGTTGTCGTTTGGGCACTTCAGCTCCCGTGTCATTGGTCATTGGTGTTCCAAAAGACAAATTCGAATGGATTTCAGGTCGTGAACATGCATTGAAAGTGTGTAAAATTTCAGAAACTTTTGAAGGTTATTATTGTGGAGATTGTGGTGGATATGTGGCTCAGGGAGGTCAAGATTATCCATTCATGAGTACTTTGGTGTGTGTTTTTGATGATATCAAGAAGGAATTTTGTCCGAGGGATAAATTCGAGCAAGATGAAGGAATGAAACAATTTTTCACACCCAAGGATCATGTGAATTATGAGAATCGAGTGATTGATTTTCATGATGAATTACCCAAGTATATGGATTTCCCTGGTCCCTTTGGTTCTGGAAGAATATATGGTCAGGAATAAAAAGTTTCATCCAATAGGAACACCCACGTTCAATAATGATCATTCTCTTTTGGAAAATCTAAATATTCAACATTATTGATCATTTCACGAGTGGACATGAATTCAGAGTGATGGATGTAAAAACTGTGTTCAAAGAAATGACAACAAACCAAGGTGTGTGTATTTATTCAATGTCCAATAAGAAAATGATCCATGACATTAACATGATCATCATGTGGGACAATGAAGAGTGTTCATCGAATTTGGATTGTCAAGCTTGATTCAGCCTGTGGCACGCACTCAGCTTACACATTTTGGTCTCGTTCTTCAATAATCTTTTGATATTGTTGTTCTTGTCTGACACGAGGAGTGACACCTGTACCAGAATATTTTCTGTAAAAGAGGAGAATGTGATGTTCAGATGGAGAATATCCATACTGTAAGTTTCCAAACAATATGTATTGATCATGTATTTGGAGATTAAAAGACGTAATGATTTTAAACCATTCGTAAATGAATAAAAATATGTATTAGTAAAAATTCATAAAAAACAACAAAAACACTTACATGAACCCAACCACGAGACATTTCAATTCCGATACTTCTCCATTCATTCTCAGAGAGTAATTGTCCACCAAAATGTTTATAAACTTGATTGCCAAAATCACGTGGTAAAGTTACGTGGCGATATTCGTTTTGGTCATCATAGTACTTGTCGCTGTAGTTAATTTCCTTGCTAATATCGTGTTCGGCCATTGTGGTGTAGTTGTATCGAGAGAGAGGTAGAGTGGTGGATTGGGTGGTGGTGGTTGTTTTGTACAGAGAGAGATTTTAATATTTTTTTTGTTGGATGAGTGTTGATGCTTATTTCGAACATCAATTTAACGGTTAGAAAGCGCGGGAACTTTTTTTTGTAATTTATGAGAACTTGTCAACACCAAGTTTTTAATTGACTCAAGCTTCTTCCGAACGGTAATGAGTGTTTTCAACTTTCTTATGCATAATTCTCATCTTTTACCCAAAACAATGTATGTATTTAAAAATTCCTCTTTAATTCTTTTTTAAATTTACTGTAAATTAGTTTTTAACGAACAAAACGGAAAATCTCTTTTTGGAGTCCAACAAACAGTAAAAAAAAAAATGACTCAATCTCTCTTGCTGCCACAGAGACCTGTATTGGCTCAAGAAGAGGATTACATGAAAAAAGTAGCTCAAATTGTGGGCTCTGTGGACCGGTCGCAAAGTAAGGCCGGAAGTTCGAGTGCAACGTTTTTGGCAGGCTCTCGGAAAGAGTTGTATATTCATTTTGATGAGAATGAAAAGAAGATTGCCGATCGGCAAATGAGGTCTGCTCAATTATGTCGGAGAGCTAAACAAAAAGAAGCATTGGAGAATACGATTGAAAAGAAGGTGAAACGGCCTCAAACTGCATATACATCAAGTTTTAAGGCCATCGAGAGAGATCATGCTCCTATTTATCGGAAAGATGAAAATATTCAAACCACACCAGGACAATACGATGTAAATTATAGTTTGATTGATAAAAAGGAACTCGTACTCAAATGGGTTCCACATCATGAAACTCCACCGACCATTGATGAGAATTACAAGTACTATCTTGAAGGAGAAAAATTATCGACCAATGACGGAAAGGGTACATCGTATCAGTTCAAATCTAAAACCGTAAGAAGTCATGGTAGTCACAAGAATGGCTTTTCATACGAGAATGAGTTTTTAGAGACTGGTCCTCAAAAAGATTATACCAAATTCAAGGAGGATCGTTCAACGATACGCTTTGATAAGAGCCTCGATCGAAATAAGGCTTCTGAACTCTATGTCAACAAAACAAAGCCAACTATCGGAGACTTAGTATATGAAACAGTTGATCCCAATGTATATAGTCCAACCATATCGAGAGGAATTGTTGATTTTGGCCTTTCCAGTGATAGAAAGACGGCACGAAAAGGCTCCCGAATGAATACTGAACTGGTCAAGACCGATATTGAAAACAATCCACAAATCTCCATGCCCAATTGGAACATTTTACAACATTCCAATCCAGAAGATACCCTTAAGTTATCGACCGTACCCGGAAATGAGCGTCAAACCTTTGAAAGAGTTGTTAGTTTTGAAAAGCAAGTGTCACGAGAAGAGACGCCACCCTACAAGAGAATGTTATGGACTCCCAGCGCCTATTACAATCAACTCAACGCTTCTGAATATCAAAAGAAACGAGATGCTGAGCAGGAAGTCGAACGATTCAAGAAGGATAAGAAGAATGCAGGAGAATCAATGGGTCTCAACAGCGAAATGAATGCCTACTCGAAAACTCATCCTAACATTCCATTTATGTGTTACATTGACAAGCAGCTGGATAGACAAAAACTAGCAACGAAACCTCCTCTCGGAAATGATTTAGATTACCATGTGCAGTCGAATGCCTCTTCCAAGTATGAACGAGTGAGAAACATTTCTTGCATGCCAAAGCCAAAGAAGAAGAATTCCTCAAATCAACCTTTGGAATCACAAAAAATCGATGAAAATTACAAATTCTACACCTCTCCAGAGGATTGGAGCAAATCGACGCATTCCCACAATTTTGGAACAGACACAAGTCGAGAAAAATGCAAGGCACCAATTGAAATGAGATATTCAAAGGAAAATATTGACATCTTTTATGACGCTTCACGAACACTTGTTGAACAACGTATTAAGGGAGATCCACTCATTCGATGTCAACTGCCGAGAGACAATAACAAGACCAAGCTGTTCAAGGCTCAGCATAATTTCCAACTCGATCCAAATGAAGTATTGGAAAAGGTCAAACCAGGACAAAATCTCAAGAAGGGATTTGTGGATATGGCCAGAGCTAGACGAAGAAAAGACATGGCGAATCATAATGACTTTCCAAGTGTTGGTAGTTACAAGCCAAAATATTCCATAGTGGAGTCGAAACCAATCTCATTCACGATACCAAAAAGTGGAGTTTAACTGTCAAGCCTAATGAGTCAATAAATTATATTCAATAGCAATGGTTGCAGTGTTGATGTGACAACTTTCAAATGTCCATTCATGTTTGACTAGTATTCTGGATCATCTAAAAGTACCAGTTCTGAAAAAGTAATCCAAACCCTAGTCAGAGGCCTTAAAATTCTCCTAATTCACCACTCATTGGTCGAAAATTTAGAAATGATGCGATTTGGCAAAATATCTCAATACAGGAATGTCAATCTCATTAGCATGTTCATTCAGGATGGAGTGATCATGAACGTTAAGGCGTTTCCCTTGTTGATGACCTTCTTTGAGAAGCTTATTCTTTTGAAAGTAAATGAAAAATATTGCCTTTCTATTGTTTGAAATTACGTCAAATAAATCCATTAGGGTGTTTAACAATCAACAAGCTTCAACATCTCGTCAATCAAAAATAAATCACCTACCTTGTCCAATCATGAACCAAACTCTGTATCAAATGCTGTTCCATATCTAAAATATTGCTCAACGTCACATTAAAGCATGCATGTTGTTGTTGAACTTGTTGATAAAAATTTTGAAAGAATAGAGATTCAAATTCTTTTCCTAGAGTTGTTTCTTTTCTCTCCTCTTCGGTGTGAATGGTAATGTTCTCTAAGGATGCCAACGATCCCGTCACATTGATTAAAATTACAAATTTAAAATCTACAATACTATCAGAAATATGTACACTAGTTGGAACGGTTAAAAAATTAGCATCGTACGGATATTTGTACGTTTCACTATCGAGAATGATCTTGGCGCAGTGTGGAGGCACTAATTTCTTAAATAGCAAACAGATTTCATTTCGTAATTGTGCATCATCTCCTCTCACAACTAGTTGATTTCCAATAATTACATTATAAATGATCGAACGAATTATTTCTTCGCTTTGATTAAAGGCCTCTTCCATCAAGTCATCTGAATCAATCAAGTCAATCCCATGTGTGACATTGTCCAAATTGTTATTACTACCATCCAGAGAGAGTTTTGTTAAAATACATTGATAAATGAGTCTTGAAAAATCAGAAAGAGTATGAAAACCACCTGAATAGTCCCATTCGCTCACTTCGCTCACAATGCTCGAAAATGACTCTATTCGTTGCATTTGATGAGACGAGGACACTTTATGCAGTGCTTGAAAATTTTGCATGTCAATCTTTTCATAGGGAATATTTGGAATTTGAACTTCTGAAATTTTGTTCTGGAATGATTGCAGTAATCCAGCAAAGCAAGAATGTAAATCTGCATAAAAATTTGGGTAATTTAACAGAATGGGTAAATCTCGCATTGGTCCCTTGGAACGTTTTTGTCGAAATAAATCTGCAGAAAGTGGGCCTCCAGCATGGAAAAATTTATATCCATGATCTTCTACATTGTTTCCTTCTTCATTGAGGGCATTGGTGGAGCCAGATCGTTTTTGTTTTTCCTTCTCCTCAACAAACACTTGCTGTGATCGTGTACGAATGAGTTTTACAATTTTTCCAAATCCAGTTTTGAGAAAAGGCCAACTAATAGAGAGAAGTGAAAGTGAAGGATCCATTAGGACAAAGGCAAACCACCGAGCAAATCCTCGTGCCATGCTGTCCTTGACTTTGAAAATATATGCAAAATTGTATCCGTTAATTTCGTCACCGAATAGTACAGGACCTTCTCGTCCTTGGCCAACAGATATTTCTGCTGAGGTACTTCGAATGGCGAGAGATTTGAAATGTGCAGAAAATGTGGAATTTTCTTGATGTGAGCTCACAAATATTCGATCATTATCCTTGTCCATTGTGAAATGCTCGATGGAGGAGAGCATGAGTAATTGTTGAAAGTGATCTTGTGTAGAGTCTGCGGTTTTAGAATTGGGCGTGGAAGAGTAATTTTCTGCCACAAATAAGTTAGGATTATTTTGTTGGAGATGTATGATCAAGTCTTTTGACGCTAAAGATGGAATAGTCTCTGGTTCATTAAAGGTGGTAGTATTCGTAGTACTAATCGATGGTTCATTCATTATTGATGATGATTGATCACGTCCTTGTTGCTCATGTGACGGATCAATCACCGTTGAACTTTTATCATCAAAAATAGAGCGTGTACTATTGATTCTTTGACAATACTGTTGTTTGTGATCATCAATAAATTTCTCAGTTTCATTCAAATGTTGAATGTAATTAATCATTTGTGTGCAAAACACAAATGACGGTCCTTTTTGCTCACAAAATTGTGTCACAAGGATACCATTCTTATTATAATTATTGACAGCTGTTGTGGATGTTGGTTTTTGGCTTGTGGCAAGCCCATAATGAGATTGCATCATGGAAGTTAGTTTACTAGAAGCAGGCTTGATTGGTGAGCTCGAACTTGTAGCTATACTTCCAGAACGTTTTGAAAAAGCCTGTGGTGAAAGTTCCATCTGTTGTTGTTTTGTGAGGCCAGGCAATGAAAAACCTCTGTTGTGATGCGTTGGTGTCACCATGGCAGTGAGAGGTGAGGAGCCTTCAATACCAATACCACTCATAAAGCTTGTACTATTGACACTATTTCCACCCATTGAATTCGTGCTCGTAGAATTTCCACCCATACTGGAATTACTTTGTACAGAGGATGAAATCTGTGCATTATTGTTATTATTTTGAAGTTGCATTACATCATTGGCTTGAACATTTTCATCGGAATTTGAATTTACATTGTTAATATTCTCAGCAGTAGTTGTATTATTATTATTATTCAATTCTGTATTAGAGACCGTAACTGATGATGTCGTGGTTCTTGATCGGATCACAGAAGAGCCTCGACCTTTCCGAGAAGCACCAGGCTTGATTAATTTTGATGAAATATTTTGTGTGTTACGCTGTTTTAATTGTTGTCCTGCTGTATTTGTTGTTGTTGTTGTGGTAGTGGTTACACTTGTTGCTGCTGATGCCGCTGAACTCAGTGCCGATGATTCATCCTCTCTAACCACCACCTTCTGATGATGATTCGGAGAAGAAAAATCGGAGTCTGAACGCGTGAGCATTTTTTTAAACTGGAACTCTTTGAAGATCTCTTCTTCGGGCAATTGCAACAACTTTCCGAAGTGAAAAGGAAAAGGGATGTTCAAGAGTTTATCAACAAGAATTTTGTTCGAGTATTTGTTCAGACGAGATAGAATGGAAAATTAAGGGGACCTTAATCGTTTGAAATTCCGATTGTTTTTGGGGGAAATGCCAAACTTTCAATCACAGCCACAAACACATGTGTAGCATTTTCAAAATATCTCCTTTGTTCCAATCACAATAAATTAAAGAATAGAGCAATTGATTGATTTCTGTTCAAAATACCAGATTTTTTAATCAATTTGAACTTTTCAACTTGTTTCAATCAACACGTCACACCTTTGCAAAGGTTTTGTAATCAACAAATTACAACCCCTCAAAGGACGGAGTCATGTCTCCGTGAGTAATGATTTGATTTCAACGAGTTTGAAAAGATGTCCGATAGAAAATTATTTCTCAGCCATAAGAAAAAAATGTCCATTCACACTCCGTCGTTCGCTCTCATTCCATCATCCCAGGTGGTCCTGGAGGGAAAATACATTACTCTTCAACCGTGTCAACCTTCTCAAGATGCTTCTGAACTCTACGACATGAGTCATGGTTCTCCAGAGAAGGAAAGTATTTGGGAATATTTGTATATGGGTGGTTCTGTCACTCCATTTCCAAATGTTCAGGAATTTCAACAATTATTAGAGAAACGAGTAGCTACGAGTGCATCATCTTCAACGACGCCCGTTCCGAATCGATATTATTCTTGGACCGTCGTGGAGAATCAAACTCGAATGAAAATTGGAAATTTATGTCTCATGAATGCATATCCAGATCATGGACGAATTGAAATTGGAGCTGTTTGGGTTGCAAAACCATACCATCGAACAAATGTCAATACGGAGGCTTGTTTTTTATTAATGTGTTATGCATTTGAAGTTTTACAATATTCAAGAGTGGAGTGGAAGTGTGACGAAAGAAATAAGAGATCGAGTGGAGCTGCCAAGAAGATGGGTTTTTCATATGAAGGAACCTTTAGAAAGCACATGATTGTGAGAGATGGATTTGCTAGAAACACAGATTGGTATAGCATAATTGATGAGGATTGGTTTGGAGGAAAGAAGAAATTGTATTTACAGCATGATCGATTGAAATATGAAAAACAGGATGATGAAAGGCTTGCAAATATGATTCAGTATTTGAGAAGAATGAATGGAAATAACAAGTTGTAATTGTGTATGGCAGAATACCAAGTGTCACTAATTGTTGACATGAATCATGACACGAAAACATTGGGAAAATTCACAAAATATTTCAAAATAATTAAATTATTATTATTAAGAAGAATATAAAATTTAAAAGTTGAGAAGCTTGTTTCAATTGGAACAGCTATTTAGGCATGCAAATAAGAATAAGTGCAAGTCCAAGTCAAAATGAAAAGTGTTAATGCAGGAAACATTCCTTCAGTAATGACAGTACTGGATGAATCAATGACATTCTGAGAAACTCGCATAATGGTGTAAGCCACACTGTATGAAATGAGGGCTACAGAAACACCAAAGCTAGCAAATCCAATAAATCCTAGAATGGGAGTGATTCCGAAAACTAATCCACAAAGAATGGCATAAATTTGTTTAATCCAATAGATGGCTATTCATTGGTATGTTGAAAATGACAGATAACCATTATAAATAATAAAATCATATGGATAACAATTATTGTAAATAAATAATAACATCATGATGATTGTTCAACAACATCAAAAAAATCAAAACAGTTAGTCCACCCTTTTCTATTCAAGAATCACACATACTTTTCAACACCTCTTCCTTGTTATTCCATTCCGACGAACTATTCAACAACTTTCCGAGAGACATTCTTCACAATGTGGGGTCTTGTGATGCGCGTATTTTTTTCAAACAAAAAATTTACAAAAAAATTAATTCTTAAATTTTGGATGACGTTCTGTTGAGTACCAATAACCGGTTGTTGAAAAAAGTTAATTCCGAGTCTTTTGTATCATCATGATCTTTTAATTTCAAAATTGCACTTTAAAAAATGTTATCACCTAATGTCGTTGTTTCAAACGAAATTTCAAAAGATGTGGAGGCTCCTTCTATGGAGATGAAATTATTTTCCAATTCATCCAATGACCAAAAGCATGATGATGCTATGGAACCAAAATTAAAACATACAAATTTCCGAATTGATTTTGCGTATTGTAATCCAAAAATTAAATTCGCTCAACAATCTGGAGTTTGTACTCATTCCGTGGATTCTGTTCTGTTGGCAGGTTTTGTTCCGTTGGAAAAGAAGAGTGTAGTTGCTAAGAAGAATAACGCACCATTGAAAATTATGGATCTATGTACTGGAAATGCAGCAATTCCAATGTTACTGTATTACCGATTGAAATATCTGGCATTGGAAAGGGAGGAAATTGAACAAGAAAAAAAGAACAGATATTTAAATTCGGTGATGAGGCAAAGAAAGCCAGAAAATATGGAACCACACTTGAGTGAAATGTTAAGTCATGACAAGTTCAATGAAAATATTGCAAATCATGATGAACAAATATCATCAGAGATTAGAGAAACATGCTCGATACATGACAAAAGTGTTGATTCGAGGTTTGCAAAAGTAGAACTTCCATGCATCATTAAAGGAGTAGAGATTCAGGATGATGTTATTGCATTGGCACAAAAAACATTAGAGCTTAATGAGGGATCGAGCTCGGTCATTGAAATTATTCACAATGATTTAACACGCGAGGATTTTGTCACACCGGCCGATCGAGGAAAATTCGATATTGTAACATGTAATCCTCCGTATTTCAAACCTGAAGAAGGGACTATCAATCATTCCAACCATATCTCAATTGCCAAATTTGAAATCAAGTGCAACTTGAAAGACGTCGTTTCGTGTGCTGCAAAGTTACTTAAAAATTATGGACTATTTGTAATGGTTCATCGTGCATGCAGATTGTCAGATATTCTCGTCACATTGAGAGAGTATAGGTTGGAAGTGAGAAGAATGCAATTTGTCTTCTCGAGGAGTGAACGTAGAGGAATCACGGATGTGAAGGTTGAAAATGACAAGTCTAAACATGTTGAAAATGGAGAAAATCTTCAACAATCACCATCAAACATGTCCTCGAGTAAGAAGAAGAATTCTAATAAGAAACAACAACAACAACCCAATGCAACCACTGCTGTACTTATTGAAGCGGTAAAGGTTCAGACCGATTCAAGCGAGGATGGAGCTGATAGTACTATTCACAGTTTTTTGCATGTCATGGAACCACTTTATTTATATGAAAATGATTCGAGCAATATATACACGAAGGAAGTTTGGAATGAGGTTTTTTCTAAATTCAATTACCATGTCCCCTCGAATAAAGAGAAATAATAATTAAATGGGATGAACAATGTCCACTATTGTCCACCTGAAGGCTGAAATTATTACGTGATTTATTTCATATAAATTCATTGCTCTATGACATGTTTCATATGTTCTATTTACATCTCTTAGAAGTTGGTTCTTCCTCAATACTGTCACGTAAAACATGGTTCACTCTTTTGTTGGTACTTTCGTTTTGAGGCACCATTTGAAACAGTCGACGGGGTTGAATCTTGCACGGTGGTGGTTCAATGTACTTTGTATAGTACTTCTCGAATGACTTGAAATGATCAATGATCTCTTTTTCATCGCTATGAAAACCAAGCAATTCCAAACAATTTGCAGCTGAGGGTCGTTCTTTCTGCATGAGTTGCAATGTCTCAAACAAGTTGTCTCGGATGCGATTGCATGAATTCTTGAATTTTGAATTCCAAAATTTCTTTGAATGTGAAATACACAGTTTCCTCTCCGTGTCATTCAATTCATTACCTAAAACCAACTCAATTATTACAAGCCCCGTTGAAAAAATGTCAGTCTTTGGTGATATCAACTTGTCTGAGACTTTCTTCTGGAGCATTGTAGTTATCTGTACCATACTCAGATTCCAAAGTCACCTCGTGCAATCGTCCAATACACTACTCGTTTTCTGTGTCGTAGCTTGTAAAAATCTCACACAATTCCCAATCAATTAGTTTTGGAGTACATTAGAGGCATTAATATAATCCAAAAATAAAGAACCTTTTGGATGATGAACCTTGTCGTTGCTTCTGTTCAACTTGACCACAAGCTTTGGAGCGTTATCAACATTCGAAATAATGGCCTCATACACTGGTTTTTGAGAGCAGTCATCAATGATATCAGTGATCTTAAGTTTTAGATGGTTATTCTCTGTCAACTGTATCTTTAAGATGTCTCCAATTTCTAACGAATTTACATTTTTCTTGTCTTTCTTCGAAGCAAGTAAAGAAAAAGAACACCAACCCGAAGCTCATTTCGAAGTTTCAAAATTTTTACAAGCTTCTCACAAGCTCTCATCATTGCTGATTCATCTTTTGCAAAAGCGAATTCAAGCAAACGGTACCGTAAAGGAGTGATTTTATGGTTGAATAGGGGATCCTTGTTTTCGATGGAAATACCAAGAATATCTTTAACAGCATTGAGTTTTCATAGTACTTCTTCGAAGGATCCCAATTCGAAGAATGATGGTGGTACTGAAGTAATTTTTGGGCAATGATGGTTGTGTTTCTTTTCCAGCTGGGTCAAATAACATTTCAGAAATTTTTCGTCAAAGGTTTGATTTGTCATTTTTTTTTTGCAGATATATTCTTAATACTCAACCTTAATGGCTGTTGTTGACCACAGCGCAAGGTATTCATTGACGAGCAAGAAGCAGTATCTCAAAATAAACTCCATGGTAACATTAGCTATTAAATAACAGATAAACAACGGGAGAGAAAAAAAGGTTAATTTAATGTTCAGGAAAAGACAACTCTTTACAGAAGACCTTCACAATCCATCATTTCGATGAACGGACTTGCTTTTGGCGTTGACGTTGCACCATCTCATGTTGTTTTGCTTTGCCATTCGAATTCGTCCTTTGACACTTTTTGAGAGGACCGGGAAAATTTGGCATTTGCTTGTTTTTGAATTCGTTGACAAATTTGGAAAATTAGTGGTTGCTCTTAAAAGAAAAATGAGTTTAACGAATTCGCATCATGGATCATCAGTGATATCCCAAGCACAACAAGAAGAAGAGGTTCCTTCATCATCATCAGCATCGGATGTTTCTTTGACGGTTTGCAAAACACATGATGAAGAGGATGATGAAAACAGCAATAGCACTCCCCTATCTGCCTCAACGGCAGCCTTGTTGTTATCATCTTTGCCTTTTGCTTCTCCCTCTTCGTTTGGTAGCAACATAAATTATTTGACTCCCAAATTCAATCATCATGATAATAACAATGAAATTCAAACAACAAGCACAACGGAAACACCATCTTCGTTCATCGGATTTGTATCGCCCAAAAAAGAAGAAATTGTAACGGATCATAATCATCAGAGTCTTCATCATCATAACGAGCCACAACAAGAAGAAGAGGCTTTACAGAAGCATGATGTCATTTCATCTCCACCTACAGAAATTCGAACGAACACAACAGCAATGCCCACAACAACGCCGTTCAATCCTCCAAACATCTCTCAGCACTTATCACCTCCTAAGAAGAACAAAAGCATCAAGTTTCATAATTTTGTAGCTAGTAGTAGTAGCAACAATAATTCTCATTCATCGATGAAACAGCAGACACCACAGAAAAAGAGTCATGCTCCCACTGTTTTCCAATTTTCAAATTATGAGCCAAAACAAGCCACCCCAAATTCCAATCATGCCACACAGGCATCAAAGCTGACGCAGCAGAGTATGATGATGACCATTCCTCTGCTGAAACCTCAACAACCTCAACAGCAAAGCACGGGTCCTCCCTCCTCCTCGTCAGCTAATTCCACTGTAAACATCTCACAACAACAGCCCGTAAATCACCACCTAGGTCAATTTAAAATTACCGACTATTCCAACAATTACACCCAGCCACTGTCACACATTGATTATCTTCCATCATCCAGTATGAAAACATTGGAAAACACTAAAAAAAGAAACAGCACCGGAAGTACCGAGTCTTCATCCGCTCGAGTTTTGAAAAGCTCAAAAACATCACTAGGTTCTACCACAACAAATGCAACATTTTCCAATTTTACAAGCTCTGACTTTGAAGGCTACGTACCAAGTAATAACTTGTCCATTAATGTTTCATCCAATATCTCTTCTTCGAAAAGTAATGCAGGAATTTTAATGTCTTCATCTGCTGTTTCAACACAAGCCACGAGTAAGGAAGATGTGAGAGGAAGCAGTGCGAATCACGACCCCAACTCGATCAATAATCATACGACAGTGAAAACCCATCCAGAGGACGTTACTAAATTTGGCAATGTTTCATCCAAGAGCACAAACAAGCAATCATCATCGCCTCCCATTCATACAAACACTGCCTCGTCATCCTCATCTTCATGGACATTCCACCCTTTCGACAAGACACACCAACCCATTAAGGACCAGTCTACTGGGTTGACCTTTCATGTTTTCACTCCAAAGAAGAAATGAAAGTTTGAATTGAATGAACGATAAATTTAATACATGGCTTCCTGTTCGTGAAACAACAAGGCAAAAAAACGAATGCAAGGCTTTGTGGCTTTTTCACATTTAACAGCAGGGATTCTTTGTCATTTCATGACACACTCGAAAAGGCAAAACATCCCATTCAAAAAGAGAAATATTTGACATTTTGAAAAAAGAGAGAAGCTCATTCCTAGGACCAGTGTTTCAACAGAAGCAACAACACAAAAAACAAACTCCAAGCCTCACAATGTTGCAATTTTTCACCACACAAGACGACAAGCCTCAAGACGCTACGGTGGTAACAAACGGCGTCATACTCTTTCCAAGCATCATACCATTGCAACAACAATCCACCAGCAATGTGACGTCTTTTAAATTTGATCTGTACAGGTATGTTTTCTACATGGTCTCTCTGACTGAATATCATCATGTACGTCGTGTCAAATTGATGATGATTTGTGGAAATGAAAAACAATTAATTGTTCCGTACCACCAGCGAGTTAGTTGCCGGGATTGATTCACCATTCATTTTGATATTTCTAGGTGTCTTGCTCTTTGCTGTAATCTCCTATACAGTGCAATACAAGCAACTCAAAAGAAATCAACATGCTCTCTTCTGGATGTTGTTTGCCTTGTCATTGTTTGCGTCTTTTCAAAACATGACAAGATTGGCCAGTGAGTTGTCATTTTTGCACCCAGACTATTGGACAGCATTTCAATTGAATAATTGGATCAAAATGGTGGACCGATCGATGGCTGCTGTGTTGTTATATACTCAAATACTCATCATGGGATTGATAAGTTTTGCTTTGTAAGTACTTAACAGCATGTGATGGAATTCAAACACAAATCATTTACCCGTAACACCTACATGTCACAACAGCATGACTACGTCGCGAGCAACAGGTGATATTTCTCAAAAAACTTACAAGATTTGTGTTGCTGTCCTCATTGTCATTTTGGTCGTCTTGTTTGTGTTGTTTTTATTAGGACATGTCATGGTGATTCTCATTCTGCATATTCTAAGAACTATACCCAACGCACTCTCTCCAAAAACATCACTCGATTATTCCATTGTTATTTTCACATCACCCATGATTATTTTGTTAATGGGATTGGTTGCAACTTCAGTTTTATTGAATGTAAGTAGTTGTGTTTTGATTACAATGAATATTGATGGCAATATTGTGAAAACGTTAACATAGACATTTGGATTTCGATTATTGGCAACCTTAAGACGGAGTAAGCAAAAAGTGAAGCAGATGATCATCACAAAGACTGCAACTACCATGGCATTGGCCACTACAGACGCTGATTCAGTGTCTGGCAGCGATTCCACACCAAGAGCCATTTCAAATAATAACAACCTTTCGAATTTGTCTGATTGTGACAATACGTCAATTTCTTCAGAGTTACAAACCAAGGAATGTACGGTAGATAGTAATGTGAATTTGAAATCTCTTCAAAAAGCAACTCTTGAGCAAGATCGAACGTATCAAATGAAAAAGCAAGCACTTCGAAGAGTATTGAGTTTACAGTTAGGACTTTCCATTTTCTTCTTTGTACAATTTATTGGATTGTGTTTTATTCCAGGAGCCATCTCATGGCAATTCTCATTGTTGTGTTATCATGCTTTTTCAAACGTTGGAGTTTTGGGATTTATGATTATTTTGTTGTGCATTTATCACCCACTAAAGGAAGTACAACGATTATTTCACAAAGACAAACATGAATTGCAACATGAAATGAACGACATGTCGCTCAAGACGAACAGCATGAGTAACCTTAAAGATATTCAAAAGGTTTAATCGATCGAACATGTGAATGATGTACAATAAAAACAAACACTCTACAGGACTTAAATACGCATGACATCAGTCGTATAAGTCTGATCAGATCTCTCTACAGGAATGTCTGAAATATTAAAGCCATAAGATTGCTTTTTCTGTTCATCGGAGACTTGACTCGTGCCAGGAACATAGGTCTCACTCAACAGTGGCTTCTCTTCAGGAAGAGTGGATTGTTCTTGCTGTTTCACTTCACTGGGACCACTGAACGTTGTGGTGCCACTACTTGTTGTTCCACTCAACTCGCTTCCAGTAGTAGAAGTGGCAGTTGTCGTATGAAGAGGTTCAGTATGGGGCTTACTTCCATAATCTAACAACTTGTCGATGGCACCTGCCAAAGGATGTAAAATCTTACTTCCAAATTTCATGGGTGCCATTGGATGTGGATGAGTAGGAGCATTACTTTTCGCAGTTTGTAAATCACCGTGCAAATTGACCAATTCTTGCTGTGACAAGACAGCTTTCAATCTTGGAAAAACATCTTCCTCCTCTTGTTGCAAATGTTCCAATTCAATTTGAATAAACTTCTCGACTGTCTTGTTAAACACAAATCGATCCATGTCACTCTTTTGAGAGTTGACATTATCGAGTAAGAATTGTAACATTTCCTTATTCAATTGATCATCTAAATAATTTCTTTCACTGAGAAGTTTTCCTCCTTGAATCTTTTCAGCAATGAGTGGATATAAATATCGTTCCTCCGCTGAGGCATGCATACAAATTTCACGAATAAATTGTTCGACAAGGTTATTCTTGTCCGTTTGTGAAGAAGAATTGTGCCATTGGTCAAATAATTGTTTGATCAATTTGTGATCTTGAATTAAAAATTGAATTCCATCGAATAATGCTGTGGATTCTACCATGTTGTGTGTTTTTAAGAAGAAAAATGTTGATTTTGAGAGAATTTGTTTGTTTTTTTGGAGTGGGAATTGGGAATGCTCTCGAGTGCATGTTGTGTCTAAACACGACTCGTTTTGGAAAATAACCAAAATAGAATGAATTTAAACCTTTCTAAAAATGGAAAATTAATTAATTAATATTATTAAGATCTCAATTGTTTCAAATCATCAATTTGGATGTTCAACACGATTCATCTTGTGAAATTTCCAACTGTAGTAATTGCACAATTTTGTCCACATCAGCACTTGGTAAGACATCTTTCAAAACTCGAATACATTCCTTATAAATAAAAAACACATCATTCGGCGAAGGATGTTGATGAGCAAAACATAACAATTGAAATGCATTTTCAAATGAAATTCTCTTCTTACATCGTGAAATAATTTCTTGTTCCAACATGGTGTCACTAAAAACATTACTAACGAGATAGAGTTGAATGAGTTGAGCAATGAGAGTGTCATCTTCTGCAGAATGAATTCGAGCGTCAATTCCAAAGAGTGTTGAAATGTATTCTTCAATGATGGGAATGTAAGGGTCATCCAAATATGGAAATATTGTGTTGTCAATTTCAATTAAAAATTGTTGGGAATGATCATTGTTGTTGACATTAAAATCAAGTACTCGATCATCGCCAACATGTTGATGTCGTTTTTTCAACCACAAATCTCGAACACAGGCATGGAAAAAATCATTGGTGACTAAAATTGGCATTGGAACTCGAATGTCATGAAATGTTGTTCTTGTTGAATCTTCCATTTGTGAAATCTGTTCCTCTTCCTCTCCTCCTTCCTTCAACACAGTATTTGTACTTGTAAATATCAATCGTATGGTCGTTGTGAAATACTTGTATAATTCTGGATATTTTCCTTTGAAAACATCTCTCAAAAATGCAATTAATTGTTTAGCAGGAGATGGTAATAAATAATCATCTTCAAACGTATAAATCTTTCCATGAATGTACTCGCAGATGGATGGCATGTTGTGTTGTTCACAAAAAGTATTGAGACGAACCATTTCTTCTCGATTGTTAAAAATTGGAGGATCCATGCCATACAAGTAATCGACAATGTGACTAAATGTGTCGACAGAGAGATTGCTTAAATGTAATTCTGAAATGTTCTCCCCGTGATTGAATGAAGACTGATGTGTTTCATTATCTTGTAATTTCTCAATCAATTCTCTGAAATAGGAAAATCGGGAAAGCATAAATTTGTGAAGATAAAAGGTCTTTTCATTTAGAACCTTGACCTTAATGTCACATCCAATAGGAATGTAATCTCCAAATGTGTCTTGCATTCGTTTGTGAAACAGTGTTCCAAAATTCACATAATCTTGTTCCGTTCCCACACGGCTCAATACTTCTTCAACGTCGTTCAAATGGAAAAGCCAAATCTTGTCATTCTTAAAAGTACCTGTTTTTTTCTCACTATTCAATTGACCTCCTACAAGAATGAAACTACTTGGTGAAATGGCACATGTCGAATGATGTGAAATATCTCCAAAGGAATACTTGTTCTCTTCTTCCAAAGATAGACCAGTATTGTCCATGTCATATTGCAACTCGATTGGATTGTTTTTCGTTGCTCCAGCAATGAGAGACGCATCGATACTTGCTCTTGGTGCCACAGTTCCCATGACATTCATGAAAAATCCTTTTGCAACATTGGTTTTATCGAGACCATAGCTGTAATTTAAACTTCCACCGAATATTAGAATTTTCTCTCCTCTTAGAATCATGGAGGTGTGTTTGATTCGTGGAAAAACGAGATTGGATCGAGTCGAGGTGAAAATGGATTTTGTTGTCAAATTGTCTAAATTGATCGAGAACATGTCATTGAAATATGTTTCTTCATTATTTCCACCGAAAATAATCATCGTGTCAGATGTTTCTTCATTATTGTCCTGACCGAGAGCATGTAATTGAAGAAATTTTGATGAAGATTTGTTATGAATGACAGCACTGTGATTGGCTCTTGGTCTTAAACTATTCAGATCTGTACTTGGAACATTGGCAAGTGACAAGGATGTGGACTGTTACATTTAGTGACATTCATCAAATTTGGTAGTATTTAAGTGTTCAGTTATTATTGACATTAGAAAGTGTGTTAAAACTTCAAATTAAAAAAATCCTCACCTTACTATGAAGTCCAATTTCAAGTTTTTTCCATTTTCGACTTTCAAAACTATACTCAAAACAATCTTGAATGGTTCGATTCATGGTATCAATTCCTCCATAAATCACAATCGAATCCACACTGGAACGATAAACCATAGAATGACCATATCTCTTCGAAGGCCAAAGGATCACTTCTCCACTAGTATTATTATTATTCTGTAAAGATGTGATTGAATTCGTTTGACGATTGGTCTCCAAATGTTGTGTCCATGTTCGAGTGGCAATGTCAAATTCAAATAAATCTCCCAAAGCTTTAAATTGTGCATCTTGACCACCAAAGACCACTAAAGATCCTTCTAAATGTTCATGGTTGGGTTTTCTAAAAATCATTGAATGATGCGATCGAGCAGATGGCATTGGGGAAGAAGTGCTTTCAATTTTTTCAACCTGATGAATCATGATGGAAGAAGTCATTAATTTCCTTTTTTGTAAATTTTCTTGCAATAACAAACAGGAGGATGTATTGTGTTCTCCTTCATCAAGATGATCTTGCTCATTGAGAGGTCCTCCGATTTTAATTTCATACAAGGCATTGCTTCGTTTGTTATCCGTTTGACCTCCGAATAGAAAGAGAGAAAAGAAGGAATGATTCGAAAGGTCGTGCTGTTGTTGTTGTTCGTTGGAAAAGGGATCAAGCCGAGTGCAAGCCATGGCATGGCTGATAATGGATTTGAAGGGAAAACATTCTTGTCCACGGAGCAATGAAACTTTGGCTTTCATTTTTTTTGTGTTGTTGAAACTGTTTTTGTGTTATGACATTTGACTTGCTGAAAAAGTTCAAGTTCTCGAGTACCTTTGACTTGAAACTCGACTCGACGATCATGCATCAAATTCACATCACATGCTTACTTCTTCTTTTTATTCTTGTTCTTTTCTTCTGCCATTTTCGCTTCAAGATCTTGTCTTTCCTTGTCTTTTTCTTCTTTTGTTTTCTTTCGGTATTTCTGAGGAAGCTTTTGAGTGAATTGCTTCATCTTCAAGTCGTCTTGTTGATAGATTGGATCGATTTTTGACAAGGGTACAACAAATTCGTCCACTTGAAGTGGTTTTGTGTCAAGTTTGGCAATTCTTCTTTCATTGATTACGCTCTCAATGATCAGTTTGATGCTTGCAACAGTGTAGTTGGTTGAAATATGAGCCAGAGTGTGCAAATCAAATTCTTCACTTAAGGGACGAGAAATGGCCTTCTCTAACAAGGTTCTCCATAGGACTCTGCATGAAGAATAATCTGGAAGAGTTGTGTAAACCATGCGATCGAAAAAGTCACCAAAGAGAGCTGTGTCTGCGTCCCAAGGCTCGTTCATGTTGGCAATGATTAAAATTCGGTCGTCAGGTGTCATGGCCTTCATTTGGGTGAGGAGTGGTTTTCTCAAACGTTTCATGTTGGCCTTTGTCTTGCCCTTTCCCTTACCCTTAATGATGGTATCAAAATCGTCAATATAAATTACTGCAGGTTGCATGTCCTTGGCGACACGAAATAATTTTCCAATCATGGTGGTTGCCTCGCTTTGCTCTGTACAAATATTTTGAGTGACGGCAGGAGATAAATCAAAGAATACAGCTCCCAATTCATGACTAATAGCGTGTGCGAGATGGGTCTTGCCTGTGCCCTTATGGCCGTAGAAGAGAATGGATCGTAAAGGGGGTGCTTCTTTGTGAACTGTAGGCGTGGACATGTAGAGAATTATTTCTTGGCATACATTTCGGATTTGTGCGAGGGATGGCTCTTCCCACTCTAGAATGGAACCAATAAGTCGAGGTTCACCCAAGAAAGAATCCAAAGTTAGAGGAGGAACTTTGGTGATAATACCCATGGACGCCAAATCTGAAAAGAATGCTTCAGAGGATGGCATTTTCACTTCTTCCTTTGGTTTGGCAGGAGGCTTTTCAGGCTTTGCAGGCTTTTTTGGAGGGTTTTCACTTTCGAGTTGCAATCTCAAGTTATCGAGCTCTTCTCGAATTTGATTGTCAACTTTTTTGCGAATTTCTTCTTCAATACCCTTGTCACCTTCCATGAGTTCCTTTCGCAATAATGACTTGTCAAACTTTTGATCAAAGTCCAGCGAGCTCACTCGATCTCTCCACTTTTCGACCAACTGCTTGAGTAGTACGGAAATGGTAGGGATGAATTTTGATTCGTCTTTCATGGTGGGAGTAGCTTCTGCTTGAGGCTGGTCCTTGCCTCCTTTTGCAGGAGGTTTTTTTGTGGATGAGGCTGGAGCGCTTCCTCCCTTCTTATTCTTACTTGGTGGAGCTAGGGCTTCCTTCTTTTGTTCTGCCAACAGCTTTTTCTGTTCTTCTGTGGCCTTAATAATGTTTTGCATGAAGGCTTTCGAGCCACCATCAGACTCTGAAGGAAACCTTGGAATTCCACCGTCACCTTCTTGTCTATACAATAGAATTTGTTCCATGAGAGCGTCATGCATGTCTTCTATCATTTGCGGTCCTTCTTCCTCCAAAATTGCAGATCGCATTTTAATTCTCTGCTCTTCCAAATCTCTCTTGTTTTCTGCTTGCTTAATCTTTCGTTTGGCTCTTCCCAAATGATCCATTTCTTTAATTTTGACAGGTGTGTCTTCTTGAGCAGCTGGTTCTTCTTTTTGAACCTCTTTTTTCTGTTGTTGTTTTTTTGCTCCTTCTAAAGACATGCCAAGAAACTTTGCTTCCTCTCTCTTCTCTCGGTCGATTCGTTTTCTCCAATAGAAACCTCGGAATACTTTTTGAATTTTTATGGCCGCTTCATCCATGATGGAGTCCATGTCCTCATCTTTTTTGGTCTTTTTTCGTTCTTCTCCCAATTTTTGTTCGAGTTTAATTCGAGCAATATTTCTTCCTTGCCGGCCTCGTTCATTGGTTTGGATGATGAGAATGGCTTGGTTGATGGTGAGCGTGTTATTTTTTTGGGTGTTCTGAGAAGCGCTGGGGTCAGTTCTGGCAAGAAAGTCGCCGTTAGGGCTTGGTCTCTTTCTCAAAACGTCCAGTAGAATTTCCCTTCTCCTAATTTCTTTTTCATTGTCTTCATGTAAAAATCGAGGAATTCTAATTTCGAGCTCATTCGGATCCAGTTTCAAGTCGATTAGAATTTCATCAAATTCAGGAAACTCCCCCATCAATTTTATGATTATTGATTTAATTTCCAAAATTCTACCAATAACATTTTCAAGAATTACTTTGAGATCTTCTCTTTTTTGAGGTTGAAGCATTTGATCGTAACACATCTGTGATTAGGGTAAATCAAAGTTAGATTTACAATTTCCCAACAGAATATATCATTTCCGAACGTACCTCCATCTTGTTGTATAGATTTACATATTTTACATATAACGATTGATAATGTTGATTAAATAGAGCCTGTTGCTCCAATATATTTTTCGGGAGATTGGCCTTGTTTGCCAGTTTATTCTCTCCCACCACCAGCAAATCTCTCAACTCGACCAAAACCTCCGACAAGAGGCCTTCATAATACACATTAGACATTTTTTTTAGCAACTTTTTTGATTCTCAACCTATCGTAAATTTTTTGGCGGGTGAACTTAAATTTCTACTGCAATTGTGATCTTTCATCAGTTAATGAGTAAATCAAATTATTTGCCGTGGGAACCATCCTTTTTAAATCAATGCTGTTTCCAAGCTCTTATTGGAATAAACTTTATTTATTACAAAAAAAATGCAAGTTGTGGTTCAGCTGATGGATTTGATGAGTATTCCGATCTGGCTCAGACATGAAGACCATTATCATCAGGATGAATTTTATTTACTGAAATTATTACAACAATTATTGAGAAAACCAAAGATGAGGACACGACGAGCATTTTCCATGAATTTTGAAATGACTAATGTTTTGGGACAAGATTTTTCTTCAATACCCGAGAATGAAAAGACATATACACTACATGGGGATTTACCTCTTCATTATCCTTGTGAAGTTAAAATTTCATATACTCTTTCGTGTTTGCTCATCAGTAATTATGGAGGAAATTGTAATGGTATACTAATTTTGGATTTGGAAACCAAGAAGGTAAAAACGAACATCAAGACCGATAAGAGCCCTTCATATCTATTCGTTGAGGAACAATATAATGGACACACAGATGCACTGATTTTTGTGTGTGATTCAACTCATACCGTGTCTAAATTTGACCTGGGATCAATCATGAGTCCTACTCTTCCTGTTGAAGTAGGAGTAAAATCCGAGCATTTTATTTGGCAAAATTCGTCCATTTTGAATCCAGAAGGAATTACAGGTTGGAATTCTCAACTATTTGTCTGTTGTTCGAGAAGTAACACAATTAATGTATTGAGCTCGAAAACAGGCTTACCTTTATATGAAATTTCTTTACCATATTCACCTTATGGTATTGATTTTTCTGTGGATGCCGAATATTTAATTGTTTCAAGCGATAATGAGCAAAGTATTGTCATGTTACAACGTACTATCAGTGGCACTGATATCAAATGGGAGTATAGGTACAACAATTTGGACATTTGTACAAATTTAAAAGGTCTCGACTTTGCTTATGCACTCACAGTGGACAAGGCTGCAAATCATATAATAGTGACTGATGACCTTAACACGGTATCTATTTTTAATAATGTTGGTACTTTGCTAAAAAGATTTACCTCCAAATACAACATTAAAATAGAATCGCCATATGGAGCGTGTGTGAATGAGCTAACAGGAGAATTAATAGTATGTGATAATGGAGAGAGCAGAGTGTTAATTTTCAAATAAGGATTTAAGATAACAACATGAATACTATCATAGAACAATATGCTACTGAAGGCTACTTTGTTGTTCATGATTTAGATGTCCATTAAATCAGGTATTACGTTAAATGAATTCATTTATTTCAGCACTGGCATGATTTGTTGAAGGGAAGGTCTTTGTGATGGGTTTGAATGTAACATGGACACCACACCTTATGTCACTGGCCACTGAAAAACGACTAGTTCTGCTTTCAGGTAAAAGAAATTCATTTTCCAATTCAGGTGCCAAAAACAAGTATGTACCAGCAAGCGAGCTATTGTTTGTATGATCTGAAGCTTTCGCCAATCCAAAATCTGAAATTGCAATATGAATCTCTTCATTTTCTAAATCTAATTCTTTGATCAAGATATTGTCTGGTTTAATGTCACTACCATTTTTGGTTAATTTGTAAAATCCTAAATATGTAAAATATAAATTTGCATCAACACTTACCGATCGGCACAATATTATGTTGTTGCATCCACACCAACACTCCACAAACTTGTCTCATAATCTCAATCAACATTTTCTCTGAAACTCGAATTTCCTTTGAAATCATCAACGAATTGAAACTTCCTTTCATCAATTCCATTTCAATAAACATGGCTGACACTTGACGTAACGGCTTGGCTGAACGAACTTGTACAACATTGGGATGAAATAACCTTGCCATATTCATGGCTTCAATTAATGCTCGTTGTAATCCAGCAGTATCTGTAGGTGGCCATAATATCATTTTCAAAGCAACTGATTGATCATTAATACATGCCTTGTAAACATGTCCAAATCCACAACTTGTCAGATATTGAATATTGGTATAACCTTGTTGTTGAAGGATTTGGTAAATGAAAGAAAAATCCAAAGTTGGTGTGTGAGAATGTATTGTTGAGGTCGTGTTTGTATGTTGATGAATAATGTCTTCTATCATGCCTTCAAAACTCGATGATGGAAATAAATCATCATCTCTGTCTTGGATCAGTAAAGAATTTAAAGTTGACATCATGTCAGATGATGTGACGTCATTCGTGTCGAATTCTTGAAAAATTCCCTCAAAATTTGATGATGGAAAAGGGTCATCTTGTTGATGAAAATGTAATTGATTGATGATCTCATTGTTGTGTTGTTCAATGTTTTCGCTTTCTTGAATGGAACTCTGTTGAATAAACTTGTCAATCATTGTATAAATCTCATTCATGATCTGTTGATTGTTTCTAATTTCAATTGAAATCATGTCATTCATATTCTGCAATATATATTCTTTGTTTTTTAAAGCCAACTCGACGGATCGTTGCTTCACAGCATTGCGAAGAATTTCCAAATCTTTTTTCAAATCATCCGAAGCACGTTCTAGAGAATTATCCTCTCGTCGGACCGCTTGCATCAGCTCTAATTTTTTTTTGATGTTTTGACAGAGATTGTCAATGTTGAACATAGCTTGTGAACACTTCAGTTAAACCGAATGGATTTCTTCAAGGGTTGGTCTTTGTAATGGATTTGGGTGTAACATGGACATAACACAGTGACTAGCTCTCGCAATTTGTTTGAATGATTGAAATTTCCAAATAATAAAAATTAGAGTGTGGATGATGATTGTTTTATTCGAATACCTTGGGGTTGAAAAAGAAGGTAATGGAAATTGAACGCCCCAACGTTCCCAATAACTCGAGGTCACAGAGGGATCGAGTTGCCATTCGGACGAAGATTTTTGAATAACACCAAAGGGTCGCACAGAAGTTGGGTTGAGAGAAATCATTTTCTCGATATGTTGTTATGGTTGCTTTGCCCAACTTCTAGCGTTTCAATTATTGAAACAGTTTTGGCATCTGAATCGAGAATTAGAAAAAGACATCAAAGGCTATCTGTTATCATGCCTTAGAGTCATATACCAGCAATGTGTTAAAGATCCATCTCACAATTCCTTGTTTAACATTATGCGCGATGGAAGAACCTAAAACTCCACAAGCGTAATTAATTTTAGCTTCCCTATCACCTTCAAAACCCATCAAAGCATCGACAACAACTTCAATATCACTTCCAAAAAGTTGAACACCATCCAGTTGTTGTTCAGCCAGCCCCACTCCAACCTCAACATCCTTCAAAATCATTGCCACTTCCAAGTCCTTGGTTTCGTTTTGTCCAACTTTAACTCACCTGTTGTTATAAATCCTGAGCGTCTTTGTAGTGTAAGATTTACTGGGGCAACTTGTGTAATATTTGTCGTTTGCTGATCTGGGTTCGAGGTATTTGTTGACTGTTTTGTCTGTAGCTTTTGCTTTTTAGGATAAGTGGCCAATAACACCCGTTTGCTTTCTGATTTTTTTGCCATCTCTCAAAACTCCCTTGAAGATTCTGGTAAATCTTCTGAATTTGTAGAGTATGATTCGCTTTCTGATCTTTCTAATGCTTCTACAAAGTCAAAATAATTAACCACAGAAGCCCATGATTTATCAAAACTCTGTACGGTAGTGTTATGCTTGATCTCGTCATTCCTTCTTCCAGACTTTTTCTTTTCATCTCTTGAATTTGAAATACGGAGATTATGAGGTGTAGCTTTGATTGAAAAGGTTTTAGAATGAACATCAGATTGGCCCTTATTAAATTCATGAAACTGATTTACAAGCATACACTCCCCGATCCAAGAGAACATTAGGAATTTTAAGAATTGCCTTAAACGAATTTGGGAGCGAGAAGAACATGCTATGATTAAAACGCTTGTATATTTTGGATTTTGAGATGGTACTCTTTGAACATAACCATACACACTGCCAACAATTATCGCAAAATTTCTAACTAATTTCTTTGCCCCTTTGTGCCTTGGTACGTTAGCGATTTCTAAACGCATCCTTTTCGGAAGGTGATGCTCTTTCCAATCTTCGTTCGACATGTTCGGAATGGGTTTCATAACCTCACAACCCGTTTCAAGGCCCTTACTCATTTTTTGCGCAATAGATGATTTGTGGTTCTCTGACTTTATAACAATGCTTTCAACAAGAAGAATTAATGAGGTGTCATGGTCTCTGTTTTCTCTAGAAAAAAATGTTCAAAAAGTTCCTCAAGCCTTTCTTGTTCTTGACACTTGGCAGTTCAGCAGCTGGCCTCACTTACCATCAATATAATCAATCCAATGAACAATCCAAGATGTTCCAATCCACATCATCAAATTCATCACCGATCTCAACACACAACACTCCAACCATTCGTGTGGCCATCATTGGAAGTGGTATTTCTGGATCGGGAGCAGCATATTTTCTCTCCGATCTCTATGATCGATTGGATTTGAACTCGTCTCCTCTCTCCCCAGAACCTTTGAATCATGATAATGATTCAACCATCCTCAAGCCTCCTCTCGAATTCATCTTGTACGAACGAAATGATGAACTTGGTGGACGATTAAAAGAAATTAATTTATTTCCGAATATTCATGATGAAACGAATCCGTACAAGTATTCGTTCGAAGTCGGAGGAAGTTCACTCATTTTGGAAAACAAGTATGCTTTACAATTGGTCGATCGTTTTGGATTGACTTTGAAAGAGCCACATTTTGAAGATATTCGAATTGGAATTTGGAATGGTGATGAAAAACAAATTGTTTTTTGTGAATCCAGGTCATGGTGGAAGACAATGATCAAGGGAGCTTGGAGATATGATTTTGGAATTCCACTCTACTTGTTGAAACGAAATGTCAATTATTACTTGTCTCAGAATCGATTTTTGAAAATTTATGAATTGCAACAAGTGCCACAAGAAGGAAAAATTTCAAGTGAAGATGTGAAGAAGGTTTACACATGGGAGGAGACGAGTGAATTTTTGAAGGAAACTGGAATGCAAGAGCTCACGACTCAAACTTTTTATGAGTTTGCGAGAAATAATTGGATTCAGGAGAGATTTGTTAAGGAATATTGTGATTCGATTTTGAGAATTAATTACATGACAAGTTCTGAAACTATTTCTGCCTTTGCTGGAATTGTGGGATTAGCAGGTGCTGTTTCTGATTTTAGACAGGTAAGTTTTGTGTACATTGTTTGCTGTTGTGTGTTAATCTCTCATTCAGGTTCTTCATGGAACGTCACAACTTCCAAAGAATTGTATCCAAGCTTTGAAATCCAAAAAATTGAATCTCAAATTGAACCATGAAGTGTCACAAATTTCGTACGATAGTGCAAGCAACAAGTATTCCATCTCTGCAGTGGATTTGAAAGCAAAAGCCAACAATTCAGCAGCACACATTCTCGACACGAACATTGATTACATTATTGTTGCAACACCTCTCGAGTTTACAAATATTCGCTTTGAAAATATTCAATTGCCACCAAAAGCATTGGAAAAACGTGAAATGAACATTCTCGTCACGAGTTTAGTCATTGCCAAGGATATCAACAAGAATTATTTTGGAATGGACAGTTCAGATGGTCCTTTGTATATTACCACCATGAAACCTTTAACAGTGAGTCAATTACCGTTCAATAATATTGCACCTCAAGGAGAAGCTCCAAACAGTGAAAACACATCAGACAAGAAGGATCACATTTTTGAATCCTTTTCACACTCACCATTCACCAAAGAGGTATTGAATGAGATTTATGTTGGACCCAGCAAACTCGTTCAGCAATATTGGAAACATGGAAGTTATCCAATTTTAAAGCCAAATCTTGTTCAACCTCCTGTAAAATTGCACCAACGAATTTATTATCCGAACAGCATGGAAAGTGTCATTAGTACCATGGAGACAAGTTTAATTTCATCAAAGAATGTATCATTATTAATTATTAAGGACATGTTGAAACGTTTTGAACAATAATTCGACCTGTAAAATGACGTGTAAATAATACAAGAGTCATGTTGTTCTCTTGGATCTTTCTAGTGTTGCCACTCAATTAGATAAAATATTTGAAACCGGCTATTGAATCTCCTTATCAAAATTTCTAAAATCTCACTCTTATTAGTTTAACATGATCTACAATTAATGTTCAAAAGGACGTTGAGGATCATATACAGTATCATCATAATTTGCAGTGATGGCGTTCACTTGTTCTTCATCCTCACTGGGTTTTGTAAATCCGTTAAATAACACTATTCCAATTCCAATAACAGCAACTCCTAAAATTAATGAAAACTGGAGTGTCATCATCATCATTTAAAATTCGGTAGTAAAAGGGAGTTTTACTGAGGTTTGTTGTAATCAATAAAAGTGGTTGGTTGACTAATTTTTTGAATTTTCACTTTCAAAAAATTTACATTACTTGTGATATGGAACAATTATTATCAATTACTTCGAGAAAGGTGATAGAATCACTTTCTCTCAAAGAATTGAAAAGTATTTACAGCAAACTCAAGAAGGCTTTCCCAGCAGGGAAGAAGAATGATGTTGTTAATGATTTAATATCTTGCTACCCCTCTGACCAGTCCAACGAAATTACAAGTAAGAAAGAATTACTCAGAAGAATCAAGGATTTGAGAGTAGTTCCGGAACGGACAGAAGAGGAAGAGGTAGAAGAGGAAGTAGAGGAAGAAGAGGTCTCAAGTGAAGTGCTGTCAAAAAGGATTAGAGAATTAGAAGAAGAGTTAGACTTTATGCGTGATGAGGTTAAGAAAGCGAAGTCATCGGCCGAACGAGACATCAACCAAATCATGGTTGATTTGACTCAACAAGGCGCGTTTTCGCAAAGGGATGTCTGTGATGACCAGCTACCAGCGGCCCTAGCTAATGGTCAACGAAATAGGGTTCTCGAGCTACTCAAGAGTGGGAAGAGTATTGATTTGAATCTATTTCAAATAGATTGTATGGCCGAATCTCTTGCCAACGAACGGGTGTCTACTGTTTTTGACCGTAACTCAGTCAGGAAGGAAGAAGTGGAGGAGTTTAGTTCTCTTGGAGCTATTTACAAGATTCTGTTGAAGAAACAGCTCAAGAATAAGGACGAAGATGAAGAGTTGCAACGGGCTATTGACTCAGTCGAGAATCGTGCATTTGTTCTCCTTGCGAGACAGAAGCACCAGCAAGCGGCAGAGATAATTAGTTCCTCTACTCTCAACCCGTTGTTGAGAGAAAAAGCGGACCTGTTCTCTTGGGCGCTGAAAGCAGTGGGTAAGAGCGACAAAGATGCAAAGGTGTTGAAACAACAATTGAAAATCCCTACTCCAGAGAAAGATGTTAGCAATATAGTATGTCTATATTGTAAGAAACCAGGTCACACTAAAGAAACGTGTCGCAAAAAGATGAGGGATGATGAGAAAGCCAATAAACAACGAGGCCCTCACAGTTCTCTCTACGAAATCCTTCAGTTTTTTCCAAGATACTCACATGGAAGAAATTGCCTTCAGGAAGAAGGCTATTCATTCGATTTCCAACAAGTGGAGACAATGGGAAATGATGGGTGCCAAAAAAGAGATTGTGGGTCTTTTGAAAGATGGGGTTCCAATTATGGTCAGCAAGTATTTCATCCCTTACTATGGAAGAGTAGATATATCCCTTTGGTCGAAGGAAGAAAGAGAATTTCTAACGGAAGAGATATGTATGATGTTATCTATTGGTGCATTGGAATTCTTCCAAGGAACTCCGAAGGTGGTGGCCAAGTATCGATTGGTACCGAAGAAAGGAAAGAAGAAATTCAGATTAATTGTGGATCTTC